TTCAATGGGGTGCCTGGTACCCACTAACACGTATGAAGACAAGGACAAAGAGAACGAAGGTAGCGCTGCTGAAAAATTGGCGAAAGGACAACCGGAAGAGGAAGACGTCAACGACGACGACGAGGACGAAGAGAACAACGACGAGGAAGAGCGTAACGAGAACGAGTTTAACGAGAAACAAAACAACAATATCCTCTCCGACTTCTTCTTCGGCGTCGAGGATGACGACGATTCAGACGACGACGACGGTTCGGAGAAACCGGTGGAATCCTCCTACGAAACCTTCGGAAACACGAACGGAACCTCGAACGCACCACCACACCTCGCGTTACTCGAAATCAAAGGAAAGAAAAGCGACCACTTTGGTTTCGTCAAAGTGAAGAAGCAAAGAGACCTTCTGGTAAAGCGCATTACCAAGTTTGTTCTCGCGTAAGTTTTAAAGAGAGAGAGAGAAACAAACGCGCTCTCTCGAGTAGAGAGGCCGAAGAGCGAAGAATAGAGATTTCAGTATTCAATCAGAGAGAGAGAGAGAGAGAGAGAGAGAGAGTAATAGTAGTATTAGTAGCAGTAGTATTAGTAGCAGTAGTACTAATAGCAGTCATAGCAGCAGTAGCAGCGCTCCGTGAGCGTGTGTCCTATACTATAGAGGTATCGTCTCCCGTCGTCGAAAAATCTCAACACTAATCTCATCCCTCGCGCTTCATTAGTCACACACGAACGAGCGCGAAAGATACTCATAAAAAAACGAGCAGTTCGTATGAAACGAGTAAAAAGACGACGATGACTTTTATTACTTCTTCTTCGTCGTCACCGAATACTACCGTGAACGTAAAGACGACGATGTCGACGAGAAAACATCGAGGACGACGACGATATCGAGGACAGCAGCGGGGAAGAAATTCGATCGGATGTCTGCTTCTTTTGTGTTGTTTAATAGGAGCAATGTTCGCATCAACATCAACTGCGTTCGCGTCAGACAACACTGATAATGGTACGGAGGATAACAAAAACGATGATTTATTAGATTTACTGGGCGAAATAGACGCCGAAATCGAAGGAGAATTCTCGGACGAGTTTACTCTCAAATCGGATATTCAAGTGCAAATTGCACACGAGATTACCGTTCGAGGCGCGTCTTCGGGGAACGAGAAACTGGTCCAACGTTCAATCGATTTCATCGTCGGGGACGATTACGCATCCGCCGCGTTTCGATTTTGCGTGAAACACGAGTTGTATCATCATCAGCACGTGAGGGCGACTGCTTTGAAGATTAAGGAGGAGATTGAGAAGATGCCGGAGGATGCGAGGCCGGCGGTGGGCGGCGCCGCTGCCAAGAGAAGGAGGAGAGAAGGCGTGCCGGAGAAGAGGAAGAAAACGGCGCAGGAGAGGTACGAGGTAGTGAGGGAATATTTGAACGAAACGAAGTTCGTGAAAGCCGGGGAGGAGTTGTCCAGATTGGTGGAAGAGTTTCAAGACCATCAACTGAATTCGGACGAGCACATCGAGCAAGACAAAGAGGACGTGGCCGTCGGCGGGCCTTTGAACAGATTAGTGGAGGTGATGAAAAGAGCGAAACGGCTCATCAATGACGAGCAGAAACAGCGAGACGAGAACGAAAAGTTGGTGAGTTTAGGAGAGCAGTTGAAGAAAAAGATGGAAAAGAAACGAGAGACGATCGCGCAATCGGAGGAAGGATTTAGAGAGTTGTTGAGACAAACGTACGAGACGCCGAAATCGGAACGATTGGAACGAGTCGGGAGATTACCCCCGCTGGCAAAAATGGACGTTAAAGTCGACGGGAAGATGAAGGAGATGCTCGTGTTTCAAGACCAAGACGCGCAAACGGCGGTGTTTGAGTGGTGCGTGTATAACGGCATCAGAGAACCGGAAAAAATGGTGGACGTGCTCAGGAATTTGTTGAAACTTACCGGCGAGGAACGATGGCGATCTGTGAACGAGAGAAACGCGCAGGGATACGTGGATGCGTATTACGGGAAGAAAACTTCGAATGTAGAGGAAGCTTTGAAAATGTGGGCAGATGGCACGGATAAGTTTGGCATCATTTCCGGATCGAAACTTCTCGAGCTCGCGGCGCAATACAAGGAAAAAATCGCCGATTCCGGAGAAGTCGCCTTGGAACTCGAATACGAAAAAACGGTGAAATTATTGAGACGAAACGTGGAGTATTTTACCGCCAGCGTTGACTTTGAAACCGCGATGAAGAAAGACGAGTGCAAAAACGCGATACTTTTTTCGCAAACGATGATAAAAATCGATCGGAAGCGACCGGTGACGGCGTTGCAAAAGCTCTTCGCCGCCAAGTGTAAATTGAGGCTGAAAAAGTTTGACGAATCCGCGACGGACGCGTTTTCCATTTTATCTCGAATCAAAACGACCGGCGATTGGAAAGCGACGGATATCAAATATTTAACCGTGTATATCGGTGGCATGTCCGCGATGAAACTCGGCGACTCTGAACGCGCGTTGAAATTCTACGCCGTGTGCGTTCGCAACGATCCAGATTTCAGTTTATGCAAAGACATTTACAAGAACTTGAACTCTATCAAGAAATCTATGAAAATCGTGGACGATAAGTTGAACGATAAACACCCTCGTCCAGCTTTGGAGGCTATGGATGCGGTTGAAATTGCGGCGAAAAGTTTAGGTTTCCACGGAGTGAAGTCGTTCGAGAACGATATGAACGTGCGCAAATGTCGCGCGGCGGTCTTCAAGAGACAATTGAACGACGCGTACGATTATTGTCAAAATGCCTCGGATTATTTTGGAGTGAAAGCGAAAATGATTGAAAGTGATCCACTGACGGGAAGCGAGGACGGTGCGGAGGCTTTATTGGAAGAGAAAGTGACCGCGGAGGATATGCTGAAATACGCGGAGGCGCTGCGCGCGACGGCGGAATTGTACGTCGCGGATGAGAATCCGAAAGAGGCGAAATCGTTAGCCGAACAAGCGTTGGAGATTTGTCGCGCGAACGCGGGACAGTCCAGTTCGTCTCGATCTCTCAAGGAGAACTTAGAATCGTTCGTTCGAGAAACGCACAACCTCGTTCGGCAGTACGAAAACAATCGAGATTACGCGAAAATCTTAGGCGTCCCGCCGAATCTCAACGAGTTGACGAAGGAAAGGCAGTGCGATTTTATTAAAAAGAGTTTCAAGAAATTGGCGTTGAAGTGGCATCCGGATAAGCACGAGACAAACGCGAGAAAAAAGAGAGCGGCGAGAAAGCTGAACGACGCGGCAGAAGCGAGAGACGAGTTGAACGATCGCGCCAACTGCGAAGCCGGAAGCGTAAATAGAGAACGCGCGAGGGCGGAAAAAGCGAAAGAGGAGGAAAGGAATAGACAAAATTGGGCCAGAGGAGGAGGAGGAGGAGGACATCATTGGGGTGGACATCAGCATCAGTATCAGCGTCAAAGGCGCGGCGGTGGTCCCGGCGGCGGTCACTGGGAGTTCTAATATTAGTTTTAAATAGTTTTTTAACAACACGTGTTTGACGCAGCCGCTGCTTTACAACTCTATTTATAATAATCATACTACTGTACAACAATTCGTTCCTCGTCTTTGACCACTTCAAAAGAACTATCGTTTCTTTTGTAAAATGACCGCCCCCCACTCGCTTATGTTATAAATACCTTCGCTCCCGATTCTTTGCGATCCTTTGAAATCGAAATCATCCGGGCTGGTTAAATTCGTATCGACGATGCGATGCCAACTCATGCCGTCTTCAATTTTCGGCAACGAAGCTTGGACCATGTACTCGTGCGCGTTGAACGCTATGTATAAATCTTCGTTGTTGCCGGAAATGTCGTCGACTAAGGTGAACGCGATGAATTTACTTTCCTCGTTGTCCCAATTGTCTTCGTGCCAAATGCACTTTCGATCGTCCAACCATTCTTTTCTTCCGAGCAACGGGTTCGCTTTCCGGAATTTAATCATGTTCGAACAAAAACGGAACCGAGTTTCTTTATATTTCTCCATTTCCATCCACTGAAAGTTGTTCCGTCGATCATCGTGGCCGTAAGTGTTGTTGTTCCCGAACCGAGTGTGCCCGTACTCGTCGCCCATTAACAACATTGGCGTGCCTTGACTGACGAACAACGCCATCAAGAAATTTTTCATTTGTCGTGCGCGTAAATTGTTAATGTTCGCATCCCCGGTTTCGCCTTCTTGCCCACAGTTCCAACTTTCGTTGTCGTTGGCACCATCGTTGCCGTTTTCGCCGTTGTCGTGGTTGTGTTTCGATTGGTAAGAGACGGCATCGTTGAGCGTAAACCCGTCGTGCGCGGTGATGAAATTGATCGAGTGAAACGGTTTCCGGTTGTTCCTCCGGTACAATCTCGAGGAGCCTAACAAAGAGTCCGCGAAATCTTTCTTTTGATCGTCCGTGCCTTTAATAAATCGTCGACACGTGTCTCGATACTTCCCGTTCCATTCGGCCCACTGGTCCCAGTTTGGAAAATCGCCGACTTGGTACAACCCGGCGGCATCCCACGGTTCCGCGATGAGTTTTACTTTCGACAGAATAGGATCTTTCGCAATCTCTCGAATGAGCGGCGGCGATTCCATAGGTCTGCCTCTTTCGTCTCGAGTTAAACACGAGGCTAAATCGAATCGAAACCCGTCGACTTTATACTCTTGAACCCAGTGTCGTAAACTCGCCAAGATGAAATCTTTCGTCATCGGATTGTTCGCGTTGACCGTGTTGCCGCACCCGGTGTAATTCATGTAGTCGTTGTTCTCGTCCATCATGTAATAGTTCGCGTTATCGATGCCTCGAAACGAACAAAAGTTCGGCCGATCGTCCGTGCTTTCCCCGGTGTGATTATACACCACGTCTAAAATTACCTCGATGCCGGCTTGGTGCAACGTCTTGACCATGTGTTTAAACTCGCGAGCGGCGTCGATACCGTTGCCGCCGTTCGAGGCGTACCTCGACATGGGCGCGAAAAAAGACATGGTCGAGTATCCCCACGTGTTGACCATGTGCGCTCGCGCTCGGTATCGTTCGTCTGGATCGTCTGGAAACCGTTTGAATTCCATCTCGTCGAATTCAAACACCGGCAACAACTCAATCGCGTTTACGCCTAAATCTTTAAAGTATTTCACTTTCTCCGCGATGGCTAAGAAGGACCCTCGAATATTTTCGTTCATCGACTCGTCCTCTCTCGTGAACGCGCGAACGGTCATCTCGTACACCACGGAATCTTCCTCGTTAATTCTTGGATGATCCACGTTTTCCCAATCGAACGGTTTCGATTCGAAATCGTACGTCCCGAGCATATCCGGTGGATTCGGCCGGTCGCGTTCCTTCCTCGCTTTATGCTCCTCCCCGAAATATTTCCTCCCGGACGACACCATCGTAGCGTACGGATCTAACAAAACCACAGAATCATCAAACCGTTGTTTATTCTCTTTCGAATTGTGCCCGAACACTCGATACCCGTACCTCGCGCCTCGAAGAGGTACGCCTTTCGTAATCTGAACCGTAAAAATCCCTTTTTTATCGTCTTCTGAATCGTCCTCTGAATCATCTTCTTCTTCTTTACGCGTCATGTCAATCTGTATCGTAGGTTCGGTTAACGCGTCGTTCTTACTCTCGTCTCGATCGAAATAGAGCACGAGTTGTACTTTCTCCGCGTTCGGCGCGTACAGAGAAAAGTGTAACGATCTCGTTGACTCCTTCTTCTTTTGCTCTGCTTTCTCATCGTCATCCTCATCATCGAGTACGATGAGAGAAACGCCGAACGGTTGCCCGGAGGGGTCGCCTCGTTCGATTTCAATCGGACCGAGCGGGCCACTTAAACTCGTCGTTTTACTAACGTGACTCTGTTCGTTCGCGAGATTCTTTTTTGTGCCTTCTTCACCCATCGAACGCGACGAGAACGCACTACTCTTGGTCGTCTTTTTCGTCTTCGTTTGTTGGAACCACGTTCGTTTCCCGGGCGTGGACGTCCACATTCGTTCACGAGCGGATGATGATGATTGCGACGATGAGAAGCACACCGAGCGGGATTGTGACATTTAAAGATTTGCAAACGCTGCTCTTCTTTTTTTACTCTCCGCAACAACCACAAAAACAATCTCACAAAAACAACGACTCGACACAGTTTTACGCGCTCCTCGCGCGAAGAAAGAGTGGGAAAGAGAGCGTCAGTTGTGATGAATAAAGCGCGACGAATTTTGGCGCCCACGACGGATTTTTGAAAAAATAAGAAACACGCGTCGCACAAAAAAATGTTTAGGGTTTTGCAATGAATTAGGGTTTAAGCAAGTCCTCTCCTCTCTGTCACTTTTCTGCGCTATTACTATTAGTAGTAGAAGACACACAAAGATGGCGAGCGAGACGAAAATACGAGAGGAAAAAGAGGAGGAAAAAGAGTCGTCGTTGGTCTCGACGAAAGTGCCAAAGGCCAGGGTACGTTTGAGCTTCACTCGTGTGCTACGAAGGAGTTTTAGTATTCATTCGTTTCTCTTCTCTCTTTGTAGTTTTGCGCAAAAGACGAATTTTCCCTGGAAACGTTGACTTTTGTTTTCCCTTTGTTCTTCTTTAACGCGTGTAGTATATCACGCGAGGAGGAGATGACTCTTTCTCTCTTTTTCCTCTCTCTGTGTTCTCTCTCCGTGGAGAAGACTTTTTTGAGCGCGATGGTGATGATGATCGTTTACGTCGTTTACGTCAGAGGAGATCGAACGACCGATGACCTTTCTCTCGCTTCTGTTTGGGAAATGAATTAATTGACAAAAATCTCTCTATTATTATGTATATCATTAGTTCATCGAAGACGTGGAAAAGTACATGCGAGAAGAAAATCGAGAAAATGCGTTCGAACCAGTGATGAGAGATTTACAAGCTCGATACGAACAGATGAAAAACTTAGAGAGAGTCACGCAGAACGAGAAGATACGTTTGACGCGAAAGATCCCGGAGATCGAGAAGAATTTAGAAGCCTTGAACGCGTTAGACGCGAACCATACTCGTCGTCAAGAGGAGGAGAAGGAAAAGACGACGACTACAACGAAATTAAAGTATCAGTTAGGCGAGGCGTCGATTTACGCCAAAGCTGACATCGAGGATCCGAGCAAAGTGTTCCTTTGGCTCGGCGCGAACGTCATGCTCGAATATCCGCTCGCCGAGGCGAAGCAGTTGTTGGAGACCAATTTAGAAAACTGTAAGAAATCTTTAATCGCGACGGATGGCGATTTGGCGTTTATAAAAGACAACGCGACGATACAAGAGGTGAACTTAGCGAGGGTGTACAACTGGGACGTGAAGAGGAGGATGGAAGGCGTTTTGAAAAAGGACGAACCTCGAGACGTAGCCGGTATCGAGCGCTGACGTCGCGACGTAGAAGAGAGAAAAAAAGAGACGTTTGAGAGTTCCATCCTTCGTCGTTACATGAACACCAAACACCCTTCCTCTCCTCTTCTCTTTTTTGTTGTCGCGTTGTTTCTTTCGGACCAAAATTGAGTCTCCTTTGCTTTCGTCAAAAACAGATTTGAAAAACTCCTCATAATAAACGAATCATCATGCGTTTCGCAGCAACAGCACTGCTCTCGCCATCTGCGTCGTCGTCATCATCTTGTTCCTCTTTATCCTCATCGAAGACGTCGTCGCCCGTGATGAATACGAAGAATACGATTTCCAAAACGACGACGACGAGGAGAAGAAAGAAAAGGCGTTTAAGGACATCCTCGTCGTCCTCCGATGAAAAACGAGAAGTTAACGAAGAAGAGAAAAGGATGATGAGAAAACAAGATTCAGGAGGGAGAAGAGAAACGCTGATAAACCTCGCGTTCCTTTCCGTTTCGTTACCTTTATGGAAGGACGTATTCCACGATTTGGGGTTTTACAGCGGCCCAGACGACGCGTTCGCGGACGTGCCCTCGGTGAATAATCTTAACGGAACGGACGAAGATGTCGCAATATTCGCCGGGGGATGCTTTTGGTGCATGGAGGAAACGTTCGAGAAACCGGAGAAATCTGGCTTCGTGCTCGCGACGACGAGCGGGTACGCCGGCGGATCCGTCGCCAACCCGAAATATTTACAAGTGTGTAAAGGCACAACGGGGCACAAGGAAGTCGTGCGCGTGTTGTACGATAGGAGTAAGATTAGTTATAAAGAGCTCTTGTTCTTGTATTTTCGACAGATTGATCCGACGAGAGATGATGGGATGTTTTTAGACGGCGGCGAACAATACGCTTCCGCGATATACGTGAACTCGGACGAGCAGAAGAAAGAAGCGCTGGAGGCGATTGAGAGGATGGAAACATTGAACGTGTTTAGAACGGAAGAAAACGCGAAGGAACGTAACGCGATTATTAAAACGAAAGTCGTGGACTTGCGCGAATTACCTCCAGAGGGGCAGTTTTTCCCGGCGGAAATTTACCACCAGGATTACTTCGAGAAGAATAAAGCGCGGTATTCCGTCTATCGATTCATGTCCGGAAGAGATCCGTATACGCAAAACACGTGGCAAAATAAAGCCGACGTAAAATTTGGCGGCAAAGAAAAGGCGTTCGAGGCGATTTTTAAGTAATAGTAACCTTCGCAATCGATAATCTGTCGATTCAAAAGTCAACGTCAAGGTAACCTGTTCTCGCAGCGGAGCAGCGCGATGAAGAAGAGAAGAGAGAATGTTGCTTCTGTCGTTTGACAAGAAAAGAGATAATTTTTAATGTATAATGAAAAGGAGAGAAGAGAAAGAGAGCGACACGAGAAAGAGAACCCAAGAACAGCGTGCGTAGCAGGAGTAGCAATATCTGAACGAAAAGAATTAGATTCCGTAGAAGAACGAATGCGTTTATTACATAAAAAACATCATCATTTCTTCGTTTAAAATCATCCTTCTTCTTTCTTCGCTTCGTTTTGCTGCTTTTGCTGCTACTATTTATACACTCTGAGCGCTCGCCTCGTCGTCGTCAAATGTGCGAACACAACACAAGAATCTTTCTTCTTTGATGCATTCGCGTCTCTCTAACTTTTACTTTAATACACATGTCATGTCTTCTCGTCCACCATATTTTTCATCAAAATCATCACATCTCTTTGTCTTTGTCTTCTTCCATTCTATATCTCTGCTCTACTAGCTAAACCGTTGTTTTCATGCTGACTTTAAAAATCTCTGTTACCCATCTGTTGTTATTGTTGTATAACTCATCTGTTTCGTAAATGTTTTTGAAAGTAGTATCTGTCAATGTCTCTGTTTTCTAAAAATGTATAAAATTCGTAAAATATTAATTAATAGCCGCCCGGACCTCCACCGTAGCCGCCGCCGCCGCCACCACCTCCGCCGTAGCCGCCGCCGCCACCACCGTAGCCGCCGCCACCGCCACCGTAGCCGCCGCCACCGCCACCGTGACTGAATGGATTCGATCGACCGCCACCATAGCCACCGCGATCCGGGCCGCCGCCGCCGTAACCGCCGCCGTAACCGCCGCCGCCTCGACCGCCGTAACCTCCTCGACCTCGACCACCGCCGCGTCCGCCGCCCCATCCGTTTCCTCCTTTTGGTGCCTTTCCGCTGCCTCCGCCGCGCCTCGCTTGCTCTTCCAGCTCGGGCGAGATATCTTGGTTCGCGTCTCTTAAGATTGGAATTAACTTTCTCGCCATGTTCCCTTCTCCCGGGTCTAAGAACGAGTGCGCCCACCCTTTGGCACCAGCTCGACCGGTGCGACCGATTCTGTGGACGTAATCTTCAATCTGACCGGGGAAGTCAAAGTTGATGACCAAGTTGCACTCCTTGACGTCCAAGCCTCTCGCCGCGACGTCGGTGGCGATCAATACCGGCGATTTACCAGATTTGAACGAGTTCATCACCCAATCGCGTTCGCGTTGGTCTTTGTCGCCGTGAATGACCGCGGCTAAACCACCGACGGCTCTGCCCAACTGATCGCACATCTTCTTCGTGGAGCAAAATATCAACGCTTTCAGTGGCTGCGGACACGGAGGATTGTTCAAAATGTCCATCAACCGCTTTTGTTTATCAAAGCCACCCAAGATTTCAATTTTTTGCGTGATGTCTTTATTCGCGACTAACTGATCGGTATCCCCGATGTTCACTTGAACTGGATTGGTCAAAATAGCCGTGGCGACGCGAATGACTGCTTTCGGCCACGTGGCGGTAAAGAACAACGTTTGGCGCTCGCTCGGCACTTTCTGTAAAATCTTTCTGATTTGCGGTTCAAAACCCATATCCAACATCCGATCGGCTTCGTCGAGAACGACGTACGAGCTCTCTCTCAAATCAATCGCGCCCATTTCTAGGAAATCGTTCAAACGCCCGGGCGTGGCCACCACGATTTGCGGTCGCGATCGTAAACTTCTCAACTGGTACCCTTTACTCGCGCCGCCGTACACGACTACGGAATAACACGCCACCGCGCTCCCAAACTTCAAAGCCTCGTCTTGAATCTGCGTCGCCAACTCTCTCGTCGGCGCTAACACGATCGCCATCGGTCCGCCGCCTTGACTTCTCCCGCCTCTCTTTTGAATGTTTATAAACCCGGGAAACAAGTACCCGCACGTCTTCCCGCTCCCGGTTTTCGCGACGGAAATAATATCGTGCCCACTCAACGCAATCGGCCAACTCTGACTTTGAATCGCGGTTGGTTTCTCGTACCCTGCGCGTTTCACCGCGTCCAACAAACTCCTCGGCCACGTCCCTTTCCCGTCGTCAAAATCTTGCATCGGATCCGGCACTTGAACCCCCCGCGGCGCTTTCACCGTAATTTCGTGCATCTTCCTGTACTCTTTCCCAGATTGCGTCTCGCTCCCGAACGTGTTATCAATTGTTAACCCTTGGTGTTTCCCGTACGCGTCTGGCGGCGGCGCGTTGTAATCCAACCCGCCGAACGAATCGTCCGCGCCGAATTGATCGAAGTGCGCGCCGCTCGTCCCTAAATAGCTCATATCCGGTGCTTTCATCATCGCCGCAGATTCGATCGTCGGTCGATCGTACGTCGTCGCGTTCGTCGTCGTGTTCCTGTTTTTGTTTTTATTGTTCGTTGAGTAGATAGATAATGATGCGTTGCGTCAGATGTTAGAGAGAGCGTTTTTTCGTAGTAGCATTGAGAGAGAGAGAGAGAACGGAGTAATCAAATCATTTCATCATCATCACACCGCGGTAAAAGCCAGATCGCCAGATCCCACCTTCCAAAAAAAGCGCTCTCGATAGAAGCAGTCGTTCTTCACCTTCGACCGTTCCATCGCCCTTTTGAAGCACTCGAAAGAGAAACAACGGCAATAAAGAACAACAAAGAACAACGAGAGAAAATTCGATCCATTTCAGAGAGAAAAAGTCGGCGCAAAATGCAATTAATTAATGTTCTTACCAGTAATACACCTGCCCTTCCGCGTGGACTTCCTGCCACCCGGGAGGCAAACCGGCCGAAGACACCGTGCCCACGACCATTCTTTTATTCGCAGTAGTGTTGTTATAAACGCGTCGGTGTGTTGTTTTAGTGTTGTTTTAATAAATCTCGAGAGAGAGAATGTGTGACGATTCGATCTGAAGTTCGTCTGAACCACAAACTGACGAAAGAGACAGTCGCGAGGAAAATTGAACGAAAACGAGAGCGTAAAAGGACATTTTTGAAAACAGAGCACGCACAGCATCTAGGTAGTACACACTCTCTCTCTAATAACTCTCTATCTATTTCTCTCTCTGCTAGTATTATTATTATTATTATTTATTGAGTAGTACTTCAAATCGATCGATCTAAAGTTCCGCGAACCGCGGTAATCCTCTCGCGCCCAAGACTTTTCCGTTTACGAATTGCGCGAGTTTCATACCCAGCTGGTCGCCGAGTAATTGGGTGAAGAATAAGGCGTAATACACGCCTTTACCTTCGTCTAAAGTTGGGAACGCGTAAAATGTCGCGCCGGCGACGGCGGCGGAGGCGAACGCGGTCGAGAGCGCGGTCGCGGTATGTTTCAAACAGCAGTTCGCGTAGAGTTTCAGGCAACTCGCGAGAGACGCTTCGTTTTCCGGGACCGGGTGGCCTATGTATCCGCCGAGTCTGTAAAAGTTGTAACATCGTAATAAGTCTTCGAACATGTCGTAGACCCAACAGGCGGAAAAGTTGCAAAAGTTCGCCAACGCGTGCGTCTTGGCGAATTTCTTCGTCAGCGTTAGTTTGTCCACGCCGTAATAATCGCTCAACCATCTTCGCATCGAATTTAACGACGACGACGAAGCCGCGAATTCATATCTTCGCTTGACCACCAAAGCGTCGCGAAACCTCCCCATCTTCCTCTTCCCGCTCATCTTCGCCTCTTTCGTCAGCTTCGCCGCCAACCTCCTCGTCGTTCTTTCCTCTAAATATTTAGAAATCACAACCCGACACGAAGAAATCGAAGCGTCGCGTATGCACCCGCGCGCGACCAATCGCTTCCAACTTTGCCAAGGAAACAGAGGAAATCTCGGCCTCGTCTGTTCCATTTCTACTAACGTCTCAATCGTGGGAATTTCGGCAGTCCTATCATCAAATCTCTCGTCCTCTAAAATCCTCTTTAACGCCGTTTCCGCGTTCCCGTGTGCTTCCCACATCGCTTCCTCGTACATTTCATATCGTTCTCTCCACCGCTCCGTGTTCGCATCGAATCGGTCCAACTCTGTTTTAAACTCTAAAGTGCACAGTTGCGTCGGCACGGCGATGTTTCTGACGACGCGCAGAATGTTTGAATAGAAGGAAAACTCGTTCCGGAACGTTCGGTGGTTTATGGAATACTTTTTATTACTCGATGATGATGAATTCGCCGCTGATGAGAAATCACACGTCGACTCGTATTTCGGACAAAGAACCACTGTCTTGGCAAGCGCGAGCGCGGCAAATCCTCTCGTCAAAACCATCGTCCCTCCCGATACGTTCGGAGACCCGTTGTTCGTTAAGAAAGAAGCCCCTTTCATCAGAGAGACGCAAAACTGCGCTTTTTAGAATGCCGTTTTCCGTCGTTCGGGGAAAGAATTTCACATTGTGCTTCATCACTCCATTCTACGTTGCGCATCATCATGACGACGGCTTTGAGGACGAGGACGCTTCTTTTCTCGTTTACGTCGTCGTCGTCTCGGCGAAAGGGTGGTCGTTCAAAGTCTCCGTCTCGTGCAAAAGGAAGAGGAAGAATCGATGCGTTCCGTGTTTGCGTGAAAGCCGCCAAAGAGGAGGATGATGATGCGAACAACAACGGATTACGAAGAAGAAGAAACAGAACGAATAAAACGGATTACGACGAGGAGACGGATGGAAAACAACGACAGAAAATGACTGTGATGAGAGATGACGACGATGACGACGACGATGCGGAGGACGACAACAACAACAGTAAAGACGACGACGAATTCGTTCTATCCAACGTCCGCCCGAACAGGACTTTTGCGAAAGAAGAAGAAGAAGAAGAAGAAGCGTCGATCAAAGAACGAGCGCGTACACTGAAAAGACGACTCCAATACGAAGTTTTAGAAGAACAGAGATGGAGAGAAGCGCTGGAGTCAAACGATATCTCTCTAAAACGAGGGAGGATTGGGAAGACGTATGTTCAGAGGCGAGTGCAAACGCACGATTTCGTCAGAGCGAAGCGTGGGAGCGGGGGGAGTGCGAGTACGTCGGCCGTCTGCGGGAGTCACACTTCCTCGCAAAATGGAAGAATGAGGAGGGGATGTACGACGAGTGAACAACTTCCGCCGTTGAAAGGCAGGCAGCAAAAAGCGATGACAATCACCGGCGATTTCATTCGCGCGGCAAAGCCGAAAACGTTCGCGACGTTGAAGGTTGTTTTAGACGCGGTGGCGGAGAGATACGAAGTAGACCAGGAGAAGACGGTTTGGACGAAAACGTTGTGGAAGTACGTCAGTCAGGAGTGGGATTTTAGGTATTACGAGATGAACGATGGTTCGGAGGACACGGAGGATGACGACATTTTGCAAGTCATCGACGTCGTCAACGGTCGAGACGCGCACGAGTTGATTGAACTTTGGGCGAAACGGAGGAAAATCTTTCGAGGCGTAAAATCCTCCTCAAACGTAAAAGAAGAAGTCATCATTAATGGCGATACGATCGAAGAGGAAAAGGAAGAGGAGGAAAACGTGGAAACCCCGGAAAACGAACAAATCATAGCGTTAGAACTGGAAAGGATTAAATCGAGAGCGATTCGAGTTAACGCAAACGCGAAGGGCATAGTATTGCTCGCCATGGCGAGAGCGTACGACGATTTAGGATTTACGGTTCGCGCGAAGAAAGCGTGGACAGACGTCGAGGCGTACCACGATTGCGCGTACGGCGATAAGAAAGCCGTCGAGTTGAAAATCGAACGCCTTTGTTCGTGCTCTCGACACGTCAATCGATTGGACGACGCCAAGAATTGCTTCCTGGATTTAGCTTTGAAAATCAAACCGAGATCGGGATTCAAACGCAAAGCGTTCACGGCGGCGTGTAAAGTTATTAACCAGACGAAAGACGTGGAATTCGCGATGACGGTGTACGACTCGATGAAACGAAACCGAGAAAATGGCGACGCGTTTATCGTGGCGACGTTAATATCCGCGTTTGGCGTTGAAAACGGAAGGCCGACTATTGATGAAATGAAGAAACTCGGTTTAGAGTGCTGGTCGCGAGCGAAGAAGAAAGATATCGTTTTAGATGGTCAGTGTTATTCGAGCATCGTCGGTTTGTTGTGTAAAGCGAGAGACGCCGCAAAGGCGATGGAAATCATTCGCGAGTTGGAAACGACGGAGAAGTGGATGGCGAGAGGTACGATTGGAGCGAAATCGTTCGCCGCCGCATTTAAATACGAGCAACAGAAACAACAACAACAATCTCAACACCAGCCGGAAGAAGATGGTGATGATATCGAGAGTAGCGCAGATGATGAGGAGGATAATGACGACGACGCGACGAGGAAGAAAAATTACTACGATTTCGCCGCGGCGAAACGTTTGCGTCAACTGAAAAAGCAACAATTCAAAGAACTCCGCGACGACCGCGACGCGAAAAAGAACCGCGAAAACGTCGAACCGGCGTACGCGCAAGTCATGCACTTCCTCTGCGACTCGAAGCAACCGAAACAGGCGCTGATGGTGTTTCAAAACATGCAAAGAAATGGCGTTCCTCCGAGCAAAAGCACGTACAGAGCTTTATATAAAGCCTTACGGTACGCCGGCGGACGGAACGGTCGCATCTCGAACAAAACTGCGGCAAGGTTCGCGATCGATGCGGTCACATCGAACTCGAAATCCAAATCAGCGCCTCTTTTGTTTGCCTCGTACGATGAAAACGATCGTAACGGTGGACGAAGACGATACCGCTCGTCTTCTTCTTCTTCGTCGTCGTTGTCGTCACGAACGGATACCACAACATCCAAGGACGAAAGCAAACGCCACGATTTAGAGTGCATATTAGAAATCTGCGCGAGAGCAGGATTAGCGGACGAAGCGATCGAGGTTCGCGATCGGTTGCGTTTTGGATTTGGCGACGAGTATGCAAACGCGCCGGAAATTCGCAGATGCGTAGTCGAAGCCTTTCAACGCGCCGGTCCTGAACGAGTCGAAGAGGCGTTGGCGGTGTACAACGAGGAGTTGATTTACAACGAAAAAGGCAGAGCGAGAAACGCAAACAGCCAACTCTCGCCAGAGTTTTGGATCTTCCTCAGCTTGGCGTTGCGCGACGCCAACTTGCTTTCCGAAAACGTCGCCATTTTGAAAGAGAACCTGTTGACGCCCAAGATGTCGTCGATGAACTCGATGAACGCGGCGAAGAACAACGGATTGAATGCAACCCCGGCGACAACCATTCAACAGAAAAAATACTACCCGATCGCCGCTGCGAACATCGTCATCGACCATTGCGCGGGAGAAAACGTCCCGGGTGAAGCCATGGATATCTTGGACTTGATAAACAGAGACGATAATCCACTCATCGCTGATTCGGTGACGTATCTCGCGCTGTTGAAAGCAACCAAGAAAATGGGAAAGAACGGCCCGGCGACGGCAGAACGAGTGATGGAAGAGATGATATCAAAACGCGGCGCAGAATTTGTGACCACGGAACATCTGAATTCGCTGTTAGCGGCGTACGCGAGAGGTGGCGAGAAGTATCTAGAGAAGAGCGAAGGGACGTTTGAACGCATCGTTCGCATGCGACGAACGTCGAAACCGGATGAGTATGAGTTCATCACGATGCTTTACGCCTACTCCGTCGCGTCGAAGTTTCGAAATGCGGTTACTTTTTACGATCGGTACGCGAACACGTTCGCTTCAGATGGTGAACGGAAACCGAGAATATTCAACGCGGCTATTCGCGCGACGATATTAGAGCCTCGATTGTTTCGCGACGTGGGAACGATGGAGGAGGTGAACGTATTACGAGAGATGTACGCGGACATGACCCGACGCGTTGGCGTCGGTGCTGCTCCTTCTGTGCAAAAAAAGCGAGAAGATGACAGCAAGGACGACGATACGAACCAGGGAGAAGAGGGCTTCAGCGATAATGAAGGCGTCGGCGCGAGTAGTAAAAACAACAACAACGCGTATTTAAGGAAGCAATCCGAGAACGCGTTGAAAATGCTCACGAGAGTTGCCGCGGAGGTTAACGCGAAGGCGGCTATTTCGTCGCCTTCTACATCTACCTCTACAACAACAACAACAACAACAACAACAACAACAACTCCTGCTCCCTCTTCGCCTTCAAACTCTGAAAACGAAGGAGCAGACGTCACCATCGACGCCTCTTCTCTCTCGCCCGCGGAAACCCGCTCGGCGGTCCTCACCGTCCTCCTCGAGCTCAAAAAATCCCAACAAAAGCACGCGGTAAACGTCATCAACTTGACCAAAGACAACTCCGAGGCAATTTCTCGCCTCGCCAGCGACGTTCGCATCGAGTTCAAAACCGTCACCATTCGAAAAACATCCTCCGCATCCGCCGCGTCCAAGTTTGAAAAAGATATCGCTTTCGATCGAGAGGACGTCGAGAGTTGGTTGCGTAAACAACAAAAATAATAACAATAATAATAATGCAATAGAAAAAGAGAGCGCAGTAGAGAAGAGCGCTGCTCGGAAGAACGCCCGCGCGTGTGTGTATATGTAATACTGTATTTAGTTTAATTGAAAGAGGAAAATTTTCCAGCGCATATGCCATAGTATTTTAGAGTATTCTCTTGTGTATTATTATCCATCTCCCTCTGTCTAAAAACAAGTGAAAATCTCGACCACAAAGAACGTCATAATAGCACACCTACACTCTTAAAAACACAACATAAAAAATGTTTGCCATCAAAGCCCCGGTTACTGTTTCGGTCGTTGCCTCCGCGCAAGCGCAAAAATGTGAAAAGAAAGCCACGTGAGTGTTCGCGCGCATCTCTTCCTCGTTGGATTTCGAATTATATTGTCTTTTTTTTCTCCGATTTGTGGGCGATGAGCGATGATGGAATTTCGGTCGTTACCCGCGCAAATTTCGCTCTCCGAAAAAAGAGAGAGTAAGAGTACGAGTCGTCTCAAAACGAGCGAACTCAACACACAGACAAAGATATATACATCTACATCCACCGAACGTATCTCTTCAAAGTCGCGTTGCCGTTCGCGTCGTCCGCAAACCTGCGCGAATTCGAGACATTCGAGATGAGAATTTGTTTTTTTTATCTCCTGCTTTTTGCCTCAAAGTCTATTTTCTGCCCAAAAGATACGCAAAATGAAGGAGATTGTACTCCTGAGGAAACGAAGGAAAAAGGAACTGCGTACTCTCTGTTTGCGCAATACCAGAGAGACTGTTGGATTTTTTTTCAAACTAACACCTCTTTCTCTCTCTCTCTCTCTCTGTGTGTGTGTGTGTGTGTCATTCATCAATGCAGGAAGCCGCAACAAATCGCCGCCGCCGGCGCCGCCGCGATCATGCTCTTCAACTCCGCCCCGGCGCAGGCTGAAATCATGGGCCTCACGCTCCAAAACGGCGTCCCGAACGCCGCGGCGCAAAAGTTTGTCCAACCGTTCGTTCCGGACGGAAGACCGGTTGTCTACGTCGAGAAGGACGGGTCCGCGGATGTCACGACTTTTGACGGGAGATTGGCGGCGAACGTGGCCCGATCGAATGTTGGGTGCAAGACGATTACGGGAGCGCCGTGCGTGGACTTCGCGAGTGGTGCGTCGAAATAATCTAAAGTTTGTGAAGATTTGTGATTGATTGACTGACGATGGATGTTAATTTCTTTCTCGATTTCCTCTCTCTTTAAACAGGCAAGTAAATGTGTTTATTCTCCGTTCAATGCGCGAGTAAACGTATCTATTACCTCTTAGCAACGCATCTCATACCCCACAAAATTGTTTAATCATAATCAGAAAAGCCTCAACTTAAGAAGAAAAGCCGAAAGCCAATATATATACTCTCTCTCTCTTTGATTACGGTATCGTTCATTATTAGAAAATCAACTAGTACTATATATTAGTATTACATCAGCAGCAGCAGCAGCAGCGGTAGAAAAGCATCACTTCAACCCGCTAAAGCCGTCGTTATACGTGCTCTTCCACGAAACTTTGGCGAACGTGCCTTCGTTGCCGAGAATGCCGACCAAGATGCTGATGTTATCGTCGCTCAATCTATTCAACGCTTCGCATCCTAAACGTTTGGCGCACATGCTCGGCTCTTTCACCGTATCTCGTATGATCGAACACATGTCGGTGTTCGTGCACACGTCCCACAAACCATCGCACGCGATCGTGATGAAAGCGTCCGTGTCGGCGGAGAGCGTCTTCTTGATTACTTCCGGCTCGGACAAAACGCCTCCGGATTCCGTGCAATCCCAATCGCCTAACGCTCGAGTCACCGCTAAACCGGCGTCGCCGACGCGTATTTGACCGTTCTCTAAAGTTCGTATTTTTACGTTTTCTGAGGAATTCTTCACTCGTTCCAACTCTTTCGCGTTCGAGGACGCGCAGTGGTCTTCGCTCAGAGCGGTCGACCACGTCGTTTCGTCGGCGTCGACCTCGTCGTTTCCGGTTGGATGGTGGCCTAAAACCGCTCGACTATCTCCAGCGTTGGCGACGTACACATCGTCACCCCAGAAGAAACACACCGTCGCCGTGCAGCCGGGATACCGTTTCTTTTTCGATTTTGGATCCGCGGTGGATTTGTGCATGTCTCTGCGTTCTTTTTCCGTCCAGTGTTTGACAAACGCCAGGTGGAGTTTTTGAAAGACTTTTTTAAGCGTCGACGGGATATCGTTTCCGTTCTCGCCCCATTCGGATAATATGGCGTCGGAGAGATTTTCCGAACAGTATTCCGCGCACTCGAATCCTCTGTGGCCGTCGAACACCGCCATCACGGCGCAATGGGGAAGCCCGTTGAAATCGCGGAAAATCTTGTGCCTGTCTTCCATCTTATCGTTGCCTCGAGCGCCCGCGGTGGCAAACGCGCCGGTGTTGGAGAGGATGCACGGTGGTTTTGTACCCTTATCATTGTTGTTATTAGTAGTAGTAGCATCCATCGTCGAATAAGAAGACAACGGCGCGTCGAACGCGCACGGCGCGAATCGAGCGCGATTTCCAAACGCAGTCTTTTGATCGTTCTTTCCGGCGGCGTCCTCCCCGTCCTCGTTTTCGGCGTCAGTCATCGTCGCGTCCTCGTCTTCTCTGCTCTCGTAGGAAGACTCGGAAAGAGCAGCTTGCGTCCAAACGCACGCCCCGATTTCTTTCTCGTACGTCTCGACGCCTTTTCGTAACCGTTCTTCTATTTCCGCGAAATCTGGTCTGTTTTCCGGTTTCCCGTCCCACATTTTCGTGACGAGTTTTTCGAATTCGCGTTGGAGCGAAACTTCTACTTCGTTTTTATTGCTATTATTGTTATCTCTTCTACCTCTATTTGCTTCGTCTTCTTCCTCCTCCTTTTCCTTTACATTTTTCTCTTTCTCTTCTTCCTCGTCGGCGTCAAAAAACGCTTTCACCGGTCGCAAATTTTCAATCACGATCGCTTTCGCTAAATCGCCGTCGTTGTAACTCAAATCCATGCACGTGTGCGCCAACGCCACGTTCCGCTCTCGATCGGCGTACGGTTCCACTCTCGACGCGACTTCGTTAAACGTAATCCCAGAGGAATACACGTCGCTGGCGTACGTGGACACCACTCGCATCAACACCTCTGGAGCGATGTACGCTAACGTCCCGACCAAGTGTTGCTTTTGAAACCCGCCGCTCGGCGCGTTCCCGTCGTTGGCGACAAACTTACCGTTGATATCAATCGCCCTCCCTTCTGCGTCCTCGGACTTCACGCTCTCGTTGTATATCGCCGCTTGCAACGAGTTTTCCAAATCCGCTCGATATTCCGATAAGCCAAAATCAGTCAATTTCGCGTTCCATTTCTCGTCCAACAATATGTTGCTCGGTTTCACGTCTCTGTGCACGACGTCGTGCGTTTCTTTCAAATATCTCAACGCCTTCGCCGTTTGCCAACACACTTTAAACGCGCCTCCCAAATTCGGTACCCACCGGTTGACGTGTATCGCTTGATGTACCGACCCGTTCTCGCACCACGGAAACACGAGCGCGTATTCCGGTGGCCACGCTCGAGCGCCTAAAATCGAGCATATGTTTTCGTGTTTTAAAGATGCGACGATCCGTAACTCGCAGTGGTACCGGTCGATGTCGGTTTTCGTGCGTAGGATTGGCAGTTTAATTGCCACCGGTTGCTCGTACATTCTCGACAGATAGACTTGAGATGCGTTCGAGGTGAACATTTTAATACACAATCTTTGATTCTTTTTCCCTGCTTTATTATTATTATTGTTATTAGTAGTAGTAGTAGTAGTATTCTCGAAAGAAGACCCCGTAATCGATGTCATCATCGCGTTGACGTTTACCAAATCTTTCGCCAAGCGGAACGTCATCTTTGGAAACGCGTTCGTTTCATCATCATCGCAAGTCCCTCTCTTCGTGGTCTTCAAAACGCGGCAGCACCCTCGAAAACACGCGTCTTCTGCGTCCTCCTCCTTTTCTGCTGCCTTTTCCTCCTCCTCCCGCATTCTTTCCGTCTCTCTCTCCCTCGTGTTGTTACTCCTAAAAAGTGCGGCCGATTGGATTGGAAAATGCTTCATTCTTTCCACACGATTGCACACGTCACAAATACACACGGAGAGAAGAGAGAAAGGCTTTGAGTACACGCCGGAAAGAGACACAACAACGAGCGATTTAGTATCGCGTTGTCGTTATACTGCGTCTTTGTTTTTATTGCGCTTAAAACGAGCGCGCGAAGAAGAAAGCAACGTGAACGTTGGCTTTTGATTCGATTCGATTCGAGAGAAACTTCATTCATTCTGTGAAGGAAACGGCTTCGAAAACATGGGCGGCCGAGACTTTTACAAGATCCTCGACGTCTCCCGAGACGCCTCGGACGCCGAGCTCAAAAAAGCCTACCGAAAACTGGCCATGAAATGGCACCCGGATAAAAACCCAGGCTCCAAACAAGCGCAAGCCGAGAAGAAGTTTAAAGAAGTCTCCGAGGCGTACGAAGTCTTGACCGATCCGAAAAAGAAAGAGATTTACGACCGGTACGGCGAAGATGGGTTACAAGACGGGTTCGGAGGTGGTGGTAACGGTGGAGGACACGGGTTCTCGCAACAACACGCGCACGATATATTCAAAGAGTTCTTCGGCGGCGGCGGCGGAGGGATGGGAGGCGACCCGTTCGGCGGCATGGGAGGCGGCTTCGGGGGCATGGGCGGGGACCCGTTCGGCGGCATGGGAGGCGGCATGCCGCAACAACAAAGGCAAAGGACGAAACCACCTGCGGTTGAGCAGAAACTCGCGGTCAGTTTGGAAGATTTGTTCTACGGCGCGACGAAAAAGTTGAAAATCACGAGGAAAGTGTTGGACGCGTCCGGGAACCAAAAATCGAAAGCGGAAACTATAGAAGTACCCATTCGCGCAGGGTTTAAAAAAGGGACGAAAATAACCTTCGCGGAGAAAGGAGGCGACGAGGATAGAAACACGATAGCTGCGGATTTGGTGTTTGAAATCGACGAGAAGAAACATCCGCACTTTGCGAGAGACGGGAACGATTTGATTAAAACGGTGAAGATAGATTTGGTGGACGCCATGTGCGGGTGGTCGTCGACGGTGTACACCATCGACGGGAAGAGCATCGACGTCAGCGTCCCGCACGTGATCAGCCCGAAGTATGTCAAAGTCATTTGCGGTCAAGGCATGCCGCTCTCGAAATCTCAAAGTGGCAGAGGCGATTTGAAAATCAAGTTTGACATTCAGTTCCCGGGCGACGACGCGATCTTATCGGAGGATCAAAAAAAGCAAGTTCGGTCCGTGTTAGCCAGCATTAAGTGATTGCCCCCACATATACTCGTTTAATAAATATAGTATATAATCTAGCAGCGCATATTATTGTAGAAAAAGAAGAGAAGAAGAACGATTTTTTTTTAAGTACTACTACTACCGCGCGATGTATTATTATACGTTTATACTCTTCTTGTTGTATTGTTGTTTGTTTGTGTTGTTTCGCGAATTTCAAAGCTATATATAAAAATGATAGTAGTCCTTCTCTTTCTCTCTCTCTCTCTCTCTTGTTCTCTCTCTCTCTCTTATTCTCTCTCAAGAGATGATGTTTACTTCTCCGGTCTCATGCCAGTCCCTTTGCCTTTCAGCACGGCGGCTTCGTTCGTCAACTTCTTTCCCATCTTCTTCGACTCGTCGTAGTACGATTGCGAGAAACCACCGGAAACGTTGCCTTCCGCCGTGGATTTCACGTACAAGATGACCAAAAAGGACACCGGGATAATAATGAACAACGCGACGGCGATGACGCCCAAAATGTTCACGTTCGCCAAAGCGACGTCAGAGATGGACTCGTTCGCGCTCGCGAAAGCTTCGCGAGGCGCGGCGGCGAAAGACAACGCAGAAGTCGTCGCCGCGGCGACGGATTTAGACAATTGCTCGCTTTTTTGCGCGATAAATTGTTTCGTCGTTTGGGAAGAAGCCTATAAAAGTTGTTTTACGCGTGATTGGTGTTTGACGTAAGAAGTAGAAGAAAAACGTTTTTCATGTCAGCAAACAAAACAACAAAGAGAGAGAAGGGAAAAAAGAGAAAAAAAATAACCCTAAATAGCCGCATCTCCCCCCTGGAAAAAGATACGATTATCTCCTCCTTTTTCGTCCTGTGTTTTGTAAAAGGAGGAACGTTTCTCTCGTTTTTCTCTCTCTCTCTCGTACAAAAGGAGGTCTCTCTCACCCAAACACACATCAACATCCAATTTCTTTCTCTCTCTTTCTCTCTTTGATATACAATAAATATATATCGGAGAACAACAACAACAACACGCCCAAACCCTCCTCTGCGCGCGCGCATTCACGTTGCGCGCATACCTCGCGAAAGCGACGTTGTTTAAAAGAGAGAAAGAGGAACACAACACAAAATTGGATCCCAAACCCAAAAGATAGAGAGAGAAAAAAGAAAAAAAAATCTTCTCTCATCTCTCTCTTTAAAACACAATATATGCTAAATAAGAAACCGTACCTTGACGCAAACGGAGTTTCTTCTGGAACTTCTCGAGACTACTCGTTGTTTGAGCGGGAGTAAACCCGAAGCGGATAAAGTGCAGGCCATATTTTTATTACGTAGTGTGATGTGATGATCGGGGAGTGCTGATATGAGGGATGAGAAATTTCTCTCGTTCGATCTCTCTTTTTCTCTTCGAGAACGAGTGAAAACGCGAGAACGAGCGATCTCGAAAACGAGAGACAAAATCTCGCGATTGATTCAAAAAAACAGAAGAAGGCAAAAATCTTATTTAAAAAAAAAGAGCTTCAGAAACGCACGAGAATGAAAGTTGAGAATTTGAGACCCTAAACAGAAACCAACTTTGCACGAGAGCGTGACACGTCATCACTTCCCTGTCCCCTCCACGCGCGCGCGTTGACTGGGGACCGCGCGCGAGAGAGAGGTGCTGAAAACCGCGCGGATGAACCCATACACCTCATAAATCGTTCGCAGGAACTCGGAGCGGGAAAATACGCGCTTTTTACTTATTCTCTCTCTCCGTTTATTTTCTTCGTCGCAAAAAAAGAAAAAACAGGGGGAAAATTGGGGGAGAAAGAAAAAGAAAGAGAAAGAGAAAGAGAAAGGAGGTAAATTTGTATCTGTATCTAAAAAACGCATTTTTTTTTCATTTCCTTCTTCACTTTCTCGCGCGCGCATTTGCGCGCATTTGCGCGCGCATATAATATCACTTTTTTTTTGCGTGCGCGCGCGCACGCGCGCGAGAAAGTCACACGCATTGCTTTCATCGATAGACCTCTATCGATGATAGTGGGTGGAAGGGTGGGAGCTCTTTTCTTCATCGTTTGCTTTCTTTCTGTTTTAGAGATACAAATCGATTTTTGTATCTCTCCTCCCGCATGCATGGCAGATTGAATGAATGAAAAGAGCTGGGAAAGAACGGACAAAGGGGGTTCGAGTACGGAGAGTTTTGACTTGCGCGGGCGAGTTTCTCTCCTTTTTTGTGTTCTTTTCTTTGTCGTCGTGTTATTGCATATCTTCTTTCTTCTTCATCGAAGAAGAAGTCAACGACGACTTTACATGGAGGAAAGAGCATTTTTTGGGAAAGAATTCCACTTTCATTTTTTGAAACGGGATTTTTATACCGTGGCATAGGCGCCAAGGGGGAGTTTTGTATCGATTAAAATCGAGAGTTCTCTCCTTTTTTTTTGGGATTGCAGAAAACAGGTGACAATAATAAATAAAACATTATTTTAGTCGGCGGCACTACTAAAACCCGTTTCAAAGTCTCAGTCCTGCTGAGGCGAAGTCTCATGTTTCCATGAGACGGCGTGGTGGACCGTCGCGACTCCGTTCCGCGGGGCTCGAAACATAGCTTTTTGAAACCAACATATCACGCCACATTCTTTGTGGCATGTTTTAGAAAGTTGTAATTCCTAGTTCTGCCCAAAAGACTGCTTCTTCTGTTTCTTCTGTTCAAAGAAGAACAACAGTTTCGCTCTTTCGATCAAAAATTCAAAAAAACAGCAAACGAATTTTCCAACAGGACAACAGAGAGAAAACAACGAAAAAATTATAAGAAGAAGAAGTCCGTTGGGAAGGAACTCGACACATCACTTTGTTGTGCTATTGATTTATTCACCGCGCACTTAAAATAAAATGTTCTCGCCTTCGAGAGGAGGGTCTTCCTCTTCGAAACGAGGATATCGAGGCTTTTTCAGAGGAGGAGGAGATTTTGGTGGTACTCTCGAAAACGCTGAAGAAGAAGCAGACGACGTTTTAAAACGCATGTTAAAAAAAGACGTCTGCTCCGTCGCAGTCATCGCCGGGCGCTCGTTCCACGAACGCGCGAATCTGAAAACCAGAGTTCGGTGCGCGTTACTCGCGCCTGGCTTAGTCGACTCCGTCGCAATAACCGACGGTGCGTTCGGCACAGATCCAGTTTTTAGAGCGGAGATACATTTACCGCTGACCTTGAACGTGAACACGTACACGCACTTATCGGTGGAGTTGTTAGACGAGGAGATGACCAAAGTTGTGGGATTTGGAACCATGGATTTCCAACTGTTCGCGAATGAGAATAAAGGGAAAGTGCCGGGGAAATGGATCGCGATGTGGGACGATTTGAGGGAAAACATCGTCGGGCACGTGTGCGTGAGAGTGACGCTGGAAGGCGTGAATTTCGGGAAGGAGAAAGCGAGGAATCTTGTCGCGAATAAAAATGTTCACCCGGACGGCGAGAAGACGCCCGAGAAACAATCGAGCGGCGGCGGCGGCGGCGGCGTGTTTGAAATCGGGAAACACCAGATTTCGGAAGGACGGAAGCAACTTCTCGAACGATTCTCTCGAACGCCGCCGCAGTTTAAGAAACCGGAAGAGGTGACGCGAGAGGCGCAAGAAACGGTGACGTTGAAATCGAAAGAGTTGGAAGAGGAGAAGAAACGGCGAGAGGCGTTGGAGAAGCAGTTGGAGGAGATGAAACGAGCGCAAAAGGAAAGGGAAAAGAGAGAGAGAGTCACGGGAGGTGTGATGAATCCAATATCGACGGGCGCGACGGTTTCGGAAATCGCGCACGATTTTGAAAACCTGAATACTAATTTTAGCTACAACAATAATAATAGCAGAGAGACGATAAATAGAACGCGAGAAGAAGAAGAAGAAGAGGAAAGGAGCGTGGACACCAACCACGCGAGGAGTCAAAGGTCTTTCTTATTGGACACGTCGAAAGTTTCCGTCGGTCCGCCGTTATCGCCGGTGAGGTCGTCCATGAACACCTCCGTCGCGAATAGAAGTTTTCGAGACGAACAAACGAATCAACAACAACAACAAACGAAAGAGCAAGCGTTGAGGAGTTTACGGCAAAGAGGCATTTTAACCGACATTTCTATGCAAGCGAGGGAGCGAGCGAGTCGAAATTTCATTCGCAAACCCATCGGTTTAGTCTCAAGAATAGCTGATAGGTCCAGACGAACGGTTTTAAAAAAGTTTACGACTTTGCGATCGATCGTACAAACGATCGATCCGAACGTTTTAGTCGGCGCCGCGATTGGTTTGTTCTTGGTTGGATTCCGCAGTTCGAGAAGCGCGGACGAGAGAGATTTACGGTTCGTCTCCATCGAAGACGTGGACGTGTCTGAACAACATCAGAAATTAGAGCAGCAGCAGCAGCAAAGCGGTAACAACATAGATTACTTTTACCCGGACGACCCTAGAGGTCCGTTACGCAGAGGTGAGTACGAGGTGAAACCCGGGGATTCCTTGTGTGCGGCCACCGGCTGCGTTTTGCCGGAAAAAGTAGAAGTGAGAGACGCAAACGGGAACTTGGTCAAATACCCAGACGTCATCTATCCCGGCGATAGAATCACTCTGTTTCATTAACTGTTGCACCACTATATTATTACATTTTTGATATGCTCTAAAATTATTTCTTATCATACATGACTAATACTATAACTGTTCGGGATCCAACACCGCTCTCTTGATCTTCTTCCCGTTGTTGGCAACGTAAACCACGTGAATCATGGCATCGTTCGCCACGTGAATCACTGGATCCCTCGTGTAACTACTACTACTACCACTACTACTACTACTACCACTACTACCACCACTGCTTTCGTCTTCATCGTCGCCGTCTTCAATCACAAACGCCTCTCGAAACGTTTCGCCGTCGTCTCTCGAGATTTTTACGCTCACGCCTTTCTTACCCGGGTCGTTCATAACTAACACGACGCGTCCGTCGGTTAACTTTTCCACGTCGAATCCTCGACCAAATACGGTTGGTAAAGGTAAATCCGCGATTTCCTTAAATGCTGACCACTGCGCGTTCGGTTCGTCTTTCAATTCAGCTTTTAACATTTTCGGAAAATATCTCGAGGACTGTTTCGATCGTCCTCCGGCGTGCACGACGCCGGATAAACTTTTCGGAAACCGTTCGGTCGTTTTTGCCGGTCGAGCGAGAACGACTAAAGTTCCATCGTCTTTATAAAATATCGCGGGTTCGATGCCTCCGTAATCTCTCGCTTCCTCTTCGGCCGCTTTATCGCCCATTCTTCCTCCGCCGTATCGTTCCTGTAAACCTTTCTTCTCCATGCGAATCGGACCGCTTTTCACGGTCCAATCTCTCCCTTCTCTTTCCGCTCTCTCGATCCACGCGCACGCGCTCGACCGCGTCCACCTCTCGCTCGCGCTCAGAATCGATTCGTCTTCGCTGTTTCTCAAAACTTTATTCTTCGACGGGCCTAAAATTCCAGGCGGTAACTTTTCCTCCTCTAACCACGTCTTCCCGCCGTCCAACGAGCGTTTCAAAAAACCTTCCCACGTCTCTCGACTCGCGCCTCGCTTATAAAACAACAAAACCTCGTGCGTTTGTGGCACCACGAACAACTGGGGACGCCAACACTTATCATTCGAAGACGTTCCTTTCACCGCCATCTTTGGCGCGTGCCATTGCTCCTTCGGCGCGACGTCCGATCCCGGCTGTATCGGTAACACCCGTCCTCGACTGACGTAACAGTGCCCGCCTCGAGATTCGTTGATGTCCTCTATTTTCCTCTGATCCAACTCCCTGTTCGTCAGCGATTTCGGAACGCCCCATTCCCAATTCCCTTCAAAGGCGACTAAAAACGTGCGCTTCGAGTCCCCGACTTCCGCCAAAGACGGGTAGCTCAGCGATTTGAATCCAGACGTTAACGTAGGACTGTCCACCGCTAACGCGGATCCCAACAAGGCGGTTTCTAAGCTCGGTTTTTCGTCTGAATCGTCTGAATCGTCTGAATCGTCCTTCTTTCTACCTTTTTCGTCTTTACTACCAAAGTCGTAGTCTTCATGTGATAATTCTTCCCGATGTTGTGCGTCTTTCTTCTTAGCGTATTTCCTCCCAGAGGACATCAATCTCGCCTCGGAATCTCTCGAAAACACCATCAGATTCACGAACGATATAAAGACGAGTAAAGCGACGAGACAGATTTTCGTCTTATTCTTCGTCGCTCTTTTGATAATATTAATTGTCGTGATGCTGTTGTTGTTGCTTCTTTTCGTTCGTCTTTGATGGTGATGGTGATGATACGAAGACGACGGTCTGTTGTTGTTGTTGTTCGAATTCGAACTCGAATTTCCCGGAGCGAATCTTTGCCGAGCGTTAGGGTTGTTCATCATCACGGAGGCTCCCGCGAGTTCTTCGTTCACGTCGTTTACGTTTTGAAACGTCATCGTTGAAGAAGCAGAGGGCGATGCGAGAGTATATTTGCACGAGAATAATGAACGAACGAACGTTTTAATGAGGATGGCTTTCTCTCTATAAATACAACAAATAAAATCAAAAACTAAAAAGCGGATCCAGTCGCTTTAGCCTTGGAACATCTCGCCATGGTCGCGCTCGCTCGCGTAATCGCGTCGGTCATGTAGAAGTTCTCGACGTTCGTCGTTAACGGTTCGGAGGCGAAAACAGTCGCACCGCTGGTTTTTTTACCTGCTCCGCCTTTAGCGGCGACGTTGGGCGTCCCTCCGGCTAAATGCGCGTACGAGGCGCCGTTTAACCATAAGCTCGGTTCGACTTCATCGATGGCGTTGAAGGTTGGGGAGACTTCCGCCAACCTCTCTCTGCACTGCTCGATGGTGTTATATTTCAAAGGAACCATGGCGAATTCGGAAACCGCTCGTAAGATTTTCCAATCCGCTCTCGCTAATCCCGGAGGCGCCACACAGGCTAACGCCCTTTGCGCTCTTCCTTCGGTGTTGACGTACGTGGCGTCTTTTTCCGTGTACGCCGCGCCAGGGAGGACAACGTCCGCACCAGCCGCGCCGACGTCGCCGTGGTGGCCTTGGTAGATGACGAATTTCTTCCCCGGTTCGGAGTCGTACGAGGAGATGGTCTCCGAGCCTAAGTTGTAGACGACTTTCAAGCCGTCGTTTTCGCTAATGTGTTTGTTCTTCGAGGAGACGAAACCGAGGTCTAACGCGCCGGTGGTGCCTCCAGACGCTTGCAGAACGTTAAATCCGTTCCAATCGTTGGTAACGACACCGAATTGGTCCGACAATTGGTGTAAACTCTTCAATAACTGCGCGCAATCCGGTCTGTTTAACACCGCGGAACCGACGATGACGCACGGGTTTTTCGCGTTTTTCAACGTTTCGCTAAACGCGTGTTTGCCGGAAAGCAAGTCGTTGATGATGGACGCTTCCGTGCCTAAGTTTTCAACTGGGTACGTCAAGTCGCCGTGATGTCCTAACGTGGCCATTTTTACGCCACCCGCGACGTTCGCGCGGCGTAATCTGGCGTTCAAAACGGGCGCTTCTAAGCGAACGTCCGCGCCCACCATCAAGACGACGTCGGCGTCTTCCACGCCTACGATGTTCGAGTTCATGATGTAGTTCGATCTCGAATCAACATTCACCGCGTCTGCGTTTACGCCTTCCACTTCAAAGTTCACGCATCCTAACGACGTCATGACATCTTTCAAAGCGACGATACTCTCGCAATCCGCGAGCTTACCGGCTACCGCTCTCAAATTTCTCGGGTCCGCCTTGCTCAACTGTTCGCCGACAATTTCCAACGCGGTTTCCCAGGTGACTTTTTCCAATTTGTTCGTTTTCGGGTTCTTCGCGTACGGGGCATCTAATCTTTGCCTTTTCAGACCGTCGTAGGAAAATCTCGCTTTGTCCGAAATCCATTCCTCGTTTACGCCTTCGTGCAACCTGGGCGTGATTCTCATGACTTCCGTACCTTTCGAGTCCACGCGAATGGAGCTTCCTAACCCGTCCAACACGTCGATCGTCTCGGTTGGTTTCAACTCCCAACTTCTCGCGGTAAACGCGAACGGTTTCGAGGTCAACGCGCCAACCGGGCACAAATCAATCACGTTCCCGCTCAACTCGGAACTCAACAACTTACTCACGTACGTTCCGATTTCCGCTTGACCTCCTCTTCCCGTCACCCCTAACTCTTGCACGCCGGCGACTTCCGTCGCGAATCTCACGCACCTCGTGCAGTGAATGCACCTCGTCATCACCGTCTTCACGAGCGGCCCTAACTCTTTATCTTCCACCGCTCGTTTCCCTTCCGTAAACCGACTTCTATCCGAGCCAAAAATCATCGATTGGTCTTGCAACTCGCACTCGCCGCCTTGGTCGCAAATCGGGCAATCCAGCGGGTGGTTGATTAACAAAAACTCCATCACGCCTTCCCTCGCTTTCTTCACCAAATCCGTCGTCGTCTTGATGTTCATGTTCGGCATCACTGGCATGGCGCACGAGGCGACTGGTTTCGGTGATTTTTCCACCTCTACCAGGCACATTCTGCAATTCCCCGCGATGGACAACCGCGGATGGTAGCAAAACCGTGGGACGTGCACACCGGCGTGTTCGCACGCTTGGAGTACCGTCACGCCTTTTTGTACGTGCACTTCTCTGCCGTCGACGAACACTGGGACGAGATTCTCATCCACGGCAGGAGTATTGGTGGTTGAAAACGATGCTTTCGTCGTTTCCGAGGACGTCGTTTGCGCGGAAGAGGCGCTTCCTAATGCTACGCTTTTCCGCAGGAAATTGATCTCGTCCGAAGACCGTTTCGTGCGCGAAATCAACGCGCAAAATCTTCGCATGATGATGATGTAAAAGAGAATATACTACTCCGCGCGGGTTCGTCTAAAATCTCACCGCGAACACAAAAAATGAATATCTCTCCGCACGATCGCGCGGTTCGATCGATCTCGGTAATTTCGCGAGAGTGAGAGAGAATACTTTAAAGAATATCAAAAGCGCTTCTTTTTGTGCGTCTTTTTTGTGCGAAATGCGTCAGTGTTTTCAGGAAGGAAACGAAGAAAAATCTCTGCTCTGTGAGAGGGAGTTTAACGTGAGAATAAACGCTCCAAAAATGACGGCGATTCCAACCTTATTCGCTTTGAAAAGAACGAGACGAGGACGTGGGTGTTTTTTCGTTTTCGTTTTTATCGTTTGTGCTGCGGCTTTCTTTGTGTCCACCCCGGTTTCCGCTGATGTTTCTGTGACAGACCCCTGGGAAGATTCTGATGATTTTGGAGTGCAACAACAACAAGAACAGTTCACGAGAGGAAGACTCAGACGGAGAGTAACGACTCGAGACGATGAAAACGAAGAGGACGACTTTGCCGCGGTGTCGTCATCGTCTGTATCATCAAATCACGAGAGCAGCAGTAGTAGTAAAAGTAGTAAAATGAAAGCAGTGTTGAACGTGTTGTTGGAACGGTATCGAAGCAGGCACGACATAAACGACATCGAAGACGAAGGAGAGCTTTCGACGAACGCGGAGGTGAAAAGACTCGTGTTTCCTACTTCACGTTTGAACAACGAAAAGGAAAACGGAGGAGATGTGGGAGAACACGCTTTTGATGATTTAGACGCGATGATGTTAGGAGGGAGCGGCGAGAGCGCCGCCGGTACTACCACGACGACGACGACGAGTAACTCCGTCGATGTCGTCTCGAGCGAAGAGCGATACATCGATCATCAGGCGTCGATCGAAGCGACGGCGATGAACCACGACGGAGAAACGGACGACGCGAGTCATTTGCAGAAGGAGAAGGAGAGAGACGAGAAGGAGTTGAAGAGTGCGCAAGAGCTGAAGAACACGGCGGCGACGACGACTTCTTCGATGACGACGACGAGTGAAGCTGTCAACGCAACCTCGGTGAAAAAGAGAGCGTATAGTTACTGGCTCGATCGAGAATTGGATCCGGCGTTAGGCCAAATCGCTTGGAGAGCAATGCCGGGAGACGCTTTCATTCTCCGCGCGCAAAAACGAGCGAAAGAGAACCCGTCCAACTTGAACTTTCAAGAAGAGTTTGCCAAAGCGATGGAAATTGACTTCCCAGACGTGGCGAGGAAAGCCATGCTGCCTCTCTGCGACTCTCCTCCGGATAAATTCGACGAAAGCGCTTTACCGAAAACTATGACATCGGGAAACGCCGTTTGTAAACCGCGCGATTTACACGCCACGCCGCACTGTTTCGATTGCGATTTAAACTCGGATCTGTCCGTGTCCGCGACGTGTATATCGCACGCGTGGGTGCAAAAATCCTCCGAAGAAATGAAGTACATGCACATGGCGTCCATAGTGAGTTTAAAAAACGGCGACTTGCTCGCCTCTTGGCAACAAGCGAAAGAGAGAGAAGGCGACGGGGATCAACACATCGCGCTGTCGTTATCCAAGGACGCCGGGATCACGTGGTCAGCACCGACTCGATTGTTTGGTCTTCGATCTGACTCGGCGCGCGCCGGCGGCGACGGTCCCATGTGGGGTCCATCCATGATGAAGGACGAAGATGGCGTCATTTCCTTATTCTATTCGCAATCGAGCAAATGTCGCGTAAATCCAGAGTTGAGAGAGGATGGATGGAACCCTGGAGGAGATATTCTGATGACCCAATCGGAAGACGGCGAGGATTGGTCCTACCCAGTTGTGCTCTCGAGCCAAGGCGAAGGTTGGCCGTTAGTCACCGCGAACCCACCGGTCGTCATGCGATCCGGATCGGGAGGTACGAATTGGGCCATCCCGGTTTGGAGAGAAAGCCCGCGAAAATCCACGTGCGATCCGCAAGCGCAAATGCGAGCGATGAAAGAGCTGAACCCGTTAATTAACGACGCTTTATCCGCGGGCGTTTTACGAGGCGACGTGTCGTGCACGGAGGATAAAAACAGAGCCAGGCGTCTGTGCAAAGCGTGTAAACACGAATTGTCGCAAAAAGGCTTCGATACGTGTTTATCCTTAAAATGCCCAAACGTGGCGAAACAAAATCGCAAGTGCGAAGATCGTTCGTGGACGGAACAGCTGACGTTATCGAGCAACAACACGTGGCTCATTGAAGGTACCATCGTGCGGTACAAAGAACGCGAACTCGTTCAATTCTTCCGAACGGCTACGGGTAAAATCTACCGCTCGGAATCAGACGACGGCGGCATTAGCTGGACCTCCGCGGGGCCTATTGAACTCCCGAATCCAAACTCGAAAATCAACGCCATCGTTCTCTCCGACGGCCAAACCGCCATCGCCTACAACTCCCACGATCGACAATACGGATTAAAACAAATGCGCGTCAACTTAACCGTGGCGGTTTCTCCCGACAGAGGTAAAAACTGGGCCGTGTTGGCGCAAATCGAAGAAGTCCCCGGCTCGCGCGCCTATTACGCCTCGGCTCCAATAAACAGGCCATTAGTCCATTACCCGACCATGTTACAGCGAGGATGCCATTTATACGTCGCTTACTCCGTCGCTTTCAAAGAGTGGGAGAAAAAGGAGAACTCAGAAGCTGGAATACGCGTCGCGCGGTTGGATTTGAACTTCTCGAGGCGACGGTGTCAACATTCTCGATGCGTCAAGGAACGCGCCAAGAAAGATCAGGAAATCGAAAGGTCATCATCATCTATTATTATGGCGTCGTCCTCCTCCTTATCCTCCTCGTCCTCCTCGTCCTTTGAACCAGGAGAATAACGAGAGTGAGTTTTAGCAGCAGTAGAAATAGTAGTAGTAAAAGTAGTAAAGTAAAATTCCTCATTTTCTCTCTCTAAGTTGACTCGACATTTCTCTCTTTTGCGCGCATATCTTTTCTCTCTCGAACACAAACGAACGTTTTGTTTCTTTACGAAAAACCACATAAAAATGATGGAGAGCAACGCGACCGACGACGGCGCCGCCGCGTTCTGGTTTCAAAGGCGACAATCTCAGAGTAATAAGACGCTTAAGAAAAGAGACGAAGGAAAAACAAGCGTTACGAAGATTAGACCACAACGACGGAGAAAAACGGACGACGATATCGCGACTTCGAACGTCGATAATGTCGAGAAAAGGAGTAATAGTAGTAGTAAAAGGAGTAGTAATAAAGGAGGGAAAAAAACAGGAGCATTCGCGAAACAAACGACGACGAAAGATGGGATCGAAGTCTGGACCCGGGAAAATCAAAACACCAGTACTAAAGACAGTTGTGACAACCCAATCAAAGAAATCAGAGCGACGGTGACGTACGAGGACGTCTCTCCGATAAATTTTTGGAGAGCGGTGGCGGATTTGGACGAGTACGCGCAGTTCGTACCGTACGTGGGGAAACATAAGGTTTTGAAAACGCGAGGGAAACTCGCGGATGGTTCGGCGACGTTTTACGTGTACGGCGTGGTGACCGCTCCGGTGGTGAAGAATCGCGACTATACCATTCGCATCGAGACGAAGAATAATCGCAAGAAAGGGTTCGAGAGTAGGTGGACGTTGGATACGGAAAATGTGGGACCGAAACCGAAGAAAGGCGTGGTGAGATTGTTGGCGAACGATGGAGGGTGGACGATTCAACCGTCTAAGAAAAATCGAGAGGGTTCGTTGACCGCGAACGGCGTTTCGGTGACGTACGAAATTTTAACCGATCCGGGGAGTAACATCCCCGGGTGGTTGATAGATAAGGTGAATCGAGCGAGCGTGCCGGACGTGTTGAGGGCGATGCGGAAAAGAGCGCTGAGCGGCGAAAGCAGCCACATTTTACCGGATAGAGAGGAGAAGAGAAAGTTAGTGATGGGCGGAAGATTTCACTTGCCGCACTTTGGATTTTTAGACGTCGGCCAATTGAGAGACCACAAACGGTTGGACTCTTTCGCGGACGTGGTGTACAAAACGTCGAAAAAAGTGAACGCGTTGTTCAGCGAGATGAGCGCGCGCCAAATTTTGCAGCAAAGGTAAAGCGTGGTTGAGCGTGGTTGAGCGAGTGTATAACAATTAATCATACAGCGCACATTGCAGGAGTTGTGTATTTAAATGCCCCGTCGTTTAATAAGAAAAGATCACGTCTCCCACCACGGCTTCTCTCGACGCATCACGAACACGTTCTTGGAAATCTCTTCCTTCGTTCTGCCCGCTCGCACGATCCTCCACTCGTCGTCTTGAAACGTCGTCAACCACTCTCTCGTGGTCCCTTTCGGAAACGCCTTTACGAAAACCGGCTCTTTCTTCTCGAAAAGCTCCACCTGAATAGATCTAAAACTCACCGTCCATCGAGTTTCATTCGTATTCTCCAAAATCTCGTACGTCGCTTTCAATCTCAGCGTCAGCCAATTCCCGAGCGCTAACACGTTCTCGTACGTCTTCTCCTCCTTATCGATGGATTGAAACGCCGTCCCGCAAATCGGCCCGAACAATTGTCCATTCGACGGCGGCGGCGCCGTGGAATAGATCACTCGCCAATACCCGTTCGCCACATTTTCCATTGTGCTACTCATCAATGATGATTGATAATACTTCTCGACGTTTTTCACGCGCTCGTCCACCTCCTCTTTCTCTCTCTCTGAAATATCGATTCCTTTGTTCAATTGGACGCACAGAACTTCGAGTTCATCTTTCGCGTTCTCTAACGGAGACGATCGGTTGTTGTTCGTTTTCAGGTACGAGGAATTCGAGGAGGAATTCGAGGCGTGTTTTTTTTGCCTCCGTCCTCTCTCGCTCTCGCTTTTAAGAGAAGTCTTCGTCGAAATCCGCATCGTCTTGAACGGCGAAAGCGCAGTCGTTTTCTCCATCTCTCTTCCGCGTTTACGTCTCTCTAAGATTCGATTAAATCAAAGCAATCATCTGCACGTGCACACCAACCACATTCTCGTGTACCACGGCAATAACTCGCGCGCTTTTTTTTCCGCGTCCGCTTTGGCCTCTTTCGCCGCGTCCATGTTTACGTCGCGTTTATGTTTATTTGTTGTTCTGGTGGTTGTTCTTGTGAGGAAAGAGCCACGCGTGGGTTCGTTCGGTCGATGGCGTCCGCCCGCCGGTGATGATATACTGTTGATAAGAGCGTCGTTTTTATGTGATGCTGATGATACAAAGATATTGAATTACACGCGACGGAGACTAAAAGCTTTTATTATTATTTTATAAACGTTGTTGTTGTTGTTGTTGTTGTTGTTTGCCGCCCCGTCGATGAAGACGATGATGAAACTCGTCTTCCTGTTGTTGCGATTGTTGTTGTTGCGATTGTAATTGTTCGGCGATCCACCAGGGCAACCCCTCGCCGTCGCTCTCGTCCACGGAGGTGAGCTGGGACTGCTCGTACTCGACCAGCTTTAAAGACGTTTCCGATTTCCAAAACGGCTCTAAGCAGACGTCCAAGGAGCTCTTGGAGACGCCGCCGTTGTCCTCTCGTAAACCGGATTCGAAGAGGCGAACCATGGATTCAGCCTCTAAGCGAGGGGATTTTGAGTCCGTGTAATCGAGCAAAGCTTTTTCGACGTCCGAGGCGGAGAGTAAGCCGTCCTCGTCGTAGTCTAAGTTTTCAAAGCTCACGCATTTATGTTGGAGTTCGCGCCAGCGCCAGCGACAGAGATGGCGGATGATGAGCGTTTTGAACGGCGTGCCTTCGTGGAAGAATCCCGAGGTCATGAGTTCATCGTAATCGATCAAGGCGTCTTCTCCGAAATGTTCTCGAGCCATTCGTTCGCCGGCGCGTTGGAATTGGGGGATACCGTCCGTGCCTTCTAACAAACCACCCCAAGTGACAACCGTATACATTTTGTTCATGTCTATGGGTTCTTTGGCGATGTGCGTGACTTCGCATCGGCCGGTGGATGGATTTATGACGGTTTGACACCCGATGTCCCACTGTAAATAGCCTCCCCAACTCGCGTGTTCCGATTTTGAGCGCTCGCTGAACGCGACCGCGCTCGCAAATTCGCGACCGGTCATTTCGAGCTTGACGATGGAGTTTTCAAACGGCACCTCGGCGACTAAATCGCCGTACGTAAACGCTTGTCGTTTCAAATCGTACGTCGCGTTCGCGCGCATGCCTCCCGAGTTGTACAAACACGCGTTCGCCGCGTGTTCGTCTCTCAACATCGTCGCGAATAACGTCCCTAACGTGCACTGTTGCTGCCTCGCATCTTTTGACGACAACGGGTGCAACGCCAACCGCTCGGCGTGGATGTGCACGGGCAAGATGAACTCGTGCAACTCTCTCAAGACTTTCGACCGCTCGTAAATATCCGCGTCGATTTCCGGATCCGTGTGCGGATATTCCGTCAAATCGATCAGCTCGGCGGTGATTTGCAAGTTTGCAGCCGATGATGATGATGACGACGACGACGACAACCCGGTGGTAGATCTTTCCACGGTGACGAACGTCTCGTTCGGCACCGCGTCCCAGCCTGGGTAGTCGTCCGAAATTGGATCGGAAATCGCGTCGATTTCCCATTTCAACGATTGACACTCCTCGTCGCACTCTTTATCTTCTTCTATTTTTGATGATACATACGTAGTACCGTTCGAGATGCTACTACCGTTATTTTTATTCTTGTTGTTACTATTCTTGCTGTCTTCTTCGTCTTCTTTTTTTTTCAATACTTTCCCGTCCCACTCGCCGGCGCTGGTGGACATCGCTCGGGCCACGCCGCTGAAACTCTTCCTCGACCCTGGACCACTGAAAGTATTCACTCCCATGTTATTATTATTATTATTTCCTGTTTTCTTTTTACTTCTTTTAATCGTAACCACGACCACGTTCTCGGCGTCCATCCCGGCTTTGACGCACAACACGCCCTTCTTGGCGTCTTTACTCACGTCTTCGTCGTCGCCGACTAACCCGATGAACGGCTGGTGTTCGTGCCCGCCTAAGATCAAGTCTAGTTTATCTTCGCCTACTTTGCGGATGTATTCGTCGTCCTCGGACAAGGTTTGGTGCGTCAACGCAATCGTAACGTCGATTGGGTCGTCTTTTTTCTCTTTTTTATTCAATCGATCGATTTCCTCTAAAGTCGCCAACGTCTTCTCCGCGCAGTTTGCAAAGTGCACGCCTTGCGGCTTCTTCGCGGCAGACAGCGGCGTCGTCGTCGTGCACAACCCGAGTAAAGCGATTTTCAATCCACCAATCGTTATCACTTCGAATTTTGGCGTTTCCGAAATAAACTGCGCGACGCCGCCGTCGAATTCGCACTCCTCTTTATCCTCGCCTTCTGCTGCGTTTTCGCACGTTTTCACTTCCACGTTCGTGTTCAAACACACAGAATTGAGCTCGGATAACCTCGCCCCTAACGCCGCGGTCCCGTGATCAAACTCGTGGTTCCCTAAACACACGTAATCCACGGGAACTTTATTCATCACCGACACCGCCGCGCGACCGGAATCCAGCGAAGACAACAGCGACGGCGACAAGAAATCGCCGCACAGAACCACCATGTGCGGATCTTTCAACCGGTTCGTGTTGTTATACACGAACGCCTTCAGCTTCGAGACGTTGGCGAGCTCGTACACATCGTTCACGCTAAAAATCTTGATGGAATCGAATTCCTCTTCCTCCTCCCGAGAAAAGTCCATTGAAATCGAAGAAGAAGAAGACAAAGAAGAAGAAGAAGAAGAAGCCGCGACGCTCGTCATCCGCCTCGACACGTTCAATACGTTCCCTTTAATCATCGTCGCGTTTCCGCCCGATCCTCTTTTTAAAAGCGTTCTTCGTTTCAAAGTCTCACCACTCTTTCGTAAAAGTCCTCGTTCTTGTTGCTGAATAGTATTATTCTCGAAAGCAATGCTGCTTGAATCGTTCTTATTATTGTTAGTATTACTAGTGTCCTTCTTTTTCTCCTCTTCTCGAGAGATCTTTGAAACGCTCGTTAAAGGTGTTCTTCGTAATCTTCTCTTCCTCCTCGAACCGCACAACGCCTCCTTTACGCCTCGCTCACGCGACGACCACTTCCCAAAAGACGAGACGATGGGAGAGGACGAAACGGAGGAGGAAAGGAACGACATGATGAGTATTTCTTTATTCTCGAAAGCCTTGATATTTATATGCTTTATATAATCTTAACGCTGGATTTGAAAGATCGTTCGTTACGAGAGAGCACACAGGAGGAGTCGTTTGAACTCCAAATCTTTGAGAAGATGGGTTCGTCTTCTCCTCAAAGCCGATCGCTTTAAATAACGCCGAACAACAAAAAGCGCTCTCGAACGACGAACGCCAAATCTCTCTCCCCGTTCTTTTGTTGTCTCGTTGTTTCTCTTTCCCTTCTTTGGGCGCAAAGTTTTTGTCGTTTGTGGTGACGTTTCGAATGAAAAATTTGATTTTTGTATCTGACTCTCCTTTGAAGAAAATCTTTCTCTAAAAACGAGTATGGTAGAGTATTAATTGGCTAGTGGTTTCTCTTTTTTGGTGCAACGAAAAAGACAAAAATTGCGAAAAAAAAAAAAAAATCGCACAAATTTGTTTTTTTTGTCTCTCTCGTCTGTTTGTTGTTGTGACGTCAGAGAGAGAGATTATCCAATACACAGAATGATGAGACCAACGCTGATGACGATGAGAAGCAGCGCTTCGAGTTCGTCGACAAAGAACACGAGTAAGAGTCCTAATTGCGAAAGAAGAAGAGGAACCAGAAATGGGAGGCGTGTTTTGAACAAAAGCAACAACGAAAATTTTGGGAAGAAAAGAAGTCAAAGAAGAAGTCACAACAACTTTGGAGATTCCGATGATGATGTAATTCAGATTAGTGACGAGGCGGAACCAATCACATCGTCTAGGAGGAGTAAAGAAGACAACAAAGAAGAAGACAAAGACAAAACTTTGTTCGAGGAAAGGCTCAAAACGACCGCGATTTCTATCTGTGCGGTGGTATCCATATCGTCCGCTTTTTGCGTGGACCCAGCTTTGGCTGGTTTTGGCGCCCCGACCGGGGCGGTGTTGTCCCCACCGGTGAATACGATTCGGATGGATAAATTAGAAAAAATGAACGACGAGGCGAAAAAACGCCTCTCTGGAATAACCACGACCGGGAACATCGATATTCTTTTACAAGAACTGAACGAGTTACAACAGCTCGATACGAAAGAGCTGGACGATATGGACGCGGAGAGAGCGCTGCTCATGGCGAATTCTGTGAAGGAAAATTTGGACACGTTTAGCGAGAGCGAAAAGGCGTCGGAGATGAACGAGCAAAAGATGAGGTTGTTGAATAAGAGGAAAGAGGAGGCGGAGTTGGTGCAACGATTAGTCGATCGACGCGTGGCGTTGGGGAAGTTGAATAACCAAACGCCTTTGATCGTGTACGGCTCTGCGTTAGCGGCGAGTTTGATTGCGAATACGACCATGCACCCGGTGGATACGATGAAGGTGAGGCGAATCACCTTGAAGAGTCGAAGGAATATTGAAGAGAGAGATTCGATGGATGAGTTAGATAACAATATCAACAGAGGATCGGGAGGAAGAGGAGGAGAAGCGTCGACGTCGATGAGTTTTGATGACTCTGGCGTGGCGACCATGCAAGCGCCGACGGCGACGGCGACGGCGGGGAAAATCCAGGAACAAAAACCGTACGAACCGACGATGAACGAAATCATGGGCGAAGGCGGGTTCATGTCTTTATACGACGGTTTAGGCCCGAACTTAGCGAAAGAAGGCGTACCGTTGACGTTATATTTAGGCGTTTACGAAACCGTGAAACTGTCTTTGCTCGACAATACTGCGTTCTTCAACGAGCACGTCATTTTGTGTTACTTGCTTGCCGGCGGGTGCGGCGAATTCATCGCGTCCCTCATTCGAGTGCCCGCGGAGGCGGTGAAATCGAGAACGCAAACCGGGGCTACCATTCCGGAAGCGATTCAATCGAACTTTAAGAGTGCGCGCGGACGCGAGAATATTTTCAAAACTTGGACGGTGGCGGTCGTGAGAGACATTCCGTTCGGAGCTATTCAAATCGCGTTATTCGAGTCGCTCAAATTAGTCCTCACGTCGCAAGAACACGCGCCGTTTGATCCAAACTCGCTGTTAGGTGAAGCCATTTTAGGTGCGTGCGGCGGTATCGCCGGGAGTTTAAGCGTTACACCGTTGGATGTCGTCGTCACTCGATTGATTCAACAAATGGAATCCGCGGACGCGGCTCAAGATAGCATTTTAATGAGCCAAGAGGAAGGCGAAGCGATGACGCCGGCCATGGAAAGGAACAGTAACGTCGACGGTCCGTTTGAAATGGTTCAGAAAATCTACGCGGAAGGAGGAGCTGGTGCGTTTTGGAGCGGTGCGCAAGAACGCGTGTTATATTGGGGACCAGCCGTGGCTATTTTCCTCTCCGCGTATTGCCGAATTCGGCAAAGTTTTTTGTAGTACGAGGGATGGTTTTTATTTGATTGCGCCCGCGCTTCGCGTTGCTATTTATTGATGTTGTTACAAGTGTTGATAGTATATCTACTACGTACGTACGTAGTATCTTCTTCTTCTTTTTCTTCTTCTCCTTCTGTTTTATTGCGTGTGGTATCTTTTTGTTCTTTCTTGTTATCTTTCTTTTTCTAAAAGAACGGCAAGTGGAATACGGAAAAGAAATCCGTCAAGGCGGTGAATAAATCCATAAACTTCCCGCTGCCGATGATATCGTCCAATCCGTCGGTAATGGCGGATTCTTCCGCGAATCGAGAGGCAAACTTGGACGCCACGGTGCCGCCGATTGCTAACGCAGTCAACGCGTTGATAGTGTTCGCGGTCCCTAACGTAACACCCTCGATTTGGCAAGCGTTCATGGTCCCGACGTGTTCTTTTTCGTCTTCGCAAATGTTTGAAAAGACGTCGTATAAGGTTTCAATCTTTGGACGACGCACGGATAACGGGTCCAATGGGTCCCCTTCGTCGCTGCTGCGACTGTTCAATTTTAAGGAAACGATTTCGCCGGTGTTTAACATCGTCGTCGTTTGAAACTCATCGAACAAGTACAAATCTTCCGCCTCGTAATATTTCTTCGCCACCTCTGGCGCCGGCAACGATTCTAACAATTCCTTGTTCTCCTCCGTGAACTGCGCGTACGTCGCCACCGCGTGCGTTTCAATCTTCTCGCTAAAATTATACGCGAGCTTGGGCGAGAGCAGCCAAACGACGACTAACCCAAAATAGTACACCAGCGCCGCGTGTTGCGCGAGAAAGCGGTCACTCCAACGCCTGTCGCCTCCCAAACTTTCCATGATTAACAAGTGATGGTACTCGTTCCACTCCTCCGCGAAGTGAACTTTCCTCAACTCGCTGCTTCGTCGCCACCACCCTAAGAGTTCGTACAGCGTCAACATGGTCGTGTACGAAAAGTAAGGCATCCTCGCCACCGTCTCTAAAAACCAAAACCTCTGCACCGGTTTATTCTCCGGAAACCACAGGTCTAAAACCTTGCACAAGAGATAATACGGCCCTTCGATAATCCACGGACTTTCCACTTTCGGCAACCGTTTCTCTCGCTCCCAGATTTTCGCGTTCGATAACTTCATGCGCTCTAAATATTCCAAAAGCAATTCGCCTTGTCGCTCGATTTCCTCCTCTAAACTCTGATCCTCGAATTCCTCCCCAAAGTCCGAGGAACTGTCGAACGTTTCCGACATTGAATATTTCGTCACCCCCGTTCGTTCCTTTTCGTCCTTCGCTATCTCCTTCTTGTTCAACACGAACGCCTCTCGAATCAACGCTTTCAACTCCGCCACGAAATGTCTCTCCGCCATCTTAAGCGCGGACGACGGCACGCCAACAATCTGAGGCGAATCCACGTAATCGCCCGCGCGTTTTCGTATCACGGATAAGGTCGTATATGCCGCTGGATTCGTTATTACTGTCGATGTCTTTCTCGTCCTCGTCGGGAAAGGTGGTTGCTCTGCGTTCGCATCTGCTTTTGTTGTTGTTGTTGTTCTTCTCGTTGTTGCCGCTCGAACGATGCGAAATTTGCGGTGACTTCTCCTCCTCGCGTTGAACTCATATTTTGGCACTCCAGAGCGCGCAGTTGTCCGAGGAGCAGCGCACAACCGCGCGCCAAAGACGACGACCATTCGTATCTCTTTACGGGGAAAACAGTGACGTTTTTCGTCACACATTTGCGCTAAAACAACATGACATGATGTCTTCTTCATCCGTTCCGTCCTCGAAACAACACCAACAACGAACGAGTCAGTTCTTCCTTTTAGAACGCTTGCCGAAAGACATACTCGTCTCGCACGTCTTCGCTCGCTTGTTGATCGATTGGAACGATTTCGAATCCTTTTCCGCCTTGGCGAGAACGAACAAAAGTCTACTCGAGATGTCAAAAGACGCGCAGATGTGGACGCACGCATTGACTAGGAAGTGGGGAAACAGTGCGTTTACGATGAAGACGACGAGTCCTTCTTTAACGGCGCAGTATTTGAGACGAGTATACGTGACGAGAGAACGCGCGTTGTGCACCCAGAAAGGCGTTCGGATGCACGTGTTGCACAGATTGCAGATATTGGTGAACGCGTTTAGTCAGTGCTCGAACGACCCTTCGGTAGGTTTACCGTCCGTTTCCGAGGACGTGTTGAAAAGAGCTCTGACGTTAGCGTTGGACGTTTTACGCGCGGCGGACGAGACGAGCGTGGAGTTGACTTCGGTCACGGCGGTGCAAAACGGGACGGAGGAGATCGAGGAGATGTTCGCCGAGAGAGTGATGGCGGCGAGGTTGATCGGGGTGGTGTTGACCAGGTTCAAGAAAGCGAGGAGGATGGTGGAGAAGGTGTTTCAGTTTAACAACAATTGCGGAGGTGGTGGAATCGGAAGCGGAGGAGGTGACGAGTATTTCGAGGGTACGCACTCTTTAGGAGTAGAAGAAGAAGAAGACGAAGAAGAAGAGCGGACGACGTTAATTCTTCCAACAACAACATCAACCAGTACGAACGAATTCGACGAGGAGCAGGAAGAAGCCACCGCGTTTCGAATCTTAGTCGCTCGATACCTCAGCGAGCACTTCGCGAACTCGTCCATCATTTCGAACGTGAGTACTTCAAACGCAAACGCGCATCATCATCATCATCATCATCGAAAGCAAACCACGTCGATTTCGTACATTCCCGCTATTCCCAAACGATATCTGAAGAAAACATTCGATAAAACGTGTCCTTCCGAATGGCTCTTCGATTGTCTCACGAAGAACAATAACATCTCCTTGGCGGTGTGTCAAGCGGTGTATCTGGAACCTCTTTCCGCGATTGAGGATTTCGAGCGGAAAAAAGAAAGGTTTCGCTACTTTCCTCGCTTGCCGAGTGGAGGTCGGTTCCCGCTCGGATCTCGCCCGCCGGCGTCGAGGCATCGCAGAGAATTGTTGGCGATGAAAGATGGGAACCGGACGGACGTATCTTTAATGAGCGGCGCGTGGACAGGCGCGCGAAGGAGTAATTATACGAGCAACAGCAACAGTAACAGCAGCGAGAGACGGGTCCCGTTTAAGGGAACGTTGGAATTTACAAAAGCTGGGAAAATCAGTGGCTTCTTTGTCGACGCGGTGGGAACTATGGTCGTCCGAGGGTGGGTCGATCCAAACTCCTTATCGTTTGCGTTGGACGCTCGATATACGGAAGTCGGGGGGTTACCGCCCGTGTCTCTGTTCCGGAACGAAGAAAATAAAGAGATCGAAACGCGAGCGGCGATGGAAGTGAACGAATTAAGAACGAGCGAATCGAGCTCAGGGTTTGAAGAATTGGCCGAACAGTTGGAAGATGAAATGGGGTGCGGATTGTACTGTCGCTATAGAGGGGTGTTCAACTCAATCTCCGCCGGCGGCGTATTTTGTTCGAACACGTCCGCAACCTCCAGATCCGGCGCGTTTTCCTTATGGTCCGAATAAGCACAGAGAGAAGTTAGTTGTGTGCAGAGGTACTACCTTTGATGTGTATTATTTATTACACGCGTGTACAAAAACGACATTTTGTAAACCTACCAACTCCCCGTATTCTCCATCGACTGCCACGGCTCCGCCGGCGCCAACGCTTCGCCTTTCTGCAAAAGCTCCACGCTAATGCCATCCGGTGATTTCACGAATGCCATTCGTCCATCTCTCGGCGGTCGTAAAATCGTAATGCCTTTCTCTTGCAATTCCTTGCACAACGTATAAATGTCCGCCGTCGCAAAGGCGAGATGCCCCATCGACCGCGACGGCGGCGCTGTTTGGTTGCAAAAATATCAATTAATGTAAATACAAGTAGGGGAAAAAAAGCGCGTACCAAAAACTTCCTCCTCGTCGCCCCAATTGTACGTGATTTCAATTTCCGGCGCGCCTGGACTCGTCGCCATGAACACGAGCGTGAATTTTCCTTTTTCTGAGTCTTTTCGTCTCGTTTCTTTTAGCCCGAGCGCTTGGAAAAACGACATGGTTTTGTCCAAATTGGACGAGCGAAGCATGCAATGGAGGAAGATTAACTCCTCGTCCGAGGGGGACATGGAATGGTACGTGTCCGGGGCTAAGTAGGAAGAGGAGCCTTTCGCCATGATTTTGGTCCTGAACAAATGTTTTCGTTTGCTGCTGCTGTTTTTTGGTGTCGTCTTATTGAGAAGAAGAGATGGTTTGATGAATGTCGTCGTCGATGATGGAGCGGCGAACATGACTAAAGTGAGGGAATTTACCTAATAAGCGCCATTTTTGTATTCTCACGTTAAAGTGTTATTCACTTCGTATAAAGTATAAATACTACACATTATTGTCAAACTACTACTTCTCTCTCTCTTTTTTCTATGAATATTGCTACATATATATGTGTGTGTGTGTCCTTTTATTAAAACCCGTGCTTCTTTGCGCTTCCGTCTCCTCGGCTGTTGAAATTACTGACTTTTGGGCTGATCGTCGCCGGTTCAATACCTACTTCGATTTCGTCCAGAAGAACGTCCGGGATCTCTACCCCGTTATTGTTGCTGCTGCTATTTATGTTACTCATCATTTGCTGTTGCTTCTCGCGCAAGGTGACGACTGAGTAGACGACAATCGCGGCGACGGCGAATAAACCTCCAAAAACCACGCGGTAACTCGGCGGCGCGTCGAAATACAAGACTCCGATGGCGATGACCGTAATCGTTTTGGTCAAACCTAACATGGCGTACGCTAAAGCGCTCGCTTTCCCACCGACGAAGCAGGACGAGACGTTGACGCCCATACCTAACGCGCAACTCACCAAGAACAGAAAGCACGCGTAGGAGGACATTTCGAACATGTTAAAGAACGATTGGTCCACCGCCAATTCTGTCGCTTTCATCCGTCCAACCTCGCCAAATTGTTCCGGGTTTATGACTGCCTCGTTGTTCCCAATGTAAAACATATTCGCAAAGTTCTTGAGGAAATTATACGCGCCCATCCCTCTTGGTTGTAAAAAATCCACCTCTACCGCCGCCAACGTTAAGCCGCTCGCGGCGAACGGCATCGTTTGATGCAACAGTTGTAACGTCTCCCACCTATGCGTTTGTTGCAACCACGAGTATAAAACCACCTCTACACTCGTCGCGCACACCCCAACAAACGCGATAACAGCCCCAAAACTCGTAAACTGAACGTCGTTGAAACACGCGATCGAGACCCCCAAAACCATGCTCGCGAGCAAACACATCTTGTCCCTCGAAACCGTCCTCGATAAAAAGAAATACTCCACCATCGCGACTAAAGGTACTTGCATTTGTTTCGTCAGTTGAAAAAACGCCACCGAATTCATCTTCAAACTCGCTTGCCCGAGACATATCGCCGACGATTGTAAAAATGCCACCAGCGCCATCACGCTCTTGTTGTCCATCTTCCTCCTCTCGAATATTTGCAATCGGCTGCACATCGTCGTAAATATCACGCACACGATCATGTGCGCTGCGGATAACGTGATCACTGGGAACTTCGTTTCCGTGAATAACAGTTTGTTCACGACCACGATGAGCATGGTGACGAGGAAATTGGAGGATAAGGCGAATATCGCGACGAGCATGTGCTTTTCGCATAAAACCGATTTAACGGTTGTTGTCTGATGATGATGATTTCTGCTCGTTTTCTCCGACGCGGGTGGGTGATAGTGCGGGTTTCTCAGAGTCGACGATAAAGTAGTGCTATTGCTCATCCTGAGAGAGTATTCGTTTTGCTTAAATTGAGGCCATGTATCCGTCCGCAAAAGATATAAAGTAGAGATAAAATGGAGAATTTCGACGTCTTTTCTTGCTTGCTTTTGCTTCATTCTTCAGCGCGCATCTACACATCACGCGCGAATACGCGCGCGAAGAGAACAGAAAAACAGAAAAAATGGACGGCTCCTTCCTGGCCGTCCTTTTCGCCGTCCTCATCTCCGCGTTCGGGATCGAAAACGGCATTTTTATCGGCGTGGTGTTGCTGTTTTTGTATTACCCTTTACGGTGCGTTTATTCCTTTTCTCTCTCTTAAAGCGGATGAGATGTGATTCTATGCGTTACTCTTTGATGATGTTTACGTGCTTTCTTAAGGCGAAACTTCGACGAAGGAGACAAGGAAAGCATTACCCATAAACTGACCTATATATTCCTTCTTTTATCTCACTTTCCTCTCGGCAAACGGCGATGAAAATACCACGCAACATGTACACACATTTAAAGAGCGTTTCTGGTGGACAAAACCATCCTCCTCCTTCGATTCGCCAAACGGAGAGCGCTGAAAAGGATACCCGCGTGGATGAAAAAAGGGCGGTATTATAAAACCCACTATCTTGGAAGGCGCTCGTCGAAAGAGAAGAAAGAAATCGACGCGTTTTTGATGGACGATTCGACGTTGAAAACGTTTCAAAAGAACGCGTTGCGCTTGTTCGATTTACCGCACCATCCGAGAAGGTTACGGCAAGCGGCGTTGAAATGGAAAGCGTGGAGGGAGAAGGTTTTGGCGCATTCTTCGAAGAAAATTATTAACGGATTGCCTTCGATGTTGACGTCGAGTAAGTCGGCGTCGTCTGGAGGCGGCGGTGGAGGAGAAGGAGGAATAGGGGTTGGCGATCCCGGTTCGTCGAACGAGAAGCGAGCGAGGACGAAAATGTTCTTGAAGAACGCTTTGATTGAACGAAAGAAACGGAGAGATGAACTGAAAAGCATTCGCGGGGACGGTTTGATGAACTTGCACGACGAGATGAACCCCAACGGGAACCACGAGGAGGAAGAGGAGGAGGAAGAAGAAGAGGAGGAGAGACGGTTGAGAGCGTTGTTGCTCGAGGAGGAAGAGTTGGAAGAGGAGGAGAAGAAGATGCAAGAGAAGTTGTCGACGGAAGAGGCGATCGCGTTGAGACAGTGCTCGCTGTGCGACGCGTTGTCGGATGCGCAAATCGTGGAAATTTTGGACGCGTCGAGGACGAAGAGCGCGTTTGAGAGAGGGGAGGATGTGAGTGACGAGAGCGGTTTTACGAAACGAGGCGAGGAGATTGCGATTTTGTGTCGAGGCGCGTTTGCGATTGAATCGATGGTTTTAGTTACGAGCGACGATGGGGACGAAGAAAAAGACCACGTGGAAGAGAGAATTGATGTGAACGCGACAACGATGGTAACGAGAGTTGGCGCGTGCGTTGGGTCGCTCGTGGATGTGTTGGATTTCTCGCCGCCGGCGCTACTCGTAGGTACCGGCGAAGCGACGGCGTCGTCATCATCACCATCATCAAAATCCTCCGCAGCCGCCACCGCAGAAGGCGACACTCGCAATAGTAGTAGTACTAGCAGTAGTAGTAGACATAACAAAAGCAGGCTGAGAGCCGTAGCGGCTTCCGACGACGCCACGTTTGTCGTTGTTCCTTTGAATGTGTTCCACGACGTCATGAACCAAACGGTTGGCGCGCACGCTTTAGCCTCGCGGTTAGTCAACGCCGCGCGGTGCGTGTGTCAATACCTCTCCTCGGAAACGGCGACGAAACCGCTGTGGGTGGACGAAGCCGATTCTAAATATAGTGATGAGGATGGTGAGTTTCCTACCGTCGGAGGCGAACGAGTCAAACGCGGTTTAGAGCGTGTTTTAGGTCTCAACAAAGCGCAAAAAGTCGACCGGAGTGCAATCGCAAAGTGTCTGGAAGAGCTCGCGGAGAGGAACGGGTCATCCTCCATCTCGATGGAACGCGTCTTTACGCCTTTACTCCCAAAGAAAGAGAAGAAAACAACGTCCCCTGATGAAAGTATACTTATGCAGCAGCAAGGTTCTGGATCGACCGCAAACCGCGTCGGTTTTGTCAAGCGACTGTTTACCTCCTCCTCCGAGAGTGATGCAACGAAAGAGGTTGTAAGCGGTGGCAAGAAATCGCCCGCATCCGTAAACAAGAAAAATGGAGATGCAAAAGAAACGCCGCAGCAGCAGCCACTCGCGCCGCCGGTATACTCCGCGAAGCAGCAAACCGAAGAGGAGGATGGAGTGGGGAAAACAGAAAACAACGACGAAGGAAAAGATACCCGAGAAAAAGAATCGTCGGTTTACGAAGCAACCATGGAATGCAGATATTACGCTCCCGGTCAACTCGTTTGTGCTCTCGGTTCCCAAGGCGCGGCGCATTTCATCGAATGTGGCGTTCTCGAAGCGACCTTCGTAAAGAGCAACGACGTAAAGAATAAAAACAATTCGGACGTGTCCTGGCGCGCACATCCAGGCGACGTCGTGCAACCGTTTGCGCTTTTAGCGAACACTCGGTCGTCGATTGAGCTTCGAGCGGGAAGTTCCGGTGCTGTGGTTGCGACGTTAGTGTCGAGTGAATTTCACAAGTTGGCTCGATATCGCGACGAAATCGATGTCGTTTCCATCACTTCCGCCAGCGATGAAGACGCTACCACTACTGCTGCTGCTGTTATTGAAGTCGAAAACAATGGCGAAGAAGGCGTTGAAGAAGAACAGAAGACGGCGGTAGTAAAGCCCCCGCGGAAGAAATTTTCGAGCGTTTTTACAAAGATTTCCGCTGATTTAGCCAAACGCGCTCGACGTTCGCTCGCTGGTGATGCTTTGCGGTATTGCGGGTGCGAATGGAATTACGTACACGTCGGGGAACGCATTCGACGATTGGATGATATCGCTTCAAATGGCGTGATGATTGTAGCCACAGGGGTGTGTCGAGTCGAAGCGGCGACGTATACGAAAGGCGCGTTTGCGGGCGTATTTTCTCCGAGGTGGACGTCGCTCCGATCGTCATCGTACGATGGAGGCGGTAATATCTCTGCCTTAAAGCAACGCGATGAGCCAGCAAATGACGTTGGTGGTAGTGACGATAAAAATGCTTCGAGTTCATCCTTAGGAGGCGGGAACGCAAACAGCGCGTCTTATTCTTCCGCCGGGAGCGGCGACTTACTCGGCGCGCTCGAGCACCACAACGTGTCGGGAGGAGTTTCCCGTCAAGGGCACGTGTCGCCAATATTTTCAATTCCAGCGCGATATGTTGGCCCTGGTGAACCGTGTTCGGAAGAGCGCGTTCTGTTCGACGACGATGAAGAAGAAGATGATGAAGATGAAAGGCACACCAATGTGCGATTTGCGCGATCTCGAGAGAGTATCGACCACGAGTACGCGCAACAGCAACACCATCGAAGGCTTCACAGAAACAGCACCGGCGGCAGCGGAGGCGATTTCTATACGAATAAGAGCAAGAAGTTATTCCTCCTGGCTCGAGCGGCGAGAGATTCGCAGACACTTTTCGTGCCCGGCGCGAGCTTGGATAATCTCGCCATGCGACACCCGAAGAAGTTTTTGCACTTCATCAAAGCCGTCGGAGCGAGACTTTCGAATTCGCAACTGCTACTCGCACGTTCGTCTCCATTATCGAACGAGGGTGCTGTGAAAAGTTCTTCTGTGATGGAAACGACGCCGCCACGTAAGATGAGTCCGTACGATCGTCACGCAGAGAACACCAGCGCCGTCGAGCAACACCCTTCCTCGTCGTTAGCCGCGCTGCACTCGACTTCTCTTCATCAGCGAAGAGGCTCGCGCGCGGACAAACCAAAACTCGTCGCCGTTGTTCCAGTATCACCTGGCGCCGCGTTGCACTTGGACGCGTTTGTGAGTTCTTTGATGCACTCCTTGCGACGCATATGCACGGCACGCGTCGCAGACTCCGCGGACCATTTAGCCGAAGTTGGTTCAGCCGCCGTCGGCGCTCTGGCGCAAGAAGCCACCGCGTTTTGGTTGCATCAACTCGAAGAAACGCACGACGTGGTTTTACTCAAAGGTGACCCGTTCCCATCCGCGTGGTGCGCCCAGTGCGCGTCGCATGCGGACGTTGTTTTATTAGTCGCCTCCGCGGATGACGAACCGCCGGTCCCTGAAGAAGGCAAACAGTTACAACAAAGGCTTTTGGGCTTACGAAGACACCATCAATTCAATCTTGGATTCCGCGAACTCGTTTTATTACACGAAGACGCGAACGATTCAGTTCCAATCAACACGAGACCGTGGCTTGAAGCGTTCGGAGTCCACCGCCACCACCACGTCGGCGGTAAACTCGGCGGTAACCAAGGATTACACCAAGCGCACGCCGGTCGACTCGCTCGTTCATTACGCAAGCTCTCCGTTGGGGTTGTCTTTAGCGGCGGCGGTGCGCGAGGGTGTGCCCACGTCGGCGCCTTGATCGCTTTAGAAGAAGAAGGCATTCCAATAGATGCCATTGGTGGTACGAGTATGGGTGCCTTTATCGGTGGGAACTACGCCCGAGAACCGTCCGTGCTCTCTACTCGGGTAAAATCAAAACGTTTCGCGAAAAATCTCAGCGGATTTTGGAACAGAATCGCCGATTTTACGATACCGATTGTTTCTTATTTCAGCGGTTTTCGCACGAACGGGGCGATTGCGAGCAGTTTTCGAGATTCGAAGATCGAAGATTGCTGGTTGCCGTTCTATTGCGTGACTTTAGATTTAATCTCCTCGAGATCCATCGCGCATAGAAACGGAACGCTGTGGCGGTACGTTCGCGCTTCGATGACTTTAGTTGGTTTCTTACCGCCTTTGTACGATAAATTAGACGCTCCGGCATCGTCGTCCAAAAACGCGAACGAGGACGCGGGACGATTGCACGTCCTCGTCGACGGCGGGTACGCAAACAACGTCCCGGCTGATATGATGAAAGACTTGTTCGGCGCGAACACGGTCATCGCCGTCGACGTCGGCGGTGAAGGCTTAGAATCGAAAAAGTTTGATAACGCGTGGGGCGACGGCGTGTCCGGCCTATCGCACGTCTTGAGAAGTTTATTTACGCCAAAATGGCTAGGTTTACGGTCCAGTTGTCCAACTATGGCGGAAATGCAAGCGCATTTACCGTTTATAACGGATGCAAACAACGCGCGACGACGAAACGACGACGTCGACGTCTACGTTCGGCCGGACGTCCAAAATTTTGGCATCCTCGAATTCTCCAGCGTGGATGCGATTGAACGCAAAGGATACGAGCAAACTAAAGTGGTCATTCGCGAGTGGAAGATGCAACAACCAGAGTTGTGGCAACTCATTCGAAGGTCGTGTCCAGACCCAGCGTTAGGAACGAAACTGCAAAAAGCATCCTTATTCCCAAAAGGAGGGTCCTATGACAACGTTCGCGCCGAGTTTGGCAAAGAATATGAAGAAAAGAACCCGAGCCATCGAAGCAACTTCGACAGCGACTCCAGACGAGGAGGAGGCAAAGGCAGCGTCATGGCTATATTCAACTCAGTCAAAAACAACAAGAAGTTCTTGTTCGGTGGAGGAGGGCGCAGAAGTATCGAAGACGTCGACGAAGAGTACTACGACGAATACAGGAGAGCGAACAACATATCGCCAGACCATTCGGTGAAAAACCCGATACTAAACGGTGGCGGTGTAGGGTCCCCGCCTGGGAGATACTCCGGCGATTTCGAACGAATACAAAGGTTCAATTCAGTTCAAATAGGCCAAAAACCAAGCATGGATTTGCGTATGAATGGTATGAATACTTCCGGAGGAGGAGAAAGAAAGTGGAGCTCCGGGAGTTCAAACAACATCCCGCCGTACCCGAAGAAAAACGAAAAGAAGAAACAAACTTGGTCTCCCGAACCGGTTTCGTCCACGCGAAACAAAATAAAGGCGTCGTCGTCGTTAGAATTCGGTAGTCCTTAATGGAATTTGTAAACATACACACGCGCAGAAAAGCGAGCGCTCGTCGTATTACGTAACGTACGGCTTATTCGAAGGCGCCAATTTCCCATCCACTCTCATCTTGTGCCACTTCCCACCTTCGTGTTCCTCTTTCTGCGCCAGCGACGTGAATATTTTCTTGCACAGTTTACAGTGCGGACCATCCGGCGGTTTCACTTCCCTTCGTACGTGTTGTTGTTGACGATGCCCTTGACTCCTCGCTACGCCGCCGTTTACGCCGCCGGCTTTCTTCCGGTGTCCTTTCCCTTGCAAATGTTCCTCCAATTGCGCTCGGCTGGTAAACGATAACTCACACAGTTCACATTTCGGTCTGTTTTTCTCCCTTTCTGCGAGTCCCGGGATCAGCGCGTTGCTCCTCGGCGCTACCGCTTTTCCTTCTCGTTTCCCTTTAAAGGCAAATTCGTTGCCTTTTTTACTCCCGTACCCGTAATGCTCCGGGTACGCTTCCGGCGGTAACGGGGCGATTCGGCCTAAACTGCTGCTAGAACTACTGCTACTGCTACTCTCGCTGTTATTCGAATCGTTTTCGCTTTCCTTTTCATTCTTTAATCTCGATAACACGCGTTCAATCTCCGCGTCGATATCGTTCAAATTCGTCGTAGGATTTGATGTGATTTCCAATCTTTTCTTCTTCTTCTTCTTATCTCCATTCTCCTCCTCCTCCTCTCTCTGAGTGGATGACTTTCTCTTTTTCTTTTCCTTCTTCTCCTTCTTCTCTTTCATGAGTCTGAATCGTCGTCGGAATAATCGTCGAGAGTCGCGAAGAGAGGAAGCACAATGAAGCGAATTTTTTGTCTTTTAGTTTAGAGGAGTCTAAGGAAGCGTAAAAGACGACCGCCGAGTTGATGGCACAAATGATAAAAGTCGCGGGGGGTGTATGCGAGAGAGCTAGTATATGAACCTGCTGCTAAAACGTCATCGGCGTAAAATACTCGCGGCGATGTCTCCGTAATACCTGGACGACACCATTGTATTGTTCCTATTAGTCGTCGTAGTCTGGCCACTCGTCGTCTGGTCACTCGTGCTGCTGCTGTTATTGGTGTTGTTCTCAGCAGCAGCAGCATCGCCCGTAGTATTTCCATTCTCGACGTTTCCTTCTCCGTTCGCGGTCGCCGAAGAGCTTGTCGCGGTAGCGTTACTATTATTCATTTCTACTTCTACTTTTTGGTTCTTTCCCGTCCATACGCTCGCGCGGCACACCGGACAGGTAAAACTCTCTTTATCCAACCAACTTCGCAGACAGTGCCTGTGATACACGTGTCCACACAACAAAACTCGCGGCTTCAACGCGTCAATAGTCGCCGGCGACGCGACCATCTTCCCGAGACAAATAGCGCACGTCTCGCTTTTCCCCGCTTCCTGGCTCAAATCCGCCTCCGTCCCGTCTCGAAATCTCGTGTGCAACGTATTCGCCAGTCGCACTTTCTGCACGTACGTCCACACGTCCGAAACAAACCCGCCGGTTAAACCCAACCATCTCGAACGCACTCTTCCGTTCCTAGAAGAGGCGTTCGCTCCGTTCTCCTCCTCGTTCTCTCGCAATCGTCTCACGCGATAAATCCACACGTGCGCGAAAAACAAACCCGTGATTAAAGTTAACGCAGCCGCGACGCCAAACATCGCTCGAATGATTGTTTTTGTCTCGTCGTCGCTGCCCGTCGCGGTGTCGTCGTCGATCGCGGTCGTGTTGGTGGTCGTGGTGCTCATTTGTTAATAAAAACCCTAAACAGACAAAGTGACCCAAACCACCACAAAATTCTTCAATTTCACCGCGCTTTACTAAACGACGACGACGCACAGAGGAGGAATACTAACACGACTACACACCGCTAGGAAAAAAAAACGCGCTTCATTTCGCGCGAAGCTTGCACAGAGCGCGTGTATTAGGTGCAGGAGATATCCTTTTTATGTATTATAAGTGCGCGTGTCTGTTATGTCTCTTAAAATGAAGAAATATTCCTTTTTTAACGAACCTTTGAAGAAGCCATTTTGCTGTTTTTGTGAACAGATCTGGGGTGAGTGCTTTTCAACGAAAAATACTCAGAGAGGAATCAATCAGAAGCCGCGAGCGCGAACGCGTTGAATCTCGACGCTCGGATCTTCGAATTCTTTTTCTTCACCACTACTCTTTCGATTAAGGATGCTTTCCATCGCCGCCATCGCGAGTTTATCTACTTCTTTTTCACTAAAGACGCGCTTTAAAAACCCAAGAGCGACGCCGGCGGAGGAAGTCACCGCGTGTTCGTGCGACTTGTCCCGGAGGATGATTAATGCCTTTTGTTTGGATGCGATGCGTTCGTCGTAGACGAGTTCGACCTCGGAAGGTCGAGTGACGACGTCGGAGGCACCGACGATGAGTAGCGATGGTATTTCAACGTCTTTGACGTTTACGAAACCGTTGAAAGGGGCCAAAGCTACGAGGGCGGAGAAGAGGTATTTTTTTTTCGATGCATCTTCTTCTTCTTCTTCTTCTCGTCGGAAAAAGAAACCACCTCGTCGCGCTCTCTGGGGTGCTTCTTCTTCTTCTGAGGCTGCTCGTATAGCGCTCCCACCACCCATGGAGTATCCGACCACGGCGATTTCCGACTTCACGACTCGCGCTCCAAACTTTTCGCACGGTTGGTGGCGAATCAACGCTCGAGCTGCTTTAATCAAATTCGCCGCTCCTTCGTCGTTTACTACGCCAGGAACGTTTGAAGTGATCGGTTCCTCCGGGCAAACGAAAACAAATCCATGCGATGCCGCGAGCTTGGGAAAATGGTCCAAATAATTCTGTCCGCCGGTCGTGCACGAAGCGCCAAAACCGGGCGCGTACACCATCGCCGGAACAACAACAACATCATCAGATGATTCTGCTCCTCCTTCGTCGTCACTTCTCGCTACCACTGGACAGGCGACGAGCGCGTCCGTTCTGTCTCTGCCTCGTCCGTACCGCGCTCGTACTATCTCGACTCCGTTTCTTGACGTATTTTCCATCCCAAACCTCGTTTGCAAAATCTCGTACGAGTCGCTTTTATTCGCTGAAACGAAGACCATCGTCGAGAAAGCAACAACAACAACAGCAACAAGAAACTGTGTCGTTGTTTCTTTCATCTTGATCATCGTCGTCATCGTCATCAAAGCAGATATGAAAAGAGTAAAGAGTAGTATTTTTTGTATCTCTTTTTCCCTCGTTGTTTTTTCTCTCTCTCTTTCTTAGAAAAACCTCGTTCTCCTCAACGCGACGCAGAAGAAGTACACGGTCGCCGCGACTATCGCGAGGAGTAAATGCGACATTAGTATTATTACTTGATGAAAGTAAAGTGGTGGTTTACACTCTTTTTGTGATGATAGTGATAGTATTCGTATTACTGAGAGAAACTCTCTTTAGCTTCTTTTATGAAGAAACGGCTCGTATTTTTGAGTCAAAACACAAAATCATTTCGCTCACTTGGCCAACTTTGAAGACATCTCGAGATATCAATTCGAACGAGACCCGCGAAGAAAACGACATCAATCGAAGAATCTTTTCCGTGCGCATCACTCTTTTGCGCGTCTCGTTTCTTTTTATTCACCTCTGTGTGCATCTAGAGAGCGTCAAAGACGGTCAATTCTCGGGCATTTTCTCTTGTTTTTTTTGTTCGTTTTGGGAAAAATGCAAGTCACTGGCGGCGGCGAATTTCCATATCTAAAGACGTCAAACACAACGCGCGCTTATAGTACGATCGGGATAGCATACGCACACATATTCGAGAGAAGGAGACAGACGATTTTTGAGAGTGATAACAACTGTAATAACAAAAGAATGTTTGGAAATAATACCGACGATACGAACGCGACGATGGTGCGCCGCGCACAACCTGGACTGGTGTTGTGTTGCTTGTGTGCGACCAGCATCTCTCCAAACCCGACCGGCATGTGCGTCGAGTGCATCAAAACGAGAGTGGATATTACCGAGGGGATACAAAAGCAGTGTTCGGTGATTCATTGCAACCAGTGCGCGAGGTATTTGCAACCACCGAAGCATTGGATACGGGCGGATTTAGAGAGCAAAGAGTTGTTGACGTTTTGCATCAAAAGAGTGAAAGGATTGAATAAAGTGAAGCTGGTGGACGCCGGGTTCGTGTGGACCGAGCCGCACTCGAAACGGTTAAAGACAAAGTTGACGGTACAAAAAGAGGTGCTCAATGGCGCTATTTTGCAGCAAAGTTTTGTGGTGGAATACGTGGTGGAGTGGAACATGTGCGACGCGTGCGCGAGAGCGGCGGCGAACGCGGATCAGTGGCAAGCGTGCGTGCAAGTAAGACAGAAAGTGGAACATAAGAGGACGTTTTTGTTCTTGGAACAGTTGATTTTGAAACACTCGATGGAGGTGAACGCGATTGGGGTGAAATCGCAACCGGACGGGTTGGATTTTTATTACGGGCACAGGAGTCACGGATTGAAAATGGTAGATTTTATCGGGTCGGTGTTACCTATTCGGAGCAGGAACGATAAGCAGTTAGTTTCGCACGACGCGAACGATAACACGTATAATTATAGGTTCACACTGATGGTAGAAATCGTACCGATGTGTCGCGAGGATTTAGTGTGCTTGCCACCAAAAACGAGCAAGAGTTTTGGAGGGATCGGGCCGGTGGTTTTGTGCACGAGAGTCGGGAGCAGCATGCAGTTCACGGAAACGCACACGTTGAGACGCGTTTGGTTGAATAGCGAACAGTACTGGCGATATCCATTCGTGGCCGTGGCAAATTCCAAGCAGTTGTGCGAGTACATCGTTTTAGATTTAGAGATTGTAAATGGGAACGAGTGGGAACAAAACGGCGGCGACGACGGACTCGGGGAAAACCGGTCGCAATTATTCAACGGGTCTCAGTTCGGAGGCAACGCGAGCACGATTGGTGGTAAACAACGAAGAGCGAATAGGAAAAACTTGCTCGCCGACGTCACGGTGGCGAGATCGAGGGATTTCGGGACGAACGACATCACTTTTTTCACTCGAACACATTTAGGTTCGGTGTTGAAAGTTGGCGATACCGCGTTGGGGTACGATTTGACCAACGTGCAAATCTCGGACGAGTCTTTCGATTCATACGTGGAAAAAGTAGGCGAGTCGAGGATACCGGATGTCGTTTTGGTCAAGAAGTCGTACGCCGAGAAGCGAAAGAAACGACGAGACCGAGGATATCGCAGAGCCTGGGAACTCAAAAGAATGGACATTAACGAAGAAGAGGAAACGAACAAGAAGGACGACGCGGAAAAGAGAATGCAAGACGAGGAGTTGTTTATGCAAGAGTTGGAGGAAGATTTCGAAGGCCGCGCGCAAATCAACGTGTACAAGAAGAAAAACGAGGATTTAGACGCGGTTATTCGAGCGAATCAAAACGCGTTGGCGAACGAAACGGACGACGAGGACGACGACGAGAACGACGAGATTCCCGAAATCAAGTTGGAGGAGTTGTTGGACGATATGAAGTTGAGCGACGTGGAAGAAGAAGAAGAAGAAGAAGAAGAAGGGATGGAAATGGAGATTCATTAATTACATGTGTAATGTGTACAATTTTGCTGCTTTTTTTGTTATTGTTGTTGTTGGTTCTCGCAGTTTCTTCCTCTAAATGAAATCGAATTCCCCCGAGGCAGCGGCAGCCAGTTCTTCTTCTTCTATAATTGTATCGTCGTAATCCTCGTCGTAATCCTCCTCGTCGTAATCCTCGTCGTACTCTTCTTCTTCTTCTTCTTCTCCTTCTTCTTCAGAGGACGAATACTCTTCGCCTTCAAACGCGCCGCCGAGTCCTCCGAGCGACGGTCCGTGGTTCCCGTACCAAACGTGGCTCCCGTGCACGTTCGATAAATCTCGTTCAAATGTACGCATGATGGACCCTGGCATTCGCTCGTGCGCGACGTACTCGACGTCGACGATAGATCTCGAGGACGGCTTTTCATTCATGTTGCCGTCGCCGTCGTCTTCTTTGTCGTCATCGTACAAGCCGGAAATATTCGATCCGTTTTCAAACTCGATGCGTCGGCCGCCGTTCATTTCAACGAGTTCTTCTAAAGCCGATTTGCGACTCGAGCCGCCGCCGGGCCCGTGATGAGAATGAAAATTATCCAGAATCCCATGGTGAGTTTGATTCATTTGCGCGTGCGTAAGAAATCTATCCACCTCGTCCTTTGAATCGCAAAAGCCTTCTTCGATGAGCAAGTCGAGAGTTTCCAACTCTCTCGCCAAGTTATCGAGCGTGTGGTGTAACACAAATTCTCTGAGCGGCACGTCTAACATGTGTATGCGAGCGTACCGAGACTCGATCGCGTTTTCAATCTTTTCTTCTTTCGTGAGTCTGCGAGGTTTTGGCGCCGCTTTCTTCGCTTTCTTTGCCTTCGTTGACGCTCTCGTTCTTCTTTTACCGTCGTCGACGTCGTCGTCTTCATCCCCTTCTCGTTCTTCAACATTTTCTGACAGCTCGCGAGCTTCGTCTGAACTGACGTAATCGCCGTCTAATTCCGATTCCGATTTTTCTTCTTCTTCTTCTTCTTTTTCGTCGTCGTCGTCTTCGAGATCTTCGTCTTCGTCTGATGAGACGCTAATCGCCAACCGCTTCTCCAACTTGACGACGTACTCTTCGTGCATGAGATGCTTAAAAATCTTGAGCGCTCGGGCGAAATCTTCTCTCTTCTCTCGCGGGACTTGTACCCATCCCGCCGTGCCCTGTTGAAACCTTCTCGAACTCCTCAAGAGAGACTGATCCACGCCTTCTCTCCCGCACGTTTCCGACCACTCAATCTCTGGAATCAACGACTTTCCATCCGCGCCTTGTTTCTTAATTTTTCTCATCTGCGGACCAAACCAATCCCAACCGCAGGACTTGTTCAACACCGCGAACATGATTTCCGGCGGCAAAATCGAAAGCGCGCACTCCTCGTCCAACTGATTACCTTTAATCAACTCTTTCACGGCTTGTTTATACCCAATGGGGAACAAACGGTGATTGACTTCCGACCACAACATCCACCTCACGGCGTACCCGAGTTTGCCGACAAACTGTCGACCTCTTCTCAAGGAAATCCCACCCCACGGCGCGGATCGACCAAACGGCTTGAAACTCAAATGCGCCACGCCGGGATGTATAATCACTCTCCCGTCTCTCTTCGCCCTCGGTCTCAACTCGGCCACGTTATCGTACACGATCCCTTGGTCTCCTCTTTCCGCGGAATGGATGTAAATTCCAACCCTTCTCCCTCTTTCCACTCGTATCGGTTCATCGAGCGTCAACTCGACCAATTTTCTCCTGCTCGGCGCTAACTCGTCCTCGAACACTTTTTTCCACAACTGCTGACGATGGTACCCTCCGTTCGTGGTGTATCGATCCACCACGCCGTATTCTCTTTCTTCCTCCTCGTCCAAATATTCCGAAGACGGATGCGTTCCATTTTCGTCAGTTATACGTCTCTGGCTTGCGACGTCAAACTCGGTAAACACCGTTTTCTCCTCGCCCGTTTCCTCGTCTCGCACCGTTCTCTCGCTTTCGCGCTTCCAAAACTTCTTCTCCTTTTCGCCCGTGTCCGACGTCCAGACGGTCATTTTCCCTAAATTGCCTCGCACAAAAACCGAGTGAATTTCGACGTATTGTAACGGTAAAGACGTCGACGCTTCCACGTCGAAGAATATGCCTGTTTATTTTAGTAATATCAAAATAGTAGTGTTAGCATTCGAGAGAGAGAGAGAGAGTAAGAAGTGAATGGTTTTAAAGCGCATTCGTATTCGTCTTTTAAGGGTTCGTTGTTCTCTCGTCGTCATCATCCAATGTGTGTGTCTCCCGACAAAAAGATGTAAAAAACAAACAAACAACTTCTCTCTCACCGTTAAACGTGTGATCCTCTCTGTCTTCCGTGGTGAGCTCCATCTGTTGGTAGTCTAAATTCTCCGCCAGTAAACGACGCGGGCCGTTTAAGTTATTATTTTCATCGTCGTCTCCTCCGAAGATGTGCTCGTGCACTTGGGAGGAGAGGATTTCGTTCATATCTCTCTCTTTTTTTACGTACTCTCGCGGAGTGGTAGAGAAAAGTCGCGTTAAAACAATGACGTAAGACGAATATAAAAGCGCTTTGATGTTTGCTCCAAAAAATTTTCGCCAAAAAAGCGAATTGAAAGCGTTCAAAAAGTACAGAGCGCTTTGAGATTTCACCATCCATATTAAGAGACGTGAGACAAAAAAAGGCCGGAGGGAGAAGTGAAAAAAAATCTTCTAACAAAAAAAACCACAAAAAGTTTCTTTCAAAGACTCCCTTCTTTCTTTCAAATCTGTGTCGCGTGTCACGGTATACGTGCGAGACAGAGCGACCAAAAAAGACTCCAAAACCTCGAGACAGAGCGCGAAAAGAAACAAGAACACAACGAAAAGACACTAGGCGTTTTGTGGCCGAAGAAGAGAGACGCGAGAAGCGAGCTTTGAGATGTTTTAGCACGTAAAGTTTGAATTACTCTTTCTTCGACATCTTCATCATCTTCCCGTGCTCTAAAATCCAATCGAGAAAGGTCACCTTTCTCATCGCGAAGGAGAAGAAGACAAAAAAGGGTTAAAACGACAAAATGATGAAGCGAAATAATAATACTGGTGTTGTTGGAAGCAAAAGAAGGAAGAACAAAAAGCGCTCGAAGAAGTCGAACTTATTGGTGTTTATTTTATCGATTACGATTTTCTATCGCTTAGTAGTCCAAAGAGGAGTTGGGAGGAGTTTTATGACGAAACATTCGAGAAGAGAGCAACTTCAAAGTCAGTTTGAATACGACCCGTTCGCGAAAGACGTGGATAGTTACGGGGTAAATGTTGAGGATGTGGACGCGCCGTTGGCGCCGGAGTCGCAGACGAGCTCGACGTCAGACGCGAGCGTTTTAGCGGTTTTGGCGAACGCGAGTTCTTCTTCGTACGTTCCGCAACAAACGAAAGAGAGAGCGTTTTATGGAGAACACAGAGATGTTTTCGGTCACGCGAGTTGGCAACCGGTGCAAGCGAGACTGGTCGACTACGCGGGGGCGACGATTAGCGTGGAAGGAAAATTCGCGAGACGGTCGTTCGCGAGAGCGTTTGCCGCGAATAATAATAATAATAATAATAATAATAACAACAACGGCGGAGATAATGATAACAGTAATAACGAGTTAGCGTCCGATTTAGGCGTTCGAGGGCCGCGACTAAAACGTCCCACGCACAAAGCGTGGATCTCCCCCATCGCGAACAACACTTTAAAATACAAACACATGGCCACCATCGCGCGACTCGGATCTGTGGACTCACCCAACGCTCGATTTGTCGTCGCGTGGCAAGGCGCGGAAGACAACGAAGGTTCTCTCACGCAAAGAATCTACCACGCGTTTTCGAAATCCTCAACCGGCGAGAAGTGGGGTCCGGAATTTAAAATCCCCGCCATTGAAAACGGCAACGCGCAGTGGTCGCCGGTGCTGCACGTGGACGAAGACAACAACGAGATTTTCTTATTTTACAGCGAAAGTCGAGAATGCATTCGAATAGCACCTCAGGAAGGGGATTTTAACCCATCCGGCGTACAAAACGACAGGCAATTACCGGGAGGTGACATCATGATGACGTCGTTGAAAGTGCCGACGTTTGAAAATTACGAGTGGTTGAAATCGGTTCGATGGGCGCCGCCGAAAAAGATTTTCAGGCAAGGCGATGTCGGCAAAGGCGTCGGGCCAATTCCGAAAGTCATCGCCAATCCCATGATTGTGTTGCGTTCTGGAGTGTGGTTGCTCCCGTATTGGCGAGAACCGCACGACGCGCCGCCGTGTTCGAACTTGTTGTTAACGAAGGGCAACGCCGGAGTCTTGAGGTCGAGAGATAACGGTAAGACGTGGAAAGCGTACGGGAAGTTGGACCACCCCAGGACGTGGTTGATTGAAAACACGTTGAGCGAAAGAGACGATGGGTCGGTTTTGATGCTATTCAGAACGAAAATTGGCGTTTTGTATGCCTCGGCTTCGTACGACGAAGGCATCACGTGGACGCCCCCGGAATCGACGGCGATACCAAACCCAGATTCGAAAATCGTTTTAACTCGATTGCACTCGGGCGCCTTAGCGATGGTTCTAAACGCCCACGGAAAACTGAAAGGTCAGAAACGGCACGCGCGGACGTTTCTCGACGTTGCAGTTTCCGGCGACGGCGGCGCGACGTGGCGAAGGATCGCGAGATTGGAAGACGAGTCGCAATCGCCGCTGGTGCGAAGTCACTATCCAACCGCGATTGAGGCGTTTCGAGAAGGCGGGACGCGGTTGTTGATCACTTACAGCAAATTTTATTTCGGTTTAGGTGGATTAGACCAAGCGATCCAGGAGCAACGCCCGATGGGGATTCGACTGCAATCCATCAGTTTGAAATAAGAATAGTTCTAGAATAGTACGAACGGTAATAGTAATAGTTTAATAGTAGTAGCCGAAAATACGTATTTAAACGTATGATTATATCATATATATTAGTAGTCTTAAAACCATAGTATTATTATTACGTTTTTAATCTAAGCTCGGATCTTCGGCGATGATCTTCTCGATGGATGCGACGTCTTCCGGCTCGTCCACGCCGTGCGCGCAGTGATTCACGCGAATAACTTTAATCTTATACCCGTTCTCAATCACCTTCAATTGCTCCAAATCTTCTTGCATTTGCATCGGCGTCGCCGGCATTATCGGGAACAGTTTCAAAAACTCTCTATCGTAACACTGCAAACCTAAATGTAACCAATAATCGAACGATGTATCCACCTCGCCTTTCTTGTTGTTCGGGAGCATACCTCTGGAGAAGTAAATCGCGTACCCGTTGACATCGGTAATGCACTTCACTCTCCCTTGCATTTTCACTTCCTCGTGTTTCAACGGCGTCACCGGCGTCGAATACACGCACTCTCTCGGCGCGTTCTTCAACGCCAAAACGACTTCATCGATAATCTCCGGTTCGATCAAAGGTTCGTCGCCTTGGATGTTGACGACGATGTCGTACTCCCCCGCGGTTCTATCCGCGGCTTGCGCGCATCGTTCCGTCCCATTCGGGATCGCTTCGTCCGTCATGACCACGTCCCCGCCAGCTTTCACGATCGCGTCTCGAATTCGTTCGTCGTCCGTGGCGACCACCAGTGCGTCCAACTGCGACGCTTTCTTCGCTTGGAGATACGTTCGAACGATCATCGGTTTCCCAGCAATCATAACGAGCGGCTTCCCCGGGAATCGTGTGCTCGCGTATCGGGCGGGAATGACGCCGAGAACTTTCGTACGCTTCTTTTCCTCTTTCTCTTCCTCTTTTGGCGCCTTCTCGGCTTCGGCAGCGTTGGTTTCCGCGTCGTTTACGTCCTCTTTCGTGATTTCAATCGCCGCGTTGCGGGTGCTCTTTGAATCGAATTTCTTTCCAAAGACGCCTTCTTGGTGCTTCTGGAACCCAAAGATACCCGCGAGTGCACCCAACGCGAACGCGAACACCGATTTCATGGTCGTCTCGTGTCGTCTCTGTCCTCTTTCGGCGACGAGGATGATGTGCAAGTGGTGTTTTCTGGGGGAAATAGTGAGGTTTTTTGTTCCAATTTTCCCTTAAAGCAAGACTATTCTAAGGAAGACTAATAAGCGACGAAACGCTTTAGACGACGACGACGATGACAACGGGCGCTTTGAGACGATGAGAAGTATTAGTATTATATGATGCAGAGAGTTATACATATATCACACGCGCACGGGTGGTATGTCTGCATCTTCGTGAGTATCTTTGTTGTTGTCCTTTCTTTTCGTAGCGTTCGTTTACACCAGTCGCTCCTTTCGTCGCGAGCGGTGTGCGGAGTACGCGCTCGATACGTTCGATTATAACATGTTAACAGAAGAGCGCGGAAACGGCCGCTAATACTGCGAACCCTGTTGCGAATGGAGTGCTCTTTTTCGCGGAGGAGGTGGTAGTCGTCGTCGTATCAGTCGTATCAGTCGTCGCGGCCGGTCTCGATCCGGCGATGGAGGTTACCTTCAACGTCATCCCTTCTTGGCAATGGGTTCCAACTCTGCAACTTAAATAATGCGTTCCCACGGGAACGGCTCCGGCCGTGGCGGACCAGTTTGAGTCTGCTTCCGGTGCCATTTGTTGTCCACCGCCCGCGCATCCAGCGGCGTCGTGGAGCCACACGTCGTGCGTTCCAGTCCATTGAATTTTTAACGCTTCGTCGCTGTACAGATCGATCTCTTGCGCTTCTTTTTTCCAAGTGATCACTTGATCCGCGGCGGAAACGAAGAACGCGTTCATAAAGGAGAGCAGCAAAAAGCAGATTAAGAATGTGTTGTTGTTCTTCATCATTTTGACTTGACTTTGGAACGGGACTTTATGTGTTTAGTATGTAATATGCGCAGGAGTTTGCGAGATTTTATGACGTGTACAAAAGGTCAATATTGAGCTTGACCTGCTGAGTCACATATGTCGGCGACTCAGCAAAAGCTTTTAGTAGAGCCCGCCAAAAGCGACGGCGGCAATGACGGCAATAATAACAACAATTACAACACCAGATGATGACTTTAAGGAGGATGCGTAGTAGTAATAAAGATGATACACTTATACTTGATTGTGAGATGGAAATATGAATTTCCGTTTTGTTTTGTTTTCAGTCGTATATAGCAGCGCTTCGGAACGAACGTTCGTTCGGAAGTACACGCAATCAGACCATCATCATCAGAATAATGATTTTAATGTGTTTTTGTTGGTTTTGTTTTCAGTCGTATACGATGAGCAGTTCTTCGGAACGAGTTCGAGTCGTTCGGAAGTGCGCGCAATATCAGACATCTCTTTTTTGTTTTGTTTTTTGTTTGTTTGTCCGTTGAACAATTAATTAAGCGGAAGTAAACTTCGTCACCGCCTTGGTCCCTTCCGACACCGCGTGCTTGGCCAATTCACCGGGTAAGATCAATCTCACGGACGTTTGGATTTCTCTGCTCGTCACCGTGGGTTTCTTGTTATATCTCGCCAATTTCGCGGCTTCCGTCGCGATCTTTTCGAAGATGTCGTTGATGAACGAATTCATGATGCTCATCGCCTTGCTGGAAATCCCGGTGTCCGGATGGACTTGCTTCAAGACTTTGTAGATGTAAATCTTGTACGTTTCGACCTTCTTTTTCGAGGACTTCTTGGCGCCGCCTTTGACGGTCTTCTTCGCTGGTTTCTTGCCGGCCATTTTTGTTATGTGTATGTGTGTGTGTGTGTTTACTAATGGCGTCGTAGTGGAAGGAATGGTCGAGAAACGAGGGTCGAAATTTTGAATTGTTTAGGATTTGAGTTGGATTTGTTAAAATTCGGACAATTAAATTCGTATTGTTGAAAAAAAGCAGAATCTAACGGCGCGCGGTGTCCAGATCACCCATCTAAATCACGCGAAAAGTGTCTCGTGTGATCAGAAGTATTGTTATTCGTCAATTATAAGCTTTTAATACCTTTTAATGCGGTATTGATTACTCAAAACGAAGAATACTGGATTTAACTCTAAATAGGGGTTCGAAAGATGCATCGAGTGGTGTGACTCTTTTTCATTTCCCATTGGAGACGAACATTTTCCTCATTTTAAACAAACAACAACACACACACGAAAATGTCTGGACGTGGTAAAGGAAAATCCTCCAAGAAAGCCGTCTCGCGATCCGCGAAGGCTGGTTTGCAATTCCCGGTTGGCCGTATCGCGAGGTAATTCATGTGTATCGTTTACATTTTATTACATTATTCGATGATGATGATGACGAGAGCGCGATGTGGATGAATTGGAAATGTTGGAATCGTCCGTTCCTCGAATAAGAATTTGAAATTACAAGCGCTGACCTTTAAACTCTTCTCTCTCTGATAAAGATACCTCAAGGTTGGCAAATTCGCCACCCGCGTCGGCGCCGGCGCCCCGGTCTACTTAGCCGCGGTGTTGGAATACTTAGCGGCGGAAGTTCTCGAACTCGCCGGGAACGCTTCCAGAGACAACAAAAAGTCCAGAATCGTACCGAGACACATCCAACTGGCCATCCGAAACGACGAGGAATTGTCCAAGTTGTTAGGGACGGTCACGATCGCCTCCGGTGGGGTCTTACCGAACATCCACTCGGTCTTGTTGCCGAAGAAAGGCAAGAAGTCTGGCTCCGTGTCCCAAGAATATTAAATTTAATATTCGAAACGCGCGCGCGGAATACGGGTAAAACAAAAAAAACTCTGGTGAATATCTTCACCAACCACGATACTCTCTGATTGATAAGATCTCTATTATTATTATTATTACACATTATTTACTCGCAAAGTCTAACGGGAACGCCGTTCGGACTAGAAACTCTACTTTCTTGTGCCTCCTCGCGCTGGCCATGCCTAAAAATTCCAATTCTGAGCAGGCTCGCGTGAAACGCGCTTGCAACGCCCAGACTTTACGCTTGTCCAAACCGAACGTGTGTTTCTGCTTTTTCTTAGAATTCGTCGGAGGGGGAGGAGGTGCTTCAACATCCTCTTCTTCTTCCTTCTCTCCTCGTTTCGTCCTCTTCTTTTTCTTCATCTTGTCTTGGTCTTCTTTCAACAACAGTCCCAACTCTTCGTCGCTCGTGTCTCGGTGCTCCATGATGAACCGACGAAAGAGCTCAAACGCGTTGGCGCTTTCGCCGCCAAAATTTTCCAACAATTTGTAACATAAACACGGGTCCGGTAAGGAGGCGGAAATCTCTCCCGATTTCGGACAGCACTGACACTCCAACGCTTCGGATGGGTTGGATAAGGCAGTTTCGAGAGCCATTCTCGGCGCCGCCGAAAAGGTTTCTCGAGCGGCGTCGGCGGAGGTGACGCAGAATATTTTCTTGCCCGGTAATGATTCTGGAGGTTTACTCGCGTAGTTTTTGACTACCGAGCGAACAATTTGCTCGAAAGTTTGCACCGGTGTTAATGATGATGATGTCGTCGCCGTTGTCACATTCGTCGTCGTTGTCACATTCTCTTCTTTCTCCAAACGCGCTAAGAGCTTCGAAAATTGAGCGCCTTCGTTGGCGCGTATTTCCTCGTGTCCCTCGCACACTTTCGCGCAGTCTCGGCACAAATCCTTCAACGATAGCGTTGTTATAGCAGATGATGATGATGCCGCCGTCGCCACCATCGGCGCTGCCGTCGTTATCTCGTTATTATTCTTTACATCGCTCACCCCTGCTCTCACCGCGCGTTCCACTCTGGAAGATAAAAGCCGAAGAATCTTCTCGCCTTCAGTCACAAACGCTTTTTTCGTCGTCGTCGATTTTTCTTGTTGTTCTTGTTGTTCCTGTTGTTGGTGTTCGCGCGCATTCGCCGCCGTCATCGCGCTGTTCTTCTGCTGCTGCTTTTTCTTTGAAACGAAGAAAAAACTCGGAAACGCGCAGTCTAGTAAAACATCCGCCGTTCTCGACCACCGCTGGTACCCGACGCGTCTCGAAATCAACGATAAAACGTCCAGACCAATCGCGAATTTCTTTCGATTTTCTCCAACCTGTAACATATTTTCCGTGAACGCGTTGAAGATATCATCGTTCGTTTTGCCTTTAGCGCCGCCTTTATCTTCCTTCTCTTGTTCTTCTTCTTTTCCTTCTTCCTCGCCGTGCCCTCGAATTCCGGAGTTTAAGAACAGTTCTTTCAACATCTCGACGCTCTTTTGATCTTTTCTGCTCAATATCAACCCGCAAAACCGTTCCAAGTACCACTTCAACGCCTCTTCGCTACCGTTGGAATACAATTTTTCGCTTTCACGCAGTAATTCGCGGGTCTCTCTTGGTCCTTCTCCATTCGATATATGCTTCGTCGTATCCGCGCTGTAGTCTCTCTCGTTCAAAATCTTGTTCACGTAGGACAACCGCTCCGTGGCGAAGTGATTCAAGTATAAAACTTTTACCGACCTCCGCATGGTGGTCAACGAGAAATCGTGCTCCATGAATCTCGTGTGCAAGTACGTCAACGCGTCGTTACCTAAAGCCGGGTACAAGGTTGGATCGAGGAAGATTTTTTCTCGAATTTCTCGCGAGGCGTCAGTTGGCGCAAAGAGTTTGAAGACTTTCGGTCGCAGTTTGGAAGCGGTTTCGGACGGTATCGACCGCTGCAAAGCGCTCGTGTTGGTGGCAATACCCAACAATAAGATAAACGGCACGTCGCGGTGGAAGGAGGAGAAAGAGGCGAGTAAATCGCTCAAAGCGGACGACCCTTGAAAGCCTTCGACGTCCGAGACTAAAACGACCACCGGACGCGGGCGACCGAGAATTTTTGGCAGCGTTTCCACGCGTTCGCGACGTAAACTGTACGACGGTTTTTCAGTGTTTTTATCTCTCGTGTTCATGCCGTTGGCGTTGTTATTGTTCTCGTTTGTTGTTTCGTTGTTGTTGTTATGCTCCTGCTGCTGCTGCTGCTGCTCCGGGCCGCCGACTAAGGTGGACTCGTACCACCTCGCTATGTGCCTAACTGTTTTTACTCCACTACCACCACTACTCGCCGCCGTTTGCGTCGAACCTCCGCCGCCGAGATGATGTTCCCGCGGATTCAAAAAATCCTCCAAGGAAACGCCGCCCGGCGCCGCGTTTCTACTCTCTAACTGTCTCGCCACGAGCGACACGCAATCCCCTAAAATCCCTCTCGACGCCGCCGACGACGCGAACGTCGTCGACCCACCGCTCGAGTTGTTCATCCCACCGCCACCAATACCACCGCCAAACCCGCTCTTCCTCGTCTTGACGTCTTTCGATTGCAACAACGCGCAGTGAAAATCGCTCTTGGCTAAAAATTTTGCCAGCGACGCAAACGTCTCCTCGTGATCGTCCGCGTTTACGCCCCCGGCTAGGACTAAACCCGTCGGCAGAGATTCCGCAAAGTGAGGCGGTAACCTACTTCTTCTTCTACCTTTATTCTTCTTATCATCTTCTTTGTTTCGTCGAATAATGTTGTTCTCGTTGCCGTCGTCCTCGTCCTCCTCCTCCTCCTCGTCTGAATCGTCATCATCCTCATTCATCATCCCGAACGTTTCCGAATCCTCCAAGCGTTTCCGAAACGTCTCTTCCACGTACTCTTGGATTTTCGAGAACGCCTCTAAGTTTGCTTCTCTTAACACGCTTTCAAACTTCCGGTTGATTTTCCTCCAGCACTCGCCCATGGCTTGTTTCCTCTCTTCCACGGAACTCGTGTCCTCGTCTAAACCAACTTTCCGGAAACTCTTCTGCGCGGACAAGGTGAGCGCTTTTTCTCTCGTTTTTTTATTCCTGGCTTTCCGGAGGGTGAAGCAAGACGCGTTTAACGCGTCCGTGGTCAAAGCGTTGACATTGCTCTCCGTTGTTTTCGCGTTCGTACCTCCTCCTTTTCCTCCTCCATCCCTTTGCTTCGAAATCATCATCACTTTCGCCTTCTTAGAGATGTTGTTGGTCTTATTCGTCGTCTTATTCGCGTTCTCGTCGTCGTCCAACACCGACGACTTCTCGTTCCTTCTTTTGGAGGGCATTATTTGTATTCTGCGGTACCCAAATGAGTAGAGTTTGGTGAACAAATCGCGCGTGAATAACAATGAAGAGATTTTGAATTTTCCCAAAGAGCGGCACAAAAACGCGCGTTTCTCAATCGAATACAAACGACGACGTGTAAAGGACGATTGCAGACAGAGATACTACTACTTATAAGAACAAAAATGGCACCACCGAAACTGAACAAAGACGGCACGGAGCGGAAAACGAAAGCATCGAAACAACAACCAACAGGAGGAACATCAGGAGGACCGACGAAAGCGCAATTGGAAGCGCAAAGAAACGCGATGCGAGAAACTTTGAAACAGTTGAAAGAGAAAAGAGACGCGGAGGACGACGAAGCTTTTGAAATTGGAAGCGTGTACGACCTCGCGTTAGGGTTGGAACTGTGGCTCACGGATAATTCAAAGGTACGACCTCGTTTAAGAGCGATACGCGGCAGGTTTCTTGTTTGATTGGAGATCCGGATGCTTTTGGGTGGAACGCACGTGCGAGAGGAACGCGAGGAGCGCGCTCGCTGACATTTTCTTATTCTCTCTCTCTCTCTCTAAATTCTTCTCCTCGCGAAACGTAAACACAAAACGCTTTCGATGACAACAAAATTAACAGGTATTTCCGGAAAAACCGTTGAAGCAAAAGCTCGATCGCATGCTCCACATTCAAAAGCAATGCGTCGAGAACGTCAACTCGGACAAGGTGGACGTGGAGTCTCTCTTTTGGGAGCTCGCTTCCTTGTACGTCATCGTGAATCGCGAAGCGGCGAGACCGGAGTTGAACATTCAACGACCTCGGTTTACGATGATTGCGCCGAAAGAAAACTACAGAGATGATCCTACTTTAGATAAGAAAGAAAACGAAACGAGGAAAAGAGCGACGTATTTACCCGCGGTTGCCGAAGACGACGAGGTGAGCAAAGAGGAGGTACAACGGCTGTTGGAGGAAGTGGAGAGAGAAGTCGAGAAGAAGATCAACGAGATGATGGACGGAGGAGGTGGAGAGGATGGCGGAGACGGTGATGGTGGTAGTAAAGGAGGAACTGAAATGGAAACCGAAACTACGCCGGGAGCGGCGAAAGCGGAAGACAAAGAAGAAGACCAAGAAGAAAAACAACCGGAAGTAGAAGACGAACGCGAAAAAGCGGCGGAGGAAAAGGCGAAAGGGGAAGAAGAAGAACAAAAAGGAGGAGACGATGATCGGGAGATGACCGACGCTCCTCCTCCTCCTCCTTAGCGTCTGCAATACTATTTATACTCACATTTTTTTCCTCTCAAAAGTACTCTCTTTTGCTCTCGCGTTTGCTCTCTTTCTTTTTTTTGCTCTCGGTGTTGTTTGTTGGGGTTTTTAGGAATTCTCGCATCTCATTTTGCCCCTTCGACGCGTTGTTTTTACACCCTCTTTCCACCGCGAAAGCTTCCGACGACGCGCGACGTAGTACACTCGACCACAACAAACGGCTTTTCTCCTTTTAGACGCGAGTGTTTTTACGAGCGTTCCTCCTCGCTCTCGCGCTCTTTCCAGAGAGAGAGAGAGAGAGAGAAAGAGATCACAACACTCATTCTTATAGACCTTTTTTGCGACTTGAACGCAAAAGCCCTCGAGTTTCGAGCGTCTTTTTCAACCCACACCGGCTGTTTTTGCCCCAAAAAAAAGAGAAGATCATCATTATTGAACGCGCGAAAATTCTCGCGCGTACTAAAACACTTCTTAAAGCGCGTTTCGAGAACAAAAGCGAACGAAAAAGTGTTCCACGAGAGCGAGAGAGAGTCTCTTTGTGTTGACGTCGTCCTCGCGTTTGGAAGACGCGTTTTATTAAGAAAACTTTTTGAGAGAGACGACAGAGCGAGAGAGAGTGCGAAAGAATTTCATCTGTGTCGTCGTCAAAACTGAGAGGCGTTTTAGACGAACGCACACATCGGATCAGAGAAGAAGACGAAGAAGATCAGAGAGACGCTTTGAAATCATTCGTTCGTTCGGAGACTTCAGCCGATCGGGAAGCGCGTGAACTTTCTTTTTGCTCAACACGAGAGAACAACAACAACGAGAACAACAAAGCGAGAAAAAAAGGGAGATATTCGAGAGAAAAGCGCGGGGTTTTAAGAGAGATCAATCGCATCTTCAAATCTCTTTCGCCGCTTCTTTCTGTGTTTTCTCGGCGGGGGGGTCGTCGGTCAAGGAGAGGTTTTTTTTGCTCAAAATTTGAGAAAAAGACGCTCGAAGCGAAAAAAGAGGAAAGAAAGAGAAAGAGAAAAAGAAATATCATCGCCTACGAGAAGGCGCCGCGAGAAGACTTAACTGTGAGCAGAGCAGCGGCAAAAGTCGCATTCGTCTCTCGTACATTCGTCTCTCGTCGGGTCGTCGTTTATAAATAAAGGCACGGAACAAAATGGAACCGTATTTCGCGCGACGCGTAAACGCGGGGACGACGCCGTCTGGAGAGAATACGACGAATACTACTACGAAGAGTAATAATACGAATACCGAAAAAGACGACGCGGGAGAAGAGGAGGAGGAGGAAACGCGGCTGGCGGATGCGGTTGATGACGCGAAGGAGGTGAAGAAGAGTTCTCCGCCTCCAGAAGAAGATCAGCTTTTTTTGCAGGGTTCGAGAGAAACGACGACTTTAGCGGGCGAAGAAGGGAAGACGATGACGACGATGACGACGACGGAGGAGGAGATTGCAGAGCCCGTGGACGTAATCGTCGTCGGCGAAAAAGAAGTTCCGGCGAAACTACCGACTTCGTCGCCGTCGCCGTCGTCAAAGGGGGGGGCTGCTGTGGAGGAGGAGTCCGTCGTTCCGAAACTCCCCTTTCCCGTGTTAATCGCGAGTGCTGCCACGACAACGACGACGACCGATAATAATACGGGCGGCGAGAACGGCGTCACCACGTCGGCGGCAACGACGTCAGAAGGAGGCTTAAATGAAGAAGAGGATGTGAACTTGGCCGTATTTACGAAACGAGGCTTGAAAAGGCAACGAAAATACACGGATGTGGACGAGAACGGCTTGACGAAAAACGGAAAGAGGAAAGGCAGGCCGGCGAAGGACGTTACCGGCTTGACCGTCCAAGAGTTGAGAGTTCAAGCGAGAGAAGATTCGCTCGCAGCCGGAGTAGGTAATTCTAGGCACCAAACGTGGACGACGGAGGAAGATGAGCGCTTATGCGCTTTGGTCGAGCGATTCGGGTCGAAGAAGTGGTCGTTTCTCGCGCAACTTATGGTGGATCGCAAAGGGAAACAGTGTCGCGATCGGTATATTAATCACCTCGCGCCGAGCATCAAAAGAGGTGAATGGACCGTGGAGGAAGAGTACATGGTGGTCCAAGGTCATCGCGTGTTAGGGACGAGATGGGCCGCGCTAGCAAAGGTTGTGCCCGGGAGACCGGAAAACGCGGTGAAAAATCACTGGCACGCGTGCAGAAGGACGAAATTTGAAGCGAAAGCGTTGTTGCGACCGCTGTATCGATACCAGTTGATGGAATTGAATACGATAATTGAACCACCCTCAGAGGAGAGTTTGAAAGAGGCGAAAGAGAAGCTCGGCGATGAGTATCCGCCAGACGGACCGGTCGAAACACCGAAGGAATCTTTCGAGAACGAGACTGAACAAAAGACGTTCGAAAAAAGGTTGGCGAAGTTGGCGTCGAAGAAGCAAGTGAGAGACTACGACCCGGTAGACGACGACACCGAGGAGGAGGAAGAAGAAGAAGAAGAGGTAGAGGACGAAAAATTAGATTCATCGGAGGCGGAGGCGCTCAGGGAGAAGAAAAGACTGGCGAAACTGCTCAAGGAGCATCAAGAAAAAGAAAAGCGCGAAAAACAAGAGCGCCAGAAGCTCTTGGTCGAACAACAACGCAAACTGATGCCGAAGAAAACCAGAGCTAATTCTCGCAAAGCCAAGTCTCTTTCAGGTGCGATAAAAGAAGTGGACGCCAAAATGGAAACGAACGCGTTGGTGAACGCGGTAAAGAGCGAATTGGACAGCCAAGCGGTGGCGACGGAGGCGGCGGAAGGCCTTCTCAAAGGCCTTCCCGGCAACGCGCCCGACGACGAGAATGAAGAAGAACACGCGGCAAAGAGTATTTCCCCGGTAATGATGGCGCTAGGCCCAGCCCCTCAGATGCCGAAAGTGAAAGTTCAGGAACTCCCGTTGCCGAAAGTGAAAGTTCCGGAACTCCCGTTGCCGAAAATTGGCGGATACATCAAATCGACGTGGAAACAACCGGAGCCGTCTTCTTTGAATCCCAAGTCAAAAGGACGGAGGGCTCAAAAGTATAAAGACAACGAAAAGAAGAGGAAGGAGGAGAAGATGAAGAAAGGTACGATTAAAGAATCCGATTCGGATGGATACTCTTGGCGCAAATACGGAGAAAAAGAACTCAAATCGGGCTCCAGCACCAAATCGTATTATAGGTGCGCGCGTCTCGACTGTCCTGCGAAGAAAACCATTGAAAGGGGCATGACTGTGTACACCTACGCGGAGCACACGCACGATAAACCGAAGGCATCGTTTAAACCGGAGGCATCGTTTGAAGACGCCGAGGACATGAGAAGACACGAACAAGAACTCGATTTGATTTTAGCCGCCGCGGAAGAGATGGATGGAGGAGCGAGCATGGAAACATCGGAAGAAGAGTTCACGAGGGAAGCGGATCTCGACTACGAGGAGCCAGAAATTGACGAGGAAACTGATCCCGTCGTGCTCGAGCGGCGTCGAGCGAAATGGCTCGAACAACAGATCTTTGGCGATGCCAAGAGAACAAAGTTAGCGCCCGCCGAAGCAGCTGCGTTTCAACAGGATTTTGTCGGAGACCAACAACTGAAACAGAAGAGAAAGTATACGAGAAAGGGTGAGGGGGTCAAAAAACCGGGTCCTGGTTCCGAGAAAAAGTTCAAAGTGACCAACGCGGAATATCAAGGACCGTGCATGCTTTGCGGTACGAGACTCACGCCGTGCTGGAGAAGCGTCGGAAATTTAAAGTTGTGCAACGCGTGCGGTATTCGCATTTACCGCGATTACGCGGTAGAGAAGGAGGAAGCTACCGCGCTCTTGGAACTTGCACAAGGCTTAGGTGCTGCAAAAAGCAAGCAAGAAGCTGTCCGCACGGTGAACAGGAGACTCCCGGGGAGGTGTAAGACCGATCAGCAAGACCTCGAGAGATTTGCTTTGAGCAAGTATCCGAAGTTACAATTAGTGCTAACGACTAATCTAGAAACGATCGGGATCGACTTGCCGGCGAAAATGAAGGTTCACAAAGTGAAAGCGCAACCGCGAAAAAACTTCCAAGCGCCGATTGCATCGAGAGTGCCGACGAAGAAGCGCACGATGATCAACTACAGGAAGCGCGTTATTACGCTCGACGAGATTGTAAACAACGACGACGACGACGTTGCGGAGGCGGCCGCAATGCTTCAACTACAACAGCAGCGAGGTACGCGTGCCGATCAGAGCAACAACTATCTCTTCTATCTTCCGATCAAAAAGCGCAGAGACGCTCGGATGAACGAGAACGGCACGTTAACCGCGATTGACACCGTCTCCGGCGAAGACGTTCCAGAGTACATGGATGTCATGCAAAAATCTGGCGGTACCGTGCGAAACCCGCTAAGTTTATTGGCGTCGTCGGTTTCTTTACGACTGGACGATATTGATGAGCCGGAATCGGTGACGCCGCCGGCGACGACCGAAGTACTTGCGTTGCCGACAACGTCGGCGACTACTACCGTCGTCACCGCCGCTGCGGCGGAAAAATCCAACAACGACGTCACTACGCCGTACGCAGCGCAAGGCGAGGCGACAACAATAGCAGCAACGACGACTGAAATGACGACAGTTGACCCACAATTAAGTTCGATTGAAAACAAAGAGCAAAAAGGAACGACCGTCGTCACCCCGGCCAAGCGAGAGCAACCGCACGCCGGACCAAGAGCGGCGCCCAAAAAACGCACTGCGATTGAAGATTTTATCGAAGTCACGGAGTGGCCGTTGGATACCAATCGATGCATCAACGCCGCCCGATCTAGAAACACTTCTTTAGAAGTCGCCTCGCTGACGACCAAAGCCGCTTGCGACGGGCCAATTCAACTGAGGGGCCCGAACGTTTCCATCTCTCGGGACAAATTGGTCGCCGGATTGAAACGCATCGCATCGAACGCGCGCGAAAAAATCGCCAAGCAAAGAATGAAACGCGCGGGCACTGATCCAGAGAGCTTCCAATCTAATCCTTTAAATCGCTCAAACGGACGGTGTGCAATCTCCATTCGCCAAAATTCGTGCAAAAAAGGTGATTTGCAGATGATCATCGTCTGCTCTTCGGAAAATTTCCGCGACGCCATCAGTTGCGCGGAAGATTGCGCGGTGCAAATAAAAGAAGATTTTGATTTTGAGAGCGTCATCGACGCGCCCTAAAACAAAAGCTACTACAATATCTTAGAAAACGATACACTTAAAAGAGGATTGAACTCCTCCTCCTCCTCCTCCTCCTCCTCCTCGCGAAAGCGATGGACGAGCACACTACTATTTGGGAAATAATGAATACACTGTACTGCTATAAAATAAACAAAAACTCTCTCACGCCGCAGCAGCCCCCGCCGTTTCTTCCTCGACTTCCATCATCAACTCCTCCAACCTTTCCCATTCGGCAAAATACGCGTCTCGCTTCTCTGTCTTCTCGTCAATCTGCTTTTGCAATTTCATCGCTTCGCCGACGTCCGAGCCGCACGCGAGCGTTTTCTCGGAAAGCGCTTCGATGTCTTTGTCCAAAACTTCCATAGCTCTTTCAATCTTGTCGATAATTTTTGGAGCGTTCGCGGCTTCTTTTCTTCGTTTCTCTTTCGCTTTTCTTTCCGCAGCTTCGAGTTCTTTCGCTTGTGCGACAGCTTGGGCGGCTTCGTCGTTTTCATTTTTATCGTCGTCGAGCGAGCACTCTTCCACCTCGCAATCGCGAGCGTACAAATCTTGAGCCGTGATTGCTTTTCCTTCCGGCCATAATTCGACCTCAATCGCTCTCGTTTCGTCCTCTCGCATGTCTTCGCCGCCTTTGCACCTTACCACGGTCGTCGGCTTTAATCGAGATGCGAATCGCGGGTTATGCGTGACGCAAATCACGCCACCTTTCCAATCTCTCAAAGCGCTCGTGATGGCGTCGATGCTGTTCACATCCAAGTGATTCGTCGGTTCGTCCAATAATAGGCAATCGACTGGTTTCAACATGAATCCAGCCAACGCGACGCGCGCTTTTTCACCTCCAGAGAGCTCACCAATGGATCGGTCAATGGCCGCGGTACCGGTTATGCCTAAAGAGCCTAGCGCAGACCGAGCCATTTGATCAGTGATCGTCGCTCTCTTAGACCCGATGCCAGACCCAACTCTGGCAACATCGAGAACGTACTCTAATCCCGTTTTATCCAAAGGCAATTTCTGCGCCAAATCTTGATCAAAGTATCCCAATTCGCAGTCTTCAGACACTCGCAACTCGCCCGATTTCGGCGGTATGACTTTGGCTAACGTTTTCAAAAGCGTAGATTTCCCGGCGCCGTTCCGTCCACAAATTAAGATCCGGCTCTCTCTTTCGATTTCAAACGTCGCGTTGGTCGCGATTGGTTCGTCTCTACCTTCGTATCCCACGCACAAACCTTTCGTCTGAATGTACATCCTCGTCGTGTTTGGCGGATCCGCCAATCTCAACGAAATGTTGTTGTTGTTGTTGTTCTTGCTACCACTACTGCCGCTACTGCTGCTACTACTAGTGCTACTATTACTATTCATTTCTTCGGCTTCGTCCACGTTCATCGCCCCAGCCGTCTCGGCGTCGATTTTCGCGTCTTTCAAAATCTCCAGCGCTTTTTCCAACTTTTTCTCCTTATCCTTTGCCTGCTTTGCTTTCGTCGCTTTCGCGCCGTACGTGTTTATAAACGTCTCTAACTTTTTCGTCTCCCTCCCAGTTCTTTCGAGGATCTTCGTTGCCTCTTTCGCTTTCGCGGATTTCGCTCGCAAATACTGCGCGTACGAACCGGGATACGAGACCAATTTTTTATTCTTCACCTCGACGATCCTCGTGCACACGTCTCGCAACACCTCCTCGTCGTGCGAGACCAAAAGGATCGTACCTTTGTACTTTTTTATCCAATTTTGCAACCATTTCTTCGCGTTTGAATCCAAATGATTCGTAGGTTCGTCCAGCAACAAAAAACCTCCGTTCACGCCCGTCTTCTCGCACTCCCCCGCCTCGCTCAACAACAACTTGGCCAAACTCACGCGCATCTGCCAGCCTCCCGATAACGACGCGCACGATTGCGTCGCCCACGTCTTCTTATCGAAACCCAAACCGGACAAAACGCTACTGATTCTTTTCTCCGCGTTATCTCCGTCGACTCTTTCCCACTCGGCTCGCGCCTCCGCTTCCTCCGCCGCGCTCGCGTGTAACGCGTATTCTTCGTCCTCGCCGCCGTCGCCAAACAACGTCTTCTTCAATCGATTCAAAGTCTCCATCTTCGACGTCGCCTCCTCGTATATCGTCAGCGTCGATCCACTCGTCCCGGTTTGTTCTAAGTACCCGAGCTGTACGTTCGGCGCAATCGCACACTCGCCGGAATCGTGTTCCATCAATCCTCCGAGAGCTTTTAACAAGGAGCTTTTCCCGCAGCCATTTGGACCAATTAATCCACAACAGTCCCCAGGTTCACATCTGATGGTTTCATCCGAGGAAGTCATGTGCAATAAATCCTCCGCGCCGCGCGATAAGCGGATGCTTTTTATGCACATAACTGCGCCGGCCGTGTCCCCGCGAGGGAGTACGTGAGGATTGTTTGATGATGATGAAGCTGCGCGTTGGTGTTCGCTTTTGACGGCGAACTTGCGTTTGTGTTGGTGTTTTCCCCTACGTCTGAGGCTGCCACAACTGCGCGAGAGGGACGATTCAGACGACGATGCGAGCATAGCAGTACGATGATGATAACAATGCCGCACGAACGATCGATGATGAAAATAACTTTGAGGAGACTTTGAGGAAGGTGAGAACAAGAGGAACAGGGAAAAGGAATTCTGTGTGGGACAACAACACCTAAAAGTGAGGCATCGAGCGGAGTATTCGAAGACAAAGTCCGGATGATAAAGTCTTCTCTAATACAACTAGTTCTTATTATTCGTATTACGTGCTGCTACAGGCAAAACATTGCTGCTCTAAAATGTGCGCACCTGCGCTACTCATCTTTCTCTCTCGTCCTCTTCTCGATATGTTCGAGTTCTCTCAATCGCGTGCTGCTCAGTTTACTCTCAAAATCTCCATTTTCCGATGATGTTTCCTTCCCGAGCACGTCGAGTACGATCAATTCCAACGGTTTAAACCCTCGCTTTTTCCTTTCTTCGTTGATCTTTTCCGCGCCTTGGACGGTTTCCTCGGAGACGACTAAAGCGTTTACGTCCTCTCGAGTGGCGGCTATAGGCCAATTTTCATCCAGAGGGCCAAAGTTTACTTGTAAACCAACCGGCGCGGCGGCTTTGACGAAGTCTTTACAAAACTGTTCTCGCCGTTCGTACGGTTGGAGATACTCTTTGTATTTTTTGTTCTCCAGCAACGCTTCGCCGGTGATGCCGACGTCTAAGCGTTTCTCGGTCACCGCGACCGCGGCGGCTAAGAGCCATCGGTGACCGGCGTGCGCGTGGTCGAACGTGCCGCCGACGCAAACGTTGTCGAATCGTTTTGTAAAAGCATTTCTCTGCGTTTTCTCTTCTCCTCTTTTTGCACCAGAAATATCATAATCATCATCATCATCATCATCATCTCTCCTCTCGCCGTCCCAATACGGCGAATCTCTCAACACCACAATCGCGTCTTTCGCGCACGTCGCTTCCTCCCTCGCGATGGAATCATAAATCATCTCGAGTATAGGTAAAACGTCCACATTTGCATACAAACTCGATATCAAAGCCCCATCGGTATTAATATTACACTCGCGTTTGTCTTTGATCAAACCGTCGAATTTGAAGTTGATTCGAATTGACCGACTTCTCCGTGTCACGAATGGAACTTTCGCTTCGATTTCTTCTCTCACGGATGCGTACTGTTGTTGTTGCGGGACGTGAATGGTTACCACGCTTGGAATTTCCTCCTCTTCTTCGCCGTTGTTCGTGTTCTTCTCCTTTTCTCCTTCTCTTTCGCTCGTAAACGTCATTCGTAATCGTAATCTCTTTCCCCGGGGCTGTCGTTTCCCCGTCGCCGTCAAAGCCGCTTTAGAGAAGCGTCGTATCGGAGGACTTTGTTTAATCGAAAACAGCTTTAATAAATGTGTGTGTTATGTATATCTGCCTCTTTTCGCGGAGCAGTCGATGAAGAAACTCTCGCGTAAAGAAAGAGAGAAGAGATGCTCTTTCTGTAACGAATACGTTTTAGGGGAAATGTCCGCACTTTAAAAATGAGGATTTCGTGATGACATTGATGACATCGCCGCAGCATCCAAACGCGCGTCTTTCTTCTCCCAGAAACAAAACTCGAAACGCTCAAAGTAGTTCTCTCGTTTCTTCGAAAAGGAGGATTTTCTCGATCGTTTCTTCGAGAAAGACGACGACGACGAGAGTAAAGTCTTTTCGAGATGAAAATGACGTTGAAAGTTACCAAACCGTCGCCAATCCACTCGAATACACCGCGACGGAACGCGAAGCGATGGACAGAAAAAACTCTTTATTGTGGCAAAAACTCTCACCCGCGTGGCGCGTTTTATTACTCTCGGACGGGTCGGTGACCAGACACTTGAGCGTTTTAGGAGGGAAAGGTTTTGTTAATGATGATGACGACGACAAAGATGGTGCAACGAGCAGCGCATTGAGTGAAAGCAACGTGAAAGTGGAAGTGACGTCGATGAAACCGTGCGCGCGAGACAAGTCTCAACCGGAAGATGTGGTGAAGATTAAAGGGCCTTTAGTACAGCGAGAGGTATATTTGAGATACGAAGACGATTACGATGGAAACGACGGAGAGCCGAAGAAGAATAAGAATCCGAATCCTCCTCTCGTGTACGCGTGCTCGTGGTGGAACGCGAACGCGCTGGAGAAGTTTATGAAAAAGAGAGAGGAAACGATGTGGTCGAACTTACGGAAGGAAAACGTGGAGCTGTATAGAGAGGTGAGGAGAGTGTATTTAGGGAAGAACAGGAGGTTGGCGAAAGCGTTCGGATGCGAAGATTTGGACGAGGCGATTTGGGCGAGGCATTACATCTTTTGGAGCGGGGGCGAGCCGGTGACGGTGGTATTCGAGGCGTTTTCGCCGAAGATTGAGTTATAGTTTGATTATGATTCGATATGTTTTTATTCGTAGTACCGAAAAAACAGAAAAAACAGAAAAAAGCATGCAAGCAATAGTAGTAGAGTAGTAGTAATGGTAGTAGTAGTGGTAGCGTGGTTCTCCTACATGCGCAGATAATAGATTACTAAAAGCACTTTCCTCTGGCGGTGAAAACATCATCATCGTCCAAAATCTTCTTCTTCTTCTTCTTTCCACTGAATGAGTTCTCCAAACCCCGCGGCGGAGACGAACTCGTCCGAGTGAAATAAACCGAGATCACCGATGGTGCCGTGTTTCAACGCCACCGATTTCAAGCGAACGTCCAACTCTTCTTTCAAGAGGGAATAGTAATTCGCGGAACACAACGAGTGTTGCGCTTCGGCGCCGCCGCCGGAAATATCAATTTCTTTCGTTTTCACCCGGTCGCCGAGGTCCATGCGGAGCATTTGGACCAGTTTCGTGACTTGAGGAAAGTAGTGGTTTTCCAAGGCGGTCATTTCCCACAGGGAGGATTCCAACGCGCGAGATTTCGCCGGGTCTTTGGTCGAGAAATCGTACGGGTCCTCGTCGAAAGATCTTCGATGTGTAGTATTATTGGAGGACTTTCGTTTCATCACGTTTTCATCTCTTTCAGCAGCAGTATTATCCTCCTCTGCGTTGTCAATATTGACACCGCCGCCGCCGCCAACCACATCTCTGTCTCTGTGAATTAACGGTAAACACGATTTTGGATGTCGTCGCATCAAGTTGTGAATAAACGACACGCACAACATCGCCCCAGCCGGCGGCGCGCTTAAACTTAATCGTCCAAACTTTTTGCAAAACGCCGCCGCACAATATCCAGGCAACGCCGGCGATTTCAGAAACACGTCCGCTAACTCGAAGAACGTCCTCCTGCCGTTGGCATAAAACGAATCTTCGTTGATTAAATTGTACAATCGGTCGTAGAATTTTGGGTATTCGAGGTTGTGTCTCGTGACGAGGACAAACAACGCGTGTAACGCTAACATGCCGATTAAACCGCCGACGTTTACGGAGGAGACGCAGAAATCGCACAACAAAACTGGATTGACGTGGTGCGGTATGACGTCGAGGTGAAGTCGAGCGAGAATTTTCCGGTAGACGTCTTCCGGGAAATTTGGAAGACGTAAAAACGCAATCCAGGCGTCGCTAAATGCTCTTCGTCGCTTCACGCCGTTCATCCAGCTTATTTTCGAAACAACATTCGTCGTCGTCGTCGTCGTCGTCGCTTTCTCGTTCTCTTTCTTCTTCTTTTTTATGTCTTTCTCGTTGCTTTTCTTCCTTCGTTTCGCTTCGTTTTGTTCGTCCAAATCGAGCGCTTGCGAGGGCATTCTGCACCACGGCGTCGTTTCCGCTTCCTCGTCGTCGTCCTTCGACGCGGCGGCAGCTTTAGCTAAATCTTCGCTCGACAATCCGAGCATGGCGGCAAAATCAACTTCTTTGCTCGTCAAATTTGTTCCAGTCGTCGTCGTCGTCGTCGTCGTCGCGTTGTTGGTATTATTATCATTACTCTCGGGATCGTAATCCTCGAAATCGACGGACACGTTCGAGATGACGTCGTACAAGTTTCTCGCTACTTCCGCGCTCGTCGCTTCCACGTCTTCCTCTTCTTCTCCTCCTTCTTCTTCTTCTTCTTTCGTCTTCTTCGAACGACCACTACTGTTTTTGTTATCACTCGCCAGCCTCCCCGCAATCCTCGCCACCGCTTTATACGCGTAATACTGCACGTCCACCCTCCCCAAGTACCGTTTCTTCAACGTCCCGAGCGTCGCGTCCGACCACAGCTTACTTCTCACGCACTCCTCCAAAGCTCTCTCGAAAATCTCGTTCTCGAAATGACTACCACCGCTCTTACTCGAAGACTTCTCGTTCGCCGCCGCCGCCCGAGCGACTTCCATCAACCCCGAAAACGCCACCACCCTCGTCCGCTCGTCTGCCGCTCGGTCCTTCGCGCAGACGTAAATCATTCTCGATACGAACAGTTTGTAGTTTTTCAACAACCACGCGCGGTATTTTATCTTGAGCTCTTCCTCTTTGTTCGTCGCGAACGTCGCGTTCTCGCCTTTGCCTCCTTTGCCTCCTCCTTTTCGACTAATTAAATCTCGTTTCGCCTGTTCCACGTCGCCTCGCGCGAGTCTCTTGCAGAAGAATTTCTCCAGGGCGAGAATGCACTCTGTTTTTCCTTTTTGATGCGACGTTTGCTTTTTCTTTTCCTCCTCGTCTTTCTCGTTTTCGCGATCATCGACTTTGAAGGTGTCGTCGTCGTCCTCTCCTCCTTTCCGTCGTCGCAAACCTGGCGGCGGCGAAGATGAAATCAAAGCGGAAAGCAAACGGGAAAGGTTGTTCAGTTTCGTCGCGTCCGTGTTCAGTTCCACGCCTAATTCGCGCAATTTGTGCTCGAGAGTGTTGTTCGCGGTAGTCTCGGTGTTCTTTGTCTTCTTTTTCCGCTTCATGGCGCGCGTTTGATGCGATGAGAGCGTTGCATCAATGGGGAAAATGCGGACTCGTTTGCGCCATTCGATGCGCAGTTCTCGACACGTGTGCGCGCGATAATACACACACGAGAGACACAAACGCAATAAATCATGGCGGAACACTTAGCCTCGATCTTCGGCACGGAAAAGGACCGCGTGAACTGCCCGTTTTACTTCAAAATCGGCGCCTGTAGACACGGCGAACGATGCTCGAGATTGCACAACAAACCAACCGTCTCGCAAACGCTCTTGCTGATTAACATGTACCAGTCGCCGGAACAAGCGCGATTACTCGGCGGAAACGCGCAGGGCGCGCGCACTTCCGAACCTCAAGACGTGCAAGAACACTACGAAGACTTTTGCCACGATATTTTCGAAGAACTCGCGATACACGGGGAGATTGAAGAGCTCAACGTGTGCGACAACTTAGCCGATCACATGGTGGGAAACGTGTACGTGAAGTTCGCGGACGAAGACGACGCGATGAAAGCGAAGCAATCTTTAGACGGGAGATATTACATGGGACGACCAATCAAGTGCGAGTTTTCACCAGTGACGGATTTTCGGGAAAGCACGTGCCGACAATACGAAGAGAACACGTGCACGAGAGGCGGGTATTGTAACTTTATGCACGTGCGGCCGATTAAGAACCAGACGCTGGCGCACGCGCTGTTCGGGAGGTACGGGAAGAAGAGGCAGGAGAGGAGAGTTTATGGAAATCGAGGAGGAGGAGGAGGACGGAGAGGAGACAGAGGAGGGCAGCGAAGAGATCCGTATCATAGAAGAGGACGAGATCGCGGGTACGGCGGCGACCGACGGAGAGACGATTATTACAACAGAGACGACGACAGAGAACGACGACGAGGAAGATCGAGGTCGAGATCGAGAGACCGAAGAGGCGGTGGGAGAGACTACAACGAAGACTATCGTAATAACGACGATCGAAGAGGAGGAGGCGAGAAAAAAGCCGCTGGATTTGGCATGAGCGATGAAGAGAGACGCGCTATGATTGCCAGCTTCAAAAGCGAAGAGTAATAATTGAGGAAGAGAAACAACACGCACACACAACTTGTGAAAGTAGTACTTGTACCTTTGCTTATTATTAAAGAATTCAATTCGCTTTGTTCTTGTTTGGTACACCTAGTAATTTGTTTTTCATTTTTTTACACTCCTATTGTATTGTTTCTTCTTCTAATAGAGAAAGGCGTAAGGATCGAAGTTCGCCTGCCAATCGTCGGTGACATTATTACTATGATGATTATTCAAATCGAACGAGCCTTCGTCGTCCTCTTCGCAATAATACGCCTCTCGGCTGATTGGATCTTTTCGATCGAATATAACTCTTCCGCACCTACCCACTCTCGCTTTGCATCTCTCCTTCAACTGCCCCAACGGTAACTGGAACCGTCTCAAAGCGGAACCTAACGGGATTTTCGCGAACAACATCTCGATGTCTGGAATCTCCGGCGGAGGTTCGTATAAAACCACCTCTTTCCCGGCTTTGTGTTTCTTGGCATCCTCGGCTTCTTTTTGCTGTCGACTTCTCTTGTTTTTATTCAACAACGCTTGCTTCTCTCGTTTATTCGCGGCTATGATTTCGCTCTCGTCCGGTTCGGTGACAATCGCCCAGGTGTTATCGTTCGCCTTGAAAATCTCCAAGTGGCCGTCGCACAACGCCACGTTCTTCCCTTTGATCGGTAACTCTGGCAACTCTTTCTTCGCTCTCTCTTCGTCTTCTTTCTTCGCCTCTTTTTCTATCCTCTCCATCTCCGATTTCGGTTCGTGCCTCAAATCAATCAATAACTTTTGCGCGGCGCGTTCCACCTCGAAAATTTCGTGCTTACGAGTTTCTCTTCTCTGCGTCAGCTGCAACGCCGCTCTGGCGACGACCAAACTATCCCTCGCGCGTAAAAGTTTCTCGTAACCAGCGACGTCGTTTTCTCTTCGTCTTCTCGTTTGCGGTCTGTGAATCTTCTCTCTCGGACGAAACACGTTGAACGGATTGGTATCGTTCGGCGCCGGAGGCGGCTGCAACCTCCTCAAACACGGCTTTTGCGTACTCTTTCTCTTCTCCACCCAATACTCGTACACGGCGACGATGACGGATTGCTTATTCACAATCTCCGCTAAAACTTCCACCGCGCTATCTTTCGGTAAATTCGACGTGCTCGCCAACGCCGCGCACCGATCTTGATACGATAACGCGCTTCCTTTCTCCTGCGCTTGCTGCGCGGTCACCGCCAAAACTCTCTCGTTCGCCTCGCCGCACGCCAACTCCAATTTCCACAACATCCTCTCGAAATCGTCCTCGTCCAACGGCACGTGGGATTCTTTCTTACTGCTGTTATACTTCTTCAGCCAATCCTCGTCGTCGTTATCCAAATCGTACTCCACCCCGTCCGCCGTCGTCGGCGTTTCCAACTCCGGTCTCCCCGCCGTCGCTCGAGACCGTAAATACCTCTCGTCCTGTTCGTAACTCGGTTTATAATCTTTCTCGTACCTTAAACCGACTTTCAAAACTTCCGGTATTGGAATTTCTTGTTGTTTCGTCTTTTCGTTTTCTTTCGTTAACACTTCCTCGTTCTCTTTGTCCAGTTGCTTGTGCGCGTGCGAGACCTCTCGAGAGACGATTTGGTCCTCCGCGATCGCGTTCGGATCTCGCACGATGGAGAGTTGCTGCGTGACTTCGATCGGGCGGTTCCGGTAGGAGCGTTGTTGCGCCAGAGATGCCATCGCGTTCGAGTTTACTGCGCGCTTTATTAAAAGCTCAAATCGTCTCTGCGCTTGACCTAATTCAGAACAGAATGTGATCTCAATATGATTTCCTTTTCTATATGTGTGTAAAAGGATAAATCTCTCTCTCTGACACACACACACAAACGCACGAAGTACTGCGACTCTCTTCTGCGCGCAGCGCTCGATAAATGCGCGCACTAAAAGAGAGTATTAATAAGAAAGAGGAGGAGGAGGAGGACGGATCAAAGTGTGTAGAGGGAAATCGAATGTTTTGTTCGTTTTTTGTTTTTAATTTAGGGTTTTTGAAATGTGTTAAATACGAAGCAAATTTTTCAGTCTTTTTTCACCAAACGTCTGTGAAAGGAAAGAAACCTGTAGGCTTCACTTTCCTCGGCCAACGGGTGGTACGTGTACACCTCTTTCTCGGTGACTTTCTCACTTAAACGGTTGAAATAATGGAACTGCGTCGCGTTGTGACTGAAACCGTACAAAGAAACTTTCTCTTTTGACGAGCACGCGCGTAACGCCAAGACGACGCCGGCGAAACCGCTGGACGGTTTGAGCTTTCTTCTGTCCACCCAATCCCAGACGTGACACCAAAACTGAGGGTTGAATACGCGCTGGATGTGCGTCTTTTCTTTACCGTGTTTCGAGAATTGTTTCTTTTGGTACTCGGAAAAGTGGCGGAACGTTTTCTCGTCGCGGGCGGTGAAGACGAGCATTTCGTCTCGCGGTTCCCGGAAACCGAGGTTGTCGATGTTTTGAACGCGGATGGTGGTTTTCTTGCCGACGTGCTTTTCGTAGCCTTTCGTCGGCGCCGCGTTGAAGCGGATGACGGCGTCGTGGCTATCGATTTCCGCTCCGTAGGTGTGGTCGAGGAGAGAACCAGAGTTACCGACGACGGCGCATCGGCGACCGAGCGTTTTCGCGTCTGGTTTTACACCGCCTCGGGTGTGGACGTCGTCCTCGTCTGGAATATATTCCGAGAGTTCCGGGACGGCGTCGCGCAATTGATCGTACGATTTTACTTGCATGACCGGTTTCCCGCCGCACGTTATTTTGTTTCGCTTATCGTCGTCCGGGTCGATATCGTTTAGCGTCGATTTACTCAAGAAGATGTCCACGTCGGTATCCAGGAGTTTCTTCAGTTTCGTGCCTCCGAGACGATACGTCGCCGCTTTGAGCACCGCTTTTTGCATCGGCGTCGGTTTCTGTTCCGGAGAGTGTTCTTCTACGTTTTCGTGGCTGCTATTACTAGTACTATCCTCTGCCTCTTGTGCCTCCTCCTCGTGCTCGTCCTCGTCGTGTTCGTGCGGCTCTTCTCTCTCTGCTTTAAGCGTCGGCGCGTTCGAGCTTTCCGACGACGACGACGCCGAAAATACTTTGGGAGAAGGTTCATTATTTTTTTCAGCGCTATTACGCTCGTCCTCTTCGCCATCATCACCGCTATCACTACTTTTCTTCGTCTGCACCCCTCCCCGCGGCCGTTCCGGCGCAATCCTCGGCTTCACCGGAATCACCCTTCTCTCCGTCACGTACTCCGCATCCGCTCGTTTCAACCGTTCCGGGATCTCAGGCACAAGAGGCAAGTCCTTCGGCACTTTCCGGCGACCTTCAAACATCAACGAACTCTTCCTCGCTCCTCTTCCATCTCCTCCTCCTCCGTCTTCTGTGCCGCCGACGCCGCTAATACTATCACTACTACTACTACTACTACTACTCAAACTCAAACTCAAAGCCGCCATCGCTCGTCTCGACGCGCCGCCGATCAAAAATCTCGGTCTCGGAAGTAACGCGCGATGATGCGTCAACAAATAGTCCTCGTCGTCGTCGTCGTTATTATTGTTCTTCTTCAACGCTTTTATCATTCCGTCGCTGCTAAAATCCTCCTCCTCCAACTCTTCTTTCTCGTCTTTCTCCTCTGTCCTCCTCCTCTTCCTCCTCCAAATCACTTTTGTTCTCTCGTCTCTCACGCGGACGTACCTCGCCATTTCTCTGTGCACAGACTTCACTTTTTCCGTCAGAGACAAATAGTTCTCGTCGTCGTTGTTCTCCTTTTCCTCCTCGTGCATCATCCGTTGGTGTTGGTGCAGAGAAAGAGACGAGAAGAACAGACATCCCGCGAGGAAGACGAGGAGGAGTTTCGGGAACCGGAACGTGCTTTTTAGAGCATTCTTTCTCTTTCTTTTCGTCGTTTTGGATGCAAGCAGCGAGGACTTTTCGGAGTCCAAATCATCGTACGTTTTGTTCTCGTCGTCGTCGTCGTCGTCCTTTTTGTTGTTCCCGCCCAAGAAGGAGCGGCGCATAGTTTTTAATGAAGAGATATGGAGGAAAATTCGACGCACTTCTTCTAAGAAAAAACGTTCAATTAAATTCTAATGCGCAAGCGTCTGCTCTCTCTGTTACGACTACTTTACTACAAATACATTTTCTTGAGACTCTTCTTGGTGACCAATGTCGAACACGTCGGACACGGACCGGACGAAGAAGAAGAGCTTGTTGTGTTGTTTTTATTGTTGTTTGGCGCTTTCTTGGCTTCCGCGCTGCTTTTCGCGAAGACGGCGTTGAAGCACTTGTAACAGGCAAAGTGGCCGCAGACGATCGATTGGAAAGGCCGGTCGCACTTGGAGGCTTTGCAATGGTCGCACGAGGTTTTCTTTTTTGCAGCTTTTTGCGGAGCTTGAGATGAGGAGGAAGGTTTGGTGGTGAGAATCGATTTGAGTTCTCCCGAAATGGAATCTTCTTTTGGCGGTCTCGCGAGGCGTCCGAAGATATTTTCGACGCCGGCGTCGATTTTCGGTTTTGGAGGAGGAGGAGGTTGCGATGATTGTACGAGCGGTGGAATCGTTGCTGCTGTCGCCGCCGCCGTCGTCGTTGTTTTCTCTGCCATTTTCCGTTTCGCGTTCTCCTCGAACCCGTCGTAGGCTTTCTTTGCCGCGTCTTTCAACGCCAAGCTGGTTCCGATGGCTGCCCACAAAGTTGAAGGACCGACGCCTCGTTTCTCGATTTTGCACAATTTCGCGAGCGTTTTCATGGACTCGTGCAGCGCGACGTCCGACGAATCCGCGCTGACGGCACTTTTCATAACCTCGACAAACTTCGGAAAATCTTCCGGCGGGAGTTCGGCGCGCGCCCTTTTGACGAGCTTTTGTTTCGCCAACATCGCCTTATCGACGACGTTGGCGTTTCCGAGAGCTCCACTACCACGAATATTACCGACGCCGCCGCCGGCAAGCTTTGTCGTGTTGTCTCTATTGCCACCGGATTTGAGTAACCTGGACGCTAACGAACCTCCACCGCCGCCGCCGCCGCCGCCGCCGCCGCCGCTAAATAAAAAGTTTCTTCTCTCCTTTTCCTCGTCCACCTCGTTCTCGTTCTTATTCGTATTATCATCATTATTATTATTCAACGCGTTCATGAGCGCAAACGGTAGCGAGGTATCTGAAGCCCGAGATTTCTTCGAAAAGTTGGTATCTCTTCGAGCGTGGTGTTGTTGTTGTTGTTGTTCGCCGTTAGTATTGCTGCTCTTTTTCTGCCGTTGACCTGCAAAATCCGCCGTTTTGTCGTTCTCGCTTTTGCGTTGGAGGAGCGGTCCTTTGCGTTTCTTCTTCTTTGCCGATTTCTCCGCCGCGGCGAGCATGAGCGCGCTGTTCGGGTTCCCGCACCGCTCAAAAAACGCGGATAAACTTTCTATGCCTCTTTCAAACGTATCGAACGTTTGCATCGCCGGTCGAAGCCATAAACTTAACTGACTCTGATGATTTCGATACGCGAATCGCTCGTCCGCTAAGATGACCGCGCCAAAGTCGTCCTTATGACGGATGACGCGTCCTATCGCTTGGTTCGTCGCGCGCATGGCGGTTTGCGAATACCACTGTTCTCCGCTCGTAATGTTGCAACTTTGATGCGTGTTGTTTCGTTTGTGAACCATTATGGCGGCGTCGAGAAATTCGCGCTTGTATCGAACGCGCGCCGAGGCTTTCGGCGCGTAGGGGATGCCGGTCAAAATAACCGCGCGTCCCGCTTTATCGGCAAAATCGATGCCTTCGGAGACTTTTCCTCTGCAGACGGCGAGGAACATAGCGCCACCTTTCGCGGCTAAGGTGACGGCTGTTTCGTCGTCCTTCGCGCTTCCGTCAGTATTCGTCAAGCCTACTTTACTCCAACTGTTCGTTTTCGAACGTTCGAGCGCTTTGTTGAAAGACTCGAACGCTTCTAAAAACGCATCGCTCTCTTTCGGTTCCACGACCAACGTTTTCTTCGTCGTGCGCGCGATATCGTTCCAGATGGACGTTCTCGTCTTCCAAAATTCGATGCATTTTGCCATGACGCCATAACTCGGGAAGAACACCAAAACGCCGTCCGGTGTCACGCGAGCGACGCGCAGGATTAACAACCCGAGCTCATTCTTATACTGTTCGGTATCTCGAAAGCGATAGCTGGAATTCAAAGAAACCGCATTCGACGGTCCTTTCAAAAACGCGCCGGCCCAAACATTTTCTTGAGGGATGACGTGCGGATTCTCTAACCGAACCGGGAACGGCGCGCGAAGCTCGGAGGCGAACGAATCCATCGGCGATAACGTCCCCGAGGCTAACAAGAGCGATTTGACGCCCAATTCGCACAGTTCGTTCACGATGACGCCTGGAACCATGCACCAAAAAGACATCGTCGGTCCTTTCGCGAGTCGTTTGTTTTCTCTTCCGTCGTCGTTTTTCTTATTCCACGTGCTGCTAAACTCTTCCTCCGGAGGTCCCACGCGCGAGCGATAACACTCGATCAAACCTTTTTGTTTCGCTTCAAACGCGCGGTCGAGAAAATCTTTGACTCTTTCCAGACCAGCGCCAGAGCCTTTGCCAATTTCTTCAGCTCTCATTGATACTACATTCGCCGCGTCTTCGCACACTTCGATCATTTGCGCGTACGTATCCATGTTGATGTTCACCTTCGCTAAAAGATCAAATATGAACCACCCGTCTCTCGACGAAGGTAACGTTTCGCCTTTCCTCACTCGCTCTTGATCTTGCGCGCACACGATTGCAATTTCTCTCTCCAACGCCGCAAAGATACCACGCAAGGTCAAATAATCACCCGCGCTTCGAGTCGGATACGTGCCTGTTTTCTTCGAATCTTTTTTTTCCTCTTTGGATAATCCCTCCATGCTTTCCTCGATCATGCTATAATACTGAAACGCGGCGTCGGCGTCTTTAATCGCGTTCGCAACGTGCACCGCAGTCAAGTCTCTCGAGGCGGCTTCTTCGCACGCCGATTCCGCGTTGTGCGCTTCGTCAAAGATAACAATCGAATTGTGCCAATTCATCACGGTGTCACCTAATGCACGTTTTCGCACTCCCGCGTCTAAGATGTACGAATACGGCGCGAAAATTATCTCCGCGCCTCTCGTCATCTCTCTCGCTAAATAATACGGACACGGACCATTCGCTCTCTTCCCTTCTTTCACCAAATCTTCGATGTCCATGATTGAACCCTTTCCTTTCCCGTCGTCATCGCCGCCGCCATCGCCGCCGCCGCTTTTACTACTTTTACTACTTAAAACGTCCTCGTTTGGTAGTTGACTTAAAATCGAACCCGCTCTTTCCTTCGTACCAAAATCGTGGTGGTTCGTCGTCCTTCCGTACCCGAGACTTCCTCCGTTAAACTCCCCTCCCCATTGATTCGCGAACCACCCATTCACGACGTCAATCCCAAACACTCGCTCCATGTGCGTACCAACGTTCCTCTTCTTATCACACTTCCCGCTATTGCACGCGATTTTACACAACTTCTCCGCGCCTCTCTTATTCCCATCGCCCATCTTCTTCGCCGCTTCCGCGACCCACTCGTTGACGCACAACTGTTTCCGCGAGCCGACGACGCTCGAGCGCGGCGCGTACTCGGTCGCTTTCAATTCCGAAATCACTTGTTGTAACTGACTGTGCGTTCGAGAGACGTAGACTATGGTTACTTTCGATGGTTCCCCGCCTGTATACTCCTCTTTCACGCCCTTCGTTCGCTTTAACTCCAAATCCTCCTCCTTTTCCTCCTTTTCCTCCTTCTCCGTATCTTTCCTTTTCTTCGTATTCTTCTTCTTCGTATTCTTTTGTTTAATTCGTTGTTTTTCCTCGTGCTCGGCGAACGCTAAAGTCGCGCAGAGTAAACACACGGTCTTCCCGGTCCCGGTTGGTGATTCTAACAAAGCGTTCGTGCCTTCACGCAAGGCGAAAAGGATCTTTTCCATCATGACGATTTGCGACGGGTACGGCTCGGGAAACGGAAATTTTACCGAATACGAAACGTTTTGGACGATGATTTGTATCGGAGGAGGAGGATGAGCACGACTTTTAGGAGGAGGAAACATTTGGTCCTTCCGTAAATATTCCGTCTGAAAGAGAGAGAGAGAGAGTGTTTTGGTGGGGTGTCTTCTTCTCTCTCGCGCAAAGTGTGTTGGTGTGAATTTTGAAATTTGTGTGGAGAGTTTTGAGCAGATTTTTCTCTTTCTTAATATGACTGATATGTATCGCGATTATTGGGGTGATTATTACACGCGTTCTCAAAACGCTTTCTCTCTCTCTCTCTCTCTCTCTTTGGTTGCGTCGTCGTTTTATCGTCGTCGTTCTTTTGTATCATGATATAAATGTGAGCGGCGAAGAAGCCGGACACCGCCCAAGCGAAAGATGGTCGGTATCGTCGCTCTCATCATTGTAACTCGTTCTCCAGATGCGAGTATTCGAACAGAAAGTCCGGTTTGCTTCGCTGACACCACCCTCGGACGCTTCCGTATTCGTCCCGGCTTACGGCGTGGTCGAAGTAGACGTACGCGCCTTGCTCGAATTCTTCATTGGAGACTTTCGGTTCCTCTCGTCGAGCGAACCAGGCGCTGTATTTTTTGTGGAACCGCCAGTTGGCGCGTTTCAACTCTCGAGCGGCTAAGTACTGTTGAGGGGTGCCTTGTTGGTGGTAGAAGGAGAAGAAGAGCGCGTCGGCGTCTAAGCGTTCGAATAAAGCCGGGTTTTCCAAAACTGGGTATAAATTGTTCCCGTTGCCGTCGAGGAGAGTGGTCGGGTAGGAAGGCGGAATCGGCGCTTGGGGCGCGCGGCGAACGCGTCTGGTCCAGACGCCGTCCGAGGCGGACGGGAGAAGTCTAGAGGAGGCAGAAGCTTCGAGGAGACGGAGACGCGAGGACGGGTCGCCGTGCGCGACGGTAGCCGTGGAGGCGGCGCTCGCCCCTCCTCCTCCTCTTTGTTGTTGCTGCTGTTGTTGTTGCTGCTGCTGCCGTTGTTGTTGTTGTTGCTGTTGTTGTTGTTGTTGCTGCTGCTGCTGTTGTTGTTGCTGCTGTTGTTGTTGTAGCGCCAAGGTGGAGTTGATGCTATTATTGCTCGCGTTGTTTATGGATTGGGCGCTACCGGATCCGGATTGCATGCCGCTTCCAGATAATCCTCGTCGCATGGACGTGGACATTTCATTCAACGATCGCGCGCCTTGACTCGGGTTGTCGAAGACCTCGTTCGCAGTAAACGCCGCGTTGGCGGCTTCCGCGACGGATTGTTGTTGATTTGCGTCGGATGATAACGGTCTCGGTCCAGGTGGAAACGCTTGTTGCGCGGCGTTGCCGTCTTTGATACCTCCCGGTCCCGGTGGCGCGTTGGAATTGTTATTCGGTCTCGGTATGGGTTTCCCGGCGGCGGCGGCGGAACCGCTCCCGACTGCGGCGTTATTCCCGCCGTTCCCAGACCCCACGCCGTCGGCGTCCAAACCTTTCGGCGCGGGAAACCGAGATCCCCACTGATTGACGCTTTGTTGTTCCTGTTGCGCAGCTGCCGCGGCCGCGGCTTTCGGACTCAACACCGGCGCCGGCGGTACCACTCTCGGCTTTGGCGGTTCAATCTTCGACGATCCTCCGCTCAAGGCTGTTTGCAACTGCTGCGGCGATCCGGACGAGGCGTCTTGTCCGGACTCCTCGTGTAACTGCTTCACGTTCGTCACCACTTTCACGCTTTCTTTCGTCGCCAACTCTTCCAAATTTAAACTCTCGTACATATCGTCCACGACGTCAAACTCGTCGAAATCTTCTTGATTCCTCTCCAAATAATCTTCTATCAAATCCCGCACGTCGTCCGCCTCTTCCGCCGGCAACGTCTCGTTCTCCACCAATCGCATCATGATTTCCAAATTCAGCGTGTGCGCCTTGTGTCTTTGCACCGACTCTTCCAATCTGTTCACTTTCTCTTCGTTCCCGTTGTTCGTATTCTTCCCTTTCCTTTTACTCGGTTTCGCGGCTTCCAACTGCAACACCTCAATCTCCGCCTCGAACGCGTCCGACTGATTCGACAACTCCTCCACCACCGTGGACAACCACTCCTTCGTCTCTCTTCTCCTCTTTTGTTCCGGAGTTTCGTTTTCCATCTTCTCCAATCCGTGTTTACTAAACGCTTTCGTCTTCGATTGCCTTTCGACCATTTTAAACCTCTCCATGTCGATTTCAATTTTCCGCTTGTATTCGTTCAAAGACGTCTTGTCTTTAATCGCGGTATCCGCGGACCAGTTTTTGATCTGGTCCCGGAATTTTTGCAGTTTTTTCAGCTCTTTCTTCAAGTCCGCCTAATAATAAGAATAAGAATAGAATTGTGTCAGCGTCATCCGAACGTCGAGAAATAAGAGGAAAATCGAGGTTTTTGCTCCTCTTTCAGGAAAGAAGAGAATTCAATTTTCAACAATTGGGGGAAAACCAATCACATATCAATATATCCTTTCCTTTCCTCTCTCTCATCGAGCGCGCAAAAAGAGAGAAGGACAAAACGCTCTCCGTGAAGAATTTAGTTCTCGTTCTTGAAAAGAGTCTTTCTTTTCTCTTTTCTCTTCTTTGAAACGTGTAAAAAGAAAAGCAATTAAAGATACAATTTTACAGTTAATGTACAAATTGCGCGGCGGAACAAAATGGAAAATGCAATCGGTGAATAATAGTACCTCGTATTTCTCCTTCAAACTCGAATCGCACTCCTTCAACCGATCGAAAATTTGCTGAAACACCTCCTGCTGCTCGTCCACCTTACGAAAGGTCTTGTCGATTTCAGCCTGGAGCTTACGTATCGTCGCCATGATGATTTGTATTCGATTCTCTTTTTTTGTGCGTTAAAAGTGCGAAGAATTGGGAGGTGAAGTGACCTGAAAATACTTCGTCCGAGCGCGTACGTACCGCAGAGAGAGATATAGTACAAAGATTAAATGTGATGGTTTTACAACGAAAACAACCTACAAAACAGAAATATGCCGAGATAGTATTGTTATTGCGTCTCTTTCTCTTTCTTTCTTTCTTTCTTTCTTTCTTTACGCTCTCGTTCTCCTTCTTCTCCCTTTCGCCATATGCGAGAAAGGAGCTTCTCGCCAAATGCGTTTTTTACTAAACGCGATGGTTTCTCTCTCTCTTTGCACCCGCAAAACGCGCTCTTTTTATCGACTCTGCGACGACGAGTAGTTTTGTTGTATTCGAAACAACTTCTACTCTGAATGTTTACGCCGGCAGAGCGTCACTTTTTTAGCGCGCGCTTTTCGTCGCGTACGTGTACAACTAACTCCTCTTCTTCTTCTCTTTCTCGTTTTCCCGGGAAAAGCCGCTTCGCTTTGCCCGGCGCCGATTTCGCGAGAGGGAGAGAGAGAAAGAGAGCGAAAGACGAGAGCGACTTCCGGACAACAACGTTTGTCTCGGAGTTACCCGCACCCTCCGCCGCTTCCATCATCCCCACCACCAAACATCTCCTTCTCCGCTTCCGCGACGCGCTCTTCCAACATCTCCACGATCTCTTCCATTTTAATCGGGAGTGTAGATCCTCCTCCTCCTCTCGTCTCGAATACTGTTCGATCTCGAAACTCCACTCGAAAATATTCCTCCTCTTGGTTTTTTTCTTCTTCTTCTTTCTCGTTCCCTCTGACCATGACCGATGGAAACGCCATCTCGATCGCGTCCGCCATCTCGATGTACGTGTCTAAATACTTCGTCTCTGGATGGTAGAGAATGTCCACGTGTAAAGGATCCGGGGCGGATAAGGAGTTGCGTCACGCGTAGTGGCGAAATTGTTGGTGTTGGTGATGATGATGATTAAGTGGTACGCGACGGGGAAGAGAAGGCGTGGAAATCTTCTTCTCAGCAGGCGATGATGAATACGAATGGAAACAACTACGCGTTGGTGGTGTCACCCCCGGAGAAGTCGATGATGATGATGATGATGATGTTGTTCTCGTCGTCTGCGGAATACTACCGATGCAGCGATGAAGAACGCGGCCGAAACTGCTTGCGCTGCTTTGACCTCCACTCAATAAAGGTGAAGAAGCTGCAACAGCAGCTCGGAGCGCTCGTTCTTTGCTCCTAAACGTCGTCATCAAAGACGTCATTAGTTCTGCGGCATTTTATCCAAAATGTGTTCAGAGATACGAATACTTTTATAACTCTGTAGTATTAATAGTACGGGTTCAGACGATGATCAAAAACAACATTACTGATGATGATGATGATTTTAATCTCTGGTGGTGGACCGTCTCCTCGTATCTCGCGTTCTTTCTCCTCTTAATAGCACGGTTTGTGGTGCCACATTCAGGGGAAATGTTCCATTGGAAACCAAATGAAAGAAGAAGAAGATTTGCAATGAACCATCGAATTTGCGGGGCGATGCACTTACTCGTTCTCGTTTTCGGAGGTGTGCATCTTATGCTTTTGTCCTCCTATAATACGTCGTCGTCGTTTACGTCGTCGTCGATGAGTCGTCTTGCGGTTGTTGCATTTGACCTCGTGTTAGGTTTGAGCGGGATTCTGGTCACGCGCACGGCGGTGAAGGATTTCGGCAAGTTGCACTCCCGAGTGCGAGAGAGACGAACAAAATCGAGCGGCGTGTTACACGAGACGAAAACAGTCGCGACGGAGGAAATGGAAGAGCACTTCTTTTACCAAATGGTAAATTTGACGCAGGTTTTGTATTTGCACTTTTGCGAAACGTGCGACGGGAAGAACGCGCGAACGCTGGCGCTCGTATTGAGCACCTGGAGCATTTGGCGGTATCGCGATCGGTTTCCGGTGAATTCGTTTTCTCGAAACTACGAAGGCGGCGAAAACGGAAGGTGGTTTGAATCCGTGGAGAACTTTTTGTATCGAGCGAAGAAATGGCAGTACGTGTTTTACAAGACGTGCTTGTTGCACGGGTTGAACGTTTCCAGCGCGATTTTTGGGAGTAGTCGTAGTAGTAGTAGTAAGACGACGACGATTTTGACGACGCACGGCGAGCGCTTTCAACTGTATTGGTTGTGCTTGAACGCGAGTTACGTGATGGAGTTCTTTTTGCAGACTTTGGTGAAGAAGAAGTACGGCACGCAGTCGAACGCGTTGTTGATGAATCAATTTTTGATGGTGGTTTCCTCGCTTTCGGCGTTTCCGGTCGTCGTGCGCAGAGTACACCCGATTGCTTTCGTTGCGGCGTTGGCGTTGAATTTTCTCAATCGGAAACAGGAAACGGCGAATGTCTGCTTAACGTGTGTGGCGTGTGTCGTATTTGATAGGTATGTAAAAATATAAACGCGTGCGCGCGCGCTAGATTAGTAGTAGATGTAGTAATAAAGTTGATTCATCGCTTGACGTGTTTAATCGCCCTCTCGATCTTCTCTTTCGCTATTTGGATCTCTTTTCTATCTCTGTCGTCTAAAAACTCCCCGCCGTCCTCTTCCTCGTCCCGAAGCATTCGTTCGGCCATTTTTAGCAATCGAACCGCTTCTCTTCCATCTCTCGGCGTACTTCTCAACAACCATCTCGAAGCATCGTACAACTCTTCGATTTCTTCTCTGCGCCTTATTGTTGTTGTTGTTGTTGCTGTTGTTGTTGTTGTTCCCGTGTTGCTAATTTCTCTCTTCGCCGCTCTCGCTCGGTCACTCTTACCCGACGGCGTCGTCGACGGCGCCTCGTCCGCGCCATCATCGTCATCATCATCGTTCCTCTTTTCCTCATCTTTTCTCTTATTACTGCTAGTATCATTCCTCTCGTCCACATCCACTTCTTTCTCTTCTTCTTCTTCTTCATCATCATCATCATCTGCGTTATTCCCCCTACTGCTATACACCATCTCCATCGCGCGTTCTCTCGCGTTTTCCAACGTCTCCCTTGCCCGAATCGCCTCCAAAGGGCAACACTCGATCGCTTTTTCGAATTCCCCTAAAGCTTCTTTCGCCGCGCGTTTTTGTTCTTTTCGACGTTGTTCCAGCGATGATAAAGAGTCCTCCTCCTCTCTTCTGCTTTGTCTTCTTCTCAGCAACTCCAAACCTTTCCTAAAGTGTTTGTCCGCTTTCTTCGCGTCCCTCTTTACATTCGTTTTGCTTTGGGGAAGGCGGAGGTCAAATTCGTGACTCGTAGTCGCAGTCGCAGTAAAAGCAGTACTGCTCTCCTCTCTCACCGCCAACGCGTGCGCGCTCGATTGTATCCGACTCTCCAACGCGACCATCAACGCGTCCGCGTCCGCCGAGACTCGTTTCAGGGACGTCACGACCGTCGTCGATGTTTGCATATTTGATTCTTTTTTTTATTAATTGGTGTCGTTGTTGTGAAGGATGATTTTCGAGACACACGCGCAAGCACAATCCCCTAAAACTGAGGAAAATCGCCTCTAAATGACGCTTCTTTTGATGCACAGTTATGCGAAAATATACTTTACACGCAATCAGTACAGCGATGATCGCTCACAGCTTTTCACTTTCTTTTTATATTGATCTTACGGCGATGCGTTTCGTTGAATCCCCTACTAATACGTGTGTTGTTAAAATTATTAAACGAGAAAACGCTCGTTCGTTTTTTTTTTTTTGCTTCTTCTTCATATTTTTGTATCTACTCTAAAATACTAACAAACACCTAATACACACACACACACTACTACAATCATGGCGTTAACTCGATCTTTACTCACGCCGTTCTCGCTGTCCCAGATGGCAGAACAAGGTGGAAGAGGAGGAGGTTTGTTGTTGTTTCGATCGTCGTCTTCTCGTACGTGCGGCGGCAAAAGCGCTTTCAATTCGATTTTGAGAGGAGGAGGAGGATTTGGAAGACCTTCTTCGAAGAAAGCTTTTTCCGCGCAAGTCGCGCGCGCGGAGAGCGAACAAGAAGGAGGCGGACAGATGGAGAGACAACAACAACAACCGGAACAGCGCGTGTCGATGACGTCGTCGCCCATGAGAGGCTTGCTGAGTCGCATGTTGAGCGATCCGTACGGAGGTAAAAGATATGCGCGTTTCGTGTTGTTCTTTTGTCTTCTCTTTGTCTTCTTCTTCTTTCTCGCGCGTATATCGCGCAAAATGCGCTCTTTTGATTTTAGATACAAAAACTGACGCGAGAGATACGAATCTAAAATTTTCTCCTTGATTTTCCTTGAATAGGAGCACTCGGCCCGCGACGCCGAAGAGGAGGCATGATGGACACGTTTCTGAACGACCCGTTCTTTCGCGACACCGAGGCCATCACCTCGTCCTTTCTGCACTCCATGATCCCGAAAGACACGGTTTCGAACATGAACCAATTCGATTTCTTAGTCGACATCGTCGAGAAGAAGGACAAGTTTCACTTATCCGGTGAGCTTCCCGGGTGCAACGTCGCCAACGTGGACGTGAAAGTCGATAAAGACAACAACTTACACATCAGCGCGATGAAGTCTATCAAACACGAGGAGGACGAACAGTCACCGGACGGCTCGGTGAAGTGGCACGCGATCGAAAGGTCCTCGGGTAAAGTCGAGCGCATCTTCGCGCTTCCGGAAGCGGCGGACGCGGACAAAATCGATTGTTCGATGAAAGACGGCGTGCTTTCCATCGACATCATGAAGAAACCCGAGTTTGTCGGTGAACCGAAAGAGTTGAAAGAGAAGGAGATGAAGAAGATTCCGATTAAAGGCGCGTGACTGTTATCGCGTTCGAGGTTGTGATTGGATCGTCGAAACAGACGGACAGAGAGACAAGAGAGACAAGACAGAGAGACATACTTCAATTTTGAAAAGAAAAAGACAGACAAAACGAACAAACAAAAAAGAGATACAAAACGTCACAAATAAAAAGCGCGCTTTTTTCACACGCATCAATCAGAACAACAAGAACAAGAACAAAAATGTCACTCATTCCTCGCGGATTCTGGAACCCGTTCGTGGGCGAACAACGCGCCGGAGCGGCTGGTCCTTTGAGCGGTGCGTGTATTGATGATAACCCCTTAAGCGCTTTTTTATTTTCGTATCTCTCTTTCTTCTTCCGAGTATTTTTTCCCAAGCTGTTGTGGTTCTCTTTGAGCGCGCGCGCGATCGAAAGAATAAAGCGCAACACTTTCCGAACAACGGAGAAAAAGATCGACGAGGAGAGCGTTTTTTGTCGATGCGACCATCATCCGTGATCGCTTTTGTCGATGATGAAGATTATTCGTTGTTTTTCCTCCCTCCGAGAGTGTAAATAGAGACCTCTTATTTCTCCCTCTTCTTTGTATCTACTCATACAACAACGCTTATTATAGGATTATTCGGCCGAAGAAGATTTACGCCGGACCCGTTCGATCGCTTATTCGGTGACGACGACGCCCTAATGACGAGTTCATTTTTGGACTCGATGATCCCACGCGAACATATTAGCGACATGAATCAATTCGATTTCGTCTGCGATATCGTCGAGAAGAAGGATCGATACACGTTATCGGGCGAACTCCCGGGTTGTAACGTGAAGAACGTGGACATCAAGATGGATAAAGACAACAACTTGCACGTTTCGGCGCACAAGTCGACGAAACATGAGGAGGAAGACCAGTCTAGAGATGGGCGCATGAAGTGGCACGCGATCGAAAGGTCCTCGGGTAGAGTCGAACGCATCTTTACTCTCCCGGAAGGCGCCGATCCCGAGAAGGTCGAAGCGTCGATGAAGGACGGGATTTTGACTATTGACGTGAAGAAGAAACCAGAAGCGATCGGGGAACCGAAGGTGGAAGAAGAAGGGATGAAAACTATTCCGATCAAAGCTCAGTGAGGGCAAACGCCGGAGAAAGACGAGAGGGGAGGGCAAAAAGGAGAGGAGGATGTTTGCCAAGACGAAGGAGACGAAGAGGAGGAGTCCAGAAAGGTGGAGTTTTTCTCCTGGCATAAGAGGAAAAAGGAGAAGGATTGAAGAACAGACAGAGAGAGAGAGACACGATAAGAAAGAACATACATTTATAAAACACAAACAGACGTGAAATGTAAGCACATATACACTCATTTTTCTTAAATACGTATATTATTTTTGTTACCCGACGACGACTTCATTGTTGTTGTTGTTGTTAAATTACTCCCACTCGATGGTACTCGGCGGTTTGCTCGTGATGTCGTACACCACCCGATTCACTGCTCTGACTTGATTTGTGATTCGATTCGAAACTTCTTGCAAAAACTTCGGTTCGAACGGGTACCAATCTGCAGTCATACCGTCGTTACTCGTGATCGCTCTCAGACCGACAACGTGACTGTGCGATCTTTGATCGCCTTGGACGCCGACGGATTTAATCGGCAAGTGCACCGCGAAGGCTTGCCAAATCTCGTCGTATAAACCAAACTCTTTGATGGCGTTGATGTAAATCTCGTCTACTAATCTCAACGTTTCCAACGCGTTGTTCTCTGTAACGTCGCCTAAGATTCTAACCGCCAATCCAGGGCCCGGGAACGGGTGTCTCGCCACGAAATTTCTCGGCACGTCCATGATTTTTCCTAAACGTCTCACTTCATCTTTAAACAACACTCTCAACGGTTCAATCAACTCGAAGCCGAGTTCTTTCGGTAAACCTCCGACGTTGTGGTGCGATTTAATCGTGTGCGAATGTTTTTGATCCGACCCGGGTGGCGGACAGGATTCGATCACGTCCGGGTATAACGTCCCTTGGACCAAAAATTTCGGCACGACGCCGGTTTTCTTCTCCACCGTTTTCTTGTATTCCTTGAAGCACTCTATGAACTCTTTCCCGATAATTTTTCTCTTCCTTTCCGGATCGGACACTCCTTTCAACTCGCTCAACATTTTCTCCGTGATATCCACGCAATCCACCGGCAAGTGCAGCTCGTTTTTGAACATCACCATCACCCGTTCGGCTTCTTTATACCTCAACAACCCGTTATCGACGAAGCAGCAATGCAATCGATCGCCAATCGCTCTGTGCACCAACGTCGCCGCGACGCACGAGTCCACCCCACCACTCAACGCGCAAATCACGTGATTAGTCTCGCCAACTTTTTCTTTCACGATTTGAATCTGCTCTTCCAAAACGTTCGCCATGGACCAACTTCGTTCGCACTTTGCAATGTTAAACAAGAAATGTTTCAACGTTCGCATCCCTTTCTCGGAGTGCGTCACCTCTGGGTGATACTGCAAACCGAACAAATTCTTCGTCTCGTGTTCAATTGCAACCACGCATCCTTGCTCGCTCTTACCGATGCATTTAAATCCGTCCGGCAACACCGTCGCCTCGTCCCCGTGCGACATCCAGACGTTTTGCGGCTCAATATCTTCGCCGAACAGTTTCGTGTGCGTCGGAATATCCACCACCGGCATCCGCCCAAACTCACCTTTCCCTAACCCTTCCACTTTCCCTCCCAAGCAGTGCACGATCAGTTGCATCCCGTAACAAATCCCTAAAACTGGAATCTGCCTCTTCTCGCACTCCTCCCAAAAGCCATCCGGCACAGAGGGTGCGCCTTTCACGTGCACCGAGTTTGGCCCGCCGCTTAAAATAATCGCGGTTGGTTTGTTCTCCTCGAACACGCGTTTAAAAGTCGCATCCCCGGGGAGTAAAATGGAATACACTTCCACCTCTCTCACTCTCCGCGTGATGAGCTGCGTGTATTGCGACCCGTAGTCCAGAATCACCACTTGCGACGTGACCGCTTGCGTCATTTAAGAGAAGAGATGAGTGGAGTTTTCTAGGATGAATCCTTTTTCACTAAAACTCGTTTAATAAAACGAACGAACAAAGCGTGATTATTATTCGAAAGAGAGAAAGAGAAAGAGATCTGTCTTCTCGCCTCGTTTAATGAATCGTGAACGTGCGTTAAGTGTGTTACGTGCGTCACGTGTGTAGTAAATAATAAGGAGACTTGCCGGCCTTTTCAAAAATTCAAAAATACTCAAAGTAACATTTTTTGTCTGTGTCATCTCACATCATCTCAGATGTTCTTTTTACGCGTCTTTTATGTCTTCTTCATCCACGTTATTGCGCACTAAGTCCCACCTGGCTTTCTTTTTCTCCATGAATCTTTTTACCGGGGTGAAGTTTTGAATCAGTTTCTGTTGGAAGAGGGAGATTTTTTGCTCCAAAGAAGAATGAAGAAAAGTACTTTTGTCGTCGCTTCGAGGAGGACTTTGAACCCGAAAGAGGAAGAAGAGGCTGTGGACGAAGACGTAGGCGATGGCGTAGGCGACGCAGGAGTAGATGAACTTGTCGTCGTAGTTTCTTACTATCGTCGCGTTGGTGGTGACGAAGGTGGAGTGCGACGACGACGTTGAAGACGCCGCCGTGGTCATGGCGGTACCGAGACATTTACCGATTTGGTCGACGTAGTAGTTCAGGAAATACGCGCTCTCGATGCCAACAGCTTCGATGCCGTTGTTTGCAGCGTTCCAAACAATAGCGCTTCTCAAGCGCAAAGAGAGTTCACACAAAGCAGTAAACGTCGCCGATAAGAACAGCTCGGAAAATGCCTCGTGGTGCCAGAGTTTGTAGCAGAAATTTTCGCGAGCGACTTTGTCGCCGGAACATCTTTTCGCCGCTCGGATGTATCTCTCCGCGGAGATTTTAATCGAAGTTTTGAGTTTTGCATAGAAAAGCATATATTTTTCGTCGTCGTAGTCGTCGTCGACGTCGTCGTCCGTGGTCATTTCTAACTTTTTTACCTCCTCCTCGTCGTCGTCGTCAGTTAACGAGGCTTTTCCTGGGGAGGAAAACAAAGCTCTCGTGGGCATCGACGTCGACGACATCGGCGTAATTGGCGTAGGTTCCGAATACTCTCGTTCTTGTTCTACTGCTATTATCACTTCTTCCTTCTTTGGAGAAGGATGAACGCTCTCTACTTCTTCTTCTTCTTCTTCTTTGCCGTTGTCTTCATCGTCGTCGTCGTCGCTACTATTACTACCACCACCACCATCACCGCAGATTTGTTCATCGATTAGAATTCTACTCGATCCGGGCGAAATTCCACTCGCCGAGGCGTCCAGCAGTGCTCGAGTGCGTTGATCGTTGCATATCTTTTGCAACCGTTTCGACGCCTCGGAGATGAACAGAGCGTTTGCGAACGCCGTTTCGTGCGTGTTATCATCACAACTCGCGTTGAAATCCACCGGAGAACTTTTCGGCGTCCTCCCGCACTCAAACTTGGCAGTATCTGCCGCCGGCGACAAAATATCCTCCGCAGCAATAACCGTCGTTCCGTTGTTCGGATAGTTCCACGAGCTAAACATCGTTCGAAGTAACGAAAGCACCGGCGACGTCGGAATCTTACTTTGATTTTGAGTATTCGCATGCGTCGTCGTCGATGATATTTCTGGCGTGAACGTGTTCTTTTCATCTTCTTCTCTGTCGTCGTCGTCGTCTCTCTTGTTAGTATTATTACCGCGTTTGTTCGTGGTCGTCATCGTGTCGCTTTTCTCGTCGTATCGCCCGAACACCATCGAATTATTTCTTCTCGTCGTATTATCACCACCACTCGTTGCGTTCGTCTTATTCAACGAAGGCGAGGCCATCAAAATCGCGTTCGCGTCCAAACACTTCAACGGATAATGGTGATGATGTAAATGATTTTTAGTCGTTGTCGTCTGAATCGTTGATGATAATCTGCTCTTATTCGGAGAGTTTGGCGTGAATACCATCTCTTTATCTCCTCCGTAATACTGCACAAACCCGAACGGTTTTTTAACCGCCCCCCCCAACATTCCATCCCTTCGAAGCGTTGGTGATGCATTCGTCGCAGAAGTAGTCGTCGTCCCTAAAAACCGATCTCGCGCGACGTTGTACTCCGGCGAGTCGTCCACGCGCTTGTCCACAATAGGTCGCATTATTTTTTATTATTAAGGTGTTTGATCTGTTATGAAGGTATACCGAGAACAAGAACGAGTGAAACGATGCTATTTTCGCAAATATTTTTATGAGGAGGACCTTTCCCCTTTGAAAAAGTTGAAAAAAAACAGGAATTTAACACACAGAGAGAAGAAATAAAAAGGGATAATAAAGAATGATGGTATTATTAAAGTTTGCCTGCGACTGATATCGCCGCTCGGCTAAAAAAAAGGCATCGACTAATAATACCCACAACGGGGATCGAACCCGCGGCCATTCGCTTAAGAGGCGAACGCTCTACCGACTGAGCTATGTGGGCAAGGGGTGTTTCTCCCCCCTCTCATCTTATTAATGAGCACAAAACAGTCGATTTTCGAATAGGGTTGGAAATTAACAGTAACAATCATATTTGTTTTAGGGTGTCTGATGAAAAGAAGTGTGCTTTCAAGTCCCATCCTTGGCACGTGAATCTCGAAATAAACGCGGTCGATGTGATGTATACGTCCTACTCTGTGACTTAGGGACGTTGAATGGTACGCGTACGCACAGATGCACACACCAGAGGATCTCGATTTTTTCTTGTTCTTTAAAAGTTGTTGTTTTTCAAAAATTTTCCACTTCTTTTCTACTTCTACTAATACAACTACTACTACAACTACAACTACAACTACCAGCTAAACTGAAGTCAAACTATCACAACACCATTACCTTTTGGAGAAGGCTATACTATATTAATTACAAAACTCAATCACCGCCTCTTCAACTTTCGTCGAAATCTTTTCGCACGTCTCCGCGTCCGAGGCTTCGACGTACACTCTCACGATATCTTCCGTCCCGGAAGGACGAACGAAAGCTCTTCTGTTGTTGTTTTTGACACACGAATCCAACAAAAGTATCTCATCGATCCTTTGTTGTAACCCTTCCGGTTTCAAGCACTTCCTCTCGCTGTCGAAACACTCAATCACCGTTCGATCTCGCACCTTCACTTTGCTTTGTTTCGTGGGCAAATCGCGGTACATCGCGTGCCACTCCTGGAAGGGCATGTTCCCTTTCTTCCGCAAAATCCCTTCAATTAACAATACCGAACTTATGGCATCGCCGATGGCTGGATTTATCGTTTGAATGGTTGCTTTTAACGTCAACAAAGCCTTCAATTTCGTCGTCAAAATGACACTTTGTATGTGTTTTTCTTCTTCTTTTCTCAAGTGTTGTTCTACAGACATGCGCGTTAACTCATCCACCAACTCCTTTTCAATCACTTTAACAGCCTCGTCGGAAAACAAAGCTGTCCCGTGGCCGTTGGACTCAAAGTACACGCCAATGTCAAAGTGTTCTTCGGCGGCTTTGTGGACGTTCTTCACGCCCGTCTTTGCGCACACGGTTTCCACGCCATTCTTCTCGCAAAACTTCGTAAACGCCCCGTTGCTATACGCCGTGTGTGCAATTCCGAGCGATATCTTGTGCGCCAATCCTGCTAAGAAGAGTTGTTCGATGAGAAAGAAGGCGATCAAAATCGACAGTTTATCGCCATCGCACAACATGAAATTTTGTTTCTTTGATGAATTTTCTCCTTCTTTTCCTTCTTCTTCTCCTTCTTCGATTGAAAAATACACCAATCGATCGCAATCGCCATCGACGGAGGCGCACCTTTGATTTACGAACGAGAGACGAGTCGATGGTGTTTCCGGCGCTCGTTGGTTCTTTTGAACGAAATCAGACCCGCAATTGAGATTAACTGGACCATCGTTCGGACCATTTTTCAAAACCAGCGCAATCTCTTTCGTCGTCGTCGTCGTCGTCGTCGTCGTCGCGCTACGACGACTATTTTCACTACTACTACTATTCTCACGAATCACGTCAAACAAAGCCATCAACTTTTCAAACGCGACGAAACCAACGCCATTGGCGCAATCTATGTGTAACGGAGGCAAGGTCGTCGCGTTCGCTCGTAAACCCTCGACGACATTTTTGCCCTTCTTCTTCTTCTCTTCGTCTTCCTCGATCAAGCTCAAATACCCAACCGCCAGGCGCTTGAAATACGCCAACTCTTGCGTCGCCGCGTCAATCTTTTCCCACAACGATCTCTCCGTCGCATCTTCATCGTTCTTCTCTTCCTGCTGCTTATTATTTTCATAAAACGCCTCCACCGCTTTCCCGTGCGCGTACACGAAATAGTGCAACATCGGCGTCGTGACGACGCCTCGATCGCAAATCTTCACCGCGACGCCGGATGATCTTCCGCCGAGCGCTCTCGCGCCCTCTTTCGCTTTTTCCACCAGTCGTTCCCCGCTCTCTCTCGTGTCCCGGCCGAAATATACCACCGCCGTCTTTTTCGCATCCTCGCGACTCGTTTCCAAAAACGGCAACTTTTCCTCGAAACAGTCTAAAGCGTTTTCCAACTGCGCTTCCGTTTTCGCGTTGCAAATCATCTCGCACGCGCGTTCGTACGCTTCTCCCAATACGTTTCCGTGACCGTCGACAATTTTCAGACCGTTATCGGAAGCCTCGTTGTGCGACGCCGTGACGCAAATCCCCGCCGCGGTAAAAGGAGGAGCATCGTTCGAGTTGTTGTTCGTCGCGTTCGTTCGGGAAAACGCGGCGACGCAACTCGCGATGAATCCGCACCGGAACGCGATTACATCCAACGCGGCGTGATGGCATCGAAACCCAGCCGTGCCGTAGGAAACGTAATTATTCGAAGAAGAAGAACACGCTCTCTCCTCGTTCTCCTCTTTCCCGTGAAGGTCTTTGTCTTCTTCCGAGAGTAAGCAGAGACGGATAAAGTGCCTCCGCGTATCCTGGTCGATGCGTTTTGTCCTCATTTTTTGTGCGGACAACAACGAAAGAGATGTGTTGTGTGTGTTGTTGTTGTTCTCGTTGGTGTTCGGAAAGAGCGCGCTCCGGCCTTGCCGCGACGACGACGACGAGGAGGAGGCGTCTCACGAGGACGAGAACGAGGACGAGAACGCGGGGTGAGGGGGAAAAGCAATTTTGGAGAAAGAAGAAGAACACGACGAAAGTAATTGTAACGGCAACGCATCGTCAAAGCGCACCCGTTGCGGGTGATGATGATTCGCAAGAACAACAACAAATACGCGTTAATAGTAGCTTTGAGAACGATATCGCGCGGCTGAAACCACCGTCTTTTGGGTCGTCGTCGTCTTTATCCTCCTCCTCCTTTAATTCCTCTGTGTTTACGACAACGAAGAAAACGAGAACGAAGAAGAACGAAATCGTCCAAATGTCCTCCTCCGGAAAGAAAACAAAGGACGTGATGAGTTACGCGTACGACGAATCGCGCGTGTTCGACGCGACCACCATCCTTTTCTCCTTGATAGGTTTCGATATATTCTTCCTCGTTGGTTTAACCGTGTGGGTGAACGGCTTGAAACGGAGGTACGAAAACGCGATATGGAAGATCAAACGGTTGGAATCGGAGAAGCGAGACTTAGCGGTGGCGTTTAACTTGGAGAAGGCGGATTTGGTCGATCCTTTGAATACGAATGCGATGAATAACAACCGCGGGCGAAGAATGGCGAACGCCACGGCGGCAACGGTACCGCCATCTCTGGGAGGAGGAGGAGGCCAATCGGGGCCCGCGAGCGCGAACGACGTGCTCCTCCAAGGCTTGAAAGCCGAACGCGACGCGTTGAAGCAAGCGCTGAAATCCGTCCAAGGCGAGTTGCAACGGTACGCGAAGGAAAACGCGACGTTGGAAAATGAGCTCGAGAGGGCTTTGTTCGAGGTGGAGAAGTTAACACCGATAGATTGATTCATAGTATTTTCGATGCATTTTCGATGTTTGTTGTAGATATATCGCCGCAAAAGCGCACATCAAGTTTGTACGTATACTCTGTAATACTACTACTCGTATAAGGACGAATGAGAAATTTTTCCTTTTTCAACCACTCGCAAAAGTCTGTTTTCTGCATAAAATTTGACGCTTTAGCGCTTAAAAGAAAAAAAATGCCCGCAGCTTTACCAACCGTGACGGTTCAAAACGGGAACGGCGCCTCTGTCGCGCTCCCGGAAGTTTTCACTTCGCCGATCAGACCGTACGTTTCTTCTGAAATCGTCTTTTTTATGGTCGCGTCTTCGAGCGCGGTCTGTCGTTGCGTTACATGATGCGCTTGTTTTTTTCGTGGGGTTTTCGATTTATATGCGGAAAATTTCGCGAACGAACGCGCTCTAAAGCCATGAGACGCGACCGCGCTCGAAGCTTTTAAACGATCGAATCGCGCGTCACAAACACCATTCTAACCGATTCTTTCCTTTTCCTTTCCAATTATTTTTATTATTATTAAACAACAGTGATATCGTCAATGCCGTGCACACCGGATTGAACAAAAACTCGCGTCAAGCGTACGCCGTCTCCTTGGAAGCGGGTCACCAAACCGCCGCAGAGTCCTGGGGTACCGGTCGCGCCGTGTCTCGTATCCCGCGTGTTCCGGGTGGTGGTACTCACCGCGCCGGTCAAGGGGCCTTCGGTAACATGTGTCGTGGTGGTCGCATGTTCGCGCCGACCAAGACGTGGAGAAAGTGGCACCGCAAGGTGAACTTGAAGGAGAAGCGCTACGCCGTGTGCTCCGCGTTGGCGGCGTCGGCGGTGCCGGCGTTGTTGATGGCGAGAGGTCACAGAGTCGAAAACGTGCCGGAAGTGCCGTTAGTGTTGGACGATTCCTGCGAAGGTACGACCAAGACGAGCGAGGCGATTAAGATTTTGAAGGCGTGCGGCGCGTTTGACGACATCGAAAGAGTCAAGGCGTCCAGAGCCGTCAGAGCGGGTAAGGGTAAGATGCGTAACCGCAGATACGTCCAACGTAAAGGTCCGTTAGTTGTATACGCGAACGATTCGGGTATGACCAGAGCGTTTAGAAACATTCCGGGCGTTGAGTTGTGCTCGGTTGACAGACTCGGTTTGTTGTCTTTGGCGCCGGGGGGTCACTTGGGTAGATTTATCATCTGGACGAAGAGCGCGTTTGAAAAGTTGGACGGTGTCTTTGGCACCAAGGCGCAAGCCAGTTCCTCCAAGAAGGGATGGAAGCCCCCGGCGCACATCATGACGCAACCGGATTTGAGCAGACTCATCAACTCTGACGAAATCCAATCCGTCGTCAACGCTCCGAAGACTGGCAAGACGAGAGCGCACGCGCCGCTCAAGAGAAACCCGCTCAAGAACAAGGCGGCTATGGACAGACTCAACCCGTACGCGAAGGTTGCCGCGGAAATGCGCCAACGCGCGGAAGCGGAGAGAGCGAAAGCGAAGGCGGGCAAGAAGGCGGGCGCCCGATCCGCGGTTGGCCAAAAGTTCTACGAAGCCATGCTCGTCGAATCCGAATACCACAAGGGTGGAGACGACGCCGAGTTGTTCGAAAACTACAAGTTCTGGTTAGGCGAAGAACAAGTGGAAGCGAAGCCGGAATAAATAGACTTACATCTAGTACCACAATTGTTATATCCATCGTTCATACAACAACAATAACTACACAACTCATCTATCTGCTCGAAAGTTTATCGACGATGGCCGCCGGGTTTGGGATCCAACTCGTCCCGCTAAAGCTATTCCACTCGCCGCTTATGTTCTCTTGCGGATCGAGTATGTCCTCAAACCACATTCTCCTTTTTGAATCCCATTTCGGGTCGAAGCTGGCGATGACTGGAACGATTTCCCATCCTAACTTTTGTCTTATTTGATCCGCTAAATTTCTGGCTCTATTCTTCTCAAACTTGATGCCCTGATCGTAACTCAAGGCGAAACTGCCTCCTTTGGGCGCATCTCTCGCGGCTATCCGAACGTCCACAATCGCGTCGTTGTCTAAAAAGTAAAACTCGGCGTCAAAAACGTCGCTTTCGTTTACGACGATGTCCGGGTCTTTCACCCCGCCCGGAACGTCGAACAATCTCAAAACAATCTTCCCATTGTTCACGTCGTATTCTATGCAATCCCCGAGAGGACCTTTCATTTCCGGCATGCTGCTAGTATTCAAGTCTCCCCCACCTTTCTCTTCCAACGCCAAATCTCTCAACGCGCTTTCCCGCGCTTTCTTTCGCATGGCTTCGATGCCGACCGACGCGCCTCGCACCGCCGTCGATACTCTCGAATCTCTCCCTTCGTCGTACGAAAAGTACCCCTCCCCTTCCTTATTCCCTAACGCTACCATCACTAACTCTCTCATTGCGTTCGCTTTCGACATGGAAAACCCCCACGGATTGAGAAAATGTCCTTCGTCGTCGTTCGTCGTCGAGACGCAACTTTCGCTCACTTCCGGGCAGCTGCTCAAATATTGCACGTCTTTCTGAAACGCGTCCGGGTCTTCAAACTTTCTTATTTTCACCGTTTCCGCGTATAAAGTCGTTCGTCGGTCGTCCTCGATGTTGGTCATGTTTTCGTTTGCCAACGCTGATGATGAAGACGCAAAAGTCGCTGCTGCCACGAAGACTCTCCTCAAAGCACTTCGGCGGTTGAGATGATTTTTTGCATCATCATCACTTTTCGATGACGACGAAGACGAAGAAGAAGAAGCTTTCGTCGTCAAAACCGCCGCCGTGCGATGACGACGACCACGATTTTGAACACCACCGCCAAGGGAGTTGCTCGAGAGTAAGGAAGCGACTTTGTTGAAAGAAGAAGAAGAAGAAGAAGAAGTAATCATCGCTTTTTTTGCGTGGTTATAAAACAACAGATTTTGAAGATTTTTAATGAGTGAATTTCAAAGGACGAAACCGGCGAGGATCAAAATAACCGGCGCGACTCGCGGAAGCCTTTCTCGAGCGCGTTCGAACCAAGTGCAGTCGTCTTGACTTCTCTTGGCATCTTTGCGATTGATTTTTTTAACGCCTGTTGCCCTGTTTTGGTTTTTGTTGTTGTTGTTGTTCTCTTTCGTCGTCGTCGTCTTTGCTGCGCGGCTGCTGACGCGTTTTGCCTTCGTAGTATTGTTGTTAGTCTTCGTCGAAGAAGAAGAAGAAGGAAAGAGCAACCTGCGAGTGCCGAAAGTATCTTTCGGGTTCACTACAGCTGGTCTTTTGAAGTCCTTCTTGTCGACTATTTTCATCTTTTGTTTCGTCGCTTTACTCAAGGAGGAGTTCACTATTGGCGGTTTCTTTTTCGTTTCGTTTCGTCCTCCTCCGTTCTTTCGCCACCGGTTGAACGGACTCGCGCTGCTACTGCTGCTCTCGCCGCGACTAGTATTCCTCGACTTCGAGCCTTCTTTTCTACTACTGCTATTACTACCGTTATTGGTGTTGTTAACATCATTAGATCGAAACCTGGTCGTCAACCCTTCCAATCCTAGGCCCTTACTCGCCTCTTTTCTCTTCTCTTTTTCCATCGCTCTGCTCGCCACGAACACGGTTTCAATCGCGCGGTTCCTCCCGATTTTGTCATCCAAACTCCACGCCATCCCGGCGGTTACTCTTAACGCGGCGCCGAAACTCGCGCTCGTCACCGCGTCTACAAATCTGCGCATCAACTGCCTTTCTTTCGCGGTTGGATACCTGCCGTCTTTAAACTCGTCGTTCACGTGGCCAAACACTCCGCTCAACGCCAACGCCCCCAACGACTTCAAGTTCATCCTGTTCGTCTCCTCCTCGTCGTAATCGAGATCAAAGTCGTCCGTATCTAACACCGCGTCTGCCGTGAATAACGCTTCGTTCGCTCTCTCTAACGCCGATTTTGCATCGTTCGCGGACGTTTGCGTGTTTCGTAAAAATCGAAGCTTCTCCTTCCTCTTGAAACCACCAAAACCGTTCCTCTTCTTATTCTTCTTCTTCTTTCTGCGCGATTTCACCGTGTTCGTATTTCTGATCTCTCTGTACGTTTTCACTGAACTCCTCAGCATGTTGAGGAGACACATCGCGGCGTGCGCGAGTGAAAACATGCTTTTCCCGGCACCGTCTCCACCCGGAACGACGAGTTGCGTCGTCGTCTTTTCCAAAATCACCGTCGTCGTTTTGACGATTGATTTCACCGACAACCACGCGGAGAGCGCGTGCAACGACGCAAAGGTTAAGTTTATGTTGTCGTTTGTGTTGTTATTATTATTCGATTTTTCCATCGTTACTGGTTCTTTCTTCTTCTCGTCGTAACCACCATCTTCTTCGTCCTCGTCCACGTGTACGTCGCGCGCGTTCTTTTGACGTCAAAAGAAATTTTTCCAATACCCAACACCATCACCACAAACAACCTACGAGACACGCCAAACACGAGTGCGCTTCTGCGCGAGAGAGAGAGACGGGAGGAAGAAAAATGACGACGACTGCCCTCTGCGCTCAGGACTTGATGGTAGAGAGGAAGATTTGGCGACACGAAAAAGCTTGGGAGCACGAGATGGCGGATTTCGAAGCCAAACCAAAAGGGAACACCCCGTGGATTTGGGATTGCATCGTGCCTGGCAAGCCGGGGACGATATTTGCAGACGGGCGATTTCCGGTGGTGCTTGACTTTCGAAAGTCTTCCCACATTGGTCTGCCTACAGCGTACGTTCCGGAGGAGTTTGGCAGCGACCTTGAAATACGTGAAAAGCACTTAAATAACCAACAATTTGATGGCGTACCGATTAGCTGTGATAATATAGTGTGGGGTCTCTACGCACTTGCATTGAGATGCTATGTACCGCCGAAGGAATCGAATACATCGATTAAAACAATTTTACTCAAAGTTCAGGAATCTAAGTTTACCAGCTTTGATGAGACCTATGACGACAAATGTTATGGAAAGGAAGAATGGACGCGTATTATAGCCAAGTACATTCCTAACGTGGATGAAAAACGAGGAGGAGGGAGTCCGAATGCAGTCCTACCCACCACGGCGAATTCAGCGGTTTCAAACAAGAGAACGAGGAAGGAGAATCATCGGAGTGCAACGACGATCAGGAGAGAAGTGCCAAAAGAGTTGTGGGAAGAACAGGCTTTTAACTGGGACGATTATTGCGTGTTGACCTCTCGCGCAGACGACATTGAGAAAATAATGAGAGAGTATCCCAATTTGAGAACGCCTTGTCTTTGTCTAGATTGGGACCAAGTTGAAAGAAACATCGGAGCGATGTTAAGGCTGGTCAAATGTGTTGAAAATTGGCGACCGCACGTGAAAACAACAAAAATGACGCTCGTTTGGAACCTTTTGCTAGAGAAAGGCGTCTTTAAATTTAAATGCTCGACGATCAAAGAGCTGCACTATTTACTTGCTACCATCGAACATCACGAAGTAGCGAAACAAAAGAAGGAAACGACGACGAAAAGAAGGAAGAAGACAACAGCTTCAACGAAGCAGAAGGACGCATTAAAGTACGATGTTTTATACGCGCATCCGCTCGTTTCAAAAGAGCAGTGTGAAGACGTAAGAACACTCGCGATGGAATATCGCATGGTGAAAATTAACGTCTTGATTGAAGCGGCACCTAGATTAGAAGATACCACATTGTTAAAGCTCTTTCGTGATAACTGCTTAGTTGATTGGACGTCGATGCAAGACGATACCATGTTACCAAATGTTGGATTTTTTCTCGATTTCAGCAACGGATTCGACCGAACTGGATTCAGTTTACTGGATCCTTCTGAGGTGGACAAGACGTTCTTTGAAGAGCTCATGTCTCACGCTTGGAGTCGAAGTCGCTTTTCAGGACTTTCTGTTTATGAAGGTCACATCGATGATTGCGTTGGATACGACAAAGACAAGTTGAAAGCAAGAGAAATGAAATGGAACATCGATGACGAAGCAATCGTAAATTTTCTTAAATTTCATAAAGAGCAACAGTCGTCAAAGGTTGGTAAGATGGTGAAGGCAAATAAAACAGCGCAACCGATTGAAATTGTCACCTCTGGTACTCCTACATTTATTCACGCCCTGGACAAATATTTGAACATGAAAACCGGCAAAATGGATCGTCACGAAGGAACGTTTTACGGAAGAAAAATTCTGAGAACTGTATCCCCTGGCACTGTAGTGTTCTTTGATCACCGTTCACACACGCAAATATGCCAACAAATGCGCGATAACAATATATATTTGCGACCAGCACTGTATGTTGCCGCCACGGTTGTATCAAAACCTGGAAAGAAAAACGATCGAATGTTTACATGCAACGCGGGATCAAAGTCGATTGCCGCCGAAGCAGGCTCTCCCATAGCAATTGTCGCTGCTAGTACAGGCAAATTATCTTTCAATGGTGCGACCAAAACTATGACTGAAACGTTTTGGAAACAAACCAAGTGCTCAGAAGAACACCTCACGTTCGAGGTCGTTAGGAATTTTATCGAAGATGGTGGGGCACCACCGCCGGTTGAAAAAGGTGAAACCATTTTCATGGTCCCTCGTCACGTGTGCCCAACTGTCAATCTCCATGAGTGCATCAATCTACTTTCTTATGATGATGATGCACGAAATAAAAACTTTATTCATCGAGCAAAAATAGATGCGAGAGGGCACTATATGGATCCGGTGGAGAACCACCTCGATGAGCTCTGCGAATCTTTCAGTTTGAGTACCTACAAAGTGGGAAAATTTATGTAATTTATGCAATCACAATGCGACTTCCGCTGCTATCGCTATTACTACTACTACTACTACCACCACCACTACTACTGTTACTACTACCATTACCTTCTCTTCTGCCTCGTCTGAAAAGAGCATCGAGAACTGCGCGCACTCTTCTCGAAATTTCCGCCTTGAATGTTTCCAAGAGTAATCGTCTGCCTTCGCTACTGTTGAGCGCGTCGAAAGCGATTTTAAACCTCGGAATTTGCGTCAAGTTTGCGGCATCGTTCAACACGCGAAGCAACGACGCGAACGCTAAGCCTCCGATTGCATCGTCGTACGCTAACGTCCGAGCCGTTTTTCTCAACACTTCGCTTTGGTTTGGATTTTTAAGCACCCGACGAATGGCTACCGGATACACCTCTTTCAACACGTTGAACGTCCCGTCCGCGCTTCTCGCCATGCCTTCTAATCCGCCCAACGCGCGCGCGTTGTTGATAAAATACGGCGGTAATTGAAACTCAAAGCGAGGGACTAAAGCGAGCAAGGCGAATAAAAGTTCGTCGAACCGTATCTCAGGGACAATCTTCCCCGAGCCGGATTCCGGGAATTTCAGCGTTTTGTTCGCAGCGTCCTCTAAGGCGTCTTCGAGGTCCTTCATCTTCACCGCGTCGTTCATCACCGATGGTGGCACTAACATCAACTCGCCAAACAAATTCGCCACTTTCCTGTAATCTTTCTTAAATACCATCAGCGATACCGCGGCGACTAAACCGTCTCGGACTTGTTCCGGAACCGTTGAAACCAATCCGAAATCTAAATACGCCAACCCGCGATTATCGGGAAGTTTGATCAAATTTCCTCCGTGCGGGTCCGCGTGCATGACGCCTGTTTCGATGAGTTGACTCAACGTACACGCGATGCCTAACCTGACCAACGGTAAATCTTTCGGATCGACTTCGCGCAATTCCCCGGACGTCAACGGCGTCCCTTCTATCCATTCTAAAACCAACACTTTCTTCGACGTGTACTCCTCGTACACTTTTGGCACTTTAATTTCTAGCTTACTTTTCCGTCCGCTGTTATCGCTGTTACCCGCGGCGCCGTTCACGACGTCGTCCATCTTTGCCGTTCCTTCTGGGCCGTACAGGCTGTTAAACTTCTTCACGTTTTCTGCCTCGTTTTCGAAATCCATCTCCTCGAACAATCTCGACACGAACTCGTCCACCGCGTCCACGGCTTTCGCCTCCACCAAATTAAACTTTTCTAAATACGACGCCGCCAATCTCAACAAGTACGCGTCCGCCTCCACCTGTTCTCGGATGTTTGGTCTCTGCACTTTCACCGCGACCACTTCTTGCGTTTTCAATCGACATTTATACACCTGACACAACGACGCCGCCGCCACAGATCCTTTCTCTAGCATTTCCTCTACGTTCTCTATGTCCTCGTATAACTCGGGACTTTCTTCTCGAATAGTATCGATCGCTAACTGATCGCTGAACCGTCCCATGTCGTCTTGCAACTGCCCGAGCGCTCCCGCCAACTCTGGTCCGACGAGATCCCCGCGACTCGCCGCCGCCTGCGCGAATTTCACGTACGTCGGACCGAGTCTAGAAATCGCGCTCGCTATGGACTCGTAATCTTTCTGCGCGTATTTCGCCGCGCACCGGACGAACGTCTGCACCAACAGTTGCACCCGCTTCGCTATTTCAATCAAAGGCATACGCGGTTGCTTTTGCGTCAACACTACATTCGCTCTCTTTATGTTTCTCCTATTCCTCGAAGTGACCACATCCAAAGAAGAAGACGAAGACGACGAAGCGTTCTCTCCTTCTCTGTTGTCCACAAAAATCGCCCTCAACGTTCTCGACCGAAGAGGAAAAACCTCCTCATCACCGCCTCTCTCTCTCTCTTTCTTAGTCTTCTTCTTAAAAGCGAAGTTTGCGTGCGTTCTTCGAATACCGCTCTCGCTTAAAGAAGACGATGAAGATGCAGAAAAAAACGCTCCATATCTTCGTTTTCCATTTCCTTTTCCTCGCTTCCATTCTTCATCAGCGCGAAGACGGCGCATCGAAGATAAAGAAGAAGACTTTAAAGAAGAAGAAGAAGAGCGACGATGAGAAGAACGCGCCAACAAAGAAGAGGGGGCAACGAAGGAGACCATCCTCTCTCTTCTTCTTTAAAGTCTTCTTCTTCTTCTTCTCTTCTTATCTCTGTGTTATAATAATGTGTTCAGTTCTTTCTTTTTTTGCGAATGAAGAAAAGACAAGACACAAGACTTTGGTGCTTTTTTTGACTTTTCTGCTTCTTTGTTTTTTTCTTCAAAGAGCTCACAAAAAAGTGTTGGTGTTTTGGGATAAAATCTTCATCATCATCGCGATGAGTTTCCAGTCGTTCGTGGACATGATGCAAGGAGGAGGAGGAGGAGGATTTCAGCAGCAAAAAAGCACGACCTCTTCTTCTTCTTCTCCCTCGTCGGTGGTGGTGGAAACGAACGCGATGATACCTTTGCAAGCCGCTTCTGCGCAACAAAATCAACAACAAATAAAGACGAATACGAACAAAAGAAAATTTCTGAAAACGAGTCTCATCGTCTGCGGATGGTTCGCATCGACGGTGCTTTTGATTTCCTTCAACAAAATCTTAATGCGAGACGGGAGCAAGTTTCGATTGCCGATATTTCTGACGTTCATGCACATGTGCGTGGCGTACGTGTGCTGCGAGATTGTGCTGAGTTTCAAAGAGCGGAGTTTAGTCGTCGCTGCGTTTAATAGTAGTAGTGGAAGTAGTGGAAGTAGTAGTGGAAGTAATAAGAGTAGCAATAGCGCTTTTAGAGTGAGCGCTCGACAGCAGTTGCAATCGAACAGGCAGTTTTGGAAGATTTTTGCCTTGAGTCAAACGTTCGCGGTGTCCATCGTCGCCGCGGTGGCGTCTTTGGAGTATTTGGAGGTGTCGTTCGAGCAAGCGATTGCGGCGTGCACGCCGGCGGTCACGGCGTTTATGGGGATGGTGATTTTACGGAAGAAAGAGCATTGGCGGGTGTGGGCGAGTCTAACACCGGTTATTTTGGGTGGGATGGTCACCGCGGGTGCGGAGCCGACGTTTCACGCGAAAGGTTTGGCGTTAGTTTTGGCGAGCATGGTCGCTAGAGCGACGAAGAGTTGTTTGCAAGAGTTGTTGTTGAGCAGCGCGGAATCGGAAGGAGGCGTTAGTAAAGACGGAGTCGTCCAACAATCGGAAAAGTTAGATTCGTTGAATTCGTTGCGATGGATGAGTTTAATGTCCGTGTGCACGTTGCTTCCCGCCTCTGTTGAGTTCGAAGGCGTGTGCGCCATCAAAGCCGCCTTACGATCTGCTTACGAAGAAAACGATTTAGCCTGGGCGCTCTGCGCCAACTGCGCAGGCGCGTTTTTAGTCAACATCAGCCAATTTTTAGTGACGCAACACGTCGGCGCGTTGAGCATGCAAGTTCTCGGTAACGTAAAAACCATAGTCACGGTTGTCTTTTCCGTGGTTATATTCAAAAATGTCGTCGGTTTACGATCCATGCTCGGGTACGCGTTGACTTTAATCGGATGTTTCGTATACTTGCGAGAGAAGCGAAGACGGGAGGCGATTGAAAACAACAACAACATCAACAACGAGCTCGTCGCACCTCTCGTCGGGAACACCGAAAACCAGGTTTAGTCGTAGAAGAAGAAAATGATATAACAGTGATGTCTCGCGTAGAATTGATTATTCTTTTATTTTATTCCTTGTTGTCTGCCCCCTCTCAGTCGATTCGACAGAATTTTATCCGAATACTAAAAAAGGCCACGAACAACACGCAAGGAAGAAGAATCGAAGAGGACAACAAATGACGACGACGTTTGCTTTGTTGGTATCGTCCTCCTCCTCGGCAGCGACTGCAGTATTTAAAATCGGCGGCGGCAAAAATAACAACAGTAACGTGCGTCGTCCTCGTAATCAACACACAGAGCGAAGCCGCCATTTGTCCCCAACACAAAGGAAAACGAGCACACGAGCGGCGAGTTTACCACCGAGTCGTTTCAACTTCACCTCGTCCAATCAGAACAACAACAGCGAGTCCTCCTCCTCCTCTTCCTCCTATCCGAATGGTAACAGCCATCGTTTGTCCGCGATGGAAGAGGAAGGCTTCGCCGGGAAATCCGCCTTCTTTGAGGAGGCTTTATCCGAACAGGAGCGAACGAGGAGTCGAATGTTCAACACGGAACCGCTGTCGATGGTCACCCCAACTGCGAGACAGGAGAGCAACGGATCGGCGAGCACGTCGTCGTTTACGTCGTCGTCGAATAGTAATAGCAGTAACGAGATAGGGACGTTTTTCAAGCACGAACCGAGGGAGAAGTGGAAGAAGAAGAACAAGTTCCCGGTTTTGTTTTACTCGAAGGAGCACGAACCGCTGGCGAAGAAGATCGCGGAGTTGGAGGAGTTTTCGGTGGAGTTGGGGACGATTAACTGGGAGTCCTTTAACGACGGGTTCCCGGATTTGTTCATCAACGACGCGTACGATATTCGAGATCGACACGTTGCGTTCTTGGCGAGTTTTCACAACCCGGAGGTGATTTTCGAGCAGTTATCGATTATTTATTCTTTGCCAAAGATGTTTGTGGCGAGTTTTACGTTGGTGTTACCTTTCTTCCCTACTGGAACTGCGGAAAGAGTCGCGGTGGAAGGCGAAGTGGCGACGGCGGTGACTTTAGCGCGCATGCTGTCGTCCACGCCACCCAGTCGCGGCGGACCGACCAGCGCGGTTATCTTTGACATTCACGCGTTGCAAGAACGCTTCTATTTCGGAGATGCCATCTTGCCGTGTTTTGAAAGCGGCATTCCGATGCTCTTAAAGCGATTACAGAAATTAGAAGACGCGCAGAACGTCGTCATCGCGTACCCAGACGAAGGCGCCTATAAACGCTTCCACTCGTTCTTCGATCGCGCCGGGTACGAATCCGTCGTCTGCACGAAAGTTCGACAAAAAGAAAAACGAATCGTAAAATTAAAAGAAGGCGAACCGGCTGGCCGTCACTGCGTCATCGTGGACGATCTCGTCCAATCCGGTGGAACGTTAATCGAGTGCCAAGCGTTGCTCCAAAAACTCGGCGCGACGAAAGTCTCCGCCTACGTCACCCACGGCGTTTTCCCGAACAAAAGCTGGAAACGCTTCACCAGCGAAGGCGCCGGGGGGCAAGGATTTTCCAACTTTTGGATCACGGATAGCTGCCCGATGACCGTCAAAGACGTGGAAGGTTTGAAACCCTTCGAGGTATTATCTTTAGCACGGAGGATTGCGAAAGCTTTGCAAATCTAATCATACATGTTATGTTATTATTTTGCGTACTGCTGTGTATTTATGTAACCATCAAAATCCGCGTCATAAACAATCTTTGATCTTATTAATACTCAAGTCTGCTTTTAATTAAAGAAGGAGCAATGCTGCCACCCTCTGCGTTGTTGCTAAAACCCTCCTCCTCGTGTACCAACGCGCTCACTTCTGTTCTTTCAAGATCGAAAACATCGAGATTAAAAGGAGGAGGGAAAGGAAGACGTCACGCGTTCGTTAAAACACAAAAAGCGTCGTCAAAGTCATCAAATCGATTCTCGTTCGACGAGTCGGACGCGATGGAAACCGGCGAGTGGTCCCCGTACGAAGTCTTAGAGGTGGATTCAAACGCATCCGCGGAGGAAATCCGAATCGCGTATAAAAATAAGATGAAGGTTTTTCATCCCGACGTCGTGAAAGATAAAAACAGTAACGGTAAAGCTGCTTTTGAGATTAATAAAGCGTACGTGCTTTTGAGCGAGAAGCGAGAGCAAACGAACTCTCTTCTGTCTGCTTTCTCTCGAAGCAAAGGAGGAAGAAATAACAACGAGAAAACGAAAGAGCAAAAAGAAGGCGTGGTTGGACCTATGTCTGAGTATTTACTCGCCGAGTTAGTCGTGTGCGGATCCGTGGACGAAGGACTGAGCGAAGAGTGTTCGATCGACGTGCAAGAAATCATCGTTGACGAAATCCAACAGTTTTGCAGCGTGTTGGCGTTTTCGAGCGAGATGCCGTTGCCGATGCCTATTCAGGTGGATAGGTTAGAGAACGGCGTGAGAATGGCGTTCGTCAGGTGGGATTTTGACACGAAAAATCTGGAACAAGTTGGAAGTTTGTGGTTTGAATACGATACTGACGACGGGATGGTGAAGATTGCTCGACGGTGGCAAAAAGGAGAAACGAGAGGAAAGAGAGACGAGTTACCCGGCGAAAAGAGAATTTTAGAGGACTTTTACGAACAGTTCAAATATTTGAAGAGCGTTGGGATGGACGGTTTGAGAGGGGAGGATGAAGATGGGAACGCCATGGCCACGAGGGAGAAAGAAGAACAAAAAGGAATGAAAGGGGCACTCGCGATGGCGATGGCTTTCGCTTTGCCAGTTCTTCCAACGCCTCCAACTTTCGGAAAGAAAGTAACGCCGGGCGGGGCATACAGCCACTACGCGATTAAGAAGAACCACAAGATTACCGACGTAGACTTAGGCTTTTGATGAAAAAAGTCAACTAGAATTAAACTAACTCCACAAGGCTATTGTCCCCAAAGGTCATCTTACTCTGCTCGAAAAATGCCTTTCTAGCGTTGCTAATATCGCTACTACTACTGCTACTGTTGCTGCTATTTTTACTTCTGAACGTTTGGTCTGCGTGAAACGCAATCGCCGCCGCGGTAATTTCTTTTGTCACTTTATCGTCCAAATTACCTACGTCGCACACGCTGGATTGAATGAATGATTTTTCATCCAAGAAATCAAAGTGCCCACAATCGAGGGTGAAACCCCACGGCTCTTCGCTCTTTTGTTGATACGTCTTCGTGGCTACTTGCGCTGCTTTAAAAAAATTCGCGTAGTTTGATCCCAAAGGAGCGCACTCGCCGCCTTTCAACCCGCCAATAACTAACGTAGCCGGCGGCCCAAATTTTTTCTTCTCCCTATCGTCGCTCTCCATTCCCATGACCGCTGAGGGAAAACCAGGTCCTAATGGTGCGTACTGCGTGTTATCTACCGGATCTACCAACGCTAAACATTTTACGCGCTCGTCGAATAAACTCTCCAAAGCGGAAATCTTCCCGCCTCTCGAGTGCCCGATTAACAACACCTCCTCCGAATCTACAATGTTCGACAGAGTCCCGCTCCCGTAACTCGCCCACGTGATCAAGTCCTCCAACAAAGACGCACTCACGACGTCATCTAGCGTCTCATTTATACTCTCGCTCTTGTCGTATCTCAGAACGACGTAACCGAAAGAACACAATCTCCGAGCGAGGAAATCGTACGATTCCGCGTCGACTAAAAATCCCGGCGTGAACACGGCGAGCGGGAACAGCGCTTTCTTCGTTATCTCCGCGGGGATAAAGGAGTCTTTTTTCGCGGCACTACTAGTACTCCCTTGCACAGGAAAGAGCTCGTCTGGATTCACCGGAGGTGGAAATGGCACCAACGCTTTCACCGACAACCGACAGGCGATGCCCGTGCACAACGGATACACGGAAGCGGAGACGTGTTCCACTTTCGGTAACTGCCGAACGGAGAACGGTCCTTGTTCGAAGTATTTCTCTATATATGCCGATGATGATGATGTGTTTGTGTTCGTGTTGTTCTCTTCTTTTGCCGTCGTCCTCGACGCCGTCGTCGTCGTCGTCATCATCATCGCCACCGCCGCTCGTCTCGTCCAAAACGCCTTCGGTTTCAGTCTGTCTCGTAACACTTTTTCTCCCGTCGTCATCGGCAGCGGTCTCGTCGTCGTCCGTACAAAAGTGGTTTCATCCTCGTCCTCGTCGTCCTCGATGGTAGCAGTATTATTCACGAGTAAGAATTCCTCCCTCGAAGCAGCTCTCGTCGTCGTCGTCGTTTCCCGTCGTCGTTTCTTATCGATGATGGTTTTGCCGCCACTCGAGGGAAAACGCAAGTTCCCTGAGGTGCAGGATGACATTCGTCTCATCCTCCTTTTCCTCCCCCGCTTCCTCGCATCAAGAATCGCAGCAGTAGTAATACTACTGCGAGCAGTAGTCGTGGTCGCATGAGCAGCCGTAATAAATGGTGTTGATGTCATCGTCGATGTCATTATTAATATTATTGCGCGTGCGTTTTGTGTTGCACATCCCCCACAAAACAATTGAACAATCAGAGAGAAAGAGAGAGAGAAGAAGGAGACTGAGCGCGGTTTTCAAAGAACCCAGTCGCGAAGATAAAAGAGCACTAAGAATTGCACTAAGAATGGGGGGTTTACACTTAATCGGTTTAGGTCTTGGAAACGAGAAAGATATCACCGTCAACGCGTTGGAAGCGATTCGGGACAAATGCGCGCACGTGTACCTGGAAAATTACACCTCCGTTCTCGCCGCCTCTCCTTCAAAGCTGGAAGAGTTTTACGGGAAGAAAGTGACCATTTGCGACCGCGCGTTCGTCGAATCGAACGGCGTGGACGGGATGTTAACTCAAGCGGAAAAAGAAGACGTGGCGTTTTTAGTCGTCGGCGACTGTTTCGCGGCGACCACGCACTCGGATTTAGTGCTGAGAGCGCACGAGAAGAAGGTGAAAGTGAAAATGTATTACAACGCGTCGATCATGAACGCGTGCGCGGGGTCTGGATTACAGCTGTATAATTTCGGGAAAACGGTTTCCTTGTGTTTCTTCACGCCAACGTGGAAACCGGATTCGTTTTACGATTCGATCAAGATGAACAAAGTAAACGGCGGTTTGCACACGCTCGTGTTGCTGGATATTCGGGTGAAAGAACCGACGGTGGAGGCGTTGTGCACGGGGAAGAAGATTTACGAACCGGCGAGGTTTATGAGCGTGAGCACAGCGGCGAGACAGATGTTGTACGTGGAAAACGAAGTGAGGAAGGAAGGGGTGTACGACGAAGATTCCATCGTGGTCGCCACGGCGAGAGTCGGTCAAGAGGACGAGCGGTTCATCAGCTGTACGCTGAAAGAGATGTGTCGAGTGAACGCCGGAGGGCCGTTGCACTCTTTGATTTTAGTCGGAACGGAAGTTCACGAGTTGGAGGAGAACATGTTGAAACATTACCGAGCGAAACCGGAGGATTTTTATCCGGAAGGAGAAGAGCCGGAAAGTCAATATTTAGAAGACGGAGTGTTGTAGAGAGAGCATAGCAAAGTAGCGGCAAACAATAGAGAGCACAATAGGAAGAAAATGGGAGGATGCAAGATAAATCCTACTACGATAATAATGATACAGATCCCTATGTAATTAAAACAACAACAACGAGAGACCTTTTTCCACATTCGATACGACTACGAGATGAGTGCGCTTATCGTTCGCGTTCTTCTACGCCGCCCGACCTCTCAAACATTCCGATTTACACCTATTCGAACACTGATCGTTCCACGCCGGCACGGAGTGCGGATTCGCACAAATCACCCTTTCGCACGCCTCGGCGCACGAATCTGTCGCGGACATTCCGCACACCGTCACGCACGCGTTCGACGTCGGTTCCTAATAAAAAATTGTTTGTATTCGTTTTATTGAAGGGTCAGTTTTTGCGTGTTTTGAGAGAAGGAAAAAAGAACAAAATTTCCCAAATTTCAAATTTTCGATGCGATGATGATGCGCTTTTGCAATCATCATCATCATCATCGCTTACAGACGATCGATTCGATTCCATTCCGTTCCACTTTTTATTCGTCGTCGTTTACGTCGTCGTCGTTCGATGATCTTTTCCATCGTTACTCAAAAGAAGACAAAGAAAACAATACTAATTTAAGTGTTTTTCACCTTTGCTAACCCCCCCATTCGTTTCAACAGTCGATCCGACGCGCACACGCGTTCGCACGCGAACGAGGCCTCGTCGTCGGTCACCGTGCCTCTTCTCTGCTCTTTCTCTCCTTTCTTGTTGTTGTTGTTGTTCTCTTTGTTTTTGAATATGGATTTGACGACTAAGAGCGCGCCGGCGCCAGCAGCCGGGGCACCCACCAAGTAGGGGTTCACCATGTGTCTGTTTTGTGGCGATTCTTCTGAGAAAGAGGAGGAAACTCGTTTTTATCGCTTGATTTATGACGAGTAGTAGTATTACTAGTAGTAGTAGTAGTATGCCCTCGCTATTCGACAACACGTTTTACTAATGCGCTTTAATATTGCTATCATCTAATATATCTAAACACGCGCGGCGATTCACATAATAATATCGATCGAGTATTATTATTATAAGATGCCGTTGGAAACGCGTTGGAAAAAATCGTATTGGCGAGTACTCCACGCGTCCATAGAATCGGAAATCATAGCTAACATGATTTCCGCGACTTGCTCTTCCGTTCTGCCGAGGTTGAATCGTTTGCGTAAGTTTTGGACAACTTTTGGGCCGGCTTTGAAGCACGGACATCCCGAGTGCGCCATCATTTCTACGAGGAGTAAGATGCGTTCCGCGTGTTTGCGACAGGCCAAGTAGCCTTGGATGCACAAGACTTTGTAGTAGTTGAAAGCTTCTGAGGCGACGCCGTCGGCGTCAGAGTCCATGAGTTCCAGATATTCTTTGGTGAGTTTAAACGGAGAGGATTCAAAGTTAATGCCGCCTGGGGAGGTGGAGAGCATAAAGTTGAAATCGATGTGAATCAATCGGCCGTCTTCTCGCAAGAGAATGTTCCCGTTGTGACGATCTTTGATTTGGAGCAAATACGTCAAGATGGAATAGCCAGCTAAACTCTCCACGAAATTTCTTTGCGCGACTCTGAATTCTGGAGACCCGTAACCGTTGTAGATGGATTCGAAGTGTTGTTTTAAAGTAGAGCCTCGAGGCGCTCTCGATTTCACGGCGTGTAAACTCGGCGCGTCTGTGACGGCTTCGATAAACGCCGTGGTCGTCGAGGTGGTTAAAACTTCGTAATCTTTGATCCACAACGGTAAGCCAGCGTCAGCGTAGATACCCGCAAAGGTTCTCACGAGCTGAATCGCAAGAAGCTCTTGGCGACAATTATCACCCGCTTTGACAATGATTGGTTTCAAACACCACCCAGGTTGGTTCCCGTACGGCGACGCGCGTCGAATGCGCTCGACTTTATCGATCCATCGCTCGCCGAGACCACCGGCGGAACGTTTGTGAAACTGCAAAGAAGTTGGCGATGTTGGCACTGATCCCAACTTAGACTGATTCGGCTGAAAGTTTTCTTCGAATTCGTCGATTTCGTTGTCATCATCGCTTCCTATGGTCCCTAAGAACGGACCAAGCTGCTCCATGATTGACCCTCCCCGAGGGTTTCTCGTAACATCTCTCGCCTCGGCTTCTGGCGCCCAGTTCGCATCGTCAGATCCGCGACGCATGCGTCGGGCCATTTGTACTAAACCAACATCCGAAGGCGTTCTTGCATGTCTCGAATTCGGTTTCGCCGAAACTTTCGCCGGATCGACGATGTCCGCGACTTTCGGTTCTTTTTTGGACCAAGACGTGCTAAAAAACGAAGACTTCTTGTGTTGTTGTTGCTGCAGCTTCAATAAATCCTCCTCTTTTTTCAAATGTGGAATCTCCAGGGCGACATGGACGGTGCCCGAGTTTTCGTCGATATCGAGATGTACTCGAACAACAGCGGTAGTTTCGTCCCAAACTTTCGCTAACGCGCTATCGATAGCCTTGGAAACCGAATCGTGGTGACTCGTCATCTTGTCTATGCTATGAATACTGTTAAAGCCCATGGGCACGCACCCGTCTTTCACAGGCGAACCGACTTCGTTCGGCGAAGCCACCGCGGAACCGACCTCTTTTATATCAGGTAAAAGCATCGGCGATAACGAATTTGAAATGAACGACGAAAAACCTCCGGCGAGAGATTTTGGGTTCCACGAGTTCTCTTGCTGCTGACCTTGCGGGGGTTGCTTTTGCGGCGTAGTCTCTGCGCTCGGTGGAACCGACATTGCTTGATCTTTATGCATCCGTAACACTGGTCTCGGCTTATCGAACGAAAGCCTTTGCTCGGCAATTTTTGAAGCCGCCAACTCTAACGATTCCTGCTCTCGTAGAGATCTCGCGAGGAATTCCTCGTCCGGTACCGGAAGCGTCGAGGCATCGTACGATCCCGCGCGACCGTGGCGACGTCCACCACCCATTGGAATATCCAAAGCACCAGACTCGCCGAGCGAAAGCAAGGCGGAATTCTCGCGTTCGTGACCTTGTGCGCTCATCTCCGAGGCACCGTTATCATCAGCGTTGCTCGCGTGCACGAATGGATTCTTTCTCGCGTTTGAACGAGATGAAAACGAATTATTACTACTCATACTATCGGCTCGGTCGTCTGCTCTCATTCCTTCGCTGTAACTATTTTCTCCCCCGGTATTGTTGTACTCCGCGTTTGGTCGAATGACTTCGAAACAAATCAAATACGGAGCTTTCTCGCGCGAGTTGAGTAACATGGCTTCTTGCGCGGGAATTCGAACGATTCTATACTCTCCAATAGCACCTAGTGGGTACATAACACCAGTTCCAGACGGTACGTTGACCAACTTTTTGTTCACCTCTTCGATGCCATTTCGTAACGCGTTTTGTCTCGAATCCACCGGAAACGTCTTTGCCAACTGACTGGAAAGACCGCAGAGATTCTCCGCGAGATCGGACGTTTGATCGAACGTCGATTGTCGACGCTTTTTTTCGCGTTCGCGGACTTTTTGCAAAGCGGCACTTTGAAGCTGCGGCGAATCCGTCCTTGAGTCGCCTCCAGAAGCGAGATTGTTAGCCTTCGAAGGAGACGACGAATAGCTTTTGTCGTGTAGCTTCGAAGAGCTGGTGAGTTTACCAAAGAGCTGACTGAGAAATCCTGTGCTCGAGCTGTTACTTCCGTGCCCTTTTTCTAACGATTTTTGTTTTTGCGGAGGTGAACTCGGAGGCGTTTTCAACAATTTCTCTTCGGCATTCTTGTGTCCAAACAACCAACCCGATTTACTCGGCGTATTAGGGACGCTCAGAAGAACATCACCACTTTTTTTCTTGCTATTGTTGTTATTGTTGTTGTTGTTATGGTGGTGGTGCTGCTGCTGCTGCTGCTGCTGCATTCCTTCTAAATTTGGTGGTGTTGAGGCTATATTTTGCGTGTGCAAAGATGACTCTGACGTTGTATTCCCCACAGCTCCTCTTCCTCTCAATGCCACACCGTCAGTATTATTACCGAGCGCATACGCCGAATCGTCGTCGTCGTCGTCGTCGTCGTATTCCTCATCCTCATCGTCTTCCGAACCCGACGTGATCATATTATTTCTCGAAGACGACGGTGAGGATAGAGTGCTTCTTTTCAAGTGCCGGCTCCCTTCTCGACTCGTATCAAAATCAAAAATCTCCTCCTCGTCCTCCATCTCTTTGGTTTTCTCGTCCGGCAACCCGGGCCACTTCTCGAATGGTGAACGCCAAGTTCCACTTTCAATCGCGGCTTTATAACATCTAACTTTCAACTTTATCAACGGTTTCGGATGCTTTACGTCCCCAATCGCCGCTCGTAACAACCATATCGTCTTACTTGCCAGCCGCGCCGACCGCGAACAATACGCGCAGACCACGTTTTCCAACTTTGGCATTTTACGCTGCGTCAATAAGGTCAAAATCTGGGACAAATACCTCTCCGCTCTGTCGTCGTCAAACATCAACATCTTGTTGCACAAATACTCGACTATATTTTCGTTCTTCGCTCTCCATAAATAGGAAATCGCGATCCATTCGTCGAAAAATTCCGACTCAAAGAAGCGCACCAACAAGTCGTTGGCGTTCGCCGGAGAGCTCATTTTCGCGCTCGGAGACGAAGGTCTGTTGTTGTTGATGATGATATTACTACTACTGCTCTGATGCGTTATCATTCCCGCGATGTTACTGTTCGAGGACACTCGTCCGGGAAATCCTTTCGTTCCTCTCTCTTTGACGGATAGATGTGAACTCGAAGGCGCGTTATTCTTCCTAGAAGAGGATTTTAAAGTGTTTTCGTCCTCGTCTTCGGTCGACCGGAGAGGAGGACGAATCGTCGCATCTTCTTCTTCTTCTTCTTCTCCGGGGTGGTTGTTCGGAGGTGTGTTCAGCGACGATCGCGCGGAATCCGATTGGAACCACCCTCCACTCGTCGTCGATGATGATGTCATCGAGAAGAAGAAGTCAAGAAGACGATAAAGAAGAAGATTTTGTCAACAAAGCGCCGTTCGTCGTTTTCTCTCTCAAACGTAATAAATATAATCTCTCTCTTTCGAACGACTTTCGAAAAGTGGGGTAAAGCAATACTACTTTTTCGATTATTATTAAGAAGTTGATGTGTTGTTGTTGCTCTTAAATCCGAAACGCGCGCTGCTTTCCAAAGGTGTTTTGTTGTCACGAGTTTAAGCGAGACGTCAAAGTAAATCTCTCTTGGAGAGAGTAGAGAGATACAAAACTCTCTTATTCTCCTTTGTTTGTGGATGAAAAAAAACGTTCGTCGTCTGGTCAATTCCTACGGTCAAACTCTCTCTTTTTAACTCTTAAAAAATTCTCTCCTTCCTTTGTTCTGTGGTCCGTTTGTTCTCTCGCTCCTTTTTCGCGTTTGCTTTCTGCCCCTCCTTTTCGTGTCGTACTCGCAAAAAGTCGTCGTCACTTTTAACACCACAGACAAAAGCATAATTTATACACATCCAAAACGAGATGATGATGATGCGTTCTTGTTCTGCGAGGACTCCCCCAACGGTGGTGGTCGAGAACACCAAGAAGGTGCGTTACTGTTTTTGTCGTTTCAAATTCTCTCTTTGCGCTTTTGGTGTCGTCGTGTACGTCGTCGTCTCTCGCGTCTGCACGATCATCGCTTTTTTGTTCGGGGGAGATACTTTTTGGATAGAACGAGAGCGGTGTTGGAACCATCCCGCGAGGAGAGTGAGCGTTCGTCGTCGTCGTCGTTGAGAAGGTCTTCTCTGAACCCTGTTGTTCTGTTCTTCGCGAGAGAGAGAGAGAGAGAGAGAGTCTGCGTTTGAAAGAAGAAGAAGACGGCGCGCGCGAATGCATTTCGATTAAAATTTCTTTCTTTCATCACTAATCTTTTGTCTTACGTCAACACACACACATTTTTCTCAAATATAAAAACAGGCGAAGAAAAAAGTACACAACAACAACAACAACATCAAGAAGCGAACGAGTGTGGTGGCTGCTGCTCGCGCCGACGACGATGAATCGAAAGCTTCGTCGTCGTCGTCGTCGTCTTCTGCTGATGAAAAATTCCAGAAGAAAGCAGTCGCGGCGGCGGCGGCCGCTGTCCTCGCGTTCTCCTCGGCGGAAGGCGCCGTGGCGGACGGATACGACGACTACTTGGCGTCTTTGCAAGCCGAAGGCGCCGCGCCAAGCGCGGTCGTCGTCGAAAAGGCGCCAGCTGCGACGACTTCTGATACTCCGAGAGAAACTGTTGCTGCGGAAGCGATGAGTGATGTAAAAGCGGCTCCAGAGGCTCCAGAGGCTCAACTCCAAGCGCCGCCGGCGATGCCGAAGCAACAAAAGCAAGTGGACAAAGAGTACGAACGCGCGATGGCAAGGGCGAGAGCGCCGAAGAAAGAAAGGTTTGAAACGAGAGGCGAGAAAGTGAAGAGAGAGAAAAAAGCGAAGGGTGCGCCGTCGCCGGCGAAGGAGCGACCGTCGTACGCGCCGAAAGCTACGAAGAACAACGACGACGAGAAGGATGAGTTTGATTTCTTGCCCGTATTCGCACTCTCCGCGGGCGCGGCTGGTGTCGTCGCGATTGGCTTGAACGCGACGGGTAAGAAACAGGAAGAAGAAGAAGAGGAAGAAGAGGAAGCGCCAGCGCCGATTAAGAGAAAACCGATGTTCACGACGAAGAAGACCGCGCCGCCACCGCCGACGCCGACGCCGGTGAAGAAGGCCAACTTCTCTGTGTTCGGGGGCAAGGCGAAAGAGCCGACGCCACCGCCGCCGCCTCCTACTCCGCCAGCGAAAAAGCCGATGTTCAGTTTCGGCGCGAAGAAAGAGTCTGCTCCTCCGCCTCCGCCGCCGCCGCCACCGCCGCCGGCGAAAAAACCGCTCTTTAGCTTTGGCGCGAAAAAGACCGAAGCTTCGACTCCTGCCCCCGAACCGGAACCGGTGAAGAAGAAACCGTTTACCGTGTTTGGCGGCGTGAAGAAAGAGTCTGCTCCCCCGCCGCCTCCGCCGCCAGCGAAGAAACCAAGCTTTGGATTCGGCACTGGAATTAAGAAAGCGACTCCGACTCCGCCCCTGCCGCCGCCGCCGCCGGCTGCCAAGAAGTCTGCGTTTGGAGGCTTTGGTACAGGGTTCAAGAAAGCGACGAGTACGCCGACTCCACCGCCGCCGCCGCCGCCTCCAGCTGCCAAGAAATCTGGATTCAGTGGATTCGGTACTGGGTTTAAGAAAGCCACGCCACCGCCACCGCCACCGCCAACCCCACCGGCCGCTTCGCTCAAAAAATCGGCATTCCCGAGTTTCGGCGCAAAGAAATCTGCGGCGAACCTGGAGATCGAAGCAAAGTCTACTCCGGTAGCGGTTGCGGAGAAACCGGCGATGCCAGAACTCAAAATGCCAGCAATGCCAGAAATTCCGTCTTTACCGGGTAACTTCAAATTCCCCGAGATGCAATTGCCAGGTAGTTTCGAAATGCCGGAGCTTCCGGGGAACTTTGAGATGCCGGAGTTACCGTCTGCGTTCGGTGGTCTCAAAATGCCAGTCATTCCAGGAACGCAAATTCGAACCGCAGAAAAACCAACGACTCCGCCAACCCGCGTTCCAGTGCCGGAGGTTAAATCTGAAGCCATCAAAGCGGTCATCGCCGCCGTAGATAAAGAAATTGCAGCCATCTCGAACGAAGCGAAACGATCGAACGCGAAGAAAAACCGCGACCGAACTATTCTCTCGCGTTTGAACGCAAAAGATCGTAAGGAGTACTCGCAAATGACCGAAGACGCGTTAAGATCGAAAAAATCTGTGATGAACATGAACCCAGCCGCGAAGGATCCGACCCCGGATACCTTTGTCGGCATCGAAGCGTCTGGTGATTTTTCCAATCTGGCGCTTGAAAGTGACATTCTCGCCAACATCGAAGCCGAAAAAGCCGCCTCGGCGAAAGCGATGAGAGATAAGAGACAAAAAGCTGCCGCCGCGGACGCCGCAAAAGTTCAAGCTGAACTCAAGAAGCAAACCATGGCCTCGGCGAAATCGATGAAAGCTGGCTTAGATGCCGGCAAAAGCGAGAAGAAAGCGGTGAAGGAACCAAAGGTAGTCCCGGCAGCTAAACCAGCCGCTGCGGCTCCAAAACCGACGCCAGTCGTCGCTGCGGCTCCGGTCGTCGTCGCAAACGACAAGAACGCCGAAGAAGCTCAAGCGTGGATTGATGCCTGGAAATCCAACGGTTCGAAAAAAACAACCGCGCCTGCGGAAAGTAGTAGTGATAGCAACAACATTAACGACGAGGGTGCGGACGAAGCGCAAGCTTGGATAGATGCGTGGAAGGCGAAACAATAAAAAGATCGACTTTGACGTTTTAATTATAACACACACACACACGGATTATTCAACTCAGATCTTATAACTACGCGCATTAAAGCCTAAAGATGCGTGCATATATGTGACGCGCAGTTTTTAGTTGTGCACACACAAAAAAAAAACGAACTTCCCACAAAGCAAAAATGCATTCGTGCACGTAATATAAATATAATACTAAAGGGACATGGCATCCAAGCGCCAAGCCATGACTCCTGGCCGTCCGGTGCGTCATCAGTATAATTCAGACGACGATTCAGACGATGGCGACGATTTGGAGGATGGCAATACTACATCTCGTGGACGAAGAAGAAGAAATCTTTTCACTCGCAAAATCCGATTATTTATTCAAACGAAACTCGAATCGTTTCGAGTGCGCGCGGAAGTGACTGCCTCGCATCAATCATCCGCCGGGAGGAGAGAGTTGATCGCTCTGTTTTCATTTTTATCCATGAGCATACTCGTCGTGTTCGCGCTGATGATTTGGTATTCCTTGGGTGGTGGGAGTTTTGGTTCCTCTTCTTCTTCTTCTTCTTCTTCTTTTTCGGTTGAAACGAAGCGTCATATGACGAGCGCGTTACCGAAAGAGATCGAGGTGAAGATTGAGCAATGGCAAAAGCTCGGTGGGAGACAGTTGTACGACCCGAACGATGGTGGTGGGATATTTCCAAAGTTTAAAGAGCAACAGCCCGCGGTTGTAAAAAAGCATTCTTCCGCTTCTTCCGGGACGACGCCCGGCGCCTCCTCTGAAGACGAAGACGATATCGTCGCCGTAGACATCGAGGATGAAGAAAAGAGTACCAACGGAAAAGGTGATAGTAGCGCGCACACGCCGCATGGGGAAGGTTGGAAATATTCCTCGTGGACGAAAACGTGGAAGGTGAAAGATATCGAGAAAACGGGGATCGAGAGCGAGGAAAGAGCGGTTTGGTTTTCGAGGAAGAGCGTTCAAAATCGCTTGGATTTTTCAAAGTTTATCGATTGTAAACGAGACGCAGAAAAAGATGACAATAACGATACGAAAACGACAAAACAAACGTCGTTCAAAGAAGGTGCGATGAAACTAATAAACGCCTTGCATCAAGAACAGTTGGCGGTAACGCAGAAAAACTACCAAAGAAACGGCTTCAACGACACCGATAAAAAACGCGTCGAAGAACTCTTCCCGCCGAAATCTCCGTTTGTAATATGGAAGAAGCACGGTCCATCCTCGCGATTGGTCCAACCGACGTGCGCACTGGTTGGAAACGGAGGGGAGCTTCGCAAGTTCAACTACGGCGATGCCATCGATAGTCACGATTTAGTCGTTCGATTGAACCAGGCGCCGACGATGGGTCACGCCATTTGGGTGGGAAGGAAAACTACCCATCGCGCTTTGAATCGATTATGGACGAGGCATTACACGAGAAGTCCGCACCACATCTATCGCGGATTCATCATGCCTATAGAGCGAAATTTAAGACTCGTCACTTTACGCTCAGATAAAGATGAGTTTACGAAGTTACACGATAAAGTCCAAGCGGAGAGGAAAGATGCGAGCGTGACGTATTTGACCACCAGTCCGATACGACACGCGAAATTTTTGCTCGAAAAGTTTCGCGAAGAAGAGTGCGTGGAGAAACACAAAGGTCCGTATTTTGGAGGGAACGTACCATCCACGGGGTTAGCTATGTTTATGGTGATGTCTAAAACGTGTAGCGTGGTGGATTTATACGGCTTTGGAGAGTCCAAATCTGCCGCTAAGGATGAGGAGGAAGAAGGAGAGGACGACGATCCCGCCGCGGCGTATAAATACCACTATTACAAAACCAGCGGCAATCGCGCCGTCGGCGACGACGTCCACTGCTTCGAGTGCGAACGTTTAATGTTGAAGAAACTATACGACCAAAACGTTATTTCGGGTTCTTTTTGCGGCGGAAGCGAAAAGCAAAAAGGCGATTACGCGTGCGGATGCAGGAAATTGAAGTGTCAGCCTCGCCCGCTGCTTCATTCTTCTTCTCCTTCTTCTGGTGAAAATAACGACGACGAAAACGGCTACTGTCCGGACAAAAACTGTCACGCCGTCGATGATCGAGTCGCGTTCACCGAAGACGAACTCGGTCGCGCGCGAAGAGAAGTTGAGCGATACGAACGCGACAGTAGAAAGAAGCACGAGAGAAACTCGTCGAACAAAGCTTTAAAGACGACGACGGCGTCGGAGAGAGCCAATCGAACTTAAATAGTTTAGTAGTTTAGTAGTAGTATAACAACAGCATAACAATAGTAGTATGAATAGTAATAAATAGAGCGGCGTGTAAAAGAAGTGTTGAAGACTGTGTGTTTGTTATACCCTGAAATTTCACTCTTCTGTTCAAAAACAAATTTTTCTCTTGTGTTTGAAAATGAAAAGGCACCTCTCGATTCCTCACTTTCAACAACAGCAACGCGCGTAAAACGTCGACGTTGCTGTTGTTGAGTCAAAAAGTCACTCACTCTTCTCCTCAAATCTCATCGAGAGTCGATCGATCGAGCGCGGAATTTAGTCGTTCGTGTAAAGCGAGAGCGAGAATGGCAAACGTCGCGTCGCATCCGACCGCCGGGGTTCCTCTGGCGTTGACGTCAGGGGATCGATCTTCCTCCGCGTTTTTGCGAGAGAGGAAGAAGGAAATGCAAACCGCCGCGAAATTGCTCCTCGGAAAAGACGCGATAAAGTTATCCAGCGACTGGGGACCGGCGAATTTGAACTTGAGTTTAGATGTCGTGGATATTTTCGCGAATAACTATAACATTTTCGAGCCGGAAGTGAGAAGAGGGTTCTTTTACGCGCTGTTTTTCACCCGAGGGCTGAATTCCACCGCCGTCCAAGGGAAATCGTCCTCGAAAACGTCGACGACGAATTCAAACGTTTTTGACGCGGTAATTGAATTGGGCGCGAAAGATCAAGATCAGTGGGTGCAAGCGATTTCAAAAGCGATCAAGAGTAGAAAAGAGAAAGAAAATGAAGAGAGCGTGTCGGTTGTGGACGTGAGTGCGTTTGTAGAAAGCGTGCCCGTTGTCTCGGACGCGCTGAAGAGCATTCGAGAGAAGTTGAAGAGTCTCATCGATCGCGAGGAGACGAAGAAGATGACTGGCGGCGATGAAGAGAAAGAAAAAGACGCGTTATTTTCGACGTTCAACAACGTCTACGCGCCGTTAGAGAGCTCGTATTTGAACAGCAGTAGAACTACCACTCGTGGTAGTAACTCCGATCAAACGACCTCGACGAGTAATAAACACTTCACGCTGAAAAAGTTGGAGAAACCGAGAAGAAAGTCGTACCTCGAAGTGAGCGCGAAACGCGTCAATCGGTTCGGGGACGTCATTTCGAACGTCGATTCGTCGACGACGGGTGCAACCACCACCGGTTCAACTGCCATCGTTTCTAAATCTCTCGAGAGCTCGTTTCAGCAGCAACAGCAACAAATGAAACCAAAGTCGTCCTTCTTACTCGACACCAAGAAGCGCACAATTTCCTCGCACGGCTACCAAGTTTCGGGAACGAAACGTACGTTCGAAAACCGCGATGGGTCTGCGAAAGACATGGAAAAAGAGAAAGAAATTAGACTGCAACGACTGAAGCTCATAAAAGAAAAGGAAGCCGAGAGGAAACGGGTGGCGGAAGAGGAGATGAAGAAGAGGCGCGAAAATTACAAAGCTTCCGTCGAGGCGAAGAAACGCGCCTTGGACATTCAAGAAAAGTCAAAAACGACCATCATCTCCACGCCAAGTCCGTCCGATCGAACTTAATAATCTCTCATCATCATTTCGTGATGATGTAAAGGGGAGAGAAACACAAACAAACAATTATTATATTATACAAACGAATCAGAAAACAAAACGAAAAGAAAAGAAACAAACAAAACGAGAAAAAGAAAAAGAAGAAAGAAAAAAAACGGATCCGTGTACAAAACAACAAGTCAAGAATACATATATTATTAAACATTTTAGAAACCAATAGCCACAATTAGCAACAGAAAGAGAGTTCGTGAGAGAGTAGTATGATCAAATCACAAACAAAAGGGCGATAATAAGGAAGAGTGTAAACCTTTGAGAGAAGAAAGAGTTTTTTAATGCAAACAAAAAGGATAAAAAAACTCACCACACAACAACAACACATCATATCATCGACACGCGCGGAAGAACTCTCACATATCATCATCACAATGCGTTCCCTTCGACGACTGACCAATCTCTCGGCCTCCTCGTCGCTCACTACTCCTACCAGTTTTTATAAAAGTTGTTCTTGGAACAATACGAATGCCGGGGGGGTGACTCTTCTGTCCTCGTCTCGGTTGATGACGACGACGTCTTCACCTCCTCCTTCCCCGAAAGGTTTTTACGAACTCCGTCGGTATAAAATCCCACCGGCTAAACGGGCGGAATACATCAAACTCTGCGAAGAGTCCAGCCAATTGAGGAAGAAACTGACGCAAAACGGGTTTTGCGGTTTCTACGTTCCCGAAGTCGGCTCGGAGTTAAACACTGTCACGCACGTTTACCACTACGAGGATTACGACCACCGAGACAAAGTTCGTTCAGATATGCGCAAAAACGAGGAGTGGCAAAATTTTTTACGCAAGAGTTTAGGGATGGTGGAAGAGCAAACGAGCGAGGTGTACATCGAAGCAGCGGTGGCGACGAAGAGCGCCGGCTTACACGTGAATAGTTTTAAAGAGAAAGCTTCGAAAGATGAGGATTCCAACGCTTCTTCTTCAATCTTTGAGATCCGAACGTACACGTTACAGTTAGGCTACAATCCGATACCGAAGATGCAAAACTTATACGCCGAAGGTTTACCGTCTAAAATTGCCTCAGATACGGAAAAATTAAGCGAACTCGTTTGGATTGGATACGCAGACGTTGGAGATTTAAATAAATTCGTGGAAATTTGGAAGTATCCGAGCTACCAATCGCACATCAAAGTCAGAGAAGCGGCGAGGACGGCGGACGCTTGGCGAGAAACCATCGGGAAAATAGCGCCAATGGTGACGCATTTTAACACGACGTTGTGCAGTGCTGCGCCGTTTTCACCGGTAAAATAGATTATGATGATATATGCTTGTTGTTTGTAAATATACAAAGTGCTTTCTTCCTCGCGACTCTTCTCTTCTCGTTGCAACAATACTTGAGCAGATTCATTTTCAGCACTTTTCCTCCTCTTTTCGCTTCTCGCACACTTCCTCCACTTTATCCGACACAGAAAAGTTTTTATTCGATATCGATTGATGACGATGACGATGACGATGATGACTCTGAATTCTTCGAAGAACAATTTCAGTAGTAGTTTTACTCGCTCTTTGTCTTCTTTAAAGTCTTCTTCTTCTTCTTCGAAAAAACCACAACAACGAGAACGGGGACGACTGCGGATTGTTGTAAACAGCGGCGACTTTAACGAGGAAAAAGTCGGCATCGTTCTCGTCGACCACGGGAGTCGCGCCAAGTCGAGCAACGAACAGTTGGAACGATTCGCGGAGATGTTTGAGATGATGTACGGGAGTACCATAGGTGGTGATTATAATAGCGATGATAATAATAGTTATAGTAAAGAAAGAAAATACGAAGTTGCACCGGCGCACATGGAGCTCGCGTCGCCGTCCATCGCGGACGCTTTTCGCGAGTTGATCGAGACGAAAAATTGTAGAAAAATAGTCGTCGCACCATTTTTTCTGAGCCCGGGAAGGCACGTGAAAGAGGATATTCCGCGGTTAGTGGAAGAAGCCGCGGAAGAATACAGAGGGAAATACGAATTAGAGTACATGGTAGCGGCTCCGATCGCTTTACATCCGTTGATGACGACGATCATTCACGAACGCGTGGAAAAATGTTTAGAAGTGAACGAGAAAGGCGCCGGAGAGTGCGACGTTTGCGGAAGAAAAGATGCCGGGATCTCGTGCAAGATGAAGAGAGTATAGATGAGGAAATGATAGCAATGTAATAAGTAGTAATGCAGCCTTTATTATAAAAAATTAGTATTTATCGCGCGATGATGACTTCGTTCGTCGTCATCTTTGTCAGTCATCGTATTTTGATTTTTGTTCTGTACACTAGTATAGTTTTCTCCTCACTCTTTCTCTCTCTCTCTTTCTCTTTCTCTTTCTCTTTCGTTAAATAATTAATGGTTTCTTCTTTTTACTGTATGCCTTTAGGCTTTCCTAGCGGCGTGGAAGAGTTCTATGTATTCAATCGCAGGTCTGTTCCACGACCAATCTTGGCTCATGCAATTCGCTTGCAACTTTCTGAACACATCGATGTCGTTGTAGAACATGTCGATACCTCTATCTAACGCGTAATCGATCGATCCTTCGTCGGTACCATCGAACGAGAATCCGTTCGGGGTCATGCCTTCCCAGGCAGCCTTAGCATGATCGTGCTCGACGTCAAAAACGGTATCGGCTAATCCACCGGTGCGTCTGACCACTGGAACGGTGCCGTAACGCATGGCAATGAGCTGCGACAAACCACACGGCTCAAACATGGACGGGACCAAAATCATATCCGCTCCGGAGTAGATGAAGTGTGACATGGTTTCGTCGTAGAACAGGTGCAACGCAGCCGTGTTGTAATGCTCTTGCTTTAATTGATGCGCCATCTCTTCAAATTCTTTTTGGACTTTCTCGTCTGGTGCAGAGCCTAACAAGCACACTTGACACCCTCTCTCCAAAGCGCGATAGATTGCTCGTTTAATCAAATGGATACCTTTTTGATGCGTCAAACGCGTGACGACACCTATCATCGGAACTTCTGGATTATTGTATAAGTTTGATCTCGAACACAACGCTTGTCGTGCAGCAGCTTTGCCCGGAATGACTTCGTCTTCGCCAAAGAATTGCGGTAAGAACTTGTCGTTTCTCGGATCCCAGATGTCCGGGTCTATGCCATTTACGACGCCGTGCAATTTGTGCAAGTTTGGATTGACACAACCTTCGTGGGCGATCTCCTTGGCGTACGTTCTCGATACCGTGGTGGCAATCGCGCAATTATTCATGGCGTCCGCAATCAACGCTTGACCGTAGTGCAAATTGTGGATGGTGAAAATCACTTTTGGGTTATCCAAACCATACGGCGCGTAATCTTCGGCTAAAAACTTTGCCACCGGTGCCGTTTGCCAATCGTGGATGTGAATGATATCCGGATTCCTGCCAGATTGTAACATCCACTCGAGCGCGGCTTTTGAGAAGAATCCGAAACGTTCTTGATCAGTCATGGGAATCGAGAGGTAGTCCGTACCGTAGACCATGCCTACTTTAAACATTCCATTATCTGGGTCGATAAAGAACGTTTTGACGCCTTCGACGGTGCCAGAATATACGTGATTGTACGTTCCACCCCACTCAAAACCTTTCTCTTCTTTCAAGTCATCGATTAAATCATATTTCATGCAATCATATTTCGGCAAGACAACTTCGACTCTGTGTCCTTCGGCTTCAACCGCGAGCGATAACGATGTGACGACGTCGCCTAAACCACCGACTTTAGCAATCGGCGCCATCTCAACGGCAACTGACATGACGTGCATTGGCTTTTCGGCAGCCTTCGATCCATCCGAATTGATGCCTCCGGCGATAGGCAAGTGATAGTCCAAACGATTACGGTTATCGTAATTGTTACCGTCCTGATCGCAAAAGACGAAATCAAACATGAACGCGTCTTTCGGCGACGTCAATTCGACGGAGAAATAATCTTGCGAATCCGCCTTGCAGCTTGGATCTGGGGACAATTTCGTGATCGGTAACGCCTGTTCGTGGTTCCATCGGTTCCACCCGCCGACGACGGAAACGCCCGTCGCATCTTTCAAAGTAGTATTCTTTGGATTATAGCATAATTTGAAGGGTTCGCCGGCTTTTGGAAACTCTGGAATGGTGAACAAAACGTGCGCTCTTTGTTTCGCCGTGAGTTCTGCAGCTTTCACTTTCGCGATTTTCTTTAACTTCGTTCGTTCCGCTTGTCTCAACTCTTCCAACCGATCTTCTTCTTCTCGCTCTAATCGAAGTTTCGCGTAGATTTTGATGCACGACTCGATGCGAGATCTCTCCAGCATTTCGTTTGCTCCCGCAACTGGAACGTGGAAATCACCTCTATTGTTGTTATCGTATGCGCCGTTACCGTCGGAGAAGACAAAGTCTAAAATGACTGCTTTGCTCGGCACGGAAACATCCAAGTCGAACCAGACGGTAGAGTCATCGGCAACGGCCGACGTTCTTGCCTTCATTTCAAACTGCTCGGCACCATTCGACCATTGGTTAGTACCAAAATGAGCAAAAACTTTCGGTCTACCGTTCAAAACGGTGTTTTGGTTGCAGTACGAAACGGTGACGGATTGACCGGGCACCGGAGTCGCCGGAGACACCGTCCAGAGCGCATCGTTCTTCGGCGATTGACCATGCGAGTGCTGTTCCATGCATCTGACCTTATCACCAGCGATTTTCAACGCTTCTGCCCAGTCTCTTCTCGCACCTGGAGATGCTTCGGATTCTCTCGCCAATTCTTCGTATTTTGCTCTCAAGTGTTCGATATTGTCGTCGTTCAAAATCTCCGTCTTTTCTTGCAATTTCTTTGCTTGTTGCTCTGCTTTTGCGTACTCAGCATCGGCTTTTGCTTTCGCGGCGTCCGCTTTGGCTTGTTCCTCTCTCGCGAGCTCTTCGATTCGGAGCTGTTTTTCAATCGCTTTCCTTTCCGCTTCCGCTTGAGCTTGTGCCTCAGCCTCGGCGATGGCCCGCGCTTCAGCTTCTCCTCTCGCCGTCGCTTCTGCCTGGGCCGCTTCTCTCGCTTCCATTTCTATTCTCTCATTTTCCGCTTGCGCAGTCAAAGCTTCTTCTTCCGCTTGTGCTTTCGCCAAGGCTTGTTCGCGTAACTTTTTCGCCTCTGCAGCTGCTTTCAACTCCTCCGCTTCTTGCCTTAAACGCATCAACGTTTCTTTCGCTTTCTTCGCCTCTTCCATCTTTTTCAACTCCGCCACGCGTTTAGCTTCCTCTTCCTCTTCCGCTTTTCTCTTCAATTCGGCTTCGGCTTCGGCGACTTTCTTGGCTGCCAACTCTTCCGCTTCTTTCGCTTCGCGGATAGCTTTGTTCTTCTTTGCCGCCTCTGCAACTTCGCGCTTGGCGAGTTCGTCTTCGACCATACCCAACTCACGGACTTTAGCCGCTTCAGCTTGCTTTTGCTCGAGAAGATCTCGAATAGCTTGCGAACCTGGAGACTCGATCGTCGTCGTCGATGCTTCTGGGGCAACAGCTTCTTGTTTCTTCTTCTCTTCGGCGAGTCTCTGCAACCTCTTCGTTTCGGCTTCCATGGCTTTCAATTCAGCTTGCGCGGCGGCAATCTTTTCAGCGTTTGCGCGCGCTTCTTTTTGTTGCTTTTCCACGATTAGACGCGCTTCTTCTTCTTCCGCTTTTTGCTTCGCTTCCGCAAGCTGTCTCGCCGCTTCGGCCTCGTCTTTCGCTCGTCTCGCCTCTTCGGCTTCTTTCTTTTGTGACTCCAGTTGGTCTTCGATGTCCTCAATCGCGCGAAGATCTGATTGCATTTCCAAGTTTTCCAAAAGCTCCGACTCTAACTTTTCCACTATGAAAGCTCTGTCCAAGAACGGATCGTTAATACCCGAGCGAATCCCAGAATTCGTGTTCATGAAATCACCCGACTCTTCCAGATACGCCGCGTACTTTGCCTCCTCAGCCTCTGCCATCAATCTCGACGCTTCCAATTCTTCCGCTTCTTTTCTCGCCTGCTCTTCTTTCGCCAACAGAGCTTTCATCTCGTCGTCCATGACAACCGTGCCAATATTAACAGCCTCTTTATGCTTCTCCGCTTCCATGTGCGCGACTCTCGCTTTGCGTTCGTCCGCCGGTTTCGGTTTCTGCGTCGTCGTCGTCGTCACCGGGTTATCGTGCTCTGGTTCTACGTTATTCGCAGCACTCGTAGCAATACCTTTGTCGCTGTTCTTTTTCTTCAATCGTTCGTTTTCTTCCACTTGCGCTCTCATTTTCAAAAGTTTCTCGCGTTCTTCTCTCAAACGTTCCAGCTCTTTCCGAGCGATTTCTTTCGCGTCCGGCGCTCTCGTCTTCGTTTGCGATTGAATGATATTCGCGCCGTTCCCGTTCGCAACTTCTCTTTTCAACGCGTTGATTCTCGATCGCATCGCTCTCACGTCCGCCGCTCTCGGTTTCGAATCTGAATCTGGATCCAACATGTCTCTAAACTCTTGTTCCAAGTTCGCGAGCTCTTGAGATATCGTGCACGAGGAGGACGAGGAAGTGTCTGCCGCAGATGTCATCCGCGCGACGACACCAACTCCCCGTCGTTTTGTTTGTCCTCCTCTTAAACCGAGAACATCGTGATCGTTCGAGGACGAGGACGACACCACCACCACCCTCGTAAAAGGGCGACTGAGAACATTTTTCCTCCTCGTTAATTTTGTTCTTCCCCGATGAAGATTATCCGCTTTCGCGGTCCCGGCGTTGTTGGTAATCTTCTGAATCTGGTTTCGAGACGACGACGTATTCGCACCTCCCGTGGTAAACTGCGTCGTCGTCGTCTGAATCGTCGTCGCGCGCATTATTATGTATTGTTATTCTTCTTCTTATTCTTCTAAAAATGATAAACCTTCTTGCGGCGGAAAGCGCTTTTCCTCCTCCCCTATTAAGAGAGTATATGAAGAACTGAAGAGACGCTTTATTATTTCTGTGGTCGCAGAAAGGCCTCGACTCCACAAAAACAGAATGGCTTTATCCACGAACAGAAAGACGAAAGGGAGAAACGAGAGGTAAAAAGAGAGGTGTCGAAGAGGATTCAAGATTCGAGAGAAAGGGGCGACCCCCTGTCAGAAAAAAGAAAAAAATTTTTATAAAAACGTCTTTCGTGATGAAATCTGTTCAACTAGTAGCAGTTGTAATAAGAGTAAGAGTATTACTATTAAATGTACTCGGGTAACTCGTCCAAAACTTGGTCAAATTCGACTCGAAATTCCTCCTTGCCACGGTTACTCGTTCCACTGACGTATAAGACTTTATTCCCGTCGTTCTTTTGGACTCCCCAAACTTGAGAGTGACTCAGTAAGGAGAGGAAGGAGGTGACGAGTAATCCGGCGAAACCGGCGTAGACGAAAGGGACGCCCGGGTCGGTTTTCAATTCTAAGCCAGTCGCGCCGGATATTTCTTCGACGACTAAGGAGATGTTGTCCACATCGATTGGTTTTTTGGAGGTTGGTCGTCGAACGCCGACGAAGGCGCCTTTGGAGTCGTAAATGGCGACGGATTGGAAGTCTCGCGCGACGAGGGAGATGCCTTTTTTGTTTTCGCTCGCGTCGGCGTCGTCGCCGATAGGGAGGAAAGTACCCCAGATTTTCCCTTTGAAATTGCCTTTGTTTTCCAAATTAGCCATCGGTAACACGAGCTCTTCTCGTTTACCAATACTACTACTACTACTACTACTACTACTACTTCTGCTTTTACTGCTACTGCTGCTCTCGCTATTAGTATCACTATTCGTCGCGTCCACCTCGAGTTTTGGTATAACCGTGACTCTCATTGAACTCATAGACCAATCCGTTTGGTACATAGTCACGCCTCCGTAACGTAAAGGCACGTTCACTGATATCACTTTGTTATCCACCTCGTTGCCTTTCTCGTCAATGACGGATAAGTTGGAATAAAATTGACTGACTTGACCGCTCGGTAAATAATCGATGGTGAAATCCTTCACGAAAACTTGATTCGTTTTCGCGAATTTCGGGACTTTCGATAACGGTGATCCTCTGGTTAACCCGTCCGCAATGGTAAAACTGGTATCTTCCGGTGCCATGATAGATCCACCGAGGCCGCCTAATGCGCTATACGCGCACCCGCCTAACGTTAACAGAAGCGCGAAGTGAACACCAATCGGCGCCAATCGCCCAATCAAACCTTTAAACGCGTATAAATATTGCTCTTTATCTTCCTCTCTCAAGAAAACTTGGTACCCTCGTTCGGCTAAGCTGTTCGCTAAATCTATCACGCTCGCATCTTTCACGCTCTCTCGTTCGTCCATGGTTTTCGAGTTGACTAAAAATTTCGGTTTCTTGATAAACTTCCACTTTGCGGCGACTCGCCACACCGGTAACTGTTTTGTCGCCGTACACGCCGTCAACGAAACCGCCAACAACGATAGTAGCGATAAGAAATACCACGTCGTATACACGTGGTCTAACCCGCTATTCAAAATGAATGTAAAATCCAACAGACCGAAAAGCGGCGCGTCCTCGCCGACTGGATAATTTTCCACGTACCACGCGTAACTTTTATTCTGTTCGATGACGGTCCCTAAAGCCGAGAACCCCGCGATGGCGCCAAACTCCGAAATTGCTAACGGTAGCGAAGACACTCGCTTCAACGCCTTCTTAAACGTCTTTTTTATATCGCCCATTAGGAACTCGTTAAACGCTCGGTCTTCTTCTTCTTTCGTTCGCGTCGTATTCGTCCCGCGAATCGTCGGTTCGGGCGCTTTATTCTTCTCGTTGTCACCACCGTTCGCGGCGACAACAACGCGTCCTCCTCGCAACTTCTTCTTTCTTATGGTCGTAGTTTTATTCGTCATCATCATCTTTATCGTCGTCGTCGTCGCATCCCTGCTGAAGCGTATTATTTTGTGTTCTTCTTCTCCACCACTCGAAGAAAGAAGACAACAATATCGCACACTCCTCCTTCTTCTCATCGTCGTCGTCGTAAAAGTCCTTCGACTCGTTTTCGACGACGATGAGAAACGCGACGACGAGTTTTGACGAAAACTTTGAGGACGAGGAGAATACGTACTACTCCTCATCATCTCACTCTCTCTCCGTCGGTTTTTGGTGGAAATGAAATCTCTTTGAAAGACTGAAAGACGTCGACGCCGTCACAACGCAAAACACAATTGGAATTAAAAGAAGAAGAAGAAGAAGAAGAAACTTTGCCGCCCTTAGTATCTCTTATATCTTCTTTTAATTCCAACAACAACAACAACTTTTTCTCCTTTGCGCGCGCGCGTATACACACACACAGAGAGAGAGAGAGCTCTGAATGAGTCCCGTCAACAAAGAGTTTAATAATAATACTACTCTAATTTGTGACGGATACAGTGATGAGATTTTACTTCCAATACGACTCCTCTACTAAATACTACGAAGAAGACAAACGAACAAAAGCGCTTGATCAAGTCAATGAATACTACTACTCTATGTACTACTGTTTTAACGACTACTCCATCTCGGAACACTCGTAAATCAAACCTAAGTTATCGACTATTTTGTGCCAGACCATACACGACGGGTTCCCGCACTGGACCCAGGTCGTCCCGGTGGTTAAGTTTGCTTTGTTTACCTTTCGCTCGGTTCGCGTTTCTGTATTTCAACGCGTACAATCGGTTTTCAGAGAAAGAGAGAGAGGAGTACTACTTTGGTCAGAATCTTCTTACGATGCGTCATTACGAATGAAAAAGAGAGAGAATGAGAAACTTTGTTGTGAGAATGAAAGAAACGTACCGCACTTGTTGCAGGTGAATAACATCTTCGTCGCGCGTCGACTCGAGTGTATTGGTATTCCACCAACCTTCTCTTCTCCTACATTATTTTCTTCCGTTGTTCTCGTCGACGACGACTCGGCTTCAATCCGTAGCCTACTCGGCTGTTCGGATGCTAACGAAGAATCCTCGAGAGTATTCTTATTATTCGTGCTATTATTAGTAGTAGTACTGCTGCTGTTGGAAAACGGAGACTCGGAGACGACTTTCCAAGAAGACTTTTGTTGTTCTTCCGACGACGATTCTTCAGACGACGATGCATTTGTCGTCGTTTTCCTTACGAAAGAACGATTCAGACGACGAGAAGAAGAAGAAGAAGAAGAAGAGTTTGTCGATCTTCTTCTTTGGAGGCGGTGGTGGTCGAGGTGGTGCGAGAAAACGCGAGAGCAGTGGTACGAACGGGACGTCATGTTTAATTCTTAGTCTGTTCCGAAGACGAAAAGTGAGGGAAATCGCGAAAAGACTTTTGTCGGACGCGATATCATAAACGCAAAGGGGTAAACGCGAATACGACGCGTAAGTAAGGTTAAGTACTCGTTTTCAACTAAAAAATCGCGCACAGCTCAAAGCGAAATGAACCCGGGCGTTTACCATTACATAAAATAAACACTATTATTTTCACTCTCTCCGTCTCTCGCTCTCTTTTTCTCTATGTCTCCGAGAGTTCTATTCTCTCGTCGATGCAAAAAGTTCTTCCTCTCTCTCTCTCTCTCTCTCTCTTTTCTCTGAGTGTTCGTAAAAGAAAACGCGATTTATTACAAATCGCAACCGTAAGCCGTTCAACTGCAAAACGCACACCCTCTTTCTCTCTCTTTCTAAATAATTCTTAATATTTTTAAATTAGATGATTAGAAAGCGGCGAGGATGGCGTCCGCCTTGGAGGCAGCCGCCGCGGCCAACGGGGAGGCGGTGTCCAAGTCCTTCGATCGGATAGCAAAGTCAAGCGATTCGATGGTCTTGAACAAGTCCTTGGCGGCATCCGCATCACCACCCTTCTCCGCGACGAGGTTGTTGACGTCAAATCTCAAAGTGTACACAGCACGTCTCAAAGCGTTACCGGCTTGGGTCCAGTACTTCTTGTTGACGTATTCCGAAACTTCCCCGGACAAACGGGCCGTCGCTTCCTTCGCTCTCGCCGCAGTTTGTTCCGTGGACAACTTTTGCAAAGCAAATCTGGACGCCCCGTCGCCTCTCGTGGATTCGTTGATGTTCAAGTCACGCGCCTGTTGTAAGAGAAGAGAGAAGAAGAAGAAGACTTGTTGGTAAGAAAAAATTCCTCTCAAATAACGAACTCTTTTTTCGTCTTCCAACCGCAAAGAACAAACGAATCAATTAAAAATCGGATGACGCAGAAAATCTCTTTTGTTTGTTTCACCAGTTTTGGTTGGTTTTTGCGAGAACTCTCTCTTTTTTCCTGGCTAAGAAGAGCAAAGAGCAGCGCGCGCGAAAGTTTCGGAAACGAATACGTTTCAAATCCAAGCGAAGGACGAAATACATACCTCGTAGATGAGCTGCAAACCACCAACGTTTTCGGCTCTCTTATCCGTGAGCTCGATGGCGTTCATCGCCAACGCCGGGGACGCTTGCAACGCGATGACAGACGCGGCGACGAAGGAGATGCTCTGTTTTTTTTCAATTTTTTGCGAAAGCAAAGAACAAAAGGAAGCAAGAAAGAGCGTTCCAGAAGGGAGTGATGATGGTTGAAAGAGAAAAATTCGGTGAGTGAAAACGCCCACGACGGATGCTAAAATAAACGTGGAATTCGACTCGAACGCGAGGAAAACGTAGCTAAACATCACTTTTATTCAAATCGATGCGAACATTCTCGTTTTTCCATTCGCGACTGCGTGTTCGAACCACCGATCGGCGCGCGATTAACACAAAAGAAATCAAGAGTTTTTTTAGCGAAGAAATTTTCGTACCTTCTTGGCGAATTCGTTGGACGCGTGGACGCCGACGACAACCTTTTGGGACTTCTTGGCGGCAGATTTGACCGAAACCAAGTTGGCGGTGAACGATGAAGTTAAAGCAGACATCTTTATTCTAGTTTTTTGTGTGTAGTTATGGCGTTTTCGGAGCGAATTTGTTCGAATTCTTTGCGATGGTTTGGCACAAAAAAAGTTGTTCTCGAAGATTTCTTGGAATCTGATTCTGACAGAGAATTTTTGTTGGTTGGGCAAAAAAAAGAGAAAAAAAAACCGAACGCCCCACAGAAAAAGGAAACAAAACTCGGAGGACAATGTAGCTTCGGTGTGCGAACAAGACGCACGAAAAACGTGCGGAAATGAGAGTACTATCTATTATGAGTGTGGGTTCAAAGCGATTCTAAAGCGCGCTTTTAGCAGTGAGTGCAAAACGAAAAGCACGCTCTCTACTTTTCTAGTACTTGTTTTTAAAAAAAAGAGCCTCTGGCGAGATAAATTTTTTTATTTAACGCGTGCAATGACATTTTCCCGAGTCAAAGCGCACATTTTGGGAATATTAATATATTATTCGATTTATTCGTTAAATACATTTACTAAAATCATATATTTACACGAAGTTTATTTATTGTTTAAATTTATTAATTATTTAAATTTTAGTAAGTGGATTTTAAATCCTTGTTTGTACTTCATGAATTATTTCAACTATACCATATCATGTTTTATATGTTTTATTATCCCCAGACTACTTATGATATCTTTTATATGGAGCATATTTCCGTTAAAATTAATAAAACAAATATAATCATTCCCGAACGTTCTTACCGAATTGAATGTTTTTTCAGCCATTTTATTACTTTACACGCGAGAAAATATTAATTGAACAATACATAAATGAAGGGAAACAGTAATTACGCTCATTAATTAGGCAAATGAGAATTAATTCTGAAAGAGTAGTAGAAAAAAAGGAGTTTGTGAAAGAAAAGCAAAGACGCCCTTGTTGCCTTTTCAATGCCACGTCAACGCGTTGGTAGCGATGTCGCACGAACATTAAAAGTTCGTTTTAAGAACCTTGAGTGGGACTATTACGATTTGAGTGTACATTACGTGTCTTCGTTTCAAAAATATATATTCGTCATGCGTGTTGTTTCTTCTAACTGCCTCCGCTCATCAACGAGCTTTTCGCGAACACTTGCCGCACCATATCAAATTCTTCTTCGCGTCGTATTTGTGAACTCAAAAGCATTCGCATTTCCTCTTCGACGCTTTCCTTCTCTTTGAACGCTCTTTCCGCGATTCGCTTGTAGTCGTCGCATTGCTCTTGCAAGTTTCGCGCAATGTCAATGATTTCCTCCTTCTCCTCTTTCACCTCCTCTAATAAGATCCCGTACCGTTCCACCTCACCGTTGGCCCAGTGCAACATCTCGTCCCTGGCAATAATCTCGTCTTTGCTACCAACGTGTGCTCGTTCAAACGCCATGCGTTTCGAACGTTCCGTTTTCAACTCGTTCTCCAACTGTATCACCCTGGCGTCTTGACTCTCTAAAGTCGTAGAACACTTGGCGTGCGCTACGGCGTACTCCTTGTTCTCTTTGGAAAGTTTTACGACTTCCTCTTTCAAGCTCGTGACTAACGCGTTCGAGTTCTCGAGCATCGCAGATTTTAAGTCCAGACTTTCTCGCATGTGCGCCACCTCCAAGTTTGCTTTCTTTGCGCTTTCCTCTTTCAAAGAAGCTTCGGCCAAGTCTGTATCCGCTTTCTTCACCTTTTCGAGTTGAGCAGCAATCGCGGCCTCTTTCGCTTTCAGCTCCTCTTTGAGAGATCCACATTCGTCGCTCAACTTTTCCTTCTTACTTTCCAACTCTGGCACCTCTTTCCGCAATCTCATCAACTCTTCTCTCATCTCCTTCATTTCATTCTTCAAACTTTCGTTGGTCGTCGACAACTCCTCTGCGAAACTCTCCGCAGTCACTAGCGCTTCCGTTTCCGTCGCTAACACTGAATCCAACTCTTTCAATTCCTCGAACGAAGCCTCCAAGCGTCTCGTGATTGCATTCCTCTCGTTCGTGACGTCTTCTAACTTCTTCGAGTAGTCTTTGTCCATCTCTCGTATCCTTCCCTGTAAATGTTCGATTTCGTCCTCGGCGGCGTATTCCAACTCCTCCAACGAACTGACTGTTTTCGAAACCTTTCGAATTTCCATCTTGTGTTCGTCGCGCATTCGAGATATCGTTCGATTGTATTCGTTTCTGATGGACTCTATGGTCGATTTCAGAGTGTTCACTTCCTCCAACGCTTCGGCTTCGCCACTCAGAGCGTTTTCGAGCGTTTTGCGATTTTCCTTCAACTCTCGTTTCAGTAAGTCCACTTCATTTTTATACCTGTTTGCGGAAGCGTAATTCAAATTCGAGAGTTCCGCTAACTTGGCGCTTTTCTCGTACATCTCCGACGTCTCGTGGTCGATTTGCTTTACCTCGTTCGTGACTTCCATCAAAGCACCGCTTAAAGTTTCGTTTTCACGTCGTTTCGTTTCGAACGTTTTCTTCAGCTCGTAGAGTTCTCTCTCTAACTTGGACGTTAACGTATTGCTATTGCTACTACTACTTCTATAATTATTGCTGCTGTTGCTATCATTATTATTATTATTATTATTATTCGTAGTCGTCGTTTGCATGCCCTCATCTTTCCTTTTCGCGATAGAAGAAGACACGTTTAGCTTGTTCCGCAAAATATGATTCATCAGTTTCGAAGAGGACGAAGGCGACGGTTTCGACAGTGGTCGCGAAGAAGGTTGTACTTGTTGTTGTTGTTGCTCGTCGATTTTCACGCTCGCGTTCCATTTCTGCGCTGCCGTTTTCTTCTTCTCTTTATCTTCCTCGTCGTCTTCGAGGGACAACAACGTCGACGTCGTTTCTTCTTCTTCTTCTTCTTCTCCTACCGTCTCGTTGTCGTCTTTTTCATCGTCCTCTATGATTTCTTCCACGTGTTGATGGCGCTGGTGTTCCGAAGCTTCCTGCGACGAAGATATTCGTTTTCGTTCAAAAATTTTCTTCTCTTCTTCAATCACCAACGCACTACTGGCGGTAAACCCAATATCGTCCAACATTTCCAACCAAGGAATAAACGCGTGCACGGCCATGCGATACGAAGGTAACTTGCACACCGGATTGTTCTTCTTGTTACTCTTCTTATCGTTATTATTCTCGCTTTTGTCGTTTTCCTCGCTCCTCAACCGTAACTCTCTCAAATGTACAAATTCTTCCACCAACCGTAAATCCGCAAAGTTACCAAACTCGTTCTCTCGAACATCTAGATATTCTAAATCCCATTTCCTTCCGTCTTTTCTCGCGACTTCGGAGAAGTCGCGTATTGAATTATTCCTCATCGAGAGCGTTTGGAGCGTATTCGGTACGTCGCGGATGCCCTCGAACGAATTCAATTTGTTCCCTTCGATGTGTAACAACTTTAAACTCTTTGGAAGTCGGTCTAAATTGACTACTCTTTCGATGTCGTTCTCGTTCAAATATAACTCTCGAACGTTTCGGAGTAGCTGAAAGTCTTCGCCGTCGAATGTCTGTAAAGTCGATTTTTTAACGAACAAATCTTTTCGGTTGCAGATGCTGACGATGAGTAAACGCGCGAGATTCTCCTTTTGGTTCAACGCCAAAGTTTTGATGTGCTCTGGAATCGTCGTAAAAGTCTTTTCGTTATTATTACTATTCGTCTTATTAAAGTCGTCGTTTTCTTCTTCTTCTTCTTCTTCTTCTTCTTCTTCTATAGCATCATCACTTTTCTTCCCCTTCTTCTCCTCGTTCTCGTTCGTTTTGGTCTCGATGATTTTGCTCATCTTTTTCTTCTTCTTCGTCTTCTTGTTATTACTAAAACTCTTCGTCGTCGTCGCATTCGTCGTCGTCATCATTCAAAGAGTAATACTCACACTACTATTCTACTACTCATAAAACACTTTACGCGTTTAGAAGAATATGTTCATATTACTAACACTATTCTACTACTCTTCTTCTGTGTGTTGTGTACAGTGGTGTTTTTTAACGTTCTTTTTTGTCTGTTTGTTGTGTTGACTTTTTTCTTCTCCTTCTTCTTTTTTTCTTCTTCTTTTCTCTGGTGCAAAAAATGTGTTCACTCTGTCAGTCAGACACCTCAGAAGAAGAGAAAAAAGCACAACAACGAAAGAAAAATGACAGTTGTTGTTGTTTTGTGTTGAGATGATGATTTTGAGAAGGACGACGACGTTTACGCAGGAAAGAGTCGTTCTTCGAGCCGCCGCTGCCGCTGCTGCTGTTGCTGCTGCAGCTACTGCCGCAGCTGCGCACGATGCGTTTCTCTTTAATTCGGGGACGACACGAACGATGGAAACGATTTCGATATCATCACCAACGCAATTCGCAACGCATCATCGTCGTCGTCATCAGCATCCTCGTAGTAATAATACGAATACGAATAACGACAACAACAAAAACAACAACGGTTTTCTTCTTCCAGGTCGTCTTCCATTATATTTTCTCCTCTCGCACGCCTCGTGTCTCGAAAAAGAAGGAGGAAGAGGAAGAAGGGACGCGCAGAAGAAAATGCCTTCTTCTTTAACGAAAGAGGAGAGAGAAAATATGGAAGACGTGGAAGTGCACATTGAAGGCGAAGAAGAAGAACAAACGACGACGAAAACGAACGGGAAAAGTAAAAAAGGAAGACACACGGCGCAATGGCGAGTGTATACCGACTTGGGACGCGAAAAATTCTTAGCCGGAGATATCGAGTTCGCTCTGAAATGTTTCGAACGCGCGTTGAAAGAAGCAAAGCTTGGATTTGGAGAGAAGGACGCGCACGTCGCGGCGGCGCTGAATAACTTGGCGGAACTCGCGAGGACGCAACGAATGTGGGAGAAAGCGGAAGGATTATACAAAGAGTGCTTGGATTTACTGAGAGAATTGAAAGAGACGACGCCAAATAGTAGTAGTAGTAGCAGTAGTAGTGATAGTAGTAGTAAAGTAGATAAGAGAAAAGGAGCAGAATATAAAGCGGAAGCGACAATAGCAGCAGCGTTGCATAATTTGGCTTCATGCATGTTGCAAAACAACAAGCCGAAAGAGGCGTACGAAAACTATCGAACGAGTTTGAACTTGAAGCAAGTCGTGTTTGAAAACGAGAACCATCCGGAGATTGCGCTGACATTACATCACATGGCCGAAGCGTTGCTCTTGTTGGAACGCATAGAAGACGCCATCGTTGTCTTGGAGAGATCGGTAAAAATAACCGACGCGGTTGGTATCGGTCACACGCCAACGGCATTTCGCCGAATGCGAAGGTTGTGTCAACTTTATGAAATAAAAAAGAGATTTGACGACGTGGACGCGATGAAGAAACGCATAGAGACGCAATTCAGCAAGCAAGTGTAAGTGGTGATTCAATAAGTAAGTGAGATAGTAATAGCGAATGTTGCGTATTATTTGTTTTATATCTTCTGTATTTCTTCTTACACTCGTATTATTACTAAATTTCTACTAGCCTTTTCCTCAGGCATCTTCTTGAGACGATTCTTTTTCGGCGCGCTGTTTCTCTTCGCTCTCTCTTCGTTCCTCATCGGCGAGGATATCGCACAAAGCGCGCATGGCTTCCTTTTCCTCCGACGTCCTCGGTCGTTTTTCTTTCTTCTTAGAAGATTTTGATTTCGCTTGTTTCGACTGCATCATCTCAATCAACTGTTGTTGTTGTTGTTGTTGTTGTTGTTGAAGATGCTCTACCGTCACGTATTGTTGCATCGCTATCTGCGTCTTCGACGCTTCCGCTAAAAGTTTCTGCTTTTGACTCGCCAACTTACGTCTTTGCTTTCGCAACGCAAACTTTTCCTTGCAAATAGATTTACTACTCGATGAAAACTCTTCGATTTTCTGAGGACGATGACAGTAGAAACACCATCGAAAGACGCCTTCTCTTTCTTTTAAGTTGAAACTGTCTTCGCGTTTGTGCATTTCGCAGCACTGTTGGACGACACCAACTAAGGAGCGACTTTTTTCGCAAAGTAATTCGCATCCTTGCACGCCGCAGGCGCGTCCAGAAACGAATTGCGACGCTTCCTTGTGGTTCGCGTTTTTGGCGTTCAGGATTTCTCTTTGTTCTTTCAAACTAGGCGTTATCGTTGTTGTCGTCGTAGCAGCCGACTGCGTCGGGACTCCAATACCAGATGCTCCCGCTTTGGGCGCGATGCGACCACTATCATCGCTTTGTCTTTGAACTGAGACTGTCGCCCTTGCTCGTTCTTCGTCACCTTCCTCGTCTTCTTCCATTTGTTGATCCATCGAACCTTCCAATTGCTGACTCATGATACTTTTAAAACTCTCATTCGCGTACGGATACTTCTTTTGCTTCTCGAGGAGTTTTTCTTTCTTTTTAAGTTCTTTTCGATACTCCTTCATCTGTTGTTGCTTCAACTTTAACTGCAATTCCTCTTGAATCAAAGGCGCGAGCGCGTTGTTTCCTATGTTGCCGCCGTTCATAGCCGAAGAAAGAGAATTTAAAAGGCTCGGGGGTAACGATCCAGATGTCGCTTGATTCAACATGACTGCAGCGGAGGCTGCATTGGCACCAGAATTATTAAAATTATACATGGCTTGGACTTGCTGCTGTTGCAAAAACTGCAACGCTGACATGAAATCTTTCGGCGGATTTCTCATGAGCTCCTGTTGCTGCAGTACAAACTGTTGCTGCAAATTTTGCATCTGCATCAATTGTTGCTGCGCAAGCAACTGCTGAATTTGGTCTAACGTCAGCTGTGGAACTGCTATCGGTGCAACTTGCGCAGCCGGAACGGCACCACCACCGAGCGCCGTCATCATCGCCGTATTTGTATCGATCATATTCGTCCTCTTTACTTTCTTCAGCCGTTGTTGTTGCGTGGATAGTTCTCTCACATACGCCTCCTCCTCGTCGTCCGTGTCTGTCGGACTCCCTTTCCTCCTCATCCTTCGTTTTCTATTCTTTTCTTTCTTTTCGCCGTCTTCATCCGAATCCTCCGAGGTACCGTTGTTATTCGTCCCCGTCGTTGTGGTTTCAAACGTTTCCCCAGAATCCGTCGAACTCCTCCCTCTTTTCTTCGCCTCCTTGTTTTTGTTTTTGTTTTTGTCTTCTTCATCCGAGATCGATGAAGGTAAGGAATCATCGTCGTCAACATCACTCTCTTCTGATGTTGTTGTCGACTTTTTTTCGGCGATCGACTTTTCTGCGATCTCTCGCCCTTTCTTCTTCTTTCGCGCGGCCGCGACCGCTTTGATCGCCTCTTTCAGCATTTTCTTTTACTCTCCTTCTTCTTCTTCTTCTTCTTCTGTGCGGAGAGATTCGAGAGTGTTTTTGAGGCTTCTTCGTTGATGAATCGACGAACGAGACAACAGGTAAAGCGGGAAGAAAACGACGAGCGTTTTTCAAAGAGATTATTAAATTCGATTCTCTCTCGGGCCGTCGTCGACCGTTCTTTTGTCTGTCTGGCAGAAAAGGAACGGAACGAAAACAGAACAACTTTCTTCGTCTTCGTCTTCGTTGGATGACGACGACGACGGGGATGAGATGATTGATGCGTCGTTGGAGGAAGAGGATGCGCCTTCTCACAGAGGGAAACCGACGACCGGGGAGAGACAGACCACCACCTTCTTCCGAACAACACAACAACGCTTTGTCTTCTTCTTATTAAGAAAGAGGACGTTCCCCAAGAATAACGTTATAAGGTAGAAGAAGGAGAAGAGACAAAAACGATCGACGAAAGGGACAGGAACTTTTTTTTGTTTATGGTCGAAATTCAGGTCGCAGACGAGGACTCTCTTTTTGTTCTCTCAGTCGTACAGTTTTGGTTCTTCATTGAAATAGGCGCAAATTTATTACCACTGCGAATAAACAAACATGGGTAATCAAAGAGCACGAAGCAGAGGTCTCAGACATGGCACGAGAAACATGTTCACGCGCGGTTTCCGCCAAAACGGACCGAAGAACGCGACGACGTATTTGAGAACGTTCAGAGTAAGTGATACAGAATCCGCTTTCTGCTCGCGCGTAGTTGTTTTTTTTCTCAAATTTCGGGCGTCGAAAACCATCGATGTAGACGGGAATGCGTTCGTTTCTTCCTGGAATCAAATCGTTCGCGCGTACTCCGCGCATGTTTTGAGGCATTCGTGGAAAGAAACGGCGATATTTCCGTTCGCGATGGTGTTTTAAAGACACATTTCGTTCAATTTTCGTCGACGGCCTCGACCCACTACTTGTGGGGTTTCTTCCCTTGAGAAAAAAAAATCGCGCGTGCTTCCGCGCGCGCGTGTGACGCGAGGCGACGTGTTTCGAGCAGATGTTGTCGATGAATCGCGTTATTAATTATTGAAACTGACTAATTATTCTCTTTTTGATCCCATTCATATCACGCAGATTGGAGACTACGTTGACATCAAAGTTGATTCTTCTCAACACAAGGGCATGCCTTACTTGGTGTACCAAGGTAGAACTGGCGTCGTCTGGGATGTTACTCCGCACGCGGTTGGTGTCGAGGTGAACAAGCAAGTCGGTGGCAGAATCATCCGTAAGAGACTTCACATCCGTTACGAGCACGTGCAACACTCTCGATGCAGAGAAGATTTCTTAGCGAGAAGAAAGGCGAACGACGAGGCGCACGCCGCGGCGAAGAAGGCGGGTAAGAAGATTGTCACGAAGAGAGCACCGGTGGGTTTGCCGAGAGAGGGTTTTACTTTGGAAAACGTCAAGACGGAAATCTTGACGCCGATCCCGTACGATATCGTCAGAGAAGGTGTGCAGCTTTAAGAAGTTTTATGTATGTATGTATAAACACGCATAGAAAAAAACTTAGTAGCAGAACACGAGAGAGAGAGTTTTCGCGAGAAGGTTGGAACCGTTTTCTTTCGAGCGACTAGCGCTTGGAGAACAACACGGGGAAAAGAGCAGACGGGGAACTCGGGACGGACGGCTGGCATTGCACGACGTCGACGACGATTGGGGAGACAGAGAGAGAATATATCTAAAACGTACTAAAATTTTAGCATTGAAAGAACTATTTGTAGACAAAACTTAAAAAATACGAGTAACGCCTTGAAAAATATAAAATGGAACACACAACAAGGACGACGAGACACCACACCATGCGCGAAAGATCATCCGAAGAGGAGGACGAGAAGGAGGAAACCGTGCTGCGAGAAGAAGAAGAAGAAGAAGAAGAAGAAGAAGTGATTGTGGACATATGCGCGGGTCAAGGGCAGTTGAAGTTTCTCTCTCGGAGAGCTGCCAAAACGAAGACGAGCGTAACGCCTCCGCTTTTGAGAGAAGGAAACTCAATCATACTTGAAGTGAAAGATTTGTGCGAGTACGCCGAAGAAAACGAGGAAGAGAAAAGCAAAGTACCGTGGGTGGAACACAAATTCGCGATTGGAGACTCAACGCATCCGGAAGGGTTGGAAGAAGCGCTTTTAAAAATGCGGGTGAACGATATCGCCGAGGTGAAAATTTTTGCCTCCTCGGAATATCAGTTATGCGACGCGCTTTTACCCGAGACGCAAACGATTACTTTCACAGCTTTATTTGTAGTTAAAGTGGTTGAAGTTACCGACGATAGCGTTACAGATGATAAGTTTGCGATGTCGCACAGAGAACGGTTGGAGTACGGCGAGAAAATGTTGGAGCGCGGCCGCATGTTATATCAAACGAAGCGGTATCGCCGAGCGAAACTCATGTGGGATAAAGGCGCGGATATCTTTTCGTTGAGAGAACCGCAAGGCGAATTCGATAAAGACGGAGAAAAGAAAAACAAAGAGTCCTTTCAAGTCGCGCATAAGATTTATAACAATCTCGCGATGCTACATTTGAAGATGGAAAATTATAAAGAGGCGGAAGCGTTCGCTTCTGATTCGTTGGATTGCGAGAAAGATAACGTCAAAGCGCTCATGCGAAGGGCAAAGGCGCGCTTGGAACTGCTTAAGTGGGAAGAAGCAGAGAAAGATATGGATACTGCGTTACAACTCGAAGAAGAAGCGACCGAATCGAACGTGGAAAAGTTAAAGCGCGAACTCGCTCCGCTCCGGAAAAAATTACAACTTCTCCGTAAACAACAAGATCTGAAAGATAAAAAAGATGGTTTCGGAAACGTCTTCAAAAAAAGCGAAAAGAAGACGTATTACAAAGACGACGAGATTGCTAAAGAGAACGAGGCATTTCCGTGCAAAGATTTGGCGACCACTCAGTTAGATTGGGACGAAGAGTTCAAGCAAATTGATATGGAAGAGGCAGAAGCGGTCAGATGGAAAGGCATGAAAGAACGCGAACACAAATATAACCTTTTGCGATTCGCGCACGATCCAGAGATTTATATGAACAATAATGCATAGTAATAACAACGATAATGACGATAATAATATTTTAATTACACGCTTCTCTTCTACCAACCATCATCGCATCATAAATCAGTCTTCTTCTTTCGTGTCTAAACCCAAAAGCGTCGGCGTTCCTGGAAACTCAAACCTAACGTGCGTCGTCGTCAATTTACTCGATCCGGTCGTATCGAACAACCACTCCGCATCTTTAACCATTGCCGCCGGTATCGACCCGTCCGTTTTATTTGCATCCTCTAAGATGTGTTTCGCCATCTCTGCTTTCCCTTCCCCTACGGCGGCAAATACTTTTCGTTTCGCCATATTCACCACTGGCATAGAAAACGTGATGCGTTCGGGAGGCGGTTTCGGCGAATCCGCGATGGGTAAAATCCATCGCGCGTCGTTCACTTTCACCAGCGAATGATTCGGAAATAACGAACATATGTGCCCATCCGGCCCAAAACCTAACAACAACAGATCAAATATCGGCAATCCACCGTCTCCTTTCGGTAAGATTGTCTCCGATAAGCTCTTCAACTCTTTATCGTACGCCTCCGCCGACTTTGCGCTCGCGCCTTCGTTCGCTTCGTACAAACCGTCGTCGATGGCGTGCAAATTCTCTCTCGGGATTGGCACGTCCTTAAACAACGTCTCGTACGCGCCACCAAAGTTACTCTCTGGATCGTCTAAAGGCACGCATCGTTCGTCCACCCAAAATACGTGCCATTTCTCCCACTCAATTTTATTCTCCTCGTTTGTGTCCTTCTTCAATCCGGAAAGCATTTTAATCAAACTCCCGCCGGCTAATCCGAGCGTGAAGTACCCTCTCTCTTCAATCGCACTTCTCGCGCTTTCCGCGGTCAACTCCGCGATCGCTTTCGAGACTAACTCGGGAGTGTAATACACGGTGCACTCGGGAGCACCTTCCGGTTTCGGCGTCGATTCAAAGTTTTCCATTTTTATAATGTTTTTGTAACGAGTTGACCGATGAGATATTTTGGAGGAGGATTTGGAGCCAATTGACGTCGTTTTTAAAAAAGTAGACTTTCCTCTCCAAGAAGAAACTCGCGACGATGATGATAAATTCGTCGAGGAGACGATCATTAATACTAAGCAGCAGAGAGGACGAGGAGAGAAAGAAAGCGAGCGCGTGTGGTGCGAGTGCGCGCGCGAGTGATGCGTTTTGAAAGAGACTTTTCTCAACAGAAAAAAAGTGGTTGTGTTTTTGTGAAAAAAAGTTGAAAAAAAAGAAATTTTTCGTCAGTCTGCCGTCACTGATTAACACTCCTTTACGGGGAAACAGAAGAGAAGCAACTACTCATCAACGACACAACAAAACGATGAGCGCGGTAAAAAAGTTGATTCCTCTGATGGACAGAGTTCTGGTGGAGAGAGCAGTCGCGGCGACGAAAACGAGCGGGGGGATTTTGTTGCCAGAAACCGTCGGAAGTAAAGTACGTCGGATGAATTCTCATTCTCATTCTTCTTCTTCTTCTTCTTCTTTAGTCTTCTTTTTATGAATTTCGATTTTGGTTTGTTTATCTGAGAGAGAGAGAGAGAGAGAGCGCTCCACATTGGGAGGACGTTCTCTTTAAGAGCTGAAACAGAGGATGATGATGGACGCGTTTTCTTTTTTTTATGATGAGTAGAGCTCTCGCTTTTCTGCGCGTGACTGACGATTGGATGATGTTTCTCTCTTTCTTTCTTGTTCTATTAAATAACTACAGCTCAACGCAGGCGTCGTCGTCGCCGTCGGACCGGGGCGACCGAGTCCAATGGACGGGAAACTAATTCCAAACGGTACGACTTTTTACTCACGAACAACGTTGAGTCTCTTTCCTAACGATGACTTAATACTATTATTATTACAGGCGTTAAAGCCGGCGATAAAGTCTTGCTCCCGGAGTTTGGCGGTCAAGCCGTCAAGCTCGACGAAGGCCCGCAAAAGAAAGAGTTCCTCTTATACCGAGACGAAGAGATCCTCGGGATATTACAGGATTAATACTATACTCGCGATGATATCGTAATTCGTAGCAACACTAGTCGTTTAATAAACCTATTTAATGTAAGAGAGAGAAGAAAATAGAAAGGGGTGCTCAACTTCTCTCACTATTCATCACAGCGCTTCTTTCAATCTCTTTTTGGCTTCACTCCTCAAAAAAATTCAAAGAAGGCAGTTTCGTCACAAACAGACGACAGCTCGTCATCTGGAAAGAAAATTAAAAAAAATCTTTCACCATCACCATGGCGGGCTCTCCGTACCCGAAGCGGAAGCGGAGTAAAGAGACGACCTCGTCTCCTTCTCCTTCTCCAAAAGCGGTGGCGGCGGGTGCGGGTGCGGTTGAGCAGCAGCGCGACGATTTTGACGACGACGAGAAGAAGAAGAAGAAGAAGAAGAAGACGAAGGCAAAGACGAAAATCAAATCACACCAAAACGACGAAGAAACTTTACGCAAAAAAAATCAAACGACGACGACGACGACGACGAGTCAGACGACGACGATTGGTTCTATCGAGGAAAAAGAAAAGGAGGAGGAAAACGACGAGAAGAAGATCACGCCGAGAGAATGGTTCGCGCTGTTAGTACACTCCTCTTCGCGATATCGAAAGCACTTAGAGCGCTTGAAATGCGACGACCGTAACGAAAAGGAAGAGGAGGAGGAGAAGGCGTTGGATGATTCTTTTTCCGAGGAGGAGGAGGAAGTTGAGAAGAAAAAAGGAGACGACGACGAAAAGAAGAAGAAGAAGCGAAAAGGAGTAGAAAAAGAAGAAGATGGAGATGAACAAAAACGCGAAGAAATAACGCCGTACAACGCGTTAGATTCCGGAAGTCTTTTGTTTGAAGACATGTGGAACGTGCGATCGAGAGCGATGGAGGAGTATACGCCCGCAGAAATTACAGCAAACAAACACGGTCGCGTCGACATTTCGTATCCTTCGAAGACTATTTCGGCGGGGCCGACAGGTACCGCGAGGGAACGCCTGAAGAAGATTAACAGATTCGAGAAGAAAGAAGAAGGGGAAGAAGGGGACGCATGGACCAAAGAATTCGACGGAATCGAAACGTTGGCACAGCTGTTGATACAAAAGAAGTCGCACTTGTCCAAGATTTTAGAGCCGGTGTGTCATAATGACTTTTTCTTGAAGGAACCGACGACGAGCGAACAACTCAGTCGGTTACCGCACTCGCACAGGTTTACTGAAATCTATGAAAGAGGATCCACGACCGAAGAACGCGTGGAAAGATTGAAGATGATTGCGTACGTTTTAAACTTGAAGCTACCGGGTGACGTTTGTCAGAAGAGAACCTCGAGTCACATTCGAGCATTTCAAGGGCTAATGAAGGAAGTGTTGACGCGTTTAAAGTCGCTGGCGTTTGCATGCGCCAGACACGAGTTGTTCGATGCCGTAGAATTTCTTTCGTTGGAATCAAACTTAGTCACGAAAGAGATGACGAGAGAAGAAGAGCAAATCAACACGGCGAGAGAAATTACGCTTCAAAACGCGCAGATTTTAACCGCGGTAATGGCAGTTATGATCAGTTTAATCGGCGAAAGCAACGAAAAAGAGTTTCAGACTTGGCAAAAATTAGAATACACGGGACACGCGTCCGCAAACGCGGAGGCAAGAAAGACAACTAGCAGCAAATCGGTCGGGACCACTAAATTAGATTTCGACAGCTTAAAAAGGTTGGCGCGAACGTTACGCAAGAAATTGTACGCGAGAAATACGATAACGGCACCATGGCAGGGAGAGATGATAACCGATTTTGGGGCTATGACGAATAAGAAAGAAGAAGGCGCGCTCGGAAAAAGATCGAGAACACCGATAGCGGCCGCCGGTGGCCAAGAGCCTGACGACGAATACAACGAATTAGAGGGGATGGAGCACGACCAAGCGATGAAAGGAGATGGAACAAAACTGCAGCAACAAACAACCACGACGAAGATAGCCACGGCATCTCTTTTGACGCATTGCTCGTATTTGTTTACGAGAAGCGATATGCGCTTGGAGGATAGCGATATTATAGGTCGATGTATCTATTCCATTCCAATCGTTTCACTCGCGGTTTCGCGGTTTCGAGCCTATGAACGGAACGATTCCACGGAAGGTATAAAAATACACAAAGCTTTTAGTGAAGTTTACAAGCTCGGCAGCGACATCGTTTCCCGTCTATGCGCAATGGCTGGAGATATATACGGCACCATGTTGCCAAAAAATTTAGACGAGACATTCTTCACCTCAGGAGAAAAGGTGATAGTGGCAGAGAATTTATCCAGGTGGTATGCGCCCGATTTTATCGAGAGCAAAGAGGTGTTCTTGTACTCGGAGAGTGTACAGATGCAGGATACATACGAATACGGCCAATGGTTATTGATGCCGCACTCCGAGACAAAAGCTGCATTTTGCCGCAAACTCGTTGCTTTCTTTGTAGCGGCACAACACGACGGGTTTTTCGGGAATTTTCATCCTCTTCCTCGGAAAGATATTTGTCGCACTTTGTGCATCTTAAAGTATCACAAACACTTAGTTGATGGCATCAAACGCGACTATGTGGACCGATTATACAGTCCTACCGAGGAAAGTGGCAACGTTGAAGCATCGTTACCGATGCGCGATAGGGCGGGACAATATGGACCAATTCTCTACAAGTTGATCGCAAAGTTGAGCATTTTGAAAGAAATGGCGAAAGAGACGACGGAAAATCTTGCATCGAGTACCGCAGTTCGAGAGAATAAGTGCGGCGACTGCGCGGAGCTCATTGTCAAAGAGACGAACATTTTACCGTTACTTCTTCAGCTCTTGCGCGATATACCGTCAGACGCAATCATATTGCAAAAGGCAACCGGTGGTCACCGCTTCATCGCACTCGACCTCGAGTTAGCGTCGTTGTTTGGAGCTTTATTAAACAAGAAAGAGCAAGTTCGCGCGGAGGTGCTGAAATACGAGGAGGGCGCATTCGTACCATTGATAGTGACGAGACTGCTCGATATGCTGTCACCGCAATCGTCTTCCGCATCTTCCTCCTTGTCGATGGGACAATGGTATCTTGAAAACTACGAAAACGCCATGTGTGCCTCTCCGACGTATTGGATGAAGAGGTCTTTATGGGAACAAACGAATTTAAAGAATCAACAACCGAAACCGGGAATGAGCTCTTATCAAACGGCGCGAAAGAAAGGTGCCGTAACGGCGGAAATTATTCAATGCGTTTCCGAATGTGTTGCGAGCATGAACGGAAAAATAAGAGAGATCAACGACGAGTTGGACAAGCGCGACTTCTCCTCCGTATTGTTGAAATTGCTCGAACGAAAAGAAGGCAACGTGAAAGAATCGGTTTCGGCGGCAATCATCGCCATGGGCGAACATAAGAAAATAATAGGAAAGATTGAACACTTGATCAAGAGCTTCGGCAAGAACTTTCGCAACTCCGGTAATCCCAAGCAATTGCTCTCGGTAACTGAGCGAGACGGGCTGAAATCTATGATGCGCTCTGTCACAGAGTTAGTGAAGGAAACTCCAACCGTGCCGGACGTTATCAACCGCGTCGTCAGCCAAACTCGCATGGCTAGATGGATGGAGAGACTATGGCGAGAATCGGAAGAACATATTTACGACAATATGAAGAACACCGAAGAAGGAATGGCAAAATTGAAATCATTTGAGGAAGAATACAGCAAGGGAACTTTAGTCAACTGGCGTACTCTTCGGAAGGAGGCGGACTTGAACGACGCGCTCAAACAGATCGTCGGATGTTCAACCTCGGAAGTCCTGAAGTTTCGAAGTTGCTACGACGATGAAGACCAGAACATAAAGAAGACCAAGTTGTATAAAAGCGTTCGTGTTTACGCGCGAATATTTCGGGCGAAAGTCGCGGTGGGTTCTCTCGGCTTACCGGAGGGAAATCCATCGACGGATGTGGATGCGAGCGATCCAACGTTTCTAGCGACTGGGAAGTACCCATCGGTGCTCGAATTGAATTTAGTAGAAACGATTATATCTGCACTCGCGCATACGCGTTTAGAAGACGCTTGCGACGTCATGGTTGACGAAGGAATGGTTGAAAGCGTGAAATCGTTGATACAAGTTCTCTGTGAAATCAACGATCGAGTGGCAACATTGTTAGACGTCGTGAAAGATGAAAAGGATCCACGCATTGTTTCCGTCTCGGAAGTACTCAAAGAAGCGTGTTATTGCATGAGTTTATTGGCTAGTAAATCGTGTCATCAAGATCGCGTCGCAGACGCTGGGGTTATTCCAGTCTTGGTCCAGATAATCTCGAACTTTAACTCAAAGCAAAAGGAAAAACCGCACGATCCGGTCGCCATCACATCTTCTGTTGCGAGACGCGCCGCCGACGCCATCACGAACCTCGCGCACGAAAATCACGCCATCAAATCCACCGTGAGACACGATGGTGGTATTCCGCCGTTGATTTCCTTGCTGCATTGCGTGCACGACGTGAAAGTACAACGCGCCGCCGCTGCCGCCTTGAGAACATTGGCATTTAAGAATCCTGAAAACAAAAACCAAATCGTCGAAGAAGGCGCTTTGAAAATGCTCCTTTTCATGGTCCGCTCAGAAGATTCTTCGGTACACAAAGAAGCCGTCGGTGTGATTGGGAATCTCGTTCATTCGAGTTTACCCATTAAGAAACGAGTTTTAGACGAAGGCGCTTTACAGCCCGTCATTGGTTTGTTATCTTCCTCGTGTCTTGAATCGCAACGAGAGGCGGCTTTGTTGCTCGGCCAATTCGCCGCTACAGAGCCTAAAGATTATAACATGACTCGAATCGTCCAGAGAGGTGCCATCGCACCTTTAGTCGAGATGCTGAAGAATTCGGATCCTGGTTTACGTGAAATGGCCGCGTTCGCGCTGGGAAGACTCGCGCAAAATACGGATAATCAAATCGGCATTTGCTTTGGCACCGGTATTGGTCCTCTCTTGAAACTTCTCGATTCGAACATCGATGACATCATGTTGCACTTACGAGAAACAAATAGTTCGGTCAAAAAGCCGGACTCTGAGTTGAAAGTCGACGCGAGACGATACGTGGAGAATTTGCAACATAACGCAGCCTTTGCTTTGTACGGATTATCGGACAATGAGGATAACGTGCACGTAATCATCGCGGAAGGGTCGGTTCAACGTTTCCGCGACGCCACTCTTCTGTTGGAAGCTTCCACCACGTGCGTACAAAAAACGTTGCAACGTTTGGAAGACAAACTGACTTTAGATAAAAACAAGAAATGTCGAGAGTATTTGCAATATCTGATGACGACGGAGCCAAAACACGCGAAGAAGTTTCGCATTGCCGTCGCTTTCGCGCACTTGTGCAATAAGAAAGACATGCAGGACATCTTCCTCGAATCCGGAGGTTTGAAAATATTAATCGACGTTCTCATTGATCACGCGTGGAACAAAACTGGACACAAGTCTTCCGAAAACGGAGTGTCTTTCAGTAGACCTGGAACTAATAATATCGAACCGCGGCGATACTTCCTAAAGTCGCTCGCGTTTACGAAAGAAATAATGAAATACGACAATCCAGGTTCTGACTTCAATAAAAGTATCGTCGCGATTACAGAAAAATTAGCAAACGTCCAAAAATTGCACGGTCATTGCTTGACCGCTTCCTCGTTGCTTCCGTCTGGAGCGACTGGAGCGAATGTGCGGGAAACCATAGAGGCTATTTCTAGCATCGTTGAAAAGACGAAACGCGACGGTCTAGGGAACAACGGCCCGGAAGTTTTCTTAGACGATGACGAGTTCATGGAACTCGACGGCGACGACGCAGCAAACGAAATCGTGGCAAATAAGTATGTTTCGGAAATTTCCACTCAATTCTTTCCCAAAGATAACGGCGAGAAGGAATTATTCAAGGAGTGTCTCGTGGTCATGGATGGTGGCGAATATAAAGTCAGACTTGGCGATCGGATGTCAGGGATACCGGAAATGAAAATGAGCGCGAAAACCAAGAACCTTGATTTATGCGACGTCGTGTTCGTGTGCGCCTACGGTCGTCTAGAGTATCATGCGCATCGAATTGCATTCGCACACGCGAGCGAGAAGTTCTTGAAGCTAATAGAAGCTGGTTGTTTGCACGTTAAAAACACAAGAAACAAAAAGAAGGAAGAGAAAGTCTTTGGAGCGATGGTTGACGAAGAGGAAGATCCTGCACGCATGGTGATTGACGACGACGACGACGACGACGACGACGACGACGACGACGATGACGACGACGACGATGGCGACGACGATGACGACGACGATAACGAAAAAGACAACGCGATGTGTCGAGTGAAGCTCGATTGTTCCCAATTTGCCTGCGAGCAATTGCTGTACTATTTGTACTCTGGAACATTCACTGGGGTGAGTCTCTCGCAACGCGAAAGTTTGCCTTCAGACTTCTCCACCTTAATACAGGATTACTACTTTGAAGTACTCAATTTGGCGAGGAAATACGATCTCGCCGGTCTCGTTCGAGAAGTTGAAGTGAGTTTCAAAGGCCTTTTTACCGTGCAAAACTACCTACGAATCATGTATCACCCGTTGTTGGAAAAATCGGAGGTGATTACTAAGCTCGGCTGGCAGTTTGCGTTTGAGAAGAGAAACGTGCATAAAATAATCGAGCTGCACGGTATGAACTACTACACGATGATGATGCACGATGACGAAGAAAAATTGACGAGCTGGTTATCAGATCGAATCAAAAATGCTCGCGACTTCACGCAAGGAGACGAGCAAGAGTCAGAAGATGAGTTGCCTGAAGAGGATGGAGAAGGTCCGGAGGAGGAATTTTTTTAAGAGAGGGAGTGCGAAATAGCGCTCGTTTTTAAAATCGAAAAGGTAGGAATATCTTCTCTTTTAATAACAATAAGTTCTACTATAATGTGAAATGCTACTACATAAGAATACACAACGCGTTGTTTTCTCTCTTTTATCTATTTATATATATGTATCTCCGAAAAGCTTCCTCCTCCTTTACGAGATGATGAGCGCTTTCTTAAGCAACGACCCCGCCGTCTCTGACGGCTGCGCCCCTTTCGCGATCCACTCTTTGATCGCCGGGGCGTTCAAGGAAGACTCTTTTTTGATCGGATCGTACCAGCCTAAGAATTCGATCGGTAATCCGTCGCGTCTCTTTTTGGAATCAATAGCAACTAATCTGTAAAACGCTTGGCGCTTTCTTCCCAAACGCGTAAAACGAATCTGTAATATTTTTTCGACCAAGAAGAAGAAGAAGAAACAGGGTTAGGTTGAATTCCAACACGTTGAGAGGAAAAAAAAGCGTGACGACGAAATGACGACGAGGAAAAGAAGAGGTATTGGTACTCACCACAACTCTGTTTTCAATCTTCAACGACGGAAACGCTTTCGCAGTTCTAATCGGCGCCTGTAAATGAGAAAATTTGGTTAGTTTTTACGTCGCGTGAGGTTACAAATCGCGCGCGCGCGCGCAGCAAATCCTCCTTCGGAATTTTTTTATCCAGAGGGAGGAGAGACGGCGGAAGAAAGGAATTTTCGCGCTTTGAAAGCGCACAAAAACACACAGAAACGACGCCAAAAATATGTACCTTGGCCGATAAGCCTTGCGTGGAGCAAACGCTGTTTGAGAAATTCAATCGAGTAGGGGCGGACGCTGCGAACGACATTATTATTTACGGTTCGTACTACGGGCTAAAGTGACGAATTTCGAGAAACAGGAGGAGGAGGAGGAGTGTTTTTTTGGAGAGCAGAGAACAGCTTTTCTTTTTTTTCGTTTTTTTTGAAAGGAACGAGGAAGAGAGCTCTGGCATCTGGAGAGGAAGCAATTTTATTTGAAGAAGTTTTTCTTCTTACTGCACACACTTTCGCGGAATCTCGCCATAAACTCTACGTTACGAAGTATCATCCACTAAAACAATGATCAACGCTGACGGAGATAACGTCGATTTGTACATCCCGAGAAAGTGCTCGTGGACGAACCGCTTGATCACGTGCAAAGATCACGCGGCGATTCAAGTGAACGTCGGGCATTTGGGTCCGGACGGGACGTACAATGGCAACTATTCGACTTTTGCCATTTCGGGTTACGTGAGAAACAAGGTACGCATTCGAAGAATTTGATCGTGTAATTGTGAAACGCTTTATTTTCGCGACGTTAAGGCGGGGTTGTTTGTAGATTTTCTGGGTCGCGAGTGGTTGAAAACCGCGCGATTTCGCGGATGATTTTTCCAAACCAAACAAACCCCACTCTCTCTTTTCTCTCTTCTTCGAAATCTCAACTCTATACTCACTCCTCTCTCTCCTTCATTCGTTTTAAAAAATCAACAGGGTGAATCGGACTGCGCCATGGACCACCTCTGGCAAAAGAAGAAGGGCAACAACTAATGCATCTTTGTATTAGTCTTTGCCTTTATTTTTAGTTTAACTTTAGAAAGAGAGAACATTAGAAATTTGGATTTGTTGTATTGAACACGAAAGAGTCCAGAACGTAGCACAAAAACGAAAACGCATACAATTCTTGTTCATCTGTTGATGGATTGATTGGTCACGGACACGCGCGCACTAATGATACAACATCACGATGACTACTTTACGACTACATTACTTCTTTTTCACCGGAGCGAAGAAACTGGCGATGGACTTCGGCTTGGTTTTAATCTCTTTCAAACCGCCGTCGGCGCCGAGTTTGAATATCGTCTTTTCTTTTTCCGGAGCGCCAAACTTCTTATTCACCGAAGGCGGCTTGGGAGGTAGCTTCTTCAATTCCGCGCCTGGTGTGGTATTATTTGACGCAGTTTTGCTAAACTTGTTTCGTATCTCGGCGTTCTCATCGTTCTTGTTGTTCTCGAACGTTCGCTTGAACGAATTGTCCGTCGCGCTCGGTTTTTGATGACTTTGCTTGTTCGGCGAAGAAAGCGGCGTGCGGCTTTTCTTTGAGGCGGAGGGTGGCGCCGGCGTATGCTTGTTTGCTTGCACTCCTTGCTCCGCAGCGCCGAGCATTTTAGCGATCTCTAAATCCTCCAAGTCTTCTGCGCTCAATACCATGCTTTGCGGATGCTTCCTCGGCGAACGTCTCAACGGCTGAGAAGGAGGAGGAACCGTTGTTGTTGTTGTTGTTGTTGTTGTTGTTGCTGCTGTTGCTGGCGGCATGGCTGCTACTACTGGAGCTGGAGCCGTGGAAGTGGCAACTTTCTTCGCCGCAAACATAGAATTGATGTTGACTTTTGGAATTTTCGGTCCCTCGTTCGTCAGTTGCACGTTATGCATGTTATTGTAATTATTATTGTATCTTTGTTGAAAGTGCGGTTGCGCGTGAGCAAACGGACGCCTCGCGATGGGATCCATTCTTCCTTCTGCGATTTCAATCGCAACTTTGTCCTCGAATACTTTGCCCAAAAAGTCAAGCTCGTCGGATGTCTTCCCGAGAAGCTCCTCGGGAAGCGGCGTCAAGTGCTTCAATGTTTTCTCCTTGACGTCATAAATCAACGCGTGTCTGAAGGTATAAACCGCGCGCTGCCATTTTTCGACGTAACCTTCTGGAACGTCAATCTTTGGGTCTTTACTCATCATTTCTAACGCGGTTTTTGCGCACCGGTCATTTTTGTTGACGAAAGCGTGGGCCTTTTTAAAACCAACATTTCTCACGTTTTCTAAGAAATCGCACCCGCTCATCGCGCAGAGACCCAAGAAGTCGTCGTGGGTCCAATTCTCGAAGGACAATGGAGAATTGGCACCTCTGGAACCTTTTCCTCCCGCGGAAGACTTCGAACCACCTTTTTTCTTCGCAGCAGTAGCAGTCTTTTTCTTCGCGTCTACGTTTTCATCCGACTCGTTCGTTCCATCGTTTTCCACGGTCATTTGACTCTCGTTATTGATCGTCATTTCACTTTCTTCGTTGTTAGTAGTCGTCATCTCCTCGCTGGGTGTCGTCGTCGTCGTCGTCATCGCCGCAGCTGTTTTATTCATCAACACGTCCTCCAACAAAACTTCTTTACACGCCCCAAACTTGTCTAACTTGAAACAAACTCTCTCGCACCCGTAGGCGACCAAATCCGAATCCTCCGTGAACACCACGTCCACTCCACCATTTTCCCTCGATTGCCTCGCCAAATGCGCTATTTGCGCGTCCGCTTCGTACGGGGCTACGACGAATTCAATACCTTCTCTCTTCAACGCCACAATCAACTCCAGCGCCATCCTCGGCGAAATATCTAAGCTCTGCGTAAACATAAACGTCGCGCCTTCTCGATTGCCTTGTTCCAATCGCTCTCGTCCTTTCTGTTTCGCCTCTTCTCTCCTTTGTCGTCTCGTGCCTTCCTCGCTCGCTTTCGCCGGTAATCGATCGCCGTCGAACACGATCACCGGTTCCACGCCAAAAAATTTCAGCATCTTCGCCCTGTGGATGCAATAGTTCACGTACGGGGCGTCTCTGTTTTGTTTTACCCAGTAGTGATTTCCCGTGTGCAACTCTAACGCGCACGAATACGCGCCTTTGTGGAGCCACGAGTACGCGTCGACGGCTGCGCGCATACCTTTTATTACACGTTCCATCCAATGCGTTTCGTTCGCGCGAAGCGGTTGGTTGATGATGACGTAAAAAGAAAGAGTACGATGGTGCGTCTCTGTGTCAGTTTTTGAATATCTCGACGCGAAACAAAGGGAAACCAAATCGGAGACGACGAAAGTCGTTTTAAAAATGCGCGACTGCGTATTCATACCTTTAAACTGTTCCACTTGCGCGTCGCGGTAGTAATGCTTCAACTGTTCCGGCAATCCTTTGATTCCCATTTTGATGATGATGTGTGTTTTTAATACCTTTGAGTGCGTCGTAAAGGTGAGCGAGGAAAGTCGACGATGGTAGTCCTCTTCTGAGGAGTAAAGGACGAGCTCCTCGATATTTTATTTTTCTGTTGCATGCGCTCTCGTCGGTTTTTTTTCCTTTTCTGACAGTCTCGTTTTGGCTCTCAAAAAAAAAACTCACCTCAAAAAAAAAACGCCGCCACCTTCATTTTAACAACAAACGCTCTTTGAATTTGTCTTCTTGGTCTTGGTCTTCTTCTTGGTGTCTCTTCTCTGTTCTGTCGAGAGAAAGCGAGAGAGAGAGAGTAGTGGTATTAATAGTAATAATGGCGAAAACGCGGAGGAAAAAAAAACGCACGCACGCGGTGAGCGAAGAGAACACAAACGGTGCGAAGAAAAATGTCAAATCGTCCTCAACGAACGTCCCGAAAACGTTCGTGGTGAAACGAGGGAAACTCTCGCACTTGGTGAAGAGTTTAACCGAGGACGTGAGGAAAATCATGGAACCGAACACCGCCTCGAAGCTGAAAGACTCGAAATCGAATAAACTGAAAGATTTCATCAACGTCGCCGGGCCTTTAGGCGTGTCGCATTTCTTGTTGTTCTCAGCCACGGAAAACGCGAAATACTTGAAAATATGCAAAACGCCGCGAGGACCGACGTTGACGTTTCGAATCGATAAGTATTCTTTAGAGAGGGACGTGAAGAAAGCGCAGAAGAATCCAAAATCGAGAGGGAAATCGTTTTTGAATCCAGCGCTGGTGGTTTTGAATAATTTTAGCACCGCCGGTCAAGAGAGCGAAAAGAAGCTGTGCGCGTTGACGTTTCAGAATATTTTCCCGGCGGTGAACGTTAAAAAAGCAAAGTTAAGTTCGTGTAAACGAGTCGTTCTGGTAGATCACGATAAGGAGACGAATTTGTATAGATTGAGGCATTTCCACGTGGACGCAAAGCCGGCGAAAGGCGATCGGAAGTTGCGGAAAATGTTAAAATCGAGAGAGGTGCCCGATATGGGGCGAATGGCGGATATTAGCGAGTTTTTTACCGGCGCGGCGAGTTCACCGGGGTCAGACTCGGACGTTTCCGACAGCGAAGACGACCCAAAAACGAAAGTCCAGTTAGCGCAAGACTTGGATCGAGTGAACAAAGCGAAATCGACCGCGAAAATTCTTTTAAAAGAACTCGGCCCGAGACTGGACCTCGAGTTGGTCAAAGTCGAAGAAGGCGCGTGCGAAGGTCGAGTTTTATTCCATCAATACGTGGAAAAAACCGTCGAGGAAGTGAAAACGCAAGACGAATTGCGCGCGCAAAAAGAGCAGTTGAAAACCAAGCGACGCAAAGAACAAGAGGAGAACGTGAAAAGGAAAGAGAGAGAAAAAGAGAGGAAAGAGAGAGAAAAACCGAAGAAGAGACCGAGGTTGAGAGAGAAAAACGACGACGAAAAAAACGACGACGACGACTGGCCGGAAGAGCCCGCGAAGGAGTACAAAGAAGGCGACGTGTACGAAGGAGATAACAAGAACAAGTCCAAGAAAAAAGGCGGGTTTGGATCCTCTAATAAACGATAATAGAAGAGAAACATTATTGTACGTAGAAAAACGAGTAGTAATAGAGAAGAAGGAGTGTTGGAGAGTATTTTTGAGATTTGAGAGAAACAATAAAAACCAAGAAAATCGTCATTCTTATTGCCCCATCGGTTAAAGGTTTAATTACACAGCTTTAAGGAACACACACATAACTAACTAAAAATGGTACGTTCGTAATCTCTACTATGCGAATCCCCGCTTGAACGATGTCGGAGATTTTCGCGCGATGTTTTAGAGCGGGCCCCGGCGAGGAGGGCGTTTTGAAATCTTTCTTTTTCTTCGCCTAAAAAATTTTAGCCCCAAAAAAGAATGAGGCGAGATTTTTGCGCGCGTTTGGGCTTTAAAGAGATCGAGATGAAGGGATAAAACGCGGACGAGTAGTCGCGAATTGCGCGGAGAGAATGGTTGCTCGCTCGATGACGCGCTCGTACTCTGCGTTTCACCTTCGTATCATCGCATTTCAAGCGCGCGGAATTTTCTTTCTCTTTTTTTTCCTTGAGAGGGAAGGTCGAAGGAGGATGCAGAAGAGCAGCCCTTGATTTGAGAGTACTGACGAATACGTATCCTTCTTTTTATTCAACTCTTCTTTACCACTATAATACATCATACAGTCTGGAGAACTTGCTTGCACTTACGCGGCCCTCATCTTGCACGATGACGGCCAAGAAATCACCGAAGACAAGATCAACGCGGTCGTCAAGGGCGCCGGTATCACCATCGAACCGTACTGGGCGGGCTTGTTTTCCAAATTCTTGCAATCCAAACCGGTTGAAGAGTTGATCTCCAACGTCGGCGGCGGCGGCGGTGGCGGCGGCGGCGGTGGCGGTGGCGGTGGTGGCGACGCTGGCGGTGGCGGTGGCGGTGAAGCCGCGAAGGAGGAAGAGGTGGAAGAAGAAGAAGAAGACATGGGCTTTGACTTGTTCGATTAAACAACAACAACACACATTAGTTTGGTAGACCTCAAATATAAAAAGAGACGACACGCATACCACCTGTGTGGCGTGGTGACTCCACGCGTGTGATTGAAGAAAGTTTAGTAGTTTCGTATCCAAATGCTGCGTATACAATAGATTAGTTGTTTTCTTTAATTATATGGTATAAAGTACAATCGTCGCCGTCGTGTTATCAAAATCAACAACAATCAACAACAACGTATATTCGTTATTTAAATACTGTAGGAGAGCTAGTATTTATTATTCTCTCTCTCACATCTACTACATCACGGACATTTTTCGTCTGAGTCTGAGATGCACGTCCCGACTCCGGCTTGCCCTCGGATGGCTTTGTGAATGTTTCCGCCTTTTGTCATGTCAAAAACGACAATTGGCAAATCGTTCTCGCGGCACATCGTGATTGCCGTTTGGTCCATGACACCCAATCCTAACCTTTGAACGGTCTCGTACGATAACCTCTCGTATTTCTTCGCGTTTACATTTTGTTTTGGGTCCGAGCAAAACACGCCGTCTACTTTCGTCGCTTTTAACACCACTTGCGCGTTGATCTCCGCCGCTCTCAACGCCGCTCCCGTATCCGTGGTAAAAAACGGATTCCCCGTCCCGGCGCCGAAAATAACCACCCTCCCTTTCTCCAAGTGCCGCATAGCGCGTCTCCTTATGTACGGTTCCGCCACTTCTTTAATGCTCAGCGCCGACAACACTCTCGTTTGGACGCCTTTCGCTTCAATCGCGCCTTGCAACGAAATCGCATTCATGACCGTCGCCAACATCCCCATGTAATCCGCAGACGCGCGATCCAAATGCGCCCCTTCGTGGCTCGCGCCCCGAAAAAAGTTTCCTCCGCCAACCACGACGGCAATTTCCACCCCAGACATGCTCGCCGCAACAATCTCGCCCGCTATGCGTTCCACCACGCGCGGGTCTAAACCAAAATTTTGTCCGTCTTTCGAGGTGTTTCCCGATAACGCCTCGCCGGAGATCTTAAGCATCACTCGCTTCCACTTCGCGTTCGCCGGAGTCGTCTCGCACTCGTCGTCGCTCATGTTTTTGTTTTTATTTTTGTTAATGTTGTTTTTGTTGTTCTTCGAGGAGAGAGAGGTGGCGTCTTTACCCTTTGTTGTCTTTCCCTCGTCCTCGTCCTCAGAGTCGCTCGTCGCTTTTTTGTTCTTCGACATCAAGGTCGAACTCATGCTGCTAAAGCTGCTACTTTTCGCGGTCGTTTCAAAAGCTCCTAAAACTCCTCCTCCTAAGTTTCGCGAGGTTAACGTCGTCCGTCGTCGTCCTTCGTCTTCCGCATCGCCGCTCGTTTCAAAAACACCTCCTCCTCTTTGATTCGCTCTCGCGGTTAATGCAATTTTTTTGCCGCCGCCGCCGCTTAAGGGGACAACGACGCTCCAGTTTCTTGCTCCAGATGCGAGCGCTTTCGTCGGGGTATTCTTAGCAGCTTTGCGAGAAGAGGAAGGAAAAGAGGCGTTTGAAGAGGAGGACGCGCGACAACTTTTAAAAGTTGATGTTGCGTTCATCTCATGCGCTACTACTTTAACAACAACACAAAGAGAGAGAGAGAGAAAGAGGGGCAATTCTTTCTGAGGAAGAGGAGGGGGGGGGAAAACACTCTCTTTTCTCTTCTTCTTTGTGTTCGTGATGAGAGAAGGAAAAATTTAGGTCACAGGAGAGAGAAGAGAAAAGAGAGAAGAGAGAAAAGAGAAGAGCCGCCCTTGTTTTTTATTGGTTTGAGTTGGGGTGCTTTTTTTGGTGCTTTTTGTGCACTTTATTTCGCACTTTATCCTCTTTGTGTGTTGTTTTTGTTCTCATCCGTTTTTGTTCGTTAAAAAAGACGTTTGCTTCAGAGCGAGAAGAGAGCGCGAGAAGAAGGACAGCACTGCGAAGAACGTCGTCCCATCGAAAAGAGCTTTTGTTATATATTGCTCTTTATATATAGATTATTTAGACGAGGAGAGACGAGGGACACAGCGAAACGAAAAAAAGAGTAAATATGAAATTGGAACAAAAACAGCACCTCGACGGCGTTGGGTTTTCTCTTCGCGTCGTAAACACCGAAACCAACCGCTTCACAAAAGCCATCGAACGAACGAAAATGAAAATTCAGAGAGAATTAAAGACGAGACAAACTTTTAACGTGGAGATTCCGTTGGCGTCGATAACCTTCGCGAGAGCGAAAGTGAACGAACAGTTTCAGGTGTGCGCCGCAAAGACGAAAACGACAAAAGCAGATGAAAAACGTATTAAAATACCGCTTGCGAGAATGTTAAAAAATAATCGAGAAGGTATCGTCGTGAACATGATGGGGAAAACGACCGCGGTGTTCTTAGCCGGGGGTTTAGCCGGCGCTTTGGCGAAAACGTGCACCGCTCCGTTGGATCGATTGAAAATTATCATGCAAACGTCTGGAGCGTCGCAACAAAGCGCGGCCGCGAAAGCGGCGGTGAGCGGAGGTTTAGTGCCGGCGTTTATGGCGATTGGTAAGAGCGAAGGTTTGGCTGGGTATTGGAGAGGGAATACGCCGCAAGTGGCGAGAGTGTTGCCGTATTCCGCGACGATGTTGTTCGCGTACGATTTTTATAAGAAGAAATATACGGATAAGAAAACGGGCGAGTTGAGCGTGCCGGGGAGACTCTTAGCCGGAGCCTCGGCGGCGTGCACGGCGACGATTGTGACGTATCCATTAGATATCATTCGCTTACGTTTAAGCGTAGACCCGACGACGACAAATATGGTAGCAGTGTTTAAAAACATTATGCGAGAGGAAGGCGTGATGGCGTTTGCGAAAGGTTTACCGGCGACGTGTTTGTCCATCGCTCCGTATTCGGCGTTGAATTTCTGCGCGTTTGATTTGTTTAAACAGACCATCCCGGAAGAGATCCGCAACGAACCGCAGGGAATTGCCATGGCCTCTTTAATGGCTACCGCAGTTGCCACTGGTTCGTGCTATCCACTCGATACCGTGAGGCGGCAGATGCAAATGAAATCGAGCACGGCGACGAACATAGTCGTCGCGGCGAAAAACATCGTCGCCACGCAAGGCGTCGGCGGCTTGTTCAGAGGCTTCGTTCCCAACGCCGTGAAGAATATGCCGAATAAGTCTATTCAGTTGACCACGTACGACGTCTTGAAAAAGCTCATCGCGAGAAGTGAAATCGCGTACGAGGCTGAGAAGAAGGCGTATTTAAAAGACGTGAAAATGAAACGCGTTTAATCATCATCCACAGGACGCTGTTAGAGCACGAGACGGAAGAGAGAGAGAGAATAATAAGAATAACAAAAACAACAACAACAACATCATAAAAGAGAAGAGAATAATAAGAGAGTCATCACGTTTAATATAATAAAAAGGTTTATATGTTTATATATAATTACAACTCGCGCTCGACACAACAAACACCAAAGCGACATCATCCAAGCGCATTCTTTCCCAATCATTCCCGTCGGAAAGAAAGACGTAAAAACGGATATATGTATACATTAATGTCCGCCATCTTCCTTGTGAGGGTATTCAAACAACCCCAAATCGCCTCCCCACGGCCATTGCTCTCTCGACCTTCGTTTCAAGTACGAGTACGCCGGTTGTTCCTCTCCGTGGCCGTGTTCCGCCGTCGCGAAGGAGTACACGCCAAACGCCGCGCACGCCGGAATGGCCAGAAACGTCACCGTTCGCCACTTGTTCATTTCAGCTGTTGTTGTTTGTTATCATCAGCATCATCGAAGAGATGGATGGTATTTGAGAGAAAGAGAAATTAATTGAAGAGGTTAGAGGAGGATAACACGAGTTGACTTTCGACTCTCAAAACAAAGTAAAACGAATGCAATAATCGCATCAAAAGCAATACTGCTTTTCTCGTTATTAGTATTACTATTCCATTCTTAGTCAACGACAAAAGGGCACGCAAATATCTGTCGTCATCAAAGAGAGAAGAGAGAGATCGTATCGTTGTCCGGGGAAAGAAGAGATTTTGATGCGATCGACTTTTTTTCTTACCTATTTCTTCTTCGATGCTTCCACCTCCGCTCATGTTTCTCCTCGTCGCGAGACCACCACCGCGAGGAGTCAAACGAGATGCCGCGCTTTTGAGCGCCTTTTGTGCCGTCGCTCTGAACATAATACCACTACTTTTAAGTTTAGCAAAAGAGTGAAAATGAATATTTTATAATGGAGTTATTCAAAGAGAGGTTTTCTGAGAAAAATTGCTGCGAAAACTCCTCCTTCTCTCTGTGTATGCGTTCTTTTGTTCGTTATTAGTATGAGTATTAATAGTATTACGACGAACTGTGCGCTACGTTTTTGTCGCGTTTCTACGTGCTACGATGCTATATTCGAGCTAGAGAAAATCTCGCGAACGGATTTCTCTCTCCTTCTTTCTGTTTGTATTCACGAGGAGTTTAGCTTTTCCAACAGTTTCCGCTTCTTCTCGGCGAGAAGCTTTTGGACGTCTTCTTCTTCTTCTTCTTCCAAATCTGCTTTTCTTTTTTCACCTCCTTTCTCCTCTCCCTCTTCTTCGTTCCCTTCTTCTTCTTTGTCTTCTTCGACCACCGGAGGAGGTAAAACCTCGATCGAGACGATTTGGTTTCCTTTCTTTTCGATCCCTTGCTTTTCCAAGATTTTCTCCGCGCCGTCCTCCGTCCCGTCTTCGACGTACACGGTTTCTTTCCCGTGCAACGTTTCTACTTCGAAAAAACCACCCTCTTTAGCCTCTAAAGCGGTCAACTGTAATGTTGTTCTCACGTCGTGTTCGTTCGAGTGGCACTTTCGAAACTTTTTCGAAGGCATGGTATAAATAACCGCGTACGTCTCGCGTCCTTGAATCTTCACGCGTTGGTTTTGCTTTGGATTTTTCGGCACTTCCACTCGATTTTGGAAGAAATCGTCCACGGCACCAATGCCTTTACACTTCTTACATATCTCATCTTCGTTCATGGTACCTCCGTTATTACCGAGAACGCCTTTACCAAAACACGTCCGGCAGCTCCCGCGGGTGAGTACCGTGCAGTTCGCGCACGCGACGCCTCCCTTCCCGGTTCCGTTACATTTCACGCACACCGTCTTAAACGGTACCATGGCTAACTTCGTGCATCCGTTTATGCTTTCCTTGAACGTCACGTTGATCAAAACGTCCGATTTTTCTAACCCGTTGACTGCGTTTTCTCGGTCGTATTTCAGCCTTTTCAGCGGGTCCGAGAGGCAGTCAAACGCGACCGTCATCGACGCGAATTTCTTCGCCACATCAGCTTTCTTCTTCTCATCGTCGGATGGTCCTCGATACTTATCCGGGTGATATTTCAGCGCCAACAACCGGTAGGCTTTTCTGATCTCCTTCTCCGAGGCTTGCGGCGAGACGCCCAAGATGTCGTAACAACTTTCTTCTTCCCCGTTGGTGTTGTTCTCGTCAGTATCACGAGCAGTACGAGCAGCCATGACGACGACGATAAAGACGATAAAGACGTCCTTTCGAAAAGAGAGCGCGCGTTCAGAGAGAGCACGAGCGAGAGACTCTCGAAGAGAAGCGAAAAGATCCTCGATTAAACTCTCGCTCTTCTTTAATCGCTCGTCTCTCGCGTGATGAGAATAAATGACGAACTTTTCTTCCATTTCCCCGCACTGTATCTCGCGCGCGCGCAGAGAATAAAGATGAGCGCTCTGCGTCGCAAAAACATCAACAACGCCTCCGCGGCGATGCCTTCGAACAACACCTCGCCCGCGTTGCCAATCAATTTCGTGGAAAATATGATATCAGAAATAAACGCGCACTCGACGCCAGAGGTGCAAGCGAAAGCGCTGATCGCTTTAGCGGCGTTATCGTTGCGAGTGAAACTCGACCCGGAGAGTTTCTTACGGGTGGTTGAACCAATCTTGGACGTTTTAGAGACGAAGAATAACGAGAATAACGATACTAAAAGTGATGATTTCGAAGGCGTCACCGCCGCCGCCTTGGCCGCCTTGAGCTGCTTCCTCGGGAACGTGGAACGAGCGCATCGAGAGATGCTTCGAAACGAACAAAAAGGAATGAAAATAGTACTACAAGCGATCGAGAAAGCAATGGAGGAGAATGAACGAGTGAAAATCGTCAACGGTCTGGACTGCTTAGTGTGGACGTGCAGAGATAAAGAATGCGCGAGTTTCGTTTTAGTGGGAGATGATGGGAAGAGAGTCGTCGAAGAGGCGAGGAAAATGTGCGAGGTGGAATACGTCGAGGGGAGGTATTTTCCCGGAGAGAAGATGAGCGGAGACGACGTTAACGACGACGATACTAATACGAATAATACGAATAGTAATACTAATAGTAATAACAATAGCGAGGAAAAGGCGAAGGAAAAAGATAAGAGCACGAGCAGTGACAACAACGGTAGCAAAAACAACGGAAAAGAGGAAGCGAAAAGAGTCCACTACCGGCGGCAGGAAGACGCGGTTGCGCCGAAACAAATCGTCGCCGGCGCGTTTGAGCTCTTCGTAGCTTTGTCCGTCTCGGAAGCGGAGAAGATTACCATGGAACACGGCGGTTTAGAGGTGTTCGCATCGGCAATAAAACGAGTCGGGGGTGGTGACGAAGGCGTCGATATCTTCACCAAAAACGAAGAGGCGAAATATCTCGAACACTTCAAAAACGGCGGCAGTTTGAACCCGAGGGAAGATCTCGAACGCCTCAAACAAGACGAAATAAACGAAACCGCCTCTCGCGCGTTAGTCGGAATCAGCTGTTGCTGCAAATTTCCAGGCACCGCTTTGAAGCTCTGCTCGGACGAAATCGTCGTTCGTAAAATAGCCACGTTCATGACGAGCTCGGACCCGAACGTCAAGCAACAAGCTTTGGCGTTGTTCACCGCCGTCGCTCGAGCGCCCGAAACAAAACCCTTGATCGAGAAAGCCTTGAGAGGGGCGAGAGATGTCGTAAAGAGCGTTTAGTTATTTCATAATGCGTGAGTCGTCTTCCGGTTGCACTCATTATTTGCGCGTACGTAGACTTATTCATACGTCAGACTTGTGTTTTTCGTTTTGCTCCAATTCTTCCCCACAAAAATTAATCATCTCCTCTTCGCCTGAACGCTTCTTCTTGTTGCGATTTGAGAGACAAAATGAGCCGCCGTTCGGGAAAAGAAAAAGAAGGGAACGAGGAGGAGGCGATGATGACGACGAATACTAACGTCTTGTCGAAGAAATCTGACCTCTCTCTTTCCATCGCGGAGACGAACAATTTGAGGAAGAAATTAGGCCTCGCGCCGTTAAAAATGGATTCGAATCCCCCGAAAGACGACGAAGACGACGATACGGACGGCGTAAAAGCCGCGGAGAAGATCTTGAAAGAAAAAGAGGAAAAGAAACTGCTCGAATTAAAACGAACGGAAGAGTTGAGAGAAAAGTTGAACGAACGAAAAGCGAAAAAGTTGCGCGAGGAAGACCACGAGCGAGCGAGGAAGTTATACGAAGGAGAAGGCACAGAAGAGGAGGACGCGAAAGCGTGGGTGGAAAAATCGAGAACGATGAAGAAGAAGTCGAAGAAAAAAAGGACGACTGCTGCAGATATAATAGCTAGCAGATACGAGGAGGAAGAAGAGGAGCACGTGTCCGTTGAATACACGGAGAAAGACTTGGCGGGATTGAAGGTGGACCGCGCGGCGTTGGAACACGTCGCCGAGGAGAGAGGAATCCATTACGAGGGAGAAGGTGGCGTCGTTTTAACGTTAGCGGATAAGTCGATTTTAGATAGCGATTCGGAGGACGAGTTGGAGAACGTTCAAATAGCGGAAAGAGAGAGGGTTTTGAAGAATAAAAAGTTAGCTGGAAAGGGAAATAAGAAGGACGAGATTATGCGCGAAGACGAGGACGAGTTGACGGGATTGAAAGAGAAGAAGATTTTGTCCAAGTACGACGATGAGTACGGAGAGGAAGAGAAGGACGAAAGATTCGCGACGTTAGATGGCACGGGAGGAGTTCAAAAAGACGCCGAGGAGATTCGGAAACGAAACGCGAGGGAGTTGAAGTTACGGATGGCTGGATTGGTGAAAGGCGAATTGACTTCCGCGGAGGTGTCAAAAACAGCCACGCAGATAGACGCGTATACGAAAGAAGAGGAAGAGTTGATGAAGTTCAATAGTAAGAAGAAGAAAAAAGGGAAAGGAGGCAAAGAAGATAAGCCGAAGAAGATGCGAAAGAAGAAGAAGAAGAAAGAAAACGAGGATTCAGACGACGAGGATGGTGGATTTGACGTATCAAAGTTGGAAAGCGACGAGTTGGCGAAGGAGGCAAACGCGGCGGGGACGCACAGAAGATCGAGGAAGAATGGCGGCGGCAACGCGGGAGAAGAACAGCCGTCTCGAGACGACGAGGCGTGGGCCAAGGCAATGGACAAAGCGAGAGATAACGTGGACGAGAAAATCTTAGCCAATTTAGCCGGCGATACTAAGAAAGGCGATGAAGAACCTCTAGATTTCGCCGCCGAGGAAGAGGACGACGAGTTGGAACGAGCGCTCGCATCCGCACGAGAAACGAAAAAGAAAGAAAAGCAAATCGTTCCCGCGAATGGGGAACAATCTTTGTTTCAACGCATCGCCAAGCTCGAACGAGAAAAGCCGACCGATATGAACGCAGATAATGATGAAAAGAACGATAAAAATTTGGCCCTAACGGATGTCGCTGAATTCTGTCGCGGCGTCGGCGCGGATACGTCTGGCGGTGACGACGAAAATAACGCGTTCGTCGCGAGAGGGAAAACCTCTAAAAACTTGAAACGGAAAAGAGCCAACCACGTCGAAGAGGACGCCGAGGGAGAAGTAATCGATTGGGAGAAGGCGCGAGCGGACAAGTTACCGGACGAAGAAGACGAGGACGCTCCGCAAATTGTTCAGAGCGTCGATGGTGCCGTCGATGTCAAAATGGAAGACGGCGAAGGAGCGGTTAAAGAAGAAGAAAAGCCTAAAATCCATCCATCGCGCAGAATTGGAATTGGTTTAGCGAGCATTTTACAAGACATGAAAGCCTCCGGTCAGCTCGAAGATAAAGGACCGCGTTGGAGTGGACGCGCGAACGATTTGAAAGATCACCACGATCGCAAACGCGTATTAGAAGCCTCTGGAGTGATTGAAGAACAAGATGGCGGCGGCCCGTCGTCCGAAACTCGAAAGTTCAACTTCAAACTTGATAAGTACGACGAGTTTGGACGTACGTTGACTCCAAAAGAAGCCTTCCGCGAGTTGTGCTGGAAGTTTCACGGCAAAGCGCCCGGCGCGAAGGCGAAGGAGAAGCGTTTGCGCAAGTACGAAGAGGAGCAAAACGCGCTGCGAGGTGGCGATAGCAACAAAGCTGGCAGCACAATTGAACGAATGCAAGCGGTTCAAAAAACAACCGGTGATTCATTCGTGGTGTTGTCTGGTAAGATTAGTGAAGGACAGAGACGAAACGCAAAGTAGATGCACGTCTACGAGTACGTAGTTTTAATAAAATTATATTTTCCAAAGCGCCGAGAGCGAGGAATCAATTCCACCGAGGCAGAAGCCCAAGCAGAAAATCAATATCGAAACTAAAACGCAAAAGAGATAGTTCACGTTTTGGCGCAGAATAAATTCTAAATCGTTCCTTAAATCGTTTCTCGTCATCTTCGCCGTCGCACTCAACTCGCTCGCCACTCGCTTCATCAAAATCTCATACTTCTTTCTTATTTTCATTTCTGTCGCCTTTGTCACTAACCCTTCCATCCATCTTTGAGTGTCCAACCGTTTCAGCCATCGCAATCGCACATCAACCACACACACAACTGCACGCGAATTACCGCTTATTTTATCCAATCTGACAAAACTCTCCACCACGAACATATCCGCAAACAGCATCCCTTTGGTTTCGCAAAAATTTTCAAGTTTATTCTTTTCATAATCACAGACGACAACTTCGGTCACCTCACACACGCCAGTCTCGGAGAGTTTACCGATCGATTTCGGCACGAACGGAAAGGAAGGCGCAGGCGCTTTGTATTTATACGTTATCTTATCGTTCTCTTTCGTCACCGTCACGTCGTACGCGCGTATCTCGCTCGTTTCTAAAACAGAAACGAAAACCTTCTCAACGATTTCGAGAACACTTTTCTGAGTCGCTTCTTCTTCTTTTCGAATTTGGACGGTCAGGACGCGTCGCATCGGAGTCGTTATCGTCATTTCTTCTTCTCGTTCTTGTTGTTCGTTCGCCGACTTTTGATTCCCCAATCGCTCTGCCGCCGCTCGTCCTCGTTGGTCAGAAGACATGATCTGTTTTTTAAAGTTCGTGATCGTGTATTTTTGTGTTTTTTTTAGGATTTTTCAATTCGAAGCGTTTCTTACAAAATACGAGCAGGAAAAAAGTATTCGCAAAACAAAGAACACAGCGAAAAGCCGCACAAACAGTTAGTTCATCGTCATCGTCATCATGGGGGACGACGACGAGAAGAGCTCTGAGGTGATTAAAGCTTTAACGCGGAAATCGAAAGCCATCGAAGCGTCGTTCCAGAACGCGTTCAACTCTTTAAAAGACTCGATTAAAATTTTAAGCGAAAAGCACAAAGAAGACGAAGACGAAGAAGTCGTCAAACGGGCAAAGACTGTAAGAGATGAGGCGAAGAGAAAAGTGGAGAAGGAGCAAGGAAAGAGTCCGATGGGTGCGCAGATGCGAGAGCAAATGGCAAAGAGAATCGCGGAAGCGAGCGATGCGTTGCAAAAGAAAAGAGAGAAGGTTGCAAAAGAGGTGAAGAAGTAAAGGAGAAGAAGAAGAAGATCGAGAGCTGTGTTTGAGAGAGATGATACAAGGGAAGAAAACACATTTGTTTTAATCGATATACATACACGCGTTTCTAATCTGCGCTCTATCTGCTACCACGACTACACCACCGCATCTACTGCTACTTCGTAATACCTCCTGTCGAACCCGGCTTTCGCCCTCGCTTCGTCGTTAAACGGCGGTTTCAACGCCCCGTAAAATTTCTTCTCGACAATCTCGCGAAAGATTTTCACCGTCTCTTCGCCGCCGCGTTCCGACGCGTCTCCTAATAGAAACTTGAACCATTTTAAACCAGCTTTGACGTGGCCAATTTCTTCCGGGTACACTATCGTCTCGAGCAATAAAGCGCTCTCCTCATCCCCGTTCTCTCGAAACTTGTTAATCGTATTCGGCATGACGTCTAATCCTCGCGCTTCGTGCACGCAGTGTTCGACAACCAGTCGATGCATCAACGAATCCGACGTTTCCATCGCAGACTGCCATAATCCATCGTGCGCGGGAAAATCCCCGTATTTTCCTCCTATTTCTTCTAATCTCTTCGTTAACAGTAAATGGTGTTTCGCTTCGTCTAAAGCCACGCGTACGAAATCGTCGAAAAACTCTCTCTCCTTTTCCACCTCGTGTCCAAATCTTGCGATAATATCCCAACTCAAATCGATCGCCCACGACTCGATGTGCGAGAGCGAGTGTAAAATTTTCCGTCTCGACTCGATCGAGCGACCAGAACCGAGTTTTAATTTGTTCGAGTTCGACGAGACGATGGTTACCAGCGCGTCTCTTTCCGGTGTATCTGCTACCAGTTTTCCCCCGGAACTTATATCTCTGGCTTTTAGTATACTCGTTCCGTCGAACCATTTCTTCGCGATAACTTGAGTCAAAAGGGCTTTTTTATGCGCAGATGGCGTCGAGAGTACCTCTAACGCGGCGTCGTGTAACGTCGCCCAGTTTTTTACGTTGAAATCATCGTCATCGTCGTCCATTTTATCCGAACTTCCGCCTCTTTTTGTGCCGCAGTGGAGCGTTGAATTTCAAAATCATCTCCCCACAAATTGACTCCATCATCACAAGTGTAAGTAAGGTACACACGCCGCTCGATACGACGAAAGAATCCAAAAATGTCCTCCGCGTCTGCTGCGACGGAGGAGGCTGTATCTCTCTACCCTCCGGGAACTGTAGTCTCCATCGTCAACGTGAACAGCAAACCAGAACTGAACGGGAAACCAGCCGTGGTTGTCCAATTCGACGAAACGAAATCTCGATTTTTAGTCCAAGTGAAGGAGACGAAGGAGAAGATTTCTTTGGAGAGCAAGTGTTTGTCCCTGAAGGTGGTGAAGGAGGAAATAAAGGAGGAGGAAAAGAAGGAGGAAAAGGAGGAGAAGGTCGTCGACGAGTACGAGGAGAAAGAGGTGAAGCGACAGAAAGTCGAGGAGGAGGAGACGAAGGAAGAGGAGGAAGAGAAGTCAAATCCGTCGTCGTCTCCACCAACGAAAAAGGAAGCAAAAACGACGAAAACAAAGAAAACGACCACCAAGCGCGCTGAAAAATCCGGCGCGGATGAAGCGGATAAGAGACGAAAATACGCGCAGAAGTCGTTGTGGTTTACACCTTGGAACGAGAAGAATAACTTCGATAGCTTTGATCCGCCGGTACCGGTTGACGAGGACGGTAAGTACACCTTCCCGAACGAGGACGAATCGACAGTCGTTTCTCTGAAGGAGAAGTATAAAGCGATGAAAACGGAGGAGTTGAAGAAATGGTGCAAAGCGAATGGATACACCACCGGCGGGAAGAAGGAAGAGTTGATTTTTAAGTGCATCGACGGTGAATTGTACGGCAGATTGACGAAGTGTCCGCACTGCGCGAAAGGGAACAACGAGAAAGTGCCGCATTTGAACGTGAGATACGAGAGTCCGTATCACGTGTCCAAAGATAAGGAGAAATTAGGGAGAGGCGAAGTGCACTGTCCGGGGACGTATGACGCCGAATCCATGTGCTTAGTGCGATGCAACTTTTCGAAAAAACTGAACGAATTCGAAAGGCCGAAATGGCGAACGTACGAGGAGTATTTGATTGAAAATCCGCCGCTGACCGAGGAAGAGAAGAAGAAAAAGGAGGAAGAGAAAAAGAATAAAGTGAGTTCGAATGTACCGACGGAGAAGTTGCAAAAACTGGCCGAGAGTGGTGTGCAAGGCGCGGTGTTAGCGAAGGAGTTCATTCGAATCTGCAACGAGGAGAAATTGTCTTGTCCGGACAATTTAGGCGAGGCCGGTTCGCAAGTCTTGGCGTGGATGAACGTGGAGAAGAACGTAAACGACGAAACTGGAGACGTTTTGCTCGAAGAGGTTTTCAAGGATGCCTTGGAAGTGTGGCCGAAACAAAAAGCCAAGTCGGAAACGCAAGCGTTGTGCGCGGAAAACCAACCGTTAGTTGACGCTTTGAACGATTTGGTGATGAAAGCGAGAAAATTGGGCACGAACGTCGTCGAGGCGTTTAAAGTGAACGCCTACGCCGGCGCGGCGAAAAACATCAGTTTGTTAGATTACGACGTGACAAAGCCAGGCAGCGGGAAAGGCATGTTAGGCAAAACGGTAAAAGGACAAAAGGTGGGTAAAGTTGCGGGTATTGGCAAAGGTATCGCGGAAATGGTCGATCATTGGATCGATAACGGTCGCCAGACGTTTGGTAAGAAATGGGAAGAAGAAGGTTTCGCCGCCGCCGCCGCCGCCGTTTAAAGAGAAGGAGATTGATTCAGCATATAAACAAGCAAACATACACACACAAATAAAGTACACAAGTAAAATACACGCGCTCCTCTCTTTATTTCCAATCGTCATTCTCCTTCGAGCGACTTCTCCGCCACGCGTTTCAACATCTTCACCCGCCATTGTTCCATATCCTCCTTCGCGTATCGAAAGCTACTCTCCCAATCCATCCCTTCCTTTTCGGACACGTACACTCGTCTCGTCTCTATAATTCTCAACGCGGCCGACCTTAAGATTGGATCCGCGCTTTGCAACATGCTTCGCACGAAACTCGTTCCCGAGAGCATGCTGTGTTTCTCCTTGTGCGTTAAAATCTTACTCGTCGTCTCGCTCACGTTCACGTCTTCGCTGCACTCGTTTCCGAACCCATCGTCCTGGGCCATGACCAGTCTCGTTGCCGCCATCGTCGCGTACGACTGGTAAATGTCCGAGCACTTTTGCTCCGGCGTTTTTAAATCTGATTGATTTGTCCACAGGGAATTCGGGAGTCGAAAGGGAGCAGTCTTATTCATATCGTCATCGTCTGCCTTTCCTCCCGCGTTAAGAAAAACGTTTCCTCGCCGCCTCATTTTGCGACCAGGCATTGGTGGTCGCATCATCGAGTTGTTCCTCGTCGTCGTCGTCGCAATGTGCGGGGCCATCATCATCATCGTACACAAGGAACAAACCTCTCCTTTTTTGTTAGGTAAAATTCGTATCTAAACTGCCTTTTTTTAGGGGAAATGTTGTCTGCACTTTATCCAAAGTTGTTGTTGTTGTCTGGTGACGCTCCGACGATGCTTTCGGTGGCGGCGAGGAGGACGGCACTCCTGCCACCAAAGAGGATGAGAAAAAGAATAACCCCCGCGTCATCATCGTCATCGTCAGCGAAGAATGCGTTCGTGGTGAAACCGAGACCTGAAGTGAGAGATGCCTTCCCGGCGGATATTCTGCGAGCGTGCGAGCGGAAAAGCGCAGAGTTTGAAGTGCGAGCAGAGTTAGACGCGCTCGATCCAGACGCTCGCCTGTTAGGCATTCGCGACGTTTTATTAGAAGAGGGCTGTTCGGAACGTTCGATCCAGTTTTTAGAGCGGGACGTGGAAAAGGTCGTGAAAGAGTATCGAAACTTCTTCGTAAACTCGAGCGGCGAAAGAAGACGAGAGAACGCTCCCGAAAGAGTGGTCGTTTCTCTCTCGCTTTTACGCCGGACGCTGTGCACGAAACTGCACGTGGATTACGTACCTTTGAGAGCGATGACGACGTATTACGGGAGGAAAACGGAGGTTTTAGATGAGCATTCGTTGGTGAATAAAGTGATCGCGTCGGCGGCGAGAGACGCGTCAATGTCGTCGCGGGTTTTGCTTCCTCTCTCGGACGCGTTGAAATCAAACGCGAAGTTATTCGAGAAGAACTTGGTGGAAGAAAAAGGAGAGAGTTGCGACATTTTGTTTTTGAAAGGAGAAATGTGGGAGAGTGGGAAAGCATCGGTACACAGGAGTCCGGAGACTGCGAATGGTGGTTGGCGGTTGGTTTTGCGAGTGGACGAATGCGACGCCGTGAACGAAGCCGAGGAACATCAGAAGTGTTTAGTCGACGACGACGAAGAGTGCGGATGCGAAGAGTAACGACAAGAACTTATTAGAACTGCAAATAAGAGAGCGAGTAGAAGATAGAGATGTAGTATTAGCGCGCAAATAGAGCAGGTATATGCACATATATATACACAATAACACGTAACTAAGTGCTTCGAAAGAACTCTCTGATTTCGCTGATTTCTTCGAGAACCTCCGCTTCGTGTCGTACTTTGCATGTTTCAGTCGGGCCGTCAAATTCGGTTTTACATTTCCATTTCGTGTTGAAACTATCCGCACCCTCAAACATATTCTCTTGCTCAAAAGCCGTGGCCTGGCCCTTCCATCGAGAAACGTCTCCGTTAAATCTCGGGGCGTTCTTAAACATTTGCTTCAAGCCTATTTCCTCGCCGCACAGTCGCAAACTTTCCTCGTCAGTTTGTTGTTGCAACAACGCGCGCATCCTCCTCTTTTTCTTCTTGCAAGAATTCAAAGGGTTCGAGCCGCTGAAAATAGATGCCCAATTCCACGTGCTAATATCTTCATTAAAGCGCTTCGCACCTTCAAACATCCCAAAAGCGGTTTCCACATTCGAAACGTCCCAAAAACCAATCGGTTGGCTAAATTTTTCCGCGTTTAAAAAAATTTTGGAAAGATCGATTACGTTTCGAAGATCCCAAAATGCGATGTTGTCGTCGAATTCCGTGGTTTCTTGAAACATTCCTCGCATCGTTTCTGCATTTCCTACGTTCCAAAACCTTAATCCTTTGCCGTCAAAACTTTTCGCTTTGCGAAACATGAAGTCAAAGTTTGTCACGTGCGACGTATCCCAGTATTTTAAGTCCGCGTTGAACCTCAAAGCTTCAATCTCAGTCAAGTTACACCCCACTGGTCCGGCATTAACCAAACGGTCTAAATCAAACGCATTTGCCATGTTAGTGATATCTCTCGTCATCCAGAAAGGCATCGTTCCGTACCCACTCGTAGTTGCGAACGAAGTGCAAAGGCCATCTTTTGCGTCCTCTTTTAAACACTTGCAAACGGAATCCAAAAAAACTTCGTTCGAAGGTATGATAGCATTAACAGCAGCGTGAACAACTCTCACTGATGCTGATACACAAATCATCAGCGCTACAAACGCAGCCACGTAATACCATTGGATTTTTGTAGTCTCCATCATATAGTCGCATTCAAGTCGTCGCACAGCTAAAAAATGATGCGTAAATTAAAAATAAATATTCGTAAATTCGACCAAACGAGGAGCCGGGAATTCATCGCCTCGCCTCGAACTCATACATCCACATCAAGTAACCATCTTCTCTAAATATTTCCGTTCCTCCATTATTGCTTTATGCTTCAAAGCCATAATTCGAAACACGTCCGAGTGGCATTCGATGGATCGCTCGATCGGTTTCGCGTACCCACCGCCCATGGTCGTTACTAATTTGCAGTCGTGTTCAACACACAACGCGAGAACTAAATTGTTGCGCCGCCTCAACCCTTCTCGGGTCATGCTCAATCTTCCGAACGAATCCGCTTTCAAAGCGTCCACTCCGGCTTGAAAATACACCAAAAAAGGTTTATGCTTCTCGAACACTTTCGGTAGCGACGTTTCCAACGCGTTCAAATACTCCTCGTCTTCGCAATCGTCCGGTAACGCGATGTCGTAATCCGATAACATCCTCGTCTTCCACGGATAATTCCTATCTCCGTGAATAGAATAAGTGATAATATTTTTATCGTTCTCAAAAATCTTCGCCGTCCCGTTGCCTTGATGCACGTCTAAATCGACGATCAAAACGTTTCTATCTTCGCCTTCGAACAACTCCTCGTAATCTCTCTGCGCTACTCTCACCGCGCACGCGATGTCGTTAAACACGCAAAATCCCTCCCCGTGCCCTGCAAACGCGTGATGCGTCCCTCCTGCTAATTGTCCCGCCCACATGAAACCGTGTTCTAACACGTCTCTGGTCATTTTGATGGTCCCGCCAGTGCTCGCTAAGCTCCTCGTCACGTGTTGCTCCCCTCGCTTCGTCTCGTCCTCCGATAAGAATTTCGAGGCGTACCCGTCCGACTGTTCGCTCATAGGAAACCCAATCGTCCTCGCTTCCTCGCGCGTCAGTTTCTGCGTGAGCACTCTTTCCACGTATTCTTTGTCGTGGACTAATAAAACGTCCTCTTTCCTCGCGGTTGGTGAGAAGCGCATGGAATATTTTAAAAAATCTGGCGACTCTTTCTCGATCGCTTCGCGAGTCAGGAGATATTTCTCCATTGGAAATCTGTGTCCGGGGGGTAGATCGACGCGCGCCCAATCCGCGGCGTATAACGGGAGGTAACTCGTGTCCAAATCCGAAGAAGGTTTATTATTATTAGTATTCGGAGAAAGATGACTCCCGCTGAGACTCCTTATTGCGCTTCTCGAAGAATGCGAAGACGAAGACCACCAACCGCCTTTTACACGTCTCGCGTCTCCCCCGACGGAACTTCTCCCACGCGGAAACGAAAGAAACACTTTCTGTTGTGTTTCAGAAGACAAAGAAGACAACGAAGGAAAACGAACTCCGCTCCTCGCGGTGACTCCCGCGCTCGTCGTAATCATCCTCAAAGTTCTTTTAAATGTCAAAGAAGCAAACGTCATCGTCGACACTCTGCTTCCGATGAGAAAAGACATCTCTCGTCACGCAATCATCGTCTCTCGCGTGAAGGGAAAAAAGTGACGCATTTTATCTGCATTTTTTAACGCAAAACAACGCGCGTAAAGTTTTTGCGCTCCTTCTTTCGCTCGAGAGCGTCATATAAAAGAGAGAGAGGAAGAGAAGGAGAGAAGTCTCGTTGTTTTTTTTTTGCGGGGGAGAAGTAAAACGACAGATGATGACGCTTAAAACGACGACTTTGTCTGCGAGATTTCATCATCGTCGCAAACTTTCCTTTGTCTCGTCGTCGATGTCGTCGTCGTGCGATGCGAAATCATCATCCGCGTCGCCGATGTTCGCGAAGAAAAAAGAAGCACCACTACCGCGACGAAAACGAGAACAGCAACATCGACGAAACAAAAAAGGTTTTTTGGTCGTTTCGAGGACAGTTTCGACGACACAAAAGGCTTTGGCGGTTTCCTCGGGGAGTCGTCGTCAGGAAGAGGAGGCAAAGGAAAACGACGAAGGAGGCACGACGACGACGACAGAAAGGAAGAGAAAAATGTTGAGCAGAAGAGACGCTTTGACGACGACGTCGTTATTCTCCTGGATGATGATGATGATGATGGAGAATGATAACAGTACCACGAAGTTCTTCGCGTTCGCCTCGGGCGAGGAAGGCGCGGCGGCTGTGAATATGACGGCGAGAGAACTGCAAGATCAATACTGGGCGAAACTCGCGTCGCGAGAATCCGCGTATTACACGTACTGGTGGGCGTTACCGTTAGCGCCGTACAAGACGAAAACGACGTTCATAACCAACCCGACGTTTAACGAAGAAAGAGTGATTATCGACGCGGAAGGGAATCGAACGGTTCTGAAAGAAAACGTCCTCGCGGAGAAAGTGTGGACTTTTGATCAGTTGCAAGGGTTGTTGGACGTGTACGTGAACGTGAGAATGACGGTGGTGAAACTGAAAAACGGCGGGTTGTGGGTGCACAACCCGGTCGCGCCGACGATGGAAGTCATCGACGCCGTGAAAAAGTTGGAAGAGAAACACGGCAAGGTGAAACACATCGTCGTAGGAAGCGTAGCTATTGAACATAAGATTTATAGCGGACCGTTCGCGCAGTACTTCCCGGACGCGGACGTGTGGTTGCCGAAAGACGATTGGACGTTTCCGGTGAACGTGAAGCTGGCAGATTTCGTTCCCATCTTTCCGAACAAACCGAAATATTTACCCTTGAGCTCAAAAGAACGAAGCGAAGAGACGAACGATTTCGTCCCTTGGAAAGACGAAATCGAACACGAAACCTTGAAAGTCGGCGGCTCGTCGTTGCGAAACTTTAAAGACCCGTGGTTCGTGGATACCGCGTTTTACGTAAAAGAAACGAAATCGTTGGTGTTAACCGACGTCCTCGAAAAAGTTTCCAATAAACCCGTCCCGGTGGCGACGATTGACCCGGAACCACTGTACGTGCGCGCGATGGATAAACAAGGCGAATCGAAACCGATGACTTCGGAAACTCGATCCGAGGGGTGGGGCAAAACCGTTTTGTTCGGTTTGTTGTTCAACCCGGACTCGGTGGACGTGAAAATTTCCTTACCGAACGCCGCGGATGATTTATTAGACGCGTTTACTTGGGACGCGAGCTGGAAACCGGCGTTCGAAAACCTCACCAAACGCAAACACGGGTTCGTCCCTCCCGTCCTAGCTTTGCTCGCCTTCCCGAGACGCAAAAAGGAAGTCCGCGAGTGGACCAAAAAAGTCTGCGAGGACAACTCGTGGGCGTTCACGCACGTCGTCCCGGCGCACTTGGACGGCCCGTTCGAGTGTTCCCCGACTGAATTCCAATCCGCCATCGAATACTCCTTAGTCACCTCTCCGGAAGAAAACTTTGGCAAAGACGCGTTCACCTTGATGGAAGTCTCTCGATTGAGCGAAGAGATTGGTTCCTTGGAGAAACCTATTTAACTTTTTCATCATCATCGATTTTTTTATATACGCGCAGTCTTAATCATCATCATTTGTGTACTAAAAAAATAAAAGAGCAGACAAAAAAGAGAAAAAATTTTCTTCCTCAAAATCTTCAAAATTCTTTTTTTTACTCGACTTGTGTTTTTTGTGGATAAAAAAAAATCAATCAGAGATATCAACACAATCATCAAACATGAGCTCAAGAAGTTCTCTGGCATTTGCGACGCGCGCTCGCGCAGCTACTCCTGGTGCGACTCCTGCGGTGAAGAGGTCTTTGTCTTCTTCCGCGTCTTCTTCGAGAAGAGGCGGCGCAGTAGGCGCGGGAGCGCGTCGGGGAGGCGGCGGTAAAAATGCAGCCTTTTCATCAGTCCTTTTCTCATCTTCCCATTGTCATCGTCATCGACAACATCAACATCGGATGGGGAGACGTGGTGGAGAAAACCGGGGAAGCATCGGACGAGGATTTCGCGGAAAGATGACGACGATGGCTTCTTTGTCGTCGTCCTCGTCATCAACAATGCAACAAAACCCGGACGGTTTCGCACAAATCGACCTCTTCTCGCCGTCCAAAATCAACTTATTCCTCCGAATCGTCCGGAGAAGGGAAGACGGGTACCACGATTTAGCCTCGTTATTCCACGTCATCGATTTAGGCGACGAGATGTCCTTCGCGAAGAGCTCCTCGGAGACGAAAGATACTCTGGTGTGCGAAGACGCGTCGATTCCGTTGGACGAGTCGAACTTAGTGATTAAAGCTTTGAACTTGTTTCGAGCGAAAACTGGAATAAAGCAGTACTTTTGGGTGGAGTTGAAGAAGACGGTACCGTCCGGGGCAGGGTTAGGAGGGGGATCTGGGAACGCAGCGACGGCGTTGTATGCCGCGAACAAGCTGTGCGGGGACGTCGCGACCGAGGAAGAGTTGCTGGAATGGTCCGGGGATATCGGGAGCGATATTTCGGTATTTTTTAGCACCGGGGCGGCGTATTGCACCGGGAGAGGAGAGATTGTGGAAGACGTGGAACCACCGCTTCCGTTGACGACGAAGATGTGTTTGGTGAAACCGTCGATTGGGTTGAGCACGCCGACGATTTTCAAGGCGTTGGATTTAGACAAGAGATCGAAAGCGGAGCCGCTGGATTTGCTGAAATCTCTAAACGCGGACGGGTGCACGTACGAAAACGCGATCAACGATTTAGAAAGGCCGGCGTTTTCCAAGTTGCCCGAGTTGGGCGAGTTGAAGGATAAATTAATCGACGCGACGAAAGAGGACGGGGCAGTCGTGTTCATGTCCGGAAGCGGATCGACGATTGTTTTGTTGGGAACAGATACGGTGCCAAAATTCGCGATGGAGGATGACGATTTGTTCAAATCGAAAGCGAGATTGATTTCTAGAAAGAAAGGAGAGTGGTTCGTGCCGAGTAACGTATAAAACCCGCCGGGATCGTGTTAGAAAGAAGACTGCTGCTAAGGCCTTACTACTACCGTAGTTGTATTATTATATTTAATATCGAAAATCTATTACAGTATTATTATTATTAAGAACACAATCGCATTGCGTGCGTACTAAAATAAAAGCGCGCTTTTTTTTCTTTTATATAAAGTTCAACCCGAGCTGTTTCCCTACGCTCGGCGGCGGCGTATCCACCTCAAACGGCCGAAAACTCTTCCCCATCCCCGCTAAATATTGCTCCTTACTCTCCTCAAACTCCGCCGAAGGCGATTGCATCCTCAACTCGTACAGCCTTCCGTTCTCCGTCCCTAACCGGGAATAAAACGTCCGATCCCACTCTAACGTTTGCGGCCTATCTTCCGGCGTCAACCCGTACTGATTCTTCGCCGCGTATGATTTAATCCTCAGCGTGATGTCGTAAAAAGCCGTCCCGTCTTTATCTAAATCCTCCTTCGCGCTGACCACTTCGCTCTCCCGAATGATGCCCAACCGCGTGCTCGTCAACTCGATCAGCGTCTGCTTCAATATCTTCTCCGCGGTTTCCTCCGGCGTCCCGACGTCTCTGACTGATGCGTACACGTTCGACGACGGCGATGAAATCGCCACGAAGCAGTTCTCCTCCACGTTCCTCGGGTTGCGGTAAAAAATGTCGTTCCCGGATCCTTTCACTTCCACCCAGGACGAAGGTCGTAAAAACTCGTACCCGTCGATGGTATCGATGAACAAGTCGAACCCAGGTGGAGGTCTGGTGAACGCTTGCGCTTTATTCTCATCTTTTCCTCCTAATCCTCCGGTAAGGACGAACGACGACACACCGAGTGTCAACATCATCTCTCGACGCGTGTTTAAACCACTTTTGTTCTTCTTCTTGCCGCTGCTTTCGTAATCATCACTGACATCATCATCATCCGTCGTCGTTAAAGCACTTCCCCGCTGCTGATGGTGATGATGTAAAACACATCTTCTTCTCACCGTTTTCGTATTCGTTGTTGTCGCAGAAGAACCGAACGTACCGGCGACGTGAAAAGACGACGTGAACGATACTAACGACAACATTATGTCGTTGTTTCGTGATATATCTGGCTTTGCTGTTGCGCTTGTTTAGGAGCGTGTTTTGTGGAGAAAAAGACGTCAGAATTTGCTCTCTTTGACGCCCGTAGCGGAGAACGCGCTTATTCTCGAACGAACGATCGAACGAAAAAACGAACGCATACGTAATGATGACAGTTTCATCGTCAGGGACGACGAAAACGTTAAAAAAAGTATTCGTCTGGGGATGCGGCGAGGACTACCAGCTCGGCGTGAAACAGGCGAAACGAGCGCTGGATTTTTGCATCCATCAACCGACGGAGCTCGTGTTCCCGTTCAGTCAAAGTTGCCAAACTTCGCCTTTGCACTCTGACGCGAGCGATCGCGAGAAGGACGACGAGGAGGAGGAAGAAAAAGGTGAAGAAGATTTTGAGGAGATCGAACGGTTAATCGCCGGGTCGAGGAATTCGTGCGTGTTGACGAAAAGCAAAGAGCTTTACAGTTGGGGGTGGAACAGCCACGACACTTTAGGCCTAGGGGGCGAGAGAGCGAACGACGTAAACGAGGAGAAGTCAGATGTCAAGAAGAATAACAAAGAGTTCGTGAAAACACCGACGAAAGCGACGTATTTCGCGCACGATACGACGGAAGAGTTGGAACAGTTGCACATTAAAGACGAGTTCGTGGCGTCGGAAATTGTGCGCGTCGCGCTCGGCGGATGGCACGCTTTGGCCATCGACCAGTTTGGGAGAGTACACGCGTGGGGCGGAAACGAGTACGGACAGTGCGCCACGGAGAAGAAAAAGATAGAGGAGAAGTTTGAGGTGGAAACAATTGCCGCGACGACGACGACGAGAGATACCACAACCGCCGCCATTGCGAGGGACGAGGAGAGGAAAAGAGGCGTGGTGATTGACGACAGAGGTTTCGCGAACACGTCTATTTCGACGCCGATTACGATTCCTTTGGATTGGAAGAGCCCGAAGACGTTGATTAAAGCGAAACGAGTGGCGTGCGGCGGAATGTCCTCGTTTGCGGTGACCGTCGATGGCGATGTCTACTCGTGGGGATGTCCCGTCGGTGGCGTCGGTCCAAACACGTACCATCCAAAGAAAGTAGAAAACTTACGAGACTGTTGTGAAATCGCGGCGGGGAGTTTCCACGTGTTAGCTTTAGCGAAAGACGGGACGGTGTATTCGTGGGGACACGGGGAATATGGACAGTTGGGGCACCAGAAAACCGGGAACGAGGCAACGCCGAGAGCGATCGAAACTTTGAACAGAAAAGGAGTGGTGAAAATAAGAGCCGGCGGGTGGCACTCGGCGTGTATAACCGCCGGGGGGCAATTACTCACGTGGGGAAGAGGAGAGTACGCGCGACTCGGTATGGGCGACGACGACTGCGCGGATAAAATCACGCCAACCGAGGTGAAGTTTCCATCACCCACCGACGCGGACGACGACGACGACGACGAAAGCAAACGTCATCAAAGATACAAAATCGTCGACGCCTCTCTCGGCGGTTCGCACACCATCGCGTTAACCTCTCAAGGCCAACTCCTCTCCTGGGGCCGCAACTCCTTAGGCCGTCTCGGCCGCGTCGTCAACGGTCCACACTCCGGCATCCCGGGTGAGGTAAAATTCCCGCCCTTACCAAACGAACGAAAGTGGATATGCGTCAAGCTCAGCTGCGGCGGAAGACACAACATGGCTTTATGCGTCGAGACGAAAACGAAGGAAGAGCGAGAGCGCGCGCTGAGAGCGTACTTCAATAACGACAATAACATCAGATAGTAATGGTGTAGTAGTAGTAATAGTAGTAGTAGTAGGAGCGTCCGAAAAAGGAGTGAATGAACACTATGCCGCGCGTTTACGTATACATCTGCGCGTTCTTAAAAATGGCAACATTTTTGTCCGACCTTTTTCGAGTGAATTTGTGGTTGTCGTTACGTCACTTTTCTTTATCCATTGTAACGCGCAGAACACCAACACTTTTTCTTCGCGAGCGCATCGGTATCATCATCATCGCGAACATCATCATCGAGTCGTCTTCACGTAAGCGTTCGTAAGAAGAATAATAATAATGAATCCACCGCGTTCGCAAACGCCCATGTCCGTGGCGACGACAAACGATTCGATCTCCGAAACGAACTATTCCGTTCGCTCGGGGAATAGTTCCAAAAGCGTCCAAGTCTCTTCACTTTCCGCGGTCGAAACCGGGATCAAAGAAGAACGAGGAGAAAGAACAATAAACGTTTTATCGAACGAGGAACGATCGTGTTTCAGCAAAATCGCGAACGGTTCGAACAGGTTCCTCTCCAAAAAGTTCCGCGCGTTTGGGTTTCGAATCGGTTCCTATCCGTTCCGAGTGATTGGTTTGAGCGTCTTTTTGGCGTTGATTTGCGCGAGCGGCGTGCACAAACTGACCAACGAAAGCAGGTCGGAAAAGTTGTGGGTCCCCGGAGATACGCGAGCGCAAGACGATCGGATTTTTGTGGACGATAACTACGGAGGCGACGCGCGGTTTGGAAGCGTGGTTCTGAAACCGAAAACTGGGACGAACGCGTTTACGCCGGAGACTTTAGACGCGTTGCACGCGTTTCGATCGAAGATTGAAGAGGAGGCGTTCGTGGAGTACGACGGGAAGAACATCACGTGGGGAGGGGATTATTGGATCGTGGATGAAAACGATGACACCGAGGATGCGGCTGGAATGAAGTATTCAAAGACCGATAAGGAGGAGTGGCAGTGTTATCGGTACTCGAAGAGTTGCGCCATGAGTTCTGTTTTGGGGGTGTTTGATAACAACAAGGACAACTGGAACACGCAAGAGAAAATCAACGCGAAGTTGATCTCGGATGTTCTTGGGGACGAAGAGAATTGCCCCACCGGTAACGGGAAGAAACACCACACCCCTGGGAACGTGTGCGTTGCTGTTGGCCCGGTCATTTACTTGAACCAAACGAGCGGTCATCCAACTTTGACGAGCGAAGGGCATTACACCGCCACTTCGTTGACGTTGCAGTTTCTCATGAAGAATTTCGATGTCGTCAAAGATGGCGAAAAAGAGGACAAGAGAGGCGACGCGTTCGAGGAAAAAGTATTGGAGATTATTCGCGATGTGGAGGTAAATTACGCCTCGACGGTATCTGTAGAATACGCGGTCACACGTTCATTCGGGGATGAGTTTGGGGCCGCGATTACCGGCGACATCACGAAATTGCAAATCGCGTTCATTTTGATTTTAGGCTACGCAACGCTCATGTTGAGTAAAGGTGGGGAAGGGTGCGTCGGTTCTCGAGTATTCGTTTCTGGAATGGGGGTCGTATCCATCGGATTGGCCATCGCTTCCAGTTACGGTTTGTGTTCTTACTTTGGGCTCTTCTATTCGCCGTTGATGAACGTGTTGCCGTTTCTGTTATTGGGCATAGGGGTGGACGATATGTTCGTTTTGGTCAACGCGTACGATAACACGAACCCATACTTATCCATCGCGGAAAGATTAGGAAATGCCATGTCAACGGCGGGCATGAGTATTACCGTTACCTCGTTCACGGATATATTCGCCTTCTTAATCGGCTCGACGACGAGTTTGCCGGCGTTGAGAAACTTTTGTTTCTACGCGGCGCTTGGTATTTTCTTCGATTATTTGTACCAGTTGACGTTTTTCGCAGCGTTCTTAGCCATCGACGAACGCCGCCGAATGCTAAAGAAAGGGGACTGCTTTTGCTGCCCAACCTGCGACGAAGGCGCGACGTGCTGCGTTCCGTGCTGCAAGCCAGCGGCGGGGGCACCGGTCGTCGTCGTCGTCAACGGCGTGCAACAGGAACAAGTTGGGCCAGAACGCATGACGAAAAGAGTCATGGGCGCCCTCGCAGACTTTCTCGCGAAGAAAAGCGTCAAAGCAGCCGTGCTCGTCGTATTTGCCGGCATCGCCGCTGGTGGTATTCTCGGCGTCTCTAAAATCAAGGTCGAAGCTGACGTGATGGATTTCTTGCCTCCCGGCTACCTGAAAGATTGGGTATCCACCTTTGACGACGAATTTTCTCGAGGGCAAGGTATCGAGCTATACACGATGACTGAGTTTGATTACGCCACCGACTATGACACTACTTCCGTGTTGAAGCAAGCGGCAGCGGCGTTCAAAGCGAACCCGTACGTCCAAGATGAATCCGTCGAGCCTTGGATGGATGCGTTTGATACGTACCTCACGATGTGCAATGGGACGAGTGTCCAACCAATGACCGAGGGTTGGAAAGCGACACACTGCGCAATCGACGCTCCTGCAAACACGTTCAACGACAAACTGTACAAGTTTATCACGACTCCATCCAGTCCAGGTGGGTACGCATACGGATCCGACGTAAAATTTGACACCACCACCAATCCTCCGACGATTATCGCCACGCGCGTGCGCGCCACGCAAGTCGAAGGCCAAGACACCGCGGCGACCATCAAGGCCATGGACTCTATCCGCTCCTCCATCGACTCCATTCCCGGCAACGAAAAAGGTTATATTTTTGCGTACAACGAAGACTTCTTGAACGTGGAACAATACAAATCCATCGACAAAGAAGCCATCCGAAATGTCTCTTTAACCTTACTCGTCTGTTTCATCGTCATCGCGTTGCTCATCGTCGACCCGCTCACGGTGTCTTGCGTCTTCATCAACCTCCTCTTAATCGTCATCAATATCCTCGGATACATGCAAGCGTGGGGATTAAACATCGATTCCGTCACCGTCATCATGCTCGTCATCGCGCTCGGTTTAGCCGTCGATTACAGCGCCCACATCGGCCGAAACTTTTTGGAAAAGCACGGCCTTCCAAACGACCGCATGAGATTGACATTACGAGACATGGGCGTCGCCGTCTTCCACGGCGCCATGAGTACCATGGTTGCCGTGTTAGTCTTGGGTTCTTCGGACTCGTACGTCTTCACGACTTTCTTCAAGCAACTGTTCTTGTGCATTTCATTAGGTTTGGCGCACGGGTTAATCTTGTTGCCGGTCTGTTTGTCTTTGTGCAATCCGAACCCGTACGACGACTTGGAAGACGACTATTAGTTTGCGTGTGTGCGCGTGAGAAAGAGAGAGAGGGAGGAATTCATAGAGAGAGGGAGAACTTATTTATTCTTTTGTACATACTACTACATACCGGTCACCATCCGCTCCCGTTCATATATTCACCACTTCAAGTGTCTGTCCTTTGGAAATTTTTCTCACGTTTTGCCACAAAACAAAAAGAACATCATGGGGGAGACGACGACCGCGAAAACGACTAAGAAAAATGAAATCGTGTGTTGTTGTCTCGGCGACGCGGTGACTGATTTCATCGTCATGATGGACGATACCGATCATCTCTCGTCCTCTCTGTCGAACTTAGGCGGGTGCGAAGTCGTCGATTCGAGGGAAGATTTCGAAGCGATGATGACAAAGGAAACGTCCGATGTAAAAGAGACAAAGTTTGGCGGAAGCGCGGCGAACGTGGCCAGAGGCATCGGGAATTTAACGACACAGTATAATAAAGACCAAAAGGTTGATCTTAAAGTGTTCTTTGCCGGGACAATCGCGGATGATAAGGAAGGGAACGCGTATCTGAAAGACTTGGAAAAGAACAGAGTCAGAGCGGAGAAAAATGCCACTGTTCGAGTGCTTTCGAGCGCTTCCGAAAGTTCCGCAAAGTGTTTAAGTTTTGTGAACAAAACGAACGGCCAACGGACGATGCGGACGTATTTAGGCGCGAGTAAGTGTAAACCGGACGTGGACAAGGTTTTGGAGGTTTTTAAGAGGAGAAAAGAGGAAGAGGAAAAGAGCGCGAGCGCGACGACGAGACTGTTGCACTGCGAAGGATACGCGCTGTACGATCCAAAGTTCTTGACGAGTTTGATTACCAAAGCGAAAAATTTGTACGAAACAGACGGGACGAAGGTGTTGGTATCGATCGATTTAGCCTCGTTTGAGGTGGTTCGGAATAGTCGAGAAACTTTGTTGACTCTGTTGGAACGAAATCCAGGCGTCGTGGACGTGCTTTTTTGTAACGAGGACGAGGCAAAAGCGTTGGTCGAGATCATTCCAGAGTTGTTCCTGGAGGAGCAGCAGCAAACGACGAGAAAAAACGACGAGAACAACAACGAAGGAGAAGAAATCGAAGCTATGGTTGCCAGAACCATCGCGAAGAAAATAAACGGCACGTGTGTCGTCACGCAAGGCAAGCGAGGCTGTCGCTGCTACTCCGCCGACGACGACGAAGAAAAAGAAGAAGAAGAAAAAGAAGTGCACCACGTCCCGGCGCCTGCCCTGAAAACCGTCGTCGATACCACTGGCGCCGGCGACACCTTCACCGCCGGCTTCTTATTCTCCTACTTACTCTCCACGACGACGAAAACGAAAACGAAAATCACGAAAAGAAATAAAGAAGAAAAAAACGACATCCTACTCAAAGCCGCGCGACTCGGATGCGAAGCCGCCTCAAAAATGTGCGCCGCGGTCGGGTGTGAACTCGACGACCACCAATGGGAAGAGATACTAATTCGTGCTGCTCAATGATACTAATAATAACAACAACAACGACAACGACAACCCAGATGATAATAGAAAAAATACTAGAGAGAATAGAACTTTACGCGAGTAGAAATAGAGCCTTTTAACATTATTTTAGTAGAGCCGCTCATGCGATGCCGCCAATTCATCATCGGAGAACACGCACAAATTGACAAAAGGAAAAGCGCCCGCCCAAATACCCGTTCCAAAAAGACTTGTTTGCGCGTCCTTATATTACCGTTCAATTTTTATTCATCTTTTCATCTGTGTAAATGTCAATCGATTTTGGTCTCAATTTTTTCCTTCACAAAAAATCAGACAATTAAAAAAAAGATCTGATGACGACAACACCTTTGATGCGAACGAAGAGGAGAAGACCTCGAAGCTCTCTTCTCCTTTTCCTTTTCCTTTTCCTTTTCGTGCTCTTTATTGCTGCGCTGTTGTTCTTTGATGACGAGACGCGCGTTTTTTCGTGCGTTGAAGCGGCAAACGAAGGAGGAGAGGAAGACATTTTGGAACCGGAGTGGCCGTTTTTACCTAATTCGAACGAGGACACCACAGACGGAGAATCATCGGATCTCTCGAAAGAGACGACGGAAAAGACACAACAGACGCCAAACTTTATATCCGCGGAACTCTTCCGCGCGTTACCGGCGCACATCACCCGGAATAAAGTCCGATCGTCGGCGCTTTTAGAGACTCTGGGGAAAATGAGCAAAAACAGTGCAAACAAGAAGAACAAGAAGAAGAACGACAACAACAACAACAACAACATAAGAGGAGAAGGCGAAGGCGAAGAAAACGAAGAGGAAGAAGATGCTTTGCGACGCGTGGACAACTGTAGGGAGATTTTAGAGAGGGAGGATTCTTTCTTCTCGGATGCCGCCGCGCGGGGCGGGAGCGGCGGCGCGACGAAGACGAGCGGCGGCAGCGGCGGCGGCGAGGGGAAGACGATGGTGAAGACGAAGAGAGATGCGATCGACGCGTTGATTGATATGGTGAAAGAAAATCCAAAGAGGAAAGAGGCGTGGAGAGAGTTGGGTTTGGCGATGCAGTTAGGGAGAGGTTCGGCGGACGCGGCGTTGACGAGAGCTTTGTCGGAAAGGAGGAGCGATGATGGTGAAGAAGAAAAAGACGAGGAGAAAGAGAAGAAGATGAAAGAGAAGAAGAAGAAAAAGAAGAAGAACGGCGAGAACGTGATGATGACGATGAATGGGAACGAATGGAAACGAATCGACGCGGAAAAGAAAGCGGTATATTTTTTACAGCGCGCGGCGGATTTAGGCGACGCGGAGGCGCACTTTGAGTTGGCGTTTTTGTACAGCACCGGATTAGGCGGCGTTGTGGAGAAGGACGAGCGGTTGGCGATGACGCACCATTATTTCGCGGCGAGAGGCGGTGACGTGCGATCGCATTTAGCTTTAGGGCATCGACACGCGAAGGGAAGGTTCGCACCAAAATCGTGTCAAGCGAGCGTTTTGTATTACCATCCGGCGAGTTTGAAGACGGTAGAACCGGTGATTGCGCCGGTGATGGGCGAGAACGGGCAGAAAGGATTCGATAATTTTCGGTTGAGTCGAGACATGAAGTCGCCAAAGAAACTGAAAAGGCAGAAAGACGTGGTGACGTATTACCAGTACGCCGCGGATTTGGGGAACTCGGAAGCGCAGAACGCGGTGGGACACGCGTATATGGTAGGCACGAAAGGTTTGGACGTGAACTACGACGTCGCGGTGAAATATTTAGATTTAGCCGCCGCGCAAGGCAACGCAGAGGCGATGAGTTCGTTAGGTCACGCGTACGCGAACGGGTTAGGCGTGACGCAAAATAACGAAACCGCTTTGAAATGGTTCAAAGAGGCGAAAAAGTTGGGTTCTCCGCACGCGAGTTACGGATTAGCGTACATGTACTTGAGCGGTTTCGGAGTGGAAAAAAACGCGCAAGAGGCGGTGAAGGAGCTTTTGAAAGCGGCGGAGAGAGGGAGCATGGAGGCACAGTTTCATTTAGGCGCTTTGCACGTGAGAGGAGTAGCGCCGTTAGCGAGAGATTACACGAAAGCGAACACGTATTTCGGTTTAGCCGCGGCGCAAGGGCACTCGTTAGCTTCTTATAACTTGGCGATGATGCAATTGGGAGGTTTAGGCGCCCCGATTGCGTGCGCGCCGGCGTTGGATAAGTTGAAACTGTTAGCGGAACGCTCCTCGACGGTTATAAACGTGATGGAGAACGCGAGAGAACATTTCGTGAGAAGAAACTATAAAGAATCCTTGTACGCGTACGCGAAAGCGTCGGAAATGGGCGTCGAGTTAGCGCAAGCGAACGCGGCGTATATTTTAGAGAGGAACTTTGGCGGCGTGCAAAACCACTTATCGAAAGAAGAAAGGAAACGGTTTTCGCTGTATTTTCACGAACTCGCCGCGGATCAAGGGAACGTCTTATCGTTACTCACGATTGGCGACGCGCATTACGCCGGGTGGATTTCTTCTTCCATTTCATCAGAAAAAGACGACGATTCCGAGGAGACGTTGATGGTAACCGACGAAGACGGAAACGTGCTCGTTCCTTCCAATGCGAACTCAGATTCCAACTACGAAAAAGCCGCGCAAGTCTACCGACGAGCCGCTGGTTTACGAAGCGCAGCTGCTATGTTCAATCTCGGGAGAATGCACGAAGTTGGACGAGGCGTCGCGAAAGATTACCACTTGGCCAAACGCTTTTACGATTCCACTTTATCGGCGGAGCCAGATGCTAAGTTTATAGTCAAATTCGCGCTTTGGGGGTTACGATTTCGAGAGTGGGTGGACGAGAAAAATTGGAAGAATAAAGACTACAGAACGATAGTTTCTGATATCTTTCGCGAACTCTTGTTGCTCAGACCTGGAATTTTCAACTCCAATATTATGAGCGTCGGCGAGGACGAACCGAAACCGGCGAAGATTGTCATATCGACTGAGAAAACGAATCCCCCTCCGTCCTCTGCTGCGAGTGGTAGTGCAACCGAGCACATCGTCAAAGAAACGAATAAAGTAATCGAGTGGGGAAAGAAGAACTCGGACGTGATGTTGGTCATCGCGTTAGGTATTTTCTTGGTGATTACTTTAGGCGTGCGATCGATTTTAGCGGCGAGACATCACCATCACCGCGACTAGTTTTAGAAGTGGTGCATATATCTTACATACATGAATACTGTACAATACTATACATCATTACAACAAGTGTTTCCTTAGCGTATTTTTGACATCTCCATCCTTCACAATCGTCCCGTGACACGGTACGATGGTATCGAAATCGAGCCGCTCCACGTCCTCGACTCGCGCTCTCAACTTCTTCTTTTTCTCCTCTCCGAAACACAACACGTTCTTGTAAATGGGCAAATAAATAACATCCATGAGAAACTTCCACCCTTTCTCTTTGAACGTGTACAACTTTTCATCCATTCCTTCGCCGTCCGGATAATTCCAATACACATCCGTCACCATCAAACATTTACTTTCTTTGTGCGCAAACGACACCTCGTTGAAAAACGGCTTCGAGAAGAGACTCTCGCAATCCCAATGCACCATCTCAAACTCGTTCAACCATTCGTCCTTCCACTCTTCTTTTACATCTCCCAGATCCTTATCGTACGGAATCTCTCCTCGTTTCTTTTCTTTCAACCCGGGACATCCCCACAGCGTTGCGTTCGGATACGCTCGTTTCCACATTTTCGCGTATTTCAGGTGCTCGTAATTCGGAGAGACGATATGTTTCACCTCTCCGAGCTTCTCGATCTCCTTCTTCGTCTCCTCGTCTAAATCGATCGGCGAGTGCACCCACAACTCGCCGTTTTGCAGTTTCACCACTGCCATTCGTCCGCCGACGTCGATGGTGTTCCATAAAAATTGTCGTTCGCACACGTAGAGTTTGTTTTTGACGACCTCTTTGACGATGATGTTTTCCCCGTCTTCCGTCTGCGGGTGGTTGGACCAACAGGTTTTGAACGCGTTCTTGTTCTCGTCCTCGCGCTTCTCTTCCAAACTCGAAGACGACGACGAGAGGAGAAAAAAACGCCGCGTTTTCCTTTTTAAAGTTTGAGTTGTTCTGGGGGTCGCGACGACGATAGAGATGCGTTTTGGTGATGTGCTCGCGCGCATCGTTCGTCTCTCTTTTGTGACGAACACTTTTCCCCACAACGAAAGAACAAATCTCTGCGCGTGTACTAACACACCATACTTTAAAAGAATAAGAAGAACGACAAAAACATGTCCGCACTCTTCGACTTGAACTCGTTCATCACCACCCTCTTATTCTTCATCTGCGCGTGCACGTACGTGAAACTCAAAGCGCCGTATTTACTCGAACGAGAGACCACCGGCGAGAACAAAGGAAAAGGAGGCGGGTTGGTGAAATCTGTGTTCTGGAAAGCAGCGAGAGTGGGAGAGCGGTTATCGCCGTACGTGTCGATCGGGTGCCTGATCATGGCGTGGAGGACGTTTTTTTACGCGTAGTGTTGTGCGCGTGATGACGAAACAGCATCACCTGATGAAAGAGATTGCGCTGGCGATGAAAGCGAAGGACTTTGCGAGGGCGGTCCAACTGTACGAAGACGACGAGAAAGACGATACATACGAGGTTCACGTGTACGCCGGGAAGAGTTACTTCGAACTCAAACAACACGCGAAGAGTCGAGAGTGTTACGTCAAGGCTGCTCGAATCGACTCGGAGAGAGAGCAAGCGCACAAAGGGATCGTGGAGGTTGGATTTGATGGCGACGACGACGACGTGAAATTCGTTGAGGAAGAGGTCATTCCGTCGGTTACGTTTTTACTCCAAAAAGCGTCCGAAACAGAGGACGTGGAGAAGCAAAAGCAGTACTTGGGAAAGTTGGGCGACGGGTACGCGAGGTGCGGGGAACATTTGTATTTGGAAGCGGCCAAGGCGTATCGAGATTTAGATGATTTGATGTTGAAAGAGAACGACGCTTCTTCGGTAGGCGGCGCGGCAGCTGCGTGTAGCATTAAAGCGGCGAAATGCGCGGTGCTGTTTACGGAAGGAAAAGCGAAGTTGAGCGCGAGCAAAGCCGTCGCCGATGCGAAATCTAAAATGATCGTCTCGAGAAAAGACGAGATTCGGATTGCTAAGGAGGCGTCGATCGAGTGTTTTGCGAGTCTGGCGATAGAGACGATTCCGTTTTTGGACGGGTACTTTCGTACGAAAGCAAAGCCGAAGAAAGGAGACGACAAAGTAGAAACGAGCAGCGACGATGTGAAAGATATCGAAAAGTTTGCCATAAAGCTCGCGCGCGCTCGATTGGACTGTGGCGCCAAAAATGTTGAAGAAAATGGTAAGAAGGATGCGTTGAAATTCGCAGACGCGATGTTGCATGATTTCATGAGCAGCAAAAGTTCTGAGAGTGTGGTCGTCGATGAAACAAACGTTTTGGCGCTCGCTTTAGACGTCGTCGCTTTTACGGGGGAATACCTTGGCGACGAAGAGGAAGGTTGGAACGATGATTCGTCATCAGAAGAATCTCCCCTCGAAACCGCGATAAAAGAATACGTAAAAGACGCAGACGTCGAAAATCCGCTTTGGGTGTTGTTCACGGCGTGGACTGCAAATCAAAATCACAGTCGAGGGTCGTTCCATCGTTCGTGTCTTGGGAACGATCTCGAGTGTCACCATGAAGGGACGAGAGTTGAATTAGGCTCGAGGGATGCAAAGATGGACAAAGAGGTATACAGATTGTTTGACGCTATGGAACGCTCCATTGATGCGGACGGCGAGAGCGATGAAGTTCTATCTTCGACTTCGTATTCCACTTTACAACTCGCCATGGTTTCGATGCTCTTGGCAGAGTCTCGTGCGTATCTCGGCGACGCTTTAGGCGCGCTCGACGTTGCTGGACGCGATGCGGTTTGCTCGGTTTTGGGATTAGCAAAAACGCAAAAAAGAGCACAATTACTACTCGCTGAATCACACGCCAAGCTTGGGCGACCGTTTGATTACGACGCGATCGTTAAAGCATCGCCGGCGAGAGGTTGTCGCATTCGCGCGTATTATATTGCCATTACGAGCGTTGCCCGGGATGCCAAGGCGCAAAAACTGAAATGGTTACGAAGCGCGTACGAAGCAGCGCCTCGGAGTCCAAGGTGTGCGTTTGAGTTTGCGTGGGCATCCGGAAACGTCGATGCGTGCGAACAGATTGTTTATTCATGGATAGATGCGCACGAAGGAGCGGAGCTACCCGCGGATGTCACCGCGCGTTGGGCATCGCGTAGAGCGTCTTTGGCCACCTCAGAGGAGCAACTCGACATTTTATGCTCGCGCGACGATCGATCGATTTTTACTTTAGCGGCTAAAGCGGCAAAAGCAAGTAGCGGTGCAAATCCATTCCGTGCACTCGCGTTTAGCGCTCTCTCTCTCTGTGTGGATGCATCCGGCGACACCGCTCGCGCCTCGAAATTGCGCGAAAAAGCTTTAGCGTTGGATCCGAGCGACGAGATTTCAGGACCAATTGAAACGAACTCCTCTTCTCCTGAAAGATGTCGAGAAGTTTGTGAAAACGCCATAAAGTGGAATCCAAACTGTATATGGGCATCTGAACGACTTGCGAGCGATAGGGATCCACACGTGGCGCTTTCGGCGTTGAAAATTCTGATTCGCACGAAACGCGAGAGTGTCGCGATGTGGACGAATATGGGCGATTGTTATCGAAAGTTGGATAGAAAGTCAGCGGCGGTCGATGCGTTGGAAAAAGCTGTTACGTTGTATAAGCAACGAGACCCGGTTGCCGATGCGAGTCTTAGAGACGCTTTATACGCCGCGACAGTTGCAGGTAACATTTCGTTACAGCTCGGAAATCTCGAGCGCGCGGAGTTGTCGTACAAAATCGCGCACGACATTTTCCTCAACGCTTCTTCCACGGGTAGCAGCGATAAAGGAGGTGTTCTCGTTCCAATCCTAATTGGACTTGCGAGATGTTTCGTGTTGGACGCGTCGGGATCAGCCATGCGCGGCGCGACGGCAAGATGTGAGCAAAGTGCGAAAGAGTGTGTCGCGTACGGCGAGAAAGCGCTCGTCGCGATCAACAATGACGCAGCGGTTTTAGCGACATCATCAAATACAAAGAAGTATGCCGTCGTCGAACGCGTCGTTCGAACGCTTTTAGGCGAAGCGCACTTATTGATGAACAATTTCGACTCAGCCGCGAGTGAATTCAAAAAGTGTGTGGAACTTTTCCCGGAGCTTGCGTCGACGCGAGAAAATCTCGCTCGGGCGTTGTTGTTGTTCGCTTCTTCTTTACCACGAGGTGACGATGATGCTACTTCGAAAGCAAAATCGGCGTGCATCGATTACGCGAGCGCGGAAGGCTCCGATTTCTCCGCCGCCTGGCGCGCACTCGCTAAGATTCCTCGAGGGAAAGATGAAGAAGACGACGCTTCGTATTTTGGTCGCGTCGAAACGTGTTTGTCCCGCGCGGTATCTTTAGGCGTCTCGCAGAACAAAGCGACTGTCTGGGCATCTCTCGCGCAGTTATACAAAACTGCCGCAGATGCTCGACGACAAAAAAGTAGTGGTGCGGAAGATATCATCGAAGAACTCGAACGCGCCGCCGCGACGTGTCTCGATAAAGCCCGCACTCTGAATCCGCACGAAGGTGTCGCGTGGATTCACACTGGCGAAGAGATTTTGAGCAAAAGCGTTTTTGGCGAAGACGAAGGAAATAGTAGTGTTTATTACGAGAAAGCCGCGAAAGCGTTCGATGTCGCCACAAAGTGTGCGTTTGAAGACGCAGAGCACGCGCGCATCGCCGACGCCAAGTTTTCGGCGACGGCGGCAGTTGCCGTCCTTTCGGAAGATATTCACAACACACACAGATACGAGAATATCGCAGCCGCAATTCGAGCGGCGAGAGCGCGAACGAACGATCCGGTCGCACACTGGTCGCTCGCGATGGTGTGCGAACGAAGAGGATTGATTGATATGGCAAAAGAGGCGTTTGAAAACGCATTGGACGGTGTTCTTAATGGTGATACTTCGACTCTAGATTTCACGTTCGGTTACGGCGAGAGCGATGAGTGTCGAAACGCAATAACTGATGCCTGCAAGGAAGGTTTAGAGCGTCTGGAAAAGAGGCGAGCAATGACGAGTGCCGCGCAAAATGATCTCAATGATGGAGCTTGCGCGACGTACGCGTCGCTCAAGCGACGTTTGCAAAACGCCATTCGCGAAGACCCTTCTAACGTCCACGCGAGAGTGCATCTCGCGCAGTTACTGTTAGCACGAGAAGAAGATGATGACGACGAAACTTTTCTCGCTTTGAACGTGGTATCCGAACCGAGAGCACCTTTTCTTAACAACGCGGGAGGTAAAGGTGATTTCCGAGAACAAAGTTCCGTCGCACGAAGCGTCGCGTGGTCTTGCATCGCCAACTCTCCAGCATACGTGTATCCCGTAAAAAGTGATGATATTGAAAGCGATAAAACAAGATCAGAAGTTCTTTTTCGTCGCGCAAATCGCATGGCTGCCATTGCTACGGTTCTAAACCCGGGTGACGCGCGAAACCAAGATGTCCTTCAGACGTGCTTGAATCGCCTTCAGTTGCGTCCTCGAGCGAGCGGTCGAGTATCGTCTTTCAACCTCGATGACGAAAAGATGCTTCGCGATTTGTCGAAAATGGCAGAATCTGATCCAAGGAGCAATGCAGAAACTATTGCTTCTGCCAGACTCGCGTTGGCGGCAAAACTCGCGCAGTCCGAGGAAAAAGAGAAACGCAAAGAGGCAAAGAAACACGCGACTCGCGTAAGTCAAACGAATAGCAAAACAGAATTAGACGAACAAGAACGAGAAATTAACAACATTAAAATTAGCGAACGATTAGTGCGAGCGAGCGGATGTTTCCTCGCTGGCAGCGAATTATAGATTTAATAATACAGAGTTTTATCATCGAACTATTAGAAAATCTTCGCACTCGTCCAATTCTCCTCCCAAAAGTTCACCATTCCTTCATCTTCGATTTCGTCTAATGAGCTATTCTTCGCATCTCTATCTTCTAATTGATACTTCTTCTTCGTAAGAGGCGGAGGAGGACGCGTGGCGGGTACTTTTCTTCTCCCTTTCGCGGTGGTAGAAGAAGAAGAAGAAGAAGAAGAAGAAGAAGAGAATATCTCATCCAACCGATCTCTGGTCACCCCGGCTTCCAGTCGATTCAACGCTTCCGTACCGTTCTCGTTCCCGTCCCAACCTTCCAACAAAGATATCAACGCGTCGCACAACTCTTCGCTCGTATCGAATGTCAATCCATTCACACCTTCCTGAACTAATTCGTCCCGCAAACACTCGTATCTTCTCGCTAAAACTGGAATACCCACGCCAAACATGTCTACGATTTTCATCGGCAAATCGAGTTTCGAAGAGCTTTGGTGCAAGCACAAACCTACGTCGGACATGGACAAGCGTTCCGGGTACTCGTGGATAGGTAACCACGCGTACGAAAAACTGACGTGTTTCAATTTCGCCTCTTTCGCTCTCGTCTCAAACGATTCTCGCAAATCTCCTCTGCCTGTGATCAAAATGTTCAAATGCGGCAGTCGTTGTTTCGTCTTCTTCTTTTTCTTCGTCGCCGTTCCGCTCGCTTCTTTCGCCTTCTCGTCGTACAACACCGCCGCGTGTAACAAAACGTCAAAGTCTTCGTCCGGCGTCCATGAGGTGCTCGAGACAACATTCACAACATCGCTCGTCTTTTTCCGGAATCCTTTTTTCTTTTCTCTCGTGGCGTTGGTGTTTAATCGTAAAAATTGCTCCCCCGGCGCGTCCTTCACCACGGAAATGTGTCTCGCGTCCACGCTCCACTCGCGAATTAAAAAATCCTTCATCTTCTCCGTCACCGTCAAATGATGATCGAAATACCTCAAAGAGTACTTCTCGTACGCCTTCATAACTCTCACCAACACATCTTTCCCTCCTCGTTTCCTTTGCATGCTGAAAATCGAGTACCCGAGATTGTGCCAATCAATAGTAAACTTTCCTCCCATCACCCGTTTCGCCACCGCGCACGCGAGAAACGTCGGCAAACACGGTGGATTTTGCACCAGCACATTTGTCACTTTCACTTTCCCAGTTTCAAAGAACAAACACAAGAGCACTTGTAAAAACTGCAAGAGGACTCTCAGCGCGAAATATACGATCGATGGCACGAATGGCATCTTAGTCTTCTTCACTCGTAAAAAGTTTAATCGAGAGATACCTACGAACCGAAATCCATCATTTTCTCTCAACGTTTCCTTCATCATCGATCCATTCTTGTACGCGATCGCGGTGACTTCGTATCCTTTGTTCAGTAAGGAACTCGCGTGATTTTGCATCCTCGGCGAGTGCCCGAAATCGCCCAAAACGAGAACGACCGCGTGTTGTCTTTCTTTCTTCGCCTCATCTTCATTCATTTCCCCTAAAAAAACGCCTCCCAAATCTTTGTTTTCTTCTTTCGCGCGTTTTTGCACCACGTTATTCGTAGTATCATCAATATTGAGAGAAGACGGAGACGGAGGTTTCTCCCGTTTCTTCATCAACAAAGGTGGATCTGGTTTCTTTTTCTTTTTTGTCTTCTTACTTTTCGAAGCAATAGTATTATTCGCATTATTGGAAAGCGCCATGATGATGATTTACAAAATGTCGTGTAATAAAGTGTTTTGTGTGTGTTGTTGCAAGTGAGAGGTGTGTCTGTGTGTGTGTCTGATTTTTGAATTTTTTCAGGGGCAAAACTCCTCCGTCTCGAAAAAAACGAAAGAGTACTCGTAAATGACGAAAGAATTTTTAGGTGAGAGACACTTACGTCCGTACAAAATGGTGCTTTGTCCGTACAAAAAATTTTTCAGTCCAAAATACGAGAACAAAAACAACAAAATTAGGGGTGATGAAGCCGCTGAAAATCTTCGTTCTGCTCTCATCATCAGTCGTCCTATTCGAAAATCTCGGGGCTTTTGGTGAAGTTTCGGCGGCGTCGACGACGGGAAGAAGAGGAGCGTTGAGTTCAGCAGATGATGATGAAGCTGCTGCTTCGTTTGATGTATTGGATAAAGAAGATGCATCGTCTAATCCGGAGGAGGAGGAAAAGAAGATGAACTCTTGGATCGATTTCTGCTCTTCCTCCGCTCGCGAGTTATACGAATCACCGATCGATCCGATTTTAGAATCCGAGGTACAAAACAGACGACAAGATCCACCGATAAAAATCACCGACCGAGGGCAAATGTGGTTTCGAGCGGAATCGAATGTACGTGCAGACGCGAGGACGAAATCGGCGATTTTTGAAAAGAGGTCGAAATCAATTCCTCTGATGCTGTTTGGAGATTCAATCACGGAGTATTGGAAGTTACGAGTGAACAGAGAAGTTTTGATGAAAACTCTGAGAGTGGAGAATGAACGCGACGTATTCGTGAATGGGATTAGCGGGGACGAGACGTCGCACGCGCTGTATCGGTTGACGCACGGCGCGTTTCCGAGAGCGACCGTGGACGACATCGTGGTGATGATTGGGACGAATAATTTAGGACGCGCGTACCGGTTAGGAGTGGAGTATTCGAATAGGATGAAGAAAGCTGACGAGGAGTGCTTGAACGAAGAGCAAGTGCGCGCGATTCGCGAGGAGATTCCAAACGCCGTCGCGGGGATTTTAGCGGTGATTGAAAAGATTCGAGTGATGTCTCCAAACTCGAGAATCGTAGTTTTAGGTATTTTACCGAGAGGGTTGAGAAATGTGAGGGCGTGGACAGGCACGCCGCAAGCGTCCATTCACGATATGGAGACGTCGCAACGCTTACCAGACGCCGACGCTTTAGAATCGAGAGCATTTAAAGGGCAGTTTACGTTACCGAACGTGTTTACCAAGGCGATTGATTTCGTCAACGACGCCGTGAAGAGAGGCGTTGAAAACGAGAAAGTTGGAGGAGATATGGTGTATTATCGCGAGTGCGCAGATGCGTTTTTGACGGTTGTCGACGAAGAGAGCGATGCGAAGATGTTAAATTACGATTTGATGAGGGACGCTTTGCATCCGGACAAACCGAGAGGGTACGAGGCGCTCGGGAAATGTGTTCGAGATATTTTGGATTCGTTACCGGAGAACTGGGAGTTTCAAAACGTGCGCGCGCGAGAGAGCGGCGAAATCGCGCAGATGGGCGTAGCAACTTAAAATCCGTTTGATGTAGTAATCATATGTATTGGTAATAATAACAATAATAAATCTTTTCTCTATGCAATAATACTTAATTAATTCATCGGCGTTTGTTAAAGGCGCCGCCTCTGCCTCCGCCTCTGCCCCCTCTGCCTCTGCCTCCGCCTCTACCGCCACCTCTGCCACCGCTACTCTTCTTATCGAAATGTTTCGCCGCTTTTTCGTCTACGCCACCTCTCTTTCGCTTCTTCCCTCCTTCATCTGAAGAGGAAGGCTCCGAATCCGAATCTTCCGATGATTCATCGTCCGAAGAAGACGACGATTTTTCTTCTTCTTCCTCTTCGCTCTCGTCATCATCGTCGTCGGACTCATCTTCTTCGCTCGAAGAACTCGGTCCATCATCCTCGTCTCCATCCTCGAGCTCTGCGAACTCGTCCTCGTCGTCGTCATCGCTCTCTTCTTTCTCGTTCTTGTTCTTCTTCGCTCGATCGAGCTTCACCGCCGGCATATCGTCTTCGTCGTCCTCTTCTCTCGCTTCCGCCGCCGCTTTCGCCAACTTTGCCGCTCGCTTCATGAAATCCTCTCCATCGCTCTCGCTTTCATCCTCGTCTTCCTCAAAATCATCGTCGTCTGACTCATCGAGTTCATCGTCATCCGACGACTCGTCGTCGTCTTCCTCGTCGTCGCTGAAATCGTCGTCATCAGAATCATCCTCGTCGTCGTCGAACTCGTCGTCCTCCTCGATCCTCCCGCTTAAATACACCGCTCTCCCTTTCCCGTTTTGCGTCACGGTTACCGTCTCCCCGCTGGCGAACGTCAGCCCAGTCCCGAAGGAAAACTGTTCGCACGACACATCGCGCAAGGTTCCAATGCACAGGAGTTTCTTTTTAGTCTTCTTCTCGTCGTTTTCATCGTCACCGGTCACGGATGAAGTTTGGACGAAAATGGACGCCGCCGCCGATGGTGTGGGAGAAGACAAAGATGATACTACTGGTTGCCCTAACGCGGCTTGGCAGACGACCACGGTCGTGGCCACGTCCGGGCGGAACTTGATCGGTTTGTTGTTCGGAGGAATTTCCAAGCCGAAGAATGACGGCATGCTTATGTGTTATGTTTATTAAATACTAAGAGTCTCTCTCGCGATGGATTTGTGACGGCGAAATCAAGCAGTCAGAGAGGAAAAAAAGCGTTGAAATACAGGACGTAGAATTTTTCTCTCTGTTCACATCAGCAGAAACAGAGCGCAGTATTGAGAGGAGTGTTTGTGTTTGTGCAGAAAAGCGTGGTTTGATGATGGCTTTTAGTACGTCGTCGTTCGATTTGAATGATGTGATGTGATTGGTCATTAGTATTCGTATTACGCGTTACCCGTCGTTTCGTTCTCGTCTTGTTTTTCCTCTTCTTCTTCTGCTATAATGTAATGACGACGGCCGTGTTATTGTAGTTGTTGATGTTCATTCTTATCTCAGTCTCTGTTTGATTAAGGTTTTGCCAAACGACCGACGAGTAAGCCGACGACGGCGGCTAGAGTTGTGATCAACGGGTTGATGTTGCGCGTGGAATTTTCGCCTAAAACTCCTCCTTCGGTTGTCTTCGCAACATTCGTCTTTTTCTTAGCGTCATTCGTCTTTCTATTCTTATCGTCAATCAACTCTACGTTCACTCTCCACGGTCTCTTAAAAAAGTCCAACGCGATGTGCTGACATCGCCTGAACAACTCGTGCGCGGCTTCGACTTCGTTTTTAAAGATGGAAACCGATTCCACGGACACGCCTAACGGGACTCCGCTGTCTTTCGTTTGCTCCAAAATATCTTCGCACATGTCGCACAAAATGTCAACGGATCTTTCCACCGGCGATTTGTTCAGAGGCGTTTTCGCCGGCGTCGCGTCTTCGCTAAATATTCTCTGCTCGACCCATTCCGGGACTCGTACACCTAACCATTTTATAAAGTTCATCGTTTTCTCTCTCCCGCACGGCGCGAATGTTAAAATGATCTTCACCGGTTTCACGTTTCGCTCTTTGCACAACTTGCCGTAATCGTTGATTAACTTAATCGTCGGCTGTTGATCGTAAATAGCTTGCGTGATAAACCACTCCGCGCCTAAACTTTGCTTCTTCAACAACGTTTCGTGTTCATTTCCTTTCTTTTCGTGCCTTTCCGCGATCGTCACGCCGCCAAAGTGGCCTTTCAATTGTTTCGTCAACAAATCCGCCGCGTCTGGAATCGTCGGTCCTTTATACTCTTTACTGTGCGTCGCCCCACCGACAAAATTAAAACACATGTTCTTGGACTTCTCAACCGCGTGACTCAACCACTCGTTAAACGACGCCTTATCGCTCTCCGCCACGCACTTATACACCACCGAGGCCCTCCCTCCGGAGACTCGCTCCAACACGGTGGCAAACGCCGCCGGATCTCCAAGCTTTCGAAACGGAAACGGTCTCGCCATTTCAGTCCTACCTTCCTCGTCTTGAATGTCGTACACGATGTACCCGTCCACGGCGAGTGAGCGAGATTTGTTCATGAATTTTTCCGCGTGTTGTAACGTTTCCTCGTCCGAAGCGCCTTCTAAGGGCGGGGTCAGGCCTTTTAGAGAGAGAGTGAGAAATTCAATCATCAGTCAAGAAAAAAGCGATAAAGACATTATTCGTAAACGAGAAGAAGAGGATCGATCTTTTTGGGAGCAACAAGGGGAGAGACTCTGAACGCCCTCTCTGTTCTTTTTCTCGTCTTCTTTTGAAGCAATTATTGCCTTCTGAGAGAGGAGTGCGCGAATGAATTCTTTAATCATCATCACCATATCCAAAAGCGAGCGCAGAGAGAAATCCATCATTTCCAATCGAACGTTTACGAATATCATCACTTATTGCAGAGAAAGAAAAGAGCGCGAGTTTAAACGAGAGAAAGGAGCAGATCTGCTCGATCTTTTTGTCGTGAGATATACAAAAGAGAGTAATACTACTAAGAAGAATAAACGTACCGAAAAGAAACGACGGTCTCGATGGGTCCGCTAAAGTCTCCGCTAAAGTCGCCATTTTTTACGTTTTTTTTGTGTGGACGAATAGATAAAAATTAACAACTTTCATGTGCTCTAATGTCCTCTATTACATACGCGGATGTCAGATTTTATGAGAAACTGCTACGCGGGGGTGGTGGCGACCGTCGCCGTCGTCGTCAACGAAGAATCTTCTCCTCGGTTTTCCTCGGAGGAGGAGGAGGAGGAGTTTGGGGAGGAGGAGTTTGAGGAGGAAAAAAACTTCCGTATCAAGCCTAAGAACACGCCGTTCGTAAACGCCCAAATCAAAGCGAGGAAGATTTTCGTAAACGTCCACAAACCGCCGGATTGAAACAACTGTTTCCGCAACAACATCAAGCCGATTTTTTGTCTTCTTTTTGCTAACTGCGTTTTGCAATCGAGAATGAGGTCAGGGTCGTCGAAGTTTATTTCGCACTCTTCGTCGGCTTCGTTGTTTTCCCCTTGACTCATTCCGTTCGCTTTGGTGAGGAAGGCGAAGGCGTTGGAGACGGCGGTGCGGATGCTGAATTCGGCGATGACTTTGGCGTAGTGTTGGATGGCTAATTGGATGAGCTGCTTCTGGATTTCTTTCGGCGGAGTTAAGTTTTTCGGAGAGGCTTTGTAGATGATGGAGCGCAAGGAGCTTCCCGCGGAGGAGTTTAATAACTCGCCTCCGAGCTTTTCGACCGAGTCTTGCGCGTCCGAACGTTCGGACTCCGAGGCGGTGCTCGAGGCCGAGTTCCCGGAAGCTTGTCTCGAAAGGTCCAGGAACTTTTGCCAATCGATGTCGCCTGTTTCTTCGTCCATAATGGTGCGTTCTAAAACTTGTTTACCGTACGCCGTTCGCGGCGATAACGCGCGGAAAAGAGCCGTCGGCGCGGCGACTTCGTACATGTTCGCGCCGGTTCTCACCGCGCAGAAATCGAGCGTCGTCAACGATCGGATGACGAAAACCATGTACGGAGGTAAGTTAAACCTATATTGAGTGGAAATTTTCGTCAAATCGACGACTAACTCTGTAAAGTTGTTCCTTTGTTTCTTTTCCATCCCGTCCGGTCCGTCCATGGCTTCTCGAAACGCCCGACGAAACTCATCGTCGGTGATGACGTACCATTTTCCCGGGTCGGAGGTGTAATCCGCCACGTTTCCGTTTTCATCTTTCCAAATTTGCGCTTTATCGGGGAGCATACCCATGATGCGTAAGTTATCGATTAAATCGTCCCACTGCGCGTTTAAGATGTTCAAAATGCACGACGCCATCGCTTCTTGCTGCGCGTTGTTCACTTCGCAAATCAAACCAAAATCAATCAAAGCCAATTGGCCTTGGTCCGTATACAACATGTTCCCTTCGTGAGGATCGGCGTGGACTAATCCGGTTCGAAACAACTGCGCGGACGAGCACTCGACACCCATGCGAACCATTTTTCTTTGCTCGTCCAGGTTTAATTTCTTCATCGGTCTCCCGCTGATGAACTCTTGCGTCAAAACTCTCGTGGAGGTCAAGTTATCCCACGAGCGAGGAATTTTCACGTACGGTAAAAACTTCAACGATCTTTTGAACGCTTTCGCGTTCCTCGCTTCTAAGGTGTAATCCAACTCTCTAAAAATCCCAGCGCCGACTTCGTCTATGATAAACGGCAAATCCTCGCTCCCGTTCGCGCCGGATTCTTCCAACCACGTCAACAGTAATCGAATCACCGTACAATCTAACGCGATTCTTCGTACCATCCCAGGTCTTTGCACCTTCACCGCCACTTTCGTCTTTTGCGCGTCGTGTAACCGCGCCTCGTACACCTGACCAATCGATGCCGCCGCGATTGGCTTTTCCTTAAACTCCGAATACAAACTCGTCTCCGGATCGCCTCCGACGATGTCCTTAATAAACCTCAAACTCCCTCTATTAATCAACTCTTCCCGTATCGTCTGAAACGCCACCTCAGAATCAAACTGCTTCACGTCTTGCTGCAACGTCATCAACGCGTCCGCGACTTCCTCCCCGATAATATCCGGCCTCGTCGACAAGGTCTGCGCCAACTTCACGAACACCGGACCGAGCTTCGCCACCACGTCTCTCAACTTCCCCGCCCGCGTTCTTTTCTCCAACGGGATGTCCATCGCATCTTCGTACTTCCAAATTGCAAGAACGGATGAAAATTGCGCGATGACTTCCCCACATCGTGCGGCTAACTCGAGAGGATTGGATTTGAAAAATTGGTTGATTTTTAACAACTTTTCCGTGTATCCCAAAGAATAGTCGAGAACGACAGCCTCTAAATTACTAATCTTTTCCCCCGTTTCGTCTTCGATGTCGTCCATGGATTTCACGACGTCTCGGACCACGTCCGGGTTGGAAATCGCCGGTGCTCTGCTTTGCGTCGTCGCGCGAACGAAAGCAGCTTTTCTTCCGCTCTTTTTCTTCGACGGCATCGTCATCGAAAGCGCGCGAGAGGATGGTGATGACGACGACGACCTTTCAGCGCTTCTGCCGCCGCCCCGGGTTACACAACATCTGTGAACAGTAATGCGTTTACTACGGAGCGTCGTGGTCGTGGTCGTGGTCGTGAACGAGTTGTTCGTGGGGGTGGTAGATCGCATCGTCGTCGTTTACGTCGTCGTCGGGTACGCGTCAAATTGTGACGAATTTATCCACGTTTTGTTGTCTGCTTTTGTAGTGAGACTCACAGAGAGAGGAAAATTTTACGAGCGAGCGAGAGATACCATCTTTCATTATTGAATAAACGATTAGCGAATAACATCTCTCTCTTTCTCTCTCTCTCTCTGTGTGTGTGTGTGTGTGTCTATCTATGCGTGTATTTCTATTCTGAGTGCATAAATGCACGAATAACAATATGTCTTTCTCTGAGCTATTATACATATTACGCGCCATCATCATCGCTCTTGTTCTCGCCGTCGACCTTTAAAAACTTTCTCTTCTTCTTTTCAGGCTTCTTTTCGCCGTTCTTCTCTCCTCGTTTTTTATCCGCTTTCGTCGGCGTGCGGAGATGTTCGGGTAAACTCTCGCGAACGGTTGGGAGTTCGGCGACGAATAACGCGGTGTGCGCGTAACCGGCGTACGCGCCGTAGATGGAGACGAGCATTTCCTCGCATTTTTTCATCATTTTCGGGGTTATGGAGAGTGGTTTGTCCTTTTGTTTTGTCGGGGTCGTTGGCGTGGATGATTCTTTGTGTCGTTGTTGTTCTGCTCCTTCTTCGTTCGCGCTTCCTTTCGTCGTCGAAGCCGTCGTTTCCATGCTCGCTAACTCTCCGTTTGGATCGAAATGTTCTCTTGCGAGCTGCCAGACGTGCGTGTCTACCGGCACGACGCTCTTCTTATCCAAAGAAAACAAAGCCGCGCACCCGGCGACTTTCGGACCGACGCCCGGTAAACTCGTCAATTCCGTAATCGCTCTGTACTTCTCTTCTTCCGTTTGCGGCGCGTCCCTTAATTTCAGTAAGTACGCCTCGCCGCCTCGTTTGACGAGTTCTTTCGCCATGGCTGGGATGAATTTTGCTCTGTATCCAAATCCTAAATCACGCAACGTTTGTTCGTCGCATTTTTCTGCCAACTGCTCGACGGTTGGAAACGCGTGATAGATTTTACTCTCGTTTATCTCTTCTTTGTCGTTCACCTCATTCTCTTCGTCGTCGTCCCTACCACTACTACCACTACTCCTACTCCTACTTCTACTACTAACATTGCACACCAACTCCTCCCCGTACTTCTCGCACAAACTCTCCACCATCTTTTTAATCCTCGCTATGTTGTTATTGCTCGAACAAACGAACGAAATCAAACATTCCGCGGGTGGTTGCCGGAGCGTCCTCGCGCCTCGCACGTACGCGCTCAGCCGTCCGAACCGGTACGGATCCGCTTTCGAGAATTGCTCGAATAAGTCTTTCAAAGGAATCGGGTCGTCTAGGTTAAAATACGCTCGCACGTCCTTCGTGACTTGCTCTTCTTCTTGTTCTCCGTTCTCTTTATCCTCGTTTTTGCAAATGTTGCTCTCGTTAGTATTCAACACGCGAAACTCGATGGTTGTTGTTTCATAAGATTTTTCCTCCTCCTCTTCGAATTCCATTCGCTCTCGAATCTGAACCACTCTTCGACCGATAACGCCCACGTACGTCGAATACTTCTTTTCATTCTCATCATTCTCATCGTATTCTTCTACTTTCTGCCATCGAAACGATTGTCCAGTCGGCAGCGTTCGATCTAAACTCAAATCATCTCTCGTCGTTCGTAACGACTTCCAATTTTCTTCGTTTTGGTTTCTCCTCTTAATACTACTCCTCTTATTCTTCATCGAGGAAGAAGAGGAAAAGATTGCGGCTCTCCTTCGCGCTAAAGCGGTCGTTTTTGTTTTCGTTGTTCTCGTGAATAATTGACGGCAGCAAAAACGGAACGAAGAACCGAGGACGAGCGAAGTCATATACGGAAAGTGGGGGAAAACTTTGTGAGGGCAGTTTTGGTCAAGTGTGTGTGTCTCTGTGTGCGTGTCTCTTAAAAGGTGAAAACAAAATCTCTCACTCTCTGCTGTTCTGCCGCCGTGCTTCTTCTTCTATTCGGTGCCTCACTGTACAATATGTGGTGTATTCTTCGTCCGTTGGTTCTGGGCACCCTTTCTCTCGCAAGTAGTTTTCGCACTCGGTATGCTCGTTATACCGAGCGAAAGCGATGTCTCGCCAGTCGGTAAGAGGCGCTCTCGCCTCTTCGACTAAGTATTTGAGGCAATCGAGTTGGCCATACATTGTAGCGTTTCCCACGCAGTCACTCTTCACCTCATCAGATATCTTTCTTTCTTCGACGAAATATTTCAACATGTCCATGTGACCACCGCATGCTGCTTGTCCTGCCGCTTCTTTTTCCGTCTTTCGCGAAGGTTTCACTTTGTCGAAAAGAAATCGAACACAGTCGAGATGTCCTTTACGAGCAGCATGTTTACACGACTCTCCTTCATCACACGGGCAACCATTAGAGAAGCAGTACTTCAGCATCTCGAGATTACCTCTAAATGCTGCCTGAAGAATCGTCTTTTCATCCCACTCGCAATGTTTTACATCTCTCGCCCACTTGAGAAACTCGAGTTTGTTCGTACAAGCAACTTGCCAGCAAAACCAGGCTTGATCTCTCACTCTTCCACTTATACTTTTCTCTCCCCAACCTGTGTTATTCCACGCCCATTCCAACGTCGAGATGGATGAACATTCGTGAACACACCATTGTAATTTCAATAATAGCTCTACCCCTGCGTACGCAAGCACACTCCAACTCTCTCTATTCACCTTTGAAAAGAAAAACCGATCTGTCCTATTCAATTTCGAAATCACATGCGAGACAAACACATCCTTGTGATGCAACACCAATCCGGTCCATAACTTCGTCGGTCCAAGCTTCAACCGCTCCATATCCGCCAAAGCCTCCGCTGCAGCTTTTTCCCTCTCCTTTTTCTTCTTCCTCTTCTGCGCGCCGGAGAGGTTCTTCCCCATTATTATTCCTTTTCTTTGCCACACAGCAAATGGGGTTTTGTTGTCTCAGTCTGTGTGTTCGATTTTTTCCGATGATGTGAAAAAATACTCCACTCGCCACTTAAAAAAGCTCACAAAAGAAGAGACTGCTTTTGCCCGCGAAAGGTATACACATACACACTTTAACGACGATAGTATTTAGTGCCACTTGCACTCGTTCTCATCATCATGGGTGGAACGACAGAAGTTAAGGTACGCGCGCGCACACGACAAAGCTTTCGAAGGGTTTGGGGAGATTCTTTTCTTTTTGTTCGTAACGCCTTTTTTTTTCTCTTTCTCTCATTCGCAAGTTTGTGCATGTGCGCGCACGCGTGTACGCGCGCAAATGCGATTTTGGCGCCGCGACGATAATGCGGGTGGATGGTGCGACGACGACCCGCGGTTTTGCACGTAAACCACCGGGGTGGCTTTGAGTAAAAGCGACTTTTATTAGGAGCGTTTTTTTTTCTTAAAATTTTCTTTCTTTCACGTCTTTGACCAACCACACAACCACACAGATGATTCACAAAGGTCCGTGGGGCGAGAAAGGTACTCTCATTCCGATCGCCGTGAAGGAGGAAGATTCGAAGAACGATTTGAGAAGGAAAATTGGCGCAGCGACTGGTTTACACCCGAACGACGTGAAGTTACAGTTTGTCAGCGCGGTGCAACTTGGCGCGTCGTCCAAGTCGATGTGCGCCAAGGCGGGCATGTCGCACGGCAACTGCGGGGTGACCGAACGCATCGGTTTAGTAGCGGTAGCGGCGGAGGAAGGGGTGAAGCCGCACAAGCCTCGAGCAACGCCGTGCTTGATCGATAACAGCGGAAATTACGATATTGATGACGCAAAGTAAAGCCGTAAAAAAGTATGAGTGATCGTGATGCGCCGCGAGTACCTAAAAATGCAAGAACTACTACTAAAAAAACTAAACGCGCGTTTCTATTCTATTCAAAAAAGTACGGGTACGTTTCCGTCCCTTTCTTCTCTTCTTCGGTTGGATGCGCGGCATTAAAACACGAATCGCACCAAAAGAATGGCGAACATACCGCCATATTATCGCCATACGCCGTCGTAGTCGCGTCGTGAATCTCGCAGCACATGCACGGTTTCCGCATCTTCCTGGCTTCCGAGATGACGATTGGATAGTGTTCGCCTGAGAGTTTCGCGGTTTCCAAGTCCATGTTTGCCACTCGCACGTCGCGAAACCGAAGGATGTGATCGCACGATCCTTGATGTCTGTACAAATACGATTTTCCCGGGATGATTTCTAAATCGCTAAACGTTGTCTCGCGCATGTCGCGGCTCGTAAAATTGGACGGTTTGATTTTCTCCTTTGTCTTTTTCTTTATTGACGCGCCGTTTTCTTTTCCCTTTCCCTTTCCGTTTTCTTCTTCGCCTCCTTGATCTTCATCGCTATCGTCCAATTTCATCCCAGGACATCGAATGAAACACTTCTTCGACGCGTCCACGATACCTTTCGATAAACTGACGCTGTTCTTGCTCCTCAAATCGTCGTAAAACACATTCTCGATGAAGAAAAATCCGCTCTCGTTCGCCTCGTTCGCTTCTTTGTATCCGATGTGTTTGCTACTCCTCGCTTTCTCTTTCTCCTTTCGCTTCTTCCCAGTGCCGTTATCATCGTCGCTCTTTTTTCTCAAATCGTTTACCAACCCGTGATTGACCGCCGCTTGCCTGTAATCTGCCAAACACTCAATCTCGTCTTTCAACTGCGTCAATCGGGTATCGCCGTGCACTAAAACCTCGCAATTCAGTTTCGGATACCTCACAAACTGCCAATTATCGTACACTTCCACGTGGAGAATAACGTTACTCTTACTTTTTTCACTCTTTTTTTTCTTTGTCTTCTTCGCGTCTTCTTTGTCTTTGTCTTCTTCTCTCCCTCTTCTCTTCGCCCTCACCGGATGCCTCGCGACGCTCGCTAAATCAATCTCCCTTCTCAATCGAGGCGGCATAACTTTCGTGTGCCATTTCATCATGGACATGGTCGTGGTTATCTGCGCCTGCGAGTTCGTGTTTTCTAAGCACTCGTTTCTCTGTCCTCGCACTTTCATCGCCTTTCCCTCTTTCTTCGCGTTCGACTGCCCAATCGAAAAATCCTCCCCGATGGTGGTCAGCGGGAATTGAATTCGTTCCTTTTCCTTTTCCTCTTCTGCACCGAGTACACTCTCTCTCAAAACGAACGCTCGTTTCTTTTCCAGCTCGTTATTCTTGTTGTTACTCGTATCGTCAAACTTTCTCGCTCTCGCTCTCGCCTCGTGCAAAACGTCCTCACACTCGCTCGAGAATCCGGACACGGAGACTATTCGTCCTCGTTTCTTTTCCATCACCGTCGGAAACGTTCGCTCTATCTTAGGCGCATTTTTTGCATCGATACCCCTAGGATTGAATAAAGAAGTCTCTCTGTCGTCGTCCTCGTCTTCTTTCTTCTTCTTCTTCATCGTTTCGCGACCCGTTTCCTACTCTTAATGACGAATGTAACGCGCGAAAATCTCCACATATTTCTGCGGCGAATTGCGCGAATTGAACGACAAAGAGTAACACGTAAACGCGAAAAGGATGACGACGCGAAGACAAAACGATGCGTAAAGACGACCACCACACCGACGGCAAAAAGATGACGACGATGCAAAAGCGTGAATACGAATGAGAGAGCTCTTTTATGCGCGTTTGTAAAGTCTTTAGAAGGAGTAAAAGAAAATCGAAGCATCACCCCTAAGTGCATTGGAGATGCATTCCGCGCTGTAATTGACATAACAACACACTTTGCGTGGGATATCGAGGCGAAAAGAAAGAAGACTCAGAAAGAAAACAAAGTCATGGAGCTGCTGAAACAACTGAACGCGATCAGAGACGCGACGAACAGAAGTTTATTAATGAATAATAATAGGACGGACAGTGAGAATGTTCCCAACACTATTCCTCCTAGAACTCCTTCTGGCGCCGGCGACGATGTTTCGGACGACGAGGAAAGAACGTGTGAGAAAGAAGAAGAAGAAAACGAAAACGAAGAGGAAAAGAAGATGAGACGGCGACCGTTCAAGTACGCGAAAGCGATATCGCAGATGATGATGCGAAAAGGAGGAGGAAAAGGAGGAGCGGGGACCGACGACGATGAAAATGTTGACGGCGATGATAAAGAAGCGACAACGAGGATAACGTGCGCGTCGCAAAACGGCGTCGCGTGCGCGTTTGGATTTGCAAACGGGGATTTGCTCGTCGCGGATGCCGAGACGGGCGAACGGGTGGCGCTGTTTAAAAGAGAGTCCTCCGAAGATGATGATGATGACGACGGCGACGACAAAAACAACGAGAACAACAACAACAACAACAACAACAACAATAGCATCACGTGCATCTCGTTTGATGCCACCGGGACGTTTTTGTGCTCTTCTTCGGCGAACGGGACGGTGAGAGTTAGACACGTGGTCGTCGTCGACGACGACGACGATGACGATGACGATGACGACGACGACGACGATGGCGCTCCAAAGACGCCAAAGTTGATAAACGCGAAGAAGAAGAAAAAAATAATTCGCGTGCACGATGACGTGGACGGCGAGACCTTAGCTGTCACGCACAAATCTTCCGTAAACTGTTGCGTCATCGACCCGAATTTCGCCAGTCGAAGGAACCGGTTCGTCATGTTTGGAGGACGTCAGTCCTCGGAATTGGTTTTGCACTGTTTCGCGAACACAAAAAACGCCTCGCAAATGACAAAAGCAAAGACGATCGTCTTACAAAAGAACGACGGTCCAATCAGAGCCGTAGCCTGGCGACACAACGTCTTAGCGTGGGCCTCCAACGCGGGCGTGCGATTGCGAGACGCGACCGCGCCGGTTGGATTAGCGAGGTGGGAGAAACCGCCAGGATCGAAAGCGAGGTTCTCGCAACGAGATCCGGTATTCGCGTGGAACGATAAGACAGTCACGACGGAAGGGTCCGCGGAGTTGATGTTGGCATGGGCAGACGCCGTGGTCGTGTTTCGGATTCGACAAAGTAGTAACGGCGGTGGTACCGGTAACGGAACTAACTCGACAACAGAAAATAGTAATAGCAAGAACAACAACGCGGGCGGTAGTAAAAACGCAGCGGCTGCGTTAATCGAAAGCATAGCGCGAAGTACTAGCAGCTCGGGCGGCGGGAACAACAAGAACACCATCACCACTGGATTATTAAGAAGTGGAACGCCGCCTCTGAAGAGCGATAATGCGGTCAAACGGGTGGAGATTTGTGCGACTTTCCAAACGCCGTATTTGGTGTGCGGTATCGCGCCGTACGCGAGCAAAAAATTGGTACTTTTAATTTGGTGGCCTCCGAGAGAAGAAGACGACAACGATAACGACGAAGTCGAGAAGAAATCAGTATCGTTGTCAAATGTCGAACTCCGCATCGCGGATTGGCGCGACGAGGCATCTTGGATTGACGCCTTGCCTTTAACGACGTCATCTTCAGGCTCGGACGTCGTATTTGGTCCGGTGATATCGCCAAACACGGTGAGCATGTCGCATTACCAACCTACGGATTCAACGTCTTCTTCTTTCTCGACATCATCTGCATCGAACTTGAAATCCATCTCGTTGTTATCAAAGCAGCACGAATACCTCGTCGCGTCCTCGGAGGTTGTTTTAATCGCTAAACAACGGTCCGCGCAAGACACCGTATTCGACGCGCTCCGTCGGCAAAAAGATAACGACGACGATTCAGCGCTAGATATATGCGAAAAATACGAGCACTTAGGTGAACTTCGCAAAGGCGCGGCGTTAGCTGTAGCAGAAGCGTCCGTCACGCGCGCGTTTGACGCTCAAAACTACGCCTTGGCAGCCAAGAGATGCCCGCGCGCGTTGGGGAGAAATCCGGAGAAGTGGCGCTTTTGGGCGAAGAAGTTTGCCTCGGTGAACAAACTCGGCGATTTAGCGTTTTACGTTCCCGTAACTTCCGGTAGTAGCGATGCGGATGGAGAAGCGCCTCTGAAACGGTCGACTTACGAACTCATCTTGATGGCGACGTTGAGCGACCCGGAGACGCAGCCAACGTTTTTAGCTTTAGTGAAAACGTGGCCGGCAAAATGTTTTGACGTCGGTGCTTTGACGAGAGAAGTTCGTTTGAAAGCAGCGAGAGTGAGACGAATGATTTCGGCGCAGTCGATTGATGGATTCTTGGACGATGAGCATCACTATCATCGTCGTCGTCAAGGCAGCAAAGAAGATTCCATTCAAGAAGTAGCGTCCACGTCTTCCATGAACAACTTCGAGGAGTCCAGCGTCATGCCTTACAGCACGATGATTGGCGAAACGCAATCGATATTAGACGAAGCGTTGGCAGAATTGTACGTCATGGACGGTAAAGTTGATCGAGCGTTGGAAGCGTATCTCTCGAACGGTCGACCGCCGACGATTTCGGCGTTGGATTTCATCGACCGGAGAAATTTAGGTGGCTCAGTCCCGATTGATAAAATCGGTGAATTGTTCGTGGCGGATGCAGTGAAAGCGGCGAAAGTTTTCGCGGCGTGCGAGTGTAAGAGTGATGATTTTTACCATCACAACCATCACCATCTCGGCGATATGAGCGAGAAACAAGTAGCGGCGGAGGACGCCATCATCCCGGACTCGATCGTGCTTTCCGAACTCGACCGATGCGACGAGTTTACCGACGAATCCGAGCGACGAGACGCTCAACTTAAGTATCTCGAAGCGTTGTGCGACCTCGATCCGGATCGGTATCACATGCATCACGAAGCGGTGTGTCGACTCACGGCGCAAAGGAACCCGAAAGAGTTGTTGTCGCGATTGGTCAAATCCGCGAGGTTTATTCCAGACCAGTTACCTTTAGAGCTTTCGAGAAGAGAGAAGAAGGACATTTTTGACGCCCAAACGAAGAAGTTCTTCTCTGGAAATTTGAACGATCCAAATGAAACGTACTGTTACGTCCCAGACGCGTACGCGCACGCGTTAGCGAGGAACGGACGCGTGCTTGAAGCGTTGGACGTGATTGTCACTGAACTCGGCGATATTTCAGGGGCGTGCGAATTAGTCAACGCCGTCACCGCGGAGTGCACCGACGAGGAAAAGAAACTGTTTTGGAGGAAAATTATCGAGTTGGCGCAAAAAAGCGATAAAGAAGCAGCACTGTTGTCCTCCTCCTCCACCTCCCCCTCCTCTTCTTCTTTCGCTCTTCTCCTCCAGCGCAAATCTTCCGAAAAGAAGAAAAAGCCGCCGATTTTGTTCAACGCCGAGTTGATTGAAAACGCGCCGATTGGCGTCGCCATCGACAAAAGTTTGAAGAAAAATCTGGTCAAAATCGTTTCCGAGACGAGACGAGAGAGCGAAAAATGGTCGAAAATGCGCGGGAAAGTCGCCAAGGAAAAGATGGAAACCACGCGTTTGCGAGTGGAGTGCGGCACGAGAGCGTCGCCGAGAGACGGGGTTCGATTCGTCGTGAAACCAAAAGAGAAGAAGAAGAAGAAGCAGAAGAGACCTAATGCTGCTGCTGTTGCTGCTGCTCCGAATTAATCTTCTACTAGCATTTGTATTCTTATTGTTATTCGTATTCTTATTAAACTACTCCTGGGTACTTAGCACCGCGCGTCAATACATCGCTTCCCTGTTGCTCTCACGAATTTGCTTCAGATTTTGCCTGCTGACGAGATGTTTTTCAAGCGGCTCTTGCTCATAAAAAACCACAACTACACCTCCAACGACGGCAAGAAAGCGTTGCTGTTGTTCTCGTCGTTGTTTCTTCATGGAAAAAGGAGCAGCAATAGCATCAGCAACGCCGCTTATCGGGGGTGTTCTTCTTCGAAATCATTCTCAACGGTTTCCCCAAACAACGCGGGGAAAAGTTCTTCTGAACAGCATCGTCGTTTCCTCGGGGGCGGGTTAGCGGCGTTAGGGGGCGCGCTCGCCTATTATTCGTTACCGACGAGTGACGAGAACGACGAGAACGATCGTCTCGCGAAAGATCCGAGAGACGATAGATCGAGTTTAACGCCGCACGAAAAGGTTGCCAAATTGCACCATTTTCTGGGCGACGAGAATAGAATTTTAGCGCACGCGAAACCGCTCAAATCGGCAGATGCTCCCGTTCATTTTGGTCTCTTTAGCGACGGCGAGATATCGAGGAAAGAAAAACGACGTTCGGTGAGAAAAGAGTCCGGGGAAACGATCGTTTTGAACGTCCCGGATGCGTACATCGTCTCCGCGTCCACGGCGGCGAGCGACGAAGATTTGGGCGAGACGTTTACGAAGATGTTGGACGAGAACAAAATCAACACTCGACAAGCGACGCAGATGTTTGTTTTAGCGCAGAGAAGATTGAAAAGCGAGAGCGGGTGGAAAGCGTACGTGGATTTTTTACCGAGGAGGATGGATTTAGTGCCAATGTTTTGGACGGAACGAGAGATTGAGAGAGGATTGAAAGGGACGGTGTTGTACGAGATGGTGAAGACGCAGAAGGCGAGATTGAAGGAAGAATACGAAACTGTGGTGAAGGACGCGTTCGATGCGAACGTGTTGCCAAAACTGAAAGAGATCATACCGTCCTCGTCTTCGAGTGTTTTTGTGAGTTTGTTCGGGGGAAACGCCAACGATACTTCTCCGCTTTCTTTTGAGGAATTTTTGTGGGCGAAGGCTTTGTTCTGGACGCGAGCGCTGACCATTCCTATCGAAAACGGTCGAGTCATTGTCGAAGCGTTAGTCCCTCTGGTGGATGCGTGTAATCACTCCACGAAGAAACCAAACGCGCGGTATCAACTCTCGAACGATTTGAAATCCGTGGAGTTACGCGTGCCTTCCAAAATTGAAGACAATATGACCAGCGAAGACGAGATTAAAATAACCTACGGCGTTGAAAATTTAGAGCGAGCTTTTTTCACGTACGGATTCGTCGACGAGGACGTGATGAGCACGATTTTACCGTTCGTTTGGAGCGACGACGAAGATACGAAAACGTACTCGAGTTGCTTAGATTTGAAACGGTTACCGAAAATCGTTCAGTTAGATTTGGAAAACGCTAAAAAAGGTGCGAGCGCGTTCTCCGGCGATCCCGAGGTGAGAGAGGCGTTGCGGATTTTAGGCATGCAAGGCGAACAGTTGGCGATGGAGCTGAGAGCGTTATTAGGGGTTAAAGAAACGTTAGCGTTGACACCTGCGGAGAGAATTTCTAAGCAAGAACGCGCGAATCAACGGAAAAAAGGAAGATTGTTTTCTTCGTTTGGGAGGAGTAAAAAAAATACCGTCGACGCGGATGAAATCGTCACCGACCATCGACGTTTGGAAAATAGAGGATTGAAACGTGCCATTGAAACGGCTTTGAAACATTTAGATGAAACCGACGAATCGGAAGAAAAAATAGGCAGCAAAGAAGAAAACAACAAGGAAAAAGGAGATCCGACGACGTCCGCGCGACGAATGGAAGAGGCGAAACGGTACCGAAAGAAAGTCAGAGAGATTTTACAATCCTACTTAGAGGCGTCGTCGAAGCATTGGAAGCTGTAGTAGCGCACCAGGTAAAAGAGTACTCGTATCGTATAAATAATTTTATATAAAAAATTAAAGCTCATCCTTCTTCTCCTCCTCCTTTTCCGCATTCTTCTTCTTCTTCTTCTCATCTTCTTCATAAAACTGCATCTCTTTTGCTAACATTTCGTCGTATTTCTCGTCGCCCCAGGCGGCTCGGGTCAACGCGGCTAAAAGAGATTTCTCGCGACGCGTCCGGAAATCAATCTTCTTGCTATTTCCCTCTTCTTCCTCGTCGTCTTCGATATCGCTCATCGATACGTCCTGTCCTAACTCCCAGACGAATATACCTTCACACACGTCTTCAAACAATCGGCACATCTCCACTTTCTTCCTGATTAAATCTTTGCCGTTGAACCACACCTCGACGCCGTCTTTCGATTTTGCCACGTTCGTTTCGTCCTTCAATTCGTACTCATTATCTCGCAGTACGTCCCCGTACGGCCGCCACTCCGGAGCCGTCGATGCATCTTCCGGTATCGACCTGCCGTAAAACGGCACACCGAGCCGCATAATCTTCCCCCCCGTGAACGAATCCTGCGCGTAATTCAACGTCTGCGTCGCAAACTTCAAATTCGCGTGCCCGTCTCGATCGTCCAAATCGTACGCCATCGCGTGTAAACCATCCGCGAACTCCGAACATTCCAACATCTCCAAAATCTGCTCCTGGTTTTCGTTCGGGTAATACGCAATGCTTATCTTCTTCGTCCTGTCGTGCTCCCGAAAATCCTTCTTCAACGCTTTCGCGAACTTTCCCAGATTCCGCCACTCCGTCTCGTCGTTCGGGTACGACCAGTTCAAATCGATCCCGTCAAAGATATCCTCGTACTGTTCGTACAAGAAACTGGACACCGATTTCACGAATTCCTTTCGCATTGCTTTCGTGCTCGTCGCTTTTGCAAAACCGTTCGTTCGTGAAGATCCGCCTATCGTTACGTGTATTTCGCACTCGAACCGTTTCTTGGCATTTTTCAGCCTTTCGAGATTCAATGCCGACGGCAATCTGTCCAGCTTCTCCAACTGTCCGTTTTCGTCCACCTCGATGGAGAAGAGAAGAATCGCATCTGTTCGTGCGCATAAAGCGTTTACGATGCTTTCGGAGGTTGTTTCGTTCGCGATTCGCCAGTCTGGGAGGTACCCGAGAACTTTGATTGGATTCGTTAATGTCTTTCGGGAAGAATCCAAAGAAGCGTTTGCAAAGACAAAGAAGAAGAATACAAAGAGAGAAGAAAGGACAGAAGACGCTTCAAAAAAGCGTCTCTCGAAGAGAGAGTAACGACTTCGAGTGCTCCTCCCGCGTAAACGCCGCCTTTGCTGATGATACTCGCGATCATCCACCCCCATCGTGTGTTCGTACTTCTGACGTCTTTTCTCTCTCAACAGTCTACTCTCAGAGCAACATCGACACCGCTCATTTAGGGTCTCATTTGCAACCCTAAATATAAGCTGAAAAAAAGAGCAAAACGTCGGTCTTTTGTCTTGCACTTTTTAAGCGCTTTGTTTGGGTGTACTGCTACTACTGCTGCTGCTGCTGCTGCGCGTAAGAGAGAACTTTGAGAGCGAGGAGAGAGGACAAAAAGCAGACGAGAGCGCGCGCGAGAGAGAGCTTTTACTACTCTTTGTTTTTGTTTTAGTGTTATTACAGTGTCTCTCTCGTTTGTTGTTGTGAGCATCTCTCTGTTTCTACTTGAGATATAATTGGAAAGAACAATGACGACGACATTAATTCATTGCGCCGCCGCGACCACGAACACGACAAACAGCACAAAGATGATGACAGGAAGTAAGGGGTTACTCGCCTCGAAAGATTCTCGAACGCGGATAAAAGTTGTGAAAGTTGCTTCTTATTACGGCGGGAGGAAAGGAGCATTTCGATGCAATGCTAAAAACCCTTCCGATGGTGGCAAAGGAGGCAAAAACGGTGCGGGCGAGAAAAAATTAAGAGGGGCGAAAGCTTTGCAAAATAAAGCAGTCTCCGAACCACCTTCGTCTCAAGGACGCCAATCTGATCTCACGCCTGCGTTTATCTCCCCGTCGCAGTTCACCGAGATGCAGTTGTCGACGTCGCAGATGAAAAATTTGGCCTCGCAACGCCCGACGGATCAAACCTTTGTATCGCAATTCGCCGCCGACGAGCCGAGGAAAGGCGCGGATATTTTGGTCGAAGCGTTGGAAAGAGAAGGCGTGGATTGCGTGTTCGCGTATCCAGGCGGCGCGTCGATGGAGATTCACCAAGCGTTGACGCGTTCGACGACTGGGATCAGGAACGTGTTGTGCAGACACGAACAAGGCGAGGTCTTCGCCGCGGAAGGGTACGGAAAGGCCACCGGGAAAATTGGCGTGTGCATCGCGACGAGTGGACCGGGCGCGACAAATTTAGTCACCGGGTTAGCGGACGCGTTGTTGGATTCGGTGCCGATGGTTGCGATTACCGGTCAAGTACCGAGAGCGATGATTGGTACGGACGCGTTCCAAGAGACGCCGATCGTGGAGATTACGAGGCAGATTACGAAACATAACTATTTGGTGATGAACGTGGAGGAGATTCCGAGGATTATTCGCGAGGCGTTTTTCTTAGCCGCGAGCGGAAGACCCGGACCGGTTTTAGTGGACATCCCGAAAGACGTGCAGCAGCAAATGAGCGTGCCGTATTGGTCGCCGAAAGTGAGTTTGAACGGGTACTTGTCTCGATTGCCGATTCCGCCGAGTTCGCCGCAAATCGACCAAGTCATGGAGATGATCAAGAATGCGAAGAAGCCGGTGATTTATTCCGGTGGCGGTTGCTTGGATGCCTCCGACGAACTGACACAGTTTGCAAAACAGGCTGGGATTCCGATTTGCTCGACATTGATGGGTTTAGGCGCGTTCCCGGAGAGCGACGATTTGAGTTTGCGCATGTTGGGTATGCACGGCGCGGTGTACGCGAACTACGCCATCGATAACGCCGATTTAATGTTGGCCTTTGGCGTTAGGTTCGACGATCGCGTGACTGGTAAATTAGACGCTTTTGCCTCTCGCGCGTCCATCGTGCACGTGGACATTGACCCGGCTGAAATCGGCAAGAACAAAAAACCGCACTGTTCCATCTTTTCAAACATCAAACCGGCGTTGAGATTGTTGAACGAGAAAATGAGCAGAGAGACAAACTTACCGGACTTTTCCGCCTGGCGAAACGAATGCAACGAACAAAAGAAGTTGCACCCATTCCCGATGCCAAACTTGCAAAACGACGAGATTTCACCGCAAGCGGCTATTCAGTTGTTGTACGAAGTGACCAACGGCGAGGCGGTGATTTCCACCGGCGTCGGTCAGCATCAAATGTGGGCCGCGCAGCACTATTTGTTCGACGAACCGAGAAATTGGTTATCGAGCGGTGGTTTAGGTTCCATGGGCTTTGGTTTACCCGCAGCTATTGGTGCCGCCGCCGCGAGACCGGATAAAGTTGTCGTCGATATCGACGGCGACGGGTCCTTCGTCATGAACATTCAAGAGTTGGCGACGTTGCACGCCGAGCAGTTGCCGGTCAAATGCTTCATTTTGAACAACCAATATTTAGGCATGGTCGTACAATGGGAGGACCGATTTTATAAATCGAATAGAGGACACACGTACTTAGGGTCTCCAGACCACGAAGAGTACCACGAAACGAAAGACGAGTCGATGATTTTCCCAGACTTTGTGACCATCGCAAAAGGATTCCGCGTCCCCGCGGAGAGAGTGACGAAAATGAGCGAATTGAAAGGCGCGATTGAACGCATGGTGAACACGCCGGGGCCGTACTTGTTGGACATCATGGTGCCTCACCAAGAGCACGTGTTACCGATGGTTCCAGGTGGGGGTTCGTTTAAGGACACGATCACCTCCGGCGACGGGCGAACGGCCTCGGATTTAGGCAAGAAGATGGACGGTCTGTAGACGCGATTGAAAGAGAGAGAGAGATAGAGGCGGCAACGCCTTTGACGCTCTCGCCGTTTTTGATCAACTTAACGACGCCTTGTGTAAAAATTATATTTTCTTCATTACTACTTACTGGTACATTTCATCTACATCACATAAAAATACAAAAGCGTTTGCTTGCTATCGATCAATCAATCTATATCGATCGTTATTCTATTTGCGGACTAATTCTATATGCACATGTTTATATTTCTCTATTGTTGCGCGTCTTGTTCTCGCGGTTCGTTCTCGGGGGCCGGCTCTTCCTCCTCCGGCTCCGACTGTAAAAGTGGTTTCGTCGACACTTGAGAATCCATCAAGCCGGCGATTAATCCGTCCTCTTTCTTTTCCTCGCCTCGTTCTTTTGCTTTTTCTTCTTCAGAAGAAGAAGAAATAGAAGGATGCGCCTCTCTGCTTCCGCTCAACAAAGGCGACATTTTTTCCACGAATATCTTCGCCTCCTCCCTCTCCTTGGCGTCTAAAATCTTCCTCTGTCCGTGAACGAAGGACAAAATCCCGTTCCACCCGAACCCGACGATGTTCATGAACGGAATCGTCAAGTGCCTCGGAACGACCCAGAAGTTGAACATTTGCGCGGGTACCCAGACGATCCACAAAGCGCGCATGGTTTCAAACACCGTATCGTTCCATAACGTTTTCAAAGTCCCGTAAAACTCTCCCGCGCTGGTTTTGTTTTCCGACCACATCTTAATCGCCAAGAACGTTGGAAAGTATACAAAAGGCGCGACGAAGAGTTGATCCGCGGCAACGATTGCCCCAGTCGCGCCTGGGATCCCCATCTTTGGTTTCATCACCCCGTACAGCGGTTTCAACATGTGATTGTACAAAGAGTACTGAAACGCGCCTACGTACGCCACGCCGAGCGCGAAGAAACACCCAACCCTCTGATAATCCAAATGCGTGTTCCCTTCCACGAATATTTGGACGAACGCGTCTGAACTGACGCATTTAAACACACTCGTCGCCAAGGCGGCTAAAAAAGGCTTCTCTAAAAACACTTTCTCGTACAAACACATCCAATATTCCTTGTACCATCTCAACGTCGCCGGATGAAACAAAACGTTCGGAAATTTCACCCCGGCGTGACGTAAAGAACTAATCGGGTTCGGTGGTTTCTTATACGCTCTGGCCACCGCATCTATGGTCGCGTAATCGATCACTTGCTCGGTTTTTTGCCAGTACGGGTTAAAGAAATACGACGACGGCGCCGAGGAACCGCCTCCCTCTACTCCCGCTTCCGCTTCCGTCGTCGGATGATTTTGTTGATTCAAAGGTTGTTGTTGGGTCCTTCTGCTCAATTTACTATTACTGCTACTAAAAGACGACCAGTACTCGTTCAAAGTCTTCCTCGCGTTTTCGATCCGACCAAACGCGCTGGTAGGAGTAGTACTACTACTACTCGTACTCGTCTGTTGTGCTCCGTAAAAATCCTTCTTATTCGAGCGAATTTGTTGTTTTGCAACCACGTCTTCTCCTCTGTGTACTCCTCCTCGTTTCATCCGTTCGACGACGAGTTTCCTCGCGTCTTTGAGAACCTCCGAGGCTGTTCGTTTCGTGCTCATGAATAATCTTCTCGTCGTGGAATCTTTCCCGTGGGGGAGCCGCCAACGAGTAATCCGAGCAAGAAGAAGAAGAGATAAGAGATGCACAAACGACGACCGCAAAGAAGATGAACGCAAAGATGGGCTGTATAGCGCAGGTGTGCGTGTCGTGCGCGTAACGGAGAAAGAAAGTAAACCTTGTTTCGTATAAAAAATGGTGGTGTGAATGGTGTCTTATCGCGCTTAAATTCTCGTTTTTTGTGACGTCTACCACTTGGAAAATGTGAGAAAATACGCGAAAGCGACATTAATGATGCGGCGAGAAGAAGATCTCTTTAGCTCTCTCTCTTTTTCTCTCGCTGTAACACTACTACTTTACTCCTCTGTCATCACAGGTCTAGTTGTTGCCCTCTTGTTCTGTTTATTTCTGTTTTGAAAACGCGCGGACGTGGAAGCTCAGGGTGACCTTCCTATGCGGCGGTTCTTCGTGTACTCCTACTCCTTCTCCTCCTCCTCTTTCTGCGCTCGCTGAAGCGCTTGTTTTCGCCACGGTGTTGTTCGAGTTCCAATAGTTGCGCGCGGCATTTAAGGACGCATCTGTTTGGTGGAACCCGGACGCGCCCATTTTTAGGAGGAGTTGAACGTCTTGCGAAGACATCGGAACGGCGCGTTCGATGATTTCGCTACTACTATTACTATCACTACGACTACTACTTTCAATTGGCGCTAAGGACGTCAATTCTTTGAGTTGCTTTTCGACGCGTTCGGATTTGTTGTCTTCGATGTTGAGACAAATAACCCCGCGTTCTTTCGCCTCGTTCGAGCGCAACTCCTGTAAATGCAAAGGCGACGGAGAGACGACGAGGAACGTGCCTTTTTCTTTCATCGTTCTTTCGATTTCTTTTCCGTTTCGAGGCGCAAAGACGCTCAAAGAAATGTCGACGCTGTCGTCTTCCATCGGCACGTCGTTCGCGTCGGCAACGGCAAAGAAGAATTCCGCCCCGTTTACTTTTTCTTCTAAAATTCTTTCATCTTCATTAGCAGCAGTAGTTATCATCATTCGTTTCGCCGCGACTCTCACCGCTTCTTTACTCGCGTCGATGCCGATAAATCTAAATCGAACGTTCCGTTTCCTCGCTCTTTCGCGCAGCGATACGACTTCATCGTTTTCCCCAAACACCAACCACCTCGAAATCTTCTCCAACCAGTACCCGTCGCCGCACCCGATGTCTGCAATCGTAACAAAAACCACTTCTTCCGCCTCTTCTTCTTCTTTCCTCTTATTGTTCATCTCGAGCGCTTGTTCCGCTCGCGCGCGTTTCTTCGCCTCCAATTTTTTCCGTCGAGGACCAACTTTAAAGCCACTATTAGTATTCCCATCCTCGGGATGATGTTGCGTTTTCTCGCTCTTCTCGCTGTTGCTACTCTTTATACCATTGCTCTTCTCATCGTCAGCGTTTTCCTCCTTTTCTTCGCTTTCAAGGCATCGAGACACCGCCTCCAGCACTTCTCGTTTCAGTTTCTCTTCGAAGAGAAAATCAAACGTTTTAGAGTCGAGAAACTGTTTCCGGCTTTGTACCATCTCTCGAGTATCTCCTGTTACTGTTCTTGTCGTCAGTAAGTGCGCGAATCCTTCTCTCGCGATATCTATCGAGTGCTCGTTTGGGCAGCGTAATGCCATCGAGTGCTTCGTCAACGGTTTTGCGCACGTGGGACATTTGAACGGCGAAAAGGAGGAGGAATGAGAAGCGTACGAAAAGCATTTCACCTCGTTTCTTTTACTGCTGTTGTTTCTTCCTTTTTTCCTCCGAGAAGCGATTGTTGTCGGGAGGAGGAAAGAAGAAGACGACAGCAACATCTTAGTAACGTCTTATTCTCTGAGGAGAAAAGGGAGTTACGAAGGGGAGAAATACAGACTCATTATTAAAGAGTAAGAACGAAGCACTTACGAGTAAGAAATACGCACTCATCGGGCTCAATTTGAGTAAGAAATACAGACTTACACCCTAAATTCTTAGTACGTACTTCTTACTCTCTTCTGCCTGCGTGTGAAAATGCATCAGATTTTTTTCCCGCCAAAATCTCTCCTCATTAAAAGCAGATACAAACGTAATTTACTGCGCGCGAATAATAAACTACTCGCCTTTCGCGACGAACGCCTCCTCTCTCTTTCTCGAATTATTCAAAACTCGACCTTTACGGCAGAGAAGAGTCAGAAGAGAGATGAAGAAAAAGAAGCTCCCAGAGAAGGAAAACGATGAAGAAGAAAAAGATGAATCTAAAATCGATTCATTTTTGCATCCAATCGATGCGTCGTTGACACATCTCGCCTCGAAAATCGAACGAGTCTGCTTCCCGTCTTTACGAGCGAGAGAGATTCTAGGCGAAGAAAAAGAAGCGAGCGATGGCGTGGTGCGTTTTTATTTATACACATTCTCTCTCTCTTTCGAAGAACGTTTCATTAAGCGCTGCTTTTATTTCTTTTCTCTCTCTCTGAATTGATCTCTCTAACGAACTCTCTCTCTGATATATAGACGAAAAACCTGTGGCATTGCGTCATCGCGTACGTCGTACTCACATCTCACGCACACACAAACGAGTACTTCGTGAAGAAAAATTTAGGGGACGTTTTGATTCATTTTCGCGTGAACGCGGCGGATTTCTTCACCGCGTGTCGGACCTTCGCGTGCGTGTGCGCCAAACCGCTGAGGAAGATTTTGAGGGAGGAAACGAAACATCCTCTTTTGAAAGGAGATGAAAGGGACGAGGACGAGGACGAGAGCGAAGACGGAGATGAAAACGCGAGGAAGAGACAGAAAACCGAGGACAAGAAGGACGACGAGGATACAAAAACGAAGAAAGCGCCGACGAGAAAAACGAAATCTCCGAAACTCAACGCGGATGATTCCGAGGACTTGGAAATTGCCGAAATGAAACGATTGGAGCAATTTTTAGGCATGGATAATTTGCGAGCGTCGTTCGCGTTTAGCAAAGTCATCGCGACAAAGTTCGAGCAGTTTTGTAAGACGCACTTTCGCGTGGACGAAACGTTGGGACGAGCGTATTGTCGGTTCGCGTGGAACGCGTTTTCGTTGACGAAAGTGAAATTAGGTACGAGCTTGTTCGAAGACGAGGATAACGAGGAGGACGGCGACGACAAGAAAGCGAAAGAGAAACCAAAGCTGATGTTGTCCTCGAGACATAAAAAGAGGAAAGGCACGTACGCGGAAAAGAAAGAGACGATTAAAAAAGAAGAGGCCGAAAGAAGAGAGAGCAACAACAAAAAAGTCTCGTCCCATACCACACACGCGGGAGGAGTACCGAATTTGTACGAGCAGTTTCACCTTCTCGTCGCGATTCAAGCGTTCGCGTTAACCAATGCCCCGGAAACGTGTTTAAGAACGAGCTTGGAAAACATGCTCTCGATGACGGAAAAGGATCCGGAAACCGGCGAGCCTTTGGCGCTGGAATCTTTGTGTCGATCGAGCAAGACGAAGCTCGCGAGCTGTCAGAAAATGTTGAAGAACATCGAAAAGTTGCACGAATCTATTTTGAAAGAGAAGAACACGTTGAGAAAGAAGTATTTCGAGAAGAATAAGAAGAATAAGACGGCGATGGAGAACGTCAAGTTAGCTTCGGATATCTTTGAACGCGAGTACGTGGAAGCGGTGAGAGAGAAATTCGGATGTCGCGCAATCAACGAGAAATTGTACGTGCCGTTCCTTTTAGCGGAAGAAGAAATAGATGAGGAGAAGCAACGAGAGAAAAATCTTCCCGCGCCGTTTGATGTGCTCAAAGGCGATTTGCGAGAACAACCGATTGGTTTTGCGCGACTGCGAGCCGCAACGCCGATGCACAAGAAGGATAAAAGTTTCACGTTTCGAACCGGATCCGCGGTGGAAGCAGCTGTAGCAGTAGCTACTGCTGCTACTACTACCGCTGCTGCGACGAATACTACTAACAACATCGGGGGGACTTTTATTCCGCCTACGCCGCAATCGCCGTACGCCGGGTTCAATAAAACTGTCGCCGGCGTGGCGGTTGATTATAACAACGTTCAAAACACGCCGATTTCAAACGTCATGTACGGCGTCGAATGGATCGATCGAATCGTTTCGCCATCATCAAACAACGTTGATAACACGCAGCAAAACGACGAGACTTTACGTTTACTCCGCGAATGCATCCGAACAAAGAACAACGACAAAGATAAACTCCAAGACGCGTACGCGCGCGCCGAGCGTATGATTACCAAGTGCAACACGCTCACTCGCGAAGATGCGTTCACAAATCTCAACGCCGCTGCGAAGCGAGGCAACGTTTCGAAATCACTCGATAACATCGTCGACAACAGGGCGACGGATGCCTTGGCCGTGTTCAAATACTTCTTTCGAGCGATTTTGAGAGACGAAATCAATCGCATGGAGGCGACGACGACGATGACGACGACGAACGCAAACACCATCTCTGATTCGACGAAGCGTGCGATATCGATGCTCGTGGACTCGAAACGATTCGTCGAAGTAGTCGTCGCCTTATCCGTCGAGGTAGTTTCCGTCGCGCGAAACGGAGTCCATTTGAGCACGAGTAGTGGAATCTACGACGTCGGTCCAAGTTTCACCGGGAATGGCGGTAATCGCGCGATTACGTTGCGCTTTCCAGCTATTCCCAACGCGATTGGTTTAAACGCGTTTGATGTTTTGAACGGCATCGAGCCGTTCGTGAGATCGAGACCGGAAATGCCGCGAGAAATTAGAGCGTACTTTGGTCGAATCGAAGAGTCTATGTTAGAAAAGTTAAGCTGGAAAAAAGATTCGAGTTTGTATCCACTTTTGCGCGTGGCGACGACGAAGAGCGGCGCGAAGAAGAAGAACATCGGAGAGACCGCTGCGATTGCTGCCGCTGCTGCTGCTGCTGCTGCAAAGAGCGAAGATAATATTACGAACAACAACAACAACAACGACAACAACGACATCCACTCAAACAGCGCCAATCAAATCGCCGCCGTACTTCTCGGTGGCACGTTAGCATCCGGGCAAAAAGTCACCAAACCGCTCTCAAAACACCACACAGCGCGATCGTTAACGCATATGCAACAATTCGATCGCAATGTTCTCGGGAAAGGAGGAGGAGGAAGAGGAGGAGACTCGAATGATGACTCTCCGATTGATGAAGAGAAGAAGAAGGCGTTAGATGTGGCACAAATGGCACATACCGCGTTGCGTTCGCCGCCTCGAACGACGACTATTATTGGTAGTGGCCATATGAGCGCATTTTCCCCTTTGAAAACAAGCGCGTTTACGGCGTTTTCAACTCCGGCGAGACGAGCGTCCGATAACGCGAACATGGGATCATCGTCCTCAGACGTAGAGCGAATCAGTGGGATTGCGCACGCGCAACAGCAGCAGTATAATCGAGCGGTTTCCTCGCCCGGCGTTGGTGCGAAAATACCGTTACCGTTACCAGACAAGTACGCCGTAGACGACGACGACGACGATGATTTCGAAATCGACGACGAAAAGCGTCGCGCGAAAGCCTCCTTGGACGTTTTTTTCGCCAAAGTCCTCCGATTAGCCGCCGTGCGTTTAGCTGATATTTGTGCCCGGCTCCACGTCAACCAAGAAGTCACCCGACGCGCGTTCCAAATCTGCGAATTCGTCGTGTTTGAAAAAACCTCTCTGCTGTACAATCGACATCTCGATCAAATCATCTTGGCGTCCATCTACGGCGCGTGCAAAATCGCATCCAGCGAACAAGATCGAAACGTGAAATTCAAAGACATCGTGTATCGATACCACAAACAACCGCAGTGCGTGGAAGAGGTGTTTTGGAGCTGCCCATTAACGGTGACCAATCCCGGGTTGGAAGTCGTCAGTCGCGGCGATATCATCGCGTTTTACAACAAGCAGTTTGTCCCGAACGTCAGGCCGTTCATGTTGCAGTTACGAAAAGGAGGAGGAGGAGGAGCAGGAGGAGGAAATTCTGACGACGCGCTCACGACAAAATCGCAAAAGACGACGACGACGACAACAACGACGACAAAAATGACGTCGACGCCGAAACGACCAAAAGCAGCAGGGACGACGATGACTGCCATTCAAAGCACGCCGAACCGATCTCGAGTTCACTTCGATTCGGAAGCGTTGCTCAAATCCCCCATACGGGAGGTGAAAGGAACCGCAGGCGCCGGGAACGTGTACGTCTCACCAATGCGTCCGGAGACGAGAGAAAAAGCCTTCGTACACTCAAACAACAGGGGAGGCGTCCACGACGATGAGAATACCAACGCCGCTCTTCTTCATCACACGTTCGCTTCGCCGGCGAGAAGAACCACGGGCGGGGGCAGAAAATCTCCGTCGGATACCAAAACCGGGAACATAATCGCGCTCGTCGGTCAAAGCGACTTTCACGAAATCAACGAAACTTTGAGTCAAAAGAGCAAACAAGACTAGTAACATTTCGAGCTGCTCTCTCATCCGTCTCTTTCCTTCCTTCCTGTTAGTGTTATTATCATTATTGTTATTATTGTATTATCGTAAATACGTGTTGCACTGTTGCTTTTCGCCTCAGAAATTCTACGGAACACTTCTCCAAGAAGAAGAAGACAAAGAACATAATGAATGAAGCTTTAAACGTTCGAATTTCAGCAACGAAAACGTTGCATTCCGTTTCTTCTTCTCCTCTGCCTTTTTCCTCGCACGTCCATCTCGTGTCCGTAAAGGACAGCCCGACGGCGTTTCTCTTCGCGCATTTCGTGCACGAATGCCTCAAAATCCAACGCAACGACAAAAAGAACGAAGACGAGGAGGACTCTGACGATGATGAGAACAACAAAGACGAGGATACGAAGAACGAGAGGAACGCGACGAAAACAACAAAAACGAGCAGCTCGAGGACATCGAAAAGAAAAAGAGCTGCAATAGTGTTCGTGGAAACGATGAAACCGTTCGAAACTTCAATCAGTCCGCACTTGAGGAGGAAAAAAGCTGAATTTTTGTACCAAAAAAAGGAAAAATTTGGGATCGAATCCATCGATTGTTGGTCGACACCAATGGCGTTTAATTTCAACGATGACGATGATAAAGAAGAAGAAGACGAAAAGGAGGAGAATGTGTTTACGGTGAATGGCGCGCGTTCGAGTGCAACGTCGAGTTTAGATGGTTTGTATGATTTGATCGCGAAGAAGGTATCGGGGACGGTCGGAGACGATACTATCGGAAGAACGATGGAAGAGTGTAGCAGAAATGGTGGTGCGAGTATTTTTATCGACTCGTTGGACGTGTTAGCGGCGAGAACGAGCGAGAAAGCGGTCGTGCGGTTCCTCGTGCGGTTGAGAGCGATGGAGAATGTGGCTTTAGTGACGGGGTGCCAGGCGGCGGAGGATGTCGAGGATGGATTCTTAGACGAGGACGACAGAGAGCGCGGGACGATGCAATTACTGATTGAAAACTTAGCCGACGTGACGTTGACGACGTCCAAGTTACCTTCCGAAGGTGGTAATAAAGGTGAGTTGGTCAAGGTTGTCACGAGACATCGAACGGTGGATTCCAAGTATTTAGACTGGGACGGGAGCGTCGTGGATGGAAATAGAACTTTATTGGACGAAGAGAATGGTGGCAGTCGACGACCGGGCGGAAAGTTTTCGCACGTCACTGCTGGCATTAGTAGTGGTAGAAATTTTGACGACGACGACGACGACGAGTTGACGTTCTCTTTAACGACTGAGTGCGTGGCGACGATTTCAGAGCTCGGCGCGAAATGCGAGCGATATAGTTTCAGCTTGTAGAGAGTATAGAAGAGTTTTTAGCGCATAATACACACATACTACGTAGTTATTTCAACTTAAAGAGAAGTTTAATACTCATGTATTAGAATTTACAAATGCTTATTAATCAAGTTTAATACTATTCTGTGTATATATTATCTATTCGTCGAGGTCCATGGGAATCGCCAAGGCGTCGTTATCTCGTCGGTCGTTTTCTTCTTCCGATTTTGAAGAAAGCGAATCTCTTTTGGCGGCAACATCTCTATCCTCTTCATCGTCGTCGTCTTCGTTGTCATCATCATCATCGCCGTCATCCAAATCTTCCTCCAAGTTAATCGACCCGCTCTTAATCGCTGGATCGTTTTCTATTAAATCCTTATCCGCCTCTTCGTCGTAAAATACACCTTTGTTTGCCTCGAGAGACATCGAAAACCGGCTCGTCTTCTCCTCTTCAACCTTCGCCTGCCCGTCTTTCTCGCGTGCAGTAGAAGGCGGCAGGGCATCGCCGTTCCCGTCTTCTTCTAAAGAGTCTCGTTCGTCGTGTTGATCTAACATCTTCCTCGCCGCTTCGTTCGCCGCGTCGAGCGCATCGAGCTCGGCTTCCGCATCCGCCAGTCGTTTCTTCAACGCTCTCGATTCCTCGTCGTCTTCTTCCTCCTCTTCTTCCTCCTCCTCTGGAATCTCCTCTTGCGTGATTTTCAACTCCATCGCGGCCTTTTGTTCCGCTTCCATGATCAAATCCTCCTTCGCTTTCGACGCTTTTCTCGCCTCTTCTTCTCTCTCTTCTTCGAGCTCCAACTCCGCCATGCGAGCGGCTTCGTTCGCTTCCTTTTCGGCTTCTTGATCGTCGTCGTCGTCGTGGTTAGTATTATGAATCGCTTCAGAGTTCCTTCGCGTATTTTCCTCGAGCTCGTCGTCTCTTTCGTCTTCCTCGTCTTCGTCGTCCGTGTCCGGCGCCAGTCGGATGTGCTTCCCTCTGACTTGTTCGTTTTGTTCTTCCTCTTGGTGTTGTTGTTGTTGCTGTCCGTCGTCGTCGTCGTTTTCATCGACGAGTACTGTTGGATTCTTTCGAGGTCGTCCACGCTTCTTCTTCCCGCTCCCGTTGTTGTTCATGTTGTTGTTGTTGTTGTTGTTGTTGTTGTTGTTGTAATTCGGCGTCGCGCGACCGTTTCGTCCGTAATACTCTTTCGGGGTCTTGGCGAACGTTTTTATCCTGCGACCGTGTTGATCAAACTCGACGCCATCGACGTCCCAGATTTCCTCATCTTCGGCGTCGGAATCGTGCAAAGGAGCGCCGTTTCTGGCGGTCATCAACTGATCCAACGAGTCTCGTCGTTCGGCGCCGATTTTGTTGAACTGTTCCGTCGGTCTCAATTTGAGCACCCTGAATGTTTCCGACGGGCCTCCGGGCGTTTTTCTTGGCCACATTTTGTTTCGGGTTTGCCGTTGCGTGGCTTTGATGGTCGGTAACGATCCATGGACGCGCTCGTACACCTTCTTCTCGCCTCGCCAATACTCCAACGGTTTTTGTCTTTGGCGCGAACTTTTGCGCACCTTTTGTGAGCCGCCTGTTAAATCTTCGACGACGATGGTTTGTAAACCGCCAAAGGCTAAAGATTTTCTTCTGGCCATTTCTTCGCGCAAGCGTTTGTGCGCTTCACCTCTAGGTTTGCGAATAGGGAATCCTTCCTCATCGAACGCGCGGTCGTCAGCGAATTGACCGCCTACTAAATCTTCTTGGTCAAAGTCGTCGTCGCCGGCTTCGAATCCTCCGCCAAACTCGTCGTCGTCGTTGTTCAAGTTTTCGTTCAACATTCCCACCGGTTGCACTTGCGGTTGCGACTGACCGCCTGCTGCCCCCATGTGCGAGACGCCTTGCCAATCCGGACTGTCTTGATGCAAAATAGCTTCGTCTTCTCGTCCCGGGATGTTGAACATGTTCACCAGCGCTTCCGCAGCCATCGGCGTGTTGGTCACCTCCCCGCCGCTCCCCATGCTGCTCTTGCGTAACATTTCTCGTCGTTTCTCTAATTCCATTTGCTCTCTCTTCAGTCTCTCCTCTTCGATAGCTTCGGCTAACACTCCGCCTTCTTGCATGTGCTGCTCGCGAAGCAATCGTAACTGCGAATTCATCTCCATCGAAACTTTTCTCTGTTGTTGTCCTTTCGCGTGCGGACTCTTCGGTCGAAACATCGGTTGCGCCGTCCTGTTCCCGTTAAAATCGTACCCGGCAAATCCTTCGTTCTCGGCGAACGACCCGGCTCGATCGCCGTCTCTCGATGCCGCCGCCGAGTGTTCGCCCTCACCAGTAAAATTCGTCCCATCCAACTCCTCGACCACCATCGCCGTTCGTCTTTTCTTCGCTCCTCCATCCGGAAGCGCTGCTCTCCCCAAACTCTCCGCGGGCGCTTTCATCACCAACACGAACGGTCTCGGTTTCACTTGTCGCCCGGTGCCTTTTCGTTTCCGTAACCGTTCCATTCGCGAAGATGACATCGACGAATGTTGGGTTAGATTTTGATGTCGCCTTCTTTGCGCTCCCGCTTGGTCCGTTTGATTCCCCCAAGAGGTCCCAAAGGGTAACTTATTCCCTTGGCCATTAGTATTCGACGATGTTTCTTGTGCTTTCTGTTGCGCCGCTCGTTTCCTCGCCGCTCGCAGTTGCGCTAATCTCGCGCCTCCTTCCACCACCGGTGGGCGTCCGGATTGGAAAGACACTCGTCTTTGTTGTTCGTTCATGTTTTCCATCTGTTGGTGTTGGTGTTGGTTTTGTCTGTACACGAGAGACCGGGAGGTGGATTTTAACGCGGATTTGATTTGCGTCGTTTGTCCATTATTGTTGATGTTATTGTTCATCGGTTGTGCGCCCAGAGGTACCCTGATGATGCGTTTAAAGAGAACGAGAGAGAGAAGATGCGATAGTTTCCCCAAAGCGGCGTGAGTAATAATACAGAGAGAAGCGACAGAGAGGAAAGGAACGAAGAATGGAAAAATTCAAATTTTGAAACGGATCGATTGAAAAGAATGTGAATTGTTCCTATGTTTACCTTGAAACGACGCCCAGAGGAGGATTTGGAGGAGGGAAAGGGACGACGGTATCATCGTTCCTCTCCATGTTGAACTCAGTCTTTTAACGCGCAAAACGAAGAGATGTGGTAGAGTATTTCGTGCGGTTTTTACTCAATTATACTGACGAGACATTTGAATTTTGAGGGGGAACTTAGACACCGATATTTAGGGTTTTTGAATTTTTGCAGCATTGGGTTCAGTTCGAAAGCGTAGTGATACCACATACGTGTGTCGTGTTTATCAGTAGATAATATATATATATATAAATAATTAAAACGTGTAGATGTGTGTAACTCTTCTCTTTTCCTTCTTCTTTTCCGAGGAGGTTGTTCCTTCCTCCTCCTCGGTTTTAGTACAACTTTGTTTGCCGACTTTGACGCGCGGTTAGTCAGATTTTTTATTATTACTTGCGGGTCCACGGATCGAATCCATCACCATCCGAGGATGACGCGCCGCCCATGGCCATTTGCGTTTCGTCGTCGTCGGGGTACCCAGAAGCGATGTCTTCCTCGCCAAACCCGATTCGCGCCACGTCGTCGCTATCCTTGTTGTTATTAAAATCAATCACGGACAACTTTTCCAACGCGTCCTCCGCGGAGGTGCGGTATTGCGTGCTCTTCGCCATCGAGCGCTTCTTCGCCTCTTCCATTTGTCTTTGCTCCTCCTCCAACTTGTACTGTCTCTCCTTGGCAACCTTTTCGATTTCCATCTGTCTTTGGTGCGCTTCCAACACTTTCTGTTCTCTCTCCGTCTCCGCCGCTTCCGCTTGCGCTTCCGCCTTTGCCAACTTCTTCTCTTCGATTTCGCGCTCGGTTCTCGCCTCTTCGTATTCCTTCGCCAATGAAACTTCCAGCGCCGCGGCGCGTTGCTTGGCCGTGTGGGACTTCTTCTTCGTCTCTTCCAACGCCGACGAAGCGGCTTCTTTCGCGGCTTCGACTGATTTCATCGCGTGTTGCACGTGCAAGTTGAAATCTTCCTTGGTTTTCCCAAGCATGTCAAACTCGTCTTCGACTTTACGTCCGGCTAATCGAGAAATGTCTTTTGCGTTTTGCACTTTTCTCTTGGCAACTTCTTGAACTTCTTGGATCTTCTTTTGCGCGAGTTCGGTGATGTCGTCGACTTTTTGGGCGGCGATTTTCGCAACTTCTTGCGAGTGCTCGTAGTTCGCTTCCGCTTCCGCTCTTCTCGCCGCGGCTTGCTTGACTTTCATGGCGGCTTGTTGCGCCGCTTCTTTCGCACGTTCCATGGCTTTACCGCCGTCGCTGAGCGTCGGTTTGCACGTCGTCGCGATGTGTTTCAACTCGACGAGTTTCTTCAATCGCGCGGCGTTGACAAACTCTTCCTTGGATTTGCGTCCCAAGGTGGAAAACAACTCTTTTCTGGTGATGTCCGGCGATTGGTTCGCCGCTCTCCCGATGGCTTCCTCCAACGCTTTCGTGTTGATGGTTTGCTGCTGCTCGCCCATGGACGCTTCACCTTTGGAACCACCCATATTTCTCTTGAGCGTTTCTTGCGCCAAGTGTTCGACTTTCGTGACGTCGTAGTACTTATCCGCGGCGCCGTTCTCAATCTCCAAAGCTTCTTCGTCCGTTTCGCTCATATCAGAAGAAGTCTCGCCTCGTTGGATCTCCAACGCAGATTTCTTCTTGGATTTGGAGCCGTCGCCTTTGTAGACTTTCTCAATCGCTTCGCGTTCCAACGCTTTTTCGCCGTCTTGCGCGAGCTTTAACACCTTATCGGTTCGAGTTTGTTCTTCGGTTTGTTGTTCATGTTCTTCTTCTTCTTCTTTCATTTGTTCTTCTTCTCCTTCGTCGCCTTCGTTTTCGTCGTCGACTTCTTCATCGACGTGAACGCCCATGGATTTGCCCAATCCGGCGGCAACGTTTAAGTCTCCCTTCTTCGTCGTCGACTTCTTCTTATTCTTCTTCGACAACATCTTCGTTTGCTGCGGTAAACCCAACTGCGGCATTTGTCCCGGCTTGACCGGATCTTGACTCGATTGTTCGCCGCCAACCATTTTTTGCAACAAAGCGAACACCCCGGTGTGCTTGATCTCTTCCTCGGCGACTTCAACCAACTCTTTCTCTTCGGATGCGTTTGGCAACGCTTCTTCCAACAACATGCGTCGAGCGCCTTTGGAGGCGTAAGTAGACTTGTCGTCGTCTTTATCGCCGCTGCTGCTCTTGCGTTCGTACAAACGTTCTCTCTGGTTGTTGTTGTTGTTGTCTCTAGAAGAAGAAGAAGAAGAAGAAGAAGAAGAGGAGGAAGAGACGGATCGTCGCTCGTCTCTTTCCGTCTCTCTCTCCACGAACTCCTCGTCGTCGGCGTCCGAGTGAAACTTTTCCCTGTACCCGGAAAAATTCTTGCTTGGACGTCGATGGTCCTCGTCCTCAGAAGCGCTGCTGCGGCTGCTGCTTTTCTGATCCGAAGACGACGATTGCTTCTTCCTCGATGATTGGGGTCGGTGCTTTTTCTCTTCTTCGTCCTCTTCGTCGATATCGTCTTTGGCCAAAGTCTTCGTCAACTTCTTCTCGAACCTCGCGTCCTCTCGCTCTTCCACCGTTCGCTCCCCGTCCGAAGAAGAATCCTCCTTTGCCTCCTCCAAATCATCCTCTTCTTCGTTCGCGAATTTCTTCGTCTCCTTCATCCGTTTTTGCATGTCGTTGAACTCTCGCAAAAACGTATCCGTGTTTTTCGAGGAATCGATTTCTAAATCTTCGTCGTCGTCCTCTTGATCCTCCTTCTTTCCTCCGTTCGCATTCTTTAATTTGGATAAAAACGCGTCCGCTTTGGCGTATTTCTTATCGTCTCCTTCTTCTTCTCTCTCGCCCATCTCCGACGCTGCCTTTTCTCCCGGTAACAAGGAATACGTCTTCTCGTAGTCACGCAGGGCGGATTTCCCGCACGTGTCCACGATCAAACTTTTCATGACATCGATTTGATCGGAAACGCCCAATAAAGACATCGGAGAGCCAGATTTGAACGCCGCGTCGATGTTATACGCGCCGCTATTCTTTTTACTCGACGAAGAAGCGCTCAAAGCGAACGCGCCGAGAGATAACGCGCAGATGAATCCAACGCTTTTCGTTTTCGAGGATGAGGAGGATGAAATCTTCCCGCGGCTCGTCTTTAATGGTAATGTTGCCAAAGTCTTTTCTTCCTCTAATAAAGAGAGACGTTCGCCAGTATTCTCCTCTCTTTTCAACAGATGACCCATCGTGCCAATGGTGTTCATGATGATGTGTGTGTGCTTTTGTATAGTGTGTGTTCTCTCTCGCGAAAGGCGACCTTGATCTCTCTGAAGTAAAGTGATAGCCGCGTTTCGTTTCCCAAGAGAGAAAGTTTTGACGGAAAACACTTGAGAGAAGAAAAAAAGGAGGTTTAGAGTTTAGGGTTTAAATTATTTTTACGAAAAAATGTGAAAAAATGCAGAAAATGTTCCTCTCATCGTCCCTCTTTTCCTCTTTTTTCGTCAATCGTCGACCCGTCAAATCAAAAAACGGCCACTTTACTCAAACGAGGAAAAACAATTTCCAAGATCTCACTCGTGAGACGAGAGAAAAAAGAAGACGAAGAAGAAGACAAAGAAGAAGAAGAAAAAACCGAAAGGGGGCGAAACGCGCTCGAAAGAAAAGTAATTCGGAGGTTTTTCTTCCGCTTTTAGTACTACGCGTCGCGTGATGACGACGTTGTTGTGGGAATTGATCGTGAAGTGCGACGATATTTGTTTGACTCATATTTTACCGAGATTGAATCAAACTGATATCAAATTCTTGTACGAGGTGAATAGTGAGACGAGAAAGTTGGTGAAGAGATCATCTCGCGCGGGTGATTTGAAAAAGAAGTTTAATATTGATGAGATGTCGTCGATATCGACTTTGGAAGTTGCGCGGGAGAATAAATCGTCGTGGACGAGTTGGTGGTACGAATCATATTTCTGCTGGAGAGTTGCTCTAACGAATAAACTCGAGTTGCTCACGTGGGCGCGAGAGGAGAAAAAGTGTAAGTGGGATTACAGGACGATTTGTGCGGCCGCAGAACAAGGTAATCTGGAAATGGTAAAGTATTGCGTTGCAAAGAAGTGTCCTATCAATGTGTTTGCGTGTGCAAGTGCTGCCTTACACGGTCATCTCGAGGTACTCAAATACTTACGGGAAGAAGCGAAAGCGACTTGGGATTCGAGAACTGCCGATAGGGCGGCTGAAAACGGTCATCTTCACATACTCGAATATCTTGTTGAGCGTAAGTATGATAAATATGACGAAGATGCGTGTGAGTACGCGGCCAAGAACGGCCACTTAGACTGTTTGAAGTACTTACACGAAACCGTCAAAGCGCCTTGGAATTCGTATACTGCCAATGGGGCGGCTTTAAGTGGTCATCTTCACATACTCGAATATCTTGTTGAACGTAAGTATGATAAATATGACGAATGTGCGTGTTGGTATGCAGCCAGAAAAGGCCACTTAGACTGTTTGAAGTACTTGCACGAAACCGCCAAAGCGCCTTGGGACTCTCGCGCCGTACGCTACGCGCACGAGAACAACCACCCCGAGTGTTTACAATACCTCCTCGACAACGACTGCCCTTTACCGCACGGTTGGCGATACGAACATGGAGAGCTGCACACATCGTAATACTCATCATCTACATCATATTAAACACGCATACATTTTACATGCTTAATACACATGTGCACTTTTTAAAGATATTTTTCTCAGAGACGTAAAAAAGTGCGAAAAGACTTCTTAAAAACAGACGCGCGCTTAGCGCGCGCGTTCACCCGCGTTCGCGCTCGAAAAGAAAGAGACGCAGTGCACGCGGACAACCCTTTTTTGCTTTCGATGATGTGGTCACAGAGAAGGGATTTTATGACGAGTCGTCCTGATTCTCTCAGCGAGATGATACATTGGATAACGGAAGACGTAACGAACGACACCTCCATCGCTTTGTACGCGTTCGAAGAAGAACGAGTACAACAACAACAACAACAACATCAGGAGGCATCGAAAAAGAACAACAACAACAACACGAGCAACCACAAAACGAGCCTCTCGTTTTCTTCGTGTTCGTTCAAACTGGAACAAAAATACACGAGGTTTGAAATGCAATTGGCGGTTTTGTTCACCAGTCAGAACATTCACCAAACGCTGAAAGTTAAGCGGAAAGCACAAAACGAGGAGTCAATCGAAAGAAGAAAAGAAAGATGCGCGATATTCATGGACAGTTCCTCGAAATATTTCGTCGTGACAATTCTGGCACTTTTTTTACTCGAGATCGAGTTTACGTGCGTGGAGACGAGCGAAGAGGTACGAGCGCTCGTATTCGACGAGCGGTGGAATCCGTGCACTTTCGCCGTCGCGTTCGAGCGAGACAGAACGTTTTTGGAAGAAACGCTGGGACTGCTGACATCAGAGGATGATGCGAAGAAGGTAGGAGGAGGAAAAGAGTTCGTGATACTGACCGAAAAATCGTCGGCGTTGCGCGAGCCGCTCGACGACGCGAGGATGATGTCGTCCTCGAAAGGATGTCACGTTGGAGCGAGAGACGCGTTCGTGAGGAAAGCGATGGAGGATTTGAATTTATTTTCATCTTCCTCCGCAAAAAATAATAATAACAACGCGGCGGCGACGGCGTACGTGTGCTTTACCTCGGGTACGACGGGCCGACCGAAAGGCGTGAAAACAACGAGAGAGAACATCGAAGCGTACGCGAGGGCGAAAGTGAAGAATGAAAAATTAGACGCGTCGAGTATCCTCGCGTTGGTCAGCGCGCACGTGTTTGATCCGTGCATAGGAGATATCGCGAGCGCTATAGTTGGTAAGTCAGCGATAGCGACGTTTTCTTCCAGAGCGGCGTTGATGCGAGGAGGGAACGCGTTGAGAAACGCACTCGTTGCGAGCCGAGCGACGCACGTGTGTTGCACGCCGTCCTTTTGGGAGTTTGGCGGCATGTTGGACGACGACAACGACGACAACGGTTTACTCCTTCCAATGCACCTCAAATTCGTCTCGCTCGGTGGCGAAAAAATGTCGAAATCGATCAAAGATTCCTTCAGAGAGAGTGGAATTACTTTACTCAACGTCTACGGCGTCACGGAGGCTACGGTGTACCAAACGAGTAAGAAAATTTCAACTCCCTCGTCAGAAGAAGAAGAAGTAATGAGATACAAAGGCGCGACGAACATTGGCACACCTCTAGACGAGTCTTTCGCTTCCCTCGTCATCGTCGATAGAAGAAACGAGGACAACGATGATGAATACGACGACCAGGAAGTTGCCGAGGATAACACCGTCGGCGAGATTGCCATTTACGGCCGAGGCGTTCCTCCTGAAGGCTATCTCGAAAGCAACGCACCTCCTCGCGGAAGAAACGCGTTTCGCGATATTCAATTCAGAGCAGGGATCAAAAGTGCGAATAACGATGACGACGTCAAAAGAAGAAGATGTTACATGACGGGCGATCTCGGATATTTTGATTCGAAAACGAACGAATATTACCTTCTCGGACGAATCGAATCCGATCGCCAGGTAAAAATTCGCGGCCATCGCATCGAATTGGAAGGCGTGGAGAGCCTTCTGCGCGAGCGGTGCGAAAAGTGCGCGCTGATGCCTAACGTGATCGAGCGGTCGATTTTGTGTTTCGTGGACGAAAATATCAGTACGAGTAGTAGTAGTAGCAGCAGTAGCGATAATAACGAGAATGACGCGGCGAAAGAAATAGTCGCGTTTATAAAGCTCATTGGAGAGAATGACGACAATGCCGATGAAGAAGAAAACAGGCGCGCGAGGCGGATGGACGTACTTTTGACGATTGATTTAAACTGTTGCGCGCCGTGGTTGTCTCTCTCGGGGAACAACGCCGCGATGGTACCGAGAAAATTCGTCTTTCTCGAGAAAGACGAAGACGCGTCGATTCCACTGTCCGCGACGGGTAAACGCGATTTTCGCGCGTTTTACGAGCGACATCGAAGTAAAGAACGAGTCGCAGTCAAACTCGCTTGTTCACCCTATTCTGAACGAGACGAAACGGCGAAGAAAAAAGACGAGCTGGAAACGCTCGTTGCGAAATGTTGGGCGGATGCGCTGTCGTGCGGCGTGAACTTTGAGAACATAAGAAAGAACGATTCTTTCGTGCGCCTCGGCGGTAACTCCATGTCCGCGCTCATCGCGTGTCGTAAAGTGCGAGAGGCGATGAGAAAGAGGAGGAGTTTCCTCGGCGAGAACGACGAGAACGACGACGAAAATGGTTACGAAAATGAGGAGGAAAAAGAACCAGGGGTGAAGAAATCCGAAGCCGGAGCGCTCTTGGCGCCGGAGAATATCGACAACAACGACGAGGAGCAAGAAAATAGTACCGTCCGACGTTTATGCGGCGCATTCCTGGGCGTCGATGGCGAAGGCCCGCTCGCGCCGTGCGAACTTTTAAGGCGTCCAGCACTCGCGAGCTATTGCGCGTTCCTCAGGGCGAATTTCGTTGGTCTGAATTCAAAATTGGCATCGAAATCATCATTGGCATCATCATCCGCTAAAGAAAAGAGGGAAGAAGAAGAAGAAGACAAAAGAGAAGAAGAAAAAGACAAAGAGATACATCCAGACGTGCTCGCTGCAAAAGCTGCCGTGTATCGGGCGTGCGCGAGAGGCACGGACGTGTCGCTCGTTTGCGCGCTCGTCGCGCCATTCGTAAACGACGCAGAGCTTCTTCGCGAGATTCTCGGAAACGCCGCGGCGCTTTCGACGACAAACGAGAAGAGAGGCAAAGACGGTGATGAAAACCTTACCGCGTTACACGTCCTCACGTCTCGAGCAAACATAAACGAAGACTATTTGTCGGAAGAAAAAGTTCTTCCGCTCGTCGAACTTCTCGTTTGCGAGTATAAAGCAGACGCGCTCGCGCAAACGCGAAGCGGGAAAACGACGCCGATTCACATCGCTGCCGCGAGAGGATGTCCGAAGATTTTGAAGATTTTATACCAATCTCTCGATAGTTTTGTCGCCGAGGACGATGTCGGCACAAACGAAAAGAAGAAGAAAAAGCGGCTGTTTTTCATGAAAGACGCGGACGAGCAAACGTGCTTACATTTAGCCTCGAGATCGGGGAATCGCGAGGCGGTGAGAGCAGTCTTGGACATTTTGTTTGATGGTGACGATGACCAATTCTCGAGATTTTCCGCAAGTGTGGTACACGCCACGGACGCCTGGAACCGCACGGGGCAAGATTGGGCGTTTCTTTTGGGGTTTCACGACGCGCTCGAGGTGTTTTCGACGTTTTCGCTCTCAGCGTCATCATCATCGTCTCGCGAACTCGGCGAAAACGAGAGGGACGTTCTTCTTCCTCTTCTTCCCGTGGAACGAGACTTGATTTCGCTTCCCTCCAAATCCTCCTTCTCCTCCGAGCCGTCGTCGTCGAATACTCGAAAGATGGATGTTTCCAGCGAATATTTGGAGACGCTTTTCACGCACTTGAAGAAGAAGAATGACAAAAACACGATTGAAAACCGACTTCGCGCGGCGTCTGGTTTGCGAGACTCTTTGTGCGCGAACGCGAGGAACCGCCAGTTGGCGTTCGAGAGAAACGTGGCGACAGTTTTAATCGAGACGTTGGTTTCGTTAGTCTCCGAAGAGCCAACAAACAAAAGGATGGAAGAAGAAACGCTTCTTCTTCACGTGATTTTTTGCATTCGAAACGCGGCTGGATACGGCCCGGCTCGGAAACAATTCCTCACAGAGCTCGACGCGCTTCCCGCCTTAGCCTCCGTCGTGAACGGAAGACGAAAAGAAAAACACCCGCGCGAAGAAGGAGAAGGAAGAGAAAGCGAAGAAGACAACATCTCGTGGCAAGCGTTATCGGCGATGATTGTTCTTTGTCGAGCGAAGGAGACGAAAGAGGGATTACTCGCGTCGATGGAAATGTTGAAGGAGCTCGGGTATGAAGACGTGTGTGGTCCTATTTTCGAGCGAACGAATATGAAAATTTTGAAAACTGCGGCGTTATCGGCGGCGGCGGCGAAAAGAGAGACGAGATAAAAATAGACGCGCGAGAGCATACGCGGCGCCGCTATACATTTGTTGCAGAGGAGTTACATCATCTTTAGTATTTAGTAGTATACGTAGGAAAATCAATATATATAAACAGTTTCGTAGATCTTCTACACTATCTGTGTTTTAACTGTGTAGGCAGTAAGAACATAATAATAATATAACTTAATGAAGGACATTCTCGCGTCGATTACTGTAATCGTCCTTGTAACTTGGCAAAGCACGCTTGCGGGTCCGCGGCGCACTCCTCCGCCTCCTTCGCCAACTTTTCCGCCTCCGCCTTCAACGTGTCCGCCTCATCTTGCACCTTCGCGGCCGTCTCCTTGGCCGCAGAGGATACGTCATCCTTCGCTTGTTCCGCCGCTTCTTCGGCGTTTTGCTCCGCCTCTTCCGCTTTCTCTTGCGCTTCTTCCGCATCGCCCTTCACCTTGGCGACGAGCTTGTTCCAGCACTCCGGAATGTCTTTGAAGCACTCTTGGATGTCGTCGGTAATGCTGCCACCCAACAACGCCGCTTGTGGAGGCGCTTCCGGTTTGCAGGTCTCCCAGGACGGGTCCGCGGTGCACTTCGTAAACTTCGCTTGCACTTGAGCCGCCATTTCTTTGGATTTGGCAACCATGTCGTCCGTGACGCCAGTGGTGGTATCTTTCGCTTGCTCAGCCATCAAGGCAACCTTGGCAGAGGCCGCCGCGGCGTCCGCCTTGGCGGCATCGACTAACGAGGCCAAGCAGTCTTGCGCCTCAGACTGCGGGTCGCAGGAGGATTTCACCTTTTCCGCCGCCGCTTGGGCTTCGGATTTGGCGGCATCGAACGCGGCTTGTTCCGCTTCGCAACCTAACGAAGACGACGGGATGGTGATTCCATCGCCGAGCTCTTCGAAGCACGATTTCATGGCGGACACAGACGCGGTGCACTCTTTCAATTTGTTTCCGTTCTTCTCCGCGTCGGCTTTCGCGTCTTCGACCGCTTTCGTGGTGCACTCCGGAACGTCGCTGGTGCACTCGGAAAAGTTCTCAGAGAGCTCCGTGGCGCCTTCCTCGACTTCTTTTTGCATCAACGCGGCTTTCGCTTTGGCCAATTCGAAATCGGCTTCCATCTTCGTCTTCATCTTCTCGCCGCACGCGGCAAAGTCACCGGCGCAGGCTTGCAACTCTGCGCCGGCGGCTTCGGCGTCGGCTTTGAACTTGGCGACGGTCGATTCCAACTCTTCTCTACGCTTCGCAACCATATCTTCTGCACCCAAGGAGAAGGTATCCTCGACGTCGTTGCCCATCTGTTCGAAGCAGGACGGCAAGTCCATGGCGCAGGATTGCATCTTGTCGCCGGCAGCTTTGGCGTCAGCCTGCGCTTTCTCGACTGACGCAGTCACGCACTCCTTGATGGCGTCGGCGTCGCCGATGCAGTGTTGAAAGTGCACGCTGTTCGCCGTCGCGTCTTCTTGCATTTGTTTCGTCATCAATTCCGCTTTCACTTGCAACGCTTCCGCGTCCGATTGCATCTTGGCTTGCATTTTAGCACCGCACGCGACGACATCGCCGACGCAGGATTTAAATTCAGCTCCGGCGGCATCAGCTTTCGCTTGCGCGTCCGCGAAGGCAGATTCCAGTTGCTCTCCGGCGTCTGCGGTACCTAAAGAGAAAGTATCGGTAACATCGCTGCCCATTTCGGAGAAGCACGATTGCATCGAGTCGATCGAGGAAGTGCAAGATTGCAACTTCGCCCACGAAGCGTCAGATTTCGCTTTCGCGGCTTCCAAGTCAGCCGAGATGCACTCCTTGACGGCGTCGACGTCGCCGACGCACTCTTGAAAGTGTTCGGAAGACGCCGTGGTACCTTCTTGGACTTGCTTCGCCATCAAAGCCGCTTTCGCTTGCAACATTTTGGCGTCCGCGGTCATCTTCGCCTTCATCTTCTCGCCGCACGTTTCAAAGTCATCGGCGCAGGCTTGCAACTCCGCACCGGTGGCTTCGGCGTCGGCTTTGAACTTAGCAACGTCCGCTTCCAATTCCGCGGAGGTTTTGGCCATCAAATCGCTGTCCTCCGGTTTGTCGTCGCAGCCGAGCAAACCCAACGTGTCCTTCGCGTCAGACGTGGCTTTCTCGATGCACGCTTGACCGTCAGCGACGCACGCTTCGACGTCGCCCTTCGCCGCTTCGGCATCCGCTTGCGCTTGCTCAACCTTCGCGTTCGCGCAGGCGGCAATCGCGTCGGAAGAACCGGTGCACTCGGAAAACTCAGCCATACCAGCGGTGACGCCGTTGGTCACCGCGGCTTTCATCATTTCCGCCTTGGCTTTCGCCATCGCGGCGTCCGCTTCCAACTTGGCTTTGGCCTTGGCCTCGGTGTCCGTGGCGCACGTAGCAACGTCAGACGCGCACGCTTGCCAGTCCGCACCGGCCGCTTCGGTTTTCGCCTTGGCGTCTTCAAACGCGGCTTGGATGTCCATAAAGACGTCGTTGGTGCCGAGTTGCGACTTGGCGCCCGGCGCCGGCAACGCGGAGACGCACGCCGCCGGATCGGTTTCCGTCAAGCAAGTGAAGCAATCCGACGCGGAAGTTGCGCACTTTTTCAAATCAGAAGTCGTCTTTTCAATGTCCGATTGTGCTTTCGCTTGTGCTTGCTGGAAGCAGTCTTGGACGTCCGACGCGCACACTTGAATGTCCGTGCCGGTTTGCTTGGCGGCGGCTTCAACGTCTTGCGCGGCTTGCGCGGCGTCGTCTTGCGCTTTCTTCGCGCACGCGGCGACGTCGCCGACGCACTCTTGCGCCGGTTCGACCGCATCTTTCGCCGCTTGCGCGGCTTTGGCTTCCCACAATTGCGCCTTGACCTTGGCCAACGCCACGTCCGCTTGCATCTTGTCGACTGCTTTTCCCCAGCACGTTTCCACGTCTTCCGTGCACGCTTGCGCGTCCGTCGCCGCTTGTTCGGCTTCTGCTTGCGCTTTCGCCACGGCGGTTTGCAAATCTTCAATCGTGTGCTTGACGCCGTCTTGAATGGACTTCGAGGCGTCCGTTGCGGCGTCGGTAACCGTCGCCCCGGCGCCTTCAACCGCATCCGTGACGTCCCCGACGACATCCTCCGTCGATCCGAGTTCGCCGACGTGCGTCGCCGCTTTCAACTTATCCATCGCTTCCGTCATTGCCGTCACGCCTTGTACCATCGCGTTCGCGTCTCGGCCCAAATCCGTCATCGTATCCGCGAATTCGTCCAAGGATTCCGTGATCTCCGCTCCCGCTTCTTCCACGCAATCGGATTTTTCCTTGCAGTTTTCCGCTTCCGAGCGAATCTTTGCCGCTTCTTTATATTCGTTTATTCCACGCATTTATTACACATAATAAACAACAACAACGTAATAAAAACAACAACAACAACAGAGAACGTTTAAACGTGTGATGATGATAATCATGAGATTAAGAGAGAGAGAGAGAAGCATTAAGCGGTGAGTTTCGCGAAGCGCAAAGCAAGGTCACAAAAACCCTAAATAAAGAAAAGGGTGTTACATCGACCCCCAAAAGTGGAGGAAACGATGACGAGAAAACGACGACGTTTTGATACGCGAAGAGGACAAAAATCGATTCGCCAACCGCGTAAAGCGCACCGCACGAGCGCAAAGAACACCCCTCGATCCTTTGTTCGTGCGTTTTCTCTATTCACGCGCTTTAAAAAGAAAAGAAAAGATTGGAGATTTTGATCCACCAAAGCGCGGCTCCTTTAAAGAGAAGAATACGAAAACGAAAAGAACTTTCTACGAGAACGCACCAGCTTTGGCATCGTCCAACGCGTCCCCGAGTCTTAACGCAGAACTACCCACGCCATTAGAGATCCTGTTCGAACCAGAGGCGATGGCAAACGCGCAGCCGGAGGCGAGCAACGTCGCGCCGACGAGTCTCTTGAAATTGGAACCTTTTGTTCCATCATTCGATGATTTCGAGAGCAACGGAGCGTCTTCTTTTCCATGCATAGAACTGGTGTTGTTTACGGTACCGTAGACCTTCATCTTGTTACGAGTGTAAGAGTGAGTGTAGTACGGAGAACTTTGTAAACAATGCGTGAGAGTTATAAAAGATGCGTTCTTTAACGTCTTCGAGTCTCGATTGTTGATGCGTTCTTTTGAGGACTAAACGGAAGCCCGCGGGGTCTCTTCGCTGAGGGGGGTTGGTGTTGTTTAGGGTTTTATTAGAAAGCTCTCTTCTTTCGAGAGCGAAGAGATGGATGCGACGCGACGGATGATGCTCTCTCTCTCTCTCTCTCTCTAGATAACAATAATATATAACAGAGTAATTTTTAAACTTGCGCGCGGGATTGTAACAAGACGAGTTTTAAGCGAGTTTCGCCATCGTTCTCGACGACGACGCACCCCTCGACGTCTTGCGCTTTCCCGCCGCAGAGGGTCTCCACGTCGACGGCTAAAGCGCAGAGTTTTTGCAACAAGTCGTCTCGAAACGTCGCGTTCCAGATCAAATCGCACGCGCTGTATTCTGCCGGTTTGGATGAAGTTTCGGAGGTTGGAATGGAGTCGTATAAACCGGCGCCGGCGAAATCTTCTAAATCTTCGCCGTTGGAATCCGAGCGAGCGATGTAGGCCCCGTTCGGAGGCGAATAATACGCCACCGGTTTCGACGGTTGCGACGTGATTTCCAAAACTTGTTTCGTTTTTTTGCACACTCGGAAACCTAACGCGCGTCCGGGGTCGTTTCCAACCAACGCTTCGCCTAAACCGACGCAGATTTCGCCGCACATGATATCCGCGCCGCCGTCTTCCTCGCTCGACGTGGGGTCTTTCGAGTGCAAGACAAACGCGTACTCGGCGTCGCACAATTCCATGTTCAAAACCGCCACGGATAATTCAGTTTCTTTAATACCAACCGCTAAGCGAGAATTGAACGCGCGCTCGGTCCATTTGGACGCCCAGACGCCGCAAATGGATGCCCACAGGTCGTCCACGGAGACTTTATTCGTAGACGATTTTGACGTTTGTTCAATCGCCGCTTCCAACTCTTTCGCGAAATCGTCCGGTAACTCTAATCCCTCGCTCACAACTCTTCTCGCCATCGCTAACGCTTTCCTTCGCAATTCCACGTCGTTCGATTTCGCCGTCGCGGATGCAATTTTTAAGCACGCGTCTAAATTCGCTTTCGTTTCTGGATCTTTCTTCAGCGCCTTCTCAAACGCGCCAAACGGCAAAGCGAAAGAAGCCGGGACGATGACGTTCGCTTTTTCAGCCACTTTCGCCGAGGCGGCTAACGATTGCGATTTCCCACCAACAACGCCCACGGCGTAGGCGTCCGGGAAAACGACCAATTTCCTCGTCGCTTTCGTTTTCGGCACGGAGACGGATTTCTTCTCGCCGCCAGAGGACGTCGCAGTACTACTACTCGTCGACAACAAAGTCTTCGCTTCGCTTTCTTCAACGTTCGTAAACTCAACCGAGTTACCGTCTAAACTTTTCGCAACTGCCACGTACTTAAAATCCTGAGCAATTAACGCGTTCCAAATGTCGTCGTTTTGTACGGACGCTAAGAACGCGCCGGTATTTCTCGCGCGAATCGCGACGTGCGATAACACGTCCACCGGCGTCTTCGTGATGACGCACGAGACGCCTTTCGGAATATCCTCTAAACCGCCGAGCTTTTCGGAAAAGAAAACGACGGGTAGCCCGTCGTCTTTGGTCGTAAAATCTTCGCCTTGCGCGTCTTCCAAGTTTTGGAGGATGACTTTACCCGCGCACTTCGCCAACGCGTCCGGCGACTCGCCGTTGCTCGAAACCAACCACGGCGACTTGTTTTTACACGCGTTTCGAGCGTCGTTGAACGCGGCGTTCGATAATCCGGCGGCAACGAATAACGCGTGACCTCGAACCATCTCTTCTCCAAAGTTCATCAAATACGCGTCGGAAACCGACCCTTTGGCGACCGAGGCGATGGCTTTGGCGGTTTTGTTCGAAACCGCGCACAAAGCGTCCATGTCTTTCGCAATCGCACACGTGACGTTATCCAACGCGGCTTTCATCGTCAACGCCCAAGATTCGGACCATCTCGGGCCACACTCTTCACCTTGCGCGCGTCGTAAATAGTCCAACGATTTTTGCATGTTTTCGGATTCGCCAGTCAACGCGACGTTTTCAATCGCGAGCTCTAACAAAGACAACTTGGAATCTTGGTCCAAGGACGTGAAATCGATTTGTTCGACTTTCGTTCGAAAGAACTTCTCCAACGCCGCGTCGAGCATGACTACGTCGCGGTCCGGTTCCCCGTCGTGTTTCCAGCAGCTCAGCATGCACTTTCTGACCTCGACGATTTTCCCCGGGATCCAATGCGCGTCTCTGTTACCGAGAATGTCCCAGACGCCGTTTCGCGCTTCGTCGGAAATTTTACCTTGCGCGAACCCCATGGCCGTATCGACGTCCGCACCCCCGTGCGTCGTTTTCAAAATCCATAAATAGTGTTTAAACGAGTCAATCATGTGCGGTAAGTGACAGGCTGGTCCGGAAATGCCTTCGGTTCTCCAACCGGCTTTCATGCCGGCTAAATCTTCTCTCGTCAATTTCGCGTTCTCCCACAAGTGCGTCCAGAAATCGTCCCAGTTCCCGGTGTGTAAAAAGTGTAAATACGCTTCGCAAATCTTGATATCGTCCGGCGTCGTGTTTGAGTGTAACTTTTGGTGCCACTGGGCGATGAATCGATCTTCGATGCCCGGTCGGTGGCCTTCTTTAATGCCGTGTTCTCTCATGATGTTCAAAATGCCCAAACGAATATCGTCGCCGTTGCCGCCACCTCTGGCGACGAACTGCATGGCCATTCTCGCGTATTGTCGAGAAGTGCCGTCCGGGTGTTTCGCCGCGACCGATGCCAAGCGACTGGCGATGACTTTTTGCAAGTGCGCCATATCTTTCCCTTGGTAGTTGTGCCCTTCGTACCACGGCAATTGCTTGGTGGAGGATAACCTCAACCACGCCAAAACGATGCCTAAACCTTTATCGTTGCACTCTTTCGCGTCCTCTAACACGTCGTTTAAAAGACATATGCGACTGAACAAGTTTCGGTTATCGGAGCCTTCAAAGTCGCAGACTTTCTTCAACACCGAAGCGCTCGGGTCGTCGCCAAAGATGTCGTTGGAAGCGTCGTCGTCCGATCCTCCGCACGGCGGCGCTCTCACGACGAGCTTCGGGTCTTGCGTCAACGCTTTCATGTCCCCTTCTTCCGCGTGCAACCACTCCTCGCCTCTCGTCAAAATCCCCACAATTTCCGTCACTTCTTTCACGTCTTCTTTCTTCGCGGTAAACTCGAGCTTCCCGTTTCCATCGAACGGCGTTCGACTGGCGATCCCGTCCCCAAACTCGCTCGTATTCGCCGGTTTTATCGCATCCGGCGCCATGATCCACGCGTTCGGATCCTCCGACGTCGTCGTCTTCGTCGCCCAGTGTAAGACCATATTTTCAACACCTTCACCATCGTTACCTTCCACATCGTCCTTCTTCGCCAGCGAAAATGTCACCGAAACGTACACGTCTCCGCTTCCATTCTCTTTAATGAACTCTTTGGATTCGATTTCCATCCGGTGACTTCCACTCGGGTTGAAAACCGACCGACGTTCGAACAGCAGCACTTCCTCTTCTTCTTCGCCGGAAGAACTCCCCGCACCTCGTCCATGTTTTCCTACATTTTTCTTCGTTCTCGTTTTCACTCGCACCTCGGATAAATTTTCAATCACATTCGCACTCGTTGTTGTTGCGCCGCGAGTACTACTCGCGCTGGCTTTTCTTCTCGTCGTCGTCGTCGTTTTCGTCGTCGTCGCTCTTTTTCTCCCAGCAGTCAAAGACGACGACGGTTTCGAAGATGATTTCTTCTCCGACGAGGATGATGATGATGTCTTCGCGCCTTCATCATCACCAGCGGCGGATGCTTTGGGACTCGAGATGGAAACTTTTCGATGATGATTAGTCGTTTTGTTCGCGGTAAAACAGACGCCTCCAAATCCAGTTTTCCTCGGTAAAATCGAAGAAATAAACAGAGACGACATTGATCTTTCGCGGGTAAAGGTGTCGTCGTTCTTTTGTGCGGCAGTACTCACAGCAGCAAAGCGAAAGCGCGTCACTCTGTGACGGAGATGGACTAATCTTTGTGGACTCATTTGGTGAACTTTTGCAAATAGGGTTTAACACCCTAAGTTTGATTCGTGTGTTTGTTCGGTATCTCAACGATGAATGTACGACGTGTATGTGTGTATTTTAGAACTACAAATGAGCTAATGTTGAGTGCGCATGTGGTACTTTAAAGTATTAGCGTGACGATACCTCTTCTCGCACACATCGCATTCGTACGGTTTCTCGTTCGTGTGAATACGCATGTGGCTTTTCAAACTACCAGCTAGAGTAAAACGCTTCTCGCACACATCGCATTCATACGGTTTCTCTTTCGTGTGAATACGCATGTGGATTTTCAAATTACCAGCTAGAGTAAAACGCTTCTCGCACACATCGCATTCATACGGTTTCTCTTTCGTATGTGTACGCATGTGTCTGGTCAAATCGGATGGTTTTGCAAAAACCTTCTCGCAAACATCGCACTCGTACGTTCTCTTTCTCTTCACTCCTTTAGCAATAAAAGCAGTTTCCTCTTCTCGCATCTGATGATTTTGCTCCATCACGACATTGTCGTCACGCGGCACGCTCAGAATCCTTCGCAATCGCTCTACGTCTTCGTCTGCTTCGTCTTCTTCTTCTTCTTCTTCTTTTTGTATCTGATGATGATTTCCCTCGAAATCATCATCCTCGTCAGGAATCTTCGAACACAACACCAAAGGTTCTTCTCTCGCCACCTTCAAAACCGTCCTCGCGTTCACCGCTCGTTTTGGGTGTGGATTCTTTCGTCTCATCACTTGTTCTTGTTGTTGTTCTTAGTAGTAGTAGTAGTAGTACTGCAACGTAAGAACAGATCAAAAGCGAGAGAGAGGAGGAAAAAAAAAATTGAGACGTTTTGAAGGAATTCAATTAAAATTTTTCTCATTTTTCTTCATTTCTAAAGGCAATAGAGAGACATGTGTAAACGATGCCGCTCTTTCTTTTCCTCGTTGAAGAACTCTGAAGACTTCGATGCGAGGAGAAAGGAAGAGGCGTTTAAGAAGCAAAAGGAGGAAAATGTTTCGTCCGAAGTGTTTCCTTGGTCTTCTTTTGAAGATGATGAAGATGATGATGATTCGGACGATGATTCCGACGCGATGATGGGAAAAAGAAAAGTTCTGGTCGTGCTCGGAGGCGGCATCGCGGGCGCGAAATGCGCGGAAGAGTTACTCCGACTGACCGAGGATGTTCCTTTGCATCGTTACGAGATCGTGTTGATCGAAAAGTCAAAAGTTTTGAAGGGTTTCGATGAAGAAACAGGGATGATGACCAGAACAACGGTTTTTTCCTCTCAACGAGAACAAAGAAGGAGATTGCACGTGTTACGAGGAGAAGCGATCAAAATCGACGGCGAGAAACAAACGGTTACGGTGAGAAGAGTGGTGGATAATGAGGATGATGAGGACGATATTGATGGCGAAAACAACAGCACCAAAGTTAAAGTTCGAGAGATTCATTTCGATCAGATTTGTTTCGCCGTCGGCGCGAGGCCGAAACGGTTGTCGGAAACGATATCGACTGATGATGATGATGATGATGATGAAAACGACGATACTATCGTTAAGTACGTGCGAGATACGGAGTCGGCGGAGGTTTTAAGCGACGCTTTGCGAGAGGCTTTTAAGAGAAGCAAAAACGGTAGTGGTAGTAGATGCGGCGAGGAGGAGGAGAAAAAGGAAAAATCGAATACGAATACGACGAGAATAGTGGTTTCTGGGAACGGCGCGGTGGCGTTGGAGATTATCAACGCGCTGGACGAGTCATTTTTGCAAATGGTGAATTCGTTTGTTAAGGCAGAGCTGGAACGCGCGGTTGGTGGTAAGAACCACCATTACCACCGCCGCCGACGGATGATGATAGAAGCCTTGAAGCGAATGCAAGTCGTGTGGGTGGTGAAACACGAATCTATCGGAGACGCTTTATTCGATCGCGACGCGAGCGCGTTCTTATTGGAGCACAGACGGGCGAGACGAGAAACGGCGCGACGTAAAATTCTTGGCGAAATAGAAGAAGCGCGGGTGAAGAGGGTGAATAAAAACGACAACGGCGACTACCACAGCCGCCAGCGAGGAGAAAAAGAGGAAACGACGACGATCATTAAAAAGGAAAACGACGCAACGACTGAAAAACAGTTCACGTTTGACGAGAAGATTTCATATCCGCGACGTCGCGGTGCGTTTGGCGCGACGTTGCGCGCGAAGACGTCCTCGGCTGGTCCCGATTGGTTCAAACGCATCAACGCGTCTTTGCATTTTGATGACATTTTTGATGACGAGAAAGATGCGATAGAAGTAAAAATGAAAAGAAAAGAAGGAGAAGTAGTAGAAATAGATAACGAAGACGACGACAGAGATAACGTCGAAGAGAAAGAAAACAACCAAAACGAGGATTTAGACGCGTGCTTAACATCCGTAGTGAACGTTCTGTTCGAGACGGACTGGTTGTCGATTGAAACGAACTGCGAAATCAAAGACGTCGTCCCTTTCGTCGAGAATGGGTGTAAAAATGCCACCGTGCACTTGACGAGCAATACATCAGTCTCTGACGTCGTCGTGGTTGCCGCGTGCGTTGGGGTCGAACCAAATGGATGCGATTTGTTCGGAGACGAAGCTACCGCGAAGGAAACGTTTGGATTCGTTAAAAGTGACGGGAACAACAACATGTTTATCACCGATGGCATGCGCGTCACGGAAACGTTCGAGCTCGAGTTATCAAACAAACCAAACGTATTCTTCGCAGCCGGAGACTGCGCGCTTTGCGAACGGCGAAACGAGGACAAATCGACAAATTGGTTCCAAATGCGTTCGTGGTCGCAAGCCGCGCAAAGCGGCGCGCAGTGCGCGAGATCGATGTTACGAGTGGACGGCTACGAGTACGGATTAGGTTTCAATTTTGAGCTGTTCACGCACTCGACGACGTTTTTCGGCTTAAAAGTCGTCTTGTTGGGAAGCTTCAATTTGCAAAAATTTCTCCCGGAGGCGGACGAGAAGGACGTGAGAATACTCTCGCGAAAGTTTATCGACGACGACGACGCTAGTGGGACGAGCAACGACGCAGCGGGTAAAAACAAAGAAGATGTTTTCTCCTCTTCTTTGTGCTCGAATTCATCGTTTATTCGCGTGGTCACTTACAAAGGCAAAGTCGTCGGCGCCGTTCTCGTCGGCGAAACAAACTTGGAAGAAACGTTCGAGAACTTAATCCAAGACAAAATCGACGTCTCGCACCTCGAGAGCGACTTGTTAGACCCAGACGTGGACATCGAAGACTACTTTGATTAGAAAACGTAGCAGTAGTATCAGGCTATTTGATGATGACTCTCTACCCGCGGCGTTTGATTACAAGGCTATAATAAACAAATCACACAACAACATATACGCAAACACACACACACGCACACACACACTCCTAAACGAAACTATTATATCTCTTGTTCTCAGTGAGGTTTCGGCACGAACCCGTCCACGGCGAAATTCCTCGTCGCCGCCGGTATCTTCACCCGAATCCCGTCGATCTCCTCCTTCGCTATAATTTGGCACCCCAATCGACTCGTTTCGGTCAAACCGAACGCTAAATCGAGCATATCGTTTTCATCATCGCACGCCTCCGGAAGCTTATCGAACACGTTCTGATCTTCGACGACGACGTGACAGGTCGAGCACGCCAACGACCCTTCGCAGGCGCCTTCGAGCTCGACGTCGTTGTCGTGCGCCGCTTCCATGAGAGATTTCCCGATTTCCGCGTTCACGGTGATTTCCTCGCCCGTTTTCTCCGTGAACGTGACTTTAATCGTGTTCTTTTTTGTCTCTGTTTCGTCTTTACTCCTGCTTTCGCTCGTCGCGCTGCTCCTCCTAAAACTCCTCCTAAAACTCCTCCTACTCAAACTCAAATCTTCATCCATCCAAAAGGTCTTCTTTGCCGGGGTGGGTGTGGTCGCACACCCGACCGAAGAAGGGGGCGACGTCATACACGATGAATAATACGAATAAAAGCACCGAGTGCACTGCGAGGAGGAGGAAAGTGCTCGTCTCAGCGCAGACACAGAACGCATCATTTTTGGATACATTGGATGACGACAGAGACAAACTTTTGTTGCGCGGGTTTATGTTTCTCTGTTTATTCTATAATGTGTTGTTCTCTCGCCTCTCGTGCAAAAAACTACGAGTCGTTCTTGTCGCTCAAATCTAACTCTCTCTCTCTCTTCTTGCCCCCACGCGTTTGCGTCTGAGTCGTAAATGGTAGTAAAGCGCTCCTTTGTTCAAAGCGCGTCTTCTTTTGTGTGGATGCGTTGGAAAAACGACAGACCGCACAACTCGTACGCACGGAATACTTTTATAACAACGAACAAACTTAATTAAAGATGAGAGAAAAGAATCCGCGTCCTGAGCGCGCGGAATGCGCGAAAACGAAGGTGGTTAGGAGTGTTACCAGAGAGGAGAGAGAGGGAGAAGCACGACCGGTTTTGGGGTTGTTCTGTTTGCGAATACCTGATGATGATGATGATGATGATGATGATGAAATCGAGGCGCAAAATGAGACGCGAAAAGAAAAGACGACCGAGAAGACGAAGAGAGGAGGGAAGAGAAAGAGAAAGCAACGACACGAGTGCGGTGTTTGTGAGAAGGTGTTCGTGAGCGCGTCCCAATTGGCCACACACGTGCGTATTCACACGAACGAAAAACCGTACGAATGTGATGTGTGCGAGAAGTGTTTTCGTGATTCTAGTACTTTGATAAGGCACAAGCGTACGCACACGAAAGAGAAACCGTACGAATGTGATGTGTGCGAGAAGCGCTTTCGTCATTCTAATACTTTGCAAAGCCACAAGCGTATTCACACGAACGAGAAGCCGTATAAATGTGTCGTGTGCGAGGCGCGTTTTAATCAACTTGGTAGTTTGCAAAGCCACATGCGTATTCACACGAAAGAGAAACCGTATGAATGTGATGTGTGCGAGAAGCGTTTTCGTCATTCTAATGGTTTGAAATACCACAAGCGTATTCACACGAAAGAGAAACCGTACGAATGTGTCGTGTGCGAGAAGCGTTTTACTCAATCTAGTCATTTGACAAACCACATGCGTATTCACACGAACGAGAAACCGTACGAATGCGATGTGTGCGAGAAGAGGTATCGTCACGCTAATACTTTAAAGTACCACATGCGCACTCAACATTAGCTCTTTTTGTAAACACGGGTGAGCTGTATATCTGTATACGTTGTATCCCATCACGCGCGCGCTGGTAGATGCGAAGATACCTCTTTGAACGACGAATAATCGAACACAAGTGAAATGTTTTCCTTTCGTACTTCCTCACAACTCACACTTATCACACAACAGAGAGTAAGTAAACGCGACGACGAGATGTCCTCCTCCTTTTCCTCCTCCTCCGATGCGAACGAGACTCACAACAACACTACCACTAAAAAAGTCTACCGTCACGTCGACGTCGTCTCGTTCGCGGATTTGTGCCTCGAAGCGGACGTTATTTTGGAATCTTCGTTGAATTCCAATTCGGGAGCCGCTTCTGCGCGTTTTCATCAGAATCACTTTCCCGAGAAGATTAAGAAGACTAAGAAGAGTGAGAGCGGTCACAATATACCAAAAGAGGTAGCAGTGGTGTTCCCTCGATCGATGACAAAACGATTGAAATCTGCGTTCGCGCTCTTTAGTTCTTCCTCTTTAAATGAAATGCACTCGAACGAATGGCTCGACCTCTTGCGACGGTCCAATTTGCTTTCGAATGGTTTCTCGGACGCGCGAGCGAGGAGATGCTTTGAAAACATCATTTTTGCCGGTGATATTACTCCCGACGACGAGGACGAGGACGAGGATGAAAACAACGACGACGAAAGGAGAAGAAGAAGAAGAGCATCATCGATTAACTTTGATCAATTTTTGCATTTGCTCGCTCGTAAGGTGGCGAAAGCGTACGACGTGGAGGCGAAAGTGGTCGGGAAGAGAGTGGTGGCGACGGCGTACGCGATTGAGAGGAGGAGAGAAGAGGAGGCGCAGAAAGAAGAAGAAGAAGAAGAAGGAGAGAGTGATGATAGTGATGGGTATCGGGAGTACGACGGGTACGAGAACAACGTCTTCTCAAATCGGCGGCGCGCGATGACGACGATGCCGCCTCCCGCGACGACTCATCACACTACCGCCGCCGCCGCTTCGTCTTTGGGGGTTTCGTCGTGGAGAGTACGAGCGGCAGAGTACACGAATAGATATAGAAATAGCAACAACAACGATATCAACTTTGCGCGCGCGTTGATAGGATACCAAAACAACGAGGCTGACGAAGACGCCAAAATCGAGGACATCCTCCTCGAAGACCGAGTCGCGAACGCTTTCGAAACGACCTTTTGCCAATCCTCCTCTAAAACGACACGAACACCACCAACAACAATAAACGAACGCGAATTCGTCAAAATATGCGCCGCCTGCGCTTTCATCGGCAACGGTTTCACCGCGTCTAACTGCTCGGACCTCGCCTTTGCCGTCGGTCGCGAAAGAAGACAAAGAAGAAGAGGAAGAAAAGGGGAAGAAGAAGACGAAGACAAAGAAGGACTCACCGGGGTAGAAATTGATGCTCGCGCATTTCTCGTAGGTTTGCGCGAGATAGCCTCGGTGCACGACGTCTCCTTCGCAGACGTCGCCGAAAGAGTCTCGCGGTTGTTGTCCTCGAATTCTTCGTCGTCTTCGCGTCGTCGCGGAGGACAATCGACAAAAATTTCATGGGGGTAAAAGCAGCAGCTTTTGACTCTCACATCGTGCTCCTCCTTGTCTTTCAATTTTGCGCGCATCTTAGTACAATATAGTGTGTTCAGTGTACGAATAAAGTAGTTTGTAATGTATCGCTCGAATAGGAAAAATCCTCACATTTTTCCCCCATGGAGTCGGTTCCCACGTCTGGCGAGGACCAACACGCGACGACGACGACCGTCTCAAAAGACGCCGACGACCTCGTCTCTGAAATCCACTCTCAAAACGTCGAGTGTTTCAATTCGACGACGAGTTGGAAGTTCGCCGTGACCGAAGGAAGGGACAGCCCGTTGTTGTCGTTAGATTCCGAACTCGACGACGGGGAACTTTTGCTCACGATTCAGTTCAATCAAATCGTCCATTTACGAGCTGTTCTCGTCCACGGGAAAAGCGGAGAAGAACGTATTTCCGCACCAAAACGCGTGAAGCTCTTCGCGAACAAACCAAACTACCAATTCGACGACTGCTCGACGAAGAAAGCGACGCAGAAACTTTTGTTCGAGGAGAACGAGTGCATATTTAGGGAGGGAAATGCGATGGAGTTGGACCAGGTGAGATTAGAAGACGAACGAGCGTAAACGCGGGAAAGAAGAGATGCGGATGGTTTTGTTTTGTTTTTATCCGCTTTTATGAGTGTTGTTGTTGTTGATTCCTCGCGTTTTCGAGTTTGCGCTTTTTTGTTTGAGTACGATGCGTACTCTTGAGTGTACCGATACGCGCTCGCGTCGCGATATTGACCATTTCTTTCTTTCTCCTCCGAACAACGCAGACGCTGTTCAAAAACGTACGAACGATCACGTTGTTCGTGGAGACGAATCAAAGCGACGCGCCGCAGACAAAAATAGGAAAGATTCAGTTTTTTGGCACGCCGGTGCACACGACGGATATGTCGGCGATTAAAAAATGCTGAGGCGCGTAAGCGGCTCGATTTTTCCTCTCTCTCTCTTTGTACGTACGAGAAGACGAGAGAGGAAACGAGTCGCGGTGCGCGAGCGCCGAAGAACATTATATATTAAAGAATAGCATCCATAAACAAAATTCGCAAAGCCTGAAGAAGTTAAGGAAGAACAAAGTGACGACGCCGACGATAAAAAGATGACCATCAAAATCTCGAGCGATCCGATAGTTACTCCTCTCTACTCGCGAGAGCGAACGAACACCCACCGCGAGGAGGAAGATTTTCAGACGATTCAAGGAAAACCGTCCTCCTCAGATTAGATAAAGAACACAAGAACACACACACACATAAAATAAGAGTGTTTACGTTGTACAGTAGCATTACAAAAGGTTTGATTTCAAATCCGATCTCCCGTTCGTATTTCGAGCGCTTTTCTCTCCAAAATGCCTCAAAATTGACCCACAAAAGCACATTAAAAAATGAATCGACCACCCCCACCGCCGATCGCTCTCTCCGCGGTGTTCATCGTCAACCTCCGCGGGGACGTGCTCATCGAACGTCAGTATCGATCTGACATTTCTCGGGCGAACATCGATATGTTCAAGACGGAAATATTATCGCTCTCTGCATCGTCTTCGTCTCCATTCTCGGGACGGAAATCATCGAACGGTTCGAGTAAACGGAACGCTTCGACGACGTCTTCGAAAGTGGACGTGCAATCCTTACCGCCGATACGAATCGTCGGACAAATTCGGTTCATGTTCATTCGAGTCGCGAATGTATACGTATGCGCGGCGACGAAGTTGAACGTGAACGTGTCCATGTGCTTTGCGTTTTTGAAAAGTGCGATCGGGACCTTTCAGGTACGTGTTGAACTGTTCTTCGTTCTGTTGTTGCGCGTTTTCTCGCAATCGCATTCACATTCACATTCAATCTTTAAAGAAGAAGAAAAAGACCAAGAAATACAATTGACTGACGTTGACTCTCTCTTCTCTCTTTCTTTCTTTCTCTCTCTCTCTCTCTCTCTCTCTCTCTGCGTTTCGCATCTGGCTCGCGCGGAATCTTATTACCGCAGTCGTACTTTGGGAAAGTGAACGAGAACAACATCCGGGCGAACTTTGTGTTGATGTACGAGTTGTTCGACGAGATGTGCGATAACGGGTACCCGCAGATTACGTCCGCGAATGTTTTGAAAGAGTTCATCACGCAGAAAGCGTCGGTGATGGATATCATCGAAGGGAAATTAAATAATAAAGGAGACAACGGACAGATGAAGTCGTCGAAGGACGAGAAAGAAGAGGCGATGAATAAATTAGCGAGAGCGAGGCAGACGACGGCGCAGATGACCGGGTCAGTGCAATGGAGACGGCCTGGATTGATGTATAAGAAGAACGAGGTTTATTTAGACGTGATTGAGACTATTTCGTGCGTGACGCAAGCGAACGGCGACGCGTTGAGAGCCTCGTGTAGCGGAAGGGTGGTATTGAACGCAAAGTTGAGCGGCATGCCTGAGTTGAAGATTGGATTGAACGATAGTTTAGGCGACGAGGCAAAAGGTGGTAGGAATAACCCGAACGCCGTTGACGCCGGAGGGGATGGTAAGGATATGGATTTCCGAGGGATGCCCTCTTTAGCGAATAAACGAAAAACGATCGATTTAGACGACTTACAGTTTCATCACTGCGTGAACCTCTCGAAATTCGCCAGCGATAAAGTCGTCTCGTTCGTACCACCCGACGGTGAATTCGAACTCATGAAATATCGAGTGTCTGAAAACGTTTCGATTCCGTTTAAAGTCATCGCCATGGTGAAAGAATTAGGGCGAACGCGAGTCTCCGTGGACGTCATGTTCAAATCGGTGTTCGCGGAGAAAACCGTCGCGCAAGAAATAAGAGTCCGCATACCGGTCCCGCCAAACACCGCGAAAGTGAAAGTCTTGTGTTCTGGGGGCAAAGCTCGATACTTAGCCGGAGAGGAGTGCTTGCGATGGAAAATAAAAAACTTACCGGGAGGGAAGGAAATTCGATTACAAGCCGAAGTCATGCTCGTCGGCTCGATCAAAGACGACGCGGACGACAAGAAATCCGGAGGGAAGAAAAAATGGTCCCAACCGCCTTTAAACGTCCAATTTTCCTTGCCAATGTTCACCGCCTCCGGTCTCCGCATTCGCTTTCTCAAAGTGTGGAGCAAAGAAGGATACGAAGCTACGAAATGGGTTCGCTATTTAACCACCGCCGCGTCGAGCGGTCACCAAGGCGCTTCGGCCAAGCTCACCTCGAGCGAGCGAAAGAAAATGGGAGATTTCGAGGTTCGCGTGAACAGCGACGGGAACAACAACAACATTTATAACGATAACGGCGAAAACTCCGTCTTAAACGATAACATCGGGCGGTTGAGGATTTCGAATTGAGAATGATACCTCGTCGTCGTCATAGAACGTAGCAGAGCAGCAGAAACGTATTCATTGTAGTACCGATCGTCGATCGCGTACACGCGTATTTAGAAGCGCTTTAGACTCAAATCCCTTCGTGTTTGCCTCACAAAGTTTCCCCTGAATTGCTCACACAAACAACATAACAACAACAACAACAAAACCGCTCTCACGTACTGCTCGCGCTAAAAAACAATAATGCTCCGCACGCGCCTGGTCTCCTTCTCGGTCGGATTCGCAACCGCTTCCGCCATCGGTTTCTACAAGTTACGCGGAGACATCGAAAAGTCGACGCAGATTTTAGTGCATCAAGTGAAAGACGCGGAAAAAAGGTTACAGTTTTTAGAGGGAGAGATGGAGAAGATGAAGACGAAAGCGTAACGACGACGAAGCAGAACGCGCGCGTAGAGTTTAAATAGATGTTGTAGCGGAACGTTTACGCGCGTTTGTAGTATTCTTTCTGTGCGTATCAGTCGTCGTTTCTTTTCCCCTAATTTTGAGTATCAAAGAAGAGCTTGTCTTCGTAATACTCGAGCGTGTTCTCGGCGAGGGTTCGAACATTTCGAGTCTCGACCATGAAGTCGTCGCTCGGAAACGCGCGGAAGAGCTTTGGCGAACTCAACATTCCCGCAAATTTCGATTTGCCGAACGCGGATTGGATTTGTTCTGCGAGAGCGTTTTCGTCGTTTACGTTTACGTCGGCGGCGCGAAGCTTTCCGGTAGTATCGGCTTCTTCTTTTCTTCTTCCGGGGTTTTCTTTTTTTTCTTTCTCGATGGCGTGTAAAAGGAACAGAGCTTGATCCATGCATCCTCGAAAGGCGGCGTCGTGGAGCGGTGTTTTACCGTTCGCGTCTGGTTGCGAGAGGAAGGTTTGGACGAGAGACTTGGATTCGAAGAGAATTTTTAACGTCTGCGTCGATCGCGAGTTGATCGCGGCCAGATGGAGGATAGTTTTCCTCGTCGCGTTTTCTTCCACGCCCGGGTCGGATTTTGCCATTCCTGTCGAAGGATTTTGACGCAGGAATATATCTCTTTTTTCCATCAGCAAACGAATAACGCGGGTTTGTTCTGCGATGTCTTTATCGCCGTCGATGTCGAAATCTCGAAACTGTTGTTCGATGGCGTAAAATAAAGCCGTCCAGCCGCATTTAGATCGGATCGACGAGCTGTTTGCGCCGTATTTTTCAATCAATAGTAACGCACAAGAAGGTGAAAAGCTGCAGGCTGTCATCAACGGCGTGCGGTTCCCGTCGTGGTTTTGTGAGAATCCGTCTCGACAGTTGATGATATCGTTCAGTTTGTGCGTATACTCTTCTCGCGACGACAGATACTCGATGACTAATTTCATCGTTTTAGGGGAGTCGTATCGTGCGCAAATATGGAGCGCGTTTCGTCCGTGATCGTCTAACGGTTCGCTCAAGCCCGTGCCATCAAATTTGACATAATTTTCCAGCATAAATTTGACGAGTTGAAAACTTTCGTCGTGCGGATGTCGCAACGCGGCGGCGAGGAGGCGCGGAGTAAATCGAAGCGAGGACATATATTCTTCGCGATCGGGATTTTTCGCGACGCGCAGAATCATCATATTTTCGAGATGAATTATACGTTTCAAACACGCCAAATCGTTCATTGTGCACGCGTGAACTTGCATCAGTACCATCTTCTCCGGGTCGTCGACGTCCTCGACGTGACGACAAAATAGGTTTCTCTTAAACGTTTCAATTTGCACTGAAAGCTTTTCCTCTTTACTGGATGATTTCCCCGCGACGACCGCTTCCTCAATCGGACGCAAAAAAAGGTGCTCAAACAATCTCTCCAATCGTTCGTTCCCGCACATCCCGAGCACGCAATAGACATTCATCGGCGTCAACCCGTTCGCGTCTCTTTCCTCGTAAACGTTCTTATCCTTGAGAAAAAATTGAAACGCCTTTTTTTCTATTTCTTCACAAAAGGTGTTCTGAACTCTGTTTTTTTTGGATACTAATAACGCGGCGACGCAATGCGCGAGAGCGACCACGTCGTGCGCAGTTTTCACCACCACCACTTCCTCTTCTTCGCGTCGTTCGTTCGTTTCCGTCGTTGTGGTCATTATTAGTATATTCGTTCGTTCGGTAATATTTTAGAGAAAGATCTGATCTGAGAAAACTTTTTTTTTTTGATTTGACAGCTCCAAAATACGAGCAAAAATACGAGAAAAACGGCTGTTTTTACGCCTCGGAGAAAAAAAACAATTTCATATCACATCTCTTCTTTTGTGACGACACGTTTGAGAGAAAGAAGAAGAAGAGGGGAAGTCTTTTGTGTCGCGAGACAAAAAAACGTCGTCATGTCTGGAGTGACGACGAGAGCGCAGAAAAGGCGGATCGGGGAGAGAAATTTGTGGAGTTTGATCGTGAAGTGCGACGATATTTGTTTCACACATGTGCTTCCGAGATTGAGTGCGACTGATATCAAGTTCTTGTACGGGGTGAATACGGAGGCGAGAGCGTTGATTAAGAGATCGTCTCGCGCGGGTGATTTGAAAGAGGAGTTTAAAGTTGAAGAGATGTCGTCGATATCGACTTTGGAGTTTGTGTGGGAGAATAAATCGTCGTGGACGAGTTGGTGGACCGAAACATATTTCTGCGATCAAGTTGCTCTAACGAATAAACTCGAGTTGCTCACGTGGGCGCGAGAGGAGAAAAAGTGTAAGTGGGATGAAGGGACGATTAAAGCGGCCGCAAAACGAGGTAATCTGGAAATGGTACAGTATTGCGTTGCAAATAAGTGTCCTATCAATACGGGAGCGTGTGCAGAAGCTGCCCGAAACGGTCATCTCGAGGTACTCAAATACTTACGCGAAGAAGTGAAAGCGCCTTGGTCCGTGGGTCCTGCCCATTGGGCGGCTTTAAATGGTCATCTCCACATACTTGAATATCTTTTTGAGCGTAAATTTGATCAATTTGACGTATTGGCGTGTAGGAATGCAGCCATGGACGGCCACTTTGACTCTTTTTTTTTAAAAGTACTTGCGCGAAACCGCCAAAGCGCCTTGGAACTATAAGGCCGTACGACAAGCGCACTACTACAACCACACCGAATGTTTACAATACCTCCTCGACAACAACTGTCCATTACCATCCGGTTGGCGATACGAGCATGGAGAACTGCACACATCGTAATCATCATCTAAATCATCATAAACACATACATTTAACATACTTCCTGTACTCAACGTTTATATAGGATATTTTTCACTCGATTCCCTTCTGACTCGAATCCCACACAACAAAAGGGAGACACGATACGAGAATGAAAGAACCTCCTCCTCCTCTTCACCCAGACGAGGACAAAAACGAGAGCGACGAGAGAAAAAACATCGATCAAAAGGAAGGGGACGTTGAAATTGCCGCCATTTCTTCCTCCTCTTTTAACGAGAATACCCTCACTCGCAACACCAACAACCACATCGTCGGGGAAAAATCACCATCCTCCTCGGAGGATGAAGCGGACGCGTTCAAGCGTTTCCTCGCCTCCGTGGCAATCTTAGCCGGCACCGCGGTCGGTTCTGGATGCCTCGCCATCCCTCGAGCGACGGCACCGGCTGGAGTGATCCCGTCCTCGGCGGCGATGACGTTAGTGTGGGTGTTTTTATGCTTCTCTGCGTTGTGTATCGTGGAATCCGTGGAGGCAACCAGTCGGAAGATGAAGAGGGCAGACGTGCCTTTACACGTCGTCGCGGAACAGGTGAGATGTTTGTTTTCTGTCTTTAATTCGTAGTAAAAAACTATTCTTTTCTCAGACGCTCGGTAAGAAATGGGCGAAACTGGTTGGGTTTTCGTACGTGCTCGCGGTGAACGCGGCGTTGTGTTCTTCGCTCTCCAAAGGCGGGTACATCTTAGTGGCGTCGACGTTAGGTAAAGAGAACGGCGGCGGTTTGAACATGCTCGCCGGGTGGGCGTATTGCGCCGCGGTGTGGTTCATAGGTGTTTTGTTAGCGATTCCAGCGTTTGTGGACGGAGGTAAAATTGCGGAAAATGTAAACAGTATCGCGACGAGTGTGATGGTTTTAGCGTTTTGCGGGTTGTTGACCATCGCGGAGGAGCGGATATTGCAATCGAGTAAAGGCGTGGTGGCGGAAACGATCGCGAAGAAAGATTGGTCGAAAGTCTTGAAAGCGGTGCCGGCGATTTTTCAAACCTTGAGTTTTCACTTCGTCGTACCCGTGGTGTGCACGAAGTTACACCACGAGAAGAGGAGATGCAAGTTAGCGGTTATTTTAGGGAGCGCGATACCGCTGGTGATGACGTTGTTGTGGAACTTCGCGGCGACATTTTTACGGATCACGCCGTCAACCGCGAACGTCATATCGCCGGTTGTCGACATATCGCCGTCGTCTGGTGTCGCGACGAACAACATCGCACAGGCTATACTCGATAGAAATAGAAACAGAGGAGAAGAAAGTGGAGAGAGAGAAGACATCGGCGAGGGCGAGTTTGATCTCATCAAGTCCACGTCTTTATCGCCGAGTGAAGTTGAAGATGAATTCAACAACAAGGAGAAGAAAAAGACGAAAACGACGACCACGACCACGGTGACGACGACGAAAACGAGCACGTCTGCGTTAACGCCGGAAGAGTATAACAAAATTCGTGAAATGGCCAGAGAAGAAGAGAAAAGAGGTTCGAACGAGAAGGACGAGATTGTGCGAGAAGAAGTGCGAGAGATTATAGACGTAGCAGAAGATATCGCGGCTTCGGCGGAGACGGCTTCGACGAGAACCACGACGACGATAGATGATGAAAGTGATAGCGATAATACGAAGGGCAAAATCGATGGTGGCGGTGGCGGCGGCGGCGAAGAACAGATATCATCCTCGGGAGGCGTTTTTGGAGAAGATGCGGAAGAAGAAGAAACGACGTTGGTTTCGCCGAAAGATATCATCGTCGAAAAAGACGAAAACGATGAAACCGTCGTGGTCATCGAAGAAGACGTGGACAAAAGCACTTCGGAAGAAGAACGAGACGGCGAAGTGTTTTCCGCGTCTTCTTCCGCGTCGTCGTCCTCGATGGACGGTGGCGATGTGAGTAACGCCGCGTCAACATCTGAAAGCAGCGAAGCATCGAAGACCGCGCCGTTGGTGACTGAAAAAGAGACGAAGAAAGCGTTGACTGCGTTGGCGGCGGTTTTCGAAGGCGAAACGCCGAAACCGGAATCCGTCGTCAAGGAAGAAACGCCGCAATTAGTTCAACACACGGTGAAAGCTTTAATGAGCGATCCGAAGGAAGCGGCGGCGAAAAGTAAAAATGATGCAAAAGAAATGTTGGCGTTCGAGCGGGCGTTAATCAGCGACAAGAGTAAGCTCGACGAGTTCGTCGAAAGAGGCCCCGGAGAGGAGTGGAACTCGGCGTTGGAGAGCGATATCGACGATGCGCTTGCAAACTTGGGAAGAGAGAGTTCAGATGATGATGGTGGCGGTAACGACGAGGCGGATACGGATACGTCGTCGCCGAATGCGTTGGAGGAGGAAAGTCTTCTCGACGATGGAATTCACCGCCGCTCGAAAACCCGACGGAGAAATTTACTCTGGAAGATTAAAATTCGGCGCGTATTCCACCACCACCGACACGAAAGCGACGACGCTTCCAAACCGGCGCCAATCGATCCCGTGCAAGCGTTACTGGAGTCGGGAGGCACCATCGTCGAAGTTTTCGTCTGGCTGTTCGCCGGATCGGCGGTGGTGACGACCATCATCGGCTCGTACCTCTCGCTCGCTTCGGCGTTTCAAGCCATCTCGTACGATTTCGGCTACGGCTGCGGCGTGTTTGCGCGACGTTCGCGAAAGGCGTTCAGGAAGAAATCTTTAGCGCTCTTCTCGAATTTAGTCACCAGCAACCCGTTCGCGCCCGCCATCGGCGCCGGTAGCGATCATCACTCCATACCGACGAAGAACGAGTGCGAATACTACGGGCAATTTTTCATCGTCGTCGCTGCGGTCGCCCCGTCCGTTATCGTCGCGTGTCACGGACCGGAATTATTCTACGGCGTCGTCAAATTTAGCGGCGGCTTTATCATTCCTCTGTTATATTTATTAGCGCCGGCGATGATGGTTCGCGCGACGAGAACTGGGCATTGTTTGACTGGATTAGTCGATTTAGATGCCTATAAAAACGTCGTCACGGATGAAGATGAACGAGGAGGAAAATCATCATCGACGCCGTCGTCCTCGATGAAGAGAAACCAACAAAATCCCATCGTCAAAGCCTCGCCTCCGTTTGGGTTAGACGCGCCGATATGGAAAGAACGCGATCGATCGATGCCGATGACTTGGGGTGGAGATTTAAGTCTTCTCGCGTTGGCCGCGGTCAGTTTAGGATTAGTTTTAGCGAATACGTATACGTATTTAGTCGACTATTTGTTGTAAATTTAATTAAGAAGAGAGTAGAGTCAATGATGTGTTGTGAACGTTGTTGTTTCTAAACGCATGTTTTATATATAAATTTACGCCTTCATCTCTACATCGACGGCGGCAGACGACGACGGCATCGCCGACGATGGTCCACCACTCGTAATCTCCCCCGTCGCGGTGACCATGGTCATTTGCTCCACCCCTTTCTCGCTAACAATCTTAATCAAAAACTTCTCCGGCGCGACGACCAATCTCTCCTGAATCTCCGCCACGCATTTCTTCACCAACTCTAAACTTTGCGCTCTGGACATGTTTGGCACCCAGTGCTTATCGAACAAAGACAAGGAAAACATCCCTCCGTACCCGTGTCCGCTCGAATTCACTTTATGCATGGTCGCTAAATAGTCCAAAAAATACAACTCCGGTCCGCTCTGGTCGTCGTACCCGGCGAACAAACCGTTCACTTGATACGGCCCCGATCTCAGCGCTTTCGCGAGCTCGTTCCTCGTCCAATGCGCCGCCGCGGATGTCGACAACGATCGTCCGTTTTTCAATCGGTACAAATTTAAGTTACACTTCACGAATTCTCCGAAATTCGAGACGTCGCCTTTCGGTCCGGAGAGCGCGAAAAGTTTCGTTTTGTCCAGTTGGAGGATTTTGTCCTCGTCTGATTTCTGGACGATGATTTGTTGCACCGAAGTCGTGTCCGCGCACACGACGACAAAGTTCGACCCGACGAATGCAAATTGACTGTCCATTTTTACGAAACGTATTCAGTAGAAACACCTCCTCTTTTGCTTCTTCTTCTCCCTAAAGCTTTTAGTCGTGAGTCTATTTCAATCTCTTCAACGGAGGATTTGAGATGAGATCTCTCCGGTGAAATTTTCTTCCAATTTTATACACGCTTGACGACTTTGTTTCTTCTCACGCCGAAAATACCTGTATTGCAGGTTTTCAAATGCTCTATAACGCGTGCTTCGAATGCTGTCGTTTTGCGATGATGTGTGCCGTTGGTGTTGCGTACGCACAAAAGGAATACTGTGTGGTGTGATTCTCTTCTATGCCTCTAACGAGTGCTTCAACAACCATCATTGTAAAAACCCTAAACGAACGAAACCGAACGCTCCGTCGAAAACACACTCGTTAGTACTCACACGGACGGGGTTTTGTTGTCGTTGCAAAATTGAACTCTTCAGTCGTTTTTGTTGAAACCGAACGGGAAGAAGAGAAGAAGAACGCTTCTTCTTCTTTGAAAGAACGAACTTTGTTCTCGTTTAAGAGAGAGAGTTTATTATAATTTAAGACACAACGAACAACTTAAAGAGAGATGGGTGAAAAGGACGCGATTAACGATGATGATGATGAAAAGAAATCGTACGCGATGGTGTGCGCGGCAAACATGAACCGGTCGATGGCGGCACACTGCGCTTTGCTCGAAAAAGGATTATTAAACGTTTCATCGTTCGGCGCGGGGTCGTCGGTGAAAATTCCAGGCTCGACGAAAGACGATCCGAACGTGTACCAATTTGGAAAAGCCACGTATGCAGACATAAGGAAAGATTTGATTCGTTTGGACGAAAACGCGTACAGACAGAAAGGATTGATCGACATGCTCGAACGGAACATGCGCGTGAAAGAAAAACCAGAACGGTGGCAAGATAACAGCGACGAGAAAGAATTCGACGTGGTCGTGTGTTTCGAAGAGAGGGTGTTTGATTTAGTGTTGGCGGATATGCGAGAAAAGAACGCGAAAGGAACGCCGTGTTTGGTGATTAACTTGGACGTGAGAGATAGTCACGAAGACGCGGTGAACGCGGCGCCGATGGCGCTGAAGCTGTGCGAAATGATCGAGAAGTGCGAAGATTGGGAGTGCGAAATCGATGAAATCATAGATCAGTTCGAAGAGGAAGTTGGGATTAAACCTTTATATTCCGTTTGTTACTATTAGCTTTTTATTACGTACCAGTAGCGCCGCCGCCAAAATTATAATGTTATAGAATGTGTTTGTATACTACGAGTAGTAAACGGCGACAGTAGAAATTACTTTTTTTGGAAAAGCAAAAGCCGTTTGGCGAACCCAATCGCCGAGCCGATGTATCCTCCTCCTCCTTCTCCTCCTTTGTTGTTATTATTAACGTTACCGCTATTACTTTTCTTTCTCCGCGACGAAGAAGTATTCGCTCGTCTCGCGCCGCCAATGCGACCGACGCCGTAGTGGCCGACGTCGAAGTTGTCGTCGTCGTCGTCATCGCTATCGCCGTATTCGTCCGACGACGCGTTGTAATAGTCGCTCCCTTCGGAGACTTCGGACATACCCGGGAAATATTCGTTGGCGCCTCTCAATCCGAGCAAGTTTTTCAAAACCGCGTCGCAGACGGTTTTGCGATCGCGAACGTTACTGATTGGCATGCCTCGTTCGTCGGTTAATATGAATCGGTGGACTTCTCTCGCTAAAGTTCTGTGTACGCTCTTACTGCTCCCAGATTTACGAAGCGACGATCCTTGCGACGTCGTCGTCGTCTGGTCGTTGAGCATTACCCCTACATTTGCCCCTCCCGGTTGGTTAGAGACCTATGCGCTACCATCCCGCGCCGCCGCCGCCATCGATTCTGTGTATCATAAAATCTTCCTGTTGGTGCTGCCCTTGTTCACCTTCGCTAAATCCTGGATCGATCACAATGTCCGCTTTGAATACCATCACGTTCAATCTTCTCAGCGCTTCCGTGGCGTCCAACAAAACTCTCGGTCTCGTCACGCCGGTAAAATCTAAAGGACAAATCACTCTCATCTCGGTCGCTAAATCGTCGATACCTTTACTCGTAATCTGAACAGCCACCGGCCGTTCGATGTTCTGTTTATACTTTTGACACAAATATCTCGCGTTTTCGTCGTTCGTCATTCGCTCGCAAAACAAGTCAATCTCGCACAAACCTCCAGATTTCATCTCGACTTTCGCGTAGTAGATTTGCACTTTTAACTCCTTCGAAGCTCTCAAGATGTCGTACAACAAACCTTTCCTATCCCTGGAAATCATTTGAAACACCGTGTGCCTTTCGCTCATTAAGTTATCCACCCAAACGTCGCAGGAAGGATATTCTGTCGCGCTCGCCGATTCCACTTGCGAGATGCTAAAATCGTCCAACCATCCGGCCCGGGTGATGTAATCGCCCTGCGCGTAAAAAGGAACTTGGTGTAAGCCTACTTTCACTTCGTTCCCGTGCGCGACGACTGACCGTACCGCCATTTCGATTTCTTGCACTCGATCTTCGTTTGGCAGTTCGTCCTTTGTATCCATGACGTAGAATAAATCAACCGCAGTGTTTGCCGGCGAGGTGGAGATGTGCGCGCGTTGGACGATTAACGCGCACTCCCACAGAGTCAACGTTAAATCTCTCAACAAACCTACTCGGTCGTCTAATTCGACTCTCAAAATGAACGTCGACGGTTTATAATACTCGTCGTCGTCGTCGAAATAATCGTGAAAATCCGAGTAGGATTGTTGCTGCTTCATCAATCGCGATGAATTATTATTATTGTTAGAGGACGAAGAGACTTGCGATCGCCGTCTTCTGTTCGTATCGTCTTCCCCGTGGTTGTGACTCCTATGATCGCCGTTCATATCTTCTAAATGACTCTTGCCTCCGTTTTTGTTGTTCGCGTTGATAATTTCGTCCAGCCTCGAGCTCGATTTTCTCGAATGTCTTCCTCCTCCTTTCTGAAGGTTTGTCGCTCGATCGCTCTCGTTGACGCTGCTGTTTCTTCCTCCGTTGCTCTCTTTACCGCTTTTCGCGATGGATAACTTTTTGGGACACAAATTCTCCAATCGCATTTGTAACAGTTTCCAGTTCACCGCTTTTTCCTCTTCTTCTTCTTCTTCTTCTTCTTCTGTTTCATCGTCATCACTTTCTTCGTTTTCTTCTTCATTTTCTTCTTCATTTTCTTCTTCGGGGTTCGTGCTTTTTTCGCTGTTGTTCTCGGCCCCGGAATCGCTTCGATGACGAGAGGTAGTATCGTCGTTCCTCGTCGCGGTATCGTCATCGCCGTCGCTCTCATCCTCGCTACTCTCATCGCTCTTATTCTTTGTCTTCTTTTTCTTGTTCTTCGAACCTTTTCCTCCCCCTGATGATTTTGACGACCGTTGCAACTCGTGCGTCGACGGCGGCGCGTATATCGTCAACAACACGAACGCCCACTGTCCATCCGTGGCGAAGTCTCCTTTCACGACGACTAAACCGAAATCGAAAATGGTCCTCGCTAAATCCGCGCCTAAACCTGTTTTATCCGGGCAGGTCACTCTGCATATCGCTTCGTTTTGGTGCGCGAGGGATGGGCGTATTTGGACGTATTGTTCGATGTCGTCGATTAATTCCTCGTCGTCTTCGTCCATTACGTCGTTGAATTCTTCAACCATCTCTGGAATGCATTTGTTGGTTGGAAAATCATCAATACCGTTCATCATCTTTTCTCTCTTTGTTGTTGTCCAAGCACAACGACGATCGATTTCAAACGCGACCCCCCACTACGACGACGAAGGAAACGACGCCGCCGCGCAGATGAGACGGAAAGAAAATCTCTCGATACTACTCACACCTTTTCTTCTTAAAGAAGCACTCTAAGTCACTCACTTGTGAATAACGAGAAAATGAAGAATTTCCCACAATTATTAGTGTCTGTGTGCCAAACCAAAAATTTTGGGTGAAGAAAAGAGACGTTTTTTCTTCACATGATGTCTTTGTCTCGAAAAGAGAAAAAACCACCCCTCATTATATACACCTCATTATATACTAACGCACGCGTATAAACAGAGACACGCGTCATCGCATAAGAGAGAGAGAGAGAGAGAGAGAGAGTTGAGATCTCTCTCTTGGTCTTTTTCGTTTCTGCTGCTGTGGCCTCCTCGTTTAAAATGAAAAGGAGCATCAAAAGCATCGCTTTCTTTTGTCCGTTTTTCTCCCTACTCTTGTCGTTGGATCTCGTTCCAAGAATCGATGCCGCGATACACGCGTACGAAGATTCGTACTTCTTTTCAGTGAACGACGCGTTCATATACCGAGGCGGGCGAGAAGGCTTGTTCAAATCGTCCGAAGATGATGATACTTATGACTTTTCAGATTGGGGCGTGAAACGACCGGCGGGATTAGCCAACGGGAAGAGTTACATTCGGTTCAATAAAGTCGCCTTTCGAAGGAGTTTAGAAGACGTTTCGGAGCAGGAGGAGGAAGATGAGAATACTACGAACAACAACGAGAACAACAACAACTATTCGGGGGTAGTGCAAGCGGTGGTGTTCGAAGTGAACGACCGAGACTTGGTCGGGTACGTCACCGAAGACGGCGGACGGCGGTATTGCTGCGACGAAGCGTTGGCGAAAACGAGCGGGTGTTCGCCGGGGAGAGTCATCGTGCGACCGAAAAAGGAGATGCAAGAACAAATCGATGAAGACACGAAGGAGAAGAAACTGGTGGAGGTGGAAAACGTGGATTGGCCGTGGGTGACGGACGCGTATTTTGAAGGCAAAAATGAGTTGGAATCGAGGACGGTGGACGACGCGGTGAGCATCGAAGAGACGGGGATGTATTACTTGTGGTTTGTGATTTGCGACCCGAAGTTGGCCGGGACGACGGTGAACGGACAAACGGCGTGGAAAAATCCGAGCGGGTATTTACCCGGGATGATGGCGGCGAATTTGCCGTTTTATTTGTTCTTATCGTTGGCGTATTTAGCGCTCGGAATTTGTTGGGCGGTGAACTGCGCCGTCAAGTGGAAGTATCTGATGCAAATCCATCACTCGATGACGTTTGTCGTCTCCTTAGGGATGATTGAAACGTGCGTGTGGTATTACGATTACTCGAATTTCAACACGACTGGATTTCGTCCGTATTTCGTGACTATTTTTGCAGTCGTCGTATCGGCCGCCCGGAAAGCCGTTTCCAGAGCGTTGGTCTTAGTCGCCTCCATGGGCTACGGCGTCGTTCGACCGACTTTAGGCGGATTCGCGCCAAAAGTACTCGCATTATCCGGGGCATATTTCATCGCCAGCGCGACTTTAGACGTCGTCGCGAACGTAGGTGCTATCGATGATTTAACGTCTGGCGCGAGAGTGTTTTTGGTTTTACCCGTGGCTGCGTTAGACGGCGCGTTCATCTTGTGGATTTTCACGAGTTTGAGTAAAACGTTGGCGCAGTTGCAACAAAGAAGGCAAATGGCCAAGTTGAGTTTGTACCGATATTTCACCAACGCGTTAGCTTTATCCGTGGTTTTATCGTTCGTGTGGGTGGTGTACGAGATGTGGTTTAAAGTCACCGACGCGTTTAACGAGAAGTGGGAAGCCGATTGGATCACCGCGGCGTTTTGGCACGTCTTGAATTTCGCCTTGACCGCGGTCATTTGCTTTTTATGGCGACCGATGGAACCGGAGAAGTTTGTAGGGAATAAAAGTGGGAGCGTGGATGCGAACGATTCTTTTTGGACGGAAGAGGAGATGAGCGCGGTGGATAACGAATTAGCTGAAGCAGCCGGGCACCACGAGTTAGGCGGAGATTCGGACGACGACGAGGAAGGAGGAGGAGGAGGAGGAGGAGGAGGAGGCAAAATGGAATGAGAAAACGTATTGTTTTTAGCTATTTTTACTACTAAGTACTACTATTATTATTGTATTTGCTACCTGATACGACTTTGGAAAAGTTCTTCTCGAGCGTTTTCGCGAGGTATTCGTCGCCGTCACCGCCGAGCTTGGCGTCTTCCTTCAGTTTTGCAATTTTCGCTCTCTTCAATTCCGCGCGAAGCTTTGCAATCTCGCGTTCCTTTTCCAGCATGATGCGTCGCTGTTCTTTCTGTCGCGCTTTCGCAACCGCCGCGTCTTCTACCACGACATCTTCTTCTGTTACTTTTTCTTCTTTATCTTTGTCTCCTTCTTTCTCTACCACTTCAACTTCTACTTCTCCTTCCTTGTGCGACGGCCCCTTGTTGTAGGAAAGATGGTGACGCTGAGAACCGCTTTTGTCGCGGCGAACTTGACTCTCGTGGTCCATCCTCAACAAACCATCTTCCATGCAACATAATCTGCACGTCGACGCTTTCACTTTCTTCCCGAATTCCGTTCTTTTCCTCTCCGCGACGATGTACCCGTACGTGCTCGCTTTCCTAATATTCAACGCCACGTGGAAACACGCGAGTTCGGAAACCGCGTAGGCTAAGATCGCGCCGACAATAACGTACGCCAACGTCCAGTTCCGCAAGGTTTCCAGCACAGAAATCACCGTTTGAATACTCACACCCATATTTTCATAATCGTCAGCCGTCGTTGTCGGATAATAGTGATCGTTCGAAAACATCTTCACCGGCGACATGAATCCGTCGTACAACTTCTCCCTCGCATCCAACCATCTCCGTCCGTCTATTTCCCCGCTCCGATCGTACCCATCCTCTCCAATGTCGTTCAAACTTTTCAAACTTCTCTCCACCCTTCTCAACTTCTCCCAAATCACGACTAATAACCAAACGCCCGCCGAAAACTGCCCCCAAATCTGCATCGAGACGCTCGCCAGTAACACCAGAAACGCTCGATAGTTCTTCTCGCCGACGCACGTGTTCAGCCACCCGCAGTGGTGGTCGAATCCATCGATGCATTTGTTGCACGCGCCGCAATGTTTTGTCGTTAAGGGGTTCTTTTGGTACTTGTGGCATATGTGACATTTTGGATGGTTATAGTTATTACCCTCCGTCTCGATATCGTCTTCATCCTCTTTCTCCGTTTCCTTTGACATTTTCTTCGTTTCCGCTTTAGGAGGAACAAAATCCGTCTCTGGATCGCACAAAGACGCGTTCATCCCGCTCGCGAAAGATACAAGCACCAAAAACCCGTACAGTGCGCACAAAATCACCCTATTTTTGCTCCCGTTTTCTCTCTTAAACGTCATCGATGGCACTTGCACGGCGTAGAATCCGAAAATCTCAAACAGGTAGAAACTCATCCCGAGGAGTTGAAGGACGTTCCCGCTGAACTTTACGCGCTTCGTCGTTTCCTCTTCATCGCTCTCATTTTCATCGAAATTATTCGAGGACGGCGCGTCGAGGTAGACGAAGAAGCCGTTTTTCCGTTTCGGTCTTTGCGAGAGAACCATGACGTGATGCTGTTTACTCTCTTTTACGCGCGCGCGCACCAAAGAGGAGTAATGAGGCAAACGTCTTCCAATTTTCTCCATTAATTAGACTTGCACGATATCTTTACTTTAAAGCGTCGTAAAGAAGCGAAAAGCCTCGACACTTCAGAGACACGACGGGCAAAAACATGTCCGCTGGAGGAGAACTCGTCCGAGTGGATTTTGACGAGGAAACAGCGATGATGAGTAAGCGAAGATTGGAAGCGGAACGATTGGAAGAAAAGTTGAAACACATCAACGACAACGTCACGTACGAATCGAAAAACGTGCAAGGATCGACCGCCGGGGCGGGTTCCGGAGCGTTCCACGAATACAGACACTCGCGTAGGCGAGAATACGAACGGCTGGAAAAAATGGACGAGGAAGAGGAAGAGAGAGACGTGAAGGCGAAGTTTGAACGGAGGAAACGAGAGAGAGAAGAGAAGGAGAGGAAAGCGGTCGAGAGGAAAAGAGAGAAACGGAATGCGAAGAAGATGAAGATGAAGATGAAGATGAAGATGAAAAAGGAGGGTGGTGATGGTGGTGGTAATGATGATGACGGTGACGAGGATGAAGGCGACGTGGGAGGAAAAGCAGAGGCAGCCTTGGCGGCGACGGCGGCGGTAAAAGTTGTAGCGACGAAAGCGGAAGGAGGAGGAGGAGGAGAAATAGAGGATGCAGACGCCGCCGATGCGGGATTAGACTAGTTTGTGCAACGCGAAAATACTATGTATGAATAGAGGAGCGAGCGCTCCGCTTCCCCTTGCTTTCGGCGGGTTAGATTTGTTAGTGTTATTATTTAGCGCCGGTTTCGTTTTCGCTTTCGTTTTCGTTTTCGTCTCTTTCCCTTTCACGTTCTTTCTTTGAAAGCACGACTCGGTCGAAGGCGTCCGCTATTTTGGTTTCAAACTCCACCATGCCACCTTTTTCCGCCATCGCGGTGAGCAAAGCGTCCGGATTCGCCTTCAGTAACTGCGCCGCGAAAGCGAGGACGATGGGTAAATCTGAACCCGTGAACGCTGAAATGCCCATGGCAATGAAACCGATGAGTAGCCACCACTTTCGGTTTTTCTTTTCGGTTTCTCGTTTGGTTTCGAGCTCAACGCGTTCTTCTTTGGTGAGCCGCGCTTTCCTCGTCGCTTCTTCCTCGTCGGCGGAGATGACTTTTCTCGAAAAGACGCGCGATATGTACCGAGGCAATAAAGCCGCCGGCGCGAAATAACCGAGAAAAGCGACGCCAATTGCAAACGGACTCAACAAAACGCGCAAAGCCATCCCACCTCCGCTCAACGCGGTTAACGATTGGTGCAACGTCGCGGATCCGGACGCGACCAAGAGCGCTAGCGCCAACGAGGCGAGGACGATTTTCGCGTATTTGTGCGCGCGTCGCAGGATCAACGCCAACGCGCTCCATCCGCGACCAACTGGCGAAAGGAAGGCAAAAAATGGCGACGACGAGGACGACGAGAACAACAACGGTCTCTTTGTCGTCGTCGTCGTCGCGTTAAAATCTTCCCCACTACTTTTTGTCACTCTCTCTTCGCGACACAAAAACCGATACAACATAAACGCCGGCGCTAAAACCAACCAATACGACGAGTGCTCCCCGGCTGAAATCCCAGCCGGCAACAAAAACGCGTAACACACGTGCACGTCCAACCACCTGCCTCGCATGGACCGCGAATACGACATCATCTTCATCGTGGGTGTTGTTCTCGCGTTATTCGCACCACCACCGCTGCTCGTTTTATCATCATTACTACTACCGCTACCGCTGCTACCGCTATTCCTACCGTCGTCGCCGCTCGACGCCGACAACAAAATCCGTCGCTCTACATCACCCTCATATCTCCACTTCCTCACCAAATACATAACAAACAATATCGGTAAAACCACAAACAGTGTCCATTGCGTCGTCGTCTTCACCGTCCCTTGCGTCAACACCGCGCCTGAGAAATAAGACAAGAAACTGTTCACCGGGTTGAGGCCACCTACAAAGGCAGGGACGACATCTAACCGCGCGGGGTAGAATAAAGTCGATTCTTCTTCTTCTTCTTTCTCCTCCTCCAACTCCTCCTCCTGAAAGACGTCATTTTCAGAGCTCGCTCTTCTTCTCGTCGTTCCTTTCCTTTTCGTCTGAATCGTCGTCTTCGATGGTGTTTTTAGTCTTGTTGTTGTTGTTGCATTCGAATTTCCCGAGGACTTTGAAGCGCCGATGGGAAACACTTTTGACGACGATGTTTTTCTTCTCTCACGCGATGAAGACGAAGAAAAGGAGGCGAAAAATGCCTTGTTCTTATTCCTGTTCGCCACCACCAATGCCGAACAAGCGATGGGAAAAGAAGAAGTCATTTTCGCGTGCTTTAAAAGTGTGGTGTTTTAGATACGGAAAATATCTCTTTACACAGACGAAGCGTGGTGAAACATGCGACATCAAGAACAACGAACGAACGAACGAACGAACGATTTACGAATAGTAATAACAATAGTATAGCATAAAGAGTTAATAATATTAAAAGTCAAAGTTTGGTTTCTCACTTCCGTCTGGAAAAATCTTGGACAAGGTGACGCCGCTCGCTTTCACCGTGGTCGCGCAAACGAATTTGGCGCCTTCGCCTTTGAAATCCTGCCCGAGAGTGCTCCCGCACGGGGTGATAATGCACGGCATTCCCGCGCCTTCAGCGGCTCGTAAACCAACGATGCTATCTTCAATCACCACGCACATCTCCGCGGGTAAATCTACTTTTTCTCTCGCTAAGTTATAAATCAACGGGTCCGGTTTCTTCTTCGTCACGTCGTCGCCGGCCATGAGGACGTCCAATTTATCCAATCTCTCCTTCCCGACCACGGAGTTGACGACTTTCTCGAACCCGGCTTTCGTAGCCGCGGAGCAAATCCCAACCGCCACGTCCGGTCTCGCGATCGCTTCGTCCATCAGCTCTAAAATTCCATCTCTGGCCTGCGCGACTTCCTCGACGATTTTTTTATAAAACTCCGTCTTCTTATCTTGCAAGTCATCGATCAGTTGGTCTTGGATTGATGTCTCTAAAACCTCTCCTGTGCCGTATTTATCGCTCTTCGTGACCGTGGGCCATTTGTTCTCCTTGAAATGCCATCGCATTTTCGGTTTCCCGCCGCCGACGGTATTCGCCAAGACGTCGTAATACGACGGGACCCATTCCATTTGCGTTCCTGTTTCGATTTGTAATCCAAAATGTTCGAACGATTTGTTGTACGCCAATCGGTGCAACTCTTCGGTTTCCACCAGGACGCCGTCGCAGTCGAACAAGAGGGCAAACTTTTGGTTTTTCGAGTTTCCAGGTCCCGCGCGCGTGGTTAATGCGGTCGCATTCTTATTGGCCGCAAAATTATTCGCGCGTTGTTTTCGGTTGCCACGTAGGTGGTTCGGATGTAATCTCGTTCTCGCGGACAATTTCCCCCGCGAAGACGACGAAGACGAAGAACCCGCGCGATGGTTTTGGTGGAAAGTGGCAGACGTCTTCGCGAAAGAAGAACACGACATGTTTACGATGCTCGTCTTTCTGGTGTGCAATACTCTACAAAACTATTTGCAGAAAAGTGTGGATATCCACTCGCACACAAAGTTGGTTTTGGATGCTTTTGCTTTGCTTCGAGTGGTGCGGTATCCTCGTTTGGTTTTCCACTCTCCCCTCGCGTTCTTTAATCGGAGGAGGAAAAGAAGCTGGAAAAGCACCACCCTCTCGAAACAAAGAGAACAGAGGAGCAGAGGCAAAAGAGATATACTTTTTGAGAGATTTTCCCTTAAATTTTTAAAGGGGAATTTTTCAGCCTCTAAAAAAAGAGGAACAAACACTTCGCCATTATCGCACACAACATCATCACAGAACACATAAAATATAATATATAAAAATGGTATTCGCGACGAAGTTACAAATCAACGCCGTTTTCAAAAAAGCCGCACCGGCGAAGAAAACGGTCACTCCGGTGAAGAAGGTACGTTTTTGAATGCATATCGTTCGCGAGGCGTCGGTTTCGTTCGAAATCCGAGCGCATCATCATCGTCTCATTTTAGGCGGAAAAAGAGGGAGAAAAAGAGCAAAAAAGAAGGAAAAAACACAACCGACATTTTCTCCTACGCGCGATGAAAGAGAGAGAGAGAAAAAACGCACGCGCAAACGCGCGCTCCCTCTTTTCAAACGCTTTAAAAAAATGAACGCGTGAAAGGAGTATCCGTGTTTGCATCCGTGGAATCAGATCGCGTTCGCAACGTTCGCGTGTAATGGTTTTAAGCGCGTGATGATGATGATTTTGATGAAAGCCATCGTCTCATATGTCTTTTTGATATCTTTTCCACTCCGAGATTTTGCTCAAAAACTGACCTTTTCTCCTCGTTTCGCTCTCAATATTTCTAGGCACCAATCAAGAAGTCACCGCCGGCGAAGAAGCCAGCGACGCAGAAGAAATTCACCCCGCCATCGGGCGAACGCGACCTGTGGTACCCGAACGCGGAAGCGCCCGCATGGTTGGACGGCTCCATGCCCGGTGACAGAGGCTTCGATCCGTTTGGATTGTCCAAACCGACGGAATATTTGCAATTCGACTTGGACAGATTGGACGGCTCGGCGGCGAAGAACCCGTCGGGGAACGTCATCGGTAAGTTGAAGAAGACGGACAACAAGCCGACGGAAAGAACGATCGTTCCGTTTAACGAAGCGTTTGACATTAACCGATTCCGCGAGTGCGAGTTGTTGCACTCCAGATGGGCGATGTTGGGCCTCGTCGGCGTGATCTTTGGCGAAGCCGGCACGGGCGTCGCCTGGCAAGACGCCGGTAAGGTTGAGTTGGAGCAAACGCAATACCTCGGCTTTAACTTGTGGGGCGAAGGGTCCAACTTGGCCGCGTTGACTGCCATCGAAGTCCTTTTGGTTGGTACTCTTGAATTTTACAGATCCGCCGAACTCGACCAAGAGAAGAGATGCTACCCGGGCGGCGCGTTTGACCCGTTGGGTTTCGCTTCGAAGAGCCCGGAAGAGACGTTCAGATTGAAAACCGCGGAATTGAAGCACGGAAGATTAGCAATGGTTGCCATGTTTGGTGTCGCGCAGCAAGCGTTGAACAACGGCGAAGGGGCTTTGGAGGCTTTGACCAGCATCGGTAAATAAGTAGATTACTTTGAAGAGTTCGTTTTCATTGGTATCAACTTTATCTCTATTATATTAAACGAAAGACATCATCTTCGAATTTTTTTACTTCTTCACTTAAAATTTTTTAGATACAAAAACAACGCGCATAATAAACGACGACAAAAAATGTCACCAAAACCACCTGTCGTTCTCGAAATCCTTCGAACTTCTTCTTTGTCTTCTTTGTTGTCTTCTTCTTCATCTCGTAGTAAACGTCGCGAGGGTCTTTTTGCCTCCTCCGAACGACGACGACGTGTACACCAAAGAGAGAAAACGTTCAGAATTGGAAACAACAAGAACAACAACAAACAGTTGGAGATGAGGATGATGATTTCCGGAGGAGAATCAAGCCTAAAACGAAGAAGAAAAACAGACGTGTCGTTGTTCGCGTCGTCGAAATCGTCGTCAGAAAGAAAGAGCGGCGATGATGATGATGATGATGATTCGTCGTCGTCGTCTGGAAAAGATGCAACAGATGATGATGTGCCAATGAGCAAAATCTATTCCTTGCTCTCACTCTCGATATTCGCTTTACTCGCCGGAGACGTCGGGATGAATTTTTTGGCGTTTTTGTTCGCGTGGGTGACGAAACAGGGTGACCTCACGTTCTTTACGACGAACGCGAACGGATTCTGGACGGAGAAGTTATGCATTTTAGGCTTTGTGATATTACTGTTGATGGATTTTAAAGCGGTGGCGACGAGGCAAATTAGAAGGGCGAACGCGGTGTTGAAGACTATTAAATACGCGAAAGAAACGACGGTGGAAAGCATAGAGCAGACGAGGAACGTGGAAACGTTTTTGACGAACGTGTACATGAAGTCAACGTTTGAGATTTTGGGCGCTTTGATCGCTTTGGTTGGATGTTTGAGAACCGCGTCGCCTTCGCTCGTACCCGGAAGCGGCGCTTTGTTTTCGTTGCCGGCGTCGATCGGACCCGCGATTGCGCTCTTTTTCGGCCACGCGATGTTCATGCTCATCAACACGAACGTCATTTCACAAAGCGCAAACATGACCACTCCGTTTCCTCTTCAAATAAGAAAAACGATAGCTACGTTTGACGCGATGTTAGCGATGTCGGCGATGAGTTGCGCCGCGTTTCAAAAAGGATGGCCGGGGCTCATCGCGTCCTCGCTCTTCCTCCTCTTTTCCATTTACTTCACCTACGAGAACGAAATCAAGAAGAAAATGAAAGAGCGAAAAAAGAGAGCCGAGAAGAAAGGAAGGCGTGATTTCGGGAGCAGCGGCAGCAGATGATAGATGCGCGCGCGAGCGCTTGGAAAAAATGTTGTCCTAACGAACTTTGAACACAAACACTTCACTCCTTTCTCTGCTTTGTACATTTATTTATAAAATAATACATGCGCTCGGCGGCGAGGCGGCTTTTCCGTCGGCAGGCTGTTATTACTACTACTGCTGCTGCTACTATTACTACTACTACGAGTAGTACTCATCGTCAGCGATCGTTACTTTCATCGTTGTTCGTGCGACACATCATGACGGAAACGACGAAAGAGAATTCGACGTTCGTTTCCCCGTCGAAAATCCTGGTCAGTTACGACCCTTCGACGGCGAACGAACACCTCTCGGAACTTTTGAAAGAGAAAGACATCACGCGAAGCGTGGAGTCGAGACATCGGTACGCCGTGATCGGGTTCGACACGGAAACTCGACCGACGTTTAGTAAAGTGGCGAAAAAGAACAAAGTTGCTTTGGTGCAATTCGCGAGCAAAAATGTGGCGTGTTTAATCCATCTGGCCTCGATGAATGGGAAAGTGCCGGAAATGATGACGAAGATACTCAGAGAGAAAGAGTACGTGTTACTCGGGTTTGGGATTAAAACCGATTTGAAAGAGCTGAAAACGGAACATTACGGGAACGAGGATAAAGAGAGCGTCGACGTGAACGCTTTCATCGACTTGGCGACGATTTCGGAGGTCTTTAAACACGAACGACCGGGGATGAAAGGCATGGCCAATCACTTCGGATTGGACGTGGAAAAGCCAAAAGCGGTGCAGATTTCGAATTGGGAGAATTCGCCGTTGAGAGAAGGGCAGGTGAAATATGCCGCGGAAGACGCGAGTTTAGGCGTTTGGTTAGCCGAGCGAATGTATGAAAAGTACGGACGACGCAAAGATACTACTAAGAAGAATAGCAACCATAGCGAGATAAAAGAATACGAACACGAATACGAAGAAAATGACCGATACGACGGGTTTCTCCAGTGGATGCATTCGTTTAGAAACGCGGAAAACACGAAGAAATTGAACAAACGACAGTTGCCGAAAGACGCCGCCGCGTTGGTATTAAACGCGGAGTTACAAACGGTGAACAAATACGCGACGCTTCGATTTCAAGACGCTAAGAAGCTCTTAAAGCAATATCACGACGGGAAGAAACACCCGACGGCAACGCTGTTTGAGTTTTTTAACAGTTTATCGAAAACGTTGCCGAACGAGTACACGAAAGACGGTCGAGGATTTGAATTCGTCCGATTCAACGAGTCCGTCTCGAAAGCGAAGAAAGAGGACGGCCAACCCCAAAACGTGTCCGTGTTCTCGTGCGAGTACGATTGGACCGATCTCGGGGAGACCGTGCGAGGGTGTTCGGGCTCAGGTATAAGCTCGTCCAAGAAAGGTGCGAAAGCGGAAGCGTGTAAAGACGCGCTCGCGAAATGCGAAGAGTGGCTGAAATCGTTCGAAAACCAGTGGTTCGTCGAGCTCGCGTTGGAAGAGAAGCAGTCGCGCGTGTTAGGCGCTCAGTAGTAAAGACACGTGTGATGATGATAGATATAATAGAAGTTTGAAAGCACACAGCGCGTGTAGTTAGTAAAATCGTAATAAAAGTATATATTTATATAAAAGAGAGAACTTTTTGCTTGTTCGTTTGTTTTGTTTTTACACCGCGTCGATATCCTCGTGCGAGGCACCCGTCGGACGCTGATCTTGTCCAGATCTTTGCTGTGGATAGCCGATCACGACTTGTTGTTGTTGTTGTTGTTGTTGTTGTTGTTGTTGTTGAGGCGCTCCAGCCATCGCGCTCATCTCGTTGCTATTCGAGTTGTTGTTGTTACTATTTCTATTATTGGCAGCAAACGGATTCGCGATGTTGAACGCGTTATTGTTCGTATTGAATCCCCCCGCGTTCTTCGTTTGCTTCTTGACGACTTCGTCCATGACGTCGTGAATCTCCGGTTTCGTCAACATTTGTAAATCTTTGTCGACGGCGTAACACAAGTACACCGCGTCGACGACATCCAATAAAACGGTCAGGCAAAAGTTCAGAATAGTCAGAGAAATCAAGAAGCAGAACACACCGAGGAAGACTACCTCGACGCTTCGCGATTCGTCGTCGAAGTAATTCGAGGACGAGAGGCCAAAGACGACGCCAAAGACGACCGAGACGATAAACGCAGTCGTCCTGAGAATCATCGGAGGCAACCACCACACCGCAAAGGTTGATAACATGTTGTTTTGTAAAATCGTGGTGACTTTTCTCGCAGAGTCGCAAAAGGCGTCGCCGGAGATGGCGGCGTACACGATGGCAAACTTGGAAATAAATCCAATAATCTCGGCGAAACATTGCCACAACAAGTTCACGCAACACATCAACGCGGCCATCGCCGCGTTGTTTCTGTGTTCTCTTTGCGCTTTTTCAAACATGTTTCGAACCATATCGACGATTGACATGATCAAACCTCCAAAACAGATGGTGCCGAATTGCGATTTCAAGCCGTGCGATAACGATCGTTTCACCGTACCTTTGAACGCGGTCGTTCCAGAGGGCGCAAAGTACCACTGCGCGGTTGAACCACCAATGGTGAACAATCGTAAACACACCGCAACCGAGGACGTCCAGAGCAAGGAAAAAAAGAGCAACCCGACGAACGGTTTCACCCACGAATCCGTCTGCCATTCGCAACAATTAACCTCATAAACGTACGCACTCATATCGCCCGTCGCGCCTTCATCTCTGGATGATGCGTAGTCGTCGTACGACCTTCGATCGATGCACTTCGATCCGTCGCTCGGGTGCGTCATCGCGAACCGATTCGCGCCAATCTTCCCGTGCATCCACGCGTACGACATGAAAAAGATAAACGGGATGAACACAAACATAGAAACGAACATGTTAATCCCCATCGTCGCCGTCAGCGTGTGTTTCTGATCGCTCAACGCCGTCGCCGCGGTTTGTAAAAGCCGATTGACGAGCGCGATTTCCTCTCGCCAGAGATAAAAGACGCGCGCTAAAATCAAAGTCACCAGGAGAAACAAACACCCGCCAAAGACAAACCCTTCTGCAAACATGTACAAAGAGAAGGAAAAGCTGGAAAGGAGTTTAAACCCAATAATCCCCCAGGTCGCTTTACTCGCGTGATATTGAAACCCGTACAAAAACGTCACCCCGAGCGCAACCGCCGAGACGATCGCCAACAACAGCCACGCGTGCGACGATTGCCAAAAATCATCACCATCGAACACATCGTCCAAATCGTCGTTGGTATCCTTAAACTCATCTTTGTTCGATAACAACAGCCTCGATGTTGGTGATGACGACGACGCGCGATACGCTTCGCAGTTGGTGCTAAACAGCACATCTTCGCTCGTTCTTTGTGCAAACGCTTTCGCGTTCGTGTTCGAGACCACGACAATGCCTAGAAGGAAACACGCGCTCGTGATGAGTAAGAACACTCTCGCGAACGTGCGGTCTGTTTTTGGTCGAGGGCTGTAGTTGAACACCGCCGAGGCGGCTTCGTCGTTTTCGAGATCGTGAAGATCTTCTTCCTCGCCTCGGGAAAAAGGTGCCGTCGGCGTGGAATCCTCGTCGTCTCGCAAACGCGCGAATGGAGGAGAGGAGGAGGATTTAAACATACTGGCGGTGTTAAAAAACAGATGCGCGATGCTTTCTCTCGCGGGTCTTTCGTTGTTTACTCGGTGTTGTTTACTTCTTCTTTTGTGTGTGATAAAGTGCGTTGAGTTTGTGAGGATTTTGGCGGACAATTCAACTTCTTTCTTCTTCTGCTCTAAAGCGCACGACGCGTAAGAGTTTCAACGACGACGATGTGATGATGATTACAATGATATCATTACAAAGAGTGTGTTGTTATTATTTTTGAAGCAACGGTTCTCTCTCGTCCGGAAACGCTGTTTTTGTCTTTGTCGTTTCTGTTCGTGATGATGATGCTAAAGGCGGATTCTCCTCGTCGTTGCGTTCGCCGCTTTTACTACTCTCGCTACTACTACTCTCGCTAAGCATTTGCGTATTCTTGACGTACGTGTACCTCCCAAACCCGGCTAAGGAGAGCGCGTATCCGAACGCTTGCAAGACGGTGACCACGTCGCCGTAGACTAAAATCCCGAAGAACAGTAACAAGATGTTCTTGATATTGTTGATGCCTTTGAACCAGACGGCGCCGATGTTCTTCACCACGCCGAGGCCGCACGCGTTGACTAAACACCCCCAGGAGGAAGACACGACGAATAAATACCAGTACTTATTCGCAATGGAGGAAATTCCCGGCGCTTGCAACGAACTGCCTTCAAAATACACCACTAAAGGTATAAAAAACACCACCGTCGCCGGCGCGAAGTAATACATGCTCTCGATCACGCCAAACTTTCTATTCACTAACAGCCACTGCGCGCCGACGGTTCTAATGGCTTCCGCGAAGTGCGACCCAAACATCACGCACACTCCAATCACGGTCGCTTTCCCGCTCACGTTCATGCACATCATCCCACCGAGAACCATGGCGAGTAAACTCACCGTAAAATCCGAGTTGTACTTATCCGTCCCGACGAACACGTGCGTTATATACGTGACGACGGGAACGAACGCTTTCAACATTTGTACGAACGATAACGATAAGTACACGTATACAATGTTCGCACACGCTAAGGTTATCGATGAAAAGAACCCTACCGGGACGCACACTTTGAACCACTCTTTAAACGTCATCTTTGGTTCTGAAACAGACACGAATTTTCCGTGGACGAGTATCGTCGAGAGCGCGAACGCGAACATCGTCCCGCACGAGGAGACGAATATCGGGTTCCCAAATCCAGCGTCTTTGATTAAATGTTTGTTCGAAACCACGGTGATTGTGGAGAACGTCAGGTATCCGATGGTGTAGAGTAAAGCAGGGAGTCTGTTGTGCGCGGAGTATTTTGATTCTAACGAAGACTCGTTGTTCTTTTCAGGAGGAGGAGGAGTAGGCGTCGTCGAGTTCTTCATCGAATCATCATCTTCATCATCCCGCGGCTGCTGAGACATCTTTCCCCGAGAACGAACGAATGAAAATCTCTCTCAATCTCTTCCCTTTAGTTATTATAACACACTGATGAGGTGACGTGTATAAAACAACAACAACAATACATACACGAAACCACAAACTTTCTTTCTCTGATAAATAACGAAAGCTTTTCTTCTTCTTCTTCTTCTGCGACAGAAAGAAAGCTTAGTATTCGCGCACTAAATGTGTACAGAGCGTTCTCCTCTCAGAGGAAAAACTCTGCCAGTTTTGTATTTAGGGTCTCCAACCCTAATTCCACGCAGAATGCCTTTCTCTCTTTTTTACGCTTCCGCATCGCTTCACAGAGAGCATAGCAGAGAGTATTAATGAGAAGAACGATGAGCGCTGGTACTTTTTGTTCGTCTCTTTTGTGCAGCACGAGTGATAGTTTGAGTGCCTTTTTTTCTTCCGGTGGTCGCGCCGCTGCTTTGAGGCGCAGGAGGCGCGGTGCGCGCTGCGCGATGGTGTTTCCAATTGCATCAAAATCATCATCAACCGGCGGCGAATGTTCTTCATTCTTAAACTTCGGAAGAAGACGATTCAGAGGACGAGAAGAGAGACGATTTGGAGGAGGATTACGCAAAGAGAATACTCCTACATATAATAACACTACCACCACTCATCTGCAAAAGCGCGGGTTTGTTCTTGCGAGTACGAATGGTATAAACAACAACAACGAGCAGTTAAAGTTGTTCTCGGTAAGCAGAGTTCTCTCGTAGAACGAAACATTTTAATCGAAGAAGAACACCAATGATGGCATTAAACTGCGTTATCTTCTCGACGAGAGAGCAGCACACAGAAACGAAATTTAAAGGCGGAGGTAACAGACCGCTGCGTTTCGCTCTCGATATGAAGCAACAAAAATACGTGAGGTGTTCTTCTTTCTTCTCGCGCCGCGCTCGTACTCTTCTCAACATTTTACGCTTTGATGACGAAGTCTTCTCGTTCTTACTTCTTATTGTTGACTGACCTGAAACGAACGATAACACGAACAGGAGGAAGGAGAAGGAGTTGATAATACTAATAATAGCAATATAAGAATACATCCTCTGATTTTGAAAAACTTACGGACGCGGTTATCCATCGCAGAGCCGACGGAGTGTCAATCCGCCGCGATCCCTTTGCTTGCGGAAAACTTGGACGTCGTCATCGCCGCCGAAACCGGGAGCGGGAAGACGTATTCCTACGCCATTCCAATCGTCTCAAATATCTTGAAAAGGAAAGAAATCGAACGGAGAGAGGAAGTCTCGGCGCTGATTTTGTGCCCGAACGCGCACTTGTGCGACCAGGTGAAAAAAGCCATCGATATTTTAACGCTTCCGGACGATTCAGAAGACGATTCAGAGAAAAAGTCGATAGTGAGAACAGTTGCTTTAACTCCCGATCGAGGTTTGCCTTCTTCGTTCCCGGACATCATCGTCTGCACGCCCGCGCGAGCCGAACAGGACGTCTTTGACTGGCGAGAAGGGAGCTGGAGGAAAGGCGCGTTTACGCCGTACGTGAAATTTATACGGACGGTTGTTTTAGACGAAGCAGATATGCTGTTGGGTGGAGGATACGCGAGGAAAGTGCGGAACTGCTTCGACGTTTTGTTTCGAGAGGAAAAGCTCGCCGCCACGCGAGGATTTTATAAAACGTTCGAGGACGAAAGCGAAATAAATGTCAAGACGACGACGGGAGAATGGAACAACGATTTAGAGAGAGATACGGAAGCGTCCATGGAGCAAAATTGGAGGAAAGATCACGATTTTGAGGAAGAAGAAGAAGAAGAAGACAAAGAAGAGGACGAAGATTCAGACGACGACGATGAAAACGCACAACAACACGAATACGAGTACGAACGAAAAGAACAACAGAAAAAAAAGAAGAAGAAACCGAAAGCGCGTCTCGGCGGCAAAGGCAAAATGGGCAAAGGCACCAATCGCGAGTTTCGCAGACAATACGTCTTCGCCGCGGCGACGGTCATGTCCACGGGCAAACGAACACCCGGAGCGGTTCTAAAATTCGGTTTCCCAGACGCCGTGTGGACGAAAAGCTCGAGTTTACACAAACCGAGAGCGGAGTTGACGCAAACGTGGAGAGAGGTTTCGTTGGAGACTCGAGCGAAGGCTTTATTTGACGCGTTAGACATGGATCCGAAAACCGCGCAGGTGGAAAAGACGTTGGTATTTGTCAACAGCGGTAGCGTCTGCGAAGCAATATCCAACGAACTCGCAAACTTTGGCGCTAAAGCCGCATCATTTCACAGCGATATCGACCCGCTCGAACGCGAGTCCCGTTTACGACGCTTCGCGTCGCAAGACATCGACGTTCTCGTCGCCACGGACTCCGTCTCTCGAGGCGTCGACATACCAAACGTCAAACACGTCGTCCAAGCTGAATTCGCCCAAAACGCCACGGAATACCTCCACCGAGTCGGCCGTACCGCTCGCGCCGGTAAACTCGGGCGAGCGACGAACATTTTACTCCCGGGAGACTTTGATTTAGCCAACGCCATACGCAAAGCCGAACTGGAAAATCGATCGGTCGAGGATACGTTCTCCAGGAAAAGAAGTTTTAGAAACAAGTTTAAAAAATACGGCGAAAGTAGGAAAAGAGCTGCTTAAATCCTCTTCTTCGTCTCCTTAACTTCTAGAAGAGCGGCCACCAAAAGGCGAAAGCAAAGCGCAAGCGAGAGTAAGTTTTGAACATTTGTTGTTTAGGGTTTGAACTTGTTGGAGGACCGCGGGAAGAAAAAACAGACGAATTCCACAGAACACTTACGCGCATAAAACACCTCCATTCATTCTCTTCCACACGAAGGAGAACATGAGAGAGACTTTGACGATCAACACGTCATCTTCATCTTCGTCTCAAAGGCTGCTCCGATCAAATCCATCATCGAGCAAGAACACCATTGAAAGAGGAGGATTTGGCGCGTTGATGATGGACGTTGGAGACGACGCGGGAGAACGCCTTTTAGAGACTCCTAAAAACGATGATGATGACGACGAGAGGAACACGACTCGTAAGAATAAGAAATCGTTCAACAACGCGCACTCAAAAAAGCTGCTCGTTTTATTGTTCCTGTCCGTTTTTGCGCTCGTAGTACTCTCGTTCAAAGCGGGATACGACACGGAAAAGCAAGATGAATTAGCCTTGCCTTTACCGAAATGGGCGGCAGATTTAGTTTTCTCGAGCGCGAAGAAACGCGTCGACGGTAGCGGTAGTTTTAGCGATAATAAGAGTTATAAGAAGAGAGATTTAAAGGACACGCACGGGAAGAGCGATCCTTTGCAATCGTTTAACTGGAGAGAAGGGTTTGAGAACAACAATTGGGATTACGACGAGCGGGTGCGAAACATGGCGCGGTGGAAACACGCTCCGGCAAACGGAGGAGAGAAGTTTACCGTGTGTTTTAAAGAGGGGGAGAAGTTTAACTTTTTCGGGGCGTATAACTTTATAAACACGGGGTTGAAGAAACCAGGGATGTGCGTGAAAAACGTGAAACTGAACGCGAACGTGGACGATCCGTCGTGCGACGTGAGGATGTTTCGGAATCAACACGTGCCGGAGGTGAGGCCGAAGACGAACCCGAAACAGGTGGATATTTTTTTCACGCACGAAAGTCCGTCCATGTACTCGCCGGAGATGAAAGACGAGAAGTTTCGAAACTCGTTCGATTACGTCGCGGATTACGAGAAAACGAGCGGGTTGTGGTTCCCGTTCGCGGTTCCAGTGTTTGAGATGAAGGAAGATTTCCCGTTGTTTACGATTCCGAGGAAAGAGAGGATCCCGGGCGTCGCCTGGTTGGCGAGAGATTGTTTAAGCAATCGAGCGGAAACGCTGAGGAAGATTAGCGACGCGTACCCGGTTTTTTCGGTTGGAAATTGCGCGAATAACGTGAATGCAAACTCGTTTCCAGAAAGCGTGATGGAAGCGCCGAGAAATCGCGAGACGAGTTTCCAAGAGCCTTTGAGTAACTTTATGTTTTATTTTGCAGTAGAAAACGTAGGGGTGTCGTGTCCAGAATACGTGACGGAGAAAATATATTACGCGTTGAGTCGAGGATCGATCCCGATTTACATCGGGTGGGAAGGCGTGAACGAGTTATTACCGGGACGAGACAGTTGGATCGATTTGAGAAACTACGCGACGCCGCAACAGTTAGCTAAAAGATTGAGAGAAATCGCCGAAAGCGACGAGGAGTGGGAGAAAATGCACAAGTGGAGATACGAAAATCCGAACGCGTGGCCGAAACTGTTCCAAAAAGCCATCAGACAGCAAACCGAGGACAGTAAGAACGCCTTGTGCGCGTTGTTGCAAAACGGCGAGAGCGGCAAGAGAAGGAAAGCGGGCAAGGAACCGAAACTGTGCGAACGACAAACGAAAATTTTCGGCCAGGATTTGAAAATTGATGGCCAAGAAGGGTTCGGGGCGTTTAAAAGAGACGACATCGACGAAGCACACTTAGGAACGAATTCTTTGACGGACAAAGACGTCGGTGTTGGAGGGAAAATGCACGCGTGGGAGAAACATTTGAAGAAGACGTGCGACACCGATAACTCGTGCTTCAAGTTTATCAATTAATATTAATATGTTAGAGAGAGAAAGAGAGAGTGGAAGTACACGCGCGTAGAAAAAGCAGCTTTGTTATTATTGTGAAATACTTTTATCATGATAGATTCTCGTATGTATACGAGCGTTTCATTTTTCGCGTTGTTTACTCTATCGCACCGGTGGTTGGGCGTTTAATTTCGTTACAATTTTATTCTACATTTTCTTTATTGTTTACCGAGTAAACTCGCCTTGGACGCTTCCCAGCACTGCTCGTACAAAGCCTTGTTCGGCGACTCGGTGAAGAAATGCGACAACGGTAAGTTCGTCACGTGTTTCTCTCGCTTCGAGTACGACGTCAACTTCCTATCGAAGAAATTCCGCTGCACTCGATCCAACTCTCGAACTTCGTCGCACGGCGGTTTATCGTTCGTTTTGTACTTTCTCGGGTGGACGTTCAAATCGAACTGACTGTTCATGAACGATTCGTGCGCGTCGGAGGACCAGTGCAAAAAGTCCGTCGCTAAGGTTTGGAAGATTCTGTCGCGTTCTTCGTGAGGTCGCCAAAAATCTTCGTAGTTGACTCGTCGCCACGAGTTGCTCGGTAAGTTTGCCAACGAGACGTCGATGTATTCCGCGAACATTTTCAGAACGTTCAAATGTTTCTCTAATCCTTGATCCCAGGTTTTGTGCGAACGCGCGGTTTCTACGATATTTCTATGCAACAAGATGAATTTCACTTGACATCCGTTCCGTTCCGCCGCCTCGAAGTATTTCAAAATGTTAATCGGATGGCCGTGATCGAAGAGATATTTTCGATGCTCTGGGTTTCTCGGGTCCCATCGCTGCGCGTGGTTCACGTCTAAACCCGATCCAGTCGCAAACGGACCTAACTTATGCGGGAACGAAAACGACCGAGTGCTATAACACGCCGTTTTTTCGTTCCCGTTCTTTTTCGCCACTTCTTCGCATCCTTTTCGAAACGTCTTGAAAATCTCGTCGTATTTGTTCTCGAGAATCAAGTTCCAAAAATGGTCGTCGTTATCGATAAACATCCGGTCCTCCTCTCGCGCGTGCATTTCGACTATGTCTTTGTTATTATTCGTATTACCACTCTTTTTCTTCTCTTCAACGTTCCCCAAATGTTCTCTCAAAAGTGTCTTCACGAACGCGTCTTTCCCCATCTGAAACGCGTGGTGCCCGACGCCTTCCAATCCCAACGTAAACACGTTCTCGCACTTGGCGTTGTTCTCAAAGTAACTCTTCTCTTCTTTCTCCTCTTCCTCGTACTCTTTACTTTTGAACAAATCGAACAAACTCGTCGGTATCATTCGTAAATTCGCTTCGGCTTGAGATTTATAATTCGGCACTTCCTTGTTCGTGTTTTTCGCTTTTGGTACATTCTTCTTCGTATTCGTATTCGCATTCGTTTGTTGTTGTTGTCGTTGTCGTTGTTGTTGCTCTCTCGGGGACCTCTTATTCGAATCATCATCATCGTCATCCTCCGCCGACGAAGAAACCGATACAGCGCGAGGACTACTCACGCGACGTTGTTCGTCACCCCCAACGGACTCACCGTCGCCCGCGATGTTCTCGTCCTCGTCCAGACCCCTCGCGGGTCCCTCCCTCGCCTCCGCCGCCGCCTTAAACAACAGCCTCTTCTTCGCGTTCTCCTCCATCACTTTCACCAAGTCTTCGTTGTTCCCGTGTTCTTTCGAGAGACTTCTTTTGGCCATTTCGATTGGTCCTACATTCTTTTCGGATGTTTCGCGTGGTTTTTCCGAACCGTGATGCCGGAGGAATGGAACGCGTATTTTGAAGCCATTTTTTGCTTTTTTCTCCTCCTTTGCTTTTTGCGCTCCTCCCGCGTCCCCGAGGGAGAGGAATTTCATGAGAATCATCTTTGTTCTCGTCTGGTGTTCGTCCTCTCGCGTAACGACTGCGTTTGAGAGGAAACCAACCGTTCCCAGGACGGAGAGCAAGATGATGAGCGAGACGAGGAGGACTTTTACGAACCACGACGATCCTCTCTTCTTCTTGTTCTTTGATGATGAAATTTCACGGGGAAACGGGCTGCCCGGTAAAAGGTGCTCGTTTTCTTCCATGTCTGATGCTTTCACAGCGAGAGCGCCGGCGATACTCTCTCTCTCTCTCTCTAGGTGCGCGTGTGTGTGTGTGTAATAAAGCTCTTGATACTTTCTCTCTCTCTTTCTCGCTTAGTTTTGTGCGTATGTATCGCGCGGGAGTTGTGAAATGGCGAATTTTAGACGAAAGCGCAGTAGTACTATTTAAGGGTACGATGTCGTCGAAGCGTCATCGAAGACATCTCATCGTCGCTATTAAAAACACGATTTTATAGGCAAGAAGCTACACGCAGCCGGGACGTTTTCACTGAGATAATCCCCAAAACCGTTGACGTTATAAAACGCCAACCCGAATATGAGAAACACGCCGCCTTGAATCAAAACGCCGGGTAATATCGTCGGATCCGGTAAGAGTTTCGCGTACATTAAGAGTTTCCTGTTCCCTTCCGATTGATTTCGTAATAAATCCGAAAACTTTTCACTCGTGTACGGTAATCCTGCGTCATCGATTAACCCGGGGAACCCACCTTCTATGAATTTCACGTCAGAAAACCCCGCTTGGACGAGCTCGTAACACGCTCGCACGGCGAACGAATCCGAGCGATCGATCACGCCTCGGTTACTCGCTTCCGAACTTTGCGCTTTTTTTATCGACCCACCTTTCAAATCGCACACGATAACTGTCGCCGATAAATCCTCATTACAAGTCTCATAAACCTTTTTCACGAACTCTTCGTCGCGTTCTTTCAGACCTCCTTTGATTGACAAAGCGTACCCGGATATTCTACGAAAAGCGTTCTTCGACGGAATCTGGTAGGCGCATCCGCCTTGAAACGGAGGCACTTGCCAATCCTCGTGTTCTAACGGTTGCCGCAGATCGAGATAATACGTATTCTTTTTGCTATCACTACTCGTTTTATTCCATAATAACCCTTTCATTCCTTTTTCGTCATCGTTGTCGTAATATCTCTCTCGAAACGCCAAGGGAGAAATGCCTTCAACTGTGCTCGAATTCGAGTTCGACGACACCAAATACTCGCAAATCTCTGGAAACTTTGGCGCGTTCGGTCCTTGCCCTGGTCGTATCTGGTCGTACTCTATGGTTTTCTTTGCTTTTCCTCTTCTTTTCTCGTCGTCCTCGTCGTCATCGTTCTTCTTCTTCTTCTTCTCCGCGTTGTTGTTAAAGAACGCGCTCACCCCCGGCGGAGAAGGATTAATCTTCCTTCTTCTCTCCCTTTTTTGTTCTCGACCGACGATCCTCACCGAAGAAGCGCCTAACAAAAGGGGTGGAGATGTCCTCGTCGTCGTCGTCATCCTCGTCGTCGCTTTAAAGAGGCGTTTTTGTTTGTCTTCTCTACACAAACCGATGATAAAGTTGTAGTTGTTTGCGAGAGTACGACGAAAGCGGAGAAAAATGAAGCAAATCGCGTCAGAATTTAAAGAGATGTTGACGATGCGAACGATGCGCTCGGTGTCACCAAAACCTACGTTTCGTATAAAGGAAAAGGAGGAAAAGGACACCGCCGATGTGACGAGTAAAAAAGCCGACGGAGCGTTCGCATCGTCGTCGCTCGAAGAAGAAGAAGAGGTGCGACATTTCGCGGCGAGATTTTGAAATTTCTCAACCACTTTTATACTTAACGCGTCTCTCTGAGTCTCTCTCCTTCGCGCGAACGATAAGAAAACACGAACAAAGAGAACACTTTTCGTCTTTACTTTGCGTATGCTCACTTTTCTCTCTCTCTTATGTGTGATTAATAGGTGAAATGTGACAGACAGATTCAATTCTTCGAAACCGTCCTTAAAGGAAAAATGTTCCTCGCTGAGAGGAAAAACGTCGCTCTGACGAACATCTGTTCTTCCGGAGAAGAAGAGGAAGACAAAGAAGAAGTAGGAAACGATGATGCCGAACAGATGATGGCGAGGAGGACAACGATGGTTCCAGATTCTTTGATGCCGAATGATGATGATGATGAAAATGATCTCTCGCGCGTCCCCGTCGGGCGGACGCCGACGCCGAAGAGGAAGACGAAGAAGAGAACGCGCGAGATGACGAAGGATGATGAAAATGATGATACTGAACGAGAAGAAGAAGAAGAAGAAGAGACGATGGTGGTGACGAACACGCAGGTGACGACGCCCGCGAAAGCTCAAAAAACAACGAGGAGTCTGGATGCGACGAAGAAGTCGTATTCGTCCTCTCATCGTCATCATCAGCATCGTCAAAGAATGAGGTCGCCGTTGATGGAAACGCAGAAAAACGCGACGGAGGAAGACGAAGAGGAAGACTCGGAGGAGTTTAAAGGCCGCTCGTTATCGCCGACGGCGGAGTTTCGAGAGGCGCAGAAGATTGCGTTTAACTCGACGAACGAAAAGAAGAAGACAAAGGAGTTTACGGAGTACGACGACGACGACGAGGAGGAGGAAACATTCGATATTCTGAAGAAGAAGGAGGAAAATTTGGTCAACGTGAACGCGTACGGAGAAACCATTCGAGTCGCGGATACTTTGGCGATAGACAATGTAAACAACAACGACAACAACATCACCGAGGAGCGCGATGATGATGATGAGAACAATAAGACATCGACGAAGAAACGAGGACGCGGAAAAGTCGATTTCCAGTTTGGCGATCGACACACGGAAGAACAAGATTTTGAAGACGGTAAAAATGGAGTCGTCGCCGTCGCGGAGACTTTTACGCCGATTCGAGAGACCGTCCCCGCGCCGTCTGGCATGCACGTTTGCGACGACGATGATGAAGAAAAAGAAGACAAAGATGAAAAGGAAGCAGATGAAAAGGATGGCGTACTCCCGCTGAGAGAAATATTCCGCGCGAAACACTTAATCGACCCGCGAGACGCCTCGCGGACGGCGCCCGTACTGGAGGTGCAAGTATTGCGAGACGAAAGTTTTTCTTATCGACACGTCGCGGCGAGGACGACGATTCAAACGATTCAGACGACGACGCCAAAGACGGCGGTGAAGAACCACGACCATTATTTGGCGTATGAGATTGACCACGAGATTCGAGACGCGACGGAAATTTCGGTGTGGAAGATTGAAACAGACAACTGTAGTAGTAGTAGTAGTAGTAGACGCGAGCGTAGCGGTAGTGACGATAGCAAGACTATGTCACGTTTTTCGTTTAAAGGGACGGTTTTGATCGGTAAACCGAGCGCGCGGGACGGAAGAACGTCGTCGTCGTCCAAGGGCGGTGGTGGAAATGGTGGCGGTAAGACGATGAAACGGTGGGCGTTTTCCATCGCGCCGAACGGGCTCGTGTTCACGTCCTCGTACAAGAAATCCTCTCTGCTTTCGATGATGGACGAGACGGAACGCACGCACGGGAGCAACAACAGCAGCGATTCAGACGATTATTCAGACGATTCAGACGACGAAGATACTTATTTGTATGGGATGAACTCCGCGGAACGCCGAAGGCGGTTTCCCAGGAAATCGGGAGTATACGTGCACGACCCGGTGGACGTGAACGAGGAGGAAAGTGTTCACAAGAAGGATCCCTCTCTCGGGTCAGAAAAGAAAAGTAATCAAAGCCAAAAACGACGCTCGAGCGGTCGACGACGAAGTAAGACGCCGAGGGATAGTTTCGGTAACTCCATGGCGGATACCAAGAAGAATCAAAAGACGACGAAGAAACAGACGTATTTCGAGCTTCAATCGCCCGGGATGGCTGGGAAAGTTCGTCCGCGAAAGTTCGCGTCGGCGTTTAGCGAGGAATACGACGAAACCGTGTTTCGATTAGCCGGAGTCGGCGCGGAAGGGAAGTGCCGACTGTGGACGTGGTCGTGCGAGAATAATGAGGACTTTGATGACGACGTAAACGGCGACGACGAGAAGAAAATGTCCTCCTCCTCCTCAAAGAAGAAATCAAAGAGCAAAAACAAAACGAAGTTTTCGACGGCGAAAATATGCGCCAAATCGGTCACGCATTGTAAAGACTTCGAGATCCCGACGTACAAGTCGCACTGCGTCTCTCGAGAGTGCGAGATTACCTCGTTGTCATTTTCCAAGGACGGCAACGTCTTAGCGTGCGTGTTCGATAAGAAACACGTCGTCGTTTGGGACGCTTCGACGACGCGCGTTGTTTTCAGCTATTATTGCACGGAGTACGAGATTGAAAGAGATGGATTGCGCGTTTTGGACAACAACAAGAAGATGATGAAACAAAGAGGACAAAAGTCCACGCCGAGCCGCCCGAACGCTTCGAACTCGAAAATGAAGAAGAAGAAGAGCACTTTTACGACGAGCGCGGACGCGACGTCGACGGGTGGTGGTGGTCCGATTTTCTTCTTTGGCAACTTTCGAAAGATTAGTTCGTCCTCCGACTCGTCGTCTCCATCTTCCGTAGCCACGTTCGCGTGCGCGTACAACAAAGAACTCGTCGTCGGTCCAAACGCGTCGTGGGAAAGTCTTAATAAGGCGAATAACGGAAGTGACATCGTCTCGGCCGTCGCGGTGTGCCCAGACGTCTTCGTCGAGGAAGACGACGAAGAAGACGAAGAAGAGGAGGACGATGAAGAGGAGGACGACGAATACGACGTAAAGATGATAAAGGCGGCTTCGAAAAGAAACACCACGGTCAACGTCGTCGTCACCAACGCCGGCCGCTTAGGCGTCTTTGAAGCTTTCGGCCACGCGAACGAAGCGACACACGCGTACGAAGGCTTGACGTTTACGAAGCGACACGCGTTCGACGAGGAAGACGTAAACGACGACGGTAAAACGAATAAAAGTCATAAAAAGAAGGCTTTCCAAGGAAACTTCCTCTGCGCTTCGCACGGCAACCTCTTCGCCGTCGCGCGGAAACGTCCGGGATGCGTCTCTCTTTACGCGCAAGAAAACCACCACCACTTTGAAGAGAGCTTTTAGTAGACTAAAAGTGGTAGTAGTACGCACGGTAGTAATAAGGTTTTAATAGTGCTCTATTCTAAATATACACAACGTAATGGTCAAAGTCGTACGCCAAAGTCCTCCCAAAAGGCCTGTTCTTAGTCATAAACCAAGTAGCATAAAACTCATCCCCAATTGGTTCTCCTCCCGACCCCCCCTCGTAACTGCGGCTCTTGACTCGTCACGTACGTCCCTTGATTCAGATCTCGTCTCCAAAACCCTCTCGTTTTCGTCGGTTGATGCCAGTTTTCGATCATTTCTTTCGATTTTTCTAACGTGTCTTTTAAATGTTTTTCCGCTTGATCTCTTCGGTCGTTTCCGTTTTCCATCAGAGAATGGATGAAACGCGTGATGAAATTATTAGTATTGCTGCTCATTTTTAAGCGCGTTTACTCGCGCGCTGTCGTGTTCTCAGTAAACGCTGTTAATCGCAACACTACTTCTCTCTCTTATTCGAAGAAAAGCAGTGCGTGTCAACACCTTCAGAGCGGAGTAATAGGAAAAATCTCTCATCCCTTTTCCATAAGAACACCTAAACCCTAATTTACGAAGTAAAAAGAAGTTTCCGAGCAGTAAAGATATTGAATAGAGTATTCTTTCGCCTTCGCTCAATCCATCGTATTCTCTCCATACTCTCCGTGTTGTTGGAACGCGCGATGATTATGGCGTCGTGTGGGCACTTCTTTTTCGCTGGGATGATATGTGTTTGTGTGTGTGTTTGTGTTTGCGTGTGTATGTGCGCTATATGAGGGAGTATATTAACAAGAGCTAGTGGCAGCAACGCATGTGCTTTTTCAAAGTACCAGATTGACGAAACTTCATCTCGCACACATCGCACTCGTACGGTTTCTCCTTCGTGTGAATACGCATGTGGCTTTGCAAATGACCAAGTTGACGAAAAGCTTCATCACAAACATCGCATTCATACGGCTTCTCCTTCGTGTGAATACGCATGTGCGTTTTCAAACTACTAGATTGAGTAAAACGTTTCTCGCACACATCACATTCATACGGTCTCTCGTTCGTGTGCGTACGCATGTGTCGATCCAAAAGTGATCGTCTATCAAACACCTTCCCGCAAACATCGCACTCGTGTTGCGTTCTCTTCCTCTTCGCTCCTTTCTTATTAAAAGTCGTTTCTTCTTTTTGTATCTGATGATGATTCGCCTCGAGATCATCCTCCTCCTCGTCAGGAATCTTCAAACACAACACCAAATTTGGTTCATCTTTCTCGCGTACTTTCAAAACCGTCCTCGCGTTCACCGCTCTTTTCGGATGTGGATTCTTTCTTCTTCGACTCATGCATTCAAAGTCGTTCTTTGCGTCTCTCGCGGAGAAGAAGAAGAGAGGTTCTTTCTCTCGCAAAGTATTTAGTATTCACGAGCGCGTCATTATGGAAAAAAAAAAATTGAGACGTTTTTGAAGAAAAGACTTGCGCCTGATTGACTAAAATTTTGACTTTTTTCTCAAAACACACAAGAGAGAGACGAAATCTCTCAATTAAAATCCATCACTTTTGTCTGCGCAGATGACGACCAACATAAACTCTTATTCTTCTCAAATGAAACACATCGCGTTCTCGAAACCTCGCGTGGACGACGATTCACGCGTGGAAGCGTTGGACGAGTTAACGCTGCTGTTTGAGGAAGAAAACAAAGAAGAAGAGATGATGATGTCAGAGGCGTTGACATCGGAGGTGTTGGATGCGTCGAATTCAACGTTGATTCGCGCGAAGTGTTTCGCACTTTTGCAAAGGATGAACGAGAGAAGTGATACGAATAAAAGCGAGAATAACGAGAAGAAGAAGAACAGCATCATCATCATCTACGAGCAAATGTGCGTGCACCCAATACGAGAGTGGATGAGGATTCTTCTTGACGACGAGAGTACTACGAGTAATTTCAGTAAAGAACAACTGTTAAAACGAGTCCTTTTCGCGCTCGACGCGTGCGGGAAAATCAACGTCTTCTTTGAAGAAGAAGAAGAGGATTTAGAGGAGGAAAAGGAAGAGGAAGAAGGAGTGTTGTTTGGAAAATTGACCAATGAAGTGGTTAAGTTTTGCATCGGGAAGTTATACATCGTCGAAGATTCAGGAGGCCCCGGCGCGACGAACGACGCGAAGACGACGAAAGATATGAACAGAGAGTTGTACACCGCTTCGGTCGCCTGTCTCTCCTCGCTGGCGAAGAAGAAGAAACAGAAAAAGAAGAAAAACAATACTACTACTACTAATAATATTACCAAGAATGAGGCGAAGAAGAAGAACGGTGTAGAAAACGGCGACGATGTATTAGACGATTTAGACGACGGGACTTCCTTTTTTACGATTGAAGATATTCAGAGTTTGTTGAGGTACGTGGAAAAAGGGACGTCGGTTGGGGACAGTCAAGGGACGTTGGCGTGCGGCGGGAGTTTGAGAGTGTTGACGTTTTTAATGCCGAAGTTGTTGGAGCAAAAGAGACGGAAGTATGGATTATTAGTGGGTGGTGGTAGTGGAGGCGGCGTAGGGGTTGGCGCTGAAAAGGCGGACGGTAACGCAGGGGGGGACAACAACGATATCGTCGTCGCGAATTTCTTAGGCCAAGGACGACGAACTGGAGTCGAAGAGATGGAACTGAAGATGTACTCGAAAACGATCATCGGAGAGGAAGGTAATAATGATAATAGCATTTATAGTAGCAAAAAAGTAGACGTCTTTGATCGCGTGGATTTCAACGCCGTGACCGCCTTGGTGGGCAAGAAAACGTTACAAAGCGGCCATCACGTTCCGGCGTGGATTAAATCCGCCGGGTGTGAATACTTAGCACACTGCGCGCGGAAAAAGGAAGACTTCGTCTTATTAGCGAAAGCGTGCACAGACAAACGCCACTGGTCGGTACGCTTAGCCGCTCTGAAAGCGTTCGCGAAACTCGGGTTTCATTCGAGGCCGTATTACACGCAGTTGATTTTGTTCAACGCGCACGACGAAATTTGCGAAATACGCGAGCAGCTCTGCGAAACGTTGAAGAAATCGTGGCAAGGGAAGCAGTGCGAGCCGAAAACAGACGGGTCGGACGATTTGAAGTTGTTTCAAACCGCCGAGTGCGTGGGCGAGTTGATGCGCGATCCGGACGCCGGCGTGAGGGCGAAAGCGATCGAGTGTTTAGGGTACGTGAGAGGTGCCGCGAATACGCGAAGAACCGAGATGGCGAGGATGTTACACGGCGATTCAGACGAAACCGTTCGCGAAATGGCGGCGGATTCCTTGGCACGGTTAGGATTTCTGAACGTGAATACCGGGGAGATCTCCGCAGACGGTAATTATCGAACGACGAAGTTTCTCTCGAATAAGCGGTTGTTTTTACAACTCATCGCCGCGGAACAGGCGACGATTATTCAAGAGATGGGAGGCATCGTTGGACACGTAGCGATAGTAAGTGGTGGCGGCGGTGGCGGTGGTGGCGGCGGAGGAGCGAACGACGACGACACGACCGCGAACGGCGCGTTCAAGAAACTGACCAACGCGGCAACCGGCGTAAACGCATCCGCTAAAATTCTCACCGACAAATCGCAAATCATCAAACTTGAAAAGATGAAAAACATCAAGGTAAAAGAAGGCGACACCATTCGAGTGTTTTGGCCAGACGATAAGGAGTGGTACGAAGCTAAGGTCGTTCAAGCCGAAGATTATAAGAAGAGCGGTAAAAAAACAACGAAAATTTGTTACTCCGAAGACGGCGTCGAGGAAGAGATTGACATTCGGAACGAAAGAGTCGAGTTGAGATATAAACCGCACAAGAAAGGGTGCAGAACGCAGTGGGTGCCGTGCGGGAATCAAGAATCAGAGAGAATTAAAGAGGAGAGGAGGAAACAGTTTGCGATGCAAAAAGCTTTGAGAGAGGCGGAGAGGTTGGCGGAGATGGAGATTCGACGAGAGCAAAGGGAGATGGAGAAGAAGGAGAAAGAGAAGGAGAAAGAGAAGGAGAAAGAAGAGATGCAGAAGTTGGAGGCTTTGCGTAACGTGGAAACAAAGAAGCTTGATAACGAAGCCCGGAAAACGACGACGACGATTCAGACGACGGGAGGATCGAGGAATGGCTTTTGGAAAACAATCGCGTTTAGCGGCGGCGCCGATTCAAAGAAGGAAGAAGTAGTCGCGACCGATACCGCGGATGGAGAAGCGGACGCTGAAAAATGTACAGAGCACCCTGAAGCTTCTGTTGAAGAAGAGAAGAGAGTAACCTTGAATGACGCCGATATCAAACTCCTCCGCGGGTTAGTCAATCAAAAGATTAAAATCTACTGGCCTTTGGATAAAGTCTGGTACGTCGCGGACGTTTTAAGCTTTGACGAGGAAACGAAGAAAGTGAAAGTTTTATACGTGGAAGATCAACTTGAAGAAGAAGTCGAGTTATGGACGGAACGGAGTCAACAGTACGTGCCGCCGACGGATATGTCCCACAAGGATTTACACGGCATCACGCCGTTGCGCGTGCCGGTGGAGGTTGGCGGCGTCGAAGGGTATTTGGAAATCGGCGCGAGAAGGCACGAAGAGTACATCGTCTTCAAACCACCGACGACGTCAGGTAAGAAACGGAAGAGATTAGATACTGATACCAAGAAAACGAAATGGCACGCGATGAAAGGCTCGGATTTTGAAAGAAAATTCAACAAGCTTTTATCGGCCAACGCGCAGCGTCGATGGCGTAAAAACGTCGCGTACAATCCTCGAGGATGGCAAGACTGCAAAGAATCGAATCTTTCCTCTACAAAACTCAAACGCAAATACGGAAACGAGAAGATGCCGCTGTTGAAATGGTTGATTACTCAAGGAGACCAGTGGGGCGGCGTCGTTATCGGTAAAACTTTAGAGTTGGATTTGAATTGCCATCGAGGAAGTCAGTTTGTGTTCAAAAACGGATACGCGGTCTTTGAAGAAGAAGAAGCAGAAGAAGAAGAAGAAGAAGAAGAAGGAGCTTTAAAAGAAGCAACAAAATCGACGGATTGGCTGCTTTGTAAAATCACCGATTACAACGTCCAATCGGGCGAACATTTGGTGTGCCCGATTGACGAAAACGGGATCATCGCCGGAGACGCCGTCTGGATGGTCTTGGCGTCGCAACGCACGAAACCAACAAAAAATGAAGACCAAGAAGAAAAAGAAGAACAACATCATCATCATCCGGAGAATGTCGAAATCGTCGCAAGACCGAATAATGACGACAACAACACCACCACCAACTCGATGAAAATGTTGGACGACGATGAAACCGCTTTTTAATAATTTTTGTTCTACCAACTGTAACAACAGCATAAAAAAGTAACACATTAACACATGCGCAACATCAGTTTTACCAGCGGAAAAGGCATCAGTACTCTCATCACTACTCATAAAGAAACGACGACGCAAAGGATACTCAAAAGAGCCATGGTTCAGGTGTTTTGCGGGAGCAGCACGAGCAGGAATAGGAATACTTTCACTCGTTTCTTTTCCCCGCAAAAACAGATAAGGCGGCGGAATTGCATCGTCGCAAACTCATCGTCATCTTTTCAGCGCGAGCAACAGAGAACGATCAGAGGCATCTCTCTGTTGAACGAGACAGACAACAAAAACGTGCACCCGTCGCACGTGCTCTGTCCGGATGATTTTATGCCATCACCAACGGATGACGAAGATGCAACAAAATTTGAACTCCCGAGGAAAAAAATCCCAATAGCTTTAGTCTTGGCGTACGTGGGCGATACGTTTAAAGGGAACACGCAGAACGTGATGCTCCCGAGAGGAAGCACGGTAGATGACGTCATCGAAGACGCGATATATAAAGCCGGAGGGATTTTATTCTCGAATTATCGATCGAAAGGGTTATCTCGCTTGAAATGGTCCAGGAGTTCGAGGACGGATAAAGGCGTGTCGAGTTTGTTTACCGTGGTCGGGCTGAGGATGGAAGCGCCGGTGAGAGCGTACGGAGGAGGAAAAGAAGTTGTTGGTGAAGAGGAGACAAATGATGAGGAGGACGAGAGAAAGAGTAGTAGTCGTAATAGAAGTAGTAAAAGGAGTGAAGAAGAAGAAGAAGAAGACGACGCGGAGGCGAAAGCGTTGATAGTGGAGAAAATCAACCGACACTTACCGACGGATACGGTGAAAGCGTTCGCGTGCTTCAAGGCGACGAAATCGTTCGATGCCAGACGCGCGGCGATTTCGAGAACGTACGAGTATTTACTCCCTCTGAAGTGTTTGCGAGATGATAAAAACGGCGAACTCGAGATGTTTCGAGAGGCGTTGAAGACCTTCGAAGGCTCGCATCCGTTTCATAACTACACCAAGAGAGGGTTGTACGGCGCCGGAAAAGGGAACGATAAAAATCGAAAAGGCGGCAGAGGTAATCGAAACAAAAAGAACGCGTTGACCGAGGACGACGACGGGTTAGGAGAGACGTCGTCGTCTGAAGAACAAGAATTAGAAGAAGAAGAAGAAAAAGAATTACCTAAGCGCATCGAGACGAGCGGCAAACACACGTATTGGCTGTTGGAAAAAGACGTCGACGATCTCGTGCACGTCATGCACTATCGACGAATACACGAATTTACGTGTTCGAAAGAACCGGAAATCATAGAAGGATTCGAGTCGTACCCGTTCGTTCGGGTTAAAGTCTACGGCGAAAGTTTCATGTTGCACCAAATCCGCAAGATGATTGCCACCGCGGTGTTGGTCGCGTTGGATAGCGAAGAAACGCCGACGATGCCGCTGAGTTTTATCAAAGCGAGTCTGTGTCGCCCGTGTCGAGTGGTTACCCCGATGGCACCACCGTTGACTTTATTTCTAACCGGCGCTGAGTTTATGAGTTTCCGCAAAACGAATCACGAAGAAAAAACTCGAGCGGCAAAAGCGGAGGAGGAGGAGGAGAGCGAAGAGGAAGATGACAAAGAGACGGAAAAAGGAAAACTTCGTTCGTTGACTATTAGCGAGGAGACGAAAAACGACATCGACCGATTCCGTCGCGAACATCTGTACCCGAAACTCGCGGAATCCTTCAGCAATCAAGACTGGGACTTCTTCATCGAAAACGTGCGAAACGTCGAGCCGACTCGCGAGGAGTATTTGAACATCGTGAAACAATACGAAAGTTACGACGAGATGAGAAAAATCCGCGCGAAAGAAAAAGAAGAAGAGGAGGAAGAAGCATCGATGATCGAAAAGAGTTTACTATAATAATAAACCCTTCTTCCAATCGAGAGAGAGACGAATCGAATACGGACGAGACACCGCGTTCGCGTTAAAGAGTACTACTAATAATAATCACATCAATGCAGCGCGGCATCTAACCCGCTATAATCCGTCGCAAACACCCACAACACGACACCAACACTTGCTACGCACAAATAATCCAGCCATTTCGGGCTCCCTCCCATTCCTCCGTTGAACGCGATATTCACCACGCGCAACGCCACTATTGGTGAGACAAAGTCCAACACCAAATCTTTTGTCGTATATCGTTCTTCTTCTTCATCTTCATCGTTAAAGAACTTCTCATTTGAGGATGGAAACATGGACCCGGATGGTAAATTCTCTCCGCCGACGGTAAACGCTTTCCCTTTTTCTGCAGATAGTAGTGATACAGTCGCCGTCGTCATCCCTAAAAACAGCATTCGTCGTCTTTGGTTGTTGGTGTTGCTTTTCCCCGTCGTCTGCGCATCACGATGATGAGAAGAACTACGGGAGACTTTTACTCCTTCGAGAGGCTTTTTATTCGAACGACGACGCGGACGAAGTGAAGGACTCTTTCGTGTAAAGCCCTTCTTCGTGAGGGAGAGAGAAGAATAACTCGTCGTCGTCCTCGTCGTCATGTTTTCCTTTCCGCGCTGAATAAAATGAAGCAAAACTTTCCCCAATTTTCGTCATTTAAAGACGCACTTTAACACACAAAAACACGCATTATAATGTCCTTAGCGCACTTAGAAAACGCGCGCTCGATGCACCTCGAGAACGAATCTCTCGAGATGCTCTTATCGAGAGAGTTTTCCAGAAAAGGGGTGGATTTTTCGCACAAGAAACGGCTCGCGCAATCGCACCGAGTGCGGGGAATGCTCGATCGAATGCGAACGAACGCACGGAAATTGGTAAGCCTCTTTTTCTCTCTTTTTCTCTCTTACGCGTAATACTGTACTTCTTTTTCCTATTCTTTGCAACAAAACCTCGTTGTTGTGTTGTTTTACGCGTCGTCATCGTCAGATATTATTGTGTTATAAAGGAGAGAACAACGCGCGCATAAGATTCACGTTGAAAACGACTGACCCTTTCTCTTATTAAAACATGTACTAAAAACAACAGAAAGCGTACTATGAAGACCTCGACGGAAGCCGAAAAGAGGAAATCGAACGCTCTGGCGGCACTGGGGAGAAACCGTTCGAAACGTTTTACCGAGCAATGAAAGAAGAGAAGATGAGGTTACAGAGTCGTAATAATGAGAGCGGCGGCGGCGCGGCGGCGATTCAGACGACGACGAACGCTAACGACGATACGGATGCGATGAGAGAACAGTTGGAAGAGCAGCAAAGGATCGCCGCGAATAAAGAACGATTGAGGAAAAAGCTAACCGCGAAGAGTAACGGGAAAGAAGAGATAGAAGAGGACGACGCGAGGTTAGATCCGAACGCGGAGAAGTTGCCGGACGGAGTGGATTTTTCGGGAGAGGAACATCAGGGCAGATATTTGGATTTAGTGAGATTTCATCACGCGTTTGTCGCGGACGTCGCGAGAACGTTCGGAGTGAGTTACACCGAGGAGGTGAAGAAGAACGCGTCCAAGAAGAGAAAGATGGAGCAGCGGCAAAAGTCGGGGAAAAAACCTTCGGATGGAGAAGACGAAGAGAAGGAGGAGGAGGAAGGCGACGACGAAGACGAAGAGACGAGACGTAAACCGCTCGAATACGTCGCGTTTCTCCACGAGCTGCCAAACTTGTTCGACGCTGAAAAAACAGCCAACCTCGAACGATCGAAGAAATTCTCCAAAGCGTACGTCTCTTTCTGCGAAGAGTTGTGCGAATATCTCGTCGATTTTTTAGAACGCGCGAGTCCTTTGCAATTTGCCCGCGACGTGCTCGTAAAAGAGGAAATCGACGGAGAGTTTGAAAAGCTGTTCGAACGAGGAGCTTTGAAAGGGTGGGAAGATAAAGGCGTCGTCGCTTCTACCACTGGTACCGTCAAATTAGATTTGGCCGCGATCAAAGGCATCGCGAAAGGTAAAAACGCGTCGTCATCGAAAGCGTTGAAAAGTTCCATGAATGACGAGGAGATTAAAGACGCGCTAAACAAAGCCGGTTTGAAAACGGGAGGCACGCCGGACGAGCGGTGCGAGCGTTTGTTCCAAGTTATAAAATTGGTATCGGCGGCGAAAGGAGGAAAAGACGACGACGCGACCATCCCGTCCAAGTACATTCGCAAAGGCGTTGTCGTAGGCGGCGGCGCGGATAAAAAAGACGAAAAAGCCGAGGATCGAAGCAAAACGCAAAAAGAAAGGGCCAAACACATCGCCAGACTCGAATATCGATTAAAACTCTTATTCGCGGGCGCTTTACGTAAAACCTTAGACAACACGAAATCGCAAGCGGAAAAGAAACTCACCATGTCCCGCCAAGAAATCGAACGAGAACACGAAGAGGACGACGATTTCGCTTTTTCCGAAGGAGACGAGGACGAAGACGAGATGAACAAAGAGATTTATAACCCGTTGAAACTTCCGATGGGATGGGACGGGAAACCAATCCCGTATTGGCTATATAAACTGCACGGATTGAACGTAGAGTTTAAATGCGAAATCTGCGGCAACTATTCGTACTGGGGTAGACGCGCCTACGAACAACACTTCACGCAGTGGCGCCATCAACACGGCATGCGATGTTTGAACATTCCTTTTAGCAAAGCGTTCAACGAAGTCACCACGATTGAAGAGGCGAGAAGGTTGCACCGGTCGTTAGAAGAGAAAAAAGTCGGGAAATGGGATCGCAAACAAGACCAAGAGTGCGAAGACGCGGACGGGAACGTGTATAACGCGAAAACGTTTGCCGAGTTGCGCTCGCAAGGTTTGATTTGAAAATAATACCACGGTACCTAGGTACAAAGTTTAAAACAAATTTTCCTTAACTATACTAATACTAAATGGCTCTCAATGACTTTTCACTCTTCTTTACTAAGTTGTCGTGCTGACGAAAGACCATCCTTATCCTTGTTCGACCAATATTTTTGTTGAATGGCTTTAACGATGCGCTCTTTCTCCATGGAATTGATGATATCCGGTTTTGCCGCCTTCCCAGACGGGCCCTTTGGAGAGTTGTTCGAGACTAAGTTTTGAATCCTAAAGCCCTCGTCGTTGTTGGCGTCCTCCTCTAAATCCTCCTCCTCCTCGACGGTTCCGTCATTCGCCGAGGACGACGGTCTCGGGCGATTTGATTGATCTACAACTGACCTCATCATTTCTTGGATGGCGTGATTGTATCCCAACATGTGATTGGGCGGCACGGCGTTGGATACGAAGTTGTTTTCATTTTCTTCATTGTCGCTCCCGGTGATTGTTTTTTGTTGATGTTCTACTTCTTCTTCTTCTTCTGTTTCTTCTTGTCTTTGTTGATGTTGCGCTGCTTTCGCCGCGATATCGTCGTTTGCGCCCTCTTCTTGTAAAAACTCCTCCTCCATCTCGCACAACGAATTCGCCAACTTTTCCGCCGCGCGAACGCGCTGGTCCTCGTTTTTCCAGTTGCTCGTACTCGAAGAAAAAGTATATCGAACCGCCTCGACGATGTCGTTGATAACCGATGGAAACTGCGGCATCCCCCTCCACGCGCGTTGTTGTTGTTGTTGTTGTTGTTGTTGTTGTTGTTGTTGTTGTTGTCGTTCTCGTTGTTGTTGTTGATGTCGTTCTCGTTGTAGTTCCTGCTGCCGCAAAAGAAGCAGCTGTTGATAGTATTCTCGTCGTTGTTCTTTCCCGTACTCGGTCTCTTCGCTATCCTCGTCGTCGCTAAAACTGCTACTACTCGTCGACGTCGATGCCTCTCCGAACAAGGCCATTTTCACCAGGCGTTTCTTTTCCTTCTTTATTTTTTTCTTTTCCTCTTGTTGTTGGATGTCTTTTGCTCGCTGCATCTCTCGTTGCTTTTTCCGTCTCCTTCTCAGGTTTCTCACCCCGCACGCGTTACACACGGACTCGCCGGATTCGTCTTTCCTCCACTGCGGCGTTTCCGTCGCCCCGCACTCCACGCATTTTAGGTCCAGCATATCGTTTCTTCTCCTCTTCAGTTCTTTACGACGCGCGATTTCGCACGCCACGAGTCGTTCAACTCGATCCTTTGAATGAAGATCATCCTCATCTTCTTTCGTCTCGTTCGTCGTCGTCGTCGTCGTCCTCGTCGTCGTCAAAAACGAAGGCGAGGGAGGCGGAGACGGCGTTTCCGATCGACTTTTCCGTCTCGATCTGAACCCCGCCGCGCCCTTTCCTCGCATTACTTTTCTATTCTTTGTTCTCGTTCGTATCGTCTTCTTCTTCTTCTTTTATGTTTATATCAAAGAAGAGAATACGCCAGCGCACTCGCGTACGAACAACGAGGACTTTGAGTGCACGAATTAATGAGGTCTTTTTTGCATCTCTTCGTTCAAAATTAAATTTTTGCTTCTCTCTTCCTCTCTCTCTCTCTCTCTCTCCAGCTCTCTCGCTTTTTTCTCGAACAACAAATTATTGATCGTTTTCGTCACTCGAGTACGTGTGACAAAAATTCTGTCCGAAAGAGAGGAACGCGCACGTGCAAAAAAGCAAAAAGGAACTCTCTCGAGATAGATGATGATGATGAACTTTTTCCTTAAAAACCCCCCAAAAGAAAGAGGAAAAAGGAGTGAGAATACAAAAAAAAGCGAGAGTACTCTTTACTACCACACATGGGTTTCCTTCCTTCTCTTTCCTCTCGTTCTTCTTCTTCTTCTTCTTCTTCTTCTTCTCGCGAGAAAGAAGGTGGCTTTTTTGCAAAGAAGTTATTAAAGAGGAGGAAAGAAGAGAAGGAGGAAGGAAAAGCGCGCAGGGAAGCGTTGGAAGTAAACGAAGAAGAGAATGATGACGATGATGATGATGATGATGATGAAAAGAAACTCCTTCTGGAAGAAGATATTCTCTTGAGCGGCGAAATCCCCGGCTTGTTCCACTGTCCAATCACGCAGGAGATATTCGAACAGCCGGTGACGTTGCGTTGCGGACACACGTTTTCGAAAACGAGTTTAATGCGATGGATGGCGAAGAATCCGTGCTGTCCAACCTGTAGGAAAAGTCAGTTTATATTCGACTTTAACGAGGAGATGCGGGTGAACAAAGTCGTCGAGAACGCGGTGGAGTTTTTAACGAAGAGAATGAATGATAAGAAGAAGAAAATGAGGAGAAGAAGTAAAAGCAAAAGCGAAACTCGAGTTTCGAGCGGCGAGGAGGAGGAGGGAGGAGGAGTCGTACGCGGCGGCGGCGAGAATGAAGAAGAAGACAAAGAAGAAGAAGAAAAAGGAGAGAAGTGGAAGCGGTTACCGCTGTTCGTCTTGGACGCGGTCGTGCCCGGGACGGAGCTGATGTTGAACGTCTTCGAACCGAAATTACGTTTGATGGTGCAAACGGTGCTGACGCAACATTATAATCCGTCGTTTGTGATGTGCGCGAGGACGTACGATGGATCGGTAAAGAGGAGTTTACGTTACGATATAAGTAACACTACGAGTTTAGAATACCATCGTAAAAGGAATACCATCGCGAGACACGGAATTATCGCTCGAATTATCGCCGCGAGTGAAACCGTCGACGGGAGGTTCTTGATTCGCATACGCGCGGATTCAGAGAAAGTTGTCGTCATACAGAAGTCGAGCGTGAATAATAGAAATAATAACAACAATAACGAAGGAGGAGGAGAAAACGGAGAATTCGGAGGATACGCGGGAGGAGAAGTAGTATCGGAAGAAGAAGAAGAAGAAGGAACTGAAGAAGAAGAGAACATGAGAGAAGAAGCGTTTCCGATTTGCGATTACACGGAACGCATAGACGCGCCTTGGTCGTCATTAACTGAACGCCTCGCTGGAAGCGCCGATGAAGCGAAAGCTTCGTTGCTGCTCTCTGTAGACGAAGCCGAGGCGACATTTTATGCGTGGGCGACGCTCGCGGAGAAGAGCGGATACTTCGGCTCGCACGCGTGCTTCGCGCACGACGATTGCGTTTCAGGAATGGAGAAGGGCCACCGACGAACGAGGAAAGGAACAATGAAAAGTAAAAGACCACACGCGCTTGATGAAAGCGCAGAAGACGAGCGCGAGAGAAACTTACCGCTGAAAGACGTCGTCTTTCGATGGAAATCGTCTTTAGAAGATAACGGAGAACTCGAACGTCTCAACGAGATCAACAACGAAAGAGATTACGACCTCGCGTTCGACGGCGGCAACGCGAGTTCCTTCCGTCGCCAACAATTGCTCACGCGTTTCAAAAGCAGAGGAGGAGGAGGGATGAACAACATGCAAAGACCATCCTTCGAGGAAGTTCGGTCGCGTCCGGAGCAGTTTGCGAGCACTCTTTTGTGGTGGTTCGTTCGATGCGTCAATCCGATCCCATCTGCCGGCGCGGCTTTGGAAATCAGACCGTCGATGTTGAGCACCGGAGACGCCAAGACGCGCTTTGCGTTGTTTTCGAAACTGATTTCAGTTTCAATCGTTCGCGTTTTGGGGTACGCGCCAATGGAGTGGATGAATTGGGAATGCGTGAAAGAAAAAAGACTGATGAAGAAGATTGGCGAGGTGCTTTCGAAAGAGAGAGAAACGATCTCGGCGGCGACGATAAGAAAAGAAGAGATTGGCAAAGACAGCGCGAACAGAAGGAAATTGAGAATTTTAATCGAAACGTGTTTGAGTATCGTCTACGAGTATTCAAAGGAAGAAAAAGAAGAAGAACGGCAACAACAAAACGGTGGCGATGCCGATGGTACGAAGAACGACGCCGAAGACGCAAAAAATACGAGCATTCCGACAGTCTCGGGCGTCCGCATTGTTTTCACGGACGAAGAGCTCGATTCATTCGGCGCGCATAAATTAGCTCTCACGCTTCGAGACGTGTTGCTAAAAGTCAAGAGAAAAAACGATCGAAAGGCGCAACGAAAACGCGTCCTGAATTTACGAGCGTTGGCAAAGGCGTTGAAACATAACCTCGACGAGAACGAGTTTTTCCACATGTTTGACCCATTCTGTCACGACTTGACGGCGACGAACAGCAACTTCTTCTATCTCACGACCAATAACGTGAACAATCGCATGCATAGGAGCGTCACACGCATACGAGCCGTGGCCAAACTGCGACGTTTCCTTTACCGAGCGCAAAGTTTCCTCCGCGGCGTCTCGTTCGGCGCCAAGTTAGCCTACGATAAATTTTTCTGGATTGCCGGCTTGATCTTGTTCTCCTTGGTCATCTTCGCGTTGATCGTGCAATCTTTACGGTTCATTCATCGCTTTGGTCCGAGTCAAGAGGAGATGAAACAAGAGCTTCAACGCGTGCAATCGTTCGTGCGAGAGTTTGCGAATGTTGTTTTTTCGCGGACTCAAAAAATGATGGATGCGTGATGATGCGTATTCAGTTGTTTCCTTCCACATTCTGTGTGTGGTCACTTACTTAAATATATATGAAGTGTAGTTGAAAAATTACACGCACGTTGTATATATCAGCGACGAAGAAATTCGTCGTCTTATTTATAACATTAAAATTGTCTCTCTCTCTCTCTCTAATACTAATACTCGTACTTTTTTTTAAAAGTTCCTTGGTCTCAACACGCCTCCGTTGGAACCGTTTCTTCCTCCCCCCATCTCTACTTTCCTCTTCATTTGACTCCTTTTCCTCGCTTGCAGCACCACAGTACACGCCTCCATGCGTTCGCTCGTTTGGTACTTCCATCTCGTGAACTCCTCGCAGCTCTCTCTGCCGATGCGAAACAACTCTCGTTCCATCCTCGTCAAATATTCCTCCTTGAAGCTCGGCTCTTTCGATCCAACCGTGTGACTTTCTATGATCATCTTACTAAATCTGCTCTTAAACGCCTCTTTCGCTTTCTGCACCAACGCCTTCCCCGCTTCGTAATCTTCGTGGTCATCTTCACTATCGCTGTCCTCCTCGTCGTCGTCCTCCTTAAAATCGGGGTCGAACGTTTCCATCAACAACTTCCCATACATCGACGCCAACTCGAAGAACATATCCGAATATTCCTCCGATAAGTTCACAATCTTCGGCTCCGCGTTAATTCTCGACCAGACGTGCGTGTTTTCCGGGAATGTCCTCGCCACCGTCTTCAACGGTATCCCGAAACATTTCATTGTAAACTCTTTGCACATCCAAAATGGTATCGTTATTTTCTTGTCCTCGGGCAAATCGTCGAACGGGCACGACGGGTCAAACTCTTGACCTAAATTGCAAAACGGTTTGCTTGTTTCGAATTGCACCGGTTCAGATTCCGCGAGGAATTGCGAGACGGAGTAGTAATCGTTGAACATGATGGGGCGATATATCTCTAATGAGTCGTATCTGTCGTCTCGATTTTTGAAATTCCCGGGGATGGATTTTTGGAGATTTTTTCTTCTCGCTCTCTCTAGATGATGATGATGATAATAATAATACGTTGCGCGTAAAAGAGCGCGTATTAATAGTTAGATTGAGAGAGAGTTTAATAAATCAAACGGATATTGGTGGACTCTCTTACTAAGAGTAAACGATGTTGAGTGCGCTTATATATCTGCGCGTTGTGAGGCTGCTTTTTTTGAATTTTTCTAGGAATTTTTAATGATGATTAGGGTTTAAGACCGACCCCTTGAAGACCCTTTGTCTCTCTAAAGTCGAGTCGAAAAGAGGACGATACGACGCGTAGTATATAATAATCGGATGATGATGATTTAAGAAGAAGCAGTAAGATAAAGTAGAATTTTAAAAATTAAACGTTAATGGTCAACCCGCCTTTAGTGCCTTTCTTGGCGATAAACTTGAACACTTCGATGGCTAAATCGAACGAGTGGACGTCCGTGAAGCCTTGGACGTTGTCGAAATAGTGGTATCGGTAGGATTTTTTCCTGGACGTGTAGGCGTCGAAACCGTAGAGATCGACTTTTTCGCACATTTGCAACGCGTATAAAACGGCAAAGAACCCACTCATTGGTTTGCGGTTGTATTGACTGTTTTTCGTCTTTTCCAAAAGTTCTTTCAGTTTGATCCAGAGCGAATGCGCTCGATTGGAGAACAACGGGTTGAGTAAAATCGCATTTTCCGCGCCGTATTTCTTCAAAAGCGGTTGACAGAGGTGATATCTCGCAAAATGACTGGCGGTTTCAAACAAGACCAGTTTAGTTTCGCCTTCGTTCGCCGGACGCCATCTGCGCACGCCTTGTAAAATCTCTCTCACGTTGTGCGAATTCACCACGTCGAAGGTCGTGCGTTTCCCGACGTACTTCTCAAACCCGCGAATAGGCGCCATGTTAATCCGTATGACCGCGTCGTGGTTATCGATTTCCTCCCCGTATTCTTTCAACAAAGTTACTCCGGAATTTCCAACCACCGCACAGGTTTTAAACTCGAACTTTGGCTCGTCCAACGGCAACTGTTCGAACAAACTTCTCGGAAAGTGATAAATCAACGTCTCGTTCGTATCGCCTGTCGTTGATTCCAACCAGTGTTGCAAAACCGGCTTCGTCCGAGAATCTTTCGGGTCCTCAGGATTGACCGGTTTATTCACTATAAATAACCTCTTGTGCGTGACGAGCGGCTGCGAATCGTCTCGCAGCGTCTCGAAGATGTCGTCTTCCATCTTTTGCGTTCGACTGTTGCTCCTCGCCGCGGTACCCCCGCTCGCTCGTTTCTCGTTACTTCTGCTACTCGTGCCACCACTTTTTCCTCCTCCTCTTCCTCCTCCTCCTCCTCCTCTCGTTGGGTTACTCTCGCTATTGCTCTCGCTACTCCTTTTACTACCGCTATTACTATTACTCTTACTCTTACTACTACTACTCCCACCACTGATGTCATCAGAAACCTTCTTCTCCTCGGCACCATCGCCGCCGTAATCCTCGGTTTCCTCGTCCTCGTTGTTACTCCTTTTAAATCCTCCTCCTAAACCGATTTCGAAATCATCGTTCTCGTTTTGACGACCCATCATCATCGAAGAAGAAGAATCAGAATCGGAGAACAATCCAGACACCGCGATCCCTCTCCAAATCACAATCACAATCAAGACGCAAAAGATAGTTTTCTCCATCGACGATCGCCGCACTCGGATTCCTTTTTCTTTACTTTTAGGGACCATCGCATGAGGATGCATCTTTTGCTCTTCTTCTTCTTTATAGTCAACTCTCTCTCTCTCTTTCTCGTCGTCGTAGGTTAAGTGTGTTTTTGTGTGATATCGCAAGAGTTTTATGAAGAAAAATTGGTCACTTTTAGACACTCGAATATTCTCTATTTATTCTCTCTCTTATAGAGCACATCTCGTCATGTTTTCAGCGGTCCACGACCAAGTGAAAAGGTTCTTCCACGACGACGACGCAGAGGAGCAAAAGGTGAAGGTTTTCGTCGTCGTCGGGTTGGGGTTCCTGTTCGTCTCTTTAAGAGTAAATCCAATCCAATTCGGGAAAAATCTTATAAGAAAAACGCGTTTATATGTGCTCGCGGTTTCGCACTTAGTCCTTTCCAACGAGAAGAAAGGGCTGAAAGCTTTACAGAAAGAGATGGATTTTGACGAGGAGACGATCAAATCGCAATCAACGTTGAAAGGGACGAGAACTATTTATTTCCTCAGGCACGGGGAAAGTCAGTGGAATTACGTCTTCAACAGAGGTTTTGGAGTCAGTTTTCCTTTGCGTTTGGCGAGAGGTTTAGTCATGGAATTGATGTGTTTGTTTAACGCGCGAAACTCGTTCTTCGTGGACGCGCCTTTGAGCGATCGCGGTTTAGAGCAAGTGGAGGAGTTGAGGAAGTTTTTGAACAAAGTGAACGATCCGTTTTTAACAGACGCGGAGGTCGCGGCGCTGCGATCGAAACACGTGGACGTGTTGAGAGCGGACGCGGCGAAGGGAGAGAAGTTGAGCAAGAAATCAATCATCGTGACGTCAAATTTAAGACGCGCGGCACATACCGCGGCGATTGCGTTTATGGATAGGTTTGAACGCACGAAGGAAAAGTTGTTCGTGAACGACGCTTTGCAAGAGATGGCGAGGAACGTGGACGCGTTCGCGTTGGCGGGAGAGGCGTTTGACGCGGTACCGTACACTGGAATTACGAACGTGGCGAAGGATAAAGGGACGTTGAATACGATCGTAGAGGAAACGGTGAAGTTTGACGTGGAGTCGAACGCCGGGAATAAGGGGATTGGGAGGCGTGGCGCGACGGATTGTTTGAGATTTGCGCATTGGGCGACGAGTCCGAGCGCGGTTCCGAAAGAGTGCGAAGCGATCATCGCCACCGGCCATTCTATATATTTCAAAGAGTTTTTCAAACTCTTTTTGCCGAGCGCGAGCAAACACGACGCGAAATCGAAGAAAATCGTCAATTGTGGAGTCATCGCGTTCGAGTTGAAGAAATACGAACACGAAAAGAAGGGCGTGTTTTATAGCATCGACGAAAACTCGATCGAAACGGTGTACGGGGGATTCGTCCAGAAAGGGAAACATTGAAGGAAGCTATTTATGTAACTAAGAGTAGCATTATATCATACAGCGTCTGTGCTACCTACAATTTGTGGCCTAGAATTATATAACAACGTTCAAACACATCTCTTACACATCAACCGGTTTTAAGCGTCTCCGCGATGTTTTCTAAACTCTGTGAAGTGAGCTCGTTTTGAGGCGTTAGTGAGATGCCGCTCATAGCGCTCCCCGTCCGTTCTATACCGAAAGCGGCGCCGGCTGGGGTAAACTCTGTCGGCGTCGCGTTAGTATTCAAAACGTCCAAGGTGACGTGTTCTTTGCTTATGCTCAATCTTCTGTTCATCTCCTCTCGCGTCGTTTCGTAGAGACTCGTTGAGGTCGTGTCTTTCGATTGATCGACGCCACCATTGTCTCCTTCGTTTGCTGCCACCACAGTCATTCGCTCGCACTCTTCGTCTATGCTTTCTTCGGTGATCGTTTCCCTTCTCCCGCCGTTTAATTCTTTCTTCGCTTGTTCTTCGCCGCCCCATTGCGCCAACAACGCGCACGAATTCACAATCGTTTCGCAATACTGATCCATGCGCAAATGGTTCGCCCTGTTCGCATCGAAAGGGATTTCGCATTCCATGGCCGCACCTTCCACGCCCATCAACGCGAACGTGGCAATCGCAGTCGCTGGTATTGTCGCCCAACCCCAATTCATCGCGTATACGAACGGAATCGAAAAGCAATACAAAATCAAAAACGTTCTCAAATGCGCGACGTAAATTTGCGGCAACTTTGTCGCTCGGAGACGTTCTAACGCGCCTTCTTGCGTGATTAAACCTTGTAAGTATTTGCTCAACTCGCTTCTTCCACTTTCGTCTCGTATAGTTTCGTGCATCTCCCTCATCTCGCTCTTCTGGGAATGTCTATACGTCACGTAAATCCTACTCGAACACCTGCGCATCATCGAGTAACAAAACATCGGCTGATGCGGCGATTTTTGCAACTTGTTCACGTCTTCTTCAGACAAAACGCCAAGCAACTCTTCCTTGGGTAACGCGTCAATCCCTCGTAAAAACTGCTTCGAACTCACCGCGAACGCCGCGCACCACGCCACGCAATCGTCGCACGCCGCAACGATTTCGCGAGTCACCTCCTCGCTCTTGTTGCAATCCATTTGAACTTCCTCCGCGCGAACCATCAGCGCGTCCGCTACGCACCGACTGTAAATAACCATGTTCCCCCACGCTTGCCTGCAGTCCCAAAATCTCACCGCCGCTCTCGTCAGTCGAAACACGATTAAAAATCCCAGCGTCGAGAACATAATCAAATACACCGACTCGACTTTACTCAACTGTTCGCTAAACGTTTTCAACGGTTTCGGTTCGATGATTTTCGTAAACAGCACCCACAAAATGGTCACGAATTGGACGCACAACCACGGGTTGCGGATATTCTCGAACCCTCGTATGTTTCTCGGCGCGAAGACGACCGTTCGTAACCAATCTCGCGCGTCGTAATCCGGTTGTTTGGATTTTCCTGAAAGGAAGGATTGAAATCTCGCCCGTATGCACAAAGGGGCGTTCATGGTCACGGTTAATCGAGGAAGCGGCGGTTTATTCATCTCGTCTTTTGCGGCGATTAGCGCGTTTCGTCGTTTCGTCCCGAACGAAGTTCTCGTTTCTGGAGTGGTGGTGGACATCTCCTCGAGAGTCTGCAGAAGATAAAGTGACGTGTAATTGGACGAGTTAACAACAAAAACTTGAGAAAATAACACAAAAATATAGCAACACAAATAAATTATTACGAATACAATTCTAAATCCCGTATACCTCCCTCGTGTTCTCTCTGCACACCTCAAACACGTCTTCTACGGTACTTTTCTTAACCGTCGCGATGATTTCAGCAATGTGCGGTACCATCGACGGCTCCGCTACTTTTCCTCGAAACGGCACGGGCGCCATGAAGGGTCCGTCCGTTTCGAGCAGTATTCTATTCAAATCGGTCATTCGAACAACCTCGCGGACGTTCGAACCGTTTTTAAAAGTACAGACGCCGGTAAAGCCAAGTTTTAAGTTCGGAAAGGACTGTAATAACTCTTGAGCAAACGACGTGGTTCCGGTGAAACAGTGCACGTGAATCTTTTGCGACGCGTCGCAGTGTTTCCGCATGATATCCAAACAATCCGATTCCGCGTCTCCGTCCCCGGCATCTCTCGCGTGCACGACTAACGGCAAATTCATCTCCTTCGCCAACAGAATTTGCTCTTTGAAAACAAACTGCTGATGCTCTCGACAATCGACAGGACAGACCCATTCTTTCGCGTTCGCGACGTCCGGATCTTGACAGACGTAGTAATCGAGACCGCACTCCCCTATCGCTTTCATCTTTCCCGGGTATTTTTTATGCAAAGCTTTTAAACCATCCGAGACGGTCGTGGAAAAAGTATTCTCTTCAAACGCGTTCGCATTTAACGGATGCACCCCGAACGCGCCGTACACTTCTTCAAACTGTAAGAAATGTTCAACTTTCCTCCAATTCTCTGGTTTACATCCGATTGTCAAAATCGACTCTAACGAGTACATTTGCTCCGATTCTTTCTCCCGAACAGACTCTATCCAGTGTTCGTATTTCGTGTCTAATTTCTCTAAAATCATCTCTAAATGCGCGTGGGTATCCACGTATCCGTATTTAATTGTCGAAGGTGGGTTTGTTGTTCTTAAATCAGAGGTAGATGATGACGACAACGCGTTCACTTTCGTCCTTAGGGGAATTCTTGTTGTCGTCGTCGTCATCAAAAGTCCTTTCTTTCGGATGCGCTCAACAGATGACGACCAGGCAATCGATGACGATACGAAGGAGCTTCGCCGTCTCGCTGTTGTTGTTCTTGTTGTTGTTGTTCCTGCGCGACGGAGAATGCGCAGCGCCGCGAGTGACATTTAGTAAAGCGAAGAGCTGCGCTTCTTTCCACGAAAGTGTGGAGAATAAAGAAGAAAGCAAAGCGAAAATTAGGAAAATCAAACGACGACGCGGACATCGATTCACTCTTCATCAGGAAGTGTTCACTCACGCTAATAAATAAATAATTAATTGTCATACAACAACGCCTCGGGATTCGGGTACCCTTCTAACTGTCTCACGTCGACTACATCCATTCCGGCTTTCTTGGCGCTGGCGATGCCTAATGACGCATCCTCGTACGCGGTGCACTCTTTCGGATCTACGCGTAACTTCTTCGCGGCTAATAAATACAAATCCGGCGCCGGTTTCCCACGCTCCACGTCTTCGCACGTCACCACGCAATCGAATAAATCTAACAGGCCTCTTTGCTTCAAATGCATTCGAACGACTTCGCGGCACCCGCTCGACGCCACCGCCATCGGTACCCCGTTCCTCTTCCCGTGCATGATGATGGTTTCCGTGCTCTGTATGATCTCCGGTGCGCCCATTTCTTCTGCTAATTCGCCACATCGTAAGGTCATTCGATCTAAATCTTCTTCCGTTATTTCTTCCTCCGTTTTCCCTTGCTCGTCTCTCAATATTCTAAAAATCTCTTTTATCGGCACCCCGGCGAGTTCGTAAAATCGTTTCTTCGTCAACTCTAATCCATATTCTTCGCACGTTTGTTTATCCGCGACGAAGAATAACGTCATGGTTTCTAAAATAGTCCCGTCGCAATCGAATATTAACGCTTTCGGTGCGAGGTTTGTTCCGTGATATAAAGGATGATTTTGCATCCTCCTCCCTTCCTTTTCGTGTTGTTCTATTGTCGAAATCGTCGTCGAAATCGTCGCGTGAAACTCTTCCTCGTTTCCATCATCGTTTTTTTCTAAACTACTCATAGTATAATAAAACGAAGAAAAGAAGAGCAAAAACACCACGCAAGCACACAACACACAGCGGATAGAGCAACTCTTTCTTTCTCTCTCTCTGGCTCTCTCTCGCTTCCTTTCTTCGTCGTCGTTAAAGTTCTCCAAACGATGAAGTGTTTTTGAAACGTTCAGTACTATTTCAAAATATTCCCCTACCCCTACAATGGGTGTTTAGGGTGCTCACATTTAGGGTAGGGTGCATACATTTTAGGGGAATTTTTTTACTCCTCGAAGTGCTTCAAAAACAAACATCACAAAAGGTCAACGCTCTCCTCCTCTCTCTCTCTCTCTTCTTCTTCCTCCTCCTCCACTTATTCTTTTCTCCGATGATGATTTTGATAACAGCGATGCTGGAATTTCTACTCCTAAGAGCGCTCACTCTTTTATCCTGGATGTATTCTTTTCATTCTTGGTCTTCTTCTTTTGACGATGATGAGAATGCGAAAACGGATGATGATGAGAGAAAAAGGCATCATCGCGTTATTCCCAAACACATCGCGTTCGTGATGGATGGCAACCGCCGGTGGGAGAAAGAACAACAACTCAAACGACTTGAAAAAGGAATTAATAAAGGGGAAGACAAAGACGTCATAGAAAACGAGAGTAAGAGTTCAAAAGAGAAAGGGCACGAAAGAGGTGCCAAAACCTTACAAAACGTCCTCAGGTGGTCCTTGAAACTCCCTCAGATTGAAACGATATCCGTCTACGCGTTTTCTTTGGAAAACTTCAACCGAGACGAACGAGAAGTGGACGGATTAATGTCCTTATGCATCGAAGAGTTACCGAAACTGGCACGAAGCGACGCGGTGAGGAACGCGAACGCGAGGATTGTAATCTCGGGGAGGTTGGACGCTCTGAGCGAGGAGGTTCGACAGGCGTGCGTGTACGCTATGGAGGAAACGAGGAGGACGAGTTGGAGAGATGAAAAAGAAGAAACAGGAGGTAGAAGAGGAGGTGAAAAAGAGAAGACTGTCGTGTTGAATATTTGTTTGGCGTATAGCGGCGCGGAGGAGTTTGGGAGCGCCGCGTGGGCGGCGACGGAAGAAGAAGACGAAGAGGAAGAAGAAGACGAGGTTGGGAGGAGGAGCGGAGAGGAGAGCATAAAGAGACGTTTTTATTACGGTGGTAATGGTAGCGAGAATAGGTACGATAGAGGTAATAGTAGTCGTTGTAGCGAGGGGGGTGGTAAGAATGGTAGTAATAGTAATAGTAGTAGTAAGAGTAACGGTAGAATTGACGGCGTCGATGGCGGTAAAACGAGGAGGAGGCGAAGTAAAAAAAACGAGAAAAATAAATTGGAAGCGGTTATCCTCCCCGACGTGGATTTGGTCGTTCGAACGTCGGGCACGAACAGACTGTCGGATTTTATGACCACTCGATTGGAAAACGCGTTGATTGTTTTCGTGGACGCTCTGTGGCCGGACTTTGGCGTTTTTGATTTCTTTTCGGTGATTTGGCGGTATCGGAAAGCGAGTTCGATTTTACGAGACAATAAGAAAAAACGCGAAATGAAGAAGGAAGATCAAATCTTCTACGATAATTAGCAGCACATCATCGTAATTAGGATGATGGTGTTATTATTCTCACCATCAGGCGCGAAACAAAGACGGTACAAACTGTTACTTGGAATTGTAGTGCTACTGGGCGTCGTAATGGTCGCCAAGAATGCTCGCGCTAACGGAGAAGAGTTCAAAGCTCTGTTCGAATACGGCGAACGAGGCTCGTATTTTGGAAACACGAGGGAGGATATTTCCATTCCGAAATCGTCCGTTGGTCAAGCATCGACCAACAGTGGATTTGATAGTTATCACAGGGAATCAGGCGTCGTGCAACTCTTCTTCCCGCGAGGCGCGCCGGAATCTGTACGGACGAAGTTTCCGCTCGTCTATCTGTGCACTCCGATTCACGGTTTCACGTTTCGCCGATGGACGGAGATTATGCAGCCATCTTTGATTAATTTTTTAACGTCTCACGGATATGCCGTTGTTGTGCCGTCATCTATCGGCGAACGAGGTTCTTCGAACGAAGTTTTGGGTGCTATTATGCCCAACCTTGATTCGCAAGCAAACGGCGTGTCTTTGGAAGAGGTTGCGAAGAGATATTTGAATTTCACGGTGGCGAGTTTTACGTACTTGACGAACGAGTTTTTCGGCAGTGAGAGTAAGAAAAAGAACGACAATAACAATAATTACGTTCCAGGCGAGTCAGCTTTGGATACCGTTCGAAGGAATTACCGAACGCGAGTGTATACTTTATACAGCAGAGTTGACGTCGAAAGCGCGGCTTTGATTGGTTTCAGCGTCGGAGGCGCTATTGCCGCGTATTCAGGAAGTATTTTAAAGAGTCGGAATCAAATGAATTTGAGAATTTCTTTCTTGCTCGCGCCAACTATTGGCGAAAGACCAGGCGCTGCGAGAAAAGTTGGTTTAGAGTTATGGAACCTCTATTCCTCTGGCTTACATAACAACCCGAACGTCATCGTAACCGGCTCGGCGGACGGGATGGGCGGCTTAAGTAGCTCTAGAGCTTTTTATTTCGAAGCAGAGAAGCTGGAAGCTTTATTGGTGGAAATACGGTTCGCCACGCATTGTCACTTCCCAGTTGTCATGTCCGAGTGCAATTTACTCAACATTCAAGAGGATATCGGGGGTGTTCGAGCGTTCGATTTAGCGCTCGCGAACGCCGCGTTCCGATATTACTTGCGAGGCGATCAGAAAGCCGGCGAGTTGATTTCTTTACAGCGCGGCGTAGACTCGTTTAAAAGTCCTACTTCGGTCTGGGACGTAGACGTGTTAACGTTTCGAAACGATACGAGAGGGTTCATTAAACTGTTCAATAACAACCGAGGTCCGACGTTTGAACGAAGTTCTAAAGTCAAGTTTCGCGAGATGAATGACCGGTAATAAAATATTATACAAATTATTAATTGTCTACGCCAACTTTCCCGTCGAAGCCGTCCATCATGCCGCCCCACCCACCATCCGTCGGCGGTAGTTCTGCAGCGAACCTATCGAACGGTGCCACGCCTTTACCACTCGCTCTCACTCTCCCGTCCATCCTCAAACCGACGTATACGCCGACGTCGTCGCCTAGTTTTGCCATCTTCTTCTGTTCCAAAATCCAATCTCTCCACCCGTCTTTTTGGGAGACGTTCACCGCGGAACCTCGGAATCTTCGCTCATCTTTCTTCGCGTTGTCTGGTTTGTTTAACTTTGTCGCCGCTTCGTCGTCCATAGCCACGGGTACTAGAAAAACGCCTTTTTTAATCAATTCGTCTTTGTACTCCTCGGCGACTTCCAACGACTTCTCCAAATACTCCAAATCCCCGGCGAATAAAACGACTCTCGAAAAGCCTCTCAAACTTTGCATGCGCACGATTTTCCCCGTCGTCAGCTCTACTTTCAACCCACCCAAACGTTCCTCTCTCCCGATTCTGCTCATTTGCTTCTGCTTCGCCTCTTCGTCCTTCTTCCACAAAAATACAAACAACGCCGCGCACGCGCCGTCGATGCCGACGTTCGACACCGATTGATCAAACGGCGGCGAGTTCGGCGCGCCGGCGAGACCGGTCAACAACTGAATAGTCGCGATACCAAACCCAATCGTCGCGCTCAGTGCGCACGAGGCGTACAAAAACTGTCGCGCCACTCGAAACGGTGCTTGCGCTTCCGATCGAAGTTTCGTTTCGTTCGAGAATTTTTCATTCATTTGATACGACGACGACGAAGAGGAGGACGACTCTTCTCTCTTTTCTGACGTGGCGTCTGAACCATCCGAACCACTCGCTTTTGCGAGGCATACGACGAGAGAAGAATCTCTCGGTTTCGTCGTTCTCCGTCTAAAACTCGTTTGCGCGCTGTTGGTTTTCCTCCTCGTCAATGTTCTCGTTGATGTTGTTGTTTCTGTTGTTCTCCCTTTTCCTTTTCCTCCTCCTCCAAAGTGTTTATAATAATAATCTTCATCCATCGTCGTTAATAAAACGACGTCACGACGACATCGATGTCGTCGAGAAGACAAAACAGAAGAAGAAGAAGAAGAAATCGTGTTTGTTCCTCTTTTATTAGTAGTAGTATTCGTATTCCATCCTCTCGTTGTTCTCTCTCTTCGTAAAAAATGTGTCGCTGATGTTCTCCTCGTCGATGATGATGCGCAGCAGTCGGAGTGCTTCACGACGACTGTTCTTCGAACAGTCATCATCATCATCGCGGTGTTGTTGGTCGCAGACACCATGATGATGAGACGAAGTTTTAAAGAAGAATTTCTTTCGTTTTTTGTCGTCTTTTCTACGTTTTGAGTCGTTTAACAACAGAAACACAACAGAAACAACAAATCCTTCTTTCTTTCTCTGTCTGATGAGGAAAGAAAGCAAAAAGCTCTCTTCTGTCTTTTTCAGGCGAAAGAGAGTTTACGAGAGAATTTTTTTTTTCGGATAACAAAAAGAAGAGAGATATTCTCGTAGTGTGTGGAGTCACAACATGATGCATCATCATTTTCTTCACTCTCAACTTTAAGCAGCGCACATACACATTAAGAAGAAGACGCTTTAATACTCTCTCATTAGTAAAGAAGAGAGAGTTTAAAGAGAAAGAAGAGAGATTCGTTTATTTATTAAGAACACAATACGAATACTAACAACACATACAAAAAACAGAGTGGTGTTGTTGGTAAAGAATGCAACCCTCCTCCTCTTCCTCGTTCGGGATAAAAACACATGAGTCATCATTATTTTTGGAAAAGAAGACTTTTAGTAGGACGACGACGACGACGACGAGAGGAGGAGGAGAAAGGAACAAAGCGATACAGCTGAAAAGATTGAGTCGTCGACGTCCCGAAAGAAGAAGAGGAGAAGAAATCATCAGAGGGTCGAAGGATGACGACGACGCGTACGAGAACGTCGCTCGACTTCAAAGAGAATCCGAAGACTTGCTTCGAAAACAACAACTCCTTCTGGAACAGCTGGAAGAGAGGAAGAGGTTACAGAAGGCTTTGCTGGAAAAGGTAGCCAGAGAAAGCACGACGAACGCGAGGGGAGTGCCGTGGAATAGTAATAATAATAGCAGTGGTGGTGGTGGTAATACTTCTTCTTTCGTGGATTCGGGGATACCGGGGGTCGCCGCGGCGGTCGCCGCCCGGGCGCCTCCGCCGCCGCCCCCACCGCCGATGCCAGTTGCGCAAGCACCTCCGCCGCCTCCTCCTCCTCCGCCGCCGCCACCTCCACCTCCACCACCACCAACATCAACATCAATTCCGCCTCCTCAGCAAGTCAAAAAAGAAGAAGCTCCTAAATGTAAAGAAAAATTGAACATCATCATGGTCGCGAGCGAGTGCGCGCCGTTTTCAAAGACCGGAGGTTTAGGCGACGTCATGCAATCTTTACCGAAAGGATTGGCGAAAAGAGGTCATCGAGTCATGACCGTCGTTCCAAGATACAAAGAGTACGAAGAAGGTATCGATACCGGCGCGAGAATACGGTTGAAAGTTTTAGGCCAAGACGTGGAAGTTGGTTTTTTCCATCACTACCGAGACGGCGTGGATATCGTATTTGTCGATCATAACTCGTATCACCACGTGCGAGATTCCATATATTCCGGCGATCGCGAAGCACAAAACTTTCGGAACTCACTTTTGTGCCAAGCAGCGTTGGAGCTACCGTTTTGCATCGCGCCTGGGGACGTGCCGTACGGAGACGAAAATCTAATCTTTGTCGCCAACGATTGGCACGCGGCGTTGTTACCGGTGTATTTGCAAGGCTATTTCCGCGATTACGGCAAGTACGAATTTGCTCGATCGTGTTTCATCGTTCACAATATGGCGCATCAAGGTCGTGGTCCGTTGAATGAGTTCGATCGATTGGGTTTGGATGCCGGAAAGTACAAGGATAAATTTTACTTGGACGATCCGTTCGGCGGAGAGTGCATGAACATCATGCAAGCCGGTTTACGATTAGCGACAAAAGTGATTGCGGTATCAGAAGGGTACGCGTGGGAGATTTCCACCGATATGGGTGGCTGGGGGCTAGCTCCGTGTGTGAGAGAGTTTGGTGAAGGGAAGTTATCCGGCATCGTTAACGGCATCGATTACGACGAGTGGAGTCCCGACGCCGACGAACACTTAATGTCGGACGGATATACAACGTACACTCCAGATGCAAACGGAATAGATGGTGGAAAAAAACAGTGTAAACTTGCTTTACAACGCGAACTCGGATTACCGGAGGATGAAAACGCTTTACTCATGGGATTTATCGGCCGATTGGACGACCAAAAAGGCGTCGATTTAATCACCGACTCCGAGGGGTGGTTTCGCGACAACCACGTCCAACTCGTCATGCTCGGTTCCGGTCGAGACGATTTAGAAAACGCGCTGAGAGGTATGGAGGAAAGGAACAAAGACAAAATTCGAGGCTGGGTTGGGTTCTCCGTGAAAATGGCCCATCGAATCACCGCGGCGTGCGATTGCTTATTAATGCCCTCGAGATTTGAGCCGTGCGGCTTGAACCAACTCTACGCCATGCGCTACGGCACGGTCCCAATCGTCCACTCGGTTGGTGGTTTACGAGATACGGTCCAGCCGTACGATCCATTCAATAACGCCGGCACCGGCTGGCGCTTCGATTCCGCCGAATCTCATTTGTTACGAGAAACTATGGGCTACGCCTTGGGGACGTTCCGAGACCATCGAGAGAGCTTCCGCGGAATACAAATGCGAGGCATGGAAAAAGATTACACCTGGGACGGTGCCGCGGAGAAATACGAAGACAGATTCATAGACGCCAAGTACTCCTGGTAATAATAACAACAGTTTGAGGTAAAAGCAGATGATTATAATTAATATTACAGCCGCCTTCCGTCGTTGCTAAAAAATGCCTTCGTACGTGTACTCTCCTCTTTCGTTTATTACATAACTCTTTGAAAAATTTCTCATCTTTAACTTCTTCACTCTTGAGACGGACACGAAGACTTCTCTTCATATAAAATGACCGAACTGCAAGAGCAACGACTCTCGCATTTGGCGCAAATACTTTCCTGCACGCTCTCCCCCGACAAACTCGTCCGTTCCAGCGCGGAAGAATGGCTGGAAACGAACAGCAACAGGGAAAACTTCTCGACCGATTTGTTGTATCTCATCGCCGCCGAAAATGTGACCGACGAGGCGTTAAAACTGAGCGCGAGTATTCAGTTAAAACTACACGTTCGGAAACACTGGGAGCCGAGACACACGACATTTTTCGCGATGATTGAAACGGATAAAGCGATCGTGAGGGAGAATATCTTAGAGATCATGTCCAATCCGAGTTTACGCGCGAGAGTGAGAAGCCAAATGGAAGAGTCGGTGAAAGATATCGTGAGAGAGGACTTCCCGGAAAAATGGGACGCCGGGAAAATGATGGAGTGGATATTGAGTTCCATGGACGATGGGAGCTCGGACACGAGGAAATTGGTCGGGATGACGGCAATGCACGCGATTACGAGGAAGTTCGAGTTTAAGCGCGAAATGGAAAGGGAGGAGGTGTTGAATCCGTGCGTAGAAAGGGCGTTTCCGAAGATGTTGATTATGTTGAGAGGGTGTTTGGAGAGAATGATGCAATCGCAAGAGAGAGAAGATATCGTCGTCGAGCAAATGGTCGGGGAGTACGCGAAGGCTATTATTAAGACGTTTTGGTCGGCGACGTATTTGGACATACCGAAAGCGATGAGGCAACAACACGCGGGAGAGGGCGGACAACCTTTCGAGGCGCTCGCCGGTTGGGTTCAGACTTTCTTGCAAATTTTGGATTGCAAGACGCCGTTGAAAATGATCAGCATGCAAGATGCGTCGAAAGTGATCGAATGCGACGTGACGGAGGACGAGTTAGAATTTAAGCAGTGGCCGTTTTGGAAGACGAAGAAGTGGGCGCAACACGTCATGGGTCGATTGTTCACGCGGCTCGGGAACGTGAAATTGGCAAAGGAGGAACACAAGGATCTGGCGAAATTTTTCAAAGCGCACTTTGTGGAGAGTTTAGTGAACATAAACATCAAAACTTTGGCAGATAGCTCGTTAGGGAAAAACGTCGAGACAAGGGTGCCAGACCGAATAGTGAATTTAGCGCTGCAGTTTTTAGTGTCCGCCGTGCACGTTGCGGCGGCGTACAAGGCGATGAAGCCGGTGATGCCAGATCTTATTACTAAAGTGTGTTTCCCGCTTTTATGTTACGATAACAGCGACGACGAGTTATGGAGAGACGATCCAAAAGAGTTTGTCAGACGGTCGGCAGATATTATGCAGGAAATGTATTCGCCGAGACACGCGGCGGTAAACTTCTTGTCCGAACTGAGCAGAGGCGGGAAACGCAAGACGGAATTTTTCAGCACGGTGGTAAATTGCGCGGTGGAAGTGTTGCAAGCGAACGCGCAAATACCGGATTTAGCGAGCAGAGATCGCTCGAGATTAGACGGGGCGTTATATCTGGTCGGGCAACTCAGCGGCGTGTTGAAACTTGAGAAGGGTTATAAAGAATCTCTGGAAGATATGTTAGTCGCGCACGTCCTGCCGTCGTTTCAATCGCCGCACGGTAATCTTCGCGCGAAAGCGTGTTGGACTGCTGCACAGTTTGCGGATATAAAATTTAACAACCCGGAAAATTTTGTAAATTTGTTTTGGAACGTGTGTAACTGCTTGAAAGACCCAGATTTGCCGGTGAAAGTTGAAGCCGTGTGTTCGTTGCGCGCGTTTATCGATCACTCGGAAGATTTAGAAACTTTGAAACCAATTTTACCGCAATTATTGGATGAATTTTTCAAAATCATGGACCAAGTAGAAAGTGAGGATATCGTGTACACGTTGGAAACTATCACGGAAAAGTTTGGCGAGGAGATTGCGCCTTACGCCTTAGGCATGACGACAAACCTGGCGCAGGCGTATTGGAAGTGCATAAAAGAAGCAGAAGAGAGATCGAACGCGGAAGACGATAACGAAGGCACTGGAAATGCAGATTATGATGACGATTTTCAAGCCATGCAATCGAGTGGGTGTTTGCGCGCGATATCGACCATATTAACGTCCGTATCGTCGCTCCCAGAGGTGTATCCGCAACTCGAACATATTTTATTGCCAATCATTTTACGAATGGAATCCGATATCGACCTTTTCGAGGAAATGTTAGAAATTGTCGGGTATATCACCTATTATTCACCACGTATTAGTCAAGAGATGTGGCAAGTGTGGCCGAAAATGCTCGCCGTTCTCAATAACGGTTGGGCGTTGCAGTATTTCGAACACGTTCTGATTCCGATGGATAATTTTATCAGTCGAAACACGGACATTTTCGTCTCGAGCGCGCAAGCGAAACAGGATACGTATAAAATTTGCGAGAAGGTGCTCACTCCGGAACAAGTCATGGAAGAAGACATGATGACTGCACCTAAGTTGATGGAGTGCGTTTTAGCAAACTGCAAAGGGCGCGTGGATGATTTACTTCCGTTGTATTTACAGTTATCTGTCCAATCGCTCATCGAGTTCCAACCGGATTCGAGATTTTTGCAAGACTTGTTGATGGGAGTCGTTATGAACGGGCTGATTTACAACGCGGACCAGACGGTGAAACATTTACAACCGGCGTTACCGATGGTTTTGGAAAAGCTCGTCGCTATGCTTGAACTTCGATCGAAATCGTCCAAGAAACGCAAACATTTTCTTCGCGTGCACGACAAGAAAATCGTCGCGCTCGGTTTGATGGCGTTGATGCAAAGCCCGGAGGCGAATAACCAAAATTTGCTCAACGAGCAATCGTTGATGCACTTGATGAAACATTTAGTTTCACTGTTGGAAGATTTACGCCAACAAATCGAATCGGAAGATTCGCGATATCAGGATAGTATTAAAACGTACCTCGAAAACGCCGCGAAATCTCGAGAGAACGACGTGTACGAACAGTACTCGCGCCACCGCGACGACGAAGACTTTGAGGAGGACGAGGATGCAGATGAGATGACGCCGCAAATGCGCTATCAACAAGCGTTGGACAGAGTCAAAGCCAGCGGTAGCGCTGAGCCTTTAGAGTTCGACCAATCTAAATTTGAGGAGCAGGATTTCTCAGATTCGGATTCCGAAGGTTTCGCCGAAGACGACGAAGGATCGCAAAGTCCGTTGGACGACATCGATGCGTTCATAACGTTTGGGTCGTTTATGCAGGCGTTGCAGAGCACGGCGCCGCAGATGAGTCAACTCGTGCGCGCCCAATCCGCCTCGGAAGTGGCCAATTTGACGATGCACGCGATGAAACGAACAAGTGAACACTCAAAGGAAAGAGAGGAAGCGAGAAAGAATTTACCGCCAGGGCATAACTTTGGCGCACTTTAATAAAGAATACTTCTGCGAGCGCAGGTTTAGGCACTCAATCATAAAATATTATGTGCATAAGTAGCTGTAGCAAGAAAATAGCATTTATAGTTACAATGATGACGTTGACTAGAAGACTAAGATAAATACGCCTTCCGATTCAGTATATCGTCTCCTGATGCGCGGCAAAATCAGCTTCGTTTTCGCTATCGTAATCGGACTCGCTCAAGACGATCGACGAATTGCTCTCTCCTCTTTGTTCAAAGGAACTTTCGTTCTCGTCTTCCCGAATATTATGAGCTGCTGCGGTATCGCCGAATGCATTCGAACTTTCATCCGTTTCCAACCCTACCACTTTCAATATATCTCCCATGGCTTTCGGAATATCGCCGTGCGCATAGCAAATATCGCCGCTTAATTTAATATCCTCTACGCCTTCGTAGTTTTGACGCACGACTCCCGCTAACGAGGAAATGACGTCGTAGGATTTCAGTCTATAAATAAATCGCAAAACCCAATCGTTTTTCGCTCTGCAATTCACGACACGACCAGATGTCACTCGTCGAATTTTCCGCCAATCTTTTCTTCCCACGTGTACCGGGACGGAAATCAAAACGACATTTTCGACAATCCCTAACGCGTCTTTTTCCAAGCACGTCCCGTCTTCAATCATTCGGTCGAGCTCTTTCAAACATTCGAGAATTACGCACGTACCAGTAGAGTACGCGATTAATGTTACCGCCCTTCTCCCGTGTTCTCTGGACAGAAGAATCGTCGCCAGTTCTTTTCCAGCGATTTGCGCGCGTTCTTTCAGAACAGACCATGGGTTATCGATGAAACTCGCGCCGCCTAAAAGAATTGCCGGCCACGAGACCGACGCCGCGAGACCGGCAAAAACGGTGTGCCCTAACGCTTGCGGCGCGGCGGCGTTGACTAACGTTTTCCTCGCGAAGAAATTGATGGCGGAGCCTAAATTGGTCAACTCCGTGGTTTCCCATTCCAGGACAAACTGCTCGCCGCTATGAATCGGCCAGTTTGTGTTTGTACCCATCGCTTCGTCTTCTTCCTCTTCCGCCGCTGATTTTGATTCTGTTGCCGTTGTTATTGTAGGCGACGATATCGTCCGAGTGAGCGTTCTCATCAAGAGATTTTGGTGATTTGCGTTTGCGTTCGATTCTCTCTCCCCGACATCATCTACACCCTCCTTCTTTGCTGGAGGTTTCGGTTTCTCCGCCGACGAATGAGACGACGGTGATTCACAATCCACAGTTTCTTCCCTTTCTTTTTCTTCCTTCGCGACGTTCTCAACCAGTTCTTCCAAGTCTTCGTTGATCGATAGCGCGACGTCGGCAATCTCTTCGCGATCGATTTCGAGCTTTTGTATTTTGCGCATTTGCAAACGCACCGGTCTCGGTGCACGTTCAATGGCTTTCAACGTCGCCACGTGAGCTTGGTAGCTGCTATTGTTACTATCAACAATTATGCGTTCGTTCGTTTCAAGAATGTGGTAGGAAAGAATCGCGGACCCGCTTAAAATGCCTGCATTTTTTGCCACTCCGCTGTTATCGTCCAGAGTTTTCGCATCGTGTTCGACAATTAATAGAGTATCAGCATCGATATCTGCGTTATTGGTGTACTCGTTTCCACCCAGATGCGCTAGTTTTCTCAATCGGTCACTCTTCTCCGCGTAATTTTTGATGTCTTCCTTTGATTTAACCTTCATCACGCGCAAACCGAGCGGCCCGTCGCCGTCTACGGTGGCGTAATAGTTCCCGTTCTTCGACCCGAACGCGTCAAACAGCTCATCCGGTCCGGACTTTAAGAATCCGGGAACGTACAGCACGACATTTAAGGATGCGTTCATGACGGTATCAAATCCTTGGTCTTCCTCATCTTCGTCTTTGTCCTCACCATTACTCGTCTTCTTTCTACCAAGCAACAATCCTCCGTCTCGGAGCGGTAAAATTCGGAAAATCTCTAAATTTTGTTCGATTCGCTTCGACATTTTGTGCGCGGCTAAACCGGCGCCGGTGACGCCAAATATCGCAGTCACACCCGTCGTACCTAAAACTCCCAAAACATACGCTGTCCCGACACCAAAAACCGCAAAGACAGAACCCGACGCGGCGAGACCTCCCACCGAGGCGATTAGAGCTGGCGCGGCTAACCCCCCAGTCAACGTCAACAAACTACCGCCCACCACCGCGGCGGCCCCTAACGTTAGATATTTACCAAATTTAGACGTCACGTTCTTTGCGTCTTCTTCGCTAACAGTACTCACGCTGCTCCCGGATGCGCTGCTTCCACCTCCCCCTCCTCCACGTATTTTCGACATCAACCAGCTACCTCCGGTCGTCGTCGTCGTCGTCCCAGTACTCTCTATTCCACTTCCTTCTGTCGCTCGTTTCATTTGCTCCCTCGCGCCTCGAATCACGTGCCAGGCGAACGCCGCTTCAAATTTGCACACATCTTTTCGCCAATCTATGAATACTCTTTTCTTCTTGTGATTCTTAGTACTCTTATCGTCACCATCTACAATAATATACTCCTCGTAATATTCGTTTAAAACGCTCGCCATCCTCCGTAAACTCGCTCGCGCTCGCGCGTCGTATTTCTCTTTCGTCACGAACATCACCACGTACCGGTGGAAAAAAAGTTCTCGTATATCTTCGTCAGCAGAAGAAGAAGAAGAAGAGGAAGAAGAAACCGACGACGACAACACCATCCTGAACAGCTCCTCGAGAATTTCTTTCCCTTCTTCTCTCGCTAAAAATCTCACCCACTCTTTCTCCGCGAACGGATCTTTCCGTTCTTTCAATCTCCTCTGTTTCGTTCGTAACTGTTTTTCGATTTTCGTTTTCGCCCAACTCCTACTAAAGTCTTCTGAATCATCATCAGCGGTATCATCGGTATCATTATCATCACTTTGGAGCGCGAGAAGCAACAAATCGACGCGTTCAATCGCGTTCGCGAGATCTAAATCGCCGTTTAACGCGCACAAGGCGTATACTTTCGTCGTCAGCTCAAAAATCTTTCTTCTTTTTGTTCTCATCATCATCAACGCAGGAAGAATGTTTTTCTTTTCCCCGTCGTCTTTATTCTCGTCGTCGTCGTTTGTCTTCTTCTTCTTCTTCAATCCTCCTCCTCCTCCTCCTTTGGAAAAAAGTGGTTCCACGCATCTCTCGATTTTTGCATCCATTATTGTTGTCATACTACTCGTATTTTCTCTCATTATTATTCGATCATCTGTATCATCATCATCAAAAGTTTCGTACTTCTAAAGCGTACTCCTAAAGAAGACACCAATTTCTACATAAGGGACAACACATTTGCAACAAAAAAAAATTCTCTCTCTCCTCAAAAAACAAGTGAAAACAGTGGTGTTTTGACAAAAAAAATAAAAAAACAAAAAAACAAAAAGGGGAAAAACAACAGACACAGAAGAAAAAACTTCATTTTTATCTCTCTCTCTCTCTTCACATCTCTCCTTTGTTTACTACTACTACTACTCTAAAGAGTAAAATCATCGTCCAAAGTTATTTATAAAAAGAAGACAATAATGGCGACGCTGGCGTACCCGGACAAGTACGTTTTGTCTTCTCGTTTTTCTTCTTAGTATTCTTAAAGTAGTATTCTCTGTTAGATTATATTCAATATCATCTGGCGAAAACAAAACTGCCAATTTTTTCTAACGGAAAATCTCATCTCTTCTTCTTCTTCTTCTCTCTTTCGATGATACTAAATAACAGATTCCACGCGGCGACGAAAGTGGCGAAACTTCCATCCCTGGAATCCACGTTCACGGACGAAACGAGGTTACTGTTATACGCGTTAAAATCGCAAGCTATGCACGGCCCGACGGAAATCAAAAGCAAATGGCACATGACGAGAGAGGAACGAGGGAAGTACGAAACGTGGGCGAATTTGGGGAAAATGTCGAATTTTGAAGCCATGCGATTGTACGTGAAGCTCTTAGAGGAGGAAGATAAGTATTGGTACGAAGCGATCGACGAAGAAACGATGGAGATTAAAGAGAATTTCGGGAAAGTGATGACGGAGGAAGAGAGGATGAATAGTAACAACGCGAGCGCGTGCGCGCGGGTGAAGAAAGTGGCAAAGTGGGCGGAAGCGATGGAGAGGGGGAGGTGGGAAACGACTACTACTACTACAACTTCTACTTCGAAACCACCGTGTCCGAGATACCAACACGGAGCGACGTTAACCGGCGATGGATCGAAGATGATTGTTTCCGGCGGGTGTTATCGAGGGCGATTTGTCGCCGATACGTACGCGTTCGACGTCGCCGCGTCGAGATGGAGAAAGATGGAATACACCGAAGACGAAAGAGTATGGGGGAAGAGTTTCAAGCAGGAAGAGAAAGAGAGCTTAGCGCCGATTAGTGGTCACAGATTGATCACTTTGAAAGATGGGTACACGTATTCGTTCGGAGGTAAGTTTTCAAAGGGTTCGAAGAGGGCCAACGATACCGATTTAGCCGTCTTTCGATTGGCGTTGATGGAAGCGGAGGAAAATTCTTCTTCTTCTTCTTCTACTAGCGTTCTCAAAGGCGCGTGGATTCCGGTGCACGTGAAAGGGAAGAGAGGCCCGTGCGCTCGACGAGGCATGTCTGTCACGAAAGTAGGCAAAGACGGCGACGTGGTCGTATTCGGCGGCGAAGACGAAGATCGAAGATATTTGAACGATTGTTGGCGCTTAGATTTTAAAACTATGAGTTGGGTCGCGTGCGATGAGAATACGAACGCGTTGACGGGAAATAGTTCGGAGGATCAAAAGGAAAAAGCGGCGGTTGCGTCGGTGTCGGCGACTTTCGTAACGCCGGCGGCGCGAGCCGAGCACGTCGCCATCCCGTGGGGCCGCGATAAGATGATCATTTTTGGTGGCACGGGAGCCTCTTTCAAGTGCTTCGACGACTTATACGCCTTGGACGTGTCGAGTGGGAAATGGAAGGCGGTATCCGCCTCTTCTTCTTCGAACAATAATGTTAGCAAAACTCCATTAGCTCGGGCCGGTCATTGCGTCGCGTCGCTAAAGAACGACCGGTACGCGTTAATCATTGGCGGCGGGAACAACCAAAACGGCGTACTGGAAACCGCGATTTTAGATTTGAACGAAGTGAAATGGATCACGTCCGACGACGAGAACAACCCCGAGTTTATGAAGTTTGAAAGTCCAAAATTTGTCGGCGAAGGCATGAGCGCGGTGAGCTTTGAATCTGTGGACGGTAACGAGTCCGTTTTAATGACGTTTGGGGGTTATAACGGTTCTTGCGGGAACGATTTACAAGTGTATAAGTTACCGAACGAGTTCCCAACAAGGGGTACTACGATTGCCAAAGAAACGACGACGACTACGGGGAAGACGACGACGACGCCATCGACGAACAACAACAACAACAACAACAACAAAGGAGACGGAGAAGACGAGAAGAAGATAGCAGAACTTCATCACCTCTTGACGCAAGCCAGAGAAGAGGCGAACCAAATCCGCGCCGACGCTCGTCTCGTCGTCGACGCGCACGCCTCTTTACAATCAAAACTCGAACACACAGAACGCATGCGTGTGGACGCCGAAAGCCTCCTTAAATCCGAACGAAAAATCAAAGCGCAATTAAACGATAAGTTAGAGCGTTTGGACCGTGAGAATCTTCGCTTGAGAGAGAGATTAAAGGAGTACGAAGGTAATAATAAGGCTTGGTTTTAATTTTATTTTGTTGTGTGATATTTGGATGATGTGATGAAAGTTCCTGTCAAAAATCAGATGTTATAATAAAAGAACGCCTTTTGGTGACCATTTTTGTGTGTCCTTCTGTCCTTTGGTTGACATTTTTTTTATCTCATTTTCGTTATAATATTATACATTTACTCATCATCATCACTTTGTTCCTCCTTTCGACGACGACGATTTTGAGGGTTTGAGGATTTCAGTTCTTCTTGCAAAACGCGAAGGTGTTTGCGGCTCGTTCTCACTCTCTAAACTGCTTTTTTGAGGGAGTGCGACGCGAGAAAAAGAGTTCTTTAAACTACTCGTTTTCTTAATTAAGAAGCAGAGAGGAAAAAGCGTTAGTTACTATAAGATATAAAAAGCATCATCATCATCATAAACATCATCATCTAAACGTGCGCATTATCGCGTTGAATAGAACTCGACGATAAGTAGTAATATAAAAGACAGCTTTGGAAACTTTTTTGAAAAAACGATGATGGAGGCTGAGACGATTCAGACGACGAGAACTCTCCCGGGTGAAAACAAGAACAACAAGAACGACGATTCGGATGCGCCTCGGAGTGGTGGTGGTGAGAGTGAGTTTCAACAACAAGAGCAACAACAACAACAACAACCGCCAGAATCGGCCACGAACGTCGCTCGAGCGTACATTCCTTCCATCGCACCGTCGGTACCCAAGGGAACGGCGACTATTCTTTTAGTTTTCACCACTTGGGTGATGCTCTATTGCGTCCTCGGGGACGTTTTGTTACCGAACGTGAACCAAAATAACGTCGTCGTCATCCCGGGCGGCGCGGTGTTCTCTTTGATATTCATATGGGCTGCCGCGCACGTTGGCGCGACGTTGGCGAAGCTCATCAATGTCCCACCGTTGCTCGGGATGTTGTTGAGCGGTTTGTGCTTGCGTAACGTCCCGGGAGGGTTGGTAGAGGCGTTGCCGAAAGAGTGGAGTTCGGCGACGAGAGCGGCTGGGTTGTCCGTGATTTTAATGCGGTCGGGTTTGGAGTTGGATTTAGTAGCTTTTAAGAGGGTTGGCTTAGCCGCGGCGAGGTTGACGGTGATGCCCGGGTTGAGCGAGGCGATCGTGACGGGGTTCGTCGCGACGGCGTTGTTTAATTTGAGCGTGCCGCTTGGGTTATCTCTGGGGTTTATTTTAGCCGCGGTATCGCCAGCGGTCGTCGTCGGGGGCATGTTTGATTTACAAGCCAGAGGGTACGGGGTCGCGAAAGGTATTCCGAGCCTAGTCGTCGCCGCGGCGTCATTCGATGACGTCGTCGCGATTACCGGGTACACGATTATGAAGTCCTTCGCCATTCAATCGAACGACCACAACAATTTAGGGTGGACGATTATGCACGGACCAACGGACGTGGCGTTAGGGATTATTGTCGGGTCGTTCGCTGGATACGTCATTTTAGGCGCGACGGCGATATGGAATAAGCCGTGGAAGCGATCGTTGTTGACGTTTGAACTCGGGATGGCGATGATGTTTCTCGGGAGAAAGTACGATTTTAGCGGCGGAGGCGCGATGGCGTCGTTAGCGATGGGGATCACCGCGAATAAAGCGTGGACGACTGGCAGATGTCCAATTCCTACGTTTGCTTTACCGATTCCAATTAATCCATTTAAGCGAGACCGGTTCTCGTTGGGGCCGAGACCGGAATTGGCGCATTCCGTGGAGGTGGATTTATCTCGAGCTTGGAGAACGTTGTTCCAACCGTTGCTGTTTGGAGTCATCGGAAGCGCGGTAAAGTTTGCAGATTTAACCGCGTCGACTATACCAAAATCCGTGTTACTTTTATTCATCGGTTTGTGCGTACGCTTACCGGTCGCGTATCTAGCCGTCGGTGGCGGGGATTTGAATTTGAAAGAGAGAGCGTTTGTCGCGTTGTCGTGGTTGCCGAAAGCGACGGTGCAAGCGGCGTTAGCGAGCGACCCGTTGGAGAGCATTTTGAAAAGTAAAAGTGGAGAAGAGAATTACGACGAGTGGGTGAAATGGGGCAACGATATCTTAACGACCGCGGTATTTTCAATCATATTAACCGCCCCGGTTGGCATGTTGATCATTTCGAATCTAGGTCCGAAATGGTTAAATTTAGATACGAACAAGCAACAATTTACGGATGTCGCGCCGGGGTCGTCCATGAGCGAAGACAAGAAAGGCGATGGAAAAGACGAAGATGATGGAAGAAGAGAGTTGATGCGAGATGGCGATGGGAACATCATGACGCCCTCTTCGGTGAATGGTAAACGAGGAGGATCTATAGATGATTCGCCGTCGGGTCGAAGGAACTCCTTCGCCGGAGAAGTCGTTTCGAAAATCGCGAGCATGGTTTCCTCGAGAAATCCATCGGCGAGGCACACGCCGTTCGAACAATCAGACGACGATAACGATAACGACGATAATAACGATAATAACGACAATAACGACAATAACGAAGATGTAGACGGTTGGGGTGAGTACGAGATTAGAGTTGGAGATATGAGCCCCCCTGGCGAAAAGCAAGGCAAGAAGAAGAAGAAGAGAGTGGTGTTGCCGAGGACAACCTCCGCGGTATTTAAGAAACACATGTCCATCATCGGCAACATGGAAGACAGCATACAAGACGAACACCAGAGAAGAGAGTTCGCGATCGCGAAGATGGGCGTCGAGGCGATTTTGAAAGAGCACATGCCGAGAGATTCGGAAATTGAAACCGCCGGGGCGTTTTTTAGAAAAACTTCCGTCGCGGAAGGTAAGATGGATTTAGCGGAGCTAGAAGAGCTCGGGGTGGACACGTCAGAGATGGTAGAGAATCTCGCTCCGACGACTAATGGCGGTGGCGATGTTGCAAGCGGAGATACCCCGACTCGTCCGAGCGACTACGATACTCGGAAAAGTCCAAGCGGACGGAGATCTCCACCGCCTTTACAACAGGTCAAAGAAGAGAATGATCCGAGCAATAACGTATAGAAACCAATTGCGAATTTAAACCACAACATGTTAGCGCGGTAATAGTAATGTAACAGTAGTAAACAATACACTGCATGTGTACCTAGGTGCAAATCTATTTTACGCGGAAGCGCACGCGGCTTCAACGTCTTCTACTGTTTTCGGGCATCGCGTTAAATTAACTGGCCCGCGTTCGGTGACCCATATGTTATCTTCGATGCGCACGCCCCCTACTTTAGCGAACCGTTCAATATTTTCTCTGTTTAAAAACTTCTTTTGCTTCTCGTTCGCTAACGCTTTCTCGTATAAAGCTTCGACAAAATATACCCCCGGTTCGCAAGTGATCACGTTGCCGACTTCCAACACTACTGGTAACGGCGTCCCAGAGTTTGGTCCTACGTCGTGAACTTGTAATCCGAGATAGTGTCCCAACGCGTGCGGTAAAAAAACTTCCGAGATACCTGCTTCCAAAGCTTCGTTCAAATCTGCATCTGCATTTACCACGCCCAATTTCTTTTGCAATCCTTCTATGGTTTTCAATTTGGCCTTTCGAGCGATGTCTGCCCAAAGAGCGCCGTTCGTGTAGCGTTCAATCGCATCGACTTGCACGTCTAAAACGACGTTATAGAGCAGCTTGGCGTCTTCGGTAAATTTCCCGTCGGTTGGAAAACACCTGGTGATGTCCGCGGTGTACCCTTCGCACTCCGCGCCGGCATCGACCAATACAATTTCTTTCTCTTTACACAACGCGCTATTCTCCTCGTAGTGCAAAATCGCCGCGTTTTTACCGCTCCCGACGATGCACGGGTACCCGAGTTCGCGCAAATTCCTTTTCGTAGACGCCGCGATAAATTCAGCTTCCAACTGAAACTCATACGTTTCGTTTGGTTTCGAAAATTGCCACATCGCGATGTGCGCGTCCGAGGACCCGTCGTTTGCGCGTTTAATCCTTTCGATTTCTTCCTTGGTTTTTATCGCTCTTTGGCGCGCGATTTTATCCGGTAGCGCCACGTAATCGAATCTGAAATTTGAGGACGTCGCGTTCGCGCTAATCGACGGTCCCCACGTCTTTGATTTCACGAAAGCGTCGTTGCTTTGTAACCGCTTCTTCAACGCGACGTCGTCCAGTTCCGGCGCGACAAAAACCACCTTCGAGTGCGCAATCTTAAACGCCCTTCTTCCCTTATTGTTACTCCTCGTCTCCTCTCCTTCGTCGTTATTTTTCTCCGTACTGTTACTATTGCTATTACTACCGTTGTTGTTCAAATACTCCATCGCGTCGTCGATTTCGTCCACGTAAAAGCACCTGTCGCACATCGTCGTCTCTTGAATCTCCTGAACGCTTCTTCCCGCGCCCATCCAGACTTTCATCTGTTCCGTCTTTCTCGGACATAATATCACCGTCTTCACGTCTTCTTCGTTCGGTCCGCACGTGCTCAACAGGAAATAATCCGGTTCGCTGATGCCGGTTAAATACATAAAATCTGGTATTTGGCGGAACCTCGCCGTGTGGCCTTCGAATCCGTTTCGAGTTTGTAACTCGCCTGAGAGAGCGAAAATCAAGCGATTGTCGTTGGGAAACTTCGAAAACACTTTGAACCGTCTTCTGTTGAAGTCGATTTTCGACAGCTTTTTTTTTCTGTCCAAAAAGTCCTCCAAAGAGTGGCAATCATACCGACTCTTGTTCTTCTCATCGTTGTTGTTGTTGAGAAGGAGTTGTTGAATAAACGCGTCGTCTGAATCGTCTGAATCATCATCTGAATCGTGGTTTTCATCGTCATCAGTTTTATTCTTCGCGAGAGTGACGACAACTTCGTGGAGTTGACGACACCGTTTTAAACGACTTCCAGTTTGTGAACGATGAAGTTTGCAACGGGAGGACGACGCCTTTTCGACGAGTTGTCGGGGAGGAGGTTTAGTATCAGCGTTTGTTTTCAAAAAAGAAGCGGAGTGAGAGAATAGGGACATCGTCTGTATCGTCGTCATCTCTTCGCGAAAGTGGTTTACTCTATTTGTGATGAGATGTTTTCCCGAGGAAAGAGACTAAAATTTTATCCACTTTTTTTACGCGCAAAGAGAAGAGTTTCTGGTAAACGAGAGAAAAGAAGAACTTTTATCAAAGAAGAAGAAGCATGACGACGAGCGGGGGGGCTTATTATTATTCTATCGTCAGAGCCTCGACCACCTTGACGTCAAAATTGTCGTCGTCGCGAAGGTGTTGTTCTTGCGCTAAAATATCGCCTCGTCGACATCGTCATCATCATCGTCGCAGGAGGGCTGCTGCTGTCAACGATGTGCGTAACAACAACAACAACAACAACACGAACAACAACGACGATGAGAACAAAAGTGCATCTCCGTTCGCACCGAAAGGCTCGCCGGAAGATATCCTTCGCGTCTCTCGACAAACCTCCTTCGAAGGACTCAAAGCTGCGCGAAGAGTCGCTTTGGAGGAAAAAATACACTCGACAGAAACTATTCACAAGGCGTTTAACGATATCGTGGAGAACTCGGTTCGATTTTTTAAGACGAAAGCGGAGGAGAATACGAACGATGCGGACGCGCAGTTCGCGCTCGGGAACGTGTATCAAACTTTAGAGATGCCAGAGAAAGCGATCGAACAGTACGAGAAAACTTTAGCGTGTTCGAATAAGACGCATTTGGACGCGTCGAATAACGTAGCGATGTTGTTGCAAGAGCGAGGGGAAATTGACAAGGCGGAGGCGTATTATTTGAACGCTTTGACGCACCATCCGGAAAGCGTGGACGTGATGTTCAACTGGGCGAGTTTGAAAGTACAGTGTCGACAAGATTTGGACGGGGCGAGAATTTTGATTAATAGGATAGTTACTTTAGAACCAAAGTTGAAGAAGCACCCGTTGGTGAAGGCGTTGGCGGGTGATGAAATCGACGACGAACCGGACGAAGCGTTCGTGCCGCCGATTTAAAATGTAGTGTAGTAAAAGTAGTAGTACTAGTACAACGTAAAATAGTGCCTGAATGCCTTGGTGACATCAGTGTTATTAGTATATAAATAGTACGCGTAATTGTGGTTTTACTACTACTAGTAGTCGTTTTTTTTAAAAGCGCCGATGGTTTGATTGATACATTTTTATTTCGCTGAAGAAGAAGAAGCTTTCTCTTCTCCCTGACCTTCGTCTCCTTTAGCCGCCGCCATTGCGGCATCTGCGGGGACGTACGGTGGCGTTTCCCACCGGATTAAAGCCCAGTTTATGTCGCCGAAAAAGTCGTGACATTTGATGGTTTCCCCGCCGCCGAACGTTCCCAATCGTCTCGTCGGGTCTCTCTCCAGTAATTTAGTCACGATGTCTTTCAAGCTTTGCGAAACTTCCGGTCGCTCCGGAAACGCGAGTTGTTTATTCATGATGTTTTCAAACGTTTGCTCGCGTCTGTTTGCTTTGAAAGGCGTCGTGCCGTAGACTAATTCGTAGATGAAAATTCCAAGTTCCCACCAATCGACCGGCGCAGAGTGTCCGGCGCCGGAGAGAACTTCTGGACTCAAATACTCCTCGGTACCGACGAAAGAGTTTGTAAACGCAAACGGTTCCGCAATTAGGACTGGATTTTGCGTTCCAGATTTGAACTTTGGCGGTTTCGAGAGCGAAGCGGATTTTTTATTGTTGTTTTTCTTTGTTTCTTTAGCAGCAGCAGCTGCAGCGGTTTCAGCGGCGGATGACGGGGAGGAACTATTTTTACCGCCGTCGGGGTTACTACTGCTCTGTTTCTTCTTTTCGGTGACGAGTGCTTGATCAATTGGTCTCCATTTCGGCATTTCGTCCTTCATGACCATGTGCGGTCGACTCGACGCCACAAAAGACAAGTCAAAATCAGTAATAACGCAGTGCCCGTTGCTTCGTAACAAAACGTTTTCTGGTTTCAAATCGCGATAAACGAAGCCTAACAAGTGCAAATATTGCAACGCGAGCAATACTTCTGCGCTGTAAAACTTTGCGTGTTTCTCCGGCAAGCGTCTCCCAGGTTGCGACTGGACGTATTCGTACAATTCGCCGCCTTCGCAATAGTCCATCAAAAAGTACACGTGCGTTTCGGAATGAAACGCGGTGAACAAAGTTGCCAAGTAAGGATGGTCGCACATTTGTAAGATTGTCGACTCGGTTCGTAGACGGTGCAACTTGTTTCGTTCAATCATCTCTTGCTTCGTTAGCACCTTCATGGCAAATTTTAGCGGTTTCTCCTCACCGTCGATGCTTAATTCGTTCGTTATTGTTTTTGTTGATGTATTTTCTTTCGTTTTGCTATTTGTTTCTTGTTGAGTAGTATCGTTTCCTTTTTTGAGCGTGACGAGATGGACCGATCCGACGTCGCCTTGGCCGATTCGTTGCACGGGCTTAAAATCTGCCAACGTGAGTTGTCTTCCTGTTTCCGCTGCGGATGCGTTCGCCTTTGCTCTTCCAGCTGATGCAGCCGAGTTTACAACGGCAATCAACGCTTTCCACTCTCTTTCGCATTCGCCCATCCGGTGTGGTTTCGGACCGTTCAAACTGCCGAGTAAACCTTCCCACGGTAATTTATCTGCGGCGTCGTTGTTCGTCGCCGTGGCAATATTCGAGGCGGCTTTCTTGGAATATTCCTCTTGCTCTCTCTCTGCGGTTTCTGTTTTATCAAAAGACGCCACCGTTCTTTCCGTCCCGTCGTCATCGTACACGGTGACGTCGACTTGTACTCCGGCGAAGAATCTCACTTTGCCTTCGTCGTCTCTCACCGGCGCTAACGTAAACATGTTCCAAAATGGACGACCATTTTTCGTGTAATTTAGTAACCTGACCGTCACTTCACTCCCGGCATCGATCGCGTCTCTTATAGCTTTCACGCTGTTTTGATCGGTATCTTTTCCTTGTAAAAACCGACAGTTTCGTCCTAAAATTTCCTCTCTGGTGTATCCCGTAAACGATAAGAAACCGTCCGAGGCGAACACGATCGGGTGATCCGGCAAACTCGGATCGGTAATAACGAATGATTCTTGAATCCGCTCTAAAGTAGACGCCATATCCATCCCACTACGACTTGTTAAAGCTTGCTGATCGTCATCGAACGACTTTGAACTCTTTAAACCAGTCGCGCTCAACACCGCTTCTTCCACCTCGGTAAACGCGCCCAAATTCTGCGCGGCTAAACGCGCATCGTATCTCACGAGTAAAGGAAACCCATCGTTGTCTTTCAAAACCGACGGTGCCACGTTCCCTTCCGTCTTATCCGTCACGTCTACTTGCACCCCGATGTACTTCACCACCGTCCCGTCCGCCAACTTTACCGGCGCGATTGTCAGATAGTTCCAAAACGGCGTCCCGTCTTTGCGATAGTTCAACAACCTCACCGACACTCTCTCCCCAGCTTTCACCGCGTCTCTTAACTTTTTCACGCTCTCTGGGTCCGTATCTTTCCCTTGTAAAAACCTGCAGTTATGATGGATGATTTCCTCGGACGGATATCCAGTCATTTGCAAAAACGAATCCGAGGCGTACACGATTGGGCAATCCGGAGCAGTCGCGTCGCACACCGTGAACGTGTGTCTCAACGTCGCCAACGCTTGCGCGACGTTCTGTTTCACGTGAATAGATGCCACGCCTCCCGTACTCACTGATCCATCTTTACTCTTAAACCCGGGAACTTTATACATCTCATCTTTGCTCGTTCTCGGTCGTTCCGGTGGCGTTATCTTTTCCAAAGGTTCGTTGATGTACGACGTGATGGAGGAGTAATGGTCGGGATTCGAAGTCGCTTTCGTTACTTTCACCATCTTTGTTCTTCTTCTAAACGACTTTCCGACGACGTGAAAGACGAGGACACCAATAAAGACTTCTTTTTCTCTCTTTCGCTCTCGATTTCTTCTTCTTCTTCTTCTTCTTCTGTAGTATTCTTTAGTATTAGTATTAGGATGATGTGGACGATGAAGTGTTTTAGTAGAGAAACGAGAGAGATATTATCCGACTTTATTCTTCTAGGTCAGATGCTTATGGTTTTTGTCTTTCTCTCATCTCATCAGCTTTTTTGTTCTCTCTCGCTTTTTTCTCTTTTTTTTTTTCCGACAGCCTCCTCGTTTGTGTTTGTTTGTGGGTGTCCTCCAAGAAAACTTGAAAACCAAGAAAAAAAAAAGGAAACCAAGAAAAAGTTAGACGTGTCAAACGAGTAGCCCTCATTAAATTATATCCATTTTATAATACTATAAGTAATACACACACACACGAGGTAGTAGTGTTGTGGTTTGAGTGATACGCGAGCCTAATAAAGGTACGTCTTCGTTTCATCGTTTTGTTTTTCTTTTTCTTTTTCGTCGTCAGAGGAAGAAGAAGAAGATGAGTTTATGAGAAATTGATTTTATCTTTCAAAATCTCTCATCGCTCATGCGTCATCATAGATACGGAGCATCATCATCATCATCATCATCGCGCGAGACAGTCGCCGCGCGCGACGCAACTGACCGCAAAACAACCGCAGAATGATGCTCAACCCTTCTTCTTCACGCCTCGTCTTTTTCCTCTCTTCTTCTTAAAGAAGAGATGGTTTTTGTCGTTCTTCTTCTTCTTTTGCTTCCGACATCATCATCATCATCATCATCAACACCCAAGCGTGTTACGTGTCAGCCACCGCGTATTTTGCATTTTTTTCAAGAAAAATCTTATTAAAAAAAAAAGAGGTCGTCCAAAACGCGTTCTCGCACGAGAATGAAAGTTGAGAATTTGAGACCCTAAACAGAAAACCAACTTTGCACGAGAGCTTGACACGTCACCACTTCCCTGTCCCCTCCACGCGCGCGCGTTGACTGGGGACCGCGCGCGCGCGAGAGGTGCTGAAAACCGCGCGGATGCACCCATACACCTCATAAAACGTTTGCAGGAACTCGGAGCTGGAAAATACGCGCTTTTTACGTATTCTCTCTCTCCGTTTATTTTCTTCGTCGCAAAAAAAGAAAAAACTGGAAAATTGGGGGAAAAGAAAGAGAAAAAGAAAGAGAAAGAGAAAGAGAAAGAGAAAGAGAAAGAGGTTTACCCCGCGAGCAACTCACGACATCGAACGCGAGAAAAGATAAATACGAAAGGAGAAATATGAACGAAAACGATTTGAGTGATTTGGTTTTCAAAAACAAAAAAGAGTGGGGGTTCCAAAACAAAGCCCACACGTGCAAAAAGTGCACAAAAGCAACCCCCGCTTCCAAAAAAATTCTAGTTAAAGAAAAAGGAGCACAACACACTATTTTTATGAACTGACAACAACAACAACAACAATAATATTAACGTTTTCTTCTTCTTCTCTCAATCAACACTTTCCTCGCGATGAACGATTTTTAACAACAGAAAATGAGTGGAGTGCAATACAGTAACGTGGAGAAGTCCTCCTCTTCGGGGATGATGTCCAAGGTTCTCGTGGCTCTCGGCGTGGTGACCTTCTGCGGCGTTTTCGCCAACGTCGGTTTGGTCCACCAAATGCAGAAAGACGTCGATCATATCGTTTCAGGTATGGAACCGGAACACGCACCAATGTCTACCAAGTCGCCTATGAGCGGTACAAATACGTGCGAAGGCCAAAAAAAGACGATTGAGACGTATTTTAATGGTGCTCTCGATAACGGGTCCTGCGCCGACAAACTTGTCGCCGGTGTTGAGCAAGCCGGAGGGAACGTTACCGTGGGTTACGAAGGAGGCTTGGATGTGGGGACGGACGAGCCAATCAAGGAGCCGTACTACAAGCAGAAACTGTGCCCGGTCAACGTTCACTGGCACTTGGGTGCGGAACATCTCTCCGTCGGCCAGTACGACGAGACCGGAAGTGGACCAGGCTCTGCGTCGCACCGTAAGCTCCTCGCCGAAGGTGCTCGATTGGGGGGTAGATGCCACAAATATGATTCCTCGGTCGAAATGTACACCAAGGAATACGACTGGCAACACTGCGTTGGCATGAAAGTCGGCGAAACTTACGAAGTCCACTGGCCGCACTCTTCCGTCGGCGCGTGTGGTACGCCTAACCAATACCAAACTCCGTTCTACGACGGGGTTCTCTGCGATATCGATGGTCCGACGCTTGCAACTGTTATCAGCGGTAACCAACTCCACCTCAACGTTGGTGTGCAGGCGCAAATTTTCACCATCGTCAACGACGAGAACTACTACTACCCTGACCTCATGAGAGGCATGATCGTCGACGGCGACAAGGGGAGCGAGATCACCTACTACACCGGTTCCACCACCGGTACGTCCAGAGACAACTCCGTGTGCTCTGCGTGGTCCCCAATCACGTGGCAAGTAGACAGAACGTGCCATCTCATCTCCGCCTCGACGTTTGATAAGATGTGCGCCGACATGAAGTCGCAACGCGACGATATGTCGGATGACCTGTACGCGCACGGCAGTCGCGAGGTCACCACGGATACGATCACCGCAAACAACCAAGACTTCAACGGGCTGGCGCCGTAAGGTTGTTTCTCGATGAAAACGCTCCTTCTCCTCATCAAAATCAAGCCCGAACTATTGCCTCGTCTAAAAATCGCGTCTCTCGCGTTCGCCGAGAAAAGCCGGCAAAAGCTCAAAAGAATAATAATAATCATAATATCACTGCATGTGCTCTTTTTTCGATTTATAATAAGAAAAATAATAAAGTCATTCTTCATAACTTGTATTTATTCTTCGCGATGATGATGATGATGATTTGAACGCACTTTTGCTTGACGAGTGCAGAGCGTCGCTGTTGTCGTCGTCGTCGTCGTCGTTGTTGTTGTTGTTGTCGTCGTCGTCGTTGTCGCTATGGGTGAGAGCAACATCATCATTACCAATGACGACGAGTTTCAGTTCCTGCTCAATACAGTTCTTCGATTTGGAACGAGCTTGGAGACGGTGAAAGCGCGCATGATGCAATCACGCGCACCTCGCGAGGCGTGGTTTGATTCTTCTCGTTCCCCATCTCTGTTACACGCCGCTTGTTCTCGAGGAGATGCGCGCGTTGTGCAGTTTATACTAGAGGAGGCAAAGAAATATTTCTCAATAACACAACAGAAGAACAAGAAGAAGAACACAACGAATAGTAAGAAAACGATGAACTTGGAAGAGTATTTAGTGCAAAGAGACTTTGAGTCGGGCCACTCGGCGATGCATCGATGTTTACTTCACGGTCCCAACTTGACGTGCGCTCGAACGTTGTTGAAATTCGCTACGGAACACTGCTCGAAGAAGAGTAGCGTGAATCTGCTTCATCAACCGAGGTGTTTTCGAGGGCACACTCCGATCGAAAGTTTATCGATAACGATAGCAACCGTAGCGTCGAAAGAAGAAGAAGAAGGAGGAGGAGAAAAAGAAGAAGGAAGAAAGAGACACATGCGCCTGAGAAGATCGGATGTCTTTTCTTGGGGCTCAGGCGTGAATTATACGCTAGGCACCGGGAACACGAACACGAACGGCGATAGATGCAAACGGATAGAGTATTTTGCGAAGCACCACTTAAACGTGACTTCGTTGAGTTGTTCTCGATTTCGTTCGTTCGCGACGACAAATGTTGGGGAGGTTTATTCCTGGGGTCTGACCGATTGGAATAGTTATAGCAAAAGAAACGGTGAAGTACAAGAAAACAACGCATCACTGAAGCGCGAAGCGGATATGTTTCCGACGCGCATCGAGACGTTTATCGGTGGAGCTTCCTCGAAACCAAAGATTGTTAAAATCACGTGCTCGGAAAATTTCGCGCTGCTCGTGGATGACTCTGGAAGTTTATTTATCATGGGAAAAACGCTCGGACTCTTTTCCTCATCGTCAGATGCTGGTCTCACTAACGACAATAATAACAACAACAACAACAACAACAACAAGGAAGACGATAGCAGCAGCATGCAAATGTTTCCTAGACGCATTTTCGGAGACGATAAGCGAGATCCAATCTCTCGTGAGACATTTAAAGAGCAACGCATTGTAGATGCGAGTTGTGGAAACGCGCATGCTGTCGTTATCGACTCCAAAGGTCGATGCTGGAGTTTTGGACTGAATGGGACTGGTCAACTCGGGTTTCAGATCGATGCTATTTCGCGCGTCAAATTTCCAAGGGTTGTAGTCGGCATTGAAGGTTACTGTCTGAGCGCTTCATGTTCTGATGAGACGACGCTCGTGCTCGTGCGAAAAAACAACAACACGAAAGCCATCGTTCGGTTCGGTTCTGGAGATTGTAAACCGAAACAAATAAGATGTTCTTCTCGCAGTGCGATTGTGAGCATGTCGTGCGGCAATACAATTTCGGCGTTTGTTTGCGAGAACGGTGATCTGTATCGTTTTCACTCCAAAAAGCTCGATGATTGCGAAGCGCAAAGGGTCGACGAGTTTAATTCTGTGCCATTTGTATCGTGCACGATGACGAATTCGAGAGGCTGTGTTCTAGCTAGGAACGGTGATTGTTACGAGTTTGAAGTAAACGAGCGATCTGGAGAGTGCTCAGTCTTCAGTCGCGTCGTGGGTGTAAAACGAGCAACTTCGATTTCGATCAGCGATAAGCACGCGTTGAGCATATCGAATTGGACGGAGCCTAATTCGAATTGGCCGGAATCTAAAATCATCCGAGAAAAAGCCCGAAAAGAAGAAGAAGAAGAAGAAGAAGAAGAAGAAGAGAGTTTACAACACATCGCGTGTAGAGTTCTTTGTGAAGAAGTGTTGGATTTAAGTAATTGCATGGAGTGTCTTCAAAATCTTCCAAATTTAGACATTGAAAGTGGAGAACTATTGCGAGAGTACGCGTACGAGCTCGCAGCTTTGAATTTAGATGCACTTATTGAGGTTTACGATGTGCTGGGTGCGAAATACGATGACGAGCACGTCGACGATGCTGTTTTAAGTGGGATTCGAGAACGAAGCATCGGCGGTGTAGAATTAACTTTAGAACTCGATTGGGATATAGAGAAGACGTACGCGCCCGTCGTCGCCGACGAAGAAGGAGAGAAGAAGAAAAAGGAGAAGAAAAAGGAGAGAGTGGAAGTGATGAGTGGGAAAACGAATGAAGTTCCGGCGCGAGCACCGCAAATGAAAAGAAATGCCTCGCCAGAAACAGAATCACTACCATCGAAGTCAAAACCGATTAAAATATCTCTCACTTCCACAACGAAATGCACTCAAAAGCAAATCCAACGCAATTCGATGCGGACGACGCCGCCAAAAAGCGTTGATTATACACGCTTGAGTGAAAGACGAAAATCGGGAGGCATATTGAAACAATTTAAGCCGATCATATTCAGGCAGTACGAAGAAAGCGACGAAGATGGGAACGATGCATACGACGAGGACCTCGAAACGGAAGCACGATTGAAGGAGAAGTTGAAATGGAAAGCGGATGGGGAGGAGCAAGAAAGGTCTTCGATATCGCGTGGTTTCACCGCTACGAGTTTGAAGGAGATTCAAGAGTCGCAAAGTAGAAATCCTTTACCATCGTTTAGATCCATGGTAGGTTCCCAAGCGAAGAAAGAATTTTCTATGGAAATGTTCGAGACGCGAGGTGTTCACAGAGAGGATGCGACGGGTTCATCTGCTACGAGCGTAACGGTGTCGCTTTCCGCTCTGGCGAGACGAACGAAATCGAAAAAGCATGTCGTAGATTCCTCTCCGGCGCCATGGCTTGGCTCTAGCGCCTCGTTCGATAAGAATAAAGGGTTCATCGGAGGTTCTGCGTCTTCTCAACAAAGTCCTCTTCGGGATTTGATGCGTCAGGAGGAGGAGAAGCAGCAAGAGCGCAACGCTTCGTCTACGCGTCCTATTTACGGATTCTCACCGAATGCGTTTTCTTCGACTTCCCCTGGAAGCTGGTTCCCTTCAAACGATGACGAACATGGAAAGAAACTTACTTTACTCGAAATCCAAGCGTTGGAGGAGAAGGAAAAAGAAGAGCGAGAACTCGTCGCCTTGGTCGCCGCGTTCGAGAAAGCTGAGATGGACGGGAACGCTCACCACAAGAGCAACAGTGGAACGAAGAAGAGGAGGAAAACGAAAACAAAGAGAGAAAAAGTAGTCTATTAGACGATTAGATCGTAGTAAAAACGTCGCGTTTAATAATAGCGCTTGAAATGAATAGCGTCTGTTCGCGAATATAGTATAATAATACATGCAACGCAAATAACACCACCCCGAACAACGAATACACAAACGAACAAACAAGAGACGAAAAACAAGAGACGAAAAAAAAAAAAAAACCTCTTCTTCAATAAAAAGTGGATAAAAAAGACGGCGGACAGACCCACACAATATCTATCGCCTCGTCCATCGCACACACAACGAACGAGCTTGTCACACACGCATCACAGATAGATGTCTTTCTCCACGCATTCCTTAAAGTCTGCGTTACTCGTCTCTTCCTTCAACAACACCAAGAATACGAACAACAAACGACTTCTCGTCGCGAAGAAGAAGAAAAGCATCCCCAACGCAACCGCATCATCATCATCATCATCATCATCATCACCTTCTTCGTCGTCTTTTAACATCAACAACATCAACAAGAACATCAACGCGAACAACAGAAGAAGTAGTAACAATAATCGCTTAAATAAAAAGTTCGTTCCAATGGCTGGAAAAGTTGGTCCGTCTGGTGAGGTGAAAAAAGTCGTCCTCGCGTACTCTGGTGGGTTAGACACCTCCATCATTCTCAAGTGGTTGCAAGACACGTACGGGTGCGAAGTCGTGACGTTCACCGCGGATTTAGGCCAAGGCGAAGAACTCGGTCCGGCGAAAGTGAAGGCGTTGAAAATGGGCGTCAAGGAAGAAAATATCTTCATCGTTGACGTTCGCGAGGAGTTCGTGAAAGAGTACGTCTTTCCGATGTTTCGAGCGAATGCGATTTACGAAGGGACGTACTTATTGGGCACGTCCATCGCGAGACCGTTGATTTCGAAGAAACAAATCGAGATTGCGAATCAAGTCGGCGCGGACGCCGTGTGCCATGGAGCCACGGGGAAAGGGAACGATCAAGTCAGGTTTGAAATCGGCTATTACGCGTTAAAACCAGACGTGAAAGTGATCGCGCCTTGGAGAGAGTGGGATTTAGATTCCAGAACGAAGTTGTTGGCGTACGCGGACAAAAACGGGATTCCGGTCGCCGCGTCGAAGAGGCAAGAGCAACCGTACTCGACCGATGCTAACTTGTTACACATTTCTTACGAAGGGAACGCGTTGGAAGATCCGTGGGAGGAGTATTTGGAAGATATGTTTACGAGATCGGTAAGCCCAGAAAACGCGCCGAACGAACCGACGTACATCGAGTTGGAGTTCGAGAAAGGGGACCCTGTGGCGTTGAACGGGGAGAGGTTATCGCCAGCTGAAATGTTGACGGCGTTGAATAAGCTCGGAGGAGATAACGGCATTGGTAGATTAGACATTGTCGAGAGCAGATACGTTGGGATGAAGTCGAGAGGTGTGTACGAAACGCCCGGCGGCACCGTTTTGTTAGCCATGAGAAGAGATTTGGAATCCATTTGCTTGGACCGAGGGGAAATGCATTACAAGGACGAGATTATGCCAAAATACGCGGAGTTGCTTTACAACGGCATGTGGTTTTCGCCGGAAAGAGAAATGATGCAAAAAAGCATCGATCAAGCCGCGCAACACGTCAACGGTACGGTCAGAGCAAAGCTGTACAAAGGCAATGTCATGTGCGTCGGACGAAAATCGCCCACCTCTTTGTACGACGTCAACTTATCCACGTTCGAAGAGGACGGCGGCGCGTACGACCAAAAAGATGCCGCCGGCTTTATCAAGTTGAACGCGCTGCGTTTGAGAACGTTGAAGAGAAGACGCACGGACGCCGGCAAGTAAGTTTGAGGCGAAAAGAAGAAGAGGCTGGTTGTTGTTTTTTTACAACCAGTACCTACCACACTATGATATTGTTTTATACCAAGTATAATACAAAACTACTACGTATATACAATGTTCATGTTCACAGGTACACACCGGTACATATCCACTAAACGACTTTTAGTTTATATCCTTTACTCTTGGCGAACTTCATGCAATCTTTTTCCGTAACTTCAATCGCCCAGTGTAACATTGTTTGTCGAACGACGGGTGAAATCGAGGCGTCGTCGAAACGTCTGTTTGACGAAACAATCTTGTTCAAGAGATTATTCTTCCATCGACCTTTTTCGCCGCCAACTCCGGTCCAGCGCGATATTTGTCTCGCATCGTCCGCCGTTCTTCTCCCGAGATAAAACCTGCAATACCATTGGAACCACCCTCTCGGATCTTGTTCGTTAATCCATCCGTGTTCTTCCCAATAGTGCTGATCTTGACCCGCTTTCACTTGATACAGGTTTCGGTAACTTTTATACACTCGATTCTCGTATAAACCTTTGGACATGTTCTCGAACCATTCCTCGGGAAACTCTTTTGACGTGACTAGAATTGGACGTTTGAGGAAACCTTTTTTACCTCCTCGCGGGTTAAAGTAGCACCCACCAAACGTCCCGGCTTGAATCATTTCTTTCGGCGTCAAATTCGGTTGAAAGTGCGCTTGCGAACTCGGAACGTTTTTGAACGTCAGCTTCCCAGTCGCCTCGTCGCGCTTCAAGACGGAACTTTCCGGATACACTTCCTTCGTTCTCCTCGCCGGTTTGTAAAACACTGCCGATTTTTGCGCCTCTTCTCGCGTCTTTGGCGGGTCGTACGTCCCAAACGACGACGACGCTCTTTTCGCAGTGCCACCACCAGAAGGGACTAAAGTGGGCGTCGATATCGAAACGTCGACTTTCTCTTCGGCGTAGTTGACCACTTTTTTATCTCTCGCGCTCGTTCTCTTCGTCGCTCCGAACAGCAAAGGTTTGGATTTTGGAAGCAACGCGTTACTCTTCTTCATCTTCTTTATTCTTCTCTCCTCCTCTGTATCCTTTTCAGACGAAGACGATGGAAAAGCTTTACGCTTCGCGTCTCCGAGAACTTTTTCCATTCTTCTTTTGTTCGCTTCGATGCGCTCGTCGCGTTCGCGCTCGTACTCCGTCCGATTGGCGCTTTTTGCTAACATTTGATTCTTCTATTATTATTCTTATTATTAAATAGAAGAGAGAAGAGTACTCTTCTTCTTGACTTCTTCTTCTTCTTGACTTCTTCTTCTTCGGAGAGAAGAAGAGTTTCAATGATGTTTATGCTGACGTCAACAAACAACAACAACTTACGTAAGTTTCTTTTTTTGTGGTGTAAATGTTGTCTTCAAAAAATTTTTATAAAATGGATAGAGGAAAGTTAAGTCTGATATCTACGCCTTCAACATCTTCTTCTTTCACGACGACGACGACGACAAGAAGACATTTTAGAAGACATTTTAGAAGACGTGATGAAGGGTTTAAATGCATTTACGCGTCGTCGCTCTCACCGAAAATAGTCGTCGTCGCTGAAGGGGAGCAAACGACGACGACATCAAAAACGACGACATCAAAATACGAAGTCACGGAGAAAGTGAAAATTGGTTCCAAACGTCAAGTCCAGTTGGATGTGAGAAGCGGAAGGTTGTACGCGCAAGCGCTGGAAAAGACAGCCACGTTAAAAGTAAACGGAAACGTATGTTTTCCAGGGGTAGCGTACGTCATCAAACCAGAAGGCGCACTATGCGAGATTGGCTCTCAAGGCGAAGACGAGGTTGGAATCTTCAACGTGTCGTTGGAAAACGCGAATACAAACGCAACGGCGAGCGCGGACGCGATGTCGGAAATGTTGGCGAAGAGCTTCGAGATGACGGCGAGTAAAGAGGTTCAAAACGCGTTGAAGGTGGAGAAAGTCATCGCGGCAAAGAAATTAGCCATTCACACGAAAGATATGGATTTACCTCCTCCATCTTCTTCGTCGCGGTGAGATAGGCGTAATAATTTTTCGTAAAGCAGATTGTTGTGTTGTACAATAGTAAAATAGTTTGTAGTAAGAAACTGGTTGTTTAATAATATCGTTTGTATTTCCTTCGTTTACAATTTTGTTTTTTATGTTGGCCGTTCTTGTTGGCCTGATGCTAGTGCGAAAATGTTGTGAATGATTACTTATTAATAAGATGTGATGGCGGTGGTAAAAGTGAGATCTCTTTTTTACGACCATTGCGATCTGCCAGCCTTCTTCGCTTCTTCCCTTTGCTTTCTCGCAATCTCTCTCGCCTCCGCAGTCGTCATTCTCTTCGTCGTTCTCTTTTGCGGCATCTTCACACCGTTCGCTCTTTGAAACGCCAACACTTTATTCATCAACGTCATGCGGTCAGAACCCGTGTATCGGTCAACCTCCTTGCCATCCGCGAAAAAGACGAAAGACGGGACTTCCGACACCTTCAAAGTCTTGGCCAACGCCTTGGACTCTTTGTTCTTGTCCGCGATCAATCTCGCCCATCTCGTCGCACCCGCAGTGTTTCTGGAAAGAGAAACGACCGCCGGGAAGATCTTCAAGCATCCGCTCGGCGGATCGTTCTCGACCGAAACGTCGACAATCGCGAGTTGCTTGGCGCACTCGATTTCAACCGGAGCGATGAAACCCGGAACTTCTTGCGCCGGCATGCACAACTCCAAGAAGTCCTTCAAGTCCGCCTCGGTTGAGATGTCGGTCAAAAAGTCTTGAACTCTCAACCCGCCGGCACCTTCATCGCCGTAGTACAAAACACCTTCCGCGATGGATTCGTGCGAGCCGGCGCCGAAACCGGAGTGTTGCCACAACAAGTCGCCGTGCTTGTAATATTGAAACGTAGGAAAGTCCTTGACGCCGAGCTTATCGGCCAAATTCTTAGCGCCGGAAGAGGACAAGATGTCGCATTCCAAGAACGTCACGTCTGGGCATTCTCTCGCAATTCTCGCCATCGACGCCGTGATTTGTCTGCACTCTTTGGCTTGTTCGTCCGTGAATCCCTCGCAGGCTTCGTCGGAGATTATGCCCAACATGACCAAGTTATCGCCGGCTAAGGTCAAAGCCGCGTCTAACTCCTCGGTGCTGCTGATGAAGTTCGTTCTCGCCGCAACTTTCGCGGATTCCATCGCGCGACGTTCGTTCCCAGTCGGCGGTGCCGCGTTGACGACGTGTAAACTTCTTCGAGAAGAAGATGATCGCTTTTGAGAAGAAGAAGAAACGAGGTTCTTTTTCGTCATCGCGATCGAGGATGATTGAAGAGCAGCGGACGCCATCTTTATCTTTATTACTTAGTAAAATGAATCGATATAAAACGAATAGTATGTATCAGAACTTATTCTCTCTCGATTATATAGTTAACGACGAGAAGAAGAGCGTTTTGATGAGTGTTTTGAATGAGGAATTTATTCGAATGAATCGAGAGAGAATTATATCAAGCTTGAGAGCTTTTTTGAGTCAGATCGATGATGACGCGATTGATGAAAAAGAAGATATTTTCTTTCTTTTTTTTTTCTTAAAAAAGGACACGTCAATCACGTGAGCCCATACCATTTTACCTTCACCTTCCTATGCTGTACTTAAAGAGCTATTTTCAGAAAACAAGCACAAAAAAAGAAGAAAACGAAAAAAATCAAAAACAAAAGAAAAGCACACACACCCCGCAAACAGAAGAGTTATTACTCGTAGTAGTAGTATTTCTCATACTACGTACCGTCCTCTTCTGACGACCACGTGACTCGGATCGTCTTTTTTACTCCCTTCGCGTTTCATGTACCGCACGGACGGCAAAGACGAAGCAAAAATGACTCGCACGATGACATCGTCCCTCCTCTCTTCCTCCGAAGACACGCCTTCAAAACGTTCCTCCTCGAAACCGAGAAACGCCTTCTCTCGTAAAGCGAATTCCGTGACATCAAACGAGAGTAAGTGCTCTTTTTCTTTCAACAGTTGGTCAAACTTCGCATTCGTTTCCTCTTGCCGTTTCGCGTTGACGATTAATGCTATGCACGGTTTCGCGACTTCGCTCGGTCGCGGGGAAAACAGCATATCAAACGCGTCTTCGCTCGTTTCCGGTTCTAACCACATGTAATTTCGATTCGAACTTCGTTTGGAAAGGAACACATCGAGCGTATCGATGAGTCCAGGCAACAAGTCTGGATCGTATCCCACGTCCGAGGCGACGATTAAATCTGGATTTATCACATCCGCGGCTGTTTTCAACGTCTCCTCGTCTGAAAACCAATCGAGTTCGCGAATGGAAACGAACGAGTTCACGATTTCGCACTCGTACGTAAAAGCCATCTCTTCCTCGTCCGTCCTATTTTTGGACGCTAACACGTCTTTACGATACACGTCCTCGCCCGTTGGCATTGGCGGGAGCGCATCTAATGCGCTCTCTCTCTTTATCGCGGTGGTTTTATTTTTCGTACTACTCGTAGTACTGGAAATATTTCCTCGCACGTTCCTTTCCAAGTTATCGTTCGACTCTTTACTTTTATCCGTCAAGACTAATCGTAAAGGTTGCGAACGCAACATAGCTACGGCGGCAAGACCAGCGCCACTTCCTAGTTCTAATACTGTTTTATTATACACTAAACCTGGTTCGTTGATGGCTAACTCGGCGAGTTTGAATCCAGCCGTCCATTCGTGCGCGCCCGTGTTGCCGGCGAACAAATTTTTCGACAGCGAGAGCGTTATTTCCGACAGATTTTCGTAACGACTGTTCGCTCCTACGTCGAGCAAGTCATCTCTGAACGTTTCGCCCGTCTCTTGTATCGTTCCGTTCTCGTACACGAACATCTTCTTCGTCATCTCGTTTTTCTCACCTTCTTCCTCTGTTCGTTTGTCCGCTTTTGCTCCCGACAACGAAGCCGAGGCGAGTAAACGCTCGCCGTGCTTTTCGGCAAAGTCGTCTCGTAAACACCCACTTGCCTCGGCTTTCACGAATATCTTCTTCAAGAAAACGTCGATGTAGTCTCTTCTCGTTTTATCTATTGTGTTCCTTTTCTCATCGTCGTCGTCGTCGTGATGAGTCTCACCACCAGTCTCACTCGGACGACTGTGAGAAGTGCACGACAGTCTCTCGTAAAACTTTGTTTTGTTGTCGTTCTCGAGAAGCGAGAGAATGTGCAGCGCGGTAAGTTGCAACTCGTCCAGTGCGTTGATGTTTTTTTGTTTCACATTAAAATTATTTAACTCCTCCTCCTCATCTTGTTGTTGTTGTTGTTGTTGTTTTTTCAAGAGCGCTGAACGAACGATGGCATCCACCGACCGCATTCGCGCGAACATGGCGAGCGTTTCCAACCCGTCTTCGAGCATCATTTTCATCGTCGTCTCAAAACCATCTTCTTCTTCTTTTTTACGATTATGATGATGATGATGATGATGATGAGAGTGAGAAAGAGGAGAAGAGGTTGTGGTGTTGTTGTGAGAAGGGTGAACTTTTTTTCAAAAAAAAAATAAAAACAAATCAAACAAACAAAAACAAATACGCGCAATACATATCATCGCTTTACTTCGTGCACGCAGTCACTGCAGCAACAACAACAGCAACAACAACAACAAGAAGAAGAAGAAGAACGAACATCTCTGATACTAATGTTTAAAAAAAAGCCGGCAAAAGCGGTGCAGTCAAAGAGTGACAACCCGAGGTTGTTCTTCGTCGGTCTCGTGTGCGTGATTTTGTTATACATTTACCGAGCGCTTCTCCTTTCTTCTTCCTCTTCAAAGAGTAAGAAGAAGAAGAAGAAGAAAGAGGAAATGGTGGTGGTAGATAAAACGCGGAAAATTAGCGCAGAGGAAGTGAGGAAACACAACTCGGTGGATGATTTGTGGATTATTATCGATAAGAAAGTGTACGACGTGACGGAATACGCGGAGGAACACCCGGGAGGAGTAGCGGCGATTGCCAAAAACGCAGGAGGCGACGCGAGTAAAGGATTTCGCGGACCGCAACATCCGTCGAGAGTGTTCGATATCGTAGACGATTACATGATTGGCGTTTTAGAAGAAAAGAAATGACGATGAATACTAATATGCTTTAATATGATATAAATAACACGCACTACTTTGAGGAAAGCAGCAATCGTTCTTCGAGCGCTTCGATGCGCTTTTGAAGCTTTCGAATAACGTCGTCCTTCTCTTTCGCGTCTCGCTCGAGCTTTTCCAAGCGCGAGTGGAGCGGCGCAGCATCGCTCGAGGTCTGTTCTTTGACGACGGCATCGTTATTTTCGTCGTATTCCTCGCTCGATGCAGGAGCAGCCGTGGCGCCGCCGCTGCCGCTGCTGCTGCCGCTGCTGCCGCTGGTGACTTCAACCTCCTTCGACGAAGATTTCCTCTTGAATTCCCAACTTTTCCTTGCCGTGGACATCCACTCTTTAAATGAAGTTCCGAAACTACCAGTCGTCGTCGTCGTCGTCGTCGTCGTCGTCGGTGCAGACTCCGCTTCGTCGCCGCTGCCGTCTTTCTCTTCGCCTTCTTTTTGTTTTGCTACTGGTGCTGACGAAGATTGGACCGAGTCGCACGTCATCGGCGTTTCCACCAACGGGTGGTTCGCTGGTCGTCCATCTTCGTCCGTCTCGTCAAAGCGTAAAACTTTCGAAATTTTTTCGTCCAGTGACGCGCCCTCCTCGTCGATATTATCATCCGCGAGCTCGGGCGTCGTCGTCAGTGATACTCCCTCTTCCTTCTCTCTATTTTTTGTGCTTTGCTGTTGTATATATTTTTTTCTCTCTCTCCACGGCGTGCACCATTTCTCAAACATCTCTCCTAATTTCTTCGAATCGGCATCTTCTCCGTCCTTGCCGCTGTCTTTGTTATTGTTGCCAGTGGTGTTGGTGAACGCGAAGCTCATGGACATTGTCATAAATTGGTGGTAATCTGCGCCAAAAATCTCCTTGGCGACGGATTTCTTATGCTTTCTCGCGAGCTGTTCAACCTTGTGCATCGTCACGTCTGCGTTACCGAGCGTCGCCGTCATCATCAGCGCCGAAGCGTCGAATGCTTCCGTCACGGCACTTTGTAACGCCGTCGCTAGCGCGCTCACGTCTGATGTAGGTTCTTTCACCGCTTTCAAAATAGACGGCGATTCTAACAGAGCTAAAGTTACTTGAAACAAGACCGTTCGATCACGTTTGAATAACAAAACGTCCCAAACTCGTAACGCGGTCTCCCACGGCAAGCAGTTCACAAACAAGCATAAAAACCAATTCAAAGTAATTGCCGATAACGGAATGTTGAACTTATCGAGCTTTTCTAAAAGCGTCGGCAACTTTTGACTGCCGAATACTCTCAAGATCTTCTGATCCACCGAAGGCGCGAGCATTTGCTTCGTGACGAAATATCCTGGCAAGATGTCCTCGACGATTGTCCCGAGCACATAGAACGCGGACTCTTCCGGCATGAGCAGCAACAAAAGTCCAGCTAAGAAATTAAGACCTTGACAGTATCCAACTTTCGGATTGTATCTTGCGTAGGCTAATAATACGCGTCGAAGAGCATCTCTCCCGACGCCTTCCAGTAACGGATGCGCCGGAAAGGTTCGTGGGAGATCCTTCTCGACCTGCACTTTTGCATCCGCAAAGCTCTGCACGTGGTTGTAAATGTCAAAAAGCTTCGATTCGCATTTATCGTCGTCGTCGCTCGTGGGAAGAGTCGCTTTGTTGTTGTTGATGTTAGTGTCATCATTCGCATCTTTCGGAGGCGATCCGTTTCGTTCGCTCAAAATCAGATTATAACTATTATCGTCTGCATTATTCTCGTCCACTGTTTCTTCGATTCTTCGAACTAAATCATCGTATAAACCTTTCTTGCGTTTACTCGGTACGTTTGCAAAAATTTCCCAAAGTTTCGCGCGTTGACTCATCGGTAAACCATTGTTCACGAGCATCTCGAGCTCTTTCCTTCGTTTTCCATCGAATTCGCTGCTACTGGATACTTCGTCGCTAGTAGTGTCCGTATTCTTTTTCTTCTTCTTCTTCTCCTCCTTCTTGTCGTCGGTATCGTCATCGGCGCTATCGTCGTCGCGTATCAGAGCCATGACCGCTCTTACGGCGTCAAAGGAGTCGTTTTCTTCTTCGTCTTCGTCGTTGTCGTCTTTTTCTTCTTCGTTGTCCTCGTTGTATTTCATCTTTCTTTTAGCGTGCGTCGGTGGCGTCATACCATCTTCTCCCCTTCGTAAAAATTCGTACCACGCGACTTGACGTTCCTCTTCCTCTTTTCTCAGCACTTCCTTCCAATCTTTGGGCTGTTTGTTCTCCTTTGAAATCGCAAACCCGTACGCGTCTCTGCTCTGATTTTCTTCTGTATTCGTCGTCGTCGTCGTCGCCATCATCATCGTTATCTTCTCGTCCTTTATTATTATTCACGTTATTATAGTCCTCGTCGTGGTCCTGCACTCGGTGGTACTCTTCTTCGTAAGGAAGAATCAAACAAACGGTCACCCTCTCAACGACTTTTGAAAAGAAAAAATTCGTTTGTTGTTTCTGTCGTGCTTTTGACTTTTAGACGAAGGAAGGATAAAGCGCGCGATGATATTAAAATCTTCTTCTTCTTCTCTCTTCTTCTTCTCATCGAGATGATGATCGCTGCTGTTTTATCTCTTCTTCTTCTTCTTCTTCTATCTCTTTCTCTCTCTGTTTGTGAAAATAATAACACAGAGTGCGTGTCTTTCGTGTTTTGTTGTGTTGTCTCACTTCATTCACTACTGTGTGGGAATCTTCTCGTCTTTTGTTTCTCTTCTTCTCTTTTTGGGTCTCTCTTAAAATCAAAGGAAAGAAGACTCCAGTGCTTTTTTTTTCGTTTTTTTTTTCTTTCTTTTCTTCTTCGCGTCTCTCTGGGGCCACAAGAAGAAGAAGAGAGAGTTATCCGAGATTACTCCACTTAAAATATATTACTTCAAAGCGCTCTCCATACGCGCACTTCCATAATACATAAATAAATAAATACAGTCAGATGGTGGTTGCGGCAACAGCATCACCGTTTGGTTGCGCGACGACGAGTTCTGCCGCCGCCGCCGCGCGCGCGAGCAATCTGCCTTCCTCTTCCTCCTCTTCCCATTCCCGAAGATTAGTCGTCGTCCAAAACCAAGTCACCTTTCTCAGAGGTGGTGCACCTCTAAAAGGTGGTGGTTCCTCCTCCGCAGCACCGTTCTCTTCCGCAGGGCGCAATAAAAACAACGGAAGAAGAAACTTCTCCTCGTCTTCTGTCGTCGTCGTTCGCGCGTCCGCTTCCTCCGACGAAAGCGACGACAAAGAGGATAAATCTTCTGCAGGAGCGTCATCATCGGCAAAGATGACGTCGGATGTGCCAGCGAAGCTGAGAAGAAAGGAAAAAAGAAATAAAAAGAAAGAAATCAAAGACATGTCCGCGGATGACATCAATCCAATCGCGATTGGTCGTAAATCCAGAGAGATGTTCGATGGTTTCTTCGAGCAAATCACCTCGTTGACTCGATTGCAGAAATCTACCGGGAACATCCCAGGCAACGCCGGGTACGACACGAGCATCTACGACATGGACTTGTTATCGGGCGATACCACGGATATGATCGATGCGAATCCGCAGGCGAAGTTCACGACGGTGTTAGTCACCGGTGCGACTGGGAGAGTTGGAAAAGTCATCGTGAGAAAGCTCTTGCTGAGAGGGTACGGCGTTCGCGCGTTGATTCGACGCGAGTCGGACAAGGAGTTTTTACCGCCCAACGTCGAGGTGTTTGTCGGCGACGTGTCAGATTTGGACACCATGAGAGAGGCGGTGAAAGGTTGCGCGAAGATAATGTATTGCGCGAGAGCTTCGTCAACGTTGACGTCGGATTTGTATAACGTCGAGGTTCTTGGCGTTCAAAACGCGTGCGCGGCGATGCAGGATTACTTCCACACGTTGGCGGCGAGACGAGCGGGTCAATCCGTCAAGTCGAAGAAGATGTTGACGGATTTCAAATGGGCACAAAACTTCGAAGGTGAGAGACAATGGTCGACTGAGTTCAGCCAAAGCGCAAGCGATGCAGCTGGAGGTGGCTGGAGAACTGCCAGCAGCGGCGAATCGTCCACGTCTGCGGCCAAATCGGAAGCGACCCGAAGAACTGTACAAAAAGTGAAATTTGAACCGTCCGAGGAGAACTGGAAGTTTGCCAGTTGGTCCGGGTTCGTGACGCCGAGAACCGGCGTTGCGACGCTCATCTCGCCGGATGTGAAAATTCTTCACGCAGAGAGTTCGAATAAGGCGATCGATTTGTCCTCCTGCGAGGGTTTAACCATTCGATACAAGTGCGACGCGAAGAAGTATTCGCTTTGCGTCATCGATACGGATGGGAACTTGTTCCGCGCTTCCATGCGCACAAAGTTGGGATGGAAAACGCAATCCATTCCGTGGTCTCGATTCGTTTCAGAAGATGTCGACGACACGACGATGAACTCGTCCGCGGACGTCCCGCAACTCGACGTTTCAAAGATTGCGAAAATCGGCGTTCAGTTCCGAGCGAAAGTGAACGCGAAAACGAACCAGACGTTGGAAGATGATTTGGCCGGCGCGACCAACCAGTTTTCCTTAGTTTTGGAATATCTCAAAGCGAACCCGAGAGGTGAAGAGGCGGATATCGTTCTACTGTCGTGCTTTGGCGCAGGCATGGAACCAGGGGAAGAGAAGCAACGCGTTGTGAAGCACAAGAAAGACGGTGAATGCGCGTTGAGAAGATCGGGATTGCAATACGCCATCGTGAGACCCGCGGTGTTGAGCGAAGAACCGAGTGGAGGTAAGGCGTTGGTCTTTGACCAAGGCGAACGATTGACGCAAACTATTTCGTGCGCGGATGTTGCGGACGTTTGCGTGAAGTCGCTTCACGATTCTGAGGCGAGAAACCGAACGTTTGACGTCGCGTACGATAAAGGCTCCGAGGGCGACTACGAGCTCGTCACGCAAGTTGCGTCAAAGAACTCGGGCAACTACTTGACGCCCGCGTTACAGCCACTCGAAAGAAACACGTAATAAAGATAACAACTAATAAGAAGAAGAATACGAGAAGAGAACAAGAGAAGAAGAAGAAGAAGAACAGAGAGAGAATAGAAAAAGAAGAGTTTTAATCAGCAAAATACACACAAATCGCGATACTATTTTTACCGACGGCTCGTTTTGGTACTGGTATATATTTAAAAAAATCTTATCATTTCTTCGCCTCTTTCACTTTCACCGTTTGTCTAACAATACCTAGTAACTCTTCCTGTTTGATGGCGTACATTTGCTCCAATCGTTCAGCCGCCGCGGCGGCCAAATTCTCCACCGCTTCTATACTATTCTTACCGTTACTATTGCTACTATCGTTACTACTCCCGGCGTGATTCTTCACCAACGTATTTCGGGTCAATATGCACCCATACAACGCCCTCACATCTGCACCAGTGGACATATCAATAGCTGCCGCGTAATACATGCTCGCTCGACGTAAGTTATCAAACCCACCTAAAGCGTATAACTGCTCCGCGACGCGCCTGTGATGGTGATAATTACTCGGCGCCGAGCATATGCATTCCTCGAAACAAAAGATAGCCTGTTCGTGCATGAACAGCTTCGCGTAAATCTTTCCAGCGTGTTCCCACGCTTCAACGTCGTCCATGAACACGTCCAAATACTTGTTCAACGCTTCTAAACACTTCTTCGTATCGTTTTGAGATTCAAAAACTGCTATTCTTCTCTTCATCACTCTTTGCTCCGTCGGTTGATCTTCCAATATCGCATCGTAGTGTTCCATCGCTTTGTCGAATTCTCCGGACGCTTCTAACAACATACCCTCTAAGCGTTTTAATCGTTGCGAATTCTTCTGCCCCAACGTCTCTTCGACAATCGCTTTTAACTCGTTGAATAGCTCCAACGCTCGTTTCAAGTTCGTACTCGAAGTATCCAACGAAGCAATAAACGTTTGCTCCAACAAAATCAAGTGTTTGTTCACCGTCGAAGGACTGGAACCGAAGAGAATTTTCGTCAGAAACGATCGTTTGCGTAGCTTTTCGTTCGTGTGTTCCAACACAATCTCTCCAGCTCTGAACGTAGACGCGCTCCGTCTCAATTTATGTTCTTCGATCATTTGTAAAAACAAGGCGCAGTTTTTCACATCTTTTTTCGCGAAGCCAGTGCTCGTTAAATACTCCTCGAGATCATTCACTTGAGGAATGGTCGATCGGATCGTGTCCATCTTTCTTCTTCTCTCTTCTCTCTTCTAAAAACGCTCTCGCTCCTCGCTCTTAATTGCGCCGTCGTCGTCGTCGTCCTCGTTTAAAATGAATAAGGAATGAAGAAACGCTGCTTTGCTTGAAAAAAAGTTGAAAACCAAAAGAAGAAGAAGGGGGTCTTGTCTTGTGTGTAATAATATTTTAGTAATGAGATTTTTAATTTCAATCAAGAAATCCAACAAGTTCAATCAATAATCCAACCATTTTTACTGGACTCTTCGTTAAAACTGTTTATCCACGCCAAACATGGTCGATACCGAAGCAGCTTGCGCTCTTTCTTGAGGATCTCGCAAGTAACTCGAATACGCCATCGTCCCGAACATCATCGTGTACAAAATGTACGTGATTTGGCTCGTCGCCGGTGGGTGTCCGTGCATCGCTGGAGACCAAACTTTGATAAAGTAGTGAAATCCAATGCAGACGGATAAGAAGAAGTTGCCAATCGCCACCGTTTTCATCGTTTCCGCTTTTGTTCCGGACAAAATGGCGATGTGAAACAATTGCAAGAACAAATATACCGCGTACGACACGCACTTCAAAAACTGTAAGATGATGTAATCGGCTTCGTTGGACGCTTGTAAACTCGCCATCGGCTCGTTTCCAGTGAGCGCGTTGATGAACCACAAGATGAAGCAATACGTCGCGTTGTAAGCGTTCACAACTAACAACACTTTCTGCAAACTCAACATTGCCGTCAATCTATTCAAAATGAAAATCACCACGCACACCGGCAACAACGGTAACGAATACGTAATCACGGCGGCAACAAACGGCGAGTACTCCTTCGGGACGTAATCGCGAATGTTTTCATGAATGTATTTATGAGACCAGTCGTGGGCGGCGGACAGTCTAGGCGCCGCGTGCGTGGAAATCTTCTTGTACCCGGCATCCCACGCCTTTTCGAACGTTTCTCCAACGTCCCACAACATGGCGGCTCCGGCCCCAGTCCATCGACTCCCCGTGCGTCTCCCGAACGAGTCGTTTTCACCGTACGCGGGAAGTTCGCCGAATGACCCCGGGTCGTTCAAATTTTCCTCCTCTACGGTTGATTTCGTGTCTATTTCTCCCTCCTCTTCCTCCTCGTTGTTGTTGTTGCTAATTTCTCCTCCATCGTCATCTCCATCGTCCTCTTCTTGCGCTGCTACTTGTGTGAATCCTCCATTCACGTTCGTCGTCGATTGAATCAAGACGAACGATAAGCACACGGCGAGAAGAACGACAAGAAATCTTCTCGACGAAGACCTTGTTTTCTGTCGCATCATCATCGTCATCATGTATCTCCTCAAGTTCTCTTTTCTGATGATCCTCCTCTCCTTTTTGTGTGTGTCTTGGCTCACACAAATAATCACTTTCTGAGGATTTTGATGAGTTTATACGTTTTGTGTGTAATGAATTCTCAAATTCTTACTGCGACGAGAAAGAAGGAAACGCGCGAGTATCGAGTCTCTTGTTTGTTTGTGTGTGTTTTAAAACTTTCTTCTGTTGTTCTTCGACAGTGATGAGTAAGTGATGAGTAAGTGAAGAGTAAGGAGAATTAATCTTCTGCAAAAAAAGAATTTTTCGAAAGGGCGAAAATTTTCTCTTTTGCGAAAAAGAAAAAAAACGGGAAAATCGAAAGAAGAAAGAGTCGCCAACCACACTAAAAATGCTCGCGTCTACGTTACGACTGGCGGCGAGAAGAGCGACGACGACGAGTAAAGCGTCTTTGCCACTGTCGTCTTTATCGTCGTCGTCTGCGCGAGAGAGCAATTACTCGACTTTGTGCGTGTTTCTATTCTTCTTATTTTTTTATATATTTGTCGTATAGTATTATCATCGTTTAGTCACCCCGGACGGGGTCTCTTTCTCTTTCCAGTCGTCTCGCGATTAGATTTTATGATGCGAGCAACAACAACAACAAAACAAAGAACTAACACGCGACGTTTTCTTCTTCTTCTTCCATCGTATCACTCACTTGCGTGATGATAAAAAACAACAGAACCTCTATTTTGGACGGTTCCGTGTGGCAGTTAAATTCGAGGAAAGGTAGACTAGTCGGGACCGATCAGCACGGGAACGAATATTACGAGAATACGAAATATCAACAAGGACGATCGAGGTGGGTGAAATACAAAGATTTGGACGATTATAATCCAGCGAACGTGCCGAGAGAGTGGCATCAGTGGTTACATTACATCTCCGATGAACCTGATTTGACGCAGGAAATCAAGTACGAGATACCGGCTATTCACGTGAAACTTTCGAAACAGTTCGGCGCGGTGGCATCCAACGAACCTCGATACTACCCGAAAGGTCACTTCTTCAACAAAAAAGGGATCAAGGATTGGAAGAAATACGGTGCCTGGAGTCCTCCGTAACAGAGGATGAGTTGTTAATAAAAATCGTGTACTAATATATATAAATTCGTTTCTTTCTTCTTTGTTTCTTCTTCTCTGGTTTCGCGCGCGCGCGCGATTCTATTTTCATAAAAATTTATGTTTTTACAAGGTTCTATATATTTGAACTAAGCGCCCATATTCTTCTTCACGAATACGATTGAATGTCGCAACGCGCTTCTGTTCAAGTTTGCAACGTTCTCTTCTCCTTTTTCTATAATTGTAGCCACGGATGGCGGATGTGCTTTAGAAGCGTCGTCGCTGCTCGAGTGGCGTATTCCGTGACGTAAAAAATAGGCTCCGTTCGTATCGTTGAATTCATCTCTATATATCAAAAGAGATCGCGGTTGTAGAAGTATTTGCGCGACTGGTTCTTGCTCTTTTTGCTCGTCTGCTGATTCCTTTGGCCAAAAATCCATCAAAGCTCTTCCCGTCGTCGTAACTATAACTACGTGTGGGTTGTACACGATGCCGTCAAAGTGTGGATCGATACCGGCGGGCGCGTTGTATTCATTTATTAAGACGTGATTCGCCTCATTTTGACCATCCATGGCCGTCGTTTCTCGCAGGGCTTTCTTTAACGCGTTGATCCATAAAGGCGTATTCTCGTTGTTCGGTGCTGCCGGTACGTTCAATATTTTCCTTTTCCCTTTGCTCTCCACCCATTTCGCTTCTTTTTGTGTCCGTATCGCTCGATTTATCCTTCTCTCTTCCTCTTCGTGTATAAACTCTGGCACGTAAAACAAACCAGGAATGAATTCATCCGGTTTATCTCTCCTATGCACTCGATATGTATCCCAATCTTCGATCGGTTTCCGGGTAAAAAACTGCGCAAAGAAGACTTCGTCGCTCATCAATTCGTCCGCTTTTTTTCTCATCTTTTCTTCATCGTTGTCGTTTTCGTTTGTTCTTGTTGTTTTTGATGAAGGTGGTGTTTTCATCTTCTTCTTCTTTTCAATCTCTTGGGCGAGAAGTTTCGAAAAGTTTATCGACATTTTTTGGGCTGATTCTCTATCTCTCTTCGCTTTTTGCTCGCACTCAGAACGATACAAGCGCGCGAACAAGAGTAGGAGTCCGTAGGAGTGGTGTTCAACTTCCGGTGTTCAACTTCACAAAAATATATTTAACGACTTCCCTCAAAAGCGCAAACGACGACTAAAAATAAAAATCTAAAAATATTTATGCTGGACGCCGCCGCGTCCGTCGCGCGCGCGAAGAGAATTCGCGCGCGAAGAGAACGCGCGAGAAAGAAGAACGCAAAAGTGGTTACGTCGTCCAAGAAATCGGAAGCGGGTTCTTTGTCGTGCGAGAAGAAGAATTCAAAGAAGGTAGAAGAAGAAGGTAAACGGTGTCGCTTTTTTCTCTCTCTCTCTCTCGTTTCCTTTTTAAGTAGATATTTTTAGGTATCTTTAGATCTGACCTTGTCTTTGTTCCTTTCTCTTCTCAAAAAGACGGCGACGACAAAGAAGACAACGAAGGAGCACACGACGACGAGAGCAGCGAAGCGCTCTTTGAGACCGTGGAATGCGTTCTCAATCTCGCGCGGCGAAAGATGGACGCGTTGTTGGAAAAGAGCACAGAGAAGGTGAAAAAAGAAGAAGAAGAAAGACGAGAGGTTTTGACCGAGAGCATAAAAAATGAAGCAGAGCGAGCAGAAACGCACGCGAGGCTGCGACACGAAGTGCGCATAGATATCGCAGAAGACGCAAAGGTGAGTTGGTATTTTGAAATGCTCGACGATGTGGGGAAAGAAATGGGAAGATGTAGTGACGGTAGTGAGACGAGTAAATTTTCGAAGACGTTCCCGGAAAGTAATAGTACGGCCCCTTCAAACGACGAGGACGACGAAAGCGAAAGCGAAAGCGAAAGCGAGAGCGAAAGTGAAAGTGAATGTGAATGTGATAAAGGAAAAGTGAAGAACGATGATAGCGAAGAAAATGATGTTGCTAAGGTTATAGAAGAAGAACCAAAAATTGCCGACGAGAAAGAATGGATATCCTCTGCAGCCGCTCGAAAGAACCGTCCAAAGAAGAAAGAGGAGAAAAAGAGCGCGCGAGCGATGAAAAAGGCGCAAATGAAAGAAAGCGTCGCAAACAAACTCGAAATAAACAAACGGCTATCGCACATTCTACGCTTAGCAGATACAAATTATGTCGAGGTCGTGTCACATCACAAAAACGCGATTGAAGAAATTCGACGAAAAACAGAGCAACAAGTGCACGAGTTAGAGAAAGAAGCTACCGAAACTAAACAAGCGTTTGAACAGTTTTTGAGGGACGAGTGTTTAAACAAAATGTTGAAGCGAAACACCGCGACACTCGCGAGGATATACGGTGAAATCGCACAAACAGAAGCAATTAAAATTCAAGAAGCGATCGCGCTACTCGCTACTCGTGAAGAGGAAATTGACGATGCGCGAGAACGCGAACGCGCTTCCGTCGAAAACGAACGCGAAAAATTGGAGAGTGATCTGGAAGAAAACGAAACCATACTTCGTCGATTACACGTTGAAAACTCAATACACGAAGACAGATTGCAACGCGTCGTTAAGGAGTTCTCGGCACGCGAAAAGGCGAGACGCGACCGCGCGTCAATTTTAGATCGACAAACGAAGGATGAGTATCGCGCGCTCAGTGAAGCCAAACGACAGTACGAGCGAAAGTTTTCAGAGCGCGAACACGCGGCTGCACGACTCGCGTGGAGAAATAAAGATGCGGCTGCAAAACTGCTTCAACAGCAACAATACGAGCGCGAATACAAAGTACACGCGTGTTAGGTTGTGGAGGATGTAGTCTTCCATCATTCCGTGCTCGAGAGTAAAACTCGTCTGTTTCTTCCCGTCTTTTGAGATTCTTTTTGAGTATTTTCCACAACTTTTTCCAAATCCTCTTCTTCATATATATCATAACGAGTGTCTATATTCCAACTTCTACTGAAGAGGAATACTATGCGTGGAATTGCCAGTGTACGGACGAGCGCGTCTTTTGCGTTTGTTCTGATCACGGTCGCAGTATCAGCGCATACCTTTTCCGGCTTTTCCGCGCGAGGGCGTGAACTTCTTCTTCCTAGCTTTCTCGCTGGCGATGAGGAGGTTTGTTCGGTGGGAAGAACGTCGTTGAGTAAAAGCCTGGATGGTGGAGAATACGCTGAAGCAGAAACACCCGGCGTAGAAGCAATTCAACGTGCAGCACCAGATATCGAAACAAGCGGTGCAGTTTTATCCGAGGAAGAAGCGCGCTTCGTAAAGTCGTCAGCCAAGAAATACATCGTTCGGTTTACGTCGTACAAGATGCAAAATGAGCACAAGAAAACGCTCGAACGAATACTAGGAAAGAAGAGTGGATCCTCAGTCACTCTTGCGGATGATGAGATTGACGATACGCTCACGAGTAACGTTAGGCCAGTTGAGCACACGATATTAGATCGTAAGAATAGAGCGGAAGCATTTCCCACAGATTTTGCACTCGTCACTTCCAGGAACGAGGCGGCGCTTATAGCTTCGCTAGCGGAACCGCTCGCGCGTACACTCGGCGTGAAGGATTTCTTTGTCGACGCTCGTTTGACGCGTTTTCCAAAGTCAAAAGAAAGCACAAGCAGTGATAGAAGTAGTGATAGTGATGAAGGAACCCACGGCGATGACGACGACGACGACGACAACGACGACGGCGTTGAAGAAGATAACATACATAGCAGCACGTTTAGAAGAAAAGGTCGACGTTTGAGAAATCGGCTACATGCTCGAAATGGCAGAGGTCAACCGATTTCAAGCGCTTTCAACGCGGAGTCGTTGTGGAGACAAGGATTCAAGGGGCAGCGCGTCAAGGTGGGTATTTTTGACACGGGCGTGGACTCTGAACACTCGCACTTCAAAGGCCGAGTGAAAGATCGATCAAACTGGACGCACGAAAATACACTCGCCGATGGACTTGGCCACGGCACATTTGTTGCGGGAGTGATTGCTTCGACATTTCCACAATGTTCCGGTTTTGCCCCCGAAGCTGATATTCACACGTTCCGAGTGTTTACAAATGATCAAGTATCGTACACTTCGTGGTTCCTTGACGCGTTCAATTACGCCATCGCAACTGAAATGCACGTGATTAACTTATCCATCGGTGGACCGGATTACTTGGATTTACCGTTTGTCGAGAAAGTAAACGAAATCACCGCAAATGGTATCATCATGGTCTCTGCGATAGGGAACGATGGTCCATTGTATGGCACTCTCAATAATCCTGCGGATATGATGGATGTTATTGGAGTAGGTGGTGTCAACTATGAAAGGCGTATCGCGCCGTTTTCATCTCGAGGTATGTCCACGTGGGATTTGCCGGAAGGCTACGGAAGAGTGAAACCAGATATTGTCGCCTTTGGTCAAGATGTATTCGGTAGTAGAATATCCGGTGGTTGTCGCTCTCTGTCGGGCACGTCGGTTGCATCACCTGTAGTTGCTGGAGCTGTAACTTTATTAGCTTCTGTCGTTCCAGAACGAGAAAGATGGTTGAAATTAAACCCAGCGTCAATGAAGCAAGCTTTAGTTGAAGGCGCAGTCCGACTTCCGGAAATTCCCATGTACGAGCAAGGTGCTGGATTATTAAACTTGGAAAGTTCAGCCAAAATATTAAAAGAATACGTCCCTCGAGCCTCTTTGATTCCAGGTAACATTGATCTCACGGAATGTAAGTACGCTTGGCCGCACTGCAGACAGCCAATCTATCATTCCATGATGCCACTTATTTTTAATGCCACTATCGTGAACGGTATGGGTGTTCGCGGATCTTTAGACGCAGAACCTAAGTTCAGTCCATCGTCTCACGATCTGGGACAACATTTGGACGTTCGGTTCGCATTTTCAGAGACACTTTGGCCGTGGAGCGGCTATTTGGCAGTTTACGTGAGAGTGAAGGAAAGTGGCAAGCAGTCGCAAGGCAAAGCATCGGGGACAATTTCGTTCACAGTTGTATCCCCACCCGCAATGGGACATGACGGTATTTTTGAGACAGAAATACGCTCTTCTACCGTTGTTGTGCCGATTATAGTCAAGATCATTCCGACGCCGGCGAGAGAAAAGCGCATCCTCTGGGACCAGTTTCATAACGTCAGATACCCACCAGGATACGTACCGCGGGATAATTTAGACGTCAAATCGGACGTGTTGGATTGGCACGGTGATCATCCACATACTAATTATCACGCTATGTATGACTCGTTACTTGATAACGGATATTTCTTAGAGGTTTTGACTGGTCCTTTTACATGTTTTGATGCCACCCTTTACGCGTCGATACTGATTGTTGACGCCGAAGAGGAATACTCAAAGGAAGAGCGCAAGAAGTTATCAAACGATGTGCGGACTTTAGGATTAGGATTGATTGTTTTTGGTGAATGGTATAACGTGAAAACCATGCACACGATGCGTTTCTTCGATGACAATACGCACGAGTGGTGGACACCCGTTACCGGTGGCGCAAACGTACCGGCGCTGAACGATCTGCTCGGTGACTTTGGGTTTAGTTTCGGTGACCGTATCATAGAAGGCATTGCACGGATCGGAAGAGATAATGTACGAATATCCTCTGGTACCAACGTTATGAGCGCTCCGAAAGGAGCCTTCGTGCATTCTGCATCGATGGTTGATAAAGCCGTAGACGCGGCTGCGGAACAGAAGACTACGCATACCCAACGGACACCTCCTCGACGTGGAGTAGCAGCAGACTACGCAGTCTGTGCTCTATCGGATGTAGGTAGTGGTCGTGTTTTTGTATTCGGTGATTCAAATTGTTTGGATTCGAGTCACATGGTTGCCAACTGCTTTAACTTCCTTCTCTCGGCGGTAAAGTATGTGTCGGATACGGAGAAACAGAAGGATTCGTGCCCGGAGCCTCTTTGTCCCGCGGGAGCTGAATTGCATACCGCTATGACCGGAATTGGGCACGCTCCAGAGAGACGAACGGATGTCGCATTCAAAGAATTCTCCGCTACACTTGGTGGAAAACCCGGAAATATTGGAACGACGAAGTGCTCTCCGTCCTCGCCTTTAAATTTTCACGACGCGAAATCCTCTTACACCACGCCGAGCTGGATGCCGACGTACAAAAAGTCGTCTTTATCGTCCTGGTCGTCGTTGCTTTCCAGTAAGATATCTGACAAAATTGATAGCATGAGTGTTAGTAGCAACGATGGTAGTACTAGTGGTAGTAGAGTTAGCAGTAATAGTAATAGATTTGCGGGATTGAATCTTCAGAACAACCAAAACGACGAGGAGAAGATTAGGGGTTTGAGCGTCGACCAGCCGGCGGTTGTTTCGTCGTCGTCGTCATCATCCTCGTTACGTCGAAGCGAACAACATCACATGCGTGATGAAACCTGGGTTATGGGTGGTATCGGTGCACTTCTGGGGGTGTTTTGCATTCGAATATTCCGAGTCAGGAAGCGTCGCAGGCGCTTGAGAGGCAAGTAGTTGCTTTGTAATTTATCGATTGATGAAACATTGAGTCATTGAGACCTTACCTTCCTTTTTTACAAACGAGTTCTTCATTTACAATAACAGCATCATGATATAGTACGTAAAAACATGCCCGCAAAAACACAACAAAAGCGGAAAAAGAGCGAAACACCGCGTTATCTCGAAGAACTCGAGGATTTCTTTCGCGAGAGCGTGAGAGCAGAAGCCAATCGCGTCTCTTACAAGAGTCTCTCGCCAGAAGCTCTCCAATCGTGTTTGGAATTGGGATTTTGTAACGGAGACTTGAAATCGCTATTACGCACGTGTAGAGATCCAAATAATGAAGAATTGGACGAAGAGGAAATAGATGATATGCTCGAAGCGCTGCATGAAAATGGAACTACCATAAATCAACCTTTTTGCTTTGCTCCTGGAGCGGTAGCCATAAAGCAAATGCTCGTATCCAACCGAGTAGTACATCACGAACGAGTCGAGTACTACACGCACGATATCGAGGTGGGAATTTACGCATCGAAGAACGTGAAGAAGGATGGAAAAGAGAACGATTTCGCAGAGTGGCATTGGGACGAAAACTTGAATTATACGATTCAGCTTACCGGTGAGAAAGAGTGGAAAACGGCGCGAGGAGAAGCGAACCCACTTTCGAGTGGTATGAATTTAACGTCGCCCAGAAACGCCTACGAAAAGAAGAGAAACAGATCGCGTGAACTATGGGGAAATACTCTTAATTGTAATGGTTTGAAACGAGAAAAGAAATACGATTTATCGCCATCAACCGAGGGTGATAGTAAAAGCGAAAGATTAAAGCCGGGAATGATGATCAGAGTCTCACCCGGAGAATGGCATCGAGTAGAAGCATGCGAAACTGGTAAAAAAGATGAAGTAACCATAAGTATAAATGTTCGACTCGCGCACATCACGCCGGCGCGATGGGCTGCCGAATGCATATTCTCTGGTCTAGCTATTAAATTTTACGGCTCTCATAGGGACGTTCACAGGCAAATGATAAATGATTCCAAATCGTCAAGTGATGCGTCTTTTGATTCGCACCTGAATTTTTGCGCGTCCCCAAAATTTATCGCCGATGCCAAACGAAAATGTCCGCTACTTCGTATACTTCCGTTCGATGCGAAAATCTCGAATGGATTGATATTAGGGAACACAGCTTCAAATCTTTTAGCCTACGCCGAAAATGCTTCCACTAACGAAACTGTTACGCCTGTGCTAAAAACCGAAGGCTGCGCCACGCTGAAAATTTTTGCGAACCGGCTTTGCGCAATAGAGGTCACCGACTATAGCGAAATAGGGAGCGAAGAGAAGGGATTCGAAAAAATGAAATGTATGAAGATTACAAGTACGAGCACGTTGAGTAACTTCGATTACATGAACACATTTTACATAGTGCTCGATGACGAAGACTTTAGCCAAGAGCTCGTGCAATGCTTCGCGGATGAAAAGTACGAGGACGACGACGCCAACGACCGGGGCGTTGAACTCGAGCACGTCTCGAAAAAGTGCGCCCGCATGCTCGACGTCTTGGTCGATCATGGAATAGCGATTGTTCTCTCTAGCTCCGACGACGACGAGGATTGAGAAAAAGTCTGGAACGAGGATTCTTGTTTCGCGCGAGCACGTGTTTTTTTGTCAGTATAAACTAGTCCTAATCTTACTTCTATTGCAGCCGCACTATCAAAAACTCTCTCTCTTTCTATTTCGGTCGGTGTTTAGGAAGGAGGTGGAGGAGGAGGAGGAGTCCGACTATTAATACCACTACTACTCCCAGTCCTAACGATGTTATCCATCATCTCCCTTGCCTTCTTCGCTAACGCGTCCTCAAACTGCATGGTCGTGTGCGCTGTTTTGTGCACGATGCTCTTCAACTTTGCGTGCGTTTTCTCGTGCGTGACGAAATAATCCAGAAACTTCACGCTCCGTCGATAGACTCGTTTGATTCCGAACGCGCGTATCGCGGCTAACACGGCTACTTTCTTCGCCACCCAGAGTTTGAAGAGCAACAATCCTCCAGCTGCCGGGGCAACCATTATTTACTCCTTTACTATCGATTGATTCGTTTGCACTCACTCAAAGCTTTACGTAGTAAAAGAGAAACGTCAAGTACAACCCTTTTCGTCTTCGTGTTCGGAAAGTGAAGCGAAGGATGTCGTCACAAAAAATTTTTCTGCACAGAAGAAGAGATTCAGAGATACTCTCTCTTCTATCCCAAACACGTCTGATGAGAACAACGAACGCGGCGTTCTCGCAACCAAACACGATGTTATCGACGATAAACAACGCATCATCAACTGCGCGCATTACTACTCGAACGTCCTCAACGTCTTCTTTTTGTTCTTCTTCTTCTTCTTCGTCTCCGTTCTCCGCGAGCAGATTTTGCAACAACAACACCAAGAACTTTAACGCTCACAACGATGCAACATCATCTTCATCATCATCATCGACGAAAGTGTTTTTGAAAACAAAGATTTATACTAATAGTCGTCACAACCAGCAGAGCCGAAATCGACGCTTCGTCGTTAATTCTTCTTCTTCATTTAGCACAAACAGCGCGACTGCGACGGATGTCGACGTCTCGACCGTTACTACTACGTCTAATGATAAATTTAACTGGCAAAAGAACTGGTATCCAACCTCTCCTGTATCTTTCCTCGAAACCGACGCGCCAAACGCGATAAAAATTCTCGGTTTAGAGATGGTAGTTTGGAAGACGAAAAATGGATGGTCGTGCTTGGAAGATTCCTGCCCACACAGAAGAGCGCCGTTATCGCTCGGGTTCATCGATTCAAATAAAGATGCGCTCGTGTGCAGATACCACGGGTGGGAGTTTGCCAAGGACGGCAAGTGCGTGGACATTCCGATGTCCATCGATGAGAACGCCAACGCAACCGCGTGTAATTCGAAGAAAAGCTGCGCGTCAGAGTATCCGTGCAAAGTGCACGCGGGTGTTTTGTGGGTGTGGCCAGAAACAGGCGCGGATGCGTTTTTAGAAGCCTCGGTAAAGAAGTGCGCGACGGAGAACTTTAGCGAATTGCAAGGAGCCGGCGACAACGAGTGGGGGATGGTTGAACTTCCGGTGGGATATAACCCAGCTTTGGAGAATCAATTCGACCCATCGCACGCGGAGTGGTTGCACGCGAGGTACGACGCAGAATCAAACATAAGAAGCGTCTCGGAAATGGCAGATTTTGTCCCGATGACGAAATTCGAATCGTTCGATGATGACACCACGGAGGGTTTCAAAGTGAGACACGGCGGATACAATGCGGCGAATTCAAACATCGATGCCACGCGTGTGTTCACCGCGCCGTGCTCGTCGCGTTCTGAGTACCTCGACGATAAAGGAAAACCGTATCTGAGCGCGCACATTTTATACACTCCAACAGAACCGAACCGTACTTTGATGTTTACAAAGTTTCAAGCGTATCAGTTCACCGCGGTGCAAGGCGCCGGAACGCGCAAAGTCTCTGTGGCGGACAAGATTGAAAATTTGTTCACGACGCCCGTGCGCAACTTGTTCAATTTGTACATCCAGAATTTCAACACCATTGGCGACGCCCGCTTGATTTTCACCGGCTTGCAGCACGGTGCTGGGAACGCGGCGTACACGCTCGGGAATCAAGATATTCGAGCTATGCACGGCGTAGAAAAGGATATGAAAAAACGTGGAGGAAAATGGAACAAGGCATATTATCTTCCCACGGTTGCTGATAAAGGCGTTTCCGCGTTTCGAACGTGGATGGATAACTTCACCGAAAACGGAAATGTGGAATGGCTCGATGGAAGTGCCGTAGACGCCACTCCGACTGTTTCCGAGGAGGAACAAACAGAGCGATATCATCGCCACACGAAACATTGTCGCGCGTGTAAAGCGGCGTTGAATGAATTGGGAATTTTAGAAGAAAGATTACTGTTAGCGAGTAAAGTTTTGTTGGCGACGAGTTTAATAACCGGGTTTGGTGGTGCTCTCGTCGGTAACGAGGGTTTACCGGTACTGACATTAAGTCTCGCCGGTTTGAGTCTGTTAGGCGTGGAGGAAGTTCGCGACATGCAACACGAATTCGTCTCGAGCACGCCGCGAAGAGGCGTGCCGAAACCGAAGTTATGGTAAATATTTAATTAAACTGATTCTAACTTCCGAGTACAGCACATCTACTCACGTGCGCGACAGTATATATCTCACTTTATTCGACGGGAATATCTCCCATATCGTCGTCTCCTTCCGCCATTAAAGTGTGGGAGTACTTACAGGCGTCTCCATTTTTACAACTTCCTCGGGCAAGAAAAATGCACGGGACGTTGGAGGTGTCCACCTCGACTCCAATTGCGTTTTCTTCAGCTCCATCCCTCGTCCACTTCTTTGATTTACCTTTACCAGCACCTCGGCCGCCGCCGATTTGTTGCGCGAGCATCATCGAGTGCGCGACGTGTTGAGGCACCATCATCATTTGCGTTCCTCTTCCTCCTCTCCCCCCTCTTCCTCCTCGACCAGCAGCACCACCAACACCGTACGGAGAAAACCGATCATTGTTAGCGTTTCTCCCTCTCGATTTACCACCTGCTCCATTCCCGCCGTCTGGATTTGTGACTTCTTGTAACGAAGCGTAACATGTGTCGCACAAAGGCGGCCTCGCGTCTGGCGCGCTCACCGGACGAAACGGAACTTCCGTGTGCTTTTGGCAGCCTCCACACGGGCCTTCGAATATAGATTTGCCCGATTTTTCGTCTCGTTTGGTCGTTTCTCTCCACCCTCTCAGTGTTGGCGCCTGGGAGGACTGTTGCTGATGTCTTTGACTTCGTCTGTTATTGTTGTTGTTCGTAAAATTCCTGTTGTTGAACTTTTCCGCTTTAAAGCAGGTATCGCATACTGGAGGTTTCCCACCTACGTACGGACGGAAGGATACTTGCATATCTTGCGAGCATTTGGAACACGGTCCCTTATACTGCGCTTTCAGAGCTTCTTCTCCGGTGACGCAAATCCACCCTTCCAAAGTTGGTTGGTCTTCGCCTTTCTTTCTCGTCGTCGTCGGGTTATTCTCACTCAGCATCGTCTCCTCGTTATTGAGCGCATCGATGTCGATGCCGTTCGTCGGCTCTGCTTCCATCGTTTATTATTATTATTATTATTAATACTGTACTCGCTCGTGCGCGCTTGTTTGTGCAAAACAAACCTCCCGAGTTGATGTGATGATACAAGCTTTCTTCTTCTTCTTCTTTTAATCGAGAGTTGTCGGCGAATTATGGAGACATCAACAAAAGACATCAACAAAAGAAGAAAAAAATTCAAAATCATTCATTTTTTGCTCTTCTTCACGTGGGTTACAGTTGCTCTCATTATTAATTATGAACAACAACAACAACGACATAGACGACGACGAGAACACGAACAATACTACGCATCATCATCATCAACAACGACAACGACAAAAGGAAAAGCTCATCAGAAACAGAGTGTTAGCAGATTCGATTAAAATAGCAGAGTTGGAAGCGAAAGAACACGACGGCGTTTCTCTCTCTCCTCAAGCCGCTTCGGTGTTGGGAGAGTTGGTGTTCTTGGAAAGCGAAAAGTTAGCGTTCGATTTAAAAGCGTTTGCAAAACACAGAAACGACAGAACGATTACGAAAAAAGACGTCGAGTTGTTCGTTCGTCGTTCGTCGGGAGATTTGTTAGAGTGCATAGAAGACGCGTTGCGTAAAGAAAACGTGATTTGACGAGAGCTGATGAGTTAATACAAGATGAGTTAATACAAAGGATAATGACACGAGTGGAATAATAAAACATGTAAGCGATTATCGTATTGCAACAGTGTCGTCTAAGAGTTTGCAAAGTTCGCGCATCGTCCTCGTCACGTCGTCTTCGGCTTTCGAGGCGTCCAAACTTCCTTGAACGCCACGCAAAACTTCCTTCACATCTTTTTGCGCTTTCCACCAAGTGTAGTATTGCTTTGGATTCATACCGGCTCGCGCCCATGGCGTGGTTATCTTCGTCGAATCGCACTGTGAATACAAGTGGTGAATCTCCAAGAGCAGCATTTTACTCGCGTCCGGTGAATTACTTTTACCAACGACGCTTAAAATTTGCCGGTTATCGCAAAACATCAGACGTTTAAACGCGTGCAAGTTTGCAATTTTCGCGTCGTCGGACGTCAACGGTCCAAAGAACAACAAGTGTGAACGCAACGCGGCTTCGACTTCTACACAATCTTTCGCCAAACGATTACTGCCAGAAATGGACAGTTTTTGAATCAACGACGCGTTTCGCACGAAAGAATCGATGACGTTTTCGAACGTTTCCCCGCATTTTTCAAATATAGGACCGGTACTTGTCGACGATATACCTTGAAGACCACCGATGCCACTTCTTCCGGAAGACGAGGAGGCATGGTGACTGCTACTCGATGTCTCTCCGCCGAAACTACTGCTAAAATGTCCCGATATCAATCCGTTGAGATAATTCTCTTGGAATAATTTCAGCGTCGTCGTTAAACTAGAGACGTACGAACTTCCTCCGGGCAACGGGTTCGAGTTGTTTTCCCAGTCTTCGTCGTGCACGCGCATCAAAATGAACTTTTCTACTTTTTCCTCCAACGCTTCGAAAATCGGAGATAGAGCGCCGAAGCATGCCTCCTTCATTCTATCGATGCCGGCTTGCAAAGACGTCTTTGGTACCGTCGAGTATTGATTCACCACCGGTTGGAGTAAATCGACGATATAATTCAACTCCGTGGCAAGCGCTAGACTCATTCTTTGCAAAGAAGAAGGTGGCTCTCCGGCATAAATCCTCTGCTTCTCTGCCGTCCAATCCGTTGAGGAAATCGAATACTCGGCTTTCTGTGCGAGCAACTTCAAAGCTTTCGAGACGCCGCCGGCGCAAGAGTTCACTAAACTCGCGTGCCCTTCGACAGAAATCATCTCTTCTCTGATTCTCGCCAGAAACTTATCCGAATCGCCCCGACTCATGTTTCGTCCTGATGAAAATCCAGAGTTGATTGGCTCCGATAATCGATTGTACGATCTCGAGAAAAAAGTGTGCGAAATAGCATCCGTGGATCGTCTCAAGATCGAGAGATCCGCGCCGTCTTTACGAACGCAACCTGGCACACCTTTAGCATCGCCGTCTTTCGAACATCGATCGTGCATTGATTCGATGATATTCATCAGATGTGGGAATCCTTGCAACAAAACGTCGCGAACAAAACCAGCGGAGGCATGCGTTTTGCTCATGTGATCCGTCATTCCTTTTCCTAACATGACCCAAAACTTTGCGCACGGTAAATTATCCATGGCGGAAGAGGCATTATTTTGATGCATGAAACTGCCACCGTTGGAACTTTCGCGTTTCAAAACTTCGTCTAAAAAGAGCGCGTGAGAGAGTGGATCTCGCTTTTTTGCCAAGACGCGTTGTAAATGCCAAACACTCATCGCCGATTCGTGCACGACTTCAAAGCACGATTCGAGTCGCTCCCAGAGAACGTTTTGGTAAATCTCCTCTTGACCTCCAGAAACGCCGCTTCGGTTGGTATAAGCGCTGTGAGTGCTGTTGTTGTTATTGCTATTCAACCCACTCGAGGACTTGGACGCCAGCGAAGACGCAGCGCTTTGAATTTTCTGCCAATCCGTAGCTTCTTTTACTGATTCAATCGCAATCGACGCGTACTGATTCACTTGCACGTCCACGGCAATCGATAACTCGTCCAAGTTGTAGTGCACTTGCAAAGCGTTCCCGACGTCTGCTTGCGATTGTACTTCCATACCTTTTTTCAGAGCCTCGTTTGCTTCTCTGCGAACGAGTTTCGTGACTTGAACGACCCATTCGCGCTGCGCGTCGACGCATTCAACGCCAACCAAACTATCACTCGCCTCTATCTCGAGCTCTCTCAGTTCGTGGATTAACTTTGCAGCTTTCGCAAAATCAATGCTGCTACTGCTGCTATTGGTGCTATTGCTGTTGTTTCTACCACCGCCGCTACTATCGCTACTTTCTACGCACGCTCGCAAGCGTTGCGTCAGCTTTACCGCGCGTACAACTCTGTGCAAAACATCTGTGGTCGTCGTTAGCCGTTCTAGTTGCTTCGTTTTCGCGCTCACAATTTTGTGCGGCTCTGCGATTTCCGTTCGAACTTTCGCAGTCGTCTGATGTAACGAGTTCACGCCGTTTCTTAACGTGTGCAATATTTTCTCCGCATCTTCAATCCCAGTCAACTGATTCATCAAAACATCGTACGATCGCGTTACTTCGTCTCTGACCGCTTTTTCTAGAATGTTTATTCCCTCGGTCAGTTGATTCGAAGCCGTTTACACGCCATTCGAGGAGGCTAAAACCTCCGAAGCGTATTGCGCTGGAGAGAAATCTTCCTTCAAGAAAGGTTGAAATCGTTCGTCGGTTTTCAAAGCGAGGACGATGGAATCGGTGCTACCACTGTTCGTAGTAGGAGGAGGAGAAGTAGGGGTTTGTTCCGGAGCGTTCATCATGATCGCGTTCGTCGTGTATAACCGATCAGCAGAAGTCCAACAAGAAGTATGGTATTTTGAATGATGAGTTTTTAAGCAGTTGCTTACTTTTGCGTTGTTGGTCTGCCAAGTCTGATTATTTTGTTCCACCTCATCAAAAAAGAGATAAAATAAAAACGATATCTTCCGGCATTCATCGTACTTCAGAAGAACACATAAATACGCGCACACACACAAACACATATAAAATGATGCAAACGAACACCTTTTCGCAACGCGTTCACGTTTCTTCGTGTTCTCAGTTACGCGTAAACAGGCGAAGCCCGTGCGCCGCGAGTGCAGGGAGCGCGACAAGAGCCTGTGCTCGAAAACCTCGATGCGTCTTCCAACCGAATTCTACTCAACAATGTGAACATAAACAACAACAAAAGATGATGATGATGATGATTATCAACGACAAAAGCAAAATCAAGGAGAGTACAAAGAGAATCGCCGTGTGTTCTGCAACGACGGCAGCTGCCGCAGATGCGGCGGACGCATCCGGTGAAAACGCTGCCGTCGTGAATACAATCAAAGCCATTTTTGGAGCTGGTGGTTTCGCATTGCCGTGGGCGTTTGCTCAAGGCGGGACGGTGTTAGTAACCGCGTGTTTATTGTCCTCGCTCGTGTTATCCATGGAAACCTTGCGAATGCTCGTTGCTGCGCAAGATGTGGTTGTGAGTAACAACACCGCGTCTGAATCTGATGTTTCCACCTACGCCGGATTGACGAAAGTCGCACTCGGCGCCTTTGGGGAAAATCTGAACAAGACTTTAAACGTTGTCACGTGCTTTGGCATTACCGTTTCGTACTTGTTATTCATTTCTGAAACTGCGGTCGCGATGTTTCCGGCGGCAACGGCGGCAACCATCACGAAAGTCCAAGCAGTATCGGCAATCACGCCATTAGTTTTGGGATTATCCTGGATTCGCAACATGGCGGGTGTGAATATTATCTCTTTGGTCGGAACGTGCTCGGTAGCGCTCGGCATGCTCGTGTGCGCGGTTTCCGCTGCGACGAAAATTTCAATGCCTGCGAGTCTTGCGGCGATTCCAGTGGCGAACGTTGCCGCGTTCCCTGGATTTTTTGGTACCGTCGCGTTTTTATTCTTCATTCACTTTACGTTGTTTGGGATTCAGCAAGGTATGCCGCAAAAAGAAAAATTCTTAGGCGCAGCATCCAAAGCGTTCGTGTTGAGTGCCATTGTTGGTGGTCTCTTTGGTATTATTTGTGCGGTTGGTTTCGGTCCGAACGTTTCATCGGTCGTCATTACCATGTTGGAAGGACCGATTGGCGTCTTTGTGAAAGGCTTGTTGTGCGTAAACTTGTTGTTCACGTTCCCAATCATGGCGCAATCCGCGCTTGTTGTGTGCGAATCGGTCTTCACAAACAACGATCCGGCGAAAGAGTTGGCCAAATTGCCGGCGTTGATTGTTCGCTCGGCGTTTGTTTTATTCGCCGCTTTGTGCGCGACGTTGATTCCGAACTTTGGCGCCGTTCTCGGGTACGTCGGCGGCGTGTGCTGCTGCGCGATGACGCTCGTGTTACCGCCGGTGATTTTAGACAAGTGTTCGAAGAAAGCGGGTCAAGCTCTCAGCTCTGCGGATAAGTTGAAGATTCCGGCGTTGACGCTCATCGGGGTCGTGTGCATGATTTTAAGCGTAGTGTTGTAAAACAAATACAGAAGAAAAAACATGCGATATTATACAACTCCTTCTTCTTCTCTTTTTAACTCTATAATACTAAGCGCATCGTTTAATCCATTGGTCTTGTGAAAGCGACCGAAAACAATCTCGCTAGATTCCTCCGAAGCATTCAAAACTCCTTTCTTAAAAGTCAGAACTAACTCAGATGTCGATAACTCTTCAACCTCGTTGCACGAAACAATATCTGAATATTTCGCCACAACCTTTGCTCCTTGTAAGTTTGTTGATGGAGTAGAGGTCAACGCGAAACAAATGTACGAATCGCACAAAAACAATCCACCCGCAAAGCTCATTCCGACATCTGGTGTCAACGAATTATTCTTACACGTGTACGTTTGCATCAAGTAACACGACACCGCGTCTACTAGAACGACATCTGCGGGTAAATCCGGGAACAAAACGTCAATTTCTGTACTCAACAAAGACGAAGACGGATCTGCGAAATCACCACCAACGCCGCCTTCGCGGAAAAACTCGTCTTTAATCGAACTCGTCACTTGCGAAAAAGCGTTTGTTATCTCTTCTGTTACTGATTTTGCAGCCGCAGACACCTCCGAAAACGGATCGACGATGTCGATAGAATCGTTCATGTTACTATTTTCTTGCTCTTGCGTGTTGTTATTTGTTATATTCTGTTTTGATGAGGTCCTTTGAATGTTTAGCTTCGCGGGAGAATCTTCTCTCGTTTCGGGATTAAACAAATCAAACTGGAGCTTGCTGAAGAAATCTGCCGCTGAAGACGCGAGCTCTTCCACATCTTTCTTTACCACGTACGCGGCGTCTTGCGCGTCCTCAAACATCTTTCCCAACGCTTGCGTGGGTGACGATGGTTCTTCGATTTCACCGGTTTCCGCTTCTTCTTCTTCTTCTATTTTGTCCGCAGCTGCAGGTGCGAGCACTGGTGACAGAAGGATTTCTACTTCTTCTTCTTCTTTCCCTCCTTTGTTCGTCTCGTTGCTCATGATCTGTGATGATCTGTATCGATGATACGTTGTTGTGTTCTGTTTGTGTTTGTTATTATTGTAACGAACAACGCGAGAGAATTCAAAACAGTTCATTTTTCTGTCAGACTGTCAGACAGAGATACGAAAAAACATCATTCATTCAAAAACACCCACACTCACACACTCCAAAACAGAAAAAAGAAAAGAGAATCCTTCGTCGAAGAACGAACAGACACGCTTCCCTTCCTCGTCGGTCGTTTGAATAGCACAGCTCGTATATACACAGTTTCGCTTTCTTTGTTTCATTCACGCGTGGTAGTAGTAGTAGTAGTAGTAGTAGTTTGTTAGTGTGAGCTTTTGAAGAAGAGCAAAAAATGCCCTCCGCTCAAGAACGTTTAAAAGAAGACGGCGCGGAGGAGAAGAATAACGACTTCAGTAGTGAACCGAGTTCGAGAGCGTATACACCTCCATTACCACCTTTAGCGACGCCGGAATACGTTCGATATTTACAAGAACAGCGACGTGGAGATCTTGACACTGAAACGACGCCGTCGCAAACTGCTTCGGGGAACACAAGCGATTCCGAATTTCAACCTCCTCCTCCTTCTGACAGCAAAAACAATACTAATAATATTAATAAGACTCGTCAGTCTTTTGCGAGTGCCATAGAAGTAGAGGCGGGAAATAAGGAAGACGAGATGGAGAAGGAGCGGCGACGAAACGAAGACGTGACTTTCGCTCCTATTATTGGCCCAGACAGAAACCCATCGCTCTCGGGATCGAGAGCGAACTCGCACGAAGACTTAGTCGGTTTGAATACGCGAGCGATAATGAACGCGGCGAACGAGAGATATAAAGATCAAGCGCAAGAAGCCGCCATGGAGACTCAGAAGAGAAATTACACGGAGCTGAAAGACGTCGCGATATCGCTTTCGGAAGATCCAGAGTCTCCGAGACATCACAAGAACCTCACCACCACTTTCCCGAAACTCGGGAACAACAAAGGGTGGCTTCGAGTGGATTCAACTGGACGCTTGACGAAGCTGACAATTGAGAAGCACAAAATTTCGCACATGCTTCGGGTTCCTATTCGAGATTTAAGAGTACTCGAACCGGCGATGAGCTCGTCCTACTCGACATCCATTTGGTGTCGTGAAAGATCCATCGTCGTCAACTTGGAGCAGATTAAAATCTTAATCACGGCCGAGGAAGTCATCTGCCCAGATTCGAGGAATTCCGCCGTGGTCGAGCGATACATTCCCGAGTTACAGCGTCGATTACAAAGGCGGATCAAAATGAAAGAGTCTTCTCAAAAAGAAGACAAGGTGAAGAAGAATATGCCGGAAACGTTTTCCAGTTTCGCTCTGAACGAAGCCGCAGAGAAGAGTAATAAAGAGAAAGAACATCACGAACGCAAGCCTTCGAATAGCGGAGGTTACACGTCTTTTGACGAAGAAGAGATGAAAGGTCACGAAGGTGGCCACCATCGCACGTCGTTCGATACCTTTGGCGGACCCACGCCGGAAGGCTCGGAGTTTTCCTCCGAAGGTGGTTCGGACGAGACGTTGCCGTTTGAATTGATTGCGCTCGAAATCGCTTTAGAGATGGTATGTAACGCGCTCGAAGTCGAATCCGATAAAGTCGAACGCGAAGGTAAACCGCAATTGGAAAAGTTGAGACAAGACGTTAACCAGACCAACCTCGAAAAAGTTCGTCGCGTGAAGAATAGATTGGTTCGGATCAATGCGCGAGTCTCGAAAGTTCGAGAGGAAATTCAGCGCTACTTGGATGATGATTCCGATATGAGAGATTTGTACCTGACTCGGAGATTGAGAGAAGAGCTCAGACAAAACACGGCGCGTTCGAACAGAGAAAGTGGCGCGACGCCATCACCAGCTGGTGCGAACAGGGGAGGGCGAGGGTTAGGTTCGCAACCGCCGTTATCACCTTTGAATCAGTCGCAAAGAACACCAAACCAGATGCAAAATTCTCCGAACGTGAACAGCGGACAGGTTCAAATCATCGGCCCAAACGGCGAGGTTTGGGACGAAGATAAAGATTTACAAGAAGTAGAGGATTTGTTCGAAACGTATTTCACTCATATCGATTCGACGTTTAGAAATTTAGAACAATTGAACGAGTATATCGACGATATGGAAGATTTGATTGAGATTGAACTGGATAGTAAGCGGAACCAGCTTATTAAGTTAGAGTTGTTGTTAACGACGGGAACGTTATGCTTGTCCGGTTTCGGCGTCGTCGTGGGTGTGTTCGGGATGAACATTAGAAATGGATTGGAAGGTAGTCAGTCGTCGTTCGAGTTAGTCATTGTCTTCTCCGTCATCGGTAGCGTACTAACATTCGCTGCTATAGTCCAAGCGTGTCGGTACTTTAGATTATTTTAGTACGAGGTTTTGATTAGATTTTTCTACTCGTACTATTTCTAAAGCGCAAAAAGATGTGAAGGAAGTTTTGCGTGGCGTTCAAGTTTGGACGCCTCGAAAGCCGAAGACGACGTGACGAGGACGATGCGCGAACTTTGCAAACTCTTAGACGACACTGTTGCAATACGATAATCGCTTACATGTTTTATTATTCCACTGTAGTTTTGCAATCTCATCGGGTGATAACTTTAGGCGGTTGTAGGGTAATTTTTTGGGCGGTGTAGGGTAATAAATGGTTAAATGGCGGTGTGCGGTTATTTTCGCGGCGGCGTGCGGTTATTTTTGCGACTAGTGCGGTTTTGTTATATCATGTGAGCGGTAGTATTTTTTGCTTTTTGCTTTTTGCTTTTACACTTTTTGCGTTTATTTTTCCACCTGTCTCAGTTTATTTTTTTTTTTAATTCGGGTAAGCGGTTTGCGGTTTCGGGTAAGTCCTATTTTTGTTTTTTGAAATTCATGAAACCCTACGACACCCCTAGCAAAAAAACAGAAATCCCTAAAAATCCCCTAACAAATTAGTAATCATCAATGTAATCCACCACGAAAATCAAGGATATACAAACTAAAAACTTGAGTATTGATGTGTATTTATGTATTACACGCCTCCATGGTGTCTATTTGGTCTGATTCGAGCGCAGACGAAAGAAAACGAATCTTTAGGGTTTAGGGTTTAGGGTTTAGGGTTTAGGGTTTAGGGTTTAGGGTTTAGGGTTTAGGGTTTAGGGTTTAGGGTTTAGGGTTTAGGGTTTAGGGTTTAGGGTTTAGGGTTTAGGGTTTAGGGTTTAGGGTTTAGGGTTTAGGGTTTAGGGTTTAGGGTTTAGGGTTTAGGGTTTAAGTCGGTTTAGGGTTTAGGGTTTAGGGTTTAGGGTTTAGGGTTTAGGGTTTAGGGTTTTCTCTACGAGTCGCGGGTCTAGCAGTGGGCCGGGAATGGGT